GATGACATCACAAATGATAAGGCTGGGTCCCATCTGCCTCCTCTGTAATTCAACCACTCCATGTTCCAGTTCCTCCAACTCATGAAGAGGATTGATAGCTAGCTAAATGTACAAGAAGCCCTATGATATGCATCAGGGTTTTAAGCATCCCCATCCACCAGACGTTTTGATATGAACAACATGTTAACTGTGCTTTTTGTTACTGTTTTTGGCAGCAGCTGTTATTTTCTCCTTGATTTTTTGCTCTGCTTCTGTTTTCATCTGTTGGTATATTTTGATTAAAATGAGGAGCAGTCTTCAATAAGCTAAGTTTAGACTCAGATATGAATTTCTTAAGGTCAGAAAAAGCTGCAGGTTCTTTGCATTTGGCTCAGGTGACGTATACAGTGCACTCAGTTTTTAGTACACAAACTGTGATTGTTAGCTACTTATAGTGTACAAAAAACAGCCCAATTACAGGACATAGTACCTGAATCTTCTGTTTAAAATGGGCAGAATAAGCACTAGATATGCTGAGTGAACTTTGTCCAGTATCTGAGGCAAGTATATTTCTAGGGCTTGATTTGAATATAAATGCTTGACCTACCTTCTTGGGCATAGTTTCTCAAGTGTGGATGATGTTTAGCTACCATATTCCCACTGCAAGAAGTCATATGACTCTGGTAAACACAGAGGAATGTTTTCCAAGCAGAAGTACTCCATGCTGCAATGTTTTGTCACAGAGTCCTACCTGTACTAAAAATATTTCCATGCCATCTCTCAAGGTGGCACACAGAAAAGATAAAAACACCTTAAAATAAAACAACATAAAAATAAGCATGGTGAACGAAACAATGATTCAGCTGAGGGAATGGGACAAACAAAAAACAAAACAATTACTGCAGTTATTCATATCATCGGAAATCTGGGGAAGCAGGTGATAGAATTCTTCATAGCATTTAGCAGAATGATAGCAACTGATTACATGAACACAGCCCTGCCCCTGAAGAGAATATCTGCTGGCATTTTCCAATGTGGTACCTTTTCATCTTTTGACAACCAAGCTGCAAATACAGCACACAACATTGCAGTCTGAACCATGTCCACTTAGAATTAAGTTCTATTGAATTCAATGGAGCTTGTTCCCAGATGAATTGGGTTAGGATTTATAGTTTAAATCCATCTTTCTTTTAAAGGACTCTAGGCTGGGCTATTCCTATTTGAAACACAGTCTCCCTCATCCCAGCACCTCTCTGATTTCTACCCTATACAACACTAAATCCCTTCCACCTGATTTCAGATTTCAGAACCTGACACAACCATGAGATCTTCTTCCTTCCGTGTGTGACAGAAATTGCACCGTTCATGCTTAATCCTGTTTTAAATAGTATTTTTGGCCATCTGGCCTTCTGTGATGATGTCTAAGATCTTCTTTATCCATCACACACCGCTACAACTATTCCTATCACATACAACATCCCCTTTGTGATTCACATTCTCTCTTCCTATTTTAGTGTCCTATTTTCTAGTGTTAAAAAATAGCCTTTGTTCAGTAACAGTGCATATTACAAACACCAAAAAAGAACAGCACACACCGTTTTTGTCATTTGAAAGCCCTGCAATAATTAATTAATTAAATGTTACCTCCGCATACCTTTTAGTTTAGCTCCTTTGTGCTGACACTCTCCAACACAGCTGGATGGCACTTTATTTTTCCTTTGAGTCTGGCTATTTTGTTTTCGCCCAGTACAGTATTATCTCCTTTATCAAAGTAGCCAAGGAAATATTGCCGTCTTTGGATAATGCTAAGGAATATCTGTCACAAGGCACTCTTCAATGAAGCCATAAAAGACCAGGAAGCTTTCAGACACAAGCTGGGCAGATTCCCTGTGGCACAGTCACTATCTATGCCTAGGAAGGGGAACCTTTGTGGCCTGGTGGTCATGTCTTTATCTCTCTCCATGCTGTGGACCAGGGGTAGGCAACCTAAGACCCGTGGGCCGGATGCGGCCCAATCACCTTCTTAATATGCCGCGTGGATGGTCCAGGAATCAGCGTGTTTTTACATGAGTAGAATGTGTGCTTTTATTTAAAATGCATCTCTGGGTTATTTGTGGGGCATAGGAATTCATTCATTTTTCTTTTCAAAATATAGTCCAGCTCACCACGTGGTCTTAGAGACGGTGGTGGACCAGCCCATGGCTGAAAAAGGTTGCTGACCCCTGCTGTGTACCAACTTCGACAAGTGGGTGGGACCCACTGATTTCCCTCTATAAGTATTCAACACCTACAGGCATTGGTGTTGATCTTGTTGGTATAATAATAATAATAATAATAATAATAATAATAATAATTTATACCCCGTCCATCTGGCTGGGTTTCCCCAGCCCCTCTGGGCGGCTTCCAACAAAATATTAAAATGCAATAGTCTATTAAACATTAAAAGCCTTCAGATGTTTTCTAAAAGTCTGGTAGTTGTTTTTCTCTTTGACATCTTGTGGTCACAGTTTTGAGAACGTGTATGTGAAGAAACAAAAAATTAGGAATCTGAAGCCACGGCAGGAGATTTTAGTTCTCTATTTGCCTGCACCTTGACTTCCCATGCAAACTGATATGTACCCATGGATCTCTTGGTTATTGTGTTTTACACCTTGGAGAGATCTAATGCACATGCACATTTTTTTGCACATGTAGACTTTTAAATGATTGGGGAACCTGTTGCAGGTGAGCTGAAGATTCATTTCTATCAAGTATTCCCCAGGTCTTGTTATTAAGCATAAAGCCTGGCTCCACTGATGTGCCATAACCAGGGTGTACCTGATTGTTACTGATGGAATCAATGCAATATGATACAGTTGTATCCCAAAGTGACTCATTGTCCCCCTCTGCTGTGCTGATATGGCTCCAAACAGTCCTGCAAGGCTGATGTACATTGTGCTATGTCCACATTTATGCCAACCCTGGGAAATCTACAAGTTTCACATTTTCACTATCTGTGTTTTATGCATCACACTGCTATTTGCCTGGGATACAAAATAACTGGATTTGTTTTACTTAATCCTATGCCTCGCATCTCTAGTATGAGGAATATATGTTAATTTTGCTTTCAGATTATGGGTGTGGGCTCCTCTGGAGGCTCCTGGCATCAGTGGCTGTCATTTGGTTGCTCCACTAGTCAAAATCCTCATCATCTAGTGTGACAAATGAATGAGAAGGAGAGTTCCTATCTATACATATTAGACAAGAACAAGTGTGGGGTTACTCCCTGGACACTGCAGACCTCAGCGGCTTACCTCCATGCTATCCAGTCAGCAACTGTGTGTTTACTCTTCTACAGCTACTTCCTGATGCTTACAAGGCAAACTTCTGGCTGTTTTGCTTAATGAAGCATCTTACTGGCCACCACTGACAGCTACAGTACATAGAAGACCTTCAGGCCCGCTCTATCCCATAAAGCTAAATCACACCGACCCTACAATATAAGGAGAGTAACTATTGATTCCTTAGCTGCCTTTGCCCCTTTACCTCATGCATACAATCTCTTGTTTGTGAGAAGAGCAGCAATATACTTTTGGCCAAAATTCAAGAGCAGAGTTATCCAAGAGTTGCACTGCTTTCTGTCACATAGATTCCTCTTGCTTGCAAAATAAGTACTCGTGCATGTGTCAAGACAACACAATAACACCAAGTCCCTCCAAGCCTCAAACACACACAAAACTCAATGACAAAACAAAAACAATTGCTAGGCTGATTTCGAAGATATTTGATGGGTCTCTGACGTGCCCCTGCTTGGATTTCACAGAAACAGATCCACTTGTTGTCAGTCTTGTGGTTCAGCCTGTCATCGTAAGTGATGTTTGTGTTTGTGTAAGTAACAGCAGGAGTACTCCCTCTGGGCTATCAACTAATACATAAGGCACCGAAAACTGCACCATAATATATTTTTATCTTTTAGTCCTTTCTCATGGTTTATTAATGCCTTCTTCTATGCATATTAGTTAGATGAGCCTACCCTCTTAATGCTAATTTTATTTCAAGTGCAACATTGTTCTAGAATATTTCTTAGACAAAATGGGGGGGGGGACAAAGACAAATGCAAGCTGCAAATCACAATCTGCTACAGACAAAGCACTGTTTATAATCCCTTCTTTTGAACATCCCCATATATTTCTGAAACAGCTGTCCAATAATTTGCAAAAATTGCAACATTTCACTTTGCTTTTATTAATTCTGTAGCATTCCATTAAATTAGTTAATTTTCTAGGTAGAGAATTTATTCCTTTGTCTTCAGCAAATTTACTTAAACTCATACACATACACAAATGCAAATGTCTGTATCTTTGAAATAGTAATAGGAAAAGAATAGGCTTGCCTTCTGCACTTCAGTGACATCATTTATTTATATTCAAAATGTTTAAAAAGGAATGCCCTTATCCCAGATGTTTAAAATGCAGAAGATACAACTTTGTTAAACCAGGACTATGTTTTTGAAAGAGACAAGCAACATGCATATTGTTTATTCACTGGTGGGTTTCTTCTATACTGCATGAAAATATTTGTTCTCATATAGCTAATACTTTATGTATACTGCCTAGAATAAGGAGAACCCCAGGAAAAAAATGCACTAAAATGGCCAAGTCAGCAAATCTTATCATGCTTTTCCCCGTGCATTTTCATTTGCACTTCTTCCTTCTCGGCAATATTTCATTCTTTAGCTGTTTGCTTCTGTCAGAAGTTCAAAGACAGCCCAATTTCATAAAAGGGAGATAGTATTGATTGATCCAGCATATTGTTTCCACCACCCCCTTTTGACCAGTTCTTGATGCACATTCCCAATTTTGAAAAGCATTTCATGAATCAGTGTGCAGTTTTTAAAAAATCTATAAAATGAGCTCGTTACCATGCTAGTCGCTGAATATTTTTCACTGGTTGCGTTTGCAATGCAAAGCTGATTTCACTAACCCTTTATCTCTGCAAAAAGAAAAAAAGAAAAAAGTTAATCTATAAATAAAATATACAATGTATAGCTCAGTTGGTAGAACATGAGACTGTTAATCTCAGAGTTGTAGGCTTGAGCCCCACATTAGGCAAAAGATCTAGTTTGGACTAGATGACACTTGTTATCCCTTCCAACTCTTTCTAAACTTGTTGTGAGAGGCCCAAGAGACTTACTGGGATTTGGATTCATAGATTGCATCCCATAGCCAACTGCACCCCCAGGTTGATAGCATTGGCCAGTATGAGCAGCTCCCTCCATTTGCTGTCTTAAGACACTCTTTCTCCCTGATCTCTCATAGGCAGACTGGGCTCCTCCACTGTCAAAAGTAGAGTGTTTCCTGTCTGTGTTCTGATAAATTCCTTGTAAGCAATAACGTCATAGCTTGTTTTAACTCAGTTCTATGTGATCCCACCCTTTGTCTTTCTGCTTTGCTTCCCCAAAATACTAGTTTATCCCCCCACTCACTAAAAACAATGAAAAAGAGAACAAAATAATACAACGATGCAAAATTCTGCAACTGTGAAGGATTTTTCTCCCTCCGTAGTTTGTTAGGGTTTTTTTAATGTCATAACAAAATCATCTATAGCTTGGTGATTCCACATCCATTTATCCTCTGATCTCCCCTGTTTTAATGTACATTCAAGTCCCACAGAGAGGGGATGGGGTGGGGTGCGATCCTATCTAGCATAGGAAATTATATTATAAATACAGGTGAGCCAGAGTAATATATGTTGCCCCAGAGTATTAGCACCGTTTAAAAAACAACAACCTGAAAATTAAAAAGTGCCTCACAGAGAGATGCAAAACAGTTAACCTCTAAGAGAAAGATGTCATGAAAGGAGGAGAATGAAGTTGAACAGCTGTAGACTCTGCATGGCAATAGCTTGAAGGCATTCTGAATGCAGAGGACAGATGCTGACAGGCTGACTCTGGGATTATTACGGGGAGAACATTTGCATGCTCAAAAGTGGAAGCCCTGGTTACTCAACAGGAGTACTGCAAACAAATATGTCCATTTGAGCAACCACAAACAAGGACAGTTTTTTAAATATATAATTCATATCTTGCACTGATAGTGTCCAGATCAAGGTAGCACTCTATTCTGCCTTGGTCAGAATCCCACCCGGGGGGTTCTGGGCACCACAGTTTAAGAAGGATGTTGGCAAGCTGGAATGTGTGCAGAGGAGGGTGACCAAGATTATCAAAGGTTTTGGAAACTAAGATTTGTAAGGAATGGTTGAGGGAGATGGTTATGCTTAGCCTGGAGAAGAGAAGACCAAGGGGTGATGTGATATTTTCAAATACCTGAAGGCATGTCCCATGGAAGATGGAGTAAGCTTGTTCTTTGCTGCTCCATAGGGCATGACCTGAACAAATAATAATATAATAATAATTTATTATTTATACCCCGCCCATCTGGCTGAGTTTCCCCAGCCACTCTGGGCAGCTCCCAATCAAGTATTAAAAACAATACAGCATTAAATATTAAAAACTTCCCTGAACAGGGCTGCCTTCAGATGTCTTTTAAAGAAAGGATAGCTACTTATTTCCTTCACATCTGAAGGGAGGGTGTTCCACAGGGTGGGCGCGACTACCGAGAAGACCCTCTGTCTGGTTCCCTGTAACCTTACTTCTCGCAATGAGGGAACCGCCAAAAGGCCCTCAGCGCTGGATCTCAGTGTCCGGGCTGAATGATGTGGGTGGAGAAGCTCCTTCAGGTATACAGGACCGAGGCCGTTTAGGGCTTTAAAGGTCAGCACCAACACTTTGAATTGTGCTCGGAAACGTACTGCGAGCCAATGCAGATCTCTCAGAACCAGTGTTATGTGGTCCCAGCGGCCACTCCCAGTCACCAGTCTAGCTGCCGCATTCTGGATTAATTGCAGTTTCTGGGTCACCTTCAAATGTGCTTAAATTACAAGAAAGAATATTCCCACATTAGGATGGAATTTGTGATGGTAACAGCTGTTCAACAGTGGAATGGACTGCTTCAGAAAGTGGTGGACTCTCCCTCATTGGAGGTCTTTAAGCAGAATTTGGATGACCATCTGTCAGAGATGATTTAGCTGTGATTCCTGAGGTGCAAGGGGTTGGACTACATGACTCTTGGGGTCCCTTCCAACTCTACAATTCTGTGATGATTCTATTAACACATAGCACCACTGAAACTGCTTTGCTTTGGAAATATTGCAATGGCATGGTTGAATTTTACAAAACAATTCTGCAATTTTTCAAAAATAAAAAACCCACCAAATTTGTGGACTGATACATGGTGTGTGGGCTGATATATGGTGATCATTTTCAGATATGGTGGCATTTAGTGCATGCACAGCTATATATACTATGTGCATAGTATAAAACGCATCACACAGGAACTCATATAACAGCCCCAAATTTACACCATTTGTGGACATACATGTAGTGATCATTTTCAGCTATGTCTGCTATGCCATGCTGAAACAGAAGCATCATTTTAACCAATTGTGCATGCAGACATGTGAGTAATACCACATGTCTCCATGTCTGAAAATTATCACTATATATTAATTGGTAACTGGGGTAAATTTGAAGATTCTCTCGAAAATGACATGATTGATCAAGTGTGCCATTGCACTACTGCCTCTCAGAGGCACTGAGGAAGAAAGGCAGGCTGGAGCAGTCACTCTGGAACTTGCAGCAGTTCTGAGGTTAAAAAAAAAGGGCAGGAAGATCCCAAGATCACCTTCACTTCAAAAGCAGCTCTGAAGTTTGGGAGGACAGTGCCTGTTTCTTCTTGTGGTATCAGGGCCATTACTCAGTTTAAAAAACCCAGTTGGGCCTGAGATTCAGGAGTTCTGAAGAGTGATGGATTAGTGTCTCAGAATCGGTCACCCCATCCATCACCACTAGTGTGCCTTCTGTTAGTGCCAAAAAGTCATCCAGACAGTTCTGGGCATTGAGACTTTCTCCCGCTATGACTGTCACCTTAATGTTACCACTGGAGCTGATAAGATCTGGACCCACCAAGTGCCTAAATGACAGACCAGCCTGGAATCCCAATTGCACTTCTCTGATCTCCATGAATGGGATGGATACCAGTGTTGGGAGCGAGCCCAGTCCCTCCACAGGCTTGCACACTCCACCTTTTATCTCCTTCTTGGCACAGTTGCAAGAAGGCGGCAGAAGCTTTTGCTTCTGATGTTGATTGATTAGAGTTTAGCATTGCATCCAAAACCTAAACAGTGGTTAATCGTAGCTTTGATTTGTTGATGCAAGTCAGATTCATAAATGATGGTATGAAATTGGTTTGTTCCAACAAACCATAGTTAAGATTAACCACCCTTTGCTGAGTTCAGGTGACACAGCAAGCTTCAGATAATCTCAAACAGAAGCAAAAGCTTATTAACTCCTCCTCCTCCTCCTCCGCCTGGATGATGGGGACCCAGAGAGTGCAAGGCCCAGGAGGCACTAGACTCATTACCAACATGATAGACTATGGCACCTGTAGTCCTCCATATGTTGTTGGACCCCAACATCTATCACTTCTAGCAAGCCAACGCAGGTAATGGCCTGGGCTGATGGGTTTTGGCATCTAGCAGCATCTTGAGGTCCTTAGGCTCCCCATCCCTGAACCTTGGCTTTTCATGACACCTGAAAGCAGCCAATGTGGATCTGTGACATACAGTTCTTAATACAGTAATGGGTAAAATGGCCTAGGATGTCAAGCAAGATTGCCGATCAGAAACTATTTGCATAAGGGATAATGGGTATAAAGCAAGGAGTAATTATTTATGTCTCCTTTGCATTTAAAACAAGAAATTACAACTGCTATGAATCACTTTGCACTGAATCTAGCAAGTTAGTTGAACTCTTATAAAAATGCTTTATTGACTTGTTCCAAACTCAATTAAGTGTTTATGAACTCAGTCTATTCTGCTACTTGCTGCAAATTTAATTATTTTTGTGGAATGTGTCTGTTCATTTTTCCATGTAATACATATATGTGCACACCAATACTGTAAAATAAATAGCTACAGAGCTAAAAAGCTTAATTTTTGGAGACTTTAAATTGAAATTAGGTTAACTTGGCTCTTTTCTAATTCCCTTGATACACTATGTCTACACATAAAAAACCACTGTAGAATTTACATTACACTATCTGTTTGTAACAGTACCTGTCATGGCTGCCAAGGGTTATGTCTATGATCATCATGGCAATCTAATTAAATATATGCGTATCAGACAACTGGACATGATTCAAGGCAAGCTCAACATTAAATTACAAAATTTAGATGGGCCACTTAATCAATAGACTCAGCAACTAGCTCTAGCTATCACCCCAACTCATAAGCTTGATGGCTTGGTTAGACATACTGTGTAACAGATGTCCAACGTACATCCATGAGCCTTAATCATAAATATGATGCTTTCATTTGGCATGGGATATAGGAAAAGTTTCTCAGTTGCCAGTAACCTGCTTGCTCATAGCAGGGGGGTGGGGAGTACTTTTAAAATGCATGAGCTGTCTTTTGTAGCCTGTTACAGGAAGACTTGGAAACCACCATTAATTTTGCTTTAAATAATCCATCAAGATGGTCCTTTGTTCTGATAATCTGAGTTTCAAGTGAGACCACATGACAAAGAATTACCAAGACCTGATGAGGTTCTTTTCATATTGCTTCTCCTCTCTATTGGTTCTGTTCAGTTCTAAACCACAAATTGAGTAAATGGCAAAAACAACGACCCAGTGCCGACAATCTTCTTTGAAATAAGATAAAACGTGTTTACTACCTGATCGTTTAGTATTGTACACTTCTGATAATCAGTTTTACTTGCTTCTTTTTAAAAAAAAAATCCTTAAGTGCTACTTTTGCAACAGACTAGTGATTGTATTTGTTCCACCGCTAGTCCATGAGTGAATTAGTAAAGATGAAAAATGGATTTCAGAGACAATTTCAGCCTTGAAAAGATACCATTTGCAACTATGGATAGGTTAGCTTGCTGATAGTTTTCTCCTAAATACTGAATAGATATAGGTTAGATGGGAAGATATGTAATACAGTGTGATGGTTATGTGCAATTTGGAGAGAATGTGAACATAATTAAGACGTGCATATTATCTAAAGTATCATAGTGTCATTTTAATTCCTTCCTAAGAAAACAACTTGAAGGGTGCAAGGAATGTGAGCAAGGAAAGTATGAAATTCAGTTTACTAAAGTTTTATACCAATGAAATTTGAATCATTAATAAAGAAGAAGAAGCCCCAGGGAAAGAAAATGGGACACATAAAATAAACAAAACCATTTTATTAATAGAGAAAGCTATCATCTAAAATTAGTACAAAGCAAACATTTTAAAGATTATGCTAGGGTATGTGATATGAAAAGCAACCAAATATGCTTTATGAATGACTGGAAGGAAGGTAGGATATGTGCTATGGATACCGTAACTGGCTCACAGACATAAGACCTAGAAAACATTTAAACTGTAGTTAAATAATCAAGCACTATGAAAACATAATGGAACTATTCACAAAAGAGTTGCTTGGAAAACATACAAAAGCCTAGTGAGAGATAGAGAGACAGAATTAATGGCCAGAAAACTACAGCACTTAGGTCTTTAAAAAGGAAATGATTAGGTAGAGAATAGTGCTTAAAACAGGAATTTTGAAGAAGATAATTGCTGGTATTATCAGCCTGCAAGTACGCCTTGTATTTTTTTAATACATATATAATTTATGTTAGTCAGGAAAGGATCATTCACTGATCGAATATGCCATTGTAGAGTTTGTGAGTGCAAACTTAGGATTCCTTTTCCCGTCTCCTGGAGCGATCTTTTCCCCTCTCCACAAATCGAAGGAAGTAGGCATCTGATTTTCACCTAGGGTTAATAAAAGCTAAAAGTAAACTGTTAAAATTCTACCTATGCTGAGCCCGAGAAGGAGCTGTGAGCCAGCGCGGTTTAGGACCCAGAAGGCCCCGCCAGGCGGCAGTTGTGTAGATCACTGGGAGACTCTAAAAGGGTCCAGTTTTAATTCTCTCTCTAATCTCTGCAACAGCCGCGCTTCCCACAACAGCTCAAGGTTGGGCTGATCCCGACTGTGGCTTTGGATTTTTTATCCCCGCTCCCAATCCCCGGCGGAAACCGCATTAACTGGCTCCTTCGCAATGGAAACCCTCGAGGAAAAAGTGGCTTCAGTCGCTCGAGCCTGAGATCGCGGTATCTAAAGGAGAGGGGCACGAAAATGAAGACGCTGATGGTAAGTCAGTTTCGCAGGAACTAAAAATGGTCCCAGATTACGCCCCCCCCCCCGCCTCCGGTCCTTAGGAACTGTGAAGCGAAACCACCAGACCTGGCTGGGAGTTGTCGGGAGAGACAGACAAGAAAGACCCCAGGCTTCCTTTGGGTCGGGTGATTTCAGCCTCTGTGCAGCTTGCCCTATTTATTTATGGGCATTTTTGCTCCATGGGCAATTTTGCAAGGGGGTCTTGGGCTGAAACCTTGTCAAGGAAGAGAAGCAAAGGAACTTCCCGCCTGCCTTATTTTTAAATAGCAAATAGGTTCACATGCCATTATGATGGCTGTTGGTGTTCGGCTGAACCGACTTGCCTTGCAAGGAGGGATCGCGGGCGCTTAGGGCAATAATCACGGGCAGGCATTGCTCTCTCTCCCACCTAAAAAACTGCAAAACGTGGGAGCAGTGGGAATGGCAGCGAAAGGGTAAGCCGGAAAAGTGAGAGGAGGATAAGAGACAGGGGCTTAGGAAGGCAGAAAGCAGAGTGTGTGTGGAGGGGGGGGGTCAAATTCAGGAGGAAGCTGCACTTTTCAAGAGGCTTCTCTGCTTTGGAACTTGCAGGGGCTGGAAATAGACGGTTCCACCCCTCCCCACCCCGGCTTCTTCCGCCACCCCAGAGATTAAAATGGTAGCGCTGGGTGGCACCCGCCCGCACCAACCTGCAAGGATCTCTCCATGGAGAGGAGACCCAACCCCTTCCAGAAGAAGTTAAAACTTGCAAAGGCTACCAAGACGCGGAGCTGCATTCTCCTCACATCCACCCGCATCCCCGCCATAAAAAAAGGACGGGAAACTTGCAAAAAGAAAGGGGCTGCCTCACATGAGTTAGGCTGGCGCGGGTGTGGAGAGAAAGAGAGAGAGACGCCGAGCTTTTATTGACAACAATCAGAACTCCTCCAACAGCGGCGGGTTGCAAAGGCGAGGCGGGAAGCGGCGAGGCGCGCGCGGGGCGGGGCTGGTGAGGCGGGAAGGAGAGCGGCGGGGAAGCGGGAGACCTGGAGGGGCGGCGACTGAGCCGCGAGGGACCCCGGCGACGGTGCTGCCGCCTGAGCCGCCCGCGCGCAACGCCTCCTGGCCGCCGCCGCCGCCGCCGTTTCCCGCTCCGCCGTCTCCACCACGTCCGGCCTCGGGCTCCGCAGCGCTCCGCTCGCCGCCTGCCTGGTGGGGAGCGCGCTCTCCCCTGCGCACGGCGGGTTCTCTCAGCGTGTCTCCTTGTCCCCCTTTTCAGCGCCATGGGCTGGCTGTGTCTTTAGCGCTCACCACCATGTGCACTAGCTTGTTGCTCATGTATGGTAGCATCGGTGGCGGAGGCGGAGGCGCTGGTAGTGGCGGCGGCGGCGGAGGAGGCAGTAGCGGCGACGGAAGCCCGAAAGAGCAAAGTCAACCGCAGCAGCAGCAGCAGCAGCAGGTGGCGGTGACGGCGAGCCAGAAGCCGGAGAGCCCTCAGCAACTGGGCGGCAGCGGGCAGAGGCGCCTCCCCGACCGCCCCTTGGAAGGCTACATCGGGGTCCTGGACCACAAGGTGAGCGCAGGCGGAGAGGTGCGGGGGGAGGGGGAGGAGGCGAAGGGCGGACAAGGGCGCCGAAGAGGGAGCTCCTCTGGGGCCCTTGGCTTGGGCCGACTGATGAAAGTTCTCCGGGAAAAAGGTGTGTGTAATAGACATTTCTGTTCCATGAACTATGGGGAAATAGCATGGGAGTTAAGGTAAGGGAAAGGGACCCCTGACCATTAGGTCCAGTCGTGGCCGCCTCTGGGGTTGCGGTGCTCATCTCACTTTATTGGCCGAGGGAACCGGCGTACAGCTTCCGGGTCATGTGCCCAGCATGACTAAGCAGCTTCTGGCAAACCAGAGCAGCGCACGGAAATGCTGTTTACCTTCCTGCCAGAGCGGTACCTATTTATCTACTTGCACTTTGACGTTCTTTCGAACTGCTAGGTTGGCAGGAGCAGGGACCGAGCAAGGGAAGCTCACCCTGTGGGGGGGGATTCGAACTGCTGACCTTCGACCTTCTGATCGGCAAGTCCTAGGCTCTGTGGTTTAACCCACAGCACTACCCTCATCTGGGAGATAAGGAGCCACGCTCTTCTCAGAGGCACTGAGAGTGGAGTGCTCCACGGACATACAGCCCTGTGGGATGTTTTTAGGGATCACGTTGCCATTCAAAAGGCTACCCTTTATTCCAGGGGCAATCAATCCAAATTATTCTGTAGATCGCTTTGGATCGCTTTCTGTGGGAAAAAAAACAAAAAGCAGCAAATACATGTTGTTAACAATAATAATGAATTCACATAGACTCCTATAGAAGGGACCATAAGGGTCATCGAGTCCCACCTTCTGCAATGCAGGGATCTTTTGCCCAACGTGGGGCTCGAACCTATGGCTCTTGAGATGAAGAGGCTTGTGCTATTCCAGCTGAGCCGGTTTTATTTTATTTTATTAATATTGCCTGATGGGATACCTCAGAGCAAACGCCACATACTGTCTATTGCTCGTTAAGAGAGAAACTTTTTTTAAAAAAAAATATATACTTAACATATTTTGAAGAACGAATGGAAAATGTATAGAATTAATCAATGTAAAACTCAGTAATCGATAATAACAGAAAGAGAGAGAGAGGAATGTTTCATTTGGTGGCTGTATACAGTGGGTGGTATCCTAACTAAGGCTGCAATCCAAATCCCACAGGAGGCGTTGGATTGCGTGAAGATGTTTCCCCTCTTGTTTCTGCTGGCTCAACTAGCTTCCCATGTGTGGGTGAGCAGAAGGCCTATTGGTGTCTCTGCCAGCAGAAAGCCCCCAAGTGGGGCAGGGTAAGGCTGATTCCACAGCCAGTGCCAACCAGCACAGAGCCTAATTTGGGCCCAATCACTGTGCCGTCTTCCACTGTTGCCACCATGAGTGGGTAAATTCAATGGGTCTGTTCCCTGTATGGCTTAGTCAGATACCACCCACTGGTTTCACAATTGGGAAGTGTCTTAACAGGGAGTTCTGTTACACTGGGAGCTTTTCCAGACAAAAAATTTTTGGCATGGCCTAAATTATCAGAATCAAACAGATAAACAGGCTTTAATCACTCCCTTTTGCAGAAGTGTTTTTGTGAAAAAGGCACTACCTTCAGAAGGAATTCCTTCCTTTAAAGCAGAGGTCTGCAACCCGCGGCTCCGGAGCCGCATGTGGCTCTTTTACACCTTTGCCGCAGCTCCGGGGCGGATACTAGCGAGGGGAGGAGGTGCATTGTGCGCCCCGACACTCCCCACTGTGGCGGGCCCTGTACTGGCTGTGACGTCGCATGGGGGCGGTGCGTGCGTTAGTCACGCACCGTCCTGACGTCACCTTCCCGCCCGCTGTCAGATCGCGACTCCGGAGATATATTTGTTTTAAATGTCGCAATAGTTTTGCGGCTCCCAGGTTTTTTTCCTTCGGAAACGGGTCCAAGTGGCTCTTTTTGTCTTAAAGGTTGCAGACCCCTGCTTTAAAGTAAGCTTCATCTGCCAGTTTGTAGGTCTGCCTGTAATGGGCAACGTCTGCTTCTTAGCAGATCAAAGTCTCTAACATTGGTTTTGAAGGCTTTGCAGACCCCACAGAATCAATATTCTCAAGGGCAAAGGAAAGATAGTTGGCTTTTTAAAATAAAAATGGTGCATACAAATTTCAACCTCTCCATTGGGCCTTGGATAAATGATACTGATGATGCAATGCTGTGCATGCTTTATGTGTACTATACAAACCTATTTGCAGAAGTAAACTTTGGTGTTGTAGATAAGTTCAGAATGACACTCTTGTCAGTAGTAATATTTGCTACCGATGATACTTTCAAGACTGATAGTCTCTAATTGCGTTCTGAAGCAAAGGTGACAAAGTATGGTTTTCTTAATGCAGCAAGAAGTGTGGGAAGAGGTCTCAGATTATTGTGGTATAATGGGATTTAAATGTATATTATGTGTGGAAAAACTGGATAAAATATGTGCACAGAAGCACATGCCTCCTAGGACTTCACAGTAAATTCTTAGCCTATGAAAAGCTACTATGTCACCATGAAGGCTTTGAGCCTGCCTTCTCTATTTCTACCTGCAGGGAGCTGGGTGTTGTCATTGCTTTAACACATGGGGGCAGTTCAGACAGGTAATCTCCACCTATAGTCTGAAGACATTCCATTCCATACAAGTGCTCTTTCTACACATTTCAGGTGGCTGTTCAGAGTAAATCGACAAGATTTGACTGTGATTTTGGTAGTAAGCATTGTAGTAATTGTTGTCCTTTGGTTGTTTTTAAAATCATACATCTACTGATAGGAGTTACTTAAAAAGCATGATTAAGTGATACAGGAGATGAAGTATGGATTAATTTGAGATAAAAAAATTAATTACTGCACCTTTCTATTATAAGGCTATGGCCCCTGTGCACAGTTCCCTTGAAGTAAATGCTTTACAAATCGACAAAATTTAGGTAAGGGTGCTTCAGGACTGGAGCCCTTCACCACTGCTGAGGCATTGCTTTTCTATAACTAGCTAGGAGTAGAACTGAGACATAGGGCTGGAATTCAACATCATACTATGTGGGTGTCCCATCCGTCAAGGAGGAGCCCTCATGCAAGATTTGCACAGATGGGACTCATTGGGTGAATCCTGCCCAAAGGTTCCACACACTGCTTAATAGAGTGCTTTATTATCCAGCAATGCCATTCCCAACGGCAACCCAGAAGACTGCTTTCTAATGCCTACTACTCACAAGTAAGTTCTTGTTGTCAGTAAAGCTCAGTTTTCGTGCTAATAAAAGGTTTTATTGCACCAGGTTTTTGGGGACTGAGTGACAAATAGCCCCTGGCTTATCACTTGAATGAAGTCCATCTCAGTTGGTCCCCACGTCGGTTTCTTTTTCCTGTGGTAGAATAACTCTTTAATTACTGATTTCTTGTCATTTAAATCATTATTTATTTTTTAATGGTGCCTTTAATAAAGCATTTTAAAAAAGAAAAGAGAACAGAAGAGTAGAAGCCGCTACAGGACATTCAGCAATTTACGTTGCAGTCTTAAGCACTCTTACTAGGAAGCTCAATGGGGCTTCCTTCAGAGTATACATAATGAAGTTTATTCTGTTAGAGAGACTATTCAATAAGCAAATCTGAGGCTATTTATTTCAGGAGTCCTCCAGCACGCATCAACAGAAAGCAATAAAGCTGGCTGAAGATGCAAAGAGGAAGCATTCAGTGTAAAAGCACAAAATCCCAGAAAGACTTCAAACACTGTGCCTACCTACTGGACAGACTTTCTTACATAGAGCATAGAGCTATTTAGTTATCTGGTTGCAAGAATTGTGTTTTACCCATAAGTAGGTCTAGTAACATCGGGGAAGCAATGGACTAACAATGACAACATGTGAATGCTCTATGAAAAGTGTATAAACAACAACTGGAAATTCCACAGAAGAGAACAACTTTGGAAATACCCTCACAGTGTATTTAGGAACAAGGTGTTGAAGGTTGTGTCTGACAGCAGTACTAACAGATACATAGATAACTTTGCAGTTTCCATCACAACTTCACCTGAAAATTTTTTTTAACATTGTATTTTCTCTTTCCATGCATCATACATAATTCCTATGGGATCTATTCATGACTATATGTCAAAAGTAAACAGCTTCCTCCCTTCCTTTCATAGTAGGTTCAAACACTATATATAGCCTTGATTTGATGAAAGCAGGGTTGTTCTTTCAAGAAAGAAGTATCAGCGCAATTTTCAGATAGTTTAACAAAAACAAAATGAAGTTGACAGCAGTAACAAATACGGAAGATAATGTTGGTCACTTGCAGATAAATACCATGTACAGAACTTGAATGAAAAGACAGTTCAGTATTACTTTTAATACATGGAAAAATAAATAAAGGGATCTGGTTCAAGTGACTTGCTTTTTCTAGTTATAATGAGATATTTCACAACCGACTTAACATTTGGAAACTGGAAGAAGGTAATTTTTTTCTATAGAAATAGTTGAAGGAAAACCTCCAAGTATTAACTGGTCTGAAGACTTAGAATATGTTGCTTTCAGAGAGCATGATGACTAGCATAATTTAATTGTACCACACTGATATATATATATATACATATGTGCATGCATATGCTATATATATCTATATATATATTTAATGAAGAGTAGTTCTGCAAATAGTTTGAAATCTCCATAGTCTCCAGTTCAGAACATACTTGGCGACATAATTACTTTGTATAATTGAAGCAAGAGAGAAAAGGTTATTGCTGTTGGAGAACAAAAATAATAATAATTCTCTTCTATGGAGAGCTTTTTGTAAGAGATGGAATCTGTTGAGGGTTGCTGCTTCATCTCTTGTGATGCAAGATAAGGCCATGAGGGAATGTATCTGGTACTCAATTTAAGCTTTACATCAGTTACTTCTGCTCATTATGTTGGTGTATGTAGTTTTCACATATCTTTCTTTAAAAAGCCAGGTATGCTTTGTTATCAAGTAAGCCTGCAATCTTTTGTTCACTTTCCTAAGAGTAGCATCCATTGAAAGTACACAGTCAAAGGGCTTGTGCTGAGCATATAGATAGTAATGGAGCATTTGCTGTTCAGTATCCACCAACAGGAGTCTTGGGGTGGAATTCAATGTATCATTAAGGGAGGTATGCATGAGCAGACCATGGTCTGCTAGTGCAACGGAACTTTCTCCCCTCTGTTCCCCCTAAGTTTCCCCACTCCCCACCCCCTAAAGTTCCAGGGGTTTCCCCAGAACTTTGGAATAGGAGACAATCTGGATGGTTAAAGATTACCGTTTTTGCTCTGAAAGGTGAAGTAGTTGGATCAGCTGTATGATCACTTTGTTCTAGAATAGGCTGTCCAAAGGTTTCTGTTCTATATAAGACGATGGAGATAGGCTTTCTTTCATGGTCACTTACCATGAAAGCTTGAAATAACAAGTTTTTACTTTCAAACACATCACAATTTAATCAGAATTAATCTAACATTCTAAAAAGCATTGCATGGAGGGGAACAGGTCAAATAATCAAGTAACCAGTTAGTGGGTAAACTACCTTGTGTTTAGCATTAATAGGTTAACCATGCAATTGTGTGCATGGATATGCAGAAGTACTTCCCTTCCTTCAGTTTCCTGGGACTTACTTTCTAGAAGTGTGCATAGGACTGGTTAAGTATCCAGTTGCTGCATCCGTTTACAGAGGAAATCTGGGGGTTCTTTCATTAATGTAACAGTTCCTCTTCACCAAATAATGCAAGCAAATCATATATTGTTGGGAAACAGCATTGCTTGAAGGAAGAATCACAACAAACCAGTGATTGGTTTGTGCATGCTCACAAACTCATTTTGGATTCTGCTGTGCGCAGGAAAAAAACAATTGGCTTTTTGTATGGATGAACCAATGCACAGTACTGCTGAGAGCTGGGAACAAATCACTACTAGCCTCTATTGACAACTATGATTCAGGATGTGAATGCGCATCCAAGAGAACAGAGAGGCTACCAGATCTTGGATGAGGAGGATCAGTCACCCTGGTGTGAGGAGGCATGCTGCTAAAAAAGATAAGAAAATATATATATATATGTCTACTTCAGATTGATGCTCAGCAGACAAGCCTGAAGGGTCAAATGACATGATAAGCCATTAGTTGTACATATAATCCTTGTGGGTAGTTCTGGTTTCCATAAAGGTCATTGATGTTACCATACAGTTACACTACAACCTTGAAATTGAAGCCAAATATCTAGATGGACAGGTTCATTTGCATATCACATCAAACTAGCCTTTATTAGTCTGATGCCCCCCAGATGTTTTGGCCTATAACTCCCCCCAAGTTTGCACTACAACTCCCATGCATGAGCTGTAATGAAACATCTGGGCAGTGTCAGGTTGGCAAAGACTACATTAAACCATAGTTAAAATGAACTCAAGTTTAATGTGAATGAGCAGTGTTCAGTTCACGGTTTATTGCAGAGAAATAAACCACGAGTTTGTTTTGTCCCCAGAAGAGCAGGGAAGAGAAATTTGGGAACTCACATTAAACATCATTCAGATGTTGACTGCGCATGTTGTGTGTGTTCTGCTTTTTGTTCCCAGCAGCATTAACTATTTCTCTGAGCTTGAAAAATTGCACCACCGGTTCATTTCATTCTGATGATTCTTGTTTAAAGTTTCAGTGTGCATTAAGTGATAACATTCTATCTGTATCACAAAGCAGTGGAACAAAGATAGAAAATGGTACCTTTTGCTCCATGCCAGATTGCTAGTTTCTTGCAAGCAGCTGTCAGTCTTGACTTGGCACCAGCTCTGTTTGTAATCCCTTGAAGTACTTTATCCCTTATTGCTACTAACTATGTATCAATCAGCTCAACATGTTGTGCATTTAAAATTCCACATCATTGTGTATTTACTGTGGGAAAACATAGGAACATCTTATTGAGATACTTTTGCTGTGCTTTTTTGGGGGAGGGGGATAGTCTGACTATAAAGGTATGAAGCTTTGCCCCGGCAAAAATGCTATTTGAAAGTGACCAGAAGGCTGGAATTAGGCATGTTGGACAGTTCCAACAAAAACAGACATGGGAGCAGAAATTGCCAGTGTTCACCTATTCATCCTATGTCCAGAACAGAAATCAGTCAGCGAATATGATCAGTATTCACAGTTGTTGCTTTCACTCTGCAAACAATACGTAATTGATTACATTTCCCCCCATTTCCATTGCATTTCCTTTGTATTGAAATGAATGGGGTGGAATAACACAATGCTAACACGTAATTAATTACATAATTGTGCCACAGTGGACAGTGAGACAAATAATATAGTTTTTTGCAGGAAATAAATTGCATTGGAACAGAAACAGTTCTGCATGTTATGCATACAGATCAGAATAGAAAGTGATGCCTTCCTACATCCCTGGCTGGAATGCCATATTTTTAAGGCCCAGTGATGCGCTTGAGATGGTAAACATAGTAAAGAGATGTGCTGTGGTCAGAAATATGCTCACTTCTCTCTGATAGAACTGGACGCATTGGTAGCAGTCCATGGAGCAAGCCAGTTTGTGGAATTCAGAAACTCAGAAAGGGAATTCAACACAAGCAAGGTGGCAGGGCGCATAAGTAACAGCAGCAAGATGAAGTAGCAGCCTCAGTTTACTGAGACCTAAGAGCAAGGCTGATCCCTGAGGTTCTACATAATGTAGGGGCTGGTCCCCATTTCTCTTTCTGCTGCTGTGTGGCTAGAATTTAATCTCAAGCACTTGCTGCTAGGGTGGAAAAGTTCTATACTACTGTCCTCCAGCAGCAATAACTTATTTAATCACAAAGTGCAGTAGTGCTATATATATATGTGAACTTAATCGGCTAGTTACAGCTACTCACCCTCTGGCCACATCATACATCCCGGGCATAATGCTATCCTACATAAATTCATAATCTTTGATGCGGCTTACTCATCACCCACACCTGCCCACAAGTATGGGAGCATACTAGTCACTAGAATTGTAAAAAGATCAAAAGGTTTAAATTGCCTCAAAAATTGACAACTCTGCAAATGCATCAAAATTGCCCAAAAATTATTTTGCATGAGTATTAGCTAGGTCTTCTGTCTCTGTGTAGTACAGATGTCTTTTACTTACTTACTTACTTACACACACACACACACACACACACACACACACACTATACCCCCAGTAAGAACTAAAGCATGTTAAGGAGACATAGCTGGCTTTTAATGCGATCAGCCGAAATAGAAATTCCTTAACCCAATAGCATTTTGCTGAACGAAAAATGTGGGCTTTAGCTTTTAGTATCTTTTTGTCACTGGCTTTCTGCTTTAACCTGCCCTGCATTGCTCAGTGACACATGCAGATAATGGTGCCCATGAAACAAAGGTGGCATTGATATTATCAATCAATCAATTTCTTTATTCGACCGATAGTCAGAATTAAAACATTACACAATAATTATAAACTATAACATCATAAGTTACATAAGGTACATAAGTAAGGTAGAGCCACAGTACTAGATCTCTCACAGATAACCCACGTCAAAGCATTCAATTATACGTTTCCGACACTTGAGTGCCAGGAAAAGAAATTTAGCCACTGACAAGGTTGTTTTCCCAGAAGACTTATTTAGCAGATATGCTGTCTGCTTTCCTCTTTGTCGGGAACTGAGCTGGGGTAAGTATGGAGTTATAAGATACTGTCTTAAATCGTTGTAGAAGGGACAGCTCAATAAAATGTGCTCTGTGGATTCTACCTCACCCAATGCACAGTGGCATAATCTCTGGTCATATGGGACTCCTCCATATCTTCCCTTCAGGACCGCCGAGTCAAGAACATTCAGCCTAGCCGCAGTAAATAGTCTGCGGTATTCCACATAGTGGATATCCGCCAGGTAGCGAGCTGGGGCAGCCCGATACAACTGCTCCCCAGAAACAACCCAGGTTTCACACGGGCTATGTCCTCCTGTCTGGCAATATCCCTTAATCTTTGCGCGATCACCGCCTTTGCGTGGCTATACGTCATGGACTCTATATAAAGGGAGGACAACCCACACTTCTGCACTTCCTCCACTATCTCCCCTTCCCATGGAGATTTAAAGTTATCCCTCAGAATCAAGGGGGCCAAACCCACCGGTCTGAAACAGAGCTTGAGCCATAGCCATAACTTCGCTTTCAGGGCCACATACCTAAAGGCTTGGCAACCGGTTTCCAGCCTCATGATCGCACCTGCCACAGAGGGGGGGATCCTGAGTATGGCCCTGAGGAATTGGGTTTGGATAGATTCCAATTTTTCAAAATCCCTACGTGAGCCCAAGGCAATGCCCACCAGCAGAAGAGGGAGGACTTTCATTTTAAAGAGACGTAAGGCAACATTGACAGTTTGTGCCTGTTTCTTGGAGTACAGGGTTCTAATCATCAGGGCTGCTTTGGATGCGTTCGAGGCTATGTATTCTCTGTGCGCCAGGAAGGACCTATTTGATCTTACAACCTGACCCAGGTACTTGAAGCAACTGACCTGCTCTAAAGGAATACCGTTAATTGACCATAAATTAGGTTTCGGTCGAGCAGCAAAGACCATTATTTTGGTCTTGGCATAATTTAATTGGAGCTCGTGTTGGGTCTCATATTCATGAAGAGCTCTAAGCATCCTCCTTAATCCGATGGGGAGGTAGCTAATAGGGCGGCATCGTCCGCATACAGTAGGACATTCAAGGCTCGTCCTGCCAGTTTTGGTGGATGGAAATCAGCATTTGCCATATGCACCACTAGCGAATTTATATAGAAGTTAAACAGAGCAGGGGCAAGCAAACAGCCCTGTCTTACCCCCCTAGTGGTGGCAACCGGATTGGAGACTAGCCCCTTACTATCTATCCTAATCCTCAAGAGGGTATTTGTATGCAAATTAATAATCAGCAAGAGAAGGCGGCGGTCGATAGATGTCGCTGCCAATTTTGTCCATAGCTGGTTCCTGGGAATTAGATCAAAGGCCTGCTTAAAGTCTATAAAGGCGACGTGGAGGGCTTTTAGGCCATTGCCAGCGTACTTAGTGGCCAAGTGATTTAGGATTAAGATTTGGTCTGTTGTTGATCTTCCGGGCGGAAACCCGCCTGTTCCTCTGCGATGATATTGTTGCTTTCCATCCAGGTCGTTAATTTGTTAAGTAGAAATCTTGAATAGATCTTCCCGATAACATTTAGCAGGCTAATTGGTCTAAAATTGGCCGGGTCTGTGCGCGGCCCTTTCTTGTGAATTAACACAATCAGTGCAGAGTTCCAGCTTGGAGGAAATTGTGCTGTTTTGTTTATATAAGTAAAAAGAGCTGCTAGGGGTGGACACCACCAATCCTTATTGGCTTTAATAACATCTATGGAAATAAGATCGTCTCCGGGTGCCTTGCCCGCCTCAAATTGGCCTATAAGTGTTTCCACTTCAGAGCAGGTAACAGGATCCCACTCTGGCAAGGGGGCCAAATCTAACCTTCATTGATATTAAGGACCATGGTGTATTAATTTAGCTCCTAATTAGTGTAATCAACTCAACTGAGCTTTGGTGCTGATATAAGCTGATGTGACAGCACAAAGGCCACTTTCAAGGTGAGGCTGGATATTGCATTGTCTTTGCTTCTGTCCTACACAGAGTCTCTTCATTTCCTGGTCTTCCTGTTTAATTATGGAATAATTATGGAATGTTCTTATAGAGAACACTATTAAAAATGGCCAACATTCTTCAGCAATCTTACATACAGCAATCATGTACATTTCTCCTCAGAAGTATGTGTGAGTGGATTCAATGAGCTTACTCCCATGTAAGTGGCTACAGGGTTGCAGTCTGTATATTTGGAGGAAAAAAATCTTCACATTTATGTGTGATACTGTGGCTCTGAGAGAGAGAACTGGGATATCTTTTTAGCAGCACAGTGGAAACCTTTAGGGCAGAAAAAAATGGGTGTGGGCTGTTCAGCTCTGTGGTGCTTTCACAGCAGCATTGCTGAATAATGCCAAAGGTTGCAGGGCCAGCCCTAACATTAGGCAGAGTGAAGTGCAGTTGATTGCCTCAGGCAGTTAATTTCCAGTGTCATGAAAAGGAAATGAATATCTTGTAATGTTTTTTTTACTGCCATAGAGAGGGACTTATGATATTTTATGTCTCAAGTGCCAAATGGCTTGACTGGCCTTGATTTGTGATGTGGCAGGGGTGGAGAGAGGACACCATTTTTTGCTTAGCCTCAACCAGCAAAATGTTTTGAGTCAGCCCTAGGAACCTGAAATGTTGCAGCTGTACAAATGATAGTTCTCTTGACTGTGATTCACAAAAATGCTAATACAGTATGTAATAAAGAGTAAGTGCTACGTGGTTTTTTTTTGAAGTAGCATTCTTAATTGCAGTATCAGATTGGTTATTTTGTGGAAGGGAGAAGGCATCTTCCTATCGATGTTGAGTCAAGGGAAGTTGTAAAGAGAAAATATATAGCACAAGTGGTAAAGGTGCATTTAATAGACTTTTTTATGCCATCTCCTTTTTGATAAGAAGACTTAACAACGTGACTTAGGAGTTTTGCTCTTCTGAAGGTCCTTTGGAAACACTAGGGCAGATGGAAGATGTAGTCAAAACAGCTTGATGAAATAGGCTATTTGATAAGAAATAGCCTAGAAGACGGAGAGGATACTGTCTCACAGCAAATTATGAATTGTGAACATGCCTTGCTTATTTCTTATAGACTGTAAAATTTGCCTTGCCAGCCATGTCAGGTAGCCTCTGGTTTACAGTCTGTTCAAGTGTGTTATTAGTACATGTTAGATTTGCTCTGGTTTTAGTACCCATAAAATAAATATTTTTTAACATCCACCCTTTCCCTTATATTAAATTTGAATACATTTTGCCCTTTGGTTACAGGAAGGTCAGGAGTAGATGAAACAGTTGTAATAACACTGGATAGCACATTAGTCCTTGCAGTTCCCTCTAAGGGAAAATAAAATCCAGCAACCGAAGAGCTGTGGAAAACATGTACATCTATATATGAGGCACAGTGTATATAGGGACCTTTAGGGAAAAGTGTTGTACTTGGGAAATTGTTTAGTAAGAAATAATCAGGTATAAAAGGACATAGCGCTTCTGGAGATGGCATTTGTTATCAGGAACATGTTCTCCTCCAGTCCTCCAAATAGTGATAAAACATTTTGCCCTGTTGCTCGCGGCTCCAGAACGTGTTTCTCAACTTGTTTCCCCTTATTTCTCTTTTCCTCTCTTCTGCCTCCTCCTGCCTTCCTACACAACTTTATAATTTCATCGTCTGTGTACAAAACCTCTCTCGTGTTCCGGTGAAATTCACCTCCATTATGTTGCAGGAAAGCACAGGATAGCTTTTTTAAGCCTGTGGCCAGCATTTGCCTTCCTTCTTTTTTATTATTATTTTATGCCGGGACTCTTAATGTACCAAGCCAAAAATGTAATCCTCCAGGGATGTGATAAACCTCCAGTTTTTGCTCCCTGCCAGGGGCTGGGATGGGTTATGTTTGGCTTAGTGGATAATAAGTTGCACAGGTCTGTTATAAATACAGACCTTATGAACTTTCCTTATTTCTTCCAAAGCTCCTAGAGTGCACAAGAATTCCTTGATTGTGACCCAACAGACCAGTGATGACCTCTAAGCTGTATTCTGGATTATTGTCACAAATTGCTGCTGGCCCTTGGCAGTTGCAACTGTATAGTTAAAAGGGATGAAGACTTTGAAGGTGTCTCGAAACTACAACTAACCCAGAATGCAGCAGCTAGACTGGTGACTGGGGAGCAGCTGCCGGGACCATATAACACTGGTCCTAAAGGATCTACTGGCTCCCAGTACATTTCCTAGCACAATTCAAAGTGTTTGTGTTGACTTTTAAAGCTCTAAATGTCCTCACCCCTGTATACCTGAAGGAGCGTCTCCACCTTCATTGTCCAGCCTGGACAATGAGGTCCAGCTCCGAGGGTCTTCTGGTGGTTCCCTCACTGTGAGATGTGAAGCTACAGGGAACAAGGCAGAGGGGCTTCTTGGTAGTGGCACCCTCCCTGTGGAATGCCCTCCCATCAGATCTCAAGCAGATGAACAACTATTTGACTTTTAGAAGACATCTGAAGGCAGCCCAGTACTGGGAAGTTTTTAATGGTTGATATATTATTGCATTTTTAATATTTTGCTGGGGGCCGCCCTGAGTAGCAGGGACAACCCAGTCAGATGGAGACATGTTGTTGTTACCAAAAATGCAAGAAATTTCATTTGAAATTGTATGAGTTTTGATTCATTTATTAGTTGACGTGTTTCAATAAAATTGGTATTTCTGAAGGAAAAAAACATGCTTTCTTTGCTTTTAGACAATGCTTGCATATTTCATAACATACATCTTTCTTTAGAAAAACATTTCCCTCCTCTTACAGACAGGATGTTGCTTGCCAATTTTTGCATGTACATGTATTTAAAAAATGAATAAAACAGCTTGCCAATTAATCAGGGCATTCTTATCAGTTTTTCTTAACTAATTAAGCAAACCAATTAATTGCTGCTGCCCTAATGAAAGCATCTTGTTGGATGTGGTGATACGTGGAAGGGACACATGCATTAACCTTCTGATATTTTCAGCTCCTCTTGGTAGCAGCTACGGAGATCATATTTTAGTTTTTGCCTGTATTTCACAGGATAGCATTATTGTATTTATTTTCAAATATGACTTCATTTTCTGTGTCTCTTAAGGTTTTGTGTGTGTGTGTTATGCATGACTGCATTATGTCTTATTTATGTTACGGTAAGTGAAAAACAGTGTTTTCAAGAATAATTCATACTTTAACTTTCTCTTGCCATGATAATCTTGGAAAGTCTAACAGATGGGAAGGGAAGATTAATGCCACTTGAAAGCCGCAGATTTAAAGGAGGCTACATTAAACACAGTCTCGGAAGCTCTTAACAGACACTTTTAAAAATTGTTCCATGTGCTGAGGTGAAGTCCATGGAAATTGTTTGTCTGGGTTGGGGGGAAGGTGGTAATCTTAGAGAATATTTAAGGTAATGTGTCTGACAAGAGTAATATGAAATTGTGTGTTCCTCTTATATCCTGATACAAAGGTAGTTTTATTTTTGTGTGAAATCAGAATAATTCTTTTGAAGCAAACTTTACAAAGTAGTATAATTTTTCTTCCTATCCCCTCCCTCACCCCGCCAGCTAAATATTTCCACAATGGATGTAATATTTGCATCTTGGTCTCTAGAGCCATATTTCCCTTGTCTTTAGAAGTAAAAGTATAGAGCATTATATTATACTGTGTATATTAAAGTTGTTCTCCATACGTGGGAAGTTTTATGAACCTTAAGGATAAAGTTAAGCTTCTCTTTCAAGCATGTTACTATGACAAGAGTGTTAATCTTCTACTGTCGCAGCCAGGGCTTGCTGTGGTCTTAGTCTAAGCAGATGTAAGTGCAAATAAATTAAAAGGAATCAGCCTCTCAGATATTTATGTTTTACCTTATTCTAAAGAGCAAAGGATAAAAAGGGGGATGCTGTACCAGATATCTTCTATAAGAAGGCTGAAGCTTATACTTAGCTGCATCATAAGTCCTTTTATGTCTCTACCTTTGGAAGATGAAACTAAATTTTCAACAACAACAAAATCCATGAAAATGAGATGTACACTTGGGGACAGGAAAATCATAACACATTCTGCTTTTCCCTAATTAAAATTCCATGGAGTTGTCTCCAGTATGTTCGTGTTTTATTACATCAGTAATTACTCTTACTTTTTCCTTCCAAATTGCACATTAAGCCACTAAGGAAGAACACATTGCAGTTACAGTGAATATTTGAACAACGTGTTATAATATTCACACAACCCTTCCCAAGTTATAGGAGTGGTCTGCATGAAAATGTTAGATATAGAGTTAAAGATTAAGCTTTCAATTTATGGACATAATAGGGCATGATATAGCGAATGTTTGCCTTCCTTAGGCATATGCGTATTGCATATTTAAGGCTCAAGTGAGTAAACATAGCATTCTTACCTGTAATGACCCATTCCATAACTTCAGTGTCTTAAAATTTAATTTTCTTTAAAGATGACACCTACAAATGCACCAGCATTTCCCCCCCCCTACACTACAATGGAATATCTGAGGAACTGGAGCAGTTCTGACTAACCAGGCCTCTCTCTTCCCACATGAACGTGGACAGCTCCTCTCTCTTCCCACATGAACACATAGAGATGGATCACCTACATAGGTATAAATTGCAAGGGATTTTAAGGAAGTCACCCAGGTGGTCCCATGCAATTTGCATGTACATGCAAGGTAATTGATGATCCTTTTCTACGTGTGCAAGCAGGGACAATGGAGTTCGAGATGGCCTTCTGGGTGGGCAAAGAGGAACCCTACCCTCAACCTACCTGAAAACTCTAGATTACCTTGAAAATTGTTGTGTATGGTTGGCTGCTTTTATTTTGTTCTAAACTATTGTTTCTCTTGTTGTAACCTTTCCTGGGGCTTGATGCTGAAAGATTGGTAAGGAGAATGATGATGGTGGTGGTGGAAACCTGCATACACGAGAATTTAATTACTCTGTTGTAGGATGTACCTAAGATTTGCAGCCTTCCAATTCTGCTTGGCTGCAAACTCAAATGGCACATGATGGGTGTAATACCTTTTAAGATCTCCCTCCCCTTCTGTTAGCTTATCCTATGGGTTTTCCCAGTGCCCTCTAATGGAGCTTGCACAGGCAGCGAGGGCCAGCCTATGCTGTTCCTTCAAACTGTCTTATTATTTGTGGCCCACAACCTGGCGTGCTCAGCAACTGGCGCTCTCCACTTCCAATTACGCAAATGTTCTGAAGGCATGCAACCCGCTGCTTGTCGCTCAGTCATTCTCTTTTTACTAATTCTTCCAAGGTTTGACCACAAGGCAGGTGCACAAGTGTTAAGGTGACCCTGCAATGCTGGCTGTCTTCAATTTCCCATAGTGCCTCCATTAGCTTTCCTTCCCATGCTATCTGCACTGATAGTTCATGCACGGTTACTTGCTTACAGTCCTGGCCTTTTTGTCACAACAGTAGCACACAGCTGTGGCACTAAATGAGTGGTGTCGGGGTGATAGCCTGCTACCGAGGGAGCATGGAATCCCACCATTTTCATACTTTACACCATTGCTGAGTTGCAACCCTGGAGGTTTACTAAAAGGTCAGTGCTTTCCTTCATAAGCCACTGACCTTTCTTCTTGATTATCTTTGTGAATTGCTGCTGTCTTTGGGTTAATAGAACTTTGTAATCAAGGGGCTGAGACTGGGGGCCATGAGTAGAGGTGACAGATTGCTGATGTGTGGTAAACACAGGGAAACAGACAGTGGCATTGACATTATGAAAATGTAAACAATAACAACCCCTCCCTAGGAATACAGAGGAGTGCACCATAGATGTATTCAGCTTTTTTGAGATTTTGCCAGAGATAAATGTAATATCTGCTGGTAAATATCATTGCACAGGGCTTGCCTTAATCTGTCACTGAGCTCAGGGGCAACGTATTTTGTATATTCAGTAAGGCAGATTTCTTCCTTGAGCTTCATATTTCTATTTCTTTATGGGCCACTGAGAATAGGCAGAGGTATTTTCTTTCCAATATTGTCCTAGTGCACTAAGTAAGAACAAAGCTAAATTAGATCACTTTTGTGGAACTCTTCTTTGCACGACAATTGTCTATAATGCAGTTTTTAACCCAGTTAGTACTTGCTTGAAGGAGGTGGCCACATTAAAGCCAAGTGAGAATGGGATATGTACTACGTGTGGTGACTTTCTTATGGAATTGTGGTATTCTGGTATATGGGGATGGCATGCGCTGCCCCACTTGGCTTGTGCACAGAGTTGCAGTAGTTCATTGGCACAGTATCACAGATGAGTCAGAAGACGTGAGTAGAAAGAAAAGAGCCCTGGTAAAAATTGGGTGAGGATGTCAGAAGCTCTTCCGTTTTTAAACAAACACAGCTTGTTCTTCCATTGTTAACCAACCAAGTGTGCTTAATCTGAACTATGGTTTGTTGTGACACTTGTTTCAACAAGCTATAGTCAAAATGAACCATGGTTTAGGGTTCAGGTGTAATGTTGAAGTGTCATTAATAATAATTAAAAAAATTAGTGTTTCCAATTTCCTGCTCACAGTCTTTCTGGAGGAGGAGAAGGGGGAGTGTGTGAACCTGAGACTTGCTATGGCTAATTCCCATGATTATAAACCATGCTTTATCATCATGCCATAACTGGCCCAACTAATAATAGAGGCGTGGATAACTAAAAGCCAAGTATTAATGAGCCTCCCATCACTTATCAGTCATCATGTAAACATAACCCTGAGAGTGTAAACAAGTTATCCTGGGAAACTCAGAAAATCTTATCTGTAACCGCACCTTCTTGCTGGGAAAAGCTGCCACAACTGATTTTCTGCCTGCCATGTAACCACTGAACAAGAGTCCTGCCAGACAATCCTATCCATAAAACCTGTTGATTTCATGAATCAACAGAATGAATACAAACAGAATGTAGTGGATTCTGATTCATTTATGTGCAGGCATAAAGTGGCAATTTAATGTATGCATCAGGTGTTGCTAATATTGTTCGTTCTTCCTTTCAGGCCCCATTTTTCAACACTTTAACTTTCATTCTTTAAGTCCTCAGGATAGATTGAACTTAATAGCCAAATAAATAAATTAAATTCCTAAAGGGTCTGTTGAGAAACAGCAACAAAATGGAATACTATCAGCACCTTCACCTTATGGGAAATTTAACAGCTCCCATGCTGAATACTTATTTCCCTGTCTTAAGCAATTTGCTCAAGCATTTTTCTAAGCTCTCACTGGGGACATGTGCTTGTTGGACCAGCACTGATCACAGGACACAACTCCCGAACAACACTTGGTGATAAGTAGTTGTTGAGAACACAGCAGTAATAAAGCCTTTGTGTTGTTGTAATTGACAAAAACCATTTTGTCTCATTTACAACCCAAATGAAATGAAATTTGAGGGTTTTTTCTTACTGAATATTAGACAAACAGGAAATACTTGTTTTGTAAATATTGCTATTTTGTATTAGCCAATATGCTTCTTATGGTGCCACCCTAAACATGTCTACTTAGAAGTAAGTCCTACTGATGTCAGTAAGTACTTTTTAATGTGTGAGCCACGATGCAGAATGCATATTTTCAACCATGTAAAGAGTCCTACAGTGGATTGATAAACACACAAAAGTAGGGAAGGTTGTGAAACACTTGGCAGACTGTAGCACCTAGCTGGTGGACCACATTTGGTTCTGTATGTAGGTGTTTTCCACCATACTACATGGGAGGCAAGCAGCAACATGGCAGACCTGGGATCTGGCCACCCAGTTCCATTTAAGTTAGAGTTGTTTCATTAGCTTTATTCCTGTGCATCCAAAGATCTCAAATAGTTCTAGTGACTCTGTATTACTGCTGATTCTCCACCACTGTTATAGAACAGGGACGTCCAACTCCCAAGAGACTATGATCTACTCACAGAATAAAAAACTGGCAGTGATCTACCCCTTGGGGGTTTCAGGTGTAAGTTGTTGAGCTTTTTTTGGGGAGGAAAGACAAAGTTGTTGACCAGTTGAACACCCCTGTTAAAGACTGATGTATTGGGAATTCTTTTATTACTTCTCATTACAGTGGTACCTCAGGTTAAGTACTTAATTCATTCTGGAGGTCCATTTTTAACCTAAAACTGTTCTTAACCTGAAGCACCACTTTAGCTAATGGGGCCTCCTGCTGCCGCCGCACAGCCAGAGCACGATTTCTGTTCTCATCCTGAAGCAAAGTTCTTAACCTGAGGTACTATTTCTGGGTTAGTGGAGTCTGTAACCTAAAGCGAATGTAACCTGAAGCGTATGTAACCCAAGGTACCACTGCATAGCCAGTTGGCCATTGATTTTATTAGGAGCTTAGCTAATCCAAATGTACTGGATAGTAGCTATCACTATACAACACTGAACATTTGCCTGAATTTCCCATCTTAGTGTTAGCTGGCAGGGTTTTTGTAACCAGCTGCTGTATTTTCAACCTAGAAGTAGGTTAGATGAAGCAACCTTGTTAAAGATTGCATTACTTGATACAGCTTTGCTCTTGTAATGATACATTGATCAGGCATACTCAGGAAGCCAAAATGCAATCCTATACATACAGAATGGGTAACTACCAGCCCTTGCCCAAATATGGCCTTACCCATGCCTTTCTACCTGGTCCACCAGCTTCCCCTCAGATCCACACCCTTCCTCACTTTCAAAACTTTGTAATGTAAATATTATTTGTTTTGTATGGAAGCCAGACAATGCAGTGTTACAGTTGTTGCTAAATAAGTAAAGGAAACTAAAATTACTTCAGCATAGCTGAAAAAGAGTCATTCTGCCTTAGAAGCGTAGAGAAAAGAGCATAAAATAATGTGACTTGTATCACATCCTGTAGGCCAGTGTTTCCCAAACTTGGGTCTCCAGCTGTTTTGGACTACAATTCCCATCATCCCTGACTACTGGTTCTACTAGCTAGGGATGATGGTAGTTGCAGTCCAAAAATAGCTGGAGACCTAAATTTGGAAAACCCTGCTGTAGGCACTTGTCTGTGACAGCTCAAGCCATAGTGTTCAACTATGTTTTACTCAGAGTCATGTTCATTAATTTCAGTGGAACTACCGTACTCTGATTAAAATTTAGTGGAACATCACCTGCAGCAAGCTATCTGCATTATCTTAGCTGTATTTGTTACCATTGCTTTCTTTTTGTTTAGGGGGCTGGGAGCATTTTTGTGTGTGTGGAACAGTCAAAACAGTTTTGGGAACAGAGAATCAGTGATTAGCCGAAACCTCATTATTCCTCTATGCTGTCTTGAAAGGGCAGGTGACACGTGCAACAGGAAATCCTTCTCTTTCAAGCAGCCAAGAGAAGCTGAGGAAACAGGCTTTGTCTCCCTAAGAAAAAAAGAATATAATTTAATCACATGATAAGCTAATTAACTGAAACGCTAAAGTCCTATTGTAGGTAAAGCCATTGTATTTTTAACATGAAGTAAATCCTACGGTTTGCTTTGGCCAAGAAATATACGGTCAAGCTGCAGTTGCCTAAGCTGTGGAACAACTTAAAAAAAAAAAATAGCCCAAAACCCAGCACTTAAAAATACATTATTGTATGTATACAGATGCTGGAAAGAGGTGTAAAAAAGGTAACAACAAAAACAGATACTGTAATTTACTCACACATCTTATTTTTATGGCACTTTTAGCATGTGCATATATTTTCATCCTATGCTGATGTGGAGCTTGGAATAGAACACTTCTGTATTATCTTTGATTAACCGGGTCTTTCTTCTTCATCAGCCTTGTAGAAAACAAAGTTAGACCATCCTTTTCCTCCAGCCTCCAGCTGTTTGCGTGGTGTGGCAGCCACATTGTTTTGATGGTTTCCCCACTGCAACCACATCAGAGATATTGTGGCATGTGTGGAAACTGCCTGGTCAACACCAAATTTATGCACCCATGTATCTTAGGATCTCAGTGGCACCTTCCTCGATGTTCAATCCTCTTAATGGGGCAGTGCTTGTATAGAGGTTCTCAAACTAAGGGTTTGCGTATTCATGCGTTTCAATGCGTTGCGTATTCCTGCATCCCAGTGACCTTTGGGAACTCAGAGCATCTGCTGTGCATACAGAAGCTCCCAGCTTCAGTCCCTGGAATCTCCAGGTTGGAAAAGCTTCCAGAATGAGTTCCATGAGAGCTGCTGCCAGTCTGAGCTAGATACACAATGGTCTGACTCAGTATAAGGCAGCTTCCTACATTCATAGCAGGTTTTATTTTGGTTTGTCTTAAATGAAGATACATGCACTGCGTTCACACCATACCTTTTACTGTTATGCCATTTATTTCCTTTACTGGCAATATGCTGAAAATTGTGCATGGAAGGGAAGAGTTCTAAAAGGTCATCATCTTCATCTTAATTTCAATAATGTTATTTTCACTCCTGGTTAATCATGATAGCAGGTGATGATAGGGCATGATTTACAATGCATATTTGGAAATCAATGCAACATTTTCCCCCCCAAAAAGCCAACCCTGCTTGAATGCAAAGCTTTCTTTTAAAAACAAAAACAAAAGATGAAAACAGGAGCCATTTTCCATTAGTATTCATGTCATGCTATATGTATTGCATTGGCTGTTTAATATAATTTATCCGACATGGTACATTGAACCCTGTTGAAATCAATGAGAAATGAGGATAGGACCACTCATTGTACACATTTGTTGACATTTTGTGCTGCTTTAGAGTTATGAGTTGATGAGTATTATCACTTGATATGCATTCATAATAAACAAAAGATGATTTCTGGCACAGATAGGTGTTTGTCTCCATGTAGTTTGGAACAAAGTTGCAAAGATATTGACAATGGGTAGGGGCTCTGGAGTTGTAAAACCTATTTATGGGGAGCTCAAGAAATTGGAATTTAAAAAAGGAACACAATGTGCATGCCAAATATTGGTATATAAACACTTTGCTGTAAATGCCTTATTGCTTCTGGTGAATAAAAATTCCTCCTTGCAATCCAGTATAGCCCTTCCACTGCCCTGTGTAGCTGCAACTGATGTGTAGCTCCATTTTGTTGCCCAGAATGGGATATATAGCAGCCAGCTGCCACTACTCTGTTCTGTTTCTTTGTCTCCTGATTGAAAGAAGCTGAGAATGCTTAAGCTTGAGTAGCCATCAATGCCTACTAGTCACAGTGGCTAGGTGCTACCTCTGCTAAAGGAGGCAGCATGTCTCTGAATGCCAGTTGCTGGGAATCACAAGTGATGAGAGTGCTGTTGCATTTGGGTCCTGCCTGAAGGCATCCTTTAGGCATTTGGCTGGCCACTGAGAGAGCAAGATGCTGGATGAGATGGGCCCATTGGCTAAACCCAGCAGGCTCTTCTTACCTGTGTTGTGTTTTCTTGTGACTGCTCTCAGCTGTTCAGGTGAGTTTTGAAACCTGGTGCAGGATTCTCTTTTGGACCTTTGTAAGCTAGAATACTATACATAGAATATTTTGTAATCGGAATTGCTTGCCTACAGTCTAGGAAATAGTCTCAATTCCTGGGAATGTTGATGAGTAGTTTGTGCCTGCACTGTTTGACACAGTTTGCTTGTATGGGAATCTTGGCCGCCACAATTCTCTTGATAAAATTTGGTTTTGTGAATAGGTCTTTAGACTGAAGAAACCAAGAGGAGGACAGAAGCATCTCCAGGGGAAGGGAATTCATACCCCAGCACTGGTACCATGTGCTATGTATATTGGGTTCCAATATCTGACCGGTTGTGCAATACTATTTATAGATTTGAGTTTTAATGGGCAGCTTAATGAGACCTTCATGAGCTTTTTAAAAGACTTTAAACGTTTTGGTGGAAATAACATTTGCAACCATTTAAGGGTTCTCAAAACAGCCCAGTTTCACCTCTTACCTTGCAACTGCAGTTTATGGCAAATTTTGTTGCTCTTTACTCTTACTTATATAACCACATTTTATTCTGTTGGTCCCTGTTCTCTACATGGATTTAATATTGTCAGAACCTCTCAGACTGAAATGGCTAGAACTACCATAGGGGAGGGCTGCGAGACCCCCACAGACTGGAGTATGTGTTCAAACCAAGAGCAGGAAATTCTCTTCTGTATAACCATAGCTATAAATGACACTCTCTCTCCCCTTGGTCCCCACCAAATCAAAGAACTCAGTTGTATACTCCTTTCCCCCATCAGTGGGCTCCATATGCCACACAAGCCACCACAATCTGTTCTGGGCCCCAAGAACAAAGACCAGCAATGAACCTGAGCAGAAGCAACCATTGAAAGGTGGAATAATGGTAGCATCCATTGCCAGAGCGCTGCTTATGAGGATGAGATCCTGACTTGGGTGCTTCCAGGATGACTCCACTGCTGCAATAAGAAGAGTGAAGCTTCATGCTACAAGAACTCTCAGTTTGCCTGGTTGGTGCCGTTGTGACCACTTATAATGCCCAGTACCCTTTTGTGGCAACCCCTCTGGATAGTTCACCTGCTTATTTCAGCATTCATTTTTTAGAAACTGCCTTTCCTCCCCCATTGCTCCCTTCCTTCTCTGTCGCATTTACCAGCTTGACATTTTCATGATTTGTTAGATCACCTGCTTTTGTTTGCACGAAAAGGGATTAGCATTTCCCATCAAGTTTGTGCCATCTCTTCTGCTGTTCTTAAAAAAAAATGCTTTTGGGGGGGGAGGGGGAGTGAATGTGTCTTTCTGTCCTACCCTTTTTATATTTTAGTCAATCTGGGAGTTCAGAATTATGACAGGGTCTTTACAGTAAGCTGGAATGCCAAGCAGCAGGACTATCTGCCTCCACCTCTGGAAAGCGCAAAGATTTTCTCTAGTTAATTGGCCTGTATTACAAAGGTACTTGCAAACTCTTGAGCAAACAAAAACACAAAACTCAACCATTTCAGGTGAAGGCCAACAACAAGCCAGGCACACCAGGAGGTAAATGAGTTGTTAAACTTTATGAAGGCACACAGCAGGAATTGGGAAAGAGTGTATAGTAACTTAAAGGTTATATTCTCTGGGATCATCTTGCAGTAGTGTCTGGAGTTAGTACTGATCCCTCCTCAGGCACTTTCCTTTTGATAGTCAACCTTTTCTTGCCTGCCATGTTTGCTCTGCTGATGTGCTGGGTGCTTCTTTCATCCCCTTTTGTGTCTTAACCTGTTTTTGATGTAAGGCGGGGGAGGGGGAAGGGAAGCTGGAGAATTTCATTCTGCTTCTTCACACACTTTAGAGAAATGCTTGAATTCGTAGGCAGCTCTTCCTTTCAAAACAACCTAGAATTGTTATCCCTTTCTGAAGTTTCCTCTGTGATTAGCCAATACATGCGCAGACACATTGCAAAGCAATTGTTCTTCATTGGATTTTGAATCTGATTGTTGTGCATTCAGACATACGTTCTGTCCTAAATCTGAATAAGCATGAAGGGAGAGGCAATATAATTACAGATCTATGTTGTTAAAAACTTCATTGTGCAAGATGCAAACTGTGAGATATATTTTGTTGACAGGGTTGTTGTTTTTTAAGGATCTCATTAGATTTTAATGAGTGGTTAGAGTCCTTTGCTGAACTTCTCCATGGTGGCTTTTTCATGATAACCAGGTGGCTCACTGAAAGAATCTTATCTTAAAACACAGAGCACAATCTAGTTGCTTTCTTCTCCCTTGCTACATAACATACCACTCTGCTCCTCTTTTTGTGTACAAAGAGTTGCCCTTGCAATGCTTCATAGGGTGCAGACTTTATTGTGCTCCTAGTTTTTATTATTTTAAAATTTCAGTTTATTTGGGCATCATCAGAATTTTGGGAACATTTATTAAAAGGTAAAGGTACCCCTGCCCGTACGGGCCAGTCTTGACAGACTCTAGGGTTGTGCTCTCATCTCACTCTAGAGGCCGGGAGCCAGCGCTGTCCGCAGACACTTCTGGGTCACGTGGCCAGCGTGACGAAGCTGCTCCAGCGAACTGGCACCAGAGCACACGGAACGCCGTTTACCTTCCCACTATAAAGCGGTCCCTATTTATCTACTTGCACCCGGGGGTGCTTTTGAACTGCTAGGTTGGCAGGCACTGGGACCGCTGGGAGCGCACCCTGCCACGGGGATTCGAACCGCCGACCATGCGATCGGCAAGTCCTAGGCGCTGAGGTTTTACCCACAGCGCCACCCGCGTCCCGGGAACATTTATTATGATAACATAAAGAAGGAAGGCATGGTAATCTCACACTTAGAGCATTAAGATGAACACTTCAAATGAAATACTTTAGAATACTTCAGAAAATTCCTTGTTCCATGTTGCAGAAATGTTCTATCCTGAAAGCATCCTTAAATACTCTTTCCTAGGTCACTGGCAGCCTAAGGGAAAGAAGTCGACAGTAACTATTATAGAACTTAGAGGTGGATGTAGATAATTATTCAAAAAATCAGTTGCACAGCTTTTGTCATTAATACGGAGAAATACATTTTGCAGAGTGTTGGATGAAGTTTTGATTGCTGACACTCTTGGTTTGTTTGCATGCATGTTTGTAAGCTAATATAATGTTTTGGCAAGGGTAATGAATATTTCTGTATGCATGTAATTAATTCCATTAAGAATAACACATTTTGCAAATGATACAGAAGATACAGAAAAGCTGAGAACACAGTGAATATTATGGTTCCCATTAACAGGATAAATAGGCAGCCAGTATTTTCTTAGTTTTTCATAAAAGCTAGTAAATAACCTATTTGATAATGGGCCATTCCTCTTTTTGATTAGTATAATCCACCAAGCAGTGATTCAACATGGACCCCATTCATTTAATTGGGGCTCACAATGTCGGTGAATTGTGATCTTCAATTTATAATTGTTATTTAGCATTGGGGAAAAAGGTTTTGAATATGTAAAGTGCATTGCTTCCTCTGTTTAGAAATTAAAGGCAGCATAAACAGGAAAGATGCTTATTTCATTTTGAGACAAAATTATTTCTCTGATAAATATTCAGCATTATTTAATGCTTTCTTGACTAACCATGCAATCCTAGCCATGTCTCCTCTGAAGTAAGTCCTGTTGAATTCCATGGAGTGTGCTTCCAGATAAGTGAAGTTAGGATTACTGCCTTAATCTGATTCCATTTATATGACAGAAATACAAATATTAATCTTTTGTCTTGTAGGCTACATCAGTATGTCTCAATGTGAGGGGTATCCTAGTCCACTTCATTACCCACCCACCAAACTAACTATTGGGAAATTTTAAAATGGCTGTACTTAGATTTCCTTATTTATAGAAGTGGATCAAATTTGCAGGCAAATTAGCTTCTCTATAGTAGACAAATCTTGTGGAATTACAGTCAAATGGATCCAGGGATTCTATCACTTTTAAAGTTTTGGTAAAATTTGCAGGTAAGGTCGCCCCTTCTGAGAGTGTTTATTTTGCCTCCTTACCACCTAGCCCGTCTATTCCTCCCAGTGAGCACTACTGGTGCTGCTGATGGGAGGTCAGTTTCACAGTGGCACCCCTCCCTGCTGATTGCTCCTAGCAACTAATACACTGTGGAGGTAGAATATAGTCTTATCCTCCATGAATTTGTCAAATCCTCTTTTAGGTTACTTAAGTAGACGATCATTTCCTGATGTATGGCAAACCTGTGGTACTATTATCATTACAATTCTATGCAAGTCTATTTGAAAGTAAGTCCCTCTGAGTTCTATGTAACTTACTCCCAAGTGTTCATAAGACTGAAGCCTAAAAGTTTATTATTCCTATATTTGTCTTCCAAACAATAATGCCACATTAAATAATTTACCCCATTGAATTTTGGAGTAAATTGCTTGGGATTTTTAAAACAATGAGAAATGTAAAAACAAATTCCAAGGCCCTACTTATTTTCTGCAGTACAACATCCTTCAGTAGAAATGGTGCTGTATACTGGGTTTTTCTTTCCTTTTCTTGACAACAATGCAGTAGCTATGCATCCCTTTGAGTATTCCTCCACCATGCATAAGGAGGACAGAATGTTGCAAGATGTTGCAAACACTGACCCATAATTGTATTCATTTCCCAGCAGGATGTGCCTTCTCACCATCAGCCGTTATTGGCTTCAGTGAATGAACTGACTAGACATTTTTGGACTTGGTTCAAGCAGCACCATCAGTTGCATTGAATAGTTGCCAGCGTGAAGAATGGGCTATGATTAACAAGTAAAGTCCTCTAGTCCCCAAAGACGCGGAAGCATGTGGCTAACCTGGAACATAGAAAATACTCCCTTTGCTTAAAATTACACATGTGCTTGATTACCTTCCTGGCTTTGGGGCTATAATGATGAGTGATGAGCTGTTTGTTTTGTTAGGATAATGTAACCATTGTTCATCATCCCATGGTGAGTGTAGATTGCCTTGATCCACTGCAGAGCAGTTCAAAGGAAGTCCAGGTTTTCCATTGGAACAAGATACTATTGAGACCATAAACATTCAGGGCCTTTTATTAGTTCTCTTTACACATGGTAAAATACAAAAAAGGTGGGTAATCAATGCCTGAAGCAAGTGAGGGGAGGAAAAATCCCCAAAATAAAAAAAAAGCTCTCTCCCTCTTCCTGGCCTTTCTTGTTTTGTACAATATGAACATCATTTCAAAGTATGCAAATACGCTTAGTATCTTCTGCATAGTAATAATTAATTTGTTTTGATGTGCTGTTGTAAGCTTAGAGAAGAAGGGAATCCATCTATCAAATCCATAGTTGTTCTTTAAACAAACAAAATTGAAGAGTATCCGTATGCTGATTGAATGAGGGTGGAGAGTACAGAAATTTATTTGAAAGCTGGTTAAAATCTAGTTACTGCAATTCAGCTCCTTGGGCAAAATATCATTGACCTTCCTCTTTTCACAAAATTAATATTGTGATTGCTAGTGAAAAAGGAATGTGTACAGTGCAGTGGACTTAGAGTCAATATGAAAAAGAAGAAATGCTGCTTCTTAGAAACAGCAAAATCGACACAGTAGTGTTTATATACATACCCTTTTGCATCTGCTGCTTTGATGCTTGAACTTGCTTGCGCTGTGCAATAAACAAAAAGAGCATGCCAAGAAATGACTTGATTATACAAAAGAAGAAGAGCTAAAGATAACTCTGTAGCATTTTGATAAGAATGGAACAAAATGCCAGTTTCCTAAGAAATCGAATGGTTTTTTGGGGGGAAGATATCATATTGCGGTAGTTGAGTTAGCTCCAGCCTGCATGAGGTAATGGGAGGGGGTCCCTTTTAAGTTAAGATTAAAAAATAAAAAACTGGTTCTTACTGATTCCTTAGACACACATCTGAAGGAAACACTGGAATTCAGAAAACTGAATTGCTAAGGAACACCATTATGTCATCTAAAAGCAATCTGGATTGGAGAGGTCTGACAGTCTTGTGCTTTAACAGTTGTAAACTGTGCTCCCCAAAGTGAATGTGCCAGTGAAACTGAAATTTTGCTAGCAGACTATGTGAGTCATTTTAAAGAAGTGCAAAGTGTGTGGGGTGTGTGGGTGTGTTTAATAGTCTTTATGTTGTCTTATTCCGTCCAGTGCTGTATTCATACCAGCAGATTTCTTTTCGGAACTAACTTTTTGTCCTGTTGGGTTCTCCTTTTATGCATCCGCTGCAGTCAGTACAGGCAAACAGCAGCACAGGAATTACTGTCATCAGTATTCATGAACAGATTGTTAGCAGGAAAATGCTCTAAGCCATGGGTAGGCAAACTAAGGCCCGGAGCTCAGATCCGGCCCGCAGACTGTCTTGGAATCAGTGTGTTTTTACATGAGTAGAATGTGTCCTTTTATTTAAAATGCATCTTTGGGTGATTTGTGGGGCATAGGAATCTGTTCACATTTTTTTTTCCAAAATATAGTCTGGCCCCCACAAGGTATGAGGGACAGTGGACCGGCCCCCTGCTGAAAAAGTTTGCTGACCCCTGCTCTAAGCCTCTACTTGTATGTAGCAGGTTGCAGCATTTCCTCATGGAACTGTTGGCAGAAGGGAAGGCTATCGTCACCTCTCTCAAGCAGATCTTTATTTGGGGAAGGATTCCAGCCTGAAACTTTGGTCTCTCCTCCCCTGATAATACAAAATATTGCTGCCTAGAGAATGTGTAGAAAATACGCTCTTGCTTATCTGCAAGCCGCTGTGCTGTGTGAAATGTGAGGTTCCACAGACTTGAGTTCTTAAGTGAGACTTGATCAAGTTGGGGCTCTTCCAATGGCACTATCTGAAATATGAGGGCCAGTTTATATACCGCTGCCACCAAATGGAGGCAGAATAACATTGCACTGTGAAATGCACAGTGGTGATATTCAGATGGCTCACCATGTGATGACCGGATTAGCAAGTGCACTCTACATGACGGCAATAGACAGGGGCAAGCGGTGTGGCAAGTTCCAATGGGTTTCTGGTTCATGATTGGGTAACAGGATAAATTATTCAGCTTGATTCTAAGGAGCGCAGCCAAGCCCGTTTGGACCCTCTATCTCCCTGAGATGATTTCTCAAAACTTGGCCATATTTAACAAGGTAAAACCATGCCTTAGAAGTAGATGCTTTCACAATTTATTGTTACGATATTGAAGCAATGCAGCCGCCAGCTGCCGGTAGCTTGAAAACAAAACATAATGGGAATGTTGGGACTGTTCCATGGGAAACAGAGGGACAGTCAGTTCACAGTGCAGAGGGCACCGGAATTAGCTCAGAGTGTAATATGAGCTGGACAGGAAGTGTTTGTTGTCTCTCGACTGCTGGAGCTTGAAGAGAGCAGTCATGATTTTTGTAACGCTGCAAAGACAGAAATAAAGGAATGTAAATACATTTCTGTCTATCTCTTTCCCTTGCCTGTTCTTCTCACTCTGAGAAGGATCGCCTATCGCGACCTCTGCCTGGATCCTGCTGGGGAATGCAGACAGGGAGGTCAACAGGAGATCAAGCCGGGTGCCTGGAGAGTGGCCAGTTTCTCCTGATAAAGGCTTGATTCCCAACATCTATAGCATTCATATTTCCAGTCGTTCAAGATGAGCATCCCATGGGTACTCTGATGCCATCTTTGTGTCATGCAGACAGATTGTGAACTGTCCATGTACTCAGGAATAAATTTGACCTCTTGCTCAGCCACATATCACCTTGATGCCTTTCCACTTTGTTGGTTGCATTGTTTATCTTTAAAAGTCATGGGAGACTTCACTGGATTGGGGTTTTTTTGGAGCAGGTAAAATAAATGTGCAATATTCTAGGCTGCAACTCACTAAGTACTTCTACTTCAAATATCAGATTTTCACCCACAGCTGGTGCCTGTCCCCTAAAAGTAGTGAATCACTGAGAGTAGATGCAGGTGCTTGCCCTGAGCAACATTTTCATCCACAGCTTTAAAAAAAGATATATACCATTTCTGAGTGAAGATCTGGCAACCCCAATTTCACCTGAAGCGTTTCACTTTAGATGGTATTATGCCCTCAGTACGTCTCAGCAAGCTTGAGTGCAAGTACTCCAATGTTAATACGCTTGTGGACCACAGTATTAGAGACTTGAAGCATAATTTCAGTAGCACAGTGACTGCACAATGCACAGAAATAATAGATTCAAATGCATGTTCATTTTTTTTTAATGTTGCGCCTAGATAGTATGCACAAACGTGCCCACTGACACATAACTGATCTCCAGCCACTCACTTTTGGTGGTTGACAAACATACCTGCTGACACAGAATGATAAAATCATAGAGTTGTAGAGTTGGAAAGGACACTAAGGATCATTAAATCCAACCCACCTACAATGCAGGAATATGTAGTTGTCCCATATGAGGATCGAACCTTCAACCCTGGCATTATCAGCACCACACTCTAACCAACTGTGCTATCCAGCTCCATCCCAATCTTTCCAAACAAAGAGCTAAGACTGTTTCTATAGAACTGAAATATGTAGGGTTCAACTTGCAGCATACATCACATAATATAGCATTATTCATGTCACAATGTGCTCCTTCTGGGGTAGTTTGTCTACCTTTTGTCCCCATCCTGTACTCAGCTCTCACATGTGGCTCCTAGAAGCTGTCAGCATGCTACAGCAGCCACACCCCAGGAAATGACTTTGAGTGGCCGGCTAAACCAGTTAAGGATAGCCAATGTATCTCAAACCCTTGGTGAGTTAGGGACTTCCTGTGCATGCAAAGACAGCCTCTGGTGGATTGAGCAAACGAGACCAATAGTGGGTCCAACCGTCAAGAAGGAAGTTTCCGCGTGTATTGTAGAGAGGAGTGAGGTGCAGATGGGACTCGCCGACCTGGAAAGTAACCTAGCTAGGAGAAGGAAAACTCTGATCCCAAACCTCTGCCTTGCTGATATCTGCAGGAGGAGAAAAGGCTAAGAAGTAAACCCTACACAAATCTGGAGTGGAATCCCTAAGAAGGTTGCAATGCACCTTCTATGCCTCCTTCCAGCAACTCCTGTAGCCAAGCTGGTGCCAAATGTGTTGCTCTGCTTTCCTTTGGTCTTGTTTTCTGGTCAGCCCACGACCTCCATACACACTGTTCAGGCTTGTACCCCAGGAAAGTCACTTCAGTGCTGCTAACACAACAGTTTTACTGCATCCCCAGAGGCACACTCTGGTCTCTTGAGACAGATGCCAGCAACATGTATCTATGTAAGCTGTAAAACTTTCCACTCTAAAAAATAATAATCCTTATATTCCAACACAGTTTGTGCGAAACATTCAGTGTAGTACATTAGGGCTATGACCCTGAAGTAATTGAGTTCTGCCTGAATAATTAATGTAGGGCCAGGGTCATCCATCAATCTGTGTTTTGGTTGTGGTGTGATTCTGTGTGTGTCTGTGTGTGTTTAAGTAAAGCAAAGTGTTTGGAAGGACTTGGCCCAAAATCTGCCTAATAACTTTCAATGAAATTCAAGATTGTCTGTGGTGCTTTACATTACTATCAAGTAATTATCTCAAACTAGGATGAAATGAGGGTCAAGACTGGTTCTAACTAATAAAGATGGAGTGCTTCCTACTTTGTTCAGTGTGTTAATGCAAAACTATGTTGGAAAGGAAAGAGGCAGAAATGTACTTTGTAGTAAGTGCTAGTATGAATTTTGATTATTGGTTCTTTGGATCTGTAATTTTTTTATGAGTTTCTACAACCCTGCCCCTAGTGCTGCAGCAATAAAACCGCTAGCACATTTATGAAGCTAAGCAGGGTCTGGTATGGTTTCAAATTGGATAGGGGATCATGTGTTGAGATGCCTTCATTGCAAGGGGTTGGACTAGATGACCCTCAAGGTACGTTCCAACTCCATGATTTTATTATTTCAAGTTACTCCCATGCTATTTAGTTCAGAATGCAAATTTCAAACTGTACCAGTTTGCTTCTTTTGGTGGGTTGCTTTATTATGTTTTTCTTCTGCAAGCTTGCACATGGGTGGTAGCCAACCAAGTCATACTGAGTACAGACCCACTGAAATCAGTGGACTTAGCTTAAGTCTGTTGTCTTGAATGGGTCTACTCAGAGTATGACTTAATTGGACAACACCTACTATTTCTGTATCATGTTGAAGTCTTAAATTGGTGATATTTAATATTAATCTCTAAACCTAGCATGGGACTTGAGGTTGGATCCAGAAAACTTTGATCAGAACATAATGGACTTCTATACCTTTCTTTCCCACTACAATCTCCACTCCTGAATGCTGGGAGGGGGGTGACTAAAGCAGAACAGGAATATCAATAGAACTTGGAAGTTGCACAAGAACCTATTTTCTCTTGAGAAAGGCACCTTCAAATTTATTTTATTTTATTTTGAAAGCCTTCTATCATGCCTTAAAAATTAAAAAAAAACCATTCAAAGCGGCAAACAAGTCCAAACATACAAAAACAACAACAAAAACAACACCCATATCAACCCCAGTTGGAACCATTAATGTCTTAAGAATCAGTCCTTCAATAGGTTAAAAAATATCAACAACAAAGTTTTTGCTAAATCTTACCAAATTTGAGATTTTGCTATTGAGCATTTTCATCGACCTTCAGTATTTATATGAAGCCCAGATGCTGAAAATTTGAATGATATGCTAATATTACAAAGGAAAAGTCATCTAAGCAGATCTGGGAAACTAGCCCACTTTGTGAAATAGTGCACACATTCATATCCACTCAGATAAATAAAACTATTAATTGCTAACCAGCCTAGACTTTGATTTCTGGCTCCGAAAGGAGTATGCTGATACATGATTTATCACCCCTTTTGCTTTTGGAATGGCTCTTTAAATTAGTATTCCAATCTAGATGTATTCCATCTCTCCCCCACCCCCTTTCTCAGAATGGATTTTATAAATCCAAAGGCAAACTATTCCATCCTTTATTTATGTTTCTTTGTTTTATCACATAGCAGTATGCTTTAGAGCCCAGAACTGCATCAAAATAATTCATACAGAAAAGTTTGGTTCAGGGCTGTTTTATTTTCCCAACCGCAGTCTTTTAAAATTGCAGTAGAACAACTGTGAATATTTGTGTGTGTTTTCAGGATGCCTTGCTTAAAGAGGGTGGGAATATAACAGAGAACCTAGCAGTCCACCTTCAGTTCAGAAGCCATATCCCAAGGACATTTGAAGGGAGAGCAGCAGTCTTAGCTAGAGAGCGTATGTAACAGAGATTAATTTATTGTAGGTACTTTCTTCTGAATACCTTTAAACAAGCAGAGCTCGTGTGTTTTACCGAAACATTTCATCCACTGAAGGGTAACACAATTCATCCGAACATTTATGAGAGGAAAATCATAACACCCACATCCCAAATAGTGGTTTTTCAATATTTGTGCATTGTGGTTTTTCCAAGTCAGACATGCAATATTTAGCATTCTTTGCATTGTATAAGTAAATTGCTAATTTTAACAAGCAGTCATGGGAAGCCACTAGGTACACTAGTTTAAGGTAATTAAATATGAAACTGAATGATCTGCTGGTTTTCTCTCTGCATTAAAAGTAGCAATTTTGAGACAGCCAAAAACTTGTTAATCCTGCTACTTTTCTCCCATGACTGCACCTGATCACAGCCACTGTTCCTCTCTTTTTTTATTTATTCATTCTGAACGAAGCATTAAGGATCACATACTTGATATGATGCTGCTGCATGTGTAAGTATCGTGAAGGGAACATAAAATCTATTTAGAGTGAAGGTATACTAATCACATGGACTGTCCTTTTCACAGCTCTTTTGCAACTACAGTGGTACCTCAGGTTACATACTCCGCTAACCCAGAAATAGTGCTTCAGGTGAAGAACTTTGCTTCAGGATGAGAACAGAAATCGTGCTCCGCCGGCGCGGTAGCAGCAGGAGTCCCCATTAGCTAAAGTGGTGCTTCAGGTTAAGAACAGTTTCAGGTTAAGTACGGACCTCGGAACGAATTAAGTACTTAACCTGAGGTACCACTGTATTGCAAAAAAAATAAAAAAGCCCTACAAGGACGTTCTGTTCAGTGGCAGAGCTTCATGCTCCGGCACCGGGGGGCAGAGAGCAAGCAGGGGCATGGCTGGTGGGTGTCCCAGGGGCGTGGTGCACGTCCTGGGGGCAATGTGCCCAGCGCAGGCGGGGGAGGCAGCCGCGTTGTCACCCCACTGGGATAGCGCTGCTGGGGATGGTGCGCTCCCCCTGCTCTCCTCTTGCTCCTCCAGTGGTCCTGTTTTAATTCTGACAAAATCAACCCTCTCAGCTCAGCCCTAGGATTTACCGCTCATATAGTGGTATTTGAAAGTCTGTCTTGTTTTGCATCTTGGGAGGGTTTTACATTGTAAACCAGGGGTTGGCAAGGTTGGCGTGCGATTTCTGGCATCGTGGAAGCAAGTCCCTTTGCCGTGCTGCACCAGTTTAGCACAGCGCGGGGACTCGCTGAGTGGGGAGCTTGGTTCAGGGGCGATTCGTGGGCCGTCTAAACGACCCCTGTGGGCCACTTGTGGCCCATGGGCTTTAGGTTGCCAACCGCTGTTGTAAACATTTCAGTTCATAGGAAGGGGGTTATCTGCCGCACTGGACAGTAAATTCTGCATTCTGAAGGGAGATATACTTGGAATAACGGCATATATTCTGATTAATGTTCCAAATAACTTGATTATATTAGGTACAAAGTGACCTATCCTAGTCTGTGGCATAACAAACTGAAGCCTATTGGTGCATTTAGAACTGGAACATTTAGTATGAAGAAATAAAATTAAGCCCTTCTTTTTATTCAGGAATGGAATGTGGTAAACTGTTTTAGCTCAATGTGAATAATCATGAGCAACTCCAACCATCTTCAAGTAATTTCAAGGGAAAGCCTTGGACTTCCTTTGAAAAATTTCACACATTTTGCACAAGCAGGAAACTCCAAATTCAGATTTGCTCAAGTGTCATTTTAGGCAGAATTTGGTTGTGATCAAACATAATGACCCTCTCATTGAGATATTGTACATATTATTCCCTAAATTTCCATAGAAGTTTTACCCAAGTGTCTCCCTGAGTCACCTTGAATTTAACTTTTGTTAAAGTTTGGTGGTGACTGTATATGTGGAAAAGAAAGTTCTGAAAAGGAAAAAGCCTTTACTTTGTGCCTCTTATAGATTACTAGCAGCCTCACGCCTACTGTTGCTTGGGAATTCTAAGAAACCAAAAAATTGGTGCAATTTTGCAATCAATGCAGTTTTGAAAGGTTCAGCCTGCCATCTTGATTCCAAATGGCATCCAATCAGACTAAAACTTGCTGCTTGATCTCAGGAACCATTGTGCAAAGTTTGGTTATGATATCTTAAGAAGTGTCCAAATGGACGGCAAGCAGATCAACAACTTTATCCAAAATATATTGTAGTTCCTGATGTGCACATTTGATGTGTTTGTTAAAATGTTTGTTTATATCTACAAAAAAGAAAGAAAGAAAGAAAGAAAGAAAGAAAGAAAGAAAGAAAGATGCGAAGTTTGCTCAGAGTTCATTCACCTGTGGGTTCAGTGACAGGAATGATCACTTTCTTTACCCTGTTTTCTCTTTTGCTATTTCAAATTTCACTCATGGGATTTTGTGAACAGTTTCTAAAAAGCTTTATTGCATCCAGTCTCCTGGAATTTCACTTGCAAACTGGCAGCTTGTGTCATTTCTTTGGTTGCCACCAATGGCAGATGGAGCTTGCGGGTATACGGAGATGGTATGAAAATTGGATTTGAACAATTGCTGCTGGTTATTGGACGAGCTCCAGTGGGTTGTACTGTGAAGGAGTTTGGATCTTACTGGTTAACTGATAGAAGCAATTGTATCAACGCTGCATACTAGTAGTTATGCAGCAAGTGCTTAACTTAATAATAATACCAAGTTAGCATGTAGCGTTGAACAAGCCTACAGTTAAATCTCTCGGCTTTTTCTTTTCTTTTTGGATGGCGTTTTTAAATTGCTTTCTAAAAATTACCTTCTGTCGATTAAGGTCTGCCTATGCATGTAAAACTGTAGTGGTGAGCAGAAAAGGAGAAAAAGGATGAACTGCTTAAGGATTTGAGTTTTTGCCTTTCACTTTGATAATTGTAATATTTGACAACTCCTACTAATTATGGTTTTCTTTTCTGTTTGTTTTTGTTTTTCATTTATCTGACTTGTGCTTGTCTTTTGGCTTAGTTCTTTCATAATTTGCCCCTTACAGTGCTAAATATCTGTGTTCATTTTGTATTCTTTGTTTATATTTTTATGTGTTTTAATGAAATGAGTGAGAATGACAAATTGTATACAAATATGTGTGCAATCTTACTGTCTTCTAGTACATTTTATTTGAAGAGCTGTCTGATTCAAGAAGACCTATAAGAAGGGAGAGCAGAGGCTTAGTCAGCATAGCAGACTAAGCAGGCACACAGGTCACATGCTTGTTTAATATGATCTGTAAACTTGCATCTAGATATAAAGTCACCCTCTTTTGGCCTTTTTGTGTGTGATGTATTTCAACTTTCTTTCTTTTTTTCTTTCTTTCTTTTTGCAGTGCATAAGTGTCCATCCAATCCCATACCAAGCAAAAGCCTCCTTTGATATTTTAGCTCTTTCTAGTCAGTGTACAGTGGTACCTCGTGTTAAGAACTTAATTCGTTCTGGATGTCTGTTCTTAACCTGAAACTGTTCTTAACCGGAAACACCACTTTAGCTAATGGGGCCTCCTGCTGTAGCTGCGCCACTGCTGCACGATTTCTGATGGAATTGCAATTGTGTGCTTCAAGGGTTTTGGAATGCAGTTTAAAAAATTGTAGGCCAGTGGTCAGCCAGCCTGAAATGTTTGGGGCTGATTTTGATTGGGACCATTGTGTGGAGGAAAGGGTTAAATACTCTCCTCTCCTCTTACTGCACTCCCCCCACCCCAAATTGTGATGGCTGAGTGTGGGACAAAGTGCGAATGTGGGGGGAGAGAAAACAAACAGATACAAAAGTGAGTGAACGAAGCATGGTTATTTCACAGTAAATGCTCAGTGTGGAAGCAGCCTCAGTGTGGCAAACTTGGTTCTTAAGATACTGTCTCCCAGGAAAATAACAGGCTTTTTATCTCCTGTCCTTGACCAATGCAACAACTCTAAAGTTTAACTCTCCTGAGATCAAGTCTCCCTTCTGTCTCCATTGGGAACCCTAGCAAGTAATTTCCCCAGATAACAGCCAAAAACTCAATTAAACTTAGATTAAAGAACAGAAGGATTTATTGGCTTTTTACGGGGTAGAGCGAGGGAAGGAAAATAAAAGATGGTAGATATTAAACTGCCTAAAGAGGGGAAGCAGACTATCCCAACACTAGCATTCCTCTTTGGCTTATGAAATAATTAGGAGATTTGTAGCTAGTTTACTGCAGAACAGAAAAGGCTTGGCTCTGTCAGAACCGCAAACGGAATGACATGCCTTTGTGAGGCAGTGAATGAGCTAAAGTAACCTAATTCTTTGACCCAAGGGTGTCAAAAAAAAAATTTCTGGGATGCCACACTTTGTTCTGGTTTGGAGCAAGACATCCTTGGGGAAAGAAGACAGGAGCTCAGTGTTTTCATTCTCCATCCTCCTATAAACATCTACAATAATATTGTTGTTATGAGTTGCAGGGTGGAGTTGGGGATAGGCTGTATGCTTGACCCACCCCTTCTAATTCCTAGCTCCAACATGGATTCAATTCCTAGACTACCCAGCCAGCTTCCTAGTTGTGGGGGAAACAAGACCCTCTTCAGGTGTTAATGCTGTGAGTCCCTCCATCATAGGCTCAGGTTATATATGTGTGTGTGTAAATAAACCATATATCCTAAAGACACCATAGTCTGTTGCTCATTCCAAAGGAAACACGGACCCTGGGCAAGCTCCTGAAACCCCTAGAATCTCATACTTCTAGGAGATTGGGGGGAGGGGCATACAACAATATCATAATCGACTTCCCACTGTATTCTCTTTATTATCCAAAAGGCTGTATTCATTATCTTTTTATTTATCAATTGAAATGGGCAAACCAAATAACACAGGAGTCAGCAGAATTATTGAGCAGCTTTAGATTATTTTCCTGTGAGACCACATTCATGTCTTCTGTTGTTTTTTTTACCATTATTATTATTTTATTGCTGTTGCTGTTGTTGTTAAGAATTTATAACCTGTCCTTCATTGATTATATCATTCCATAACAGGGAGCAATTAAATAAAATAATTATAAAAATATACAGAAAAAATAAATAAATTAGCAAATCCCTAAAAAGCACTCTAATAAATGCCATAAACATATTAAGAAGTCCATCATAAAAGCAAACAAAGTTAAACTACACCAAAGACAAGAATTAAAATTTCCAATTTAACCAAATACCTGGGCAAAAAAAAAAGTGACTGAAACAACCAAATGAATTTTGCAGCAGTTCTATCACCTCTTTAATCCAGGGCAGCCCACATATTCCCCTTCTGACTCTCGCACAAGGAGGGCTGCATGAAGTGCTAACACACTCTCATTCTACCCAGGCTTTCCTCACCCTGAGTGGCATGAACATGCTTTGTCCACAAGCATCCACAGTGAAAACCTCCCACCCCTTTTGCCACAAAGCCCCCTTTCCCCGATCCAGAATTTCAGCTTTCCTATCCTGAGAGGGTCTTGGTTCTCAGTGACTTCCATGGAGCTCTGTCAAAGAACTTCTTTGTGTCTTTGTTACGTGGCCTTGGTGAGTAATTTTTGCTTAGGAGGCTATTTTAAGTGAGCATTATTAGCCTACCGTTCATGGCCCACGAGAAGGAAGTATCATTGTCCATAATGAGCCATAGATTGGACATAAAAGGGGGAGAAAAGGGCATAAGAGGCAGAACTTAATGTGTTTGAATGGGTGCACGGGAAGCACAGAAAGAAAACAGGGAGAGGCTCCAGCCCAAATCACTCCTGGCTCTGTCCCACCTCCATGCTCCTAAAAAGATTTCCCACAAGGAAATGCTGCCTTCAGGCTGACATAGGTCCCCTACTCTAGATATGTTGGAGTGGTTTTAGCTGGAGGTTAAACAAGTGTGATATCAAGTGGGATTCTGTCCCTGTCTCTTTTTCCTGCTGATCCTTGATGCCAGCCCAAGTGGAGACAATATTAAGCACAATATATTTCAAGAGCCTATTTGCTAGTGTAGCATGTGTTGCTATTATTTAATTATGATTTCATGTTGTTATTGTTGTTGCAACAGAAGCAATGTAATTGAGGATAAGCACATTTTAAGTGTCATTTATTTTACCTGTATACACACACACACTACATTTCACATATTGGAAATCACAATGCCAGGATGCAGTTTCTTATTTTCAGCTGCACCTTCTAAATCACAAAAGGATTTGAATGCCATTGGCTATAACCTATTTTTCCTCAGTATCTATACATTGATATTTACAGTTACTTTAATAGAATATGTAGTCAGAAAACTGCAAATTAGTGTCCAGCTACTGCAGAGCGGTTTGAATCCCCGCAACAGAGTGAGTTCCTGTTGCTCTGTTCCTGCTCCTGCCAACCTAGCAGTTCAAAAGCACAAAGTGCAAGTAGATAAATAGGTACTGCTCCAGTGGGAAGGTAAATGGCGTTTCCGTGCGCTGCTCTGGTTCACCAGAAGCGGCTTAGTCATGCTGGCCACATGACCCGGAAGCTGTACACCGGCTCCCTCAGCCAGTAAAGTGAGATGAGCGCCACAACCCCAGAGTCATGGGGTCCCTTTACCCTTTACCTTTACTGCAGAGCTTAAAAGTCTCTGTAAAGCAATGGAATTGCAATATTCCACTCTCTAGGAAAAAAAGAAAGAAGGAAACTAAACTGAATATTTGTGCTCATGTTCTGTATTCAGACACAGGTTCAGTTGTGCAAGGAAGTAACAACTTGTGAAACTGTTTTTAACTTAGCATGGGTGGTGTAACCAGGCTCAACCAAATTGAAAAATGCCTGCAAGGACAGACATTCAGAACTGCCTAGCGAGTGGTAAGATTCAAGATTCAGATTTGTTAAGTGTTCTCTACACAAATTGCATTATAGCTCCATCTTCACTTGTGCTTCTGAGTGCTTTGTTGAATGGAGACCTAATGAGAAACAGCTGTAGCCCCCATTTTGTTAAGGTATTAACAATTTGTGGGTTTTCATTTCAAACACAAAGCATTTATACAAAAAGTTTTTGTTAATGTCATTTACAGCACAGTTTTGTGTAAGTCTACCCAGATCTAAGACCCATTGAATTCAACAGTGCTTACTTCCCAGATAAGTAGATATAGGAATGCAACCTCAGGACTCTTGTGATCTTTCCCAAACTTGAATTCATGATCCCCACCCCTATCTCACAGCCTATTCTGGCATAATTATGACTTTACCCTAGAGTATCTTGGTTTGGAATTATTTTTGTTTGTATTGTTATGAGTTTGTGGTTGCCAGACCTCTCTAATCCTTGGATCCAATAAGTGTTAGAATTTAACCAAAGCTTGGGGTGTTAAGCTGAGTGCTACCAAGTGTTAAAAGCTAATGGGCCATTAAGAGAACAAATGATCAAAGGGATTCTTCTAGACAGAAACTAGAGTGGGGAGCTCCCTTAGCAGATAAAGCCATAGTTCAAAGTGGAGAGGTTAGGAGAGATGTGACCTAGAAGGAAAGCAGCAAATTGGAGAGAGAGAGGCTTCAAATTCTTGGCTATCAGAGAAACAAGGGGTGTTGATGCTGTGAACCCCTCAATCATAGGCTTAGGTTGTATATATCTGTAAGTAAACCATATATTCTTCACTGTGCCTCATTTCCAAAAGGAAACCTGAACCTTGGGTAAGCATCTGGAATCCTGTACCATTCAGAGATTGGGATGGTGTGCAACAGTTTTATTGGTTGGTTGGTTGGTTGATTGATTGATTGATTGATTGACAGTGATACAGTGGATGGGTTAAGCACAGCTAGGACATTCCTCTAGTTTTGCTACATTCATATTTCATTGCTTTTCTGTCACGTAGACTAGTAAGTGGCAACCCAGCCCATAATATGGAGTTTGGGAGCTCTTAAGCCTCACTTCAGTTTTCAGAACTGAAGCCATATGAGATACAAATAAGGAAATAAAAATGGCTGTTGTTCATTAGAGCTACTGTGGCACCCATCTAGGATTATGTGTTGGACTTGAACCAAGGAGATCTGGATTCATATCCTTGCTAAGCCAAGAAACTTACTAGGTGATCTTGAGCCTATCCGAACTCAGAGATTTATTGGGAAGCTTGAATAGGGTAACTTATTTCAGACACTTGAAAAAAGAGTGGTATGCAAATATGATAAATACTATTTCTTGAGCATCTAAAAGAAATCAATATAAAACAGATAATAAAAAAAAAACCCACCAGAGCCCTGCCTGTAGGTTTGCAATATAAATAAAAACATCCTGTGATTGAATGTCTGTGGTAGTGCTGGGGAGGAATGGAGGAGGGGTCATGCCTCTAGACCCATGCATTCTATTTGATGATATCCTTAAGTCAGTGAATGCTGCAACATCAAGCCAGTAATTCACAGTCTGTGAAACAAGATCACATTTTCAGCTGGAATTTCAATCAGGCACATTTATATAAAACAGAGAGAGGTTCTGGATGGCATGTTTTGCTTGCTGATGTATTTGGTTGGTATCTAAAGTGACTGGAGATTTATAATTCCCTATTAGTACCTTTGGATCAAAGAGGAATGGTGGAGTACTTATTTACTTTTCTAGGTCAGGCTCCTGATGTCAGAGTTTAATGAATTTATGCAAAACAGGAGCTAAAGAAGATTAATGTCTTCATGGTGGAATGTCCAATCAGGTTATTTTAACACTTGGTTGATGCACTTCTCTTCTCTTCCCTTCCCTTCCCTTACCCTTTTTTGTATGTATAAGTCCTATGCACTGACATTTCCAGCTAGAAGTTCTTGGGTACTAGGGCTGAGAAATATCTCTGCCCTGGGACATTTTTGCGATGTGAATAAATTGACCAGTAGAATTCTTGCTATTGGAAAGTGTCATGTGTTCATTTAGTGGCCATATTCAAGTATTCAAGATAATGCATTGTGAGAGATTGGAACCATGCAAGTGTATCCCACCTCTTTCACTTGTATGGCCCTGCCCCACACAAGTTAGCACTATGTTCCTGACAAGTTAGCACTATGGTTTTCATGGAGGTGTAGGCATGGTCACCCCTTCTGAAACAAATGAAGCCTGAATATTTAAGAATGATAGCTGCAGGGGTTCTCTCACAAAGGTGGACTTTGCCATTTTGGGGTGATTACCCGCTCACCAGCAGCAACTCTGTTACCCCAAAGGGCAATGACTTTGTTACCCCAAGGGTGATGGATGGGCTTCTGTGCCCCCATGGATTTTTGGAGATACAGCTTCCAGAAAGAGAAAGAGAGAGAGGTTTTAATCCTTCCCCAAATGATTAGAGTGTCCCAGGAAAATAATTCACTGTAATTAAACACTAAACCTGTCTGTCAAAATTAATGATCTTTCCACCTCTCCCCTCCCCTCCTAAGCTCAGGGCAGTACCCCAGTCAGCTTGCTTGCTTGCTTTTTGGAGAGCCAAGGCCAAAAAGGCACTTAGAAGCTTAGGGAATCCCTCACCCACTTTGAGACAGCTTATCAATGGTTCAGTTCAATGATGAAAGGTAAGAACCTTCCTCAAATCAACCCAATTTGCCTCATAATTCAGGAAAAACACAGATCCAACACACATCCCTAATCAGGGCCTTTTTCCCAGCTGGAACTCGCCAGTTCCGGCACCTCTGAGGTGGGCGCCATTGTAATTCTAAGAGAACAAGGCAGGTGTTCGTGGTGAGAAAAAGAGCACTGCCCCTAATACATTTGAACATTTACATTGGGCTAATAAGCTCATGGACTGAACTTATACTGCCTTCATGGTTGGAGGCTGTTTGCTTCTGAGTACTAGTTTCTGGAAACCGCAGAAGGGGACAGTACTGTTCCGCTGAGGTCCTGCTTGCAGGCTTCCCATAGGCCTCTAGTTGGCCACTGAAAGAACAAGAAGTTGGGCTAGATGGGCCACTGATCCAACAGGCTTCTTCTTATATTCTTCAGTTCCACAGTGGTGGGAAATGTGGGGTTTTTCCTAGTTCACCAAACAAATGGATTTATAAAGAGATCTGTGCTAGCTCAGAATAGGGAAAGTTTCCATCTTGATTTCTATAATTTCAAGTTTTCACTAGTTTGCATATGTGGATGCTGTCATATATCCTACATATGAACATCCTTGTGGCCATGTAGAAGCAGTGGTTTGTGAACCAAAAATTATATTCAGTTGCAGCAAGGACTGAATTGTGGCAGCTCTGAAAAGGACTGTGGCAGCCTCACTTTCACCAGCTTCACCCTTCACAATGACCATGGCTAAGTGCAGTTATAAGGACATTCATCTGTGGAAATGAACCATTGGTCTTTCGTGTGTGTGAACCAGCCCTTGTTAATTAAGTGATTAGTACTTACCAGCGACAGAACACTCTGAGCACTCAGTTAATTTCCTTGTACGTTATCCTCTCTAAGTATGAAGCATTGTTTCTTCCCTAGAAGACATTTAATTTTCATGGTTTCTGTTTCTTCTGATCCCTAGCTATATGGAAACTTGATTAGAAACGTGATATACTTCTATTGTCGTGAGTTTTAAAAGGCACAAGCAGAACGCAACTCAAACCAACTCAGTTTGGCCCAAGCGACCAAAATTTCACAGCTGAAAGGTGTGAGCACATGAGAAACGGTAGTGGAAATATTGCTGGCCAGTATGATTTCAAAGTCACCATTTGAGAAGCAAATATATTGCTGTTTCTTACATGGTTGCTCATATGAAAGACATAGTGAAATTTAAAGCTCTTGGGCCCTGTGAAAGGGACAGTGGAAATTTACAGGTTTTCCTTTAGATCACTGCAAACTGTTGCCTACACTGGGAATGGAATCTGAAGGTTAGTTTTCATGTTACGCACACTGCACAGAAGCCACTGAAGCAGTCCTGATCCAGTATGATCAAGTAACTTCATTGTATATAAGTGGTATATAAACTGTTAAAAGTAAATAAAGATTAGGGTAGGTTGAGCATATGGATTAGTCTTATTTATGGATTTCCGCTATTGTGTAAATCTCCCACCCCATAGCCAGATGCAGAGACTGGCGGTGGTATGGACACTCGACAACTGATGATGGCAATCTGTATATTAAATCTTTCTAGGAAATTATATCCACCAGAGTGGAACGCTCATTATGCAGAGGCTATTTGGAGCAAGCTATGTGTTAGGAGTATAAGGAGCAGACCGGTCCTTAGATTTTGATCTCTTTATGGGCTGGGAGAAGAAGAGAGAGAATCCGCTTTACAAAAGGGAATATTCTTTTGCAGTTTTTCCCCCCGGCACTGTGTTTTCTTCCAGCAAGAACTCAGAGCTGCCCTTGGCGCTGTGTCAACTTAAACAGTGTTGCAGAGCCTGTCCTGAAGCATATATCACTGGATGCCTGTCACATTAGGAAGCTTGAGTGAATTTCTTAGAGCCACTGAGGGTAAAAGGTGAAACTTGCCAGGATTATGTGTTGCAAATGAATCCTACTTTTGTGGTTTGGTTCAGGCCAGCAATACACTGACGGGATGAATGTACACCACACAAGATGGATGCATACGTTATTTGTTAAAAATTAGGCACATTTAATTTTATGTAGCATTGGTTAATGAAGTGTTACTGCTGTTAGAACCTGACCTTGTTCGATGCCATAGACAAATTGGGATGGTTAAATCTGCATTCTTCAAGGGGCTGTCTCTGGGTCAGTTTAGAAGCATGTGCGCTTTTCTTCTCCATTCAATTGGCTCATGATTGGACAAAAATCATCACTAATAATAATAATAATAATAATAATTTATAACGTAAACTATTCCTGAACACCTTGCTCAGCCATCTCTTAGGATCACCCTGCCAAGCAAAGGGTTGCCTAGATTTTCCATGGCTGTATCAATCTGTCTTGTGTCCTGAGAAACTATTTCTGAATATTTTCAACTAGTGCCAATATTCCCGAAGGGCATCATTATGTTGTTTTGCTTCTCTGGCAGCATAGGAAACATGAAGCTCTTTTGTCATAAAAGAAAGCATCCAATCTTGAGCTTATTAGATGGAAGTAAGGCCTATTTAAATTGATGGGACTTGCATAGATGTTATAGGCTGTATCCACAAGATGACAAGCAGGAGGGAAATAGCTGGTGGTGTTTTTGCACGCCCTTGCTCAGGAGTTCACGCAGTGCTTTGATATGTAGGTTGAATGGTAGTTCTCATGCTTCCACTTGCACAAGCAGAAAAAGCCTATTTGGATCTCATTTCTTTCTTTTTGCACAAGGCTCTAATGCAGGATGTAAAGCAGTTCTTCCAGGAGTGGAAGGCACCTTTCTGTGTGCCTAAGAACACGCTTTGATCCAACAATCTTCTTTTAGGAATAGGGTGTTAGAAGCAGCCTGGGAGATTTTCTGAGAAGGATGGATAGTGTCCTGTAGGGAACTACTGAAAGTCTAGAATGGATGGTGGAATGTGATAGAGAGAAGTAAAAAGTGAAATCTCTGTTTCATTGATTCAGCACTTGCTACTGGAAGAAAATGCCTCTCTCATTATGCTATGTTCATTTCCATATGCAAGATTTTAAAACATGATATAATAATTGTTTATATACTTCTCACAGGCTGAAAATTGCAGCTCAAGAAAATCCATTTAGAATATAGTGGGTCCCCCCCTTCTTTTCTTTTTTCTGAGCTGCAGATATCCTCTGAAATACCTGGATTCTTTTTCTTTATCCTTTGTATCCTATTTTATCCAGACTGCTAAGCAATTGTCATTTTTATAGCATTTGATGTGCAACTTCAGCCAAACGAAAAACTTGGTACTTATTAAAACCATTAGACAAGAAAAGCAAGGCTGGTAGTTTGAGGAGTTGATGTGTAAAAACTATTCAAGGATAACATAGATGCTTATATATTTAAATAGGTATTGTGTAAAGAATGTGTGCACATATATATAAAGTACTCATGCATGCTATACCTCAGAATAAAGTGAATAGAATTCAGAATTTTCCTATCCCAGAGGGCTTGTATGCCCATTATTTAATCATTATTGCTGAATGGCCCGTAATCATTTTCATAAATGTTACAATCTTGGCAGCTTTACTCTTCTCAGATGAGATAAGTCGAGTAATATTTAGATTTTTTTATTTTTTATTTAAAGAAGTGAACTTGTCTGTGGAAGGTTTATATAGAGTTTGCTTTGGAAAAGCTTTCAAGAGTTCTGCTGCCAAGGCAGAAGCAGAATTGCTGACTCTCTTATCAGCCATGCTGGTTACTGTAGTCAATCTATATAGAAAGCAAATTTCAAGCCTTCTGTATCATTGTCCCAGTGTTCTCTCACATTCTTGTGTGACCAAGAAACAAAACCCTGAGGATATGAAAAGTCTTGTTTCCTAATGGCTAAGAGTCACAAAAGGCAAGAAGGAGCTCTGTGCCTCACCCCAACTATGTCTTAGGTACAGCCCTTTATTTTCTCTCATGTTTTATCAACTTTGGTTGCTAAGACAGCTACAGTCATTTCTGGATAGGGATAGCTTGACCACAGTTGTCCATGTATTGGTAGCCTCGTGGTTAGATTACTGCAATGTACTGTATGTGGGGCTGCCTTTGAGGAAGGCTGCAGTTGGTACAGAACACAACTTGTGAGGGTTGCTTGTGGGAGCAAACTCCTGCAGACATAGAACACGTTGCCTGCAGGATTTGCACTGGCTTCCAGTTTGCCAAGTTCACAGTGTTGGTACTAACATTTAAGGTTACTTGGGAGACAGCCATGTCTCATGCATATCTAGTAGATAGCTGCGGTCTATGGGAGAGTCTCCTGCAAGTTCTAAAGATCTCAGGAGCCCATTCTGCAGTTTTAGTGTGATCTGCACTTTCCAGGAACAACTGAATACATTTTTGTTCCCAGCTAGATAAATGGGTTTTTACCACAAATAACCTGAGGAAGTGATCAGCAGCTTTAGCATTCTTCCTGAATCCTGGCAAACTGTGGCTAGTCTTAAGATGGGAGTTGTAGTCCCAAAACATCTAGCGGGCCGAGTTTGCCTATCCCATCATCCCTAGCTAACAGGACCAGTGGTCAGGGGTGATGGGAGTTGTAGTCCCAAAACATCTGGAGGGCCGAGTTTGCCTATGCTTGGTTTAAGGAATTAAACATTCAGTTTGTCCAGATTCAGACACAATGCCAAACTGTGATTAGTGGAAGTGAAAACGCCTCACAGCCATGCTACATGAGCAGAGAAGAGAGGGGAGCTGATGAGCTTAAGTTTCATTCATGTAACACTAAACTAGAGTGTTACACTAAACCAACACAGTTTTGGGGGAAATACTCTTTAGTGTTCCATCTGAATCTAGTTGAAGTCACTAATACTAGAAAAGTGGGTAACAGCAGTCACAACAAAGTCAGATACACCCCTCTGTTAAAATCCAATAGTATGTGTTGCAAAGTGCTTGAGATTTCAGACTTCTAAATTTTACTTTCTTATTCCATGCACAATTATATTTTGATGGCAAGGCATAAGAAACATAAAAACACCGGAAAAGCAATCAACGCTGCAGCTTCACTATGATTGTCGTTTCGTGATGGTGCCATGATTTGGCTTGAGGACATTGTGCAGAATCCCTGATTTTCACGCCTTTAACTAATTATTCAGTCAAGGATTTGGCAAGTTAGTCGATAGAAAGCTCATGTACAGTAAATAAAAATTGATCACACCTCAATTCCCATCAGTAGTTGGGCCGAATGGTGATAGAATTATGCGAGGGTCATTTTTAAGTCATACTTGGGGAGAAATATCCCTTGTTGTGTTGCATAATCCATACTAATCACTGAGGGAGAGTGTCTTTTCATGTTAGTTTATGAATATTTGTAGCCTTTAAATGAGGGGTGAAACTAATCCTCACTCCATAATTGATGCTTCTTAGTAGTCCCATAATTGCCTAGCCTTGTCAGACTGTTCTCATGTGGTGGTGCTGTGATTTTTAAACTTGGTGATCATTACAGATAGTTTACTTTCCCATCTATTAGAGATTCAGCCATAATATAACAGGAGTTCTCACTTAGAGCTCTTGGAATATGTCAGACTGCCTTTTGGATAAGCTTGTAGAATGTGTTCTTTTTTGGTGATTTACTGGCAATTAGTTAGAGGCGCTTGACAGATTTATTATTCTCCTTCAAAGGGTGATGAATAAAGAACACATAATATTAAAGCCAGGTTTTCTGCCTATACTTATTCCAAACAGGTTCACACTGTTTCAGATAATTCATCTGTTTAATGCAGGGTCTTGAGAATGGACAATATGATACAGCTACAAGCAAAATTGATAGTGTGGAAGTAGCATACATTCTACCCCAGTGGGACATAAGGTTGTGTCCAGTGTTGGCCATACTGTAGCACCTTTGAAATTAATGGGCGTGACTAATTTAGGTCCATCAATTTCTGTGGATCTACTCTTGAGTACAATCTTGTTGAATACAGAGACAATGTAAACAAACAAAAGTTTGGCATCACCATGGAAAAGGCCTGACCTCAGAAAATGGGTTCACATAGAGAAGAATCTCTGAAGGTGACCCCAACTGCAAGACAGTTTCAGGTGGGAGAAGGTGGTAGCTTTTCAGGCTTAGAAGAGTTTTGAACAGTGAAATTAGAAAAGAAGACGACAAACACAGAAACTCACGTTCAAAGGCTAAAAAATTAGAAAAGATACATTAAATTTATTGTAGCTCCATTGCTCCAACCCACATTTTCACTTCTCAGGGAGCAGGCGGGGAGAGGATTAGGCTATAAGAATGTGCATAGCTAAGTGGCTTCTACTGGCATCATTTCATTTCAGTGCCATTTATTTGAGCTATAGAGCAAAAGTAGTGCATTTTTTGATATAATATAGATGTCTGTTTGCACTCTCTTAATGATAAAACATTAGGATATAGCTATTTCTTTAAATCCTGTATGCAGTTCATACAATTCTCCCTCTTGTATAATGGCTCAGCTTCATCTACATGGTACATTCCTGCCTGATTTTTTTTCCTGGTTCGTTTTTTCTCTCTCTCTCCTCTCTCATTGTGAATATTCTTTTCTCTTCTCTGATTGCTTTTTCTCCTTAGATCATTACTCTTGGTTGATAGCTTCAGGTTATCACTGTATCCTATCTCCCTCTCCAATAAGCTCATGATTGATACTAATCTTCCTCCTGGGATGCATTTATCGGATGCTGGATGGAAACTACTCTCTAAATCTTAGCGTTATATCTACTGACAATTTACAAGGTTGCACCCTACATTACCATCAGGTGGCTTTGCCAGGGGCTGGTGGGTGGAGGGAGAGAAGCACCAGCACATTGCAGTTATAACTTTATTGGAAAGATGTGCTTCTTATGCTAAAAAGTTGCATTGTTTCATTTGTGTTAGATTCGAGTTTAAATTTTATAGATTAAGCAAGATGCTCCTTTCTTCATATCCTAGTATCATAAATTTGTACAGTTAGAAGGCACCGCGCCCCTTGGATCATCTGATTAAGCCTTCGAATCGCATTACCTAATCTCTCCTTTCTCAGATGCATGTCTAGCCTTACCCTAAAAGGCATCAAAAGAATATTCCACAGTGTAGCTAGCTCACCACCTTACTGCCTTTATTAGTGGCTCTTTTTAACACAGATATTTTTTGTTATAATGCTGAAACCAAGCCTTCCTAGTGTGGTACAGTGGTTAAGAGTGGTGGACTCGTAATCTGGTGAACCGGATTCGCTTCCCCGCTCCTCCACATGCAGCTGCTGGGTGACCTTGGGCTAGTCACACTTCTCTGAAGTCTCTCAGCCTCACTCACCTCACAGAGTTTTGTTGTGGGGGAGGAAGGGAAAGAATATTGTTAGTCGCTTTGAGACCCCTTAAGGGGAGTGAAAGGCGTGATATCAAGTCCAAACTCCTCCTCCTCCTCCTCCTCCTCCTCCTCCTCCTCTTCCCATTATAGAATGTGCATGCCCAGATACAATAAGAGAGACTCTGAATACATTGCTGATGTGATTGAGGCATCCTGTGATTCTCAACTAACTCAACTGATCTGGCGGGATGCATCTTTGAATGCAAAGGGTAACGTGTAATTGCAGACTCTCCAAGTGTCCCCATTTTCCAGGGGCAGTCTCAGATTTATAGAAGCTGTACCAGTTTCTGATTTGATCCCAGAATGTCATGTTTGTCCTTAGGACATTCCTATTTTCATTGGAGAAAATGTTGGAGGGCATGGAGTAATCTAATCCCTGAGCCATCTGAAGGCAGCCCTGTAGAGGGCAGCTTTTTAAATTTAATGTTTCATTATGTTTTGATGTATGTTGGAAGCCACCCAGAGTGGCTGGGGTAACCCAGTAAGATGCCTGGGATATAAATAGTATTATTATTATTATTATTTTATGATTTTATTTATTTATTATTATGGATGAATAGGGTGTCCCTATTTTCATCAGAGGAATGTTGGAGGGTATGTAATTGCATTCAGAACCAACAATTTTTTATGTGTAAACCCAGCCACATCAGAACCATTGTTTCTTTTCTGGTCCTGTTTCCCTTCTTGGTAAACAGCTGCTTTCCCGTGTGTTTCTGGTGGTATTCTTCTGAATATTTAAAAAAGGTAGCCTCTTTCAGGAACCAAGTTGCATATTTCCAGAGAGGAGATGTATTTTAATTATTCTAATGAAAGGTTTAACTAGCAGGCAAACCCTTGAAAAGGAGTTAATGTGGCGGAAAACCCTTTCCCTAAGCAAATGACTTTTCATTGCTTAACAATACTTTTTTTAAAAGAAAGAAAGAAAAAGAAATTACTGCATTGAAAGCTTTATGGAGCATACCATTTTTTATCACCTTGACATAAGGGTCATGTTCTATAACCAGTAAATATTTGTAGTGAGATAATTCAAACTGGCTGGGATTGTAGAATGAATTTTCAGAAGATGCAATTATAACGAGCCTGTCACCAAAGCCTGAAGGCATTCATAGAAAGTGCAAAATCAACCATATATCAAAATGGAAGACTGTGATCACTCCTGGGTTGAGTAAGAAGCCAATCAACACATTTATTGTTAGATAACAAAATCAGTGTCCATTTGTGTAATCAGGTTAATTAGTGTTCTGTAGGAAAGAAGAAATGGTGAAATTAGCATTTTTAATGTGCAGTCAGAGAAATACAAAGGAATGGTGGGGTCTTAATTACACATTCTTTTAAAAGCATGGCTGCTAGAGCTGTTCAAAATGTATATATAAATATTAGCAGCATTGTGAAAAACACTATTCTTAAACTCTGCTATTTGGTGGCAAATGTGACATTTGCAAATTAAATAGTATTAGACAGAATCTGCGAAATCTCAGGACTGCAAGTGTGATAGATGCTGAATTCTGACCACAGAGGGGTATTCTTCACAGGATACACAATATTATATTTTGATATTATCCAGTATTTCTACAAAGTACAGTTTTGGCTGACCCATAAGAGATTGTGAAAAGGGAAAAATTTGCTGATGAAGAGGTTAAAGATTCTAGAAGAATAAATTCATGTGTTCACAGATTTTTAGATTGGGGGTGGGGAGAGTGACTACGGGTGGAGTTCAATGTCACACCAAGACGATTGTTCCATTAGCTATATTCTTTCTCCACTAGGGTTTTTGTGACTCTTGGTAGGAAACAGAATGGCCATTTCAAAGTGGAGGGCTGGTAGCTTTTTCAAACTTCCCAAGGAGCCTATTTCTCAGGCCCTTCAGCGACACAGACACCTTCTCTCTGAACCAGTGTTAGTAGATTATACAAATCCATGAAAGTTGGTGAGAGATATGTTTATAAATTACAGTTAGTCACAATATCTATATGGAAGTCCCAGATTAACAAAGGAAATGTACCACATAATGTCAAATTTAGAAGGACAAGGAAGATTAATTGCCTTCATGCTCTGCTTATGGCTTCTTGGAAGCAACTGACTGTGCAACATCAGAAGGAGGATGTTTGGACTTCTGATCTGATCCAGAAGGGCTCTTCTTATGTTTTTATGTGTTTAGGATTGTAGTTGTGAAGGCAAAAGACAGAAAATCCAAAGTCGGAAAATGCAATGCATGACATGGAAGAATTAAAAAAAAAACACCCCTGACTATACACAATGTTAAGCTGTAATAAATCAACAGTTATCATTCAGGCGAAAGATACTGGGGACATTATAGCTAGCTCAATGAGAAGAAAAAATAAACCGAGTCTGCTGCAGCTGTCAGAAAGGAAAACTGAATGCTCCAGATCTATTAAGAATGGGTTAGAAAATAATACAGAAACATGGTCTACATATAAATTGATGGTGCCCCTCTTTTCACAGTCTGAAAAAAAAAAAACTTTAAAGCTTTAAAGAGTCACACATGGAGAATAAATTGAAGCCATGAAAGTTCTCAAATTTCCGTTTAATAATTCATCAAAGCATTTCCCTTTAATATCTATCGTCTTATGAATGGACAATAGATGGAATTCAACAGAGATTGTTCCATCAGTGCAATCATTTCTGCTTGCATGATGGAACAAATGCACTGTTGGGCCAATCTGTCCTCCTCTCAGTGTTCTGGGGGTTTCCCTACATACCCACCCCAGCCAATTGGGAGGAGCATGCAAAGCAGGAGGAGGGAAGCCTTGTTGCACTAGCAGAATGCCTTGTATGGGCTTCCAGTAGCAGAACCTGTTACAGTGGTACCTCTGGTTACGAACACTTCTGGTTATGAACTCCACTAACCCGGAAGTAGCCGTTCCTGGTTGCAAACTTTGCACCAGGATGCGAATGGAAATCGTGTGGCGGAGGCGTGTGCACAGCGGGAGGCCCCATTAGTGAAAGCGCGCCTCAGGATAAGAACGATTTCAGCTTAAGAACGGACCTCCGGAATGAATTAAGTTCATAACCAGAGGTACCACTGTAGCTGAATCCGGGCAAGTTATTCAGTACCAAACTGCAGATTTGACTTTCTTCTTCTTCTGAAGATAGATGATAGGTAGGTAGATAGGTAGATAAAGCTTCCACAATTCAAAGGCAATGTGTGTATGTGTAAAAGAGAGAATCTGTCATTGAGTGTGTGCCTCTATGGAATGTACAGCTTTTTATCATCCTGGACCCACCTTTAAGGAAAGAAGTGTCATCTTCCTTGGGAAACAAAAAAGGAGGCTAGTAAAGGGACCCCTGACCGTTAGGTCCGGTCGTGACCGACTCTGGGGTTGCGGCGCTCATCCCCCTTTATTGGCTGAGGGAGCCAACGCACAGCTTCCGGGTCATGTGGCCAGCATGACTAAGCCGCTTCCAGCGAACCAGAGCAGCGCACGGAAACGCCATTTACCTTCCCGTCGGAGCGGTACCTATTTATCTACTTGCACTTTAACCTTCTTTCGAACTGCTAGGCTGGCAGGAGCAGGGACCGAGCAACGGGAGCTCACCCCTTCGCAGGGATTCGAACCACTGACCTTCTGATCGGCAAGTCCTAGGCTCTGTGGTTTAACCCACAGCGCCACCTGCGTCCCTCTAAAAAAAGGAGGCTAGAGGGGTCTTAAAGCAGGAGTGGGGAATCTCAGGCCTGGGAGCTTCTCCAGACCTCTCTGCCTTGCCCATGAGACTTCCCAAGCCCCCCTTCCCAGCCCCGTTCCATACCTTCCCCAGATGTTTCCTTGCACTGTGAGAATGGAGGTGTGTGCCTTCTAAACCTCATGGCTGGAATGTAGCCTGCTGTGCAAGTTTCACATCCACTATTGTGCCCACTTTTGCCTCGAGACAGCCCACCACTGCGAGTTTTCCCATCAGGGTTCCTCACCCCTGCATTAAAGGCTAACAAATTTATTATGGTTTCTGGTGGAGTGGAATCTATTCCGTTAAAGCTTGTGCCATAATGAATTTGCTCTGGGTTTAAAATTCCTTTAAAACTTAAAAAAACAACCTACTCCTCCTTTTGTCCACAGTGGACTAACACACTTACCTGTCTAGGCATTGTGATCTTCTGTGTTGTTATATTGTCTGCCCACTGAGGCGGTATTCTGCATTCGGATTTTCTCCCTTAATCCATCCAAATAAGATTAGGAATGGAGAAGAGACTTTGGATAAGTTCTCGGTGTTCTGTCCCTTTGTTCTTGCAGTACGTGTTGCATTGGATAAAGATTGCTTAGTCTGTTCTTGTATAATTGGCAAGACCTTAAAAGTAGGAGTGGCTCTGCCCTGTCGATTCCAGGGGTAGAAATTGCAAGGCCTGAATGCCTTCCTGTCCATGAGCAAATCAAAATTTCATCAGGTAAGAAGAATTTTTCCCCTTTTCCAAAATTGTAAGAGAATAATCAGTATTTCTGTACTACTTGCACAGTGATCCAAATCTAGATAGTTTAGATCATGGTGGGGAAACCATTCTAAGCCTGAGAGCTGCATTCCAGAGTTTGTGTGGCGCAGTGGTTAGAGTGTTGGACTGGGACCCAGGAGACCAGGGTTTGAATCCCCACTCTGCCATGAAGCTCACCCTCAGCCTAAACTACCTCAAAGGGTTGCTGTGAGAATAAAATGGGGAAAGAGGAGATCTATGCTGACACCTTGAATCATTTGGAGGAATAGTGGTATAGAAATGTAATAAAACAAACAAATTTCCCCATGGGCCAGCTTCCAAGGAGCACCTGCCATGGGTGGGTAGATCCAGGGGCGAAAGTGGATGGGGCAAAAGATGTGACTCTTACTCTAGAAAAGAAGGCTACATTCTGGCCACAGAAAGGTTAGAGGTTTCTACACATATACACGTCTCCCTGTCTTATCCTGTCTCCATCCAGACAAGCATGAGGCATTATCACAGGTAAAGGGTGTGGCTTGGAGTTTTCTGCAGGTCCTGAAGGGTTACATTTGGCACCTGGGAGTGAGGTTCTCCCTCCCCTTGCTAGATATCAGCCAGTATAACTCTTCAAGAGGGAAACTCATTAAATTCTGTGGCTGTTTTGTGCTCTTAGATGCTTTAGTAGATGGACTAGGCAGTTATTTTGGTATTTTAATTCAGCATTAAAAAAGCTTGTTACTTTCAGCTTTGCAGCAGAGCATATTCCTGTTGAATTTCATGCAATTCACTTTAATGTGTATGAAAACCATTCTTCCTCTACATAAAGCTTAAAAATTTACAGCCCATAGGGCAGCAGGCCGTCAATATAGAACAGAACAGTGGTATTCAAGATTATTAATTTTTTTTGCAGTGGTGGAATACTTCACTTTAAACAAAACTTGGGTGGAAGTTTTGCAGTAAAATCTTTTTCATCATTTTTTTTTTTAAGAGGAGGGTGTGCAAGAGTTATTGGAAAAGCAAGCAAGGGGAAGCCAGTCAGAGCAGCAACTACAGTGGTACCTCGGGTTAAGAACTTAATTCGTTCTGGAGGTCCGTTCTTAACCTGAAACTGTTCTTAACCTGAAGCACCACTTTAGCTAATGGGGACTCCCACTGCTGGAGCGCTGCCGCTGCACGACTTCTGTTCTCATCCTGAAGCAAAGTTCTTAACCCGAGGTACTATTTTTGGGTTAGCGGAGTCTGTAACCTGAAGTGTCTGTAACCTGAAGCGTCTGTAACCCGAGGTACCACTGTATTCTGCTGCCTCGCTCCTCCCCCTTTTGTTAACTGGCAGTGATGAATGGCATTGAGAAGCCTGGTAAGCAACGCTAGATTACTAGGACAATTCCTTGAGTAGTGCATTTAATACCCATGACTGCAGTTCAATTGAAATCACATATTGTGTGTGTTTGTTCACATTTACACCTTTATTATTTATGGAACCCTTTAGGCAGCTTAGCACAATCTCAAGGTCCCACAGGACACAGTTTGGGAAATGTTGCCTATTCACAAAACAATCTTCCTTCAATTAATAGTTGGTTAGACAGATGCGGGTGGCACCGTGGGTTAAACCACAGAGCCTAAGACTTGCTGATCAGAAGGTCGGCGGTTCGAATCCCCACAACGGGGTGAGCTCCCGTTGCTCGATCCCTGCTCCTGCCAACCTAGCAGTTCGAAAGCACATCAAAGTGCAAGTAGGTAAATAGGTACCACTCCGGTGGGAAGGTAAACGGTGTTTCCATGCGCAGCTCTTGTTCATGACCTGGAAGCTGTATGCCGGCTCCCTCGGCCAATAAAGTGATATGAGCGCTGCAACCCCAGTCAGTCACGACTGGACCTAATGGTCAGGGGTCCCTTTACCTTTACCTTAGACCGAACTAAGTTGACTTCCTCGGATGTTCCCAATCCTAACAAGTCACTGTATACATGAAGATAGTCTATTTTAGCCTTTGCCCTTTTAAATTGTATTTTGAATATTCAGAGCCTAGTACTTTTGAATAAAAGTTCACACGATTTCTTCAGAAAATAAGTCTATAACAGAGCATAGCTGTTAGAAATTGTAATCAGCAATGCAACTGTTAAAAGACAAAACTGACACAGGAAGTTACACTATGCCAGTGAACAATAAACAGCTGTTTATTTCTGCATAACTTCAGTCACAGACATGCAAGTTTTAAATGCAAGCTGGATGCAAGATACCTATGTATTTTACTTTGCTTAAGCCTGTCATTCCCCCCCTTTACTCCCTATCTCCAACTGGGCTATTACTGGTGCATGTGTCTTTATTTTATTAAATATCTGTATGCCCCCTTTTGTGCTGAATTACACTAAGGGAAGCCTACAGGAGAGAGAAAACAACTTATATATAACACATGTTAAATGCACAAAATGAACACACTTGTTAAACAAAAGTCAGCAGTGGGAACCAAGGGATTAATAGTCTCAAATACAGACACTCAGAATATACCAAACACCCTCTGAAATAAAACAGCTTACTGCTGGAAAACTGTAAGGGTCAGAACACACAACACAGAAAATACCTCTCCAAAGTAATTCCTACCAGGCCTCAAACAATGAAGGGACCTAAAATCAAGTTAAGCAATTGTTTGATTTATATGAACCACTGCAGTGCCCCTTAACCCAGGCCACTGAGGATAGGGCTATCATGAACATTCACATAGCAGTGCTCATAAAAGTGAGAATTGCTCCTTGAATGCTCACAAGTAGCATCAAAGTGAGCAGGGGCCCCTGATGGAAATACCTATAGTGTCAGTTTCCCCACTGAATATTTTGGATTGCCAGCCCTAGTCCTCAATGCGAATAGCTACTCTAGGGAATACCTATTACCTTGCCTTGTCCTGCCTCAAGGTAAGCTTCTGGGCCTTTGGAACATGGGAATGGGAAACGGCAGTGGGCCCTTTGTGGGTGCTCAGTGTGAGCATTGGTTAATGATTGGATTTAATTGCTGCAAAGCTCTCATCCCTGGAATGATCTCAGAGGGTCAGAAGCTTTTGGGCCAACGCCTAAAGTTTGAGACTTTACAGGTCAAAACCTGCACTTTAGTTGGACCTGGAAACCAATTGGAAGCCAGTGGAAGTGGTCAGAATTGGTAGTATTTCCTCTCTATTGCCCACTTCCGGCAAGAGCCTCTTGGCTACATTCTATGTCATTTGTAGTTTCTGAAAGCTACATTTGTTGTTTTAAAGTCTCCTTGCAGAATGTGTTATTGTAATGGAGTCTGGATGTGACCAGAGCATGAATTACCATGGGAAGGTTATGTAGGAGTATACAGGTGAGAGATAGTTGGTTGTTTTTTTCTAAAACATATCAGCATTTCTTTTTCCAAAAATGTTGCTCTGTTTATTTTCTTTTTTTGGAATGTAGTCTTTGGTGGCTGATTCAAGATAAAAATGGATACATTGTTGATGAGTAGGCAAAGATCTAGTAGGAATTAGTTTCGACAAAAAAAACAACTTATTGTGTGTCTATTCTTACGAGTCAAGTCTGGTAGCAGTTACATTTTCCTTAACCTGACTAGCATTTCATCTTGCCTTTTCAAGTATTGTGATAAAGTAGTTAGCTTACCTTTCTACCTTTTGGTTGGCAATCCATCAGAGTAACATATAAATGTGTAAAGGTATGATGGGCACATTTCATTTGGAATCTCAGGTCACAAATGGCACAAATATTCCAATCCACTGTCATACCTCCCTTAGGAGTGTATAAATTTTTATTTGTGAATGCAAACAGACCTGGATCTGTTAAGAATGCTGAGACTATAAAGATATTCTGCCAGCATGTAAATGGATTAATTCACCACAAGACTTTAGTTTTGTTTTAAATTTTTTTACAGAAAAGCCATTGAATGTTTTCATACAGAAATATTTATTGAATTGTAATGTATGAACACATATGAGTAGCAGTGTTTTACATTTTCAAAATTTTTAGCATTTTAAGAAATACTTAGAAGACAAGCAAGTGCTTTGCCAAAACAGGAAGAGATGAGGCTTGCTTTCTGCTCAGTGAAGCAATGCCACTGATTCCTGCTAATTTTAACCATGGAACATTGATTTTATAAACAGTTTCATACATATATGTCTTTCATACACTAAGTGATGTGTCACCATGCTGACTTCAGCTCTTTTCCTGTTAAGAACTGTAAGGGGCACGTGAGATTAATATATGGAGACACACTAGCTGTGTGTCTAATGACACATAGATAATTCACTGCCACAGGAAATCACGGGAGCTAATTTTCATAATGTAGTAAGAGCCTTCTGTCAGGCACAGAATGTACTTAGTACCTTCCAGGACCAAGCTTTTAATGCTTAATATGGAATAGCAGCTTTCCATTTGGCTGCATATCCCCAGGAAAGCAAAAAACAAACCATGCAACTAGTTAACTAGGGATGTCAGAGAATTCTGAAGGAAATGGGAGCAGAAGTTGCCAATGTTTGCTTATTCATCCGATGTCTGGAATAGAACTCGAGCCAGTGAATATGATCAGTATTCCCTCTTGGTCTGCAAATATGTACATGTGCATGACTCCCCCCCACCCCCCGGGTTGCATTGCTCTTTCTTTGCACTGAAATGAACGGTGGGGAGTAACATAACGATAACACATTTGATTGCATAAAATGTGGGCAGCAAGAACCGTGTCAGAACCTGAACTGTAGAACGGAGGTGGAACAGAAACAGTGTTGCATGCGATAAGCATGGGGTTGGAACAGAAACAGATCCTTTCTTGCATATCCACTAGGAACTCATGAACTTACATGCCCATAAAGCAAAACTGTAGGCTAGTCCCACCAGATCAACTTTTTTGGGAGCTCTTTTGTGGCCCTTCAGATGTCAAGGAGGGGTGCTTGCTTGGACTACAAACTAGGCCTTTGAGGAAGGGCCATAGCTCAGTGGGTAGGGTATCTACTTTGCACGCAGAAAGTCCCAGGCTCAGCCCCAGGGGGAGGATTATGGATGGGAGAGATCCCTTTCTAAAATCCCGGAAAGCTACTCACTATCATTCAGTGTAGACAGACCAATGGTCTGACTCAATCAATAAAAGGCAGCTTCCTCTGTTCCTATTAAGTATGGAGATCTGGTGGGAATACTCTTCTCACCTTAATTTTAGACCTTTGTTTGAAGGGCTCTGTCTCTTCTCTCTCATCTGCCAAACTAGACAACTCTCTCTTTCAGATTTCCCTCTACCTTGAGCTGTGTTTACTTCTTGTAAAAACAGTAACACTATTTCTGTTCACCAATATGTCGGGATGATATTTTGTACTGTAAGATATGTAGGGTGTGTGAAGATCTGGGCTAGTCCAAGAAGGCACAGTTAGATACTTTCAAGAGGCTTGTTGATTTCATTGGACTTCAGCATGCCTAATTCAACTGGATTATCGTTTACATTTACAACCAGTAGAAGGGATGTAAATGTTGGGAGGCTTGATCTTGCTGAATTATCAATGGCATGTTTTAAGAAATATCCTTTAAATCAAAGACTAGCTAAATAGTTCAGTTGGTAGAGAGCACGAGACTCATAATCTCAGGGTTGTGAACTCAAGTACTACGTTGGGCAAAAGATCCTTGCATTGCAGGGGTTGGACTAGATGATCCTTGTGGCCCCTTTCAACTCTGTGATTCTATGAAATTCCTCTTTTAGGAAAGCTGCAGAAGACCGTTTGGCAAGAACTCAAATTCTACTTACCATTTGTTAAGAACTCAATTTTTGGAGTGGCAGTCTAGGTTGGCTTTGAAGAGGCTTGGTTGAAACTGCATACACACTTCCAAGAAAACCAAATGTAATGGTGAAGTTGATGCAAGTCAAAAGTTAAGCCTTTTAAAGCCTCTATGAATAAAATGCCAGAGGTTTAAGCATGTGTTTAAATATCTCTCATTGAAATCATTAGAAGTTACAGTAAAATTATATGCATGTGTATCCAAATGTAAGTGCTAATGAGTTTAGTGAAGCTTACTCCTAGTTAAGTGTGTATAGTATTTTAGCTTTAAAAGCAGTTGAATCTGACCTTAATCAACTGATACAGAAAACAAAATGTCCCACTGGACCTATAGATAATGGGTTGATTTTAATACTCCTGATTTAGAAAAGGGAAACTTTATCTAAACACTTCTAGCTTATTGCAAAAGAATTGTACAATTATGGCCATGATCTAGCCCACCAAAATAGCCAGGTGGTACAATAAAAAACAGAGCTAAATCTAGGACAGTATTAGAAACACAGTGGCATTCTTAACTACAGTGCAAGGACTACTCTTCCCTGAAGGATTAAATACTTGCTACATATTCTCATGTCCTGCAGTAAAATGTAACATCACAGTTGACAAGTTATTGCTATTTTATTGGCACCACTTACTCTAAGGCAATTGGACATAATAACTCAGAATACTTTATATGCTTTTTGACATTTCTTCTGTCCCTGCTGCTGTAGATGAGACTAACCGATACTTCAGAGCTTTGGGAACTCATTTAACATTGGAAGAAAATACGTGAATGCATTCCATTTTTGTATACCAGCTTCCAGATGCAGTTATATACAGAAAAACTGCCTAATGAATCACCTAGCTCCTGACTTGAGTCACAATATGTCATAACCCAGGGCTGTGCTTTCACATGTTATGTATTTCCTTAAGCACACACTCTCTCTCTCTCTCACTCTCTCTCTCTCTCACACACACACACACACACACACAGAGAGAGAGAGAGAGAGAGAGCGACCTACCTTATTTGCTCTTTGTTTCTAAGGGAGGAATTCAATGTTCTATGTCAAACATTCAATCAGCACAAGCATTTCAGCTTGCCAAATGAAATGGTCCAGCTCTCTTGACAGACACCCCCTCTGAGCTAGTTGTGTAGGAGGGAAGCCCTGTTGCACAAGCAGAAGTCCTTGTGTGGACTTCGCTTTTGCTGATGGGACTCCTTAGGTTAATCCCAATCCTTTATTTTTAAGTTCGGGATCACAGGGAATGTGATGAAACTGCAATTATACATAGCCTGTATTATAGCATCACAGATGCAAACAAAGCTAGCTCAGAGTGAGGGCACTGCACTAGTTGCCTGAAATGCTGCTGAAAGATGTAGGCACTGTTTTTGTATGTGAAGAATGCTCCCCTTTTAGGTCAGCCATTCCTAATAGATCCTTCCTCCTTTTTTCTGGAAAAAAATCAAAAGAAGGAAGTTCTACGATTACTAAAATGTTCCTTCATAGTGAGTTGAGTCCTATGATTTAATCTTAATTTGCACCGTGTAATTTAAGATGATTGCCGATTATCTGCTCAGTAGGGAAGTAGCTTTGCACATTTTTAAAAATATTGACATTTACACCCGTTTTCTGATCTTTTTGTTCCTGAAGTGCATTTTCCCACTACATTCTCCAGATCAGACAGTAGGAAATTATTGCGTTCACCATACTGAACATTGGACAAACTGGTTATTCTTCTCAAATTCTAACTGGAGGTGCTGGTTGTCATTATGGGCATGATGATTAGGTAAGGATTAGCTGGAAACTAAGGCTTCTACCTCAATATCCACTATTATACTGATAAGTGGAAGGTCTCCTGTCAAACAAGATGACGGGGGGGGGGGAGATGCTCAAACTTGAACCTGCAGAAAACACTGTCAATCACAGACCCTGAACACTGCACTACTAAATGTGGAATATTGCACATAAAAACACCCATGGCCATGTTTGACCACCCTGGATTTTTCAAAATATCAGAACTGTGTGTGTGTGTGTGTGGCTGTAGGAGGAAAACCGGTATGGTGAGGGAAATAAACTGGATTAGTGATAGAACAATGATTTCTTGTAACCCCCCAGAAAACAACAACTTCAAGCAGTAAGGATAGCAATATAAAAGCTATATCTGTCAAGCTATGTGTCTACTCAAGAAGAAGAGAAGGGCTCACTCTGCATAATTATATTGGAAGCCTACCATTTGTATTCAGTCATTTCTCTTTCTCAAGCGTCCTCTCATTTTCTTTACCTCTCGGAGGATTTGGGTGTTGAAGGAAAGTTCTCTTTCTGCACATAACTGTGGCATTATGGGAAGTCCTGCTTCTTTTCTCTGGCATTCTGGGAAGTCTCGCTTCTAAGCTTTTCTCTGCTTCTGTACGTACTGTACAACCTGTTCTAAATACCAAGACATTCCCTCATTTCTTTAGGATGCTCAGTTCATCTTAAGTTCATGAAAACATTACACTCTGACCTGTTCTTAATGCATAGCTGACCACATCTACGGAACTCGATTATTATATTCTTTCATGTTATGATCAATCATTAGTAATTGTTTTAGTCATGCTATATCAATCATTAGTTATAATTTAATTAGGAGGTTTCATGCCTGTCTAGTTCTGTGCTCCCTTTCCCAGCCTTTAATCTATTGGTGATTAATGCCTATATGTAACCCTCGCCTTGTACTTGTGTTAACCAATCAGCAACAAGTTGCTTTGTGTTTTTATCAACCAATCAGCAACTAGCGCACCTGTGGCAATGTTGTAATATTCAATAAAAGAGTCTTCTCGGGGCTTGCTCCAGAGATGCCTCTCACATGACACCTGCTACTCGTCTGTCGTTATTTCAACCCAACAGGGTGTATATTGTACTAAGACATTTCTTTCCCCGCAGCCTTTGAAAATGCACTGTGCAAGCTGTGCCCTAGTAACAAGTTCTGGACACCTCTTGCGAAGCCAGCAAGGGAAGAAGATTGACCAAACAGAGTGTGTAATACGAATGAACGATGCGCCCACACGGGGATTTGTAAAAGATGTTGGAAACAAGACAAGTCTGCGAGTCATCGCTCACTCCAGTATGCAGAGAATTTTGCGAAATCGCCATGAACTGTTAAATATGAGCCAAGGGACTGTATTTATCTTCTGGGGTCCAGGCAGCAACATGAGGAGAGATGGAAAAGGATTAATTTATAACAATCTGCAACTGATGAATCAGATACTACCTCAGTTAAAAGTATACATGATATCCCGGCACAAGATGCTTCAAATTGATGATCTCTTCAAGCGGGAAACTGGAAAAGACAGGTAAGAAAGAAGCAACTGCATGAGAATATATTGGAGAGCCACTGTCATTGTTTTAGTAGAATGTCAGGTCTGTTGATCATAAGTTCATCAGTGGGATCACACTACACAATGTGCTTGCCTTCCCTTAGCTTCCAATAACCTGTTGCATTATTTCATTTTATGCATCAAATAATAATGCTTGGCTTTTGCAGCATAAGCAACAAACATGCAATCAAATAATTTATTTGCCCATCAGTTTTTAATACTGAAAACCAGTGTGTGCCAAATACTGTCAGCAAACAGAACTGCAGAGTAGCACAGAAAGAACATCGATGCTGAATTTAAATCTCACTTTAGGTAATATACCTGAAAGCAGATTTTTACTGGTTTTGAAAAATCAGAATTGATGGGTTTTGCTTTATGGAGCCTATGCTGCCATTCTGTGAATTATAATGGCTACTTATTGAATATAAGCATTCTTGGAACATTGCAGCTGTAAAGCTTCTTGTAAAACAAATACACATTATTCATACATTAGGTGCCTCTAAAGTGTGCCTTCTTATACTTCCATCTTTGAAAGGCCAAGTTATTATGATACTTAGCTCTTTATGAGCCTATTTATGGCTTGCAAACAGATCTTCAAATCATTTTTTTAAAAAAATAATAGGTGACTAATATGTTTCTCTAGATAGGGCTGGAAATGATATCACCCCTCCTTCAAAAGATGCATTTATTTTTATTAGTTATTTACTCATTACATAGTAAAAACATAATGACAGCATAAGCACCACTTAATGCATTTATGTATAAATTAAGAGCTCACTTTAGAAAGAAGTAAATCTATCTAATAAAGTTATCTGCACTTTCCATTTCAAAATACCGTTATCCGCAATGGAAGTCTTTTGAGGCACACTGCTAAGGGAAAATATGATTTTCATATCCCAAGCTGCTGTATGCTTGGAAAAGTTCTTCATTTTAAAAGTGAACACACCTTCCTATCCTTTTGAAAATCCTGGACCTTCAAGTTTTGCTGTTCTGAGTAGCTTTTATGTGAATGAGGTTGTTGGCCTGTCATGTAAATGTTGTTGCTCTGAATCTGTGGTATTATGTTGGACGGTTTAATGACTTTATATCTTCTGCTTTAAATTGTTTTTAATATTTTTTTAAAAGTGTGAATCACCTTGGGAGGGTCTGAATTTTGTAGATCACAAAGTAGGGTATGCTAGTGAGCACCATAAGTTAGATCTGTGGAAACAAAGAGACCACCTGAGAAAAATGTGTCTAGGAGTAAGTTAGCGGCACTGTAGCTCTAGGCTCTCTCTCCCAATTCTTACTGGATATTGCATTATATAATAGAATAATAGATTTGTACAGTAGGAAGGGGCTCCAAGGCTCATCCTGCAATGGAAGAATCTCAGCTTGAATCGGATGGCCATCCAAACTCAGATTAAAAACCTCAAACAGTCAGTTCTTCTGTCAAACAGCTGTTACTGTCAGAAAGTTCTTCCTGATGTTTGGTTAGAATCTATTTTCTTGTAACTTGAAGCCACTGGCCTCTGGAGCAGGAAAAAAACAAGCTTCCTCCATCTTCCATGTGACAGCCCTTTAGATATTTGAAGATGGCTATCATATCTCCTCTCTGTCTCCACATACCCAACTCCCTCAACTTATTCCTCATAAGGCTTGGCTTCCAGATCCTTTATTGCCTGGGTCACCCTCTTCTGCACACATTCCAGCTTGTCCTCCTTAAACTATGGTGCTCAGAACTGAACACAGTTTTCAGATGTGTTCTGACCAAGGCAGAACTTCCACTATACTTCTGTTGATGCTGCCTAGAATAGCATTAGCTAGCTTTTTGCTGCTGCTGCATCACATTCCTTAAGCTTGTGGACTGCTTGGTCCTTTTCACATGTTCTACTGGCAAGCCAGGTGTCCCCCATCTTATATCTGTGCAGCTGGTTATTCCTGTCTAAGTGTTGGCCAGGAGGCAAACGTTAGTGTTTGACCTCAGGTGGATAGGTGAACGCCTTCAATATTGTACCCAAAAAGCCCATATCAGAGCAAACTAGCATATTCAAAGTCAGCCTAAAACATGCTGCACAGAAGGTTTTATTTCCAACCTTGGATCAGCTTCCTGACCATTAGTACCTCTGTCTTGCCTGGATTGAGCCTCAGCTTTTAGTCTACATCCAGTCTAACACTGTGTTCAGGCAATGGCTCCCTTGGTTTCAGTTGAAAATGAGAGATAAAGCAGGGCAACACATGTTGTTGCTCTGAATCTGTGGTATTATGTTGGACGTGCCATATTAATGGCACGCAACCCCAAATGACCCCAGCTAGGGGCTTCACGTAGATTTTAAAAGTGCAAGGGGTAAAACTGAGCCCCGAAGGATCTCACAGAACAAGGAGCTAAAGCAATACTCTTCCAGCACCATGTTCTGGGAAATTCTGACCATTTAGGACCATTGCCCTATATTCCCATACTAGTATACTGTGAGCAACTAAATGTTGAATGCTACCAAGTGGTCCAGCAGAACCAACAGGGATGCAATCCCCTTGTACAGCTCCTGGCATAAGTAAACACCAAGGCTAATTTTAGTCCCCAAACCACGCCTGAGCCTAGATGTAGAAGTATCCAAAATGTGTTCCTTCAACTAAGAAAGTCTGAATTTGAGCTGGAGCTGACATACACATGACAACACTTAACTATATTGAAACTAGGACTCTAGAATTACTGCCTAATAAAGAAAGGTTGAGTTAAAAGGAAATTGGGAAAAGAAAAGCTATTGTGAGTGACATACTACCCTAATTAATATAGGTTCATTTTGGAAAGGTTTTAACAAGCACCAGGTTGCCACAATAAATTGTAAATATCAGACTGCATAGGTACAATAACTGACACCTCAGTTTCTATAATAATCTTTAGAACTGTGATTGAAAAGACTGATGCATTATGCCCTGTTAAAAACATTTAGAAAATAACAGCCATTAAATGGGACAGCAAATGACAGGCTGAAGAACAATATACTTTTCTATTACGAACTAACTGTACTTGAGAATAAGTTTATAATTGAATAAAAGTCCATTAAGAAAATATGATTCAGAACCAATATTACAGTAATTAGATAAAAGAAGCATAAATGAAATAACTGCAGGAAGAGCATTTCCATAGAGATTATAAATGAGATTTTGATAGAGCAGAAAGGCCTTTAATTGTAATTTAGTATGCTCCACAAGAATTATCAGGACAGTGTGTTACTTCATCACAAAAGAGAGTATATGATTTCCTCAATAAGCACATGTCATGTCTTCATTTTCTTTCTTTACAACGTAGTAGGTGTAAAAGCAGGAGACAGTCTTTTGTAAGAACCTTTTTTCAGTTCTTTCAGAAAGAAACACAAAGCAGTGTAACCTTTGCTTTGTTTTTTATGCTATAAAACCAATTTTAAAACCAGTCCTTCCAGATTTACATTCTTTATCTTGTTGGACTTTTCACCCATTATTTTCCATTAAGTTTTATTAATAATCATCACCTGCCCTTCCTTTTATAAGAGCCCACAGTAGCTAATACAGTGGTACCTCACAAGACGAATGCCTCGCAAGACGAAAAATGCGCAAGACCAAAGAGTTTTTCGTTTTTTGAGTTGCTTCGCAAGACGAATTTCCCTATGGGCTTGCTTCGCAAGACGAAAAACAAAAAAAACGAAAACGTCTTGCAAGTTTGTTTCCTTTTTCTTAAAACCGTTAATAGCCAGGGTGACTTTGAGGAGCAACTCATAGCACGCGGTGTGGTAGCCTTTTTTGAGGTTTTTGAAGCCTTTGGTGATTTTGAAGACTTTGGGAAACAGTGCTTCGCAAGACGAAAAAAATCGCAAGACGAAAAAACTTGTAGAACGAATTAATTTCGTCTTGCGAGGCACCACTGTATTGCTTTTTTCTAGCTAGTGAAATTATAAATTCTGCCTTAAGTAACAAGCAGAATAGTATGCTGCTCTTGTTTTCCACTCTGCTCTGCATACCTCTTTGTAGATAATTGCTATAATGTAGCATGGACAAATATTTGCACATCACTTTTCTGAATCCAGGCCAACATACATTTAAAAAGTGTTGTGGGTCATGGTTCTGGTTTTTGGTTGAATTAATCTAGAACATCACCTTCACCTACAGTATGTTACCCAAACTAACATTTTTTCTTTGAAGTGAGGGGGTGATGTGGTGTAAATCTTTGCAAATGTGCAACACCTACCAATGTACATGAAGTCTATAGACCTTCACACGTTAAAAGGTCTTGTTCAGATCCTTATCAATCTATTTAACACATTTTCAGTGTTGAGGAAGTGTCTAGTGTTTTGCCTTTCCCCCCCTATGGTTTAATAAGGTGTTTCTGTGTTAACCAGAAATGTGTGGGGAACAGATGCATGAGGTCACCTGAGATAGCAGATAGAGATTCACACTCCTTTGTGTAGCACAAAATAAAGGTCCAGGTGGTTTAATTCCTGGCATCTCCAGGTAGGTGTGAAAAGAACTTTTGTTGAAACCCTGGAGAAACACTGACAGTCAGGGTAGACAATACTCTTCTAGATGGCCCCAGTGGTGTGACCAGCAGTATTATGTAAGGGTGGGTTTGGCAGTGGCACAGTCGTGGCAGCAGCGTTTGCTATGTTCATGTTGATGGAGTCATTTTTAGAGGAGTCTTGGCTCTGAAAGTGATAAGAAGATACAATCTGGTTTGGTTGGTTGCATGCTATAGGGAATTTGTCAGAGCAAGTTTAGGCTTGTATCAGGGGTTAAACAAATAGTCAACAGATGACAAATGAAACCTTGCTCTTCAGTAATGGAGGTATGTCGGCCCAATCGTGCATACATCTAGAGGAATATATACAATGTCTATGACCCATTATATAGTGATGTGAAGCTGGAAAATAGTTATTCTCAGCTGTCTTTGTTGACTAAAAAGCCTGTTTAGCAGTAGTTCTTTAGCTCTTCTGATTTAAAAAATAAATAAAAAAAGAATAGCTCATTGAAACCCACCTTTTCAAGTAAGTGCTTCTTCTAACTTGCTCAAAAGGTTGATGAGGAGCTGTCTTCTTATGGAGCACTTCACCTTAGCTTTCTTCCTGGTTAGTTTTCCATATGCAGGGTTTTATGATGAAAGTCACCTCATGCTACATTTCAGAAGTAGGGAATATAATAAATGATGCCTGTGAGACAGACAGACTACTAACCTGAGCCTACTTCCTTCTGAGGAAGCAAGCCTCTGTCTGGGATATACCAAGTTAAATTGCAGATAGGGACTAACATGATTGCTCTCCCCCCCCCCCCGCCTGTACTCCAAGGTAGTACATTTGAGTCACAAGCTTAGCACTTCAATGATAACTAGATCCAAGACAACTCAGAGTCCAAGGACTCGCACCCCTATCGTGTTTTCACACGGATATAAAGAGTTCAGATATAATACTGATTTCTTACTCATTCTTACATTTGAAGTAGTACAAATCATTTACATCGGTCCTTGGACTCCTTTCAGTAAGAAAATTTGGCATACGTGACTTCCCCTTGAAAACTTCAATCACTAGTTTAAAATCCTCTCAGTTTGTAGATGCTCTGTAAGCTAGGAAATTAGTCATTCAATTAATATGCTATCTGTTCTGGGAAGAATCTTATGAATAAGTGCATTCTTTTGGAGAGGAAGTGTGAAAGCTTGATCTTGATAGGTTATTACAGCACACCTGATTCAGTATTCTGAAAGCAGAGGCACTGAGATTTCCTGGTGAGAACTGCAGGATATTTGGTAGCCGTGAAAACAAAGCCTTAACGTCGTGGATTAAACATGTTCAGAATGCTTAAACGTTTTGGGCTAAAATATGGTTTTACCATCACAGTCTTAAACACATACACTTGAGAGTTGATGGGAATAACAAATTAAGGAGTATCTGCACTTATCACAGGGTAGGAGAAGCCATCAAATGCAACAAAGATTTGCATTTGTCACATGCAAGGTGGCACTTTTCCACCATTTTTGCTTTGATAAGGTTTATGTGGAACTGGTAGTCAAATATATTGTAATCACAGTTCAGCAGCCAAGAAAATGTTTGCTGCTCATAAGGTGATTAGGGAATCTGACACAGGTGGGACACGTTCTCAAGACCCTGTTACAAATGGAGCTCATCATGGAAGATGCTTTCCTAATATCCTGGGTCATAAGATCAGTATAGCTGTGATTGCTTGAAGGGTGGTATGTAGCCATATTGCTACAATGTCATCCTGTGCTAGTCAAGTAGAGTAGGGCTCCTTATCTTTTCTAGTACCATTTGCGGCTGTCAGTTTTAAGTATCAGTTGCAACATTGTCCACATAGTTGCTTCATTAATAGCATTAGTAGCATGGTGAATAACATCATTGAACAGTAGCAGAATTGTTTATTATGTTACTTAAGCATAATGCCTCAAGTTACCTTGAAACATCACTGCAGTGCAATGGGATTGTTATGTTGCAGGATTGCACTCTGAGTTAGATTAACTAGATGAAGTTATGAAGATTTTTCCTTCCTGTTAATCAGCAGGAATAATGCAAATACAGGGTGTTAAGGTGACTATTATTCAACAAGGGTGCTAAGGTAAATAATACCTCTCTTTGGAGTATTAACATGAAAAATGCAATTGCTAATACAGGACATAAGTTTATTGCATGGTGGGGGAGTATATATAATGAATGTTGGCTGCCCAGTGTTTATAACCTTTTAATATATAAAAACCTGTCGTATTGTGGACATCTGTCACAAGTGTTATTTGTCAGCCTAGGAACTTTATTGTTTTTGCTTTCAGGAAGAAGTCGAACACTTGGCTGAGCACTGGTTGGTTTACAATGAGCATCGCATTAGAACTATGTGACAGGATAGACGTCTATGGCATGGTGTCACCAGATTTCTGCAGGTAAATTTTAATCTGGATTTATGATTAGCTTGCAAAATTCAGTGTTATGGATAAATATATGAGTCTATTTTATACTATCCATAAAACGTGTATGATTTTCCTGAGGCCGTTAATTAGCAGTCCCATGATTGGCTTCTGAAAACAACAAACAGCATTTAATTACACAGCATAAAATATTAAGTTTTTGTTTGTACTGTGAGAGAGAATTAATCCACATCTTGTTAGTTTCTTTTAGGCTCTGAATATTTATCAGCTAAATGTAATGCTGTAACTGGCATGAAATTAATCTTGGGGTGGGGGGAGAGGAGGAAAGCACTGGGAAATATTAATTTAAAAGATTTTGCAAACAATATTTTCTTAGTGGAGAAGCAGAGTGAATTGTGTGTGTGTGTGCGCACACACGTTTACAAAAAGTGGGATGTCAGTTGCATATGACCTCTTCACTTGGATTGCTGTGCCCTTTAGATACTTCATGTGTCCAGGGAACAATTCAGGGGTTGGGGAGATTGATTCATGCAGAGAGCAATTTTGAGAAGTCTACCTCACACCATTTCTACCCTCAAACCTCTGCGAGTGGAAGAGATGTGGCTTCTGTCTCATATCTGCCAAATGCATGAAGGAATTTGGTGTCAGCCTTAGCAGATCTTGCTGTATAATCAACATTCAGGATGCTCTGTTGGGTAGGAATTATGTTAAAATAAAAGTTAAAGATTTCATTTACTTCTATTCCCTACGTCACCCCAAAGGTGACAACATTATCACTGTCATTCTCCACTGACTTAACCTTGATTGCCAGGGACAGATTAAATAAACATATCTTAAGATGCTTCTCAAAGTTTTGGTTATACTCAGCTCTGGAACTGTCTTCCAGAGGCCTGAATCACTGAGAATGCCTCTACCTGCCCTCTTAGCGAATGAAATAAATGAGAAGCTGTTGGGTTGGGAGAGGCAGAGACAAATAAAATCCTAAATCTTTTACTAGTATGCTTGTCTGTAATGTATACTTGTGGTTTAATGATAAAGATTCAGGGTTTATTTTCTCCACTGAGGCAACATGATTGCTTCCTCCCAGAAGTAGTGCAATAACATTGTGCAAGTTCTGACAGCTGAATGGAAGAGACACTTGAGTTGCCTTTTCTTCTCCCCATCACTGCTGCTGTAAACACTGCTATATTTCTGTGCACTATTGATGGAAGATCTGGCTATTGTATGATGCCATTTTAGGGAACTAGAGTGCATTTTACAAACAGCCCCTTATAAACATCTCCCAGCTGTGATATTAATAAGCACGTTAACTCTGACAATGCACTGATTAATGTCCAGTATCACAGAGCAGTAAAACAGCATCTGCTATAATATATTAATAAATGAGGATGACTATCAACTTCCTCATATAAATTGCTCATGCATTTCATTTGCTAGCATGAAAATTTAATTGCAAAGTGTGGGAGTTAGAACATCGTTCTTAATCTGGGTTATTCACACTGGAGAGATAAAATCATTAAAAGTTATCCAAACTCAGTTTGAAGGTGTTTGGGACTGGAGTAATAATCATCTGGCCCAAGAGACATTAGAGAACCCAGTCTACATAATGTTCTGTATTTTCAGATGAATGAGGGTGGATCAGTGGTACAGACGAGATCTCCTAGTAGGGCCATTTCCACTAACTAGCACTGTAAAAGCATAAAATAGTGAAAGTTGTTTCTGTTTATCTAGATGATCACTTACTTATGCCTTTGTTGTAGGATATCCACATGCTACTTCCATCTCAAACATTGTTCTTAGCTGCTTTTTCTCCATCATCCCACATGTAATTCTTAGTTGAGATAGAAATTACAAGAAGCACAAAACCGCTATCACTCTGTGTTTTTTTCTTTATAATGTGCAGTATAACACAATACATGATGTGACCTCATAGTGCTGTTCCCACCAGTGCAGTGATTTTGCATACAGCACAAATGCCAGGATAGAGAGGACAACGAAGTGGTGGTTTTGTATTTCTTAAAACACCTACTTTTGCCCTTCCTTATAGGATCTGGTTGCAGATTGGATGGGTGACAGTAATTCCAGTAGCCCTCCTGAATAGGTTATTAGTAATAGAAGAGTTGACAGGGCAAACTACTTGCTTAGTGCCATTCATGTGACACAGCACTGCACATCTTCTTGCTAGAAATGAATTGCACACATACAGTTTCACAAATGTGCAAAGAACTCTCTTGTCTACTGGAGATCACATCCAAAGGGTGATCCATGCACAGAACCACAGTTCAAGCTTTCTGGAGCAGAACATCTATATCCACATTTATGGCATCAAACTAGGGCATTATTATTTTTTTACCTTTTCATATAATGAATTTTTTGTCGTGTTAAACTAAAATGAAAATCTTTACATTAATTTAATCCACAACCTATTTTTGACACGTTTTAAAATAATTAAATGCATATATACCCATTTTCACTCCAAAGTATGGCTTTTGTAGATAAAGTTCTAGTCATACATTTTTCCAGCGGAGTTGTGTAAGTTATAAAATGCTCATACATTCAGAAAAGCAATTTTTAATATTTGTATAAAATTAATGCCACTGTTGTGTAATGGAAAGCTAGACAGAATGAATTAAAAACACTAATCTAAATGGAAAGCAGCAATGTTAAGAATACACATGATACTGAGAGTGGCCGAGTAACAAAATGAGGAACTGCTTTGCACAGTTAAAGTGTTATGTAATAACAGATCAAAGCAGTATAGCTTTATAAATATTGCCTTTTGTGTCTATTTTGCATGTGCTGTTAACTGAATTCCTTTTTTATGTGTGCAGCACTGCTGCATGTTACACTGCAAAAAAGTCCAACTGTAGATATTTTTAACTGCTACACTCCCACTTGCCTTGAAACCTACAATAGATGGCAATGCACAAGAACGCAAAGAGGAGCCCTGCAGGATCAGGCCAGCGGCTCATGTAGTCCGGCTGTCTAGTCTCTCAGTGGCCAACAAAAGCACAGCCTGAGCACCACAACGTTCTCCTAAACTTATGCTTCTCTGCAACTGGCATATTGCCTCCCACAGCAGACGCAGAACATAGAAATCACTGTTATTAGCTGTTACCCACTCCAAATCCAGGGCATGTATAACTGGCTAATATATTTTAAGTTTTTCTCCTTGTGGCATGTCCCAGCAGGGAATGTGGTGCCTCTGAGAACCCAGCATGCATCTGTGTAGAAGCTGACATGCCAACTCTGGCCTCGAGGAAGCAACTACCGTGACCAAGACGGCTGAAAAATGTAGTGCCCTGATTACAGAAAAAGCTTCCAGGAGGCAGAGTCATGTAACATTTTGAGTGATGGAACACAGTTTGCATGCATAAGGCCCCAGATTCAATTATCACCATTTCCAGTCAGATTTGAGAAAAAACTAGGAGAGCCACTGCCAATCAATAGCAAGCTAAATGAGCGTATGATCTGACTCTGTAGAAGGCTGCTTCCTATGTTCTCTGTGCAAATGTATTCCTGTGGGTGGTTGACATGCACCGCACAGAGAACACTCCAAATACATGGACCAGTCCTGACAGAATCCTGAAAAAATATGTATCCTTCCCACTGCCTAGCATGCAACAGCCACAAGATGCACCTGTGGTGCCGAAATGGTGAATGAAAGGATCTTTTCTCACTTGCAAACAAGACACAAAACAGAGATTTAATACATTACCAGTCCTCAGTTTCTTATTGCAGAATCAGTCATTTCCCTAGCTTCTCAAAACAGACTGGTAAAACTCTAGCAGAGTTTCCACAAACATGCAGTCCTTCTAAACAATGACCCAAAACTTTCTATAAACCTTCACATCTGAGTTTAACACCCTTCCTTATTTTAATAATTGCAAGGTGTTTAGTCACTCATCCTGGTTTAGAGGATTTTTGTAAGGAAGGAGGTGGAAAAAGTCACATTTTCCCCAACAGAACAGAACTGTTGTAATGCAGTACTTTTGCTTAGGTAATGTGTCCCCTTTTGACTGCCGGATTTATCACCCAGTATATAATTTGTATGTTTGTAGCAAAAATTACAAATAGCACCTCCAGTATTGCATTGACAACATAGCTTAAAACAGGCATCCCCAACCTGTGGCCCTCCAGATATTTTGGCCTACAATTCCCATCATCCCTAACCACTGGTCCTGTTAGCTAGGGATCATGGGAGTTGTAGGCCAAAACATCTGGAGGGCCACAGGTTGGGGGTGCCTGGCTTAAAACATAACAGCCCAAATGCTGAAGTCTAACTTCCCAAGGGTTCTGTGCACCTGTATGTTAAAAGATGACTAATTCAATTTTAGGAAGCCTTTGTAAAGGGAAAGCAGGCCAGAATCATTGCTCTGCAGGCAGCTCATTTAGTTGCTGTGTGTAGCAGGATAGATATGGAATTGGTGCCCAGCAAATCTGTTGTGGTCACTTGTACATTTTATTCTGCCAGATTGGTTTTTGTGTTGTCTTGTTTTTGTTTGCTTAAATTGGACACGACTTCGGAAAGGTGGAGAAAACTGTACCAAAGTCACAGTCTTAAAACACAGAGAGAAAAGCAAACAAGTACAGGTCACTCACTATTTCTTCTTTGTTGAAATGGTGCTGGAATTAAATGCAGGCACTTTTCTTCCAAGAACCTACAGCTGACACAGAGAGGAAATGCATTTGAACCAATTCATGGCTAAAATTATTTGGGCAGATATTCTAAATGCTGTGCCCTAAATTATACACACCCCACAGGATAGCATGGGATGGAGGTTATGTTTCTTTTTCTTCCTAGGACAGTAATTAGCTGTTTTAATGTTCGCATACAAAAATAATAAAATGACTACTGCTAAATTAAATTTTCTTTGTAAACAACTTCCATTCCCATTAAAAATCACATGACAATGGCTATTGACATCCCACAGCTAGGGCTACAGTGAAATGTGCTTTTATCCTATGTGCCATGCTGGAAGGACTTTCATGCGTTTGAATTGCAGAATCAAAGGGCTGGAGTCTGCTTTCCATTTGGCAGCCTGTTCCTTTGAATGCCTCTGCAGGTTCTTTCTCAAAATCTAAGCTAAACATATACCTATTTCAAGCATCAAGCTTTCACATGCTCAATGTAACAATGTGGTGAATTCTCCCAGCACACTCAGCTGCCTTCTTTTAGAGTAGCAATGTTTTAGTAAGATTCAGGAAAATAATTTAAACACTGCTTAAAATACTATTTTAAAAAAATATTTAAAATTCAGCATGAGCTGGGACCAAAAGAAGGAGGAGGATTTTGAACCTGTCAGTTTATTAATGATAGCATCTCTTTTCAATTGTACACCTGGGCTTTCAATCTTTTTTCTCTTTCCTTCTGCAGGGTTCCTAATCATCCTTCAGTACCTTATCATTATTACGAACCTGTAGGACCTGATGAATGTACAATGTACATTTCACATGAACGGGGAAGAAAGGGCAGTCATCATCGTTTTATCACAGAAAAACGAGTGTTTGAGAATTGGGCCCGGACATTCAATATTCACTTTTTTCAGCCAGACTGGAAACCAGAATCACTTCCTATAACTCATGCTAAGATTAAAATGGTATTCTAAGGAATGAATGCACAAAGTTGTAATCACAATCACTTACTGTATCAGGCTTCAGGGGAACTGAACATTGTATCAGAGCAAGCCAACCTGGAAAAAAGAAAGGTTAACAGGGTTTGCGGATAAAAACTGCTACAATATTCAGGAAGTTATTGCAAAGGCGTACCTAAAATGGACATTTGGTATCCAGTTGTATCTAAATTGAACATTTTAACTTCTGTCCATCAGCCTCACATATGTGTATGTGATTTGTTAAAAAGAGGAGGAAAAGGATGAAGAAACCTGTGGTATAATAAGAATAATTCAAGAGAAGTTTAATTCTTTATGTTTTTAAGGCACGTTGCCGCTGGGTTTTCATAGTGACATTTAACAGTTACTTACTTAGTGGAGGTTTTTTAATGCAATCCAGTATTTTTCTATTTCACAATAATATGGTTATTTATCTTTCATAATCCCTCCAAAACTGAGGATTTATATACTGCTGCTGGTTTAAGGCCCAGCTTCTTGTTTATACATTTTCTCTTTGAAATATAAGATGATTCTATCTAGCATGTAATTAATATTTGATCTGGAAGCTATGTGCTTTATTTATTTCTTTTTTTACTCTTGGGCTCTGTTCCAGCATCAAGCCATTTGACACAGTGGCGTAGCGTGGGGGGTGCAGGGGGGACTGGCCGCACCGGGCGCAACATCTGGGGGGGGCGCGCTTGCACTCGCAGTGCTAAAATTCACGGGTTAGGGGGCGCAAATTACTTGCCTTGCCCCGGGTGCTGACAACCCACGCTACGCCACTGATTTGACAGCAAGCACATCTTTATGTGAAGCTCTAGCAGAGGCGGGTGCCCAAAATTACAGTATGCGGCATCACACACACAAATAAAGAGAAATGCAGAGGACCAGTTTAGGGACTTTCCATCTCTCAGTCATTGTTTTTAGTCTTTTCGTATTTCTAGCAACTCACTTTCCATAGTATCACAGCAGTCTGGCCTTGTGCTGCCCTCAGCCTACCTGACCAAAAGGTGTTCTAAGCAAGCTGAGCCACTAACGCGCAGGTGTTGGTGTGTTGTTTTTGCACATGATCTGCGAGCAATTGCTTAGTTTGTTTTTTTCAAATTTATAAAAGCGTTTTACAGAAATCATTGTTATGATGATGACAAGCTATACAGGCCGACATGGGGGCAGTAATGAAACCAACAAAGGCCGACTGCATCCTTCTCTGGGCATAGCAGAGCCCAGACCTTTGTAAATACAGGGTTTGTGTATAACTAAGTAGCAGCTGAGGGAAGGCAGGTGAACACAGAGGAAGTTTCCACCTCGTCAACCAACTTCATGTAAGTTTTGAGGTGTGGTAAGCAGACTGCATGGTTCAGTGATCGAGTCCAACGAATTCTATGTGGATCTAGTATTGGTCCTGACTCAACACGAATAAAAGGTGCCGGTTTCTTTTGAGATGCACTGGACAATATAAAATTCTTTCAAATCAGACTGAATGGCACCAATAGTTCTGTATGTTGATACTTGCACATTTTGTTTTTGTGGGATTATACCTGGCTGATGAATAAAGAGGATTTCATTTTCAGTGTTATTTGTCCTTTCACCTCACAAATGCTCAAAGTCAAATCACTTCTTCAAAGGAATTGCCAAGAATTACTTGACCTATTGCGCACTGCCATACACCAGTAGTTCAAATGATGAAATCCTTTCACATCACAGGCACTAAAAATAGAGTTAGGTTGCCATCAAGGGGTCAGGTTATTTTAAATTGCTCAGCACTGAAAACCATAATACACAGGAGCCGTGCCTAGGGGTGATTTGAAATTTCTCTTTCTATTTGAGCTTAACTTCAGAATCTGTAGGGATCAAGTGAGTCTTGCTGTATGATTCCCTAGTCTTACAGCATGGGGTGGGGAGAGGGGGGGGGGAAGGATTGCAGTACTGAACCCTAGTGCATACCATCAAGTTCCAGGTCCTCCAGGTGCCATAGAGGAACAGACCACTCTATGACCTTGGTAATATTGAGGGGAATTGTCTACCTTGCATGCAGCTGCTTCTGACTACTGAAAATGAACTGGGGGCTGAGCCATATGTGAGTAGAAATGATACTGCCAGACAGCCTTCAACATATTGCAAGGGACTGTAAGATTCTGAGTAGGAAGTTGAAGAACCCTGGGGGCACATGTGGTTATTTCACCACTCCTTCCTGTTGAAGGTCATGGCCTAGGAAGAAAATACTGGAAGATAAAAACAGGCTGTGCAAATGGTATCATTGGGAAAGATTCGGTTTCTTTGACCATGGTCCCCACTTCCATGGAGGACTTCTTACAAGAGATGGATTGTACCTCACAGTAGCTGGCAAGAATTAAGTTTGCTTTAAACTGAATTCTGAGGGGGAGGGAGCTAATCAGAGGACACAGGGAACCAAATACTGGGGATACTTAACTGATGTACAGGAAACTGCTAAAATGCAGCAAAGAAACAAGAAGCAGCTGGAGGGAATGCCTCGTAGTTCAGTTGTCTCAATACTATACTATGCACAGAGCATGGGAAACAAACAAGATGAACTTCAACTATTAAGATAGCAAATAACTGGCTAGGGTTTACTGAAACCTGATGTGATAAGACTTGTGAGTGGAATGTAATAACTGAGGGCTATCACCTATTCAAAAGGAATAGACCAAACATATGTAAAGGATGTGTACACCTTTGACTTGGGGCATGGAAGGCATTTGGGTAAAAACTGCTATAGAGCTCCAAGCCAGACTGAAGACTTAGATGATGCCTTCCTACAGCAGATTACCAAACATTCAAAAAGGAGATATATAGCAGTCATTGGGTGCTTTGACTACCCTGGTATCTACTGGAATGCAAACTGCTAACAATGTAAGGTCCAACAAATTCCTCCATTGCCTAGCTGACAATTTCTAGTGGGTGAGAGATCCCATGGTTAGAAATACTTGAGTTCAAGATGTATGGGCATTTCTTAAAGGTGGTATGTTGAAGATACAATTGCAAACGATGCCAACAAGAAATAAAAGTGGAAGGTATGTAAAGAAACCGATGTGGCAGAATAAGGAGCTTTCAGATTAGCTGATATTTAGAAGGAGCATATATAAAAATGAAAGAAGGGGGAAATCATGTAGAAGTATTCACAAGGAGCCAAAACTTGCAGAAAGAACAAGCTCAGGCTTCAAGCATAGATAGATTACTTTCAGGTTATGAACTCTTGACTTTGACAGCCCATGTTTCTCCAAGACAAAGCATGGAGTTAGCAGTGTTAGCTAGAGCTGAGTATAAGAACAATGTTTGACAAGTCACACTATATACAGGGGAATGCAGAGTCCTGTATTTGTAAAACAAAATTCCTGAAGTAGGAATCTACCCTTGAAATTCAAGTCATCACTTTGGGAGAGTGCTTCTTCTTCTTCTTCTTCTTCTTATTATTATTATTATTATATATTGATGTACAGATAATTTTAAATAAACTGCATGGCCTTTTCATCCCCAAGGTGATTCACAACCATAAAGACGCAGCTTTACAATAAACACTAATAAAAACTAAAACTTTAAAAAACAAACTTACAAGCAGCATCAGAAGAAAATGACAATTCATTTAAAACTTGGCAGAATAAATATGTCTGGAACCATCTGTCTTTCCTAAGCATATCTGTTCTTATGGAACAGCTTCTTTAAGAAATAGTTGAAGAGGGATCATTGGGAAAGGGAGGGAGGAAAGTCGGTTGTTGTTTTGGTGCCTGACCTGCAGCTTCTATATGCCTTCCAGATGTTGCTGAACTCCCAATTCCTACCATCCCTGACCACTAGCCATATGAACTGGCACTGATGAGGGCTGGAATCCAACCGTAGCTGGAGGCCATCATGTTGACTAACTCTGATCTATAGGCAAGGTCCGAGTGCATTACATTATATAGTCTATACTCCCATCTTCATCAGACTGTTGTTCCATGGCACAATGGAGTGGCGGGGGGAGATTTTAGGTTGGCAAAAGTAGTATAATTTTGGGGAGGGGCAGAACCTACAAACCAGACAAGGTAGTGCTGCTTTCTCTCCTTTTGCACATTACCAAACCTAAGCCCTGTCTCCCAAGTTGTGACTCGGATGCTATCAGCAGCCCAGATACCATTTCCTTTAAAAGCATGGGAATGCCTCTTGTTTCTGCAGAGAACATTCACACTTGCACAATGTATTTGCCACAGTTTTTATTGATTTTTGTTATTGTGTGTGGCTGCTAACAGAAAAGAGGAAGGTGGATTGAATGCTGGATGAAAAAACACTTAATTCCATACCTGCTTGTACTTTAGGCTCCATTAGTGTTTGTGTCGTTAACACAAATACCAAAGCTTCCCTAAATAGAGACCCTGGGACGCTACAGCCTTTTCAGCATAACATTGAAAGCACCTCTATTAGTTTCTACACTTACACAAAAGTACAACAAAGATAAAAATAAAAGCTTTGAGAAGTGGGAGTTTTTTAAAAAACAGGTCACTATAGTGTGTCTCTGCAGGGATATTATTGTCATTGCTATTGTAATTACCATTCCTAGAAACTCATAATCACATCCAACACCTATAAGAAAGGAACTGCAAAAACTGTCCTCAGAAAGACTGGAGAACAGAAGAGTCTATTTGCCTTGGCCTTGTACAGTATGCCCACATTTTACGCAGACTTAATTTGTGTAATTTCAACTATGTGCAGGCAAATCGGGGAAGTCAGATTGTTGGAAGTCTCGTGAGAGCGCCCCTAACACTCCCAGAACCGGGGCACTGAGCAAGCAACGCTAAGAGCGTAAAAGCTCTTTTCGTGCTGGGTAAACTTAAGCAGCCCCAATGCAAAAAGAGCTTTAAGCCACACAGATGTGTACTGTAAAAAGTGTGAACTAGATTTTGTACAGGGCCTCCGTTTCCTGGCCTTAGATTTTCTTTAAAAGGAACTCTGCCCTCCTTTCTTAGACCTACACTGGGCACAATCAAATGTGTTGCTAGCACTGCCCTTAATCTGGAAGTCAGACATAGCACATTAAGCAGCTTGGCATAGATATACCATGCATTACTGGCTCTGAATCTTCACTGTCTCTCCAATGTCTCAGGCATGTCAGATGCTGTGAGACTCTTTGGGGTCTATATTGAAGTATGTCAATGGGAATAATTTGTGTTGCTGGTTTGCCTCCTTATCTGCTCCCCTTGGACCTAGTGCAAGTCAAATATATGGCTACACAGAAAATAGAAGATGTGGAAGTCCCAGAGTTACACGAATCAGCTAATGGGCCATGTACAACACAGTTACTTGGCCTTAGTCTAACTCTGACAAATGTATGCCATTTCTAAACAGAAGAGCAGTTTTATTGCTTTACCTTGTAAGAAGATCGTAGATTTCCCAAGGTTCCCTTCCAGGATAGCTGCAGAAATCGAAATGGCCTTTCACCTTTTCTTCTACTGTAGATTTTATCAATGGCTTGGAGAAAACATTCTTTAGCCTCTTATGAAGAGTGTTCCTGGTTGATCAAAAAGGGTCTTTTTGAGTACCTTCCTTGAGGGGACTAATAAATCTGTTACTGAACAGGCAGCAAAATATCTGAATGCTTTATCTCTCATACATGCTATGATCGTTCATTATTCACTTGTCAGTGTTAATAAACTGGTTCTAGTGAGGCTGTGATTTTGTATTTTATACTTTGGTCAGTTGATTGTAATAGACAGATTGTTCAAGGTTCTAGCCATATCCTATGGTACTCCATTCCACCCCTTCTCCCCCCCCCCCCCATTTTGTACTCTGCGGCCACTAAGCATGCACAGCCCTCATTGGACTGTTCTGAAATGTAATGTTTTGGCCCCATAAGCTACTTACAGCCCATTCCGTGTTCCATGATAACTTTGCATACTGTGATGCATCTAGCAACAGTGCCTCTGCTGCTATAGTAGTGTCAACACACACTGCTGTACACGTCCAGTACCCCAGTTTGGTTGCAAAAGATTTCACCAACACTGGAGTCCTTCAGACCTTGAATGCTATATACTTCATTGGAGTGTGCTCACAATAATATTAGATGCGTTCAATAATAAGCTGCTGGACACTGCAAGCGCCAAAAAAGGAAAAGATTGTGGATGTTACAATCCAATTGCTTTCCATTCTCTGTGCATCAAAGAATCATACCCTCAGACTCATTGAGCATGGATTGCTGCATTTCAATCTAATTGCTTTTCTCACCTCTGTTAATCAGCTTTGCCGGCATACTTACTGCTTTTTCCGTTTCATAAATTGTATTTTAATAACCCACCTAATTGCCTCTTTTCCCTAAGCAGATTATCTTTTCAGAAGGACGTCTTGACTTGTATCTCCATGTCTCCTCAGAATCCATCCAAAGTCTGCTGCTTTTACTCAGCTGGGCGGCAGTTTTTTAGGTAGAATGAGAGGTCTAGATGAGGCCTACAGAGTGGGGATGACAGAGTTTAATTGCAAGTGAAACAGGCCTCTATTAAATTCACTGTCAATGTGACAACTTATGTCCATAAAACACATTTATCGTTAGATTTATAAAATATGATAAATGCAAATAGAAAGAAAAAAGAAAAGTGGAATCACTGTCAGATACTTAAATCAATGAATTATACAGATAGATCTTTAAAGACTAATTCAATGTAAAAAAAATGGTGTATCAGTATATTTCATTAAAAAAAAACCTTTTCAGAACTTAAATTCTTCTAAACACTTTGTGCATTTGTTTTTAAAGAAAGCTGAATTTCTAAATGTGAGGTAATTGTTTGCAAAGGATTTCGGGCCAACTATCCTGAGAATGAAGCTTTCTTTTCATCCACAAATCTGACAAAATGGTGTCTTTGATCATCACAGGTTTGCAGGCGTACCTACCTCTAAAAAGGTGAGTTATTTTCCCATTTTCTGACATTTTCTTAAAGATAGTACAGGCAAGGTGGCTCATTTTATGCTCATTGTGGCCTAGAAGAAGCCTGTGATTCTATTCACAATGATTAGATTATCTTGGGTGTCATTCTGACCCAGGTTTTCCTGGCCAAGTATTCTCAGCAACCATCTATTCATAAATTTATCAAGAGGTGTAGAAAGAAGGTTATTTCTCACTTCCCGGTAACAGATGAATTGGCCATGCTGAGGAAATTATTTGAACCAAGTTTATCGCTGTCTCCCATTACTGAGCTATCCAGCTTATTGAGGTGTGGGCCAAAGAACTGTGAGTGAAAGGGGGGAGAATGCATTGGTGCTGTTCAGTAAGCTCTTCCACAATCCAACAGAGTATTCTCTCAGTGCAGTACAGGATGTGTTACAGTAAGAGAAGCACCAATTAGGAAAGAGACAGGCTAAAACATATACACACTAGCACTTAGGTTCTTAACCTGTGGTCCACAGACAGTCCATGAACCAGGTGCAAAAGAAGGGATGTTCTTCTATTTTCTTCCTGATACTTTGAAAACTGTGTTTGTGGGGTGAAAAAAAAATTCATATCAAATTTATTGGGTGGGGGTCCATCAAATTATCAAAGAGGCCCATGACCTCCTAAAAGGTGAAGAACCGCTGCTCTAGTAATGACAAAGAAAGAACAAGATTTGGGCAAAAGTCTCTTGCAGTCTTGTGCAAGTGTCTCTCTGGATTTGGGCCACTTCTGATGTCACATTTCTTTCCTAGATCAGAAAAGGCTCTTCCATGAGAAGAGGCAGCATTTTACAAAAGAAAGGACATCTTTGGATCCGGCCTGAAGTCTTCAATGCCTCATAAAACAGCACTTAAAAGTAACAGTTTGTTTTTATCCTCACAGATTGCCCACTCACCTCTGTATGATGTTGAGTGGACTGAAGGACAATACAGTGGTACCTCGGGTTAAGAACTTAATTTGTTCTGGAGGTCCGTTCTTAACCTGAAACTGTTCTTAACCTGAGGTACCACTTTAGCTAATGGGCCCTCCCGCTGCTGCCGCCGCGCTGCCACCACGCGATTTCTGTTCTCACCCTGAAGCAAAGTCCTTAACCCAAGGTAATATTTCTGGATTAGTGGAGTCTGTAACTTGAAGCGCCTGTAATCCAAGGTACCACTGTAAACATACACAGCTAACACCGTCATTGCTAAAGTCTGTTTTGTATGTTTCCGTTTCATTCCACAGAACAGTATGGCATACTTACCAAGATATTGTGCTTGTGGAACAGAAACTGCATCACGCTCACCTGAGAGAGATACTGTTGCTATGGCACTTCAGACTTACAGGGATTTTTTTTTGTTCCACTTTATTTATTTATTATTTAGATTTATACCCTGCATCTTCCTTCAGAGGAGCCCAGAGCAGCACGTTAACTATATGCAATCCACAACTCCCAACTTCATGAACAAAAAATACTGCAGTGATACAGATTGAATGCTATGTTCAGGGGGTGTCATCTTAGAGGGGAAAACATAATTTTTGCAAATTTCTTCAGTGAGCGGTCTTAAAAATATGTTTTTGGTTAAATCTACTACTGAACAACATTTAGTTTGGTAAGTCTACGTTTGATGAAGAAGCCCATAAACTGTTTTCAGAAAACCAAATTACAATTTTACCTCCTGAAAAGGTTAGGTAATGCCAAACAAACAAACAAATAAATTAACTGAAAGGACTTGGCAATCATTTTTAATTATTTCTACGCAATTTTACATACATTTTACTTACTAAGCAAAACTAAATAATATTAAATTAACCCAAATATCTTTGGAATTCCCAAGTCATGTTACAACTTTTCAGCACTCCTCATTTTTGGAATTCAAAAGTTCAGAAATTCAACATGCTCTAATGTGGCAACCTTTCATATTGGAGCCACTCCATATGAGGACATGTTTAGTAACCAATAAATTTAATTGCATAATGCTTACTATGGTCCACCCCAAATCATTCTGCAGCAAGCCATTCTTCTTCCTACTTTTGTTTCTCTGTGAACAGATTTAATTCATGAAGAGCAGAACACAAAGAACAAATAAATAATACACCCGACAACAAAATGTATAGCTCAGTTTTCAAGTACATAGTCCTAATGGATTTTTTTCCATGAATCTCATTTTTAACAACTTGTTCTTCTTAACAAGATACTGAAGAACATAAAGTGATTTCAGAAAGCAGACAGCATATCCTTCTGCTGAACACGAGGCAGTGCGTGGGTTCTCTCACCAAGCAGATCCAGGAAATACTTTCTTTGGGCCTTTTTTGTTTCCAATTCTAATCATTCTTGGAATCCAAGAAGCAAAACTGCCCTAGGTAAAAGGATTGATCTAAAGGGCTGTATTTAACAGAGCGAAATCAATATTTCCTACGGTATTTTTGTTTCTGTTGAGCAAGTGTTCAATATGTCACTGCAAAAGTCTGCAAAGTGACTTAAGTCTTTATTGATAAAATGACATCTTAAATAAGGTTCTGCATATTGTCTAGACCTTCATTTCAGTGATGGGGTAATGATTACATAAGAAGTAGCAGTAGTAGTAATAGTAGTAGAAGAAGAAGTAGAGAGAAAAAAATAATCTTTTTACAACTTACAATTTGTTCTGCAGTGCACATGCAGGGCAATGCCACCCTGAATACTCCTTGTACAGTAGATGCAAATGCTATTCTCTCTGCAGCAAACTAAGATAAGACGAAGCCTGCTTTTACCTCTTTGGAGTGCCTTTACTCCTGTAAGTTAGGTTGCTCATTCATTTCAAAGGAGAAGGAGGGAAGGATTCTCACTGTGTCCTTGGAAGTTTTATAAAATGTGTTCAAAATGGGTATTAAACAGCTGCATTTAACAATACAAAACACAAAGTAAAAATGTGCAAGTATCATAACAAGTGGGGTGGTGGAGAAGAATTTTCCGGTAGAAGACCTCATTTTTATTCAAGGATGCATTCAGAGCAAGACATCTTGATTGCTCTAAGGGTCTAAAAGATGTGTTTCATGTGTTTGATTCCGTAGGTTTTAAAGAAGACCATGATAATGAGCGCCCAGAGTCCTAAGATAAACCCTCCGGGAGGATGCCAGTCTTTCTGTTTTGGTTTCTGCAAAGCGAAAAGCAAAAGTGAAAGGAAAAAGTTAATATTCAATGTTCACTACCAGATAAGGGTTAAAAAGAAAAATCACAGGACTCTTTGGGTGATAACAGCACCAATGGAGGAATCTGCTCACAAAAGAAGAGGAAGCTCCCTGTCTGCCCTTGATATTCCCATCTCAGGTAGCCCCTAGTGCCCCCATCTATCTCAGAGAGTTGGGAGATGCCCCAGTACAAGACTGTTGTTGTGTGCTACAACAGACATCACCTGTTGGATCAACAAAAATATTGATGAAATACGCTGAAATGTGGCAATATATTACAGCCAGGTAGACCACGTTATAGTGCGATAAAGCAACCATTTTAGTTCTCTTTTTCAAGTGTCAAAGATACTGTGTGTGTGTGTGCGCACGCACAAACACCTATTTTATTTGTGGAGGATTGTGCACTGAATTTTATACAGAGTAGAATGGAATGGTTAGTTTTCTTAGCTATGGATGAGTCTACAAATGTCAGGTACCACTATAATCTGGTTTGTCAGGGGAAGGGGAGGAGGCCAGAACCTTTTCAGAATGTTTATAGGAACATGATTCAATGAAATAATAGGTTTTTTTAAAAAATAAAATAAAACAAAAAGGATTTAAAACAATGAATGATGCAGACAACTCTGTAGCTTATAGTAATGAGAAAACAGGCAACTGCAAATGAATGGCTAAGCAACTCTCATTAACGATAAAATGGATGAAGCTCCAATCAGTCTCCCCAATAGTATTCACATGCACTTTCTCCCAAAATATCAAGCCTACACACACACACACACACACACACACACACACACAGCAAGTAACAGCTCCTACACCTCACACAAAAGAACCTTTCTGGTTTAAATTTTCCTAATTAACCCAGAACTTCATATGCATATTGCATTGCTCATTTCATCAATCTCTTTGTGCTATCAATCTTTCTTCACTTGGATCTCAGACAAATCCTTACCACAAAGTGGCACCTGACCCTCCTAGACAAATGACTTCAATTTGCAGCCAGTGACACTAAAAGCCTTTCTCGTCTATTTTGTATAGAACACATAATTTAATTTCTTTAAAGAAATTTATTGGAATAAATATTTATAAGGTGACCCCGGTGGAAGGTTTTACATCTTGTCATACAACACACCAAAGCTGCCACCCCAACTGCCTTCCTGGGCTCTGAAATTCCATGGGAGATCTGGCGAAAGGAATGCTTTTTATATTTGAATTCAAGAGCACATAAATAATCTGTTCAAAGCTGAACAGTGCAGCTTTGAAATGCACTGGATACATTATTGATATTTTAAAAAAGACGGCAAGGCAGCAAAAAGAAAAACAGCTGGAAGAGGTGAATGCGCTGCATTCTAAGAAATAAATATGACTTGACATTGGGGATTTAGAGATTTACAGAGCGAAAACTGCATGCAGGGCTGCACCCCAGCTACAGCAGTAGCAGTGCAGTAGCAGAACTTATCTGGAGATCCACACAGGCTGTGATCAGGAAGACCATCCCACTTCAAGATTGTTGGTCAAGTGTGAACAGCAGTGGTAGACAGCACAGCATGTGAATGAGCATGTTGGTGAATATCTGTATTGCTATGTCCAGTTTAGTTCACATGCCCATCCCACCGGCCAATTGTTCCCTCCCATGTTCTGGTAATAGCAAGAGGAGCACAACAAGGACATCTGGTGCCAACAACAGGACAGCATTAACCTTTCAAATGGGTAACCTCATTGTCGTCATAAAATACAAGCGCCAATAGCCAAATGGGAGATAATATGTTAAGGAAGGGGCACTGTGGTCATTTCCATCCTACCTATGTCTTTGGAGCCCGAGACAAGCTGTTGACCCTAGAACTTCTATCTTTCCTGGAGCATCACAACCCCTGCACCTGCAAGCTTCTGGTAACCTAGAATTTGGACCTACCCAAGTAGACATTATTGAGCCTCATTCCATTGATATCCAACTCTTTCAATTCTGACCTTTTCTACCACCTTGAACTCCTTAACTAACACATACAATTCCTTCATTTTCTGTTCTTAAATGCTGTGGTAGTTGACCCAGTCAATTTTAGCCCCCAGAGGATTATTCATATTTGCTCCTTTGTAACATAGGTCTGTTGGCTTTGCAGTTTCCCCTTAAATCTTGCAACTCTGACTTGTGACGCTGAGCTTATAAACACTGAGCCTTTGCCACAGCTCTTTGAACTTCCAGTTATTATCCCCTTACCCTTTTGTACATTTCACCTGACCCCACTCGCATGGGGTGCACTTGCCTTTAACTGGGTCACAGAAACCCCACCATTCTTTGTTCCACTTGTTATTTGTTCCTAACCACCTCCTTTAAGTTTCCTGCCAATTAAGAAACAAAAGACAACACTACAGCATTTTGAGGAGCTCAAAGGTCCATGAATGCACAGAGTAAAGGCTGGTCCCCTGGTAAAAAGTCAGGAGCAACTGCTTTAACTGCAAAGCATTTCACACCAAAAGCGATTTCACAGGCGTCTGCGCAACTGCATGGGAAAAGGTTGGTGCAAACCAAGATACACACGATGAGCAAGCAATTGCCTTTTCAACTGGAGCTGCCAGGGAAAGTGCACCTGCTAACATGGAAGCAGCTGCTGGATTTTTACAAGCATATAGCCTGGCTGTAATTCGCTATACAGTCACGTATTGACGCTCTTATTTAGAGAATTTCAGAAATGTGAATAAATTCTGCACCCCAAAATATATTTGCGTCATATTAGGACACATGCATCTCAATCTCATTTGCATAGTGATTAATATGCAGGAGCTTATAACATGGTGAGGCAGTGATGCACAACTGACCTCCAGCTTGTTGCATCGCTGGGGCTTACCATGAGGTAGAGGGACAAGGCAGGGAGGCATGGTGCAAGCAAAGTGGTGGGTGTGCCAGGTTGGCTTTGCCATTGTGTTTGCAACAGACTGACCTCACTGCAGCCTCACCCCCTTCATGTAAGCAGCAGTGCAAGCAACCGGAGGTCAAGGCAGCAGTGGAGCCCCACAAAGCTGTCTGCTATTAGCAATATGCTCAGCATTGGGGAAAGGCCAAATTAAGGGAACTGCTAATGCAAAATAAAAAAATAAAAGAAAGCGTTCATTTAACATCTAAGCTGCACATAAGCCTATTTTCTGATACTATAAATAGGATTTAGTAAATAAGACTTTTAAGTTTCCTAGTCCATCCATCCCATAGTCCAAACTCAGCTATAAGTGATACTAGGTAAACAAGAGAATAATTTGGAAATAACTGGTAGCAGCAGAAGGAATAAGAAAAGCAGATGACTTCAATATATAAAGATCTAAGTTATGCGGATCCTATCTGAGGAAATATAAAGGTGGGATTTTAACCTAGAGATAATACAACAAAAAGTGCCAAGCTGGCAGAGACGAGTATTTCTTGGAGTTATAATTAAGGCACAGGAAGGCTATCAGATTTCCCTTTCTGCAATGAAGCTGCATTCTAGACTTTTATCCCATGAACTATTAAACCCCTTTTCTTTTATGTAACAATAATTGCCTAATTTGCCAAGGTCCACAATCTTTCTTTCTTTCTTTCTTTCTTTCTTTCTTTCTTTCTTTCTTTCTTTCCAAGCAAGGCTATTTTGGCCTCAGTGCTAAAGCACAGTAACCAAACCCTCACGTTTTCTAATGAAACATAAATGCCTCGTGGTGAACAAGATAAACGGAGGCATCCATGCCTCGGGACAAGCAGGCTCTATGACACCTGCTAAACTACATCCATGGCTGTTTTAATTCCAACTAATTCTCCACCTGGCAATTTCATTGGCATGGTACCCATGTTGCAACTTTACTGGAGCTTGTCTGCATTTTTTCCCTAGTTTTTGGATTTACAGCACACATTAACCCCTTTGTAAATGCTCTCTTTCCCCCATCATAATTGATGCTAACTGGTGAAAAGCATGCACAAAATGGTACGGTGAGTCATGAACAAATACATTTAGCAGCTTAAGGGCTGGGTATTATTAAATTGGAGGAGATTCTGAATTAAAAAGCTAGGTAGCTAGGCAACAGCTGGCTTCCAACTGTGAATAGTTTTCTGTCATACTCTTTATAGTTGGGATAGAATCATTACTCTGTGGAACTTCTAAACAGTTAACAGAATCCCGCTCTGCGTATTGTAATTAAGAAGAGGATAAAACGGAGTATTTTCAAATTGGATGGGTCTATAGGGATCCCTGTGGAAAATATCCAAGGTTTCCAGCGAGTGACTTTCATAAAGCGCAGCGCACATGTTGTTACTAGAGTAAAAATGCATTGCGTGAAAAGAATGATAAAGAAAATGTACTAGAGATAAAGCAACAATTAGGCATGTGAGTAGTTCATTTTTTTTTATTTAAAGAATAGCAAAATCAGGATAAAAAGTTAAGATCACAGCTTTTTGCATACAAACTTCATAGGCAGAAAAGCCACTCTGCAGATTTAATAAGGTTCCATTATAGATTTTATTCACATTGACTCAACAGAAATAAGACTGAAAACTGACTTCTGAAAATGGGCTTTAAAATTCTGTACTGAATGGTAGGCAAGTGCAATTAACCAAAAAGATCCATGCCGAGGCAGTACAATATAGGATGCAAGAGTCGCAATTTATAAGTATGTGTGGTACAATCTAGTCAAGGACATGGCCCAACTCTCCAATGGTGTTTGGTGTGGTGTAGAAACCTCTAGCTTTTGCGTGATTAGTATGCAGCCTATTATACAAAGTTAAGCATTAAAACTTAAAACCCACGTTAGTTATTGGCCCCAGTAACCTTTGCTTCTGACTCTGCCCACCACTGGAACGGAGCCACCACTGCATTGTTCTAAATGCTTCTATACATTAATCCTTACAACTACTCACTGTAAGGTAGGCTCACATTGTAACCCCAGTGGTAGGAGGGTGAAAGGCAGAGGTAGCAGCTTGCCTCTGGCCAGTTGAAATTTTAATCAGAGATATCCTAGCAGACAGCTATACTCCCAGCCACTTCTGTACAGAAGCTCCCTCTCACTCTCACTCAGAAGCCACCTTTGCCAGAGAAATCAGTGGGGCTTTCAATGTCAGGCCCACTATGCATAGACAAGGTCTCTCAAGTACATTCTAAATTTTGTGACTGTCAAAGGGATGTTTACAACCTGAATGCCAGTCTTTATGACATTTTGGTTAATAAGCAGAAATGGAGGGATTAAACAAAAATGCTCCAAATTGTTTCATAGATTAACATGCATCTTTTATGCCGGAATTCTGTTAGGACTTTAATCGTACTGTGGATAAGAAAGGGGATTAAGTTATTAGCAGATAGTTGGATTTATTAATATTTTTCCCTCATGACCCAAAAATCCTACAAATTGTAAGCTTGCATATTTTACCATAATGTGTTAGTTCACATGTGTTACAGGGAGGTTTGTGGGGAGGGGGAGGGTGTTTGTTTTGGTAATGCTAATGTGTTGTTTGTTTTGTGAGGAGGGAGAATAAAGTAAAATTTCACAAATATGTTGTCCAAACTATTGTTTTGTAACAACAATATATGATATTCCACATAATAAAACAGCCAAATTTTAGGACAATTTAATGGAAATCCTTTTCGATTGAGGGTGTGTGTGCATTTGAATTGTGATAAAGTTGGCTGAGCTACCTACTTCTATTTAAAATGCAAAATTGTAACTAGAATTATTTAGCAATTAAAATACATACAAGTGAAAACGTAAGATAATTCACAACAGGTGAAGGAGACAGACTAGAGGGGAAATTTTGGTCTTTCTTGTCTATTCTTTTCTCTACCTCCTGTGTGCCTTCTGGTATGTTTGCTGCAGAACTATTTGGGGTCTTATCTCTCTTTGGAGCCAACATGAACCAGGTACCCACCATATTTAAGTTTCCATTCCTGCTACGCCTAGGAAACTCACTGGTTATACCTGTTAGGTTTCTCCTCTTTGTCCTCCATACACTGCTACTCCTCATCCATTTCTCTAATATCGTGGAGTGGTATCAAGCCACTCCAATTCTAATTTGAGTATCTGGTCTAACTTTAAAACTACTACTACTATTACTTTGGGAAACACTGATCTGGCAAAAGTTTCTATAGAAGGGCCAATAAAATAGAGAGATCAATGACACCTCTCCTACATGATATCTTATGCCCACCAAGGGGCTCGCACTAACAGTAATTATGTCTCTTCGTGTCTGAAAGAAAAGACATCTCAGGAGGACAATGTGGAATGTCTAGCGATTATGTACTCGATTCACTGTCTACTTAAGCAAATATAGTCCCCTCAGGATCAACAAAAAAGCACCAAGCAAAAAAAAAGGGGGGAAAACCAAACGAAGTTAACATGGCATAAAACTGGGGACATTTATGCAATAAACAATGTTATTCTGCCTGTTCTACAACACAGACTCTCAACTGCACCCATCTCTATTCATTTCCTCATTCCTATTCATTCTGAAAACAGAAATAATTTGATGAAAACACCAGCCTTTCTGAATTATTTAGGAAAACAATGCTAGAGGAAGCAACCCTGGTGAGCAGCCTGCCAATATCTCTCTCCCTCTCTATTCATCAACTCTGTCAAGATGGGCCTGTGTGTCACATGACCACAGCCTTACAGGAGACCATAGAAGGATAAACAACAACAGGAAAGTTGCCAGCATACCATCTCATTAACATTACATGATGGTTAAAGTGTGATTAATGCATGTATCTACTTGGAACTACTCTGCACTTTAATATAGTAAAATGCCAGAGCAGCAATTCTAATGATTTCTCAATTAAATAGGTAAAATATAAATCAAATATACGGCGACACACATGCACACACCCTATATGACAGCAGTACTCATCAATATAGGTCTGTAGGTAACAATTACTTTTTACTGTTTTGGCCTGCCCTTGGGACAAATGAAGGCATTATAAACTAGAGAACATTAGCAAAAGCAAAAACACCCCTCCCATGCCTCTTTAAAGAGTTTTCTACCGCTACAAATTACTGTTTACACCAGCCTTCTCCAACTTGCTGTCCCCCAGATGTTTTGGGCCACAACTGTCATCAGTTCCATCCAGAAAAGCCACTGGCCAGAGACAAAATGAGCTGTAGTCCGTAACATCTGGAGAGAACCAAGTTGGGGTCAGCCTGATTGACACAGAGCCATGAATGAGAAACAAAACGCTATGAATACTAGATATTAAGAAGAATATGGTTTGCTTGAGAAAGTATGTGGGCTCTTGTCTGAGAGAGAACACTGAATCTCAAGGACTTCCATGATATAGTGTGGGATTCTTGGACCTTGGGAACAATTCATCTATCAATATGTCAAATCAGCTACATGCTAGCTATGTAATGAGGATAATACCAGCCATAAAGAAGCTTGGCACTTTCTGTTTGTTTACAGGATAAAGATAAAGAAAGAAGCCTAGTATGCAGATTCAGGATATATTTCTACATCTCAAGTTCAAAAACTGTTTTTGGAGAGGAATAGGAAAATATTCTGGCATTTACTACATGGGAAATTATGGCAGTCTTGAAAGTAACTGTTCCCCTGGAGCCTCCAAATTGCCTCCAGGCAAGACATTCATGTGTGCATTCAGTTGCACTGTAAATATAGAAACAACATATGTAGTTCCTTCTCTGCCCATCCCCTTCGGTATACAGTTACATGCACCACATGCAGAACACAGAACGTCTGGCTCTTGTGCCTCCTTCAAACGATGGATTTTAAACAAGCCATAGTTTCTCCAGCAGATGTTAACTCCTATAGAGCAAGTGAGATTCCAGTTGCACTGAAGCTTCTGAGATGTAAGTCAGAGGAGGGCAGGACAGGCAATGGCTCGTTATGCCCTTCTTACCAAAGTGCTTCAAGTGGGTTAGGTTCTTTGAGGGCCAGCCCTGGTGCCAGTTCCCCCTTTCACTCTGAATCCTTGGCCTCACCCCTCAAAGTAAGGGAAGTCAAACTCTAGCATCATGACACCAGCATGGCCAATGGTCAAGAATCATGGGGGTTGGAATTCAACAATATCTGGGTGGTCACAGGTTCCCCACCCATGGTTTAAACAAGACACAGTTCCTTTAATTCAAATGTCGTTAGGAAGTGTGGTTTGAAATTGGAGGCACTCATCTCCTCTGACATGCAAAAGATGGCAAGAGGGAAAGATGAGACTGAGACTCATCCCAATATGTCCATATAGTAGTAAAGTGTGGCTTCTCATTATGTCTGAATCAGGTCTGTATTAAAATATGAATCTATAACATTAAGGGTCTGTTCTCCCAGCGCTATCAACACGAGCCCCTAATTTATCTGGAATTCACTTTGCTCACATGTGAGTTTCTCTCAAATGCCTTTATTGTTCTTTTTTAAAGAGTGAAGAAAAACACTTAAAGAAAAAATATTTCCACAAATCATTTCTGTAGGGCTGAACAATTAACAGAAACTGCAAAGGGGAACTGCAGCAATGCAGGCGACAATTGCAGAACTAATAAATACTTTTAAAAAGGCACTCTGTGTTTAATTTGTGTACACCTCATACTGATATCTGTAAATAGATATAATTAACAATAGAATAAATCTGTTCTGCAGTATATTATTCTAAGCCATTAGGCAAATTTTCTCACCATGATATGAAAAATGTCAACTACTTAATTAGCACACCTACTTAGCCTGAAAACCCTGTAGTGCATTCAAACTAACATTTTTTGTGTGTGTGTTGGACTATGGGGAAAGAACAACATCAATTAAATTTGTTCTAGGAGAAAATATTTTTTAAAAGTCTGAATAGCTAAGAAAAAAATGTGAAATTATCACATCACGTTTGGCATTCTCAACGTTCTGTTGCTTAAGCGGGGAAGGAAACAATTTCACCCCAGCTCATCACTGCCACGTTTGGGGCAATTTTTAAAATATATCATATATCTCTAGCGTAGGGTTCAAGGGTGTCAACAAGAGGAGGAAGTTAAATCTCTTTTTAGCTATGCAAATTTTATTTGATGGTGGGTCTAACTCCCTAAAATGTATTTGCATTTAGTATAATCCTTGTTCAGCAGAAATGTAAGTTAATGTGAAGAAAACGAAGTTTGGGAAAAGCCCACTGGTAGCAAGGCTTTGCAAAACATAACAGCAGTGGCCTGAATTTTGAAAGAGACCAACAAAACTGCTAAAACTGCTTTCTAAGGATAACTTAAAAAAAAAAACACACAACTTCAAACATTAGAAAAATAGTGTAGAATAGCGTATCAGGTGGATTTTTTTTTAAAATCTAATTTCCATTCATGGGAGAACACCAGCAGAAAAGCCAGCTAAAGTGCTCTAAGCTAATGTGATAGGTATCTTCAGCATTATTATTGGTGCCTAATGTTATTCCTGTGGCTTATGCTAGTGAGGTAAATCAGACCGACTGCTGGCTTTAACACTTCTGTACAGAGTACAGTATGCTGCTGACATACTAAATTCTCAGTATTAAATAAATTTTGAAATAGATTCCTGTGCCTTCAGCTACGCTAGGCATATATCTCTCCAATGCCATGCTTACAACAGCACATGGTATATTAAGAAGCTGTCAAAGCTATTAAGGTCATTAACACTGGCACATATATTTGAGTCTATTCCTATGCGATTTAGGAGGACATTATTTGCATACTATTATGCACCAGGAAACCTATTCCTCATATTCCCACAGGAAACAACTCGCTGGAGTGACCTAAATAGTATTCACTATTCTGATTCAAAATATGAAGAAACAGCAAATAAATGAGAAGCAATTCTGCAGACAGATGCAGAGACTTTGAGAACAGTTAAGCAAAAGCTTGAGCTAACAAATGACAAATGCAGATGAATGTGGACAAATGTAGCATAATGAGTCTCAGAGGAACAAAGAATAAAGAGGGGAGGAAGGAAGTAAATTATACGCTTAACGGGAAAAATTCTACTACAGCAGACTATGCATAAAATACCTGCCAGGTATTGCACCAAAACACCTCAAGCCTGCTGTCATAGACCTATGCAGCTGTTTAAAATGTTCTTTAGTAGCCAGTGGTTTAAAGAATTGCTTTATACTGCTTCTAATTGTTTAGCTTTCTTGTTATATTGCTGAATACCTACCTGGTATTTTATAAATACTTAAACAAATAAATTAATAGCCAAGTCAAAATAGATGCAGACCTAACTATTTCAGCGATCAGTAATACTCATGAGTCACTTCTCAACATCTCTAATAAGCAGGGGGAAAGGGTCTTAAAAAGAAAGAGCAGCAGGGGAAAATCTCAGAAACTCACATTAACTTTAGCTACACCTCATTGTACTCTGAAGACATGACAGCACTAGCAGTTTCTTAGGCAATGCACAGTGATTCATTTTTACTTACAGAGATGCCAGAGCCCCAATCTGCCTGGAAGCTGCAGTTTGACGAAATGCTATGTTTCTAATCTGAGATGCATGTGAGCCAGCAGAGATTACCCGGTGCTGTGAAGAAAAGGCCTTCTGGACATACTTAGAGGCACTCTCTTTTTAAATTACTATTTTGCTTTTTTTTTTCCCAGAGCCATACTCTATCATTGCGGGGGTAGGGGAGTTTGCTCCAAAACTCAGTCTACAAGCTTTTCGAGCATGTAGGTTACTGCCACAGATTTCTAGTGTACAAAGTTATTTCTCCATGAAACACTAAGTGCTGGAATATATATTAAATGCCACAGAATTATTATAGCATTACAGAACATCCTTACTGAATTGTAGGTGTCGACCATGGTGTAGTTCTGCCAATTTAAAATGGCAAGTGGCTGAGGCCAGAACCTTACATTGATGACAGAATGATAATCACACCTACAAGGTCATTTAGTTGTAAAATTAATGACTACACACACACACATAATTACTATGCTTTAACTCCAATTTTATGGTAACATATAACAAAGTCTACTTAAGATTATTTCAAATGAGGTTTCCAGGAAACCTTATTTTTAATAGAATTTCCCAGACACCAAGTATAGTGTACGCCGTTTTCTTGTAATGGAAAGTTTTTGGAAATTTGAATAGGGTTACTTAATTAAAACCTTTTAAAAGCTTGGCGATCTAGTCCCAACAGACTGGGGAGTTTGTGCTGAGTCTATGGCCTACTTCAGGGATGGATAAAAGAATGAGGAAAGAAAAACCACTCCTCATAGGATACAGGAGAGGAAAATGAAGCTCAAGTAGCATAGCTTGGGAAGTAGAATCTTAAGAGATGTGACTGACAGGTGAACTAGATGTTCAACAGAAATGCTTGCAACTTTCTTTACCCCTTTTCCCCATGAAAAGCCGTTTATGAAAAATGTGAATTAATTTCTGATGTGTTTAACCCTTCCCCACCCCCAGCTTTTCAATATCTCCCCCCTTTTGGGTGGCGTCCGTGAGAGGGAGAGATGGTCATCCATATTTGCTTCTCCAAAAGCAAAAAAAGAGGCCGTGGGGAATTGAGTGGAAAACAGCTTCAGTCAAGAGAAAGTTACACACATCTGAATGGAAACGCCCAGTTTGGGTCTTATTCATAATAAAGAAAGCTGAGAGATAATCTGAAATGTAGAGAATAACATCAGTATAATCTAACAGCACTAGGCAGTAAGGTTGACACCTGATCTAGCTTTGAAAATCTTTGGAATATGTTGACAAGGTAAGGTAAAACATGCTTCTATAAGAAGTATCACCTCTCATTCTTGAAGAATGGTAGCAGCAAAAATTAGTTTAAATTATGTTCATCTGCCTCAGCGTCCTTCAAGGCAGCCTGGAAACTTTAGTTTCTAGAGTTCCAGAGAAACTTAACTGGTCATGGAACGAGGAGATCAGACAGACCAAACACCTTGCAAAAAAAAATATGGAACTACCTTCAAAATGTACCGTACTCATTGAGAACACTAGGCTCAGTAGCCAAAAACTTTTAAATGCACCAAACACTTGTGTATGCACCCTGGGATTCATATTTTAAGTGGGAAATGCAACAATCTAACTATTACTACAAACTGTAACTTGCAAAAGCAAATATTTTTCGTAGTAACAATAACATAGAAGCCCTCCCACACTGAGAGTAACAACTGGTGACTGACATTGATTGATGCCCTATAGCACAAGCTACATTAGAGAGCTAGCTTGTCATCCTCAATGTACACTTGAATTTCTTTGGCACCAATGAAGACAACAGAACAAGAAGACCGACAACAATATAACCTGGGAGTGCATGACCTGCGGATGATGGATGAGGAATGCATCCAATGTTTCTTGCACTTTGTGACCTCTCTAGGAAGCTGGAAAAGTCCAAGCAAAGTCATCCTATCTTATTTGAAAAATGCCCTGTTTTCAGTTCAAAATGCTGAAAATATATACCTCAAGCGCTGATCAATGCCATAAAGCAATGCGCTTAAGCATTTCCTTGCAGCTTGTCAATAGTACTACAAATTATATTTTATTTAAGAATCAGAGTGACTGCTGCCCTGAACTAGGGCAATTGAATACAACCCATTACAGACATTATGATGCATGAATAACTGTTCAGGGTTTGGACTACCCTGCCCATTTCTTAACAAGTCAAGAACCCCTTGTTGATACGCTAATCCACCTACCCTATTGTTAATCAAATGTACCTATTGTATGAAGGGACGCGGGTGGCGCTGTGGGTTAAACCACAGAGCCTAGGACTTGCCGATCAGAAGGTCAGCGGTTCGAATCCCCGCAACGGGGTGAGCTCCCATTGCTCGGTCCCTGTTCCTGCCAACCTAGCAGTTCAAAAGCACGTCAAAGTGCAAGTAGATAAATAGGTACCGCTCCGGCGGGAAGGTAAACAGCGTTTCCGTGCACTGCTCTGGTTCGCCAGAAGCGGCTTAGTCATGCTGGCCACATGACCCGGAAGCTGTACGCCGGCTCCCTCGGCCAATAAAGCGAGATGAGCGCTGCAACCCCAGAGTTGGCCACGACTGGACCTAATGGTCAGGGGTCCCTTTACCTTTACCTATTGTACACTTCTGGGGTGGGAAGGGGTAACCTGGAAAGTTTCAGTAACATAACTCAATAGGAGCCTCTAAACAATTCTTCTAATTAAAGGGAAGGGGATCTTGTGATGAGAGATAAACATCAAGTGGTTACTTTGCTTGTGTGAGTTTTTGTTTGTCTTTGGGCTATAGAGAGTAGAGCACAAAGGCAGTGTACATCCAACCTCATGATCTGACACCCAGTTATTACCCATCTCTCAAGCTACGCTTAGCAGAGCAAAGAGGAAACACTTTCTAGATATAAATGCTAAGCCTAGTTGAGCTTCTAGAAATAAACTTGAAGTCTGATTTGTTTGTAAAGGGAAGGCAGCAGGACGGGGGGGAATTCTCAGTGAAGAACACTAACTTGGAATCACCACCACTCTGGAATTTCCATTAAAAGTGGAACTCAAAAAAATAAATCCCTTTCTACCACAGCACTTAATGAAGAAATAATAACCAAAAGCAACCCTTATCCCCCAATGAAAGCATGAGATTCTGTTAATGGGTTATGTCACCTTTAGCTCTGCTACTAGTCATATAGTTACACCTGTAGGATTGGGTTGTAATAAATGTTAAATGTTAATGATCCTAAACGTGAGTACTACACAGGGATATATTTATCTCTCTGAAATGAATGCTACTCAGAGATAATGAAATACATATTTTTATCATTTTGATGCTTCAAAATATACTAGGAACAATATGATCAGAACTTCTGCTGGATTCTGCACACAGATATTGTCTCTCTAGCACCTCCCTTCTCTTTCTCTCACATGTGGTAGTAATTCCCTTTGATATTTTGTGCCCACAGAACTGACACGAATTGGAAGAACTTGGCATAATGACACTTGCTGCTCCTGGGCACATAAGTAGCTATTAGACTTCAATACGTTAGAGAGATGAGAAAAATAAAAGCCCCAACAATGCCAACATAAAAGAAAGCAATAAAACCAAAGTGCTCATCTCAGGACACAGAAGTAGGAACAAACGTATTTTATGAACAACACTGGGGCAATTGTTCATTTGTCTGCTTCTTTCCTCCTCGTTGTACTTTAAAATCTCAAGTAAACAAGCTATTTTCTTTTCTTAATTTTATCCTACAATAATAAAATCCAATAAAACCTAGAACAATATGTACAACGACTGAAGATTAAGAATTTTTTTTAAAAAAAACTTTCATATGTTGCCAAATTATCCTTGTATTTTCTTTCCCAGAATGAAAGTTCCAGGGGACTGTTTTGTCCCATGATTAGAAGTGAAATGGCTAAAGGAATTGTCATATGTCCTTTCCTCATTTACATAACTACACAATTTAATATATTCATTTATACTATTTGTATACCATTTCTCCATTCACCATGGCCTAGTTTGTACATAACAGTAAACCATGGTTTATTAAACCATGGCTAGCATTATGACTGAACTCTGCCCACAGCTTAACTGTCAACATACCACAATCTGAAATCATGGCTTGAATTATAAGCATGTGTTTGTTTTAACCGTAGCTCGGCATTATGTGTGAACCCTTTAACCATGGTTTGACTGGTGAATATCTGGGGTGGGGTGGTCAAACTATAAAGGCATGATACAAGAGCAAACAGAAAGCAAATTAAACATCAGAGAAATAACCCATGGCTTGTTTTGCCCATCTGCGTAACAATTCAGAATTCATTAAACAAACTGTGACTTAGCATTTTATGTGGAAAAGGTCCTTTAATCTATAAGATGGTTCACAAAAGGGATAAAAACATCCACCATAATTTAGAATTAAATGGCTACCAGGTAAAAGGTACAGACTACCAACTGATAACTAAAATTAAGGAGATGAAGAACATCTTATTTCACAAACCAAAGGCCCTCAGGAATAGCACCATCTTAGTCTCAAGACAGAAATCAGGATGATGGGAGCAAATGCTCATAACTGAGTAGAGATGAGAAACCTATGGCGTTTCAGATTTTGGTAGACTATATCTCTCATCATCCCTGATCACTGGCTATACTAGCTATGGCTAATGGGAGCTGGAGTATAGCAACATCAGGGGACCACAGGTCACCCCGCTGGAACATAGAGTTCCATCACTTTATAACCTAGAAAGAGCTATGCATCAGCTGGATTTTATATTTTCAAATATTTATCATTTGCTCCTTCTTTCCTGAAACTCACACAGCACCTCATTCAAATATCTGCTACCTCCTCCCACATTCCCTCTTATGCCTGTGACCAAATGTAAACCTCATGGCTTCATTATCAGCTGATTTTCTCCATTCCTGCTCTGTTTACCATCCAGTAATGAAGAGCTCTAGTGAAATCAAGCTTACACATGGATTTTGTGACATTTTCATTGGCCTAATAAAGGTACTGCCCTAATATAGACTGTGGAACTTTTCCATAATCTTAGTGTCGCTGTGGAGAAGGCCCTATCTTCTACAGTTCAGACAGTGGAGAGACATGTAAAAGGGCCTCTGAAGATGATCCAATTAACTGGCTAGACTGAGATGGGTAAAGGTAGCTTTTGAGATAAAATGTCACTGAAACTCCTGTGCTGACTATTTCCTAACAACATCTGATTTGCATGGTATACATCTCACAACAAGTCTTTGCTGAATTCACAGGTGTGCAGTATGAAAATGTAAACCACAAGCAATGAGAACTGTAATGGAGGGCATTCTTTTCAGGATCAGAGCTTTTTGAAAGACTGTTGCAAAGTGACAAGAGTTTGACAGAGGATCCATCCAAAAGCAGAATAATATAGAATACCAAAGATACACGAACTGAAGAAACTACTGTCCTAAAGGGGTCAGAAAGCGCATATCATGTGCTTAACAATGGAGGGTCAAAACTGGCTGTGAATGTTCAGAGCATGCCTCAAAAAAATATCTGGGAAGAAAAGAGTTACATCCAGGGGAAGAAATGGTAATATAAACTAAGCTAATATGAACTAAGAAAGTAAAACAGAAACAGAAAGGGTGAGAGCTTGCTCCTAAAGCAAAATCTAAACAAGTACTGTAAGGGAGGATTGGCTCTCATCCAATATGGTTATGATTCACACTGGAGCAATCAAAAGTTCCTGAGGACAGATTAGATAATTTCATGAACAGAGGAAAAAATTCAGGGACAGTTCTTCAAGCAAGGACACCACCTTGAAACTGGGGAACCTCTATGTGAGCCCTCAGCAATTCTGGCAGGCAATGTATTCTTTTCACTCAATAGTAACTCCGATCTTGTGTGAGTTTGCAAATTTGACACGACTAGACCAGTCACCTGAGTGGCTATTTCCACAAGCTACCCTTCAGGCATACAGATGGAGCCAACCCTTTGGAGAAAGGGAAGAAAACAAGATCAGCAGACAGAAGCTCAGAAAAGAGATGAAAGAACTGAGCAATGGAGCAGACACCTATTTGTCCAACTCCTTTTGGCCCAAGACTCCAGAGCAGCTCAGTCTTTGTACATTCAAGCCTGGAAGCTATGGTCAAATCTGACAGAGGCCTGCATTAATCCAGCCTGAGGCTCTGGAGCCAACCAAGCACCTGACAGGCCAGACAGGAGAGGCAACCAGACAGCAGAGGTAATCATGTGCTTAGATACAGTGTGCATAGCTACAGCTCTTTTTTACATTTACTAATTACAGTAATTAAGATAGTTAATTATTACAGGATCAATTAATGAGGGGTCATTACCAAGAATGCAGTGTGTGCGGGCTGTGGAAACTTATCTCTTTCCTCTCCAGTGTGATCAGAAGTAAAATCACCCTATCCCCCCAACATGCAGCTAGAACGCTTAGAGGGAAAAGTTCCGAATCGTGCCAACGGGAAGATTTTGTTCCAGCTACGTGGAAGGGGGCAGTTCTGAGTAAGCTGATTCCCAGGAAGGATTGTTCAACCATTTAGCTCAAATTAATGAAAGTAAAAAGAGAAAAGTGTTACGAGGCCTTTGTTGTTACCTCTAATTTGTGTGCACAGGTGAATTAGAGCATGGGCGTAGCCAGGATTTTTGTTGGGGTGGCAGGAGTTTTTTTTGGGGGGGGGCAAAACTGACGTGATTGGTCAGTTAGTTAAGTATTTCTATTGTTTTACTTGATCTAGGAGGGGAAGCTGCCCCTCCCTTGGCTACACCCATGAAATAAAGGGTGTGTGTGGAGTAGGTAAAGCAAAAGACCATGAGGAACAATCCTCCTTCCTTGATCTTATGCAAAGTCCCATAGTTGATTTAACTATGCCTGACCTTCATTTTAGCGAGTTCCTGGGGATGCAGAGAACTTTGCAACAATCTCTACCATCAGTGCTACCTTCCCTTTTAGTTTAGAACTCTTACTCTTTAAAAGTGTGATTATGTTGGGATACTCTTTTATGATTGCCCAGTACTTTAAAAATATGTTAAAATTACCCTTAATGCTTTATAATAAATTCATTCATTTTCTATAAACTTTTGTGTGGGTACACGTTCCTTGGGACCACACACACACACACACACACACCACTGCTTGATTTGTCTCCAGCTAAATATCGTTTCTAGGGGAGCATGTTTTTGAAACCCTGTCGGTGGCAGTTTCACATTGGTTCCCCAAACACACAGGCCTACCAGTCCCCATGTTAACAGAGGTAAATCTGTCAAGGGTAATGTATGACAAACCATGGTTTAGAGAGATAACAACAAGCCATCTGCTCATACATTCCTTCACCAAATCCACCCTCCATTTGTGTGAATCATCCAAATCCTTAATGACTTCAAGGCCAGCATCAGGTTGAAGGAGGGAAGGAGTCTAGAAAGCTCCCTGCCTAGTCTTGGTGCTGCAAGGAAGCTTGACACTTCTCTTGTGATTAGCACCGCCTGTACCTAATGTTTGCCAGTGCCACCTCTCCCCCTGTAGTGTTACTAGGCCAAGCCACAAGGACAGGTAAGGGGTGTTGAGCAAAGCAGAGAAGCACCAAGCGGCTGAAGCCTCTATCTTTATGAGCCTAGAATGGCTCTGCCCTGAAATGTATTAGTGACTGCAACTACTTCTGTCAGTACTTTGATTGGAGTGCTGTGCAAAATTTTAATTCCTTTTTTTTTTTAAGCAAGGGGTGGTAGTGGTCAGGATTGCCACTGCTGGGTTCTCCACAGCACATGAAACTCTTGGGAGAGATCAGCTGGGGATTTGGAGTAAAGTGTCACCAGCATGTTGGCAGAACTCAGCTCTATTTTTCCTAGTCACGTGAGGATTTGGAAAGGCTGAACCTTGTTCGGTAAACTGGCTGGGTGGGGGGGCCAATACTTTGAAATCATTGATAAAAGGCAGCATATAAATAGTTTTAAGCAAAATATCTCACAGCATACAAGGTTCTAGGAAAAGAAGTATGCTTGCTGAGGTGGGAGGGGGGAAGCACGCTAACATTGTGCTGGCAAATATTTAGATGGCCTGTCAGCAGTTGTTACTTTAAAATCATGTCTAATGTAGAATAAGATTTCTCATTCACTGATGTTTGAATTCTTCAGGGGATTTTATCAGTTTTTCCAAAGCATTTTACCTCCAGGTTAACTGTTATAACCAAAGCGTATCAGTGCTTCCATCTAGCTGAAACCTGTACTGCTTTTGTTCACTCATTAAGCTCTGTGCATGCTTGATTAAAGTTTTAAACACCCTTAACTGATTTTATAAGAGAGGAATAAAAATCTATAGTGTGCTAATCACCATTTTATTTTCAACAAATTGAAGTGAAACGAACCTATTAATGTGTAAACAAATGTATTCTGACCCATCTGTGTTGGTGATTAACAAAGTGGGAAGAAAGTGTGACTATTCCCCACCCCACCCCCAGAAAAACCTAAAATCTTGATTCCCAATTCAGGCTTTGAAAGAGAGGCTGATTATCTTTAAGCCAAATTAACCTCTGTTAAGAAATGTCAAGATATAATTTCTTTTAGAAATCTGTTTCTGTTCTCTCCCCCCCCCCCCCAATCTCCCATTGTAAGTAAATTCAGTCATTGAGTTGTACCGCTGATGCAGGCTTCCCAGCAGACGAACCCAGCAAATGCTGACAAGGTTAAAGTGGCAAGTACTAATGCATTCATGCAAGGCTGATAAACATCACTTCCCATTCATGTGCTTCAGTCTTAGGAGACAGGCATTCCATGCCCAGAAATCCTATCCTAATTTCTTAGTGAGGAAGATCTTCTATTAAAATAATAGCCCACCACCTAAAATATTGAAAGCAAGTTGTTAAGGTGCCAACAGAGTTACTTTGCATCAGGACATCATTTGAATGTAGACAGACATGCACAATGATACGAAGATAAGTTTATACTCTGAAGCAGAATAGTAATATGCTTTACACTGAGAGCCTATACATGTCAATTCTGAAGCAAGCCCCATTTAGCAGGTAATTAATAGATGCATGAGTTGCAGGTCTGAACCAAGAGGCAAAGGAAGAGGAGATCAAACACTCCTTCTCTGTATGGACCAAGGCTAGAGCAGAGCTTCCCAGAAACACATTCCCTTATATGCTTATAGTAAATATATCATCCATTTTTGCTTAAGGGCTATCATCATTTTCCAGGGCTAGTTACATTTTCCAAAATGGAAGCTATCTATAACCCCAAATCAGGTTCCCCACGCCTGATTTAAAAAGAAAACTAGAGGAGCTACTATTAATGGATTTCCAATGACAATGAAGGGTTTAAAAATGGGGGAAGGAAGGGTGACATGGGCAAATCACTGCGGGATAAGAATGCACCACAGATTTGCCAAATAGATCTTTCAGTAACCCATCTACCGCAACCTGAAGTCACCACCACAGAAAAGGGATTTTATACTGATATTTATTAGAGGTTTAAATTAAAATAAAATTAGTAGACCTGACACTGATTAAAACATTCCCTTAATCAATAAAATTAATTCCTCCCAATTTCTAGTGATGTTATATTAGAAGGTCACAGATGTTATCAGATTCTGTTTAAGGAAAATACAACCCAACAGCTGAGCAAGGCCATTGACTTAATTACAGCTTCATTTTAAAGAATGTCCTCAAATGGAGTCTCCCCAGTATCAAGGTTACTGAGAAGAGATGTTTCAAAAATTTCACCTGATCGGAACTCGCTACAGGCTTCCATCATACTACTGCGTTTACATGAAGCAAAAAGTAAACAATATTTGTCTGAGAATTTGATGGGGGCTGTTTGTTGTTAAATATGAAAAGTGAAAGCCAATAATAACAATAAACATTTGAAATATTAATATCAAATTAAAATAAATTAAAATCAAGTATTAAAATATAGGGAAACTCTTCAAAATAAAATTATAGGAATTCTTGTTTCATCAAAGACATATTTGCTATGGCTTAGAACTGGGTTTGGCCCCAAAAGCTGTTCTTTACTTGACAGAAGAAACCTTAGAAATAATGATCCATAATGGATTTTTACAACAAATAAACACAGTACAGATTTATTAGAAAAGTATGCTTGCTAATGATTTAACCATAGACCCAGCTGCAGTGTCACTTTCCAAGTGTTAAAATGTTATGACAAAAAGGGGCAATGTTCGGCCTAAATTGAAAAAAGTGGTGATTTGGAAGTCACAATCCCACACAAAAGGTAAGCTCAGCAGCGCACTGAAAATGGGCCTCCGTTCAGTAATTCTGAGTTTATTTATTTGCTCAATGAACCAACAGTCGCCAGTAACCCCAGAGAGGTTTGCACTGATAGAAATATGAAACAATACAATAAAATACAAATCAAATAGAGTAAGAGCAATTCCATAACTGTAACACACAGAAAAGAGGAGGAAAGGAAGCATCAAATTGTTCATCAGTGCTTTAAAAAAAGCTGGCTATAAGAAACCATCTAAAAATTATTCACCCCACCTTCAAAATCCTGCTAGAAGGATGTATTGACCTGCTTCCTAAAAAATTAAAATGAAGAGGCAGACAAATCTCAGCATGGAGGGATTCCACAGTTGTGGAGCCACCATGAACCTCACCATGAATTAACCCGGCACAATTTCAACCAGCAGCTATTTTATAAAGGTTTACTTTTATAATATTTAGCTTTGTATTAGTTTTATATTGGACTGGGCTAACATACCCAAGCAAGAAGGTCAAATTAGACAATTTTGCCAAGACTGTATGTAATCTGAGTGAGGGTTTGCTCGAGGAAATGGTCAAAATGCATGAAAACCACGTTTCTGATTCTGTTCAGTGAAGTATTCCATCGCAATATGGCACAAAGCAGCCAAACGAACCCAGTGGGGCTGTATTACTTTCTTTGTGCTGTAAAAATATTACTGTGACATTTCATCTGGTCAACCATCTTAAAGGTTAATTCTGTTTCCTGTATCAGATATCCCTTTAGGTGAACTGTTCTGTGCAGTTCCTATTTACCTATTCCAAACAATCCTCAAACTGTTTCATTGCTCTCTCACTGTTAAGAACATATTGACTTACTGCCTGCTCTGCTGTTTAATTCATTTATGCCGAGAGTCAGGCATGAAGACAGAATTTTAAATGTGACATTTGCAGGCTGCTGGGTCATTTGAAGCTCTGACAACACCAAGGGAGTTCCTGACATACAAACTGGTCCTGATTTCCAATCTTCCATGTTCTGAACACATCAGATATTCTTCCCGGAGGTGCAGATTTCAGCCTAAAGTTTTAAATTTCCTTTGGGTTTAACATCTTGCAGAAAAGGCCTGTACACTTGAAAGTTTTAAAATAAAGCCCTTGTTTCCTTTAAGCTAAAGCTGGCATTGCCTCCAGCGAGCAAATTCAACGGCAGGAAGCCACTTTGATTGACAAAGATATTTGGAAACAGACTTACAATAATAATTAATACCCAGAGGAAATTCCAAGCAACTTTGACGCTTGGTGGACTTCCATTTTTTTTCCTGTTGATCTATCCATGTTCAAAGACAGCTGCATCTGAAAGCCACAGCTGTAGATAATGGGCCATTTAGATGGCAGCAGCGGTATCTGGCCTAGCTGGGTAGCAGTTAACTGTGGTAGCAACTAGGATGAAATACCTACATGCAAGACACTCCTTTTTTTGCAGTGACAGCAACTGAACTGAGAGCAGATTAAAAGTACTCAAGCTGGAGACTTACTCACATCTAAGTTCAGAGACCATTTTCCTGTTAAGTCTTGCTAACAGCAAAGAGTACAGATGTACATTGCCTTGAGTAAGCAAGTCAGCAAGATGCAAACCTTTCTTAATAGAGCGGATCACAAAAACAAGTATTCTTATTCAAGTTTCCAACACAAGCTGGAGTCTACAGAGTACGGATTGCTTAGCCTCTTCTGCTGTGCTCTGAATAGTAAATTGCTATCTAAATAGAAATATATGCTCTTGTACAATTAAATATTAAATAGAATATAAACTAGTAAGATTACCAAAAGTGTTTTATTGCCAAAAGTAAATACCTTACGTATTCTTGAGTATTAACAAAAGAAATAAAGCAGCATACCTGATGTATTATTTGTGCTACAGGAAGTTGTTCTGCATATTTTAATGCCTCCGTTGCTACTTCATCCACAGCATGGCTGGGAAAAAAGAGAGATTTTAATGAGACACTGTAAAAATTAGGAAAAAGATAAAACCCAATGGCAACTCACTTGCTTTTAGGCATACAAACCCAAGTCCCCAATCTATCTCAAATTGCACAGCTATTATTTTTAAATGCATTACATATTCGAATGCCATCCACTTCTTTTGAGCCTACCTCTCTCCGTTTTTTGGTCACGGTTTAAATTCTTCATAGCTATAATACTAGCTTTAAGTCTTTCTGTTCCACATAAAAATTTGCAAAGGTCAGGTCTCCTGAATAGCCCAGAGACTTGAGAAATGGCACAGGCACATGTTTCCATATTTCATTTGATTCCCATCCCACCCCCTGGCAATTGAAATGCAAGGAGCTGCATTCTGCACTCTAACATTCAACAAACTTGTGAATGAGATAATTTATAGAAATTGATTGTGTATCCCCCAAACTGATTTTCTATGTTGGAAGGCTGTTAGAAAATGTTCTAGATAAGAACAGAGGTGTTTTAGGATGCACACCCGTTGAGGAAGGCAGAGGACATAAGGAAATAATACTTGGCTGGTAAATTCAGCCAGGAGGAATCAATTTCCAGCAGTAAACTGGTGCAAACCCAAATCTGATCGGAAGCATTTTCCAGATAGGCATCTCATAACTCTACCTTTTCTCCAAAATAAAAGCTTGTTTAAACATGTGACTAACTCTACATCTTGTTTGGCTATCTTTTAGCTACTGAACCTGAAATTAATTAGTACCTGAAATTAGTACCTGAAATTAGTACCTGAAATTAGTACCTGAAATTAAAAGTGGAAACCCCTCCAATTATTATTATTATAATGCTACCCATCTGACTGGGTTGTCCCAGCCACATTTCAGTCCTTTTTTCTTCCTGTGCCAGGACTGTGGGCAAGAACCCTAAATTGTGGCAACATTTTGAAATTTGCAATCCTTTGGAGGGCAAGAAAATAGGTTTCTATGTAAAATACAAGTGTCAAGGCTTTGAGAGAGACGAGTTAGTTGGAGTGAAGAAAGACCAAGGCAAAGAAAATGAAAACCAGGAACAGCACACTTCGGACAATTTCTTTGTCCATTCATTAACTAATCTTATTTCAGTGCCTTTGGGGTTTTATTTTTTCCTCGTATATAATTTGGGATTTGCCTACCACTCAGAAAAGAAACACCCGACCAGTCTCTCTTTAGGACGGTTATAGATTTTAAATGCAAGCACCAATCAGGACTTTGGAACTGCAGTAATCAGAGTAATGTTACTAACCACTGTGTGATTTCAAGGTAATAACTGCCATGATAATAGACATTCTTGCACTCTGATTGGCTACCAACTATTATTAGCCTACCAGGACAACAAGATCTGCATTTTGCATAGTTATTAAGAAACAACAGTAGAGTGATTATGTAAATCAAGTGCTCACAACCAGAGTACAGGGAATTTCCACAGCTGTGGGTGGGAGAAGAGGAATGAATGCACAAACATTCTGGATTATTCATAAAATCAAAGCCATTTTATCAACATAATGAAGATATTGAAAATAATTATAAAAATGCCTAGTGGTGTCTCAGTATATGAGAACCACAACCAGCCAGCAAGTCAGCTGCACAAATTAAGCTCTCCTGAGGTATATATAGAGGATACACACCAAAAAACTCAAAAAATATGCCCAATCCTCTTAAATATGGTGAATGTACACTTAAAATGACTGAGTCCTCAGTATGCCGAATTCAAAAAATGCCTATGAGCAACTTTCTATGGCCTTCTTATCATGGGGGGGGGGGGGGAGGAATTCTTGAAAGATCAGGACAACCATTTCATGGGTTTAGCGATTCATTTTCTAAATGGCCCCCATGCTGTTAATCTAGGAAACTAGAAAATCAATATTACCCACTGCACACTTCAATGTTGCCTGCAACTGGGTGTATCTGTGTATCATTCAGACAGAAGGGCACCACATTCAAGATAAAACTTTGCTTTTCAGTGTGTGCAATAAGACTTATGTATACCCAGGAAGATCACTGAGAGGTGTAGTATCAATTATCCAGCAACAATGGATACATACGTTCTTCTATTCAAACTCATATCTTTAAATACTGTGCTTAGGGAGAAAATACTAACTGGACTTTCAAATAACATTCCCATGATCTTCAAAACAGTTGCTCTACAAACTAGAAGAAATTCTGAAAATTGCACTTGGCTGCAGCTGCCTGGAACATATAAAATTACTATAAACAAAATACTAATGGGGGAAATATGGTTTTGCCTTTTTTCAATTTACTTTGGACAACTGGCAGCATTTGGGGTATAGCCAATATACCCCTCTCTCTACATTGTCATTCCTTTTTTTTCCTGACGGCAATAAAATCTTTACTAAAAATTCTGTGTGAGTGTGCACACACACGCACATATCAGTTTCAAGACAGGCATTTTTATAGGGTGCTATAAAAATCAAAATGAAGCTTTTAATTAGGTTTTTTAAAATAAAATGACTATATATTCATTAGAAGTAACTATTTACATTAATGTCCTTGCTCTGCATTCCTGAAACCTAATCGGTCAATTTACTTTCAGGCTATTAACACATTTAGTTGCTTTAGAGATAAACAGAATGTATTCTAACATAAGTGTCCCTAAAACAATATTAAAACGTCTATCATTTATTTATTTAAAAAATCTGTATACAGCTATTCATTAAAAATCAGTGATTTACACCAACCATACACAGATACAATCAAAACAAGGTAAGAATTTAAAATCAGAGATCAACTATTGTCTGTTAGAGAAAGATGTTTTCTTAATTGCCTGCATAGATTTGGTGGCATGGAAAAGTTTGCACCAATTATTTAAAGGCTTAAAAAGAAGGCACCTGCCTGACAAGTCTCCTTATCACAAGCCCATGCAACTCTGATCTCCACTGATTATTATTTTTTCAAGAACAAGTTCAGATGTACTTTCTAGTTGATGAGTCTTTTCAGTCAAATGAGCATCTGTTGCCTAAATGCCGCATGAATGAAGAGTCCGTTAATCTTGAAAGAGACTCCACAACCAAAATTGCTCACACTGCTGTATGAAAACCCTCTGGAGGTGCATTTTAGCATAGCAAATGCTCACTAATAATCAAGAGACCCACAGAGAGTTTATGAAATCTGAGGATTCCCAGTGACTGAATTATGTCTCAGAACGCAGAACTATTCATTTGGGCAAGTACAGCTGGTTTAAATTATTTAGGAGCGACACCCCACAATATATCATTAAACTTTCCATATAGCATTTTGTATATTTAGTTCATTTACAACTTTCGCAAAATATAGACTTAATGAAGTCTTAGCAGCAGCAGCTCTCCACAGTGTACTAATATTACAAGATCTTGCCTGAGGCCTGCTACATTCCCACTTGCCTCCACAATTATTTTGGCAAGGGACACAATTTATTTTTAGACCAATATAAGCTACTGCTGCTTTTTTCAAATATGCCCCCATACCCTACAGATGCCAGTCTGAGGGAAATGTCTTAATGTAAGCAATTTGTTCCTTTACATTTAAATACATTATCACTCACTACTGTAAATCAACACGGAGAAAAACAGCTTATAAATAAAGCCGTTGACTGGTCTCGCCAAGAGCCGAGGGGCAGGTTTTAGGCAGGGACTTCAGAACAAGATAAACCCTGCTTTACCAGAGGGTTATGACTGGGAAATAGGCATTGTCCCATACCCTAAACACTTTGTTGAAATGTGAACTGTTAACTGATTAAATGCTCTTCAGTTAATTAACTTTCTTGATTTAAACCGATTAATGCTATGATAGCAAATACCTTTGACACCTCTGGTTCTATAACTCTATTCATTTTCATACCAAAGTTTATTTGTGAGTGCAAGAATCGAGTGTAGAAAAAGCAGTGTCATACCACTTTAAACAGTTGTGCCTTCCCACAAAGAACTTTGGGAGCTGTAGTTTGCTAAGGGTGCTGAGAGTTGTTAGGAGACTCCTGTTTCCCTCACAGAGCTACAATTCTCGGAGTGGTCTAACAATCAATCCTTCTTTGAGGTAACTGGGAATTGTAGCTCTGTGAGGACAGAACTCTCCTAAAAAGGCACAGTGCCCCTAACAAACTACAGTTCCCAAAATTAGTTGAGGTATGCCATGAATGTTTGTAGAGGTTTGACACTTTTAAATATATCATGCAGATGGGCCTCTGATTAATTTTGGATCAATTTAGTATGAAATGGTCCCATTTTTCAAAATAACTGTGGTGCTTTCTGTTGGCCAGTCTTGGTGATTATCAATAGAACACACAGACAAATGATTTGAGCTCTTTATATTGGTACCCGGACAAGAAGCATTTATAATATTGAGTGCCCCTTGATTTGATGATAACAGAAATGAATCAAAAAAAGGCACACATATGTGTTTCCTTATCTAGCTGACATTCAAGTCAAATATTCTCCATCCAGGTTACATTCAATTTAAAAACAATTTCACAGACCCTTGATTAATGACAGGGACTGGGAAACAGAGACAGGACTGTCTTGCCAACGTAAACATCAAAGGCTGGGTCTGATGAACATTAGGTTTTTCCCTTATCAAACTTCCTAAGCATGAAAATTGTAGATATCCACAGGTGGTAGATGGAGACATCCATGCATTCTGGGACTATAGAAACTTTGGTAGACACTGTTGGGTAGTTCCATTCCACCTTTTGTTGCAGACATGGGAATGTAGCGTGTCACATGTCTGTTTACATTCCAGCACAGACTGCTGGGTCTCGTGAACTTCCGCTCAGTGTATTGCTTTTGCTTTTGAGTCTCTCTCTGAGAAGACAGCAAGGAGAGACGACATGTTTCTTTGTTCTCATTTATGTAAAATAAATCCAGTTTTAGTATGTATCCACAGCCTCCAGCCTCTTCTGTTGTGCAGTTTACTTTGCTACATATAGTGTGCTTAAGGCAGCAAGCTTGAGTCGCTGATTTACGTCGGAGCCAGAGTCAGAAGTAGGCAGAGGTTGGAGCACTGCAGAATCTCATAACTTACTCACCCTCTGTGCCATCCCACTCCCTGACCACAGACTCACACACAAAAAGCCGAAATTCCCAGAAAAATGGTCCAGAAAGCAAGAGTGAGCCCACAGCATCTAGAGGGCCTCGAATTGACTCCAACATTAGCTTAGGCTAATCAAGGTTGCTTTCAAGATTTGAAACAAACTGGAAAGCTGCCCAAGGGAAACCCTGGTTAGCCTTAATGTCAGTTAACGTAAGTGCTGATGAATGAATCACCTAAAGAGTCATGGGGTGGAAGTCATATTCCAGAAGAAAGGAAAGAGGGTCATACAGCATATGATCCACTCACAATTGTTCAACCATGGTTAAGCAATCAGGAGTGTTAACATACGCACCAGTCCAGCATAATGAAAACAAAGTAGAACACATATTTCCAATGGATCACACAGGCTGATGAACATGTCATTCTGAAATGGACTGAGTCTATCTTATTACAATGGTTATTTATATATCCTATTTGGTTTGCTCTAATGGAACAAATCTCTCAACAGTAAAACACAGGCAAGACTGTTTAAGTGATGCAATGCTACAAGTGTGGAGGAAACGGTGCAGTTTTATGACAAGAATCAGGGTTTTTAGAGTACAAAAGAAAGAGGAATTTAAATGACTTTTAATTATTAAATCTATGTATCCCACTGTCTCAACCATAAATAAACTACCGGGTGGTTGTTGCTTTTATTTTGGCCATTATTAATAAAAACAAAATGCCAGCACTAAATGAGAAAGTGCCATCAAGGTTTCCCAGAAAGCAAAGACTTAAAAAGCACTGTACCCGCTTTAAATGAATAGATTCAAAACCTGAGCATTGAAAAGTATATTTACAATAACCAGATGACAGGAAATGAGGAACTGGGCTTTGGTTTAGGGTAACTATACAAAATAGTGGTGACTGCTTAATATAAACAAATTTGAAGTAAAAGAATGTGTGTTGAAATGACAAAACCACATAGTTTTTGCCCTTGAAAAGCACATACAGTCATACCTTGGGATAAATAGGCTTCAGGTTGAGCACTTTCAGGTTGCGCTCTGCCACGACCCGGAAGTAATGGAGTGTGTTACTTCCAGGTTTCGCCGCTCGCGCAGATGGTCAAAATGACGTCAAGTGCATGCGCGGAAGTGGCGAAACGCAACCCGTGCAAGCGCAGACGTGCTGTCGCATCTTACGTTCTGTTCGGGATGCGAACGGGGCTCCGGAATGGATCCCGTTCACATCCAGAGGTACCACTGCACTAGCTAGGTACAATGAGAACAAGCTGTAGGGAGTCTCTGAGTCAAGTATTTCCCTCCTTCCCTTTTCTCATGGAAGCTTTCACTGCTGCATTTGGTTAACTGCTGCTTACCATGTTATCCAAACTGACAAACTGTAGTTGACATTTATTATAGTTAATTAAAAACTAACTTCAACCCATGGTTGCTGAAGCTGTCTGGTTTCAACTAACCCTAGTTAATGTTAAACCATAGTTCCGGGTTTAGATGACACAATGAACCGTGGTTAACTAAAAGTGAAAACCAAAGTGTTGGAACTCTTCCTTGCGGTGGAAGGTAGTGCAGAGAAGCCCAAGGTTCAGCACGACAGCTCACCACAGCCAAAGAGAGAATCAGATGCTTACCAGTGTATTCTACTTCTAAGATGTGTTTAAAGTCTCCTATGATCTGTTCGTCTGCATTATTCATGATGAAACAAATAGAAACATTTGATCATAAAATGTGTGTTTGAAAACCTCAGTATTATCCAATAAGAAAAGGTCAACTGTGATAAATCAGTTGTTAAAAAGAATCACACTGTAGAAAATGTAATTTACTCCAAGTTAGTTCAGATTTCCATATTAGAATTCTGCTGCACCTATGAGGGAGAATAATTTGAGCTACTTTCCTGCACTATGCAGTGACAAAATGGACAGCTGGTAGCTTACCTTAGGTGACCTTGAATGACTATCTAGCAGAATGCTAATGTGAATCTTTTGCAAATCGTTACAGTGGAGCCTGAAAGTCATGTCTTTAATGGGCAAACAATTAGTGCATATTCAAAGACAAAGGCAAGAGATATGGTTGTTACGATAATATGTAAGTTTTTCACAATCCATAAATACAGCTAAGCATACCAAACTCTGCTTGTAGGATGATCTGCAATGACCCTTCTTCACAACACTTTAGGCCTCATCACACCTGATCTTTAAAATTACTTCAATCCAAATAGGTAGCAAAAACTGCTATATATTCTTGTAGGCAAAAACGTATTAAGTGGAAGAGAAATCCAGTTTTTTAAAAATAACTTAAGGTTATAATGAATTTCCAAGAATAACTAAGGAGGTCCTCCGGTGTGTTCCTTTACATTCTGATGTTCAGTTGGTAAGGATACAGGACAGGACCTTCTCTGGTGTAGCACCCAGGTGGGAAATTCACTGCCCTGGGAGGTTTAGTTGCTCTCCCCTCCCCAAATTACTAACAATCCACATATACCTTAACAAAAAAAATTATGGCAAAATTTCAAGTTTAGCTGCTGCATAGTATTTTTCCTCTCATTTATTATTGGCTCTTCAAAAATTTTATTGCTGCTTTTCCATTTTTTATGGCTTTTTTATAGTTTTTCTTAGTATTATTGCTGTTTTTACTCCATTTACCTCCTTTTTTGTTGGAGGGGGACATGTAACTTCACAAAAGAAACAAATAAATAGCCATCCACCTATCAATTGGGGCATTTTCATGTTTACATGCAGAATTAAGATGACCATGCTCCGAAGGGAGCAAGACTTCTGTTTCTTTAAGAAGGCATTGCAGAGGCAAACCTCATCCTGGAACATTGGAATGATAGGTAAAGCTTCTCCCATAGCATCCCTTTCCCTTTCAGAATAAGACCAGTGAAGGTAAAAGCAATGAATTTGCTTTTTAAAAAAGCATATCATTAAAAGAGAATCCTAACCATGCACCTTGAAAGAACCAGTTCTGATCAGGTGACATGGCTCACAATGGAACGCACAAGGGGCAGAGACTTCATTAGAGATTTTCCATTTAAGATCATTTGAAAGGATTTTTTGAACACCAGTTTTGTCCTAGTTTCTTAAAATGCATGCAAAGACTACTGTTTCTCAGAAACCTAACTCACAAAATACTCTGTCAGGATTTTCATAAGCATTACTAAAAGTGAGTTCACTTTTTCTTTTTTCCACTCCTGAACTCTCTAATCTGTGATTTGGTAATCTCAATAAAAATGGACCTTTGGAAGTATTTCCTGAGTAATCTGACAGAGCATACATTTCCCATTTTCTAATCCACTAGTAATTTCCTATCTGGAGAACTACAAGCGATTAATTTCTGCCAATCCATTTATCCTTAACCAGCTCAAGCTCCCAAGATAGGACAGAAAGCCACAGAACACTATTTTCCATCAGTAAATAATAAATTCACCTGCACTTTCCACTTCTCAGAGTGTTTTTAAAAATAAAATCAAACAAAAGGCTCTGCAAAATTATAGAAGTAATCTGGATTATCAAAGGCCACATAAGAAAACCAGTATAATCAGTAATAAAACCGAATGGTACTTTAATAAATCAGAATTTGCTGTTGGAATTGGAACGGCTTATAAGATGTTCCCATCTTGGTTTGAGGCTTGCTTATTTGTTTATTTTTAAAGTTTAAGAGTGCAAGACTATACTTGAAAAACAACAACAATATGGTGGGTATTATTAGCGCTGCTGTGAGTATATATTGATGCATTGCTATGCCAGCATACTACTCCCTGGTGCACCTCTGTCAATATAAGGTCAAAAACAAATAATAATATTATAATAATAATTTATTATTTATACCCCGCCCATCTGGCTGGGTTTCCCCAGCTACTCTGGGCGGCTTCCAACAGAATATTAAAATACAATAGTCTATTAAACATTAAAACATTAAAAGCTTCCCTAAACAAAGTGGAAACATGGGTGGGGTGAAGGAATGATAGAAAGGAGCACACTTACACCAAATCCTACGCTGCTTCAGACTCTGTTCAGCTGCTTCAGACAAAGCCAATTTTTAAAAAATCACAAAGGATTCAATGGAGAGAGAACATATGCATACACACAATAAATACAATAGTGTACAATACTCTCCTACTCTCCTGTACCAGCCCTGCCCACATACCTACTGATAATGCTGAAGTAACTCTGCACCCAATTCACTACATTCCAACACGCACAGAAAATTCCTCCACTGATAGGGTACACGGCCTAGAGCTACTATCTCTGCCTGGCTGGAGGTCATGTACATTTAGGAAGCACACAAAGGAGAACTCTGGTGACAGAAGCTAAGGGAAAGGGGCACTTTGCACAACAACCTGTCTCCAAGACACAGAAAGTAACTTTCTTCCTTCCATGTTGTGTGCTCAAATAGCAGTGTGTATATATGTGTGCGTGCGCTTTATAGGGGGAGTTAAGCCACAGTGTGTACAACTTTCCTGGAATCCAAGTGTTTTGGTTACTGCTGCCTGCGCTACAGACACTTAGAACTGACATGGACCCTACGACCATCATCAGAGGCCCTTCTTCATGTGCCTCCTCCACGAAATATGCGGAGGGTGGCAACACAATAACAGGCCTTTTTGTGGTGGCTCCCGATTTGTGGAATGCTCTCCCTAGGGAGGCTTGCCTAGTGCCTTCATTACATATATTTAGGCGCCAGGTGAAAACGTTTCTCTATAACCAGGCCTTTGGCTTATTAACGTTCTATGCCCTTTTAAATGTGTTTGTGGGAGAGGTGTTACTGGTTTGTTTTGTTTTTGTTTTAGTGTGTATTTTGTGATCTCATTTTGTATATTTATATTGTGAACCGTTCTGTGATCCTTGGATGAAGGGCAGTATACAAATTTAATTTTAAAAAACACACACGCACAGGGGGGAAATCTCATGCCGCTGTCATGCCGGCTAGGTTGTGTTGTAAAGGTAAAAAAGTAAAGGACTCCTGGACGGTTAAGACCAGTCAAAGGAGACTGTCGGGTGCGGCACTCATCTTGCTTCAGGTCGAGGAAGCCGGTGTTTGTCTGCAAACATCTTTCCAGGTCATGTGGCCAGCATGACTAAACTGCTCTGGCGCAACAGGACACTGTGACGAGTGCCAGAGTGCATGGAAACGCCATTTACATGGGTTGGGGCAAGGGCCTGTTCTCACCACTGTGAGTGCATTGACTCATTTCCTGGCTGAGTGACTGACATGAGGGTGTTAACACCACTGCAACCTATGAACACTAGGGGAAAGCAGTGCTGTCACTGATATTGGTGGTGTGGCTGGTGGTGCTATTCTGCTCCCCCTGTCACAGTACATTTCAAGTCCTGTGTTGGAAGTATATAGGGTATGATGCCCATTAAACCAACAATTTGCCAGATTAAGTATCCTGGCATAAAGGATTGCTCAAATTATTCAGTAAGGGGATCCTAGCCGCACTCACTTGAGATGAACTCAGTGCAGAGGACTAGCCTGCACAATCTTCCTCACTGAAAAGTACATTGCTCATTGATTCACTAATGTGGGATGCTGAAGATCGGAGCCTTGATTGTGCCTTCCTCAAGGATCTTAGTTATGTAACTGCAGGTGCCAAAATGTGAACTGCAATAGTGGAACATTTTCATGGCACTTATTATTCCGCAGGCAGGGGAGACCAAATTTAAAACCTGGAATACAATATAATCTAGCTGTGAAATCCTTCCAATGAGATTCTATTGGTACTATCGATTCTATCACTTCAATTCCCCCCACCTCCCTTCCTTTCAGAATGTAAATGAACTTGCTCCTTCATAAAATCCCAAATACTAGTGTCAACTTATTTTTCCCCTACTACACAAGAAAGTCACAGTTAGTTAGATTCATTTGAGAATGAAGAGATAAGAGTACTTAACTCTAAACTGGTTAGAAAGTTTCAGCATTAAACAGATCCAAATCAGCCCAAAGCGCATTCCCTAGAAATACTGCAATGCTTTACCAAAATGGTATATACCGTGCACTAGAGGGGAACGATTTCCTTCCATTACAAATGCATGAAAGGAAAAGATCTAAGGGTTCAAAAAAACCAGGAACATCAGAATAAATTTTGCTTATTAAGCTTATATGTGCAAAAACTCTTTGCACTACTCCTTGCACTGGGGACATCACTGGGAAAAGCATATCACCAATAGCACTGTACTAGTTTAAGTATGTAAGTATTGGAGAAGTGATGAGAGCTGGCCTTCGTGCAGTCTTCATTTTCTTCTCTATTAGTCTGCCTTCATACCACAGCATAAAACTCTTGCACATGAAATAGTAGTACTTCCGGAGGTGGGGTGAAGAAAACTGGGCTCTTTATGGTCCCAGAGACCACCACCTAAAGATGATGATGTAACATGAATCTCAAGGCACTGGAACTACTGCACACTGACAGAGGGTAGAACCAGCCAAGCCCATCTGTCCCCCCACTCATTCAAGACACAAAATGTTGCTGTGGCTATAGCAGTGGTTCTCAAAGGATGTGGCACACCACACTGGTGTGGAAGGTGAGGGTGCCAGGCGCGGACGGAAGATTCAAGGACAATCAAAGAAATGTTTAAACATTTCTGTATAGTACAGTACAATATTGTATAGTATCAACATTTTTTATTTATTTGCAGAATATGGATAGATACATTTTCAAAATGAAATGGCCTTCATTTCAAGTGATTGAACCTTAACAATGAAACACAGGAGTATGCTACTGGACTCTTTTTGGATACACAACCAGAAACAGTTTCCATGCCTCTCTTCAAGAGCACTGGCTATTCATCTACAGTTCTCCACGATATGTTGTTGTGAACAGGGATTTCAACTCTGACAAATACGAAGGATCAGAAAAGAGAGAATTCTTTGTGTTGATGAGATGAGAGTTGGTTTGTCTCAAATTAGACCGTATATAAATGAGATTACCCAGCAAAAGCAAGCTCACAACTCTCACTGACTGAGTTTGCATACATGCTTAAGGTAAGAGTCTCACTTATATTTTGGGAATGATTCCTGTTCTTATGTAGCTGCATTGTTTTGTATTCTGTGTTATAAATCGAACACTGCCAGGAGTTGCTTCTTTTTGTTTTCTGGTGTATTTCTTATCAATAAAAAAAAACAATCAGTGTGGTATAAGCGAATTTTGGCCTTCTACCAAAACTGGTCCTTAAGACACCCTACAATGGCCTGATCAAGGTTCAGTTCAGTGAATGTCAAAGATGCTCAGTAATATCTCTAAAAGGATACTACTGGGCCAGCTCTGAGGGATGAAAACTAGCATATTCAACCTTGCATTCACACACCTCTTCTGAAACACAGGTTTTACAACACAATACCAAAGTGGTAAGAAGTAAACCCATTGGAGTTTAGAACTCCATCTCCTTTTGCTGTCCAAGTCAAGAAATGTTGAATGCATATTAAGATTTCTAGTGTGTGTGGATGGTGAATACTATGTAGTACTATAAATAAATCAATAAATAGAACATTAAAACAAAGCAGATGAAATACTGTGCTAGTGTGCAATTCAGTACATGGATTAAAAGTTTATAAAACTCATTTGTGTGGTCTTTGTGCTTAAGTGCTTTCCTTTCTGAGATGCGCATCTTCAATACACTGGAGAGGAAATGACTTTTTAAAAGGCACAAACAGCATTTAGTAAGCTAAAGAACACCTACCCATAAAACCACAGTATGCAATTTCCAAACATTCAGACTCAGCAAAATCAAAAGTAGTTGCTTCCAGAACAAAGCCACACACTCTACTTAAATATAGTGATCAGACCAAATTATATACATTCAAACTTCAGTCTTCAGGTAGAAGCCTATTCAGAGAAATGAACACTCACACCCCCCCAAAAAAAAACCCTAGGAAAGAATCTATTTTCTCCTATTGTCCTCTCACTCAGAAAACAGCTTGACTGTTTATGTCCTTGTGCAGATAAATTCCAAGTGGGGTGAAGTACAGAACATTTCATCCCAAATGAGAACTATGGGCTTGAAAATATATTTAATGGCATGAACCCTTAACTGTTACTGCTTTTTCCTCCTGTACAATTAGTATTAAACTTAACATTTATCTTTTTCTGACAGCAGCTCCTGCCATTAAATGAAATCATGCTCTCTTACTAATGTGGTTACAACCCACAGAGCAGTATATTAGCAGACCTGAATTACAACATTGCACATGAATGGCTTCTAGTGGCAACAAACAAAAACAGTTTTAAAAGCCTGGAATGTCAGGCAACACACACAGCATTCTAAGACCATAATGCACATTATTTCTTACACCCACACCTACCCAACATATATATATTGTGTAAGAGAGACGGAAATGTCACAAATGACATACAGAGGCCCCAGCAACAATCAAATTTTCTGTGCTATTCTTAATCACATAAAATGTGTAAGTCTCTTGACTGCATACAGCATGATTCACAAATAATGGAACAACTGGAGCCTGCGTAGTGAAGTAGTTAATGTCAGACTAGGACCTATGGGACTAGGGCAACATCTGTCTAATCCCTAGTTTAAAAACTCATTTTTGTTGGAAGCTGTCATCTTATAATTGCAGAATATTACTATCAATAGCTATTAAGGAAGCAGTACAACGTCCATGAAACAGCAGACAAATATCCTATCTCAGATACGGACAGTGGTGCACAAATACTCCTATGCATACCAGATTCATATGCCCCTACCCACTCAACAGACAGCTGTCACTATCAAAGTTTATTCTAAGGCAGGATCTACACATTTTGGCTCGGGACAGCGGCTATTTTGCTAGGTGATGTTTGGCTTTCTTGTTACCTCCTCTACATAAGCAAAATGTGTCCCTGCTACATCCGCTACCAGTTGAGGATTTGGGAAAGTGATTGTTTCTTTTACAAAATGGTGTGTTGCCTGTGTTTGCAGCAATCCCTCCATTCCACCCCCAAACAATGATGCTGATTCCCAGCATCAGATGTATACAGGAATAATTTTGAAAGAGTAGTTTGGCGTGTGTGTGTGTGTGTGTGTAGGTAATTTTTAGAAATTCAGTATTCCCAAGGGGCAGCCAGGGCAGACAACAAACGCCAGCAAGCTAGGGGAGCTGGCTGTAACCTGGAGACTCAGAATAGCCACTGCTGGTTCATTGTGGCTCCATTGCTTAGGGACCGTTCTGAGCTGTGGCTGTTAGCACACAGCAGGCCAACAGCTTATCCTAGGCATCTCCTGTGGAAGAAGCGAGGGTAGTAGCATCATCAGTTGCTCAGAGCTAGAACACATTAGCCACTCAACAATCCAAGACAGCATCCTTCTGTATACCAGCAGTTGGGAATCACAAATGGGGAGAATGCTGTTGCACTGATGTGTTGTTTGTGGGCTTCCCATAGTTATCTGGTTAGTTGCTGTGGGAACAAATGCTGGACTACTTGGACCTTTGGTCTAATCTAGCAGAACTAGAAACTAAACTAAAGTGAAACTAGATACACATAAAATGCCATGATTTTATAAACTTCCATGTCCCCCTTCTGAAAGAAGGACCAAAGGAATTGGGCCAAGGGGCCCACTGACACCCAGTTGGTAGAGAACCCACAAAAAACTGTAGCCACCTTTCCTTGCTGGTTGCTAGGATTAAACATCTATTTGCTGTTGACAACATTGCAGGTGGACTTGTCGAACCCTGTCACAATAGCCCAGAATGGTTTTGGGATTTACTGTACCGTAGAGGAACAATAAATGAATCTCAAAATGAAAAGGGTCTATGATGCAAGTCAGTTAGTTAGTTACTTTTATAAATAACACAACAAGAATTCGTGAGAAGTCTGATTTTACAGATAGGATGCCAAACCTTGATAACTCTGAAAGAATATGAAGATCCAGGAAGCGACACGATCATCAGGCACTGACATAAACTAAAGTTCCTGTCTCCTTGGCTGTGCTCCTACCATTGCAAATGACACAGAGTTCTACTGGGTGCATGACTTAGCTCAAGCTGGTGAAAAAACAGGCCTTAAGGACCAGAATTACTACAGAGGATGCTTTTCCCATGAGTAGGCCTTTGGTTCTAAAACAATATTTTTAAGTTGTAGCCCTTAAATTTCAGTAGGTGCAAAATTCAGAAGAAAAATGTGGTGTGATAGAAGGTTTGAGGGAAAGGCTCTCAAAAAAGAAACAAGAAATAGAAAGACGTGAATATTGCTTGCACCATCTGGTGGATGCTGATTGAAACTGGAAAACAAATGAATTTTGATGCGCTTATGCTGGTGACCTGAAGGGTTTTTGAAATATTTCAACTCTCAATAAAGGATGGCAATATGAATTGCCTTGTATTGTCTATAATAATAGTAATAACACCAGCAAATAAAATGACTGCTTATTGCTAGTCTGAGAAATAATGTCATTGAAAGAAGTATAACAAGCCTTAGGAAATAATTCCAATTTTACATGAAGATATGAAGCTAGAAAAGGTAAGCGGCTTGAATACTGAAACCATTACTTTAAACAAAGAATCAAAACAAGTTGAAAATGCTGCATATGCAGTTCACAAATTAATTAAAGGCCTGATATATAAAATCCAATGAAATTCTACCTCAATTCAACAGAAGCAAACTGATTTTAATTAAAGCAGCAACTTTTTAATACATTTGTTGAAAAGGCTACACACATCATAATATAAAGCAAGTAAAATCGCTACAAAAATTTAAGAATATTTTAACTAGTGTCACATACCATGGTTATGTCAAATTTGGTGAAGCTTTCCTCTCCCCTTGAAAGTCTGAAGTTGCAAAAAGATAATGGCAACTGGGATTTTGAAAAGCCAACAAGACAGAAGTGAGTACAAGATGTAGGGTGCCTCACAGGGTCTTCTACCAGCAGTATCAACCAACTTGGGCCCTGCAATCAGCAAGTGAGGACCTGTTGGTGTTGCTATTGCGGGATACTACTCAGTTTTTACTATGACAAGCTCTTCTCAGAGAGGCATCTCTGTCTTCCTTGTTATTAATATTCTGGAGGGATTGAAAAGCATTTCTGTTCACTTATGGAATTTTATTTTTATTATTTATGGTTATATCCCACCTCTCCTCCAAGGAGATCAAGGTATTACACATGGTTTCCTCCCTCCCCATTTGATTCTCACAACCAGCCCATGAGGTAGGTTAGGTGAGGAGGTAATGGCTGATCCAAACTTACCTATTAAGTTTCATAGGTTTCAATCCTGGTCTCCCAGGTCCTTGACCAACACCCTAACCAATACCCAAACGATGCTGTTCCTGGCAACCAGCACATTATTAGCTTTGAGGATATGCAAAATGTTCTTAAATATTTTTATGATTTTATTCTAATTGTGTTATTTTGCGGCCCTGTGCACCTTTGAGAAGAAGGGTGGGATAGGAGGTTCATAGATTAATAAATAATTGCCCTGTGGGAAGGACTCAGAAGAAAGCAGAAGGCAGAAGAAGACCACTTCAGATGGATTTCCCCACATGGCAAAATCTACCACCAACTGTCCCCCGAGAATGATACTGATACCCTGGGTCTTGATATCTTACTCTGATTTTGTTTTCATTGGTATTTACTTGTAAACTGCTTTGGAACCAACTGTATTCTGACAGATGTGATAGCAATCACTGTAACCAACAAATAACACTGGATCAAGAGCATCTACACCACATTCCAGGCATGGAATGCTAGGGAAACTGTCCATGTGATCAGGGTGATCCACAAAGGTGGTAGTTATTCTCAATACACGGTCGCCATTTAACTTCAGCAATCCAATTAGTGTTGGGGCTGAGGGTGGAGGGGAAATGGAACACCGATAAAGGAAATAATCAAATATGCCCAGCATTTATTGTGTGAATGCTCCCACCTATCCCCAAGTAATGTCCATGGGACACAACTGATGGACCACCCTCTGTCACTTGCTACCTAATTTCTCTTCCACAAATGAAATAAACCTCACCTTGGAAAAAGAAGTGACAGGCAAGCAGATGGCTAACAAGAACACATGAGGAGTCTTACAAGCCAAATTTAAGTCTTTTCAAATCAGCAGAGGGGGCCTTGGGACTTTGCTGTGTGCAACAGAGCCTTCAGCTGTCTGCTGCTGTTTTGCCTTTCTGCAAGGTAATAATAATAATAATAATAATAATAATAATAATAAATTTTATTTATATCCCGCCCTCCCCAGCCAAAGCCGGGCTCAGGGCGGCTAACAACAATAAAATAGTACAACATTCTAAGGCTAAAAGAGGGTTGGATGAGTCCAAGGAACAGCAAGGAGGAGGCTGGGCTAAGGTGAGTCACGCCCAACTCATTTCTGCTGTCTTTTGTTTGAGGAGGAAGGGGATTTCCATTTGTGACCATTTTGCTGCAAACAGTCCTATCCCTACATCTAATGAGAAAATGAAACTAATTTTTAAGCCCAAAGGGTCATGTGCCAGAACCACATATATTTGCTCTTGACTCCTCTATAACCTATTTAACAAATGGATCAGATGCTCATTTATAAGCTATGTAGACCAGATATTGAGAGTCACATTCTGATGGACCTACACCTTCAAGGATGTAAGAAAATGGTCAGCTGCTGTCAACTAGACAACAACCACGTCAACGCAATTCTGAACTCTTTTCAAATTTTACCAATCACTCCTTGCAGCAGTCAAGCATGGTGATAATTCCATTTCATTCTTTTATCCATTAAAAAAAAACCCAACAGTATTTGGTGCTAAATCCTAGAAAAAAGTACACAGAACTAAGACTTTACTTTCGAGAAAAAGCACTGAGTTCTCATTCAACTTTTAATTCTCTCTACCACCCCACACTTCCGAAAGTGCTTGACAATTTTCCAGTATTTTAGATGCATAGAAGATCATGGAAGCAGACATTACGGCAACAAGCTCAGTTTGCATTCAGGAAGTACGCAAATGGTTCAAAAGGCAAAGCACATCCTGCATGTTCTCCTACGCTTGAGTGCAGAAAGCAAGCTGTGCAGGTGTATTTTCTAAATAGATTCGGCACTAATGCTTCTTAAACCTGTGCAATGAATAAATTAGAGGACAATTTGAAGCCTTTGTGCAGAAGATTCACATAAATAATTCAGGATAAAGGAGGTCCTTCGAATGAACAGAGCCTGCACCACTGCCCATATGCTCAACCACACGCATCAACAGATAGTCAGTACCTCTGCATTACACAGAAACAGACTGCTAAAGGCTGTAACACATTTGTTGACTGAACACCCCTTATAAGCAACAAACTAAAAAGGAACCAAGGATTTGTCTCTATCTCCTTTATATTAAAAGGAAAGGTGGGGAGAGAATGGCTCAGGTCCTGATCCACAATCTTGGATCAGTCAGTAGAGCATGTAGCTCTTAATCTCAGGGTTGTGGGTTTGCACTGCATGGGGTGGGCTAGATGACCCTCATGATCCCTTCCAATTTTCCATTTCCATGATTCTATTATCTTACTTCACATTTCATTAGGTTTAAGACAGTGCCTAGACCGGAGCTTTCCAAACTTTTCTTTTCTAATTAATTTTTATTGAAGTTTTTATCTCTACAAAATAACAGAAATAAAGAAAGGTTTACACATATGTACATGTTAGTAACACAAAGCATCCCCCCACCTCACCCACCACCATTGGTTCAACATAACTCAAAATGTGAGTTAAAATCTGACTTCCTTCCATCGTTGCTTGACCTTAATTCTATAACTTATTTTTACAGTTGTGTTGTTATATTGTATTTGACAAATACTCTGATTTTACTTGCATTTGTAACCTTTCCCCCTTACAAACTTTGTTGTTTACATATCAATATTTCGGTACCGGAGCAGTGTTTTTTCGTATATTCATTCACTTAACTCCATTCTTTTATTAAATTTTGATTTGTTTGACCTCTGACAGCTGCCGTCATTTTGGCCAATTCAACAAATTCAATAAGTTTGATTTGCCAATCTATTATTGTGGGTATTTTGTCTCCTTTCCAATTCTTTGCTATAAGAACTCTTGGGGCAGCGGATGCGTATAAGAATATCCTTTTCTTATTTATGGGGATGTCATTTGTTATTAATCTCAGAAGATACGCTTCTGGTTTCTTGTTGAATGATTTTTAAAAAATCTTTATTATCACTTCATGAACTTTATTCCAAAAGGTTTTCATCACACTATACCCCCACCACATATGATACATTATTCCTGTTTCGCTGTTGCATCTCCACCATGCATTGGTTTTTTGCTTATAATTTTTTGCCAATTTCTCAGGGGTTAGATACCAGCGGTAGATCATTTTCATTAAGTTCTCCCTTATTATGTAACATGCTGTGAATTTGATGTCAATTTTCCACAGCTGTTCCCATTGTTTTAACATTATGTTATGTCTGAGGTCCTGCGCCCACTTTATCATAACACCCTTTACCATCTCATCCTTGAGTTCCCATTCGAAAAGTAGGTCATACATCCTAGATAGGGTCTTTTTATTAATTTGTAGCTTTCCAAACTTTTCATGTTGGTGACATACTTTTTAGACCTGCAGCATTTTGCAACACAGTAATTCAGTTTTACTAGCAAACCGTAGGTTAAACTAACCCCTTTCCAGCACGGGGAGAGTTCGCGCAACACACCTACACACTAACGTGTCGCGACACACAGTTTGGAAAGCTCTGGTCCAGACTTATTCTCTTGTCATTTTTCATTATGTCTCATGATGTCCTTGTGCTCTTGAGACAGTGCATTTACGTGAACATGGGTCACAGGGTCAGGGAACACACACAGACACATGAGCCAAATAAACCTGATGCAGTGCTGTGTGTTAAATTCTATATGCAATGACAATAAGAGTGCTCAGGATGCTTGGAGCTCACAGCCACCCCTGACCTTCCTACAAGCCCAGGTTTTATGGGGGTGAGTGCTGTTTGTATAGTTACTAACTATGCTTACTAGACACCTAATAGCTGCCATTCCCTTGATGTCAGATAAAAGCGATTTTTTTAATAATAAAAAAACAGAAATAGAAAAGAAGCGCTAAAGCAGTAACATGAGAGGTAAAAAGCCATTAAACAAGTAGCAAAGTAAAAGCTTAAAAATGGCAGAGACTGCAACAAGCACGTAAAACAAGCAGAAACCAGGAATTAAAAGCTGCATATTTTAAAAGCTGGAGAGAATAAAAGGGTTTTAAAGGTAAAGGTACCCCTGACCATTAGGTCCAGTAGTGACCGACTCTGGGGTTGCGGCGCTCATCTCGCTTTATTGGCTGAGGGAGCCGGCGTACAGCTTCTGGGTCACGTGGCCAGCATGACTAAGCCGCTTCTGGCGAACCAGAGCAGCGCACGGAAACACTATTTACCTTCCCGACGGAGCGGTACCTATTTATCTACTTGCACTTTGATGTGCTTTTGAACTGCTAGGTTGGCAGGAGCAAGGACCGAGCAACAGGAGCTCACCCCATCACAGGGATTCGAACCGCCGACCTTCTGATCGGCAAGTCCTAGGCTCTGTGGTTTAACCCACAGCGCCACCCGCGTCCCTTATGGGCAGGTAAGGTAAAGGTAAAAGGTAAATGGGCAGGTACACATGGAAAGAGACACTGCTACAAATACTGTGGCCCCAAGCCATGAAGAAACACTCTGAACTGGGCCCAGAAGCAGCCCTGAGGGAACAGGCTATACTACAAAAATTCAACGTGAAAATATGTTTTTTAATAATTTCCCCAGTTATCGCAGAGGAAGGGCAGAACAGTGACAAGGGCAACTTTTATCTCCAGATCATGAGGCCTGTAAAGTGGTAATGAAGTAGAAGCTGGAAAGAAACATGCAAGTGGTCTATGAAGAAGTTACAAGTTCCAAAAGCTCCCACTCTTTACTTCCCCCTCAGGATGATGGAAGGGGAAGGAACAGGGAAAGCTTCCTCCATCCTGATTCCTATCACTGCCATCTACGCTTGCTTGTAAGGGGAGGGTGATCAGCAGAGGATGCTTTCAGGGGCAAGTGGCTGGCGGGAAGAGGCTTTTCCCCAAGCATCTTGGTTCAGGTCCAGAAAATGAGCCAGATTTGTTTCCCAAGGAGGCCGGGGGGGGGTGTGTGTGTTCATTTCTGGATCAAACCAAGGAGAAAGATGTGGCAGTCACTATTTAAAACCAACCCAGTGGCGATGGATTGCACAGTTTTCCCTGCCCACTTAGAGGAGACACACTTTAGACATCTGCATCATTTGGTTAGCCATTCAAGGAAAGGTACTGGAAAACTGGATTTCATTAATGTTCAGCTCATTTCTCCTTCACATAAATATCTTCAGCATGCTCCCCGCCCCCAACCTCTTGACAATTGCTCCAGAAGCCTTGTGTTAATTCACAGAATGGTTTTTACAACCGCATAAAATATGTATGAGAAATAAAATAACAAAAATCATGTTGATAGTGCTCGCAGGTTCATTCTGATCTGTTGCACTTAAAACATTTTGTTCATATGGGTTCCATAATCATATTTTTCCTCCTTTCGGACCTTTTACTCAGGTTTTCCCCCCCTTTCCTTTAAGCACCAGTAGTTGCTATGGAAACTATATATCTCTTCCTCCTCCCCAAGTTCACGCAGGTTTTCATCAAACCCAATAACTATTATTTTTGCAAAATCTCGTCTAGTCCAGTAAAATTGTTCCTTGACGAAAATACAGTATCCATCAGGACCTCACTGATTCACACTAATGAAAAGTAGGATCATGAATTGCCAGATGCTGAGAATTAGCAGCACAATTCATTCAAAAAAGAAGAGACTGCTCATTGCTTAATTTAGATGTGTTAACCCTTCATAACATCACAATCAAATAAATGGCAGAATCATTTGCAGAAAGTGATGGAAAACCCTGTGATATCTACAAATACTGTGATATCCACAATCTAGCAGAAGCAGAGTGACTGCAGAATTTTGAAGTATAACAAAAATTACCTGGAAATTGTCACAATTACTGAAGTATAGGAAGACGAAAAGATTGGCTGTGTGGCTGGTCTTCCATTTCTCCATGACAAACATACACTGCCTATCAGCACAGAAGGAGGAATATATATTTTTTTTATTTCCAGGGGTGGGGGGAGAGAAAACCTGGGTCTGTGCATCTATTGGTTTTAGGTTCCATTCTTTGTTTTAATGGCATTGTTTGTTTCTGTTTTGTACATTGCTTAAGAGATTTTAAAATATATATATTAAGCATTTTATAACTGTTTTTAAGTAAAAATATATAGTTAAAAATGGAATGCACCACCTTCTAAAAATAGAATGCGCAGTTCATAGTGAATACAACAATATAAAACTCCCTGTATTTTTCTTTCTCCTACCTTCCTGGAAAATGATGCAAATGTGTAGGCTGCTGGTAACTAGGAGGAGACAACACAGGTTCTTTTCAGTTCAGTTCTTGTGGTGCGGATTGGGACATAATTCAAAGAATGTCGCCACCTTGTAACAGAACCCAGTAAAACAATGTGATGCACACCGCAAGAATGGGACCATGGTCACTAAGCAGTAATTTTGAGAGGAGTGAAACCTGAACTCTTATCAGCACCTTTCAGAAAAGGTGAGGAACAATGAGGTGGGGATTAGCAGTATACCTCAGCAGCTGCCAAGTGCAAACGTTCAATCCTTCAGTTATTCCAGCAGATAACGTACAGCGTTCACAACTCCCCAGCCTTAGAAAAATCAGACTTCCATCTTTCTTGCAAACCACAGCATTTCATATGGGCAACACTACATGAGTGATTAAAAATAAATAAAACAGGGTAGTGAGTCACCCTTCTCTACGACATGCCAAGCACGTCATAAAAGTGCTAAGAAACCTTTGAATGCTCAGGGTGCTCATTAACAGGCTCCCCCCCCCCAATTTAATTGCAAATTGAAACCCACCTCCCCCTCTCATAATACCACCTCCAGAATACTGAGAAGCGGTTGGAAAAACAAGGAGCAATACTATCGCAGGGTCAACATCGAAGTTTGCTCCCAACTCTGGGACTGCTCCTGAGATCGCAATAATTAAAACGCACAACCAATTCTATGTTTTATGTGCAAGAGAGCAATGCGAAATCTGTAACAGCAAGAAAGATGCCAGGATTCAAGGTAACAATACCGCCTCATGTGGGAAGCCCTAAAATCCAAAGCCAAGTACAGCTCTTTGAATGATGCTTAGTTGCAGTAATCTGTGTTGATGCATCACAGAAAACCTACTGGGAATTTTGCTAACTCTGGCCCCTAGGCCTATACACTTTATGTCTTGTGTATCAGACCACTGGATCAAGCTACAAGGGATATATGCATTTCAAAGGAAGAAATTCCACTCTTTGTCCCTGAACCTTTTCAGACGATCCAGATTAAACAGGAATTGCAATTCACCCTTCTTGTCATAGAAACTCTCTTTCACTGTTGGTTTCTGCAGCCCAAGATCCAAAGAAGGAGATTCCTCCACATGCACAAGGGAGCTGCTTTCACATGGCGATCTTTCCTATGACAGTAGCGTATGTGTGAATAATACCACATGTTTCTCCCCCTCCTCGATTAATCCCCACAACAACCCTGAGAGACAGCAACTGGCCCAAGCTCACTCAGTGAATTTCATGGCTGAGTGGGGACTCAAGCCCTGGTTTCACAGGTCCTAGTCAGACACTCTAGTATCTTAAGTTGAAAGCACTATGCCAGTAAAGGGTTAGAGAATGCAAATGCTGAATTACCGTATTTTTCGCTCTATAAGACGCACCAGACCATAAGACACACCTAGTTTTTGGAGGAGGAAAACAAGAGGGAAAAAAATCTGAATCCCAGAAGCCAGAACAGAAAGGGATCACTGTACAGCAATCAGTCTTGCTGTTCTGGCTTCAGCGATAGCTGCACAGCCTGCATTCGCTCCATAAGACGCACACACATTTCCCCTTACTTTTTAGGAGGGAAAAGGTGCATCTTATAGAGCAAAAAATACGGTACCTTCTACCCATCTGGTAGCAAATAGTTGCCAAACCAGATGAAGCACACTGTGACAATAGTTGGGAACATCCACACAATGTCCCAAGTTGGTGTTGGCCTGTTTTAGAAGAGAATATATTAAAAATGTCGACCTAGGAGCCCCAAAAAACATGGGGGATCCAGCAGAGGAAGTTGGGGAAAGAGCAGTGCAAGTAAAGTGTTCTAAGTTGGACAGTTGGACAAGGCTTCCATCATTGAACCTGAAGGATCTTGGGTCTAATCCCACAAGGGCCTGCACCCAACACAGTGTGGCAGCTGGTGCAACACACTGGCCAAATATAACATGATCATCTGCCATACTGCCTGATTATCTCTACATGCCAGAAACAAGCAGTCACTTGTTATCTGTGTCACCACAGAGCATCACCCATCATTTGCTCCACAGGCTCATTAAAAAAATAATTCCCAGAGATTTATTCATAATGTAGCAGCGTGTGCGATTTGTTGGTGTTTTCTGCTTAAAGGCAATTAATCGTGTGAAAGACATTGATTTAAAACTAGCATTGTTCCAAACAAAGAGCAGCCATCGTTTCACCTGTTCCCCATGCAAAACCAAGCATCTTGCCTAAAACAAAAAGGCAATGTGTGTAACGACTTTGAATACACTATTATATAAATGCTAAGCATTGCTATTATCTAAAAGCTAAAAAGAGAACAGATATCAATGCATATTTCAAAGCAATTTCCCCACTTCTCATCAAGATGATTAAGATGCCCCTTGCATTTATTAAACTGCGCTATAAAACAATTGTACATATACACAATATTAAGAGTAATCATTCTGAAAAGCACAATTTTAGTGCCATTTCTCCTAATATATGTGACAAAGCAGTCATAACTTATCTTCAGCACTGCATGAACCATCATCTTTATACATAATTTAGATTATCCCACAGTCACACAGCTAAGAATGTCTCCATCCTTTCTGCTGTTCATTTAGGCTTGAGTAAAGCATTGTTTATATTAATATAAAGATGTGGCACATATACAACCAGATCACCAAACAATCTAAAATTTAACGTGAGCATTGTTCATACCCACAGGCAAGAGTTCTCAAGAAGCCATCTTTCCTGCCTTTAATTACGTCTGTTTTCTGCGGGGGAATTACCGTATTTTTCGCTCGATAACACGCACCTGACCATAACACGCACATAGTTTTTAGAGGAGGAAAACAAGAAAAAAAATTCTGAATGAAACAGTGGATGTATCATTTTTGTGCTTCATGCTGTGGCCACAGACATGTGATTTGACGGTGAGTTTGGGGTAGCCCAATGCAAAAATCCTGAGAATCCATGTGGATCTGTTTTTGCACCATTGTGGCCCCAGGCAACAGTGGGTGCATGATTTTTTTGGTGCAGGCTGTAGCCATGGACATGCTAGGTGATCTGATGGTGAATTTGGGGTGACCCAATGCAAAGATCCTGAGGATCCATGTGGATCCGTGCTTTGTAACCATGTTTTAAGTGGGGAGGGAAGGAAAAACCCAGAAGAGACATGGAGCACGAGAGGGGTGTGCGGAGAAGCAGCTGGCTAACAATGCAGGAGAGGGGTTTAACGGGAGGGAGGAAAGGAAGGCAAAAGTTTCCCCCCACCCACCTAAGCCAGCCCCCCCCTCTCTTTCTCTCTCTCTCCCACCTGCATTTTCCGGCTGCCTGCGATCCTGGACGCAGCAGCAGCAGCAGCGGAGCACGGAGAGGAGGTGGTGGTGGCTGTCAGCTGCGCTCCTAGCGAAAACAGTGGGCAGTAAGACCCTGAGACAAAATGCAGGAAAGCAGCAACCTCCTCTCTTTAGCCTTCCCTCCTCCGCGATCTGATTTTTGCCTGATTTTTGCCCCTGTACTCGGGCCAGTCGGCTCCAGGGACCACACATTCGCTCAATAACACGCACAGACATTTCCCCTTACTTTTTAGGAGAGAAAATGTGAGTGTTATAGAGAGAAAAATACGGTAATTGGAAAAAAATTCTGTCCTACATCACTGCCCACTTTTGGCAACTAAGGAAGCTATTCATTGATAATTTAATAGCCTGAACATGGGGGCTGGGTTCATGGTTCCCAATTCACTTCTATCCTGGCACAAGTGTGATAAACAAATCAGGAAGCCTTGGATTCCCAATATGTCCAAATAAGGAGCTGTTGTTTGTTTCTTCCTAACAAGCAACACTGGTAAGCCAACAATAGGACATGGCTTATGACTGTCTCCCTTGAAGGTCACAATCCTTGGTCTGGAAGCAACAGGTTTGGTGGCTTCCAGACTTGCTTATCTGAGCCAAACCAGAGCAGGACTGATTAGACAGTGTGCACCCACACCCCACTTGTTCACAAAAGACCACAATAACCCAGAAACTCTGGCTTATAATGCAGCCTTTGTGGCAAACTTGGTGTTATTTAACCCGTTGTCTGCTCATTTTCCATTACCTAAACGCCAAAAGAAATTAATTTAGCCTTATTCCCAATACTAGGAAGCTTTTTACTTCCCCACACCATAACATATTTAAAAGCAACCAATTTTTTTACAACTTTTTAGTGCCTCGGCACATTATTTTGTGAAGAACAGTCCAGTCCAGAGGTACGATATAAAATACAGACCGTGCCCAAAAAGGGCATATAATTTCAATATTGCAACACCTTTTAAGTAGGCAACGTTCGGATGGGCACTCAACTGTGAAACTTACATGGAAGGTTGCGTTTTGAATATATAGCAGTATGAGGATATATTTAATACTCAAATTTAGCACCAATTTCAGTGAGGCGCAACCACAGTGATAAACACAGCGACACATCGGAGGGTCTGTTTAAAGCAGATTAATTTATATGATGGATGCTGCTAACTGGTTGCTTGAAACAATAACTTTTCGAAATTTGTCATTTTGTGCGTACCCATGTGAAATAAGATGAGTGAAACCACATAACTGACCTTCCCCTGGGCTAGTTCTACCCGAAACTCTGTTCAGGCATCCACACTCAACAGATGGATGTCACGAAGCAGGGATAATCCAGCCACACAATCTCAGGTGTAGAGCCAAGGGCAGGGCTAGACTCCTCCTCCACCTATGCATGCTTAAGGCTTCAGAGCTGTTCCAGTTCAGACTATGAAAGGAGCTCTAAAGTTTGAACAAGAATGAGTCCTCTCCCCACAGAGCTTTTGTAACAACCCTATAGTAATCGTACTTACACAGTTCCCTTCACTTTAATGGGATCGACTTTTAGGCAAGTATGGCTAGGACTGCCGCCTTACAATATTAAAAGCTGTTTATCCTAGGAAATGGTTTGCTTTGTGAAATGTAACCACACGTTTCTAGCCCCATCAATCCTATGAATAGGTCTTGGAAGTGTACTCCTGTGAAATTAATTTCATGGTATGTGCGCCTTACTCTGGCATTTTGCATTCTGTCCCTAAATACGTACAGAGGCAAGACTAAGAGAAGAAAATGTGTTTGTCCTTTTACACTCCCTCTCCTACCCCTATTAACAAGGCTTTCCTTGTGAGATCCAACAGACCACATCTACAGTTGGAACAAAGCTTGGATGTGTTTCTGATGGGCCCTCACTCCTTTAAGGAGGCATTTTCCCTTGAACATTAAATGATGTTCTAGGTATGCATTCCACGAGAACAATTACTCCACCTGTGGTCCTTTAATCTCTAAGGTGGACAGCCTCAGTCTTAAGTGATATATTCAGCAAGCCACTTGCCAACTTGACATGTGAGGGGTTGATTCTGCATTCTGCAGCCAAGACCATTGAGGTCAGGCTGCATATCAATCTTTGCCAGCTTTTTTTGGGTCGGGGGGGGCAGAGCTTTCCCCCCAAAGTAGGATTTTCCCTATACTTCCTATAGGGATACTTCCCTGTTTCTGTAGGTGATATGTAGCGTTACACAATGAAGCTGTATGGAAGTCAGACATTTTACTAATATGGGTGTCATTTTTCATGAACATTTCTAAATATTTTAGATATTTGACTGGACTAGAGAGCATTTAGACTTTGATACGTGCATTAGGAAATAATTCTAGCGCTGGAGAACCCTGGGTGTACAAGAAATACCAATTCTTTGTGTCTCAGTTCTAATTGACTTGGTCAACTTGCATCCAAGCAGTATCACGTCAGACTACAAGAGGAGGCGGGTGCCCTTTTATCAAGTTAGTCTCTCTACTAAGTATACTGCCCCAACCCTGTACACTGAAAACTAGATTTCATTGAGAAGAGTTTGAACCTAGGATTCCCATGAGAATTTAGCTTACCTGGGTACAAGAATGTTTCTCCACAAACATTCATTTATGTGAGTTCCCCAGTTTGCAACCCTGAGGTGGTAAATCTGTGGCACAGCTTTACCACTTCAGTGACAACTATCTGGCTGCAATGGAAGAAACTAAGGTTACGTTTTCAGTGACTAAGACTCAGTCTCAGTGAGTGGCTGTTCTGCTCCAATTCCCCAGAGAAAATTTAGACCTGCAGGCAGCAGTCTTCATTCCTATTCTGTTCTAGCAACGCACACAAAGAGGAGAGATTCTTAAATAACCAGCAGAAGCACATTCACTGGGGAGCTACCAAACCTAAACATTATGTTACACCTAAATTGAGGTAAATCATATACTTATATAGATGTTATTACAGAGTTACCAACCAAACTAAAGATAATCCAAAAATCGCTAGATGCATGACGACAGAAAATTGTCTCCAACCAATTCAGATAGAAAAACAATATTACTTAGATGTGAAAAGGCTTTTGAAATGTAGCTGTGGTAGCTTTCTCTGCAAGGCAGGAGCAGAATCCAGTCAGCTGTACATTACATTTTCCAGATTCCACTCAGGCTGCTTATATGCAATTATATTTATTAAATTCATACATGCCATCCCATCATCCAATTTAATCTGATCAAGCAAAGCTACTGTAACTCATCAACCCCCCAGCCTCACATACAAGCTTTCTCCATTGCTTTCCCCATTTTCATTTTCACTATCAAAAAAGATTAATAGTAAAAACCCTTGAAAGTGTGCATTTGGGCATGACTCATTCAAGGAAGAGACATCCTTAACTCTTCTCTTCCTCAATGTAAGTCTGAAAGTGTTCGTTTTGGCTGCAGTATGCTCCTTTAATCTGCAACGGGTCATCCTGACCTAGCAGTTCCTTGTGGTCTAAAGAATAACTTTATGCAGTGCCTCCCTGTCTGGGAGAGCTGTCCCACTCACTTCAGTAGCCACTGGAGTACATTTAGGCTTCTGAATCAAGACAATGAGTACAAATACGTTGTTAAGAACATAAAACTCAGTTTCAATGGGACTTTCAGAGGATTTCAGTAGGACTTGCAATGCAGTCCTATAAACACTTACTTGGGAGTAAGCACCATTCAACTCAATGGGGTTTGCTTCTTGAGGAATGTCCTTCACTATAGATCAGAGTTCCCCAACCTGCAGCCCTCAGGCTGTTTCTATACAGCTCCCTGGCTGCTTCTGTCACCCTCCTGGCTTTTTTTCTCCCAACACTATTCCACATTGCCCCAAGTGGCACAATCTATTGCTCCTCTCCTCTCCTTTTCCTGATCTATCCAGCAAAAACACTTCTGCTATATTATTCTTTCTGGTCTCCAAGCAGCTCCATGACTGCTTCTGTTGGGCCCGTGTTATGTGCCGGCATGGTTGCTTGAGAGTGAACAGGCAAGACTCCCACCTGTCTTTTCCAGGCTTTATTATCTGTACAAAAACATTTACAGTGCAGAGCGTCTCAAGTCCATATCTGCTCAGTCGCTAGCAGAATCTGGGAGTGGGCGGTCCTTAAACCTTCCCCAGCATAACAGTCTTTTGACCCCCATCCTTCTCCTCCCCTCTCTGCGCGCAAACCGACTGCGCAGAGAGGGCGTTGGCAAAGGGGGACTTGCGTCCCCTCCCCTCTGCTCAGGCTCGGTGTTGCGGCTCTCTCTAGCATCTTCTGATCCCTGCATCCCTTCCCCACTGGAGGCGGGGCTTCCCTCCTCGCTGGAGAAAGAGTTGCTTCGCATGATCTTTGGAGGCTCCCTTTAACACAACTGCCCTTCCACTTCTCGCCTCTGAGCTGATGGCAGTTACCTGACAGCCCCCTTCTGGTCTTCTCCAAACTAGCATTCGCCAGCCACCAAACTTCAGAAACACATTCACTCAGCCTTCTCACTCCCTGCCCCCTCACAGTACCATGTCCGGGGGCGTTTTATGTGTGTGTAAGAAAGAGAAAGCAGTTGTGTGAATGGGTACTTTCACCTTTCATACCCATTCACTTATCTGCTTCAGCTCCCTCTTTTCCACCCTCTCTCACCCACTGTAGAGGGCTTGGGGGGGGGCAGAGTGAATGGATATTTGCGCTTTGTAGGAGCAGCAAAACTGCTAGTTTGGAAGAGAGGGCAAAGAATGGGTTGGCAGAAACAATAGCAAAGCCACTCTGAAAGCATAATAAACAGACTCTTCCTGGTGTGTTTTTGCAAAGGGAGAGGAGGGGAGGGAGGGAGGGAGGGACAGAGGGAGGGGGGTTAACTTATTTTTGCAAAAAAAAAAGGCAGGAAAAGGAAAGAAGAGAACACATAAAATATGCACATTGAAAATATACACATTAAAATGGGCTTGAGAAAGACAGAAAGAGATATTTTCTGATTATTTTTTTCTCTCAGAGATACATGCAGAATACAGAGTTATGTTCTACCATGAAGATGTCAAGCAGCTTAGCAGAGGCAAAGTCCTCAAATGGTTTTTACGTCTTTTTTGTACAGAAAGGGAAAGGTCAAAAAGTACTTTCTGACCCTGAATGGATTTTTGATTTGGCTTTCTTAACTGATACCACAGAGCATCTGAACACTTTGAATCTAAGGTTGCAGGAGAAGGGGAAAGTTTGTGTCTGATGTGTATTCTGAGCTGAAAGTTTTGAAGCAAAACTAAATATTTTTATGAAGCAAGTTAGTAAAGGTAACTTTTTAAACATTTCATGCTGAAATGAACTAAAATTTGTGGATAGAAATTCACTATTCCATATCAAAAGATATATCAAAGCACTAAACCTATTGCTGGTGGAATTCCAGAACAGATTTGACTGATTGCTACAAGCATGGAAACACAGTAATAATTTTTCAGAATGTATTTGAAGATGCAAATGACCTCCCCAGGGTGCAAGCGTATGGGCAGTGCGTATGGATGTCCTGGGCTGCCCAGATGACAAGACACCCCTCTCAGCCTCACTGACGCAATCCAAAAGAAAACAGAGTAATACATTTGGCACCAGCTTGGTTACAGGAGATGCTGAAAGGAGGCAAATAAGGCGTCCTCCAACCATCTTAGGAACTCCACTCCAGATTTATGTAGAGATTCCTCCTTAACTTGCTCTTCTCCAGAAGATACCCCACAAGGCAGAGGACATTTAGGACCTGAGTTTTCCTTCTCCTAGATGTGCTACTTTCCCAGGTTGATGAGCCCCATCTGCCCCTCACGTCCCTCTACAGAATTTGCAAAAACTGCCTTCTTGACCGGTGGATCCACTATTGGTCTCATTCGCTCAATCCACTGGAGTCTGTCTTAACATGCAGGGGAAGCCCCTAACTCACCAAGGGTTTGAAATCCATTCGCTGCCCTCACCTGATTTAGCCAGCCAGCCAAAGCCATTCCCAGGATGTGGTCGTTGCCACAGGCTGACAGCTTCTTGGAGCCACAGGTGAGAGTGGGACCCAAAGGTGGACAAACTACCCCAGTCAGAGCATGTCCCCCACCAGAGGTGCTACCCCCAACACCCCCATACATTCCACTCACAGACCAATGCAAAGTCTGCTGAATTTTTTCCTGGCCTGCCTGATCAACCTAAATGTATTCAGTGCAGGAATATTCACCATCTTTGGAACCAGATAATCTATGAACGATCTTTTTCAAAGATGAAAACTGTGAAACCCATGTAGGTCAAGACTCACAGGTTAGCATTTACATGACATTTTAAGGGGGTCCATCACAAAACTTAATCTGGACATCAATGCCTTAGCTAACAGAAAACAGCCACAGAAATCACACTGACTAGGTAAGCATATGTAGTTAAATAAGAACACAAGCGAGTCAATAGCACTTAGATATTGTTCCAAAGTGGAGTGAGTTCAGGATAACTGACTTTTTACTTTTGACCTTAATTAGCAAGGACCCCTGAAACCTCTCGCTGCTAGGAGATTGTGGTGCACATAACAATAGCATATACCCCTGTTTGTTCATCAGATGACTCTCTGATGCTTCTAGACAACACCTGGAGCCTTGAGTTGCCTTTTCTGCAGTGGAAACAGATCAAAATGTTAGCACAGTACCCCAAAGCAAAATGCTTGTTCCAAGAAAAGGAAGCCTTCTGTCTTGAATCTAGCTGACACCTACATCACCTATATTTCCTTATACTCTACCAATAAGGCTAGAAAATATATTTGCTGGACCATTCTTCTGATAATTTCTTTAATTGAAAAACTGTGTGTGTATCTGTAAGTTAATGGCTATAGCCCAGCAAAGCACTTAAATTCATGAATGACATGAAGCATTTGAGCAGATCAAAGCAAATACCAACATATCACATATTTCTCCAACAGCAGAAACATTAAGCATGACCACTAATTATAAAATGGCAGGTCGAGTTATAGGTCCTGAGAAAGTACAAAAAGGAAAAGAAATTCATATTATCAGCAACTAGAATCATCACTGCAATCTAGATTTAGTGTTACCCAAGGAAAGCCAATGGATCCAATATTTCATTGCAAACTGACAAAAATGCACTTAACCTTACAAATACATGGCTTATATTACTTCAAATTTCAACGTAGCTATATATAGGGCTGCTTCTCTTATAACTTTAATGCTACCTATAGCTAACAGGCACAGTCCTAGGTATGACTACTCAGAGGTAAGTCTGGGACTTACACCCAGGTAAATAAGTATGGCATTGAAGCCTAAATGTATTTTGATCTGAACCATGCAAAATGTGATCTGTATATAGTTTTAGATTGAACTATTTTTCCCCCTGGCTGCAGAAACCATCAGCAATACAATTTCCATTTCCAAATACAGTGGTGCCCCGCAAGACGAATGCCTCGCAAGACGGAAAACTCGCTAGACGAAAGAGTTTTCCGTTTTGGAGGTGCCTCGCAAAACGAATCTGCTATGGGCTTGCTTCGCAAGACGAAAATGTCTTGCGAGTTCCTGGGGCTTTTTTTTCCTTTTCCCCCTCTTTTTCTCAGTCGCTAAGCCGCTTATCTGCTTATCCGATAAGCTGATAAGCTGCTAAAAGCCGCTAAAGCCGCTAATAGCGCTAATCCGCTAATCCCATCAATGGGCTTGCTTCGCAAGACGAAAAAACCGCTAGACGAAGAGACTCCCAGAACGGATTCTTTTCGTCTTGCGAGGCACCACTGTAGCCTGGCTTGTGGGGTCCCCCTTCCTTTGAGGAGGAGTAATGTCCAAAGCATGAGGAAGAACCTGCATTCAGGTAAATCAAATACAGACTTTGTTTTCTTGAACCAAGGCTTTAGCCTTACATGAAGCAAAGAACATAAAAAGAGCCCTACTGGAACAGGTCAAAGGTCCATCTAGTCCAGCATCCCTTTCTCACAGTGGCCAATCAAATGCCTCTGGGAAGATCTCAAACAGGACCCGCAACAGCACTCTCCCCATTTGCAATTCACATCAGCCAGTAGGAGTGATCCTTCATCCTTTTCAAACGTCATACTCATTCTGAATGCAGCCCGATGCACAAGACCCAAGCTTAATTGTCATGGAGCATGTGCTTGCCTCATGACTTACTGACATATTGCCCATAGAGCATCCACAAATGGCAGTGGCAGAGTGTAAGCTACAGCTGCCCAGGGCAGGCACACAGGCCACACATCCGAGGAGTTCAGGGGACAGAGGGAGCTAAGGAGAGAGGCGGCACCATTGCTGCCACTCTGTTCCACTCCGTCCCCGGGTCAGATGTGACCCAGAAGCAGAGCTGCAGCTGGGCAGCCCAGATGAAGAGAGAGGTGGCAACGCTGTCAACTCTCCTGTACTCAATCCCCGGTTCATGCTTGACCCAGGGATGAGCTGCTGCAGCTGGGCGCAAGGGAGCTACCTCAGCAGCTCCTTCGCACGCCAGAGTCAGGCTTCTATGAGAGAGTGTGATGTGGGGGTGCCTGGTTGCACCCCCTCCCAAAAATGTGCCTGGGGCCACAGCTGCCTCAGCCGCCTCCCCAACGCTGCGCCAATGTCTGCATAATACAATTTGTACCCCATATAGAGATATGCTTAAAGGGCCCTATCCATGCAATGGCAAGTGTCCAATTGTTTCCAAATTAAATGAGTGCACCAATTATAAATTAAAAACCATTTACCTTTTCTGTATTTTCTTCTCTTGCAGAGTGCTTAACAAAGGACTATAATTAGCACGAAACTTGCAATAATTAGAGAATAAGCACCTTGTTTTGTCTTGTAACAGACCACTTTTATGGCCGCTGAAAATCTTACGTATCGTACATTTTTGTTTAAGCATCAACAACTGTCATTTCCTGCTCATAACATTTGACATTTCACACAAAAGCCCACCTAGGATACGTGCTCCACAGATTAACTTCAACCTTTGGTCTGAGAGAATGAATCACATTTTTCTCATTCTGGAATATTTGAGATGAATTTGAACTTAATGTGGCCTAATCAGCCATTTAGTGAATTGCTGGCCAATTTAGCCAGATCCTTTAAAGATATAATTAGTCCCTACAGAGACAGTCAACTTTATTTTAGTAGAAATGCTAATCATTTCGAATTTGGTCAGCCTAGCTGTCACTGTATGCCCTTGCTCACAAGCACAGTCACTGCTTCCCCTGTGAATGTACAATGACACCTCATCAGGATACAGGAGATAATGATCAAACTGGGTACAATACAAATTGTACTTCTGCTCAGGTTTCTCCAGCAACTCGCTACTGTAGTGATAACCCAGAATTCCATGCTTTTAAAGCGTTGACCTTGCATGCTTACTTTGGTCGTCTGCTTCACAAGGCAAACAGCTATTTGAACTGGTGATATCTAGTGGTTGTCTTGAAACAGGAAGCAAGGAAACAGTCCTCTAGAAACTCACTTCCTTCAAAAAACAACAACACCATTGTATTGTGTTGAAGCTGAGGCAGCTCCAATTAGTACCAATACTTAAAAGTAGTAGAGGCATAATGAGTAGGCTCTCCCCTAGTTTCCCCTAGATTTAGCGGGATTTTCATTGGGCCAACAGTCTGTCAAAACCACATCTCCAAAGCTTTCAAGTCTATTTCATCTATTGGAACCATCACATGGAAGCCTTGGGAACCATTTCAGCATAGGTGATGTAGCAAACCATCATGTGCAAGAGTCATCTAGCACAAGGAATATACACACGCTATGTAGAAAGTCAGAAGAGGGGTAATGAATGTTAATGGTCATCATATGAATTTGCTACATTGTAATGAAGACAATGCTCCTGCACAATATGCCCGATTAGTAAACATACAAGGATATTTAAACAAACAGGTTTTGTCACTACACTTTTCTTTTCTAGAAGAGGTGTCTTCTCACCGAGCTGCTATAACCCTCAATGGCAACAAGCAACCCTCTGTCTTATGGTTTTGCCTATTTTTCTAATTAATGCTTCATTTCCCCTTCTGTTAGAAGCGTTTGGGGACAGAGGATTCTGCCTTAGTACTAGATGTTAGAAATACAGAGTGCCTTCTTGGCCATTATTTTTCCTTGACTATATTTCTGAGATGAATGAAAGGAGGCATTTATGCAGCTGTACATAACAAAAGCAATCTACAAACAAGCACTTTCATAGAGCTTTCAGCTTTATTGCCTATATAAATTTCTGTAATCCAACAGTACCATGGAAAGGTATTTTGATGATTATGACAAAATGAAATAAGACAGTAACCCTGTGGTAACTGGAGGGACAAGATCAGAAATCTGTACATCTTCCTGCTCCCACATGCATTGCTCTTAATATTGTAGTCAAATTTTAGATCCCAGCACACCAGCTGCCCGTTCCTAAACTAAATGTTAAGAAGTTAAATTATCAGACTCTCTCACAGCCCCACAGGGAATGCAGTTCTACAATCTGACAAAGCAGAAGCTGTTGGGGACAGCAAGAAACCCAGCCAACACACTTGGCCCTAAGTACATCTGAGAACCTTATTTCCCCCCAGCAAAGCCACTTCTCTCTTGAAAGCTAATGCTTTCAGTATCAAGCATTGTTCCTGCAGGCAAATGTCACACATTCATTGCTACAAGGAACTGTTATCCTGGGTACTGCTACCACACAGAGAGGAATGAAACAGCTGGGCGCCTTATCCAAGCTCTGACCGTCAAACTCATTCCTAAATGGCTACATCTGAAGATACTGTGTCAGCATTTGAAAAAGAACCACCAGCTAAAATATTGTTTCATTAACCAGAGTTGTAACTATCGAAACACCAACTTAAATGTCCTGCTTTTGATTGATATTAAATGACTATTAAAGGTAAAGGTACCCCTGGCCATCAAGTCCCATCGCGGACGACTCTGGGGTTGCGGTGCTCATCTCGCTCTATAGGCCGAGGGAGCCGGCGTTTGTGCACAGACATCTTCCAGGCAAACCAGAGCAGCACACAGAAACGCCGTTTACCTTCCCGCCGGAGCGGTACCTATTTATCTACTTGAACTTTGACATGCTTTCGAACTGCTAGGTGGGCAGGAGCAGGGACCAAACAATGGGAGCTCACCACCTCGCGGGGATTTGAACCACCGATCTTCTGATCAGCAAGCCCTAGGCTCAGTGGTTTAGACCACAGCACCACCCACGTCCCATGAATGAATATTATTACAACATTAAATTGATTTTTGCGACACTTCCAACATATGGATAGGGTTTTTTGTTTTTATTTTGTCTTACGTATTGTTGCTGGGGTGATACATGATCTATCCATTATCTTTTAACAGTTCAATTTATTTATCTGTTACATTTATATCGCACCTTTCCATAAAATATGCCAGTGGCAGCTAGACAGAAAGCCATCGTGTTTTCATCCTGGTTTTCAAAACACCTGTCAGCTTTAAATACATACAGACAAAAAAGCAATCATTGGACTTTCTTCACCATCAAATGTAGATGGAGCTAACACATCTGTGCTGTGAATTGCCCGTCAGGCCCATCAATTAATCAGTGTGAACATTTTAAATCACAGATAAAGTTTTCATTCCTCAATCTACACTTTAAATCTTGATTTCAGCCCGAAAAACACATTAATTGCAATATGAACACATGGGTGACAATTTTCTGTGCAGTCCATCTCCCTGCCCCCTGCACTGGATCATGATGAGATAGAAATCTTCAGTGAAGAAAATTCTGAGCATCTGGAAGGTAATCCTTTAGGCACTCGAAAACCAGAGCGTAAGCTTTTCCACAATATTGAGACAGGCAAAGATTGAGAGCACTTGCATATGGTTTAATGCCAAACAAAAAAATATTAAGGTTGCCCGCACCCTGCAGCTCTCTAGAATTTATGGTCATGTGCTCAGTTCCGTTTTCTTCGGGCAGAAAGGAATAGCGTAACACATGCTGATTGCTAAGAAGCCAGAGCATGGAAGAATTAAGAGATGAACCTCAGCAGCTTGCTCCTTCGCTTTCACTTCACGAAGTGTGTGTGCTCCTGTTATCCCTATGCTCCTACTAATCAGTGCCAGCAGCTTCAGTGGCAAACATCTTACTGCTGCTAACAGCTCAACAACAGGACAGGCAACTGGCAGCCTCTGGGCTCAATCTGGCCGCCAGCATTACCCCAATCCCCAAGACCACCACCCCCAATTATGCATCTCACTGCTCTCTCAGAACTCTATTCACAGGGAGCAGCTGAGACGCATAATAAAAAGAGGGCTTTGCCAAAGCCTTCCTTGCTGCTAATGCTGGAGAGGAAGGGATTAGAAAGGACTTTTCCTAAGGCTTAGTTTGCTGGGGGGTGGGGGTGGGACTAGCAATGAAAATCATGTTGCTGGCTCAATTTAAAAAAACAAGTCCCTGTTAAAAATTAGTTGCTCTACTACATGATATTCAAAGAGCAAGACTGTATACATGACATCCCTCACATCACACTATAGACAATCCAAACTAATACAAAAAGTAGTAAAGCAATGTGCTTGCAGAATTTCATGTGCTTCTATGTCAGGGACTGGGAGGGTGGCAAGGAGTGGGTGGCAGAGGCCACGGGACCGGATACTGACGCAGGGAAAGTGGGATAGAGATTAAGAGGGTTTTGTACCTCCCACCACACAGGAGCCAGAGCTGGAAGGAGGGCAAGATGCACCAGGAATGGAGGAAGAGATGGCGTCTGAGAGGGAGTGGTGGTAGAATCCCCTCCGTCCCATCCTCCGCTGTCCCCCAGGACTATGAGGGGCTTGAAGAGCTGGACACAGAGGAATGGTGGAAGGCACTAGTTGAGGAACTCCCAAGGGACGAAGGCTCAGAGCTTAGGGATTAGTGGTGGGACGACAATGAGTGGTCAGAGGGAAAAGACGGAGAAGCCTTGGAGGTGGTATCAGAAGCTGAAGCGGTAACAGGGTTTAGCGAGCAGGGAGAGCCTATGGCAGAGAGAAGTCCAGAAGCAGAAGCTGAGGCAGAAGCAGGAGAGCAGGGATGCCAAGAGTTCCCCTTCCCTCCTGGTCTTCCCAGACCAGGAAGAGGAAGGAGCAGAGACAGGTGTGTCGGCATAGTCTCATATTGCTTGGGAATGACCAGGGGTGTGTGGAGGAGATTTAGGCAGCTATGGGGAGGCGAGGGCCACTGAGCAGGCCTTGTTTCTTCTAATACAGTTAACTTCACTTACTCTGCGTGATTTATTGTTGGCTGGCTCCCTGACAAGACAAGCACAGCAGCAACCTCTGTGTACGAGACGTCTTAAGTTACTTCTGTGCGCCCCATCAGACAAGGGTATTTAATTTGGGTGGAGACATGGTTACACTGTTGCTCCAACCATCCAGTTCAGAGCACAAGCCTGGGGAAGGAATGTCAGCTACTTAGTTGCCGGAAGCGTATATACGTGTTCAGTGCACCTTAGGAGCTACTGTAGATATGTGCTTTGTCAATAAAGAATGAAACTACCAGTCGTTTGTCCATCTTGGGATGCGTGCGCTCGGGAAATTCTCCTTGGAAATGAGCATGGAGATAATTACAGGCTTTTTAAAAAAAAAACTGATGCAGAGAATTGCGCACACAGGAACTTTCATTCGCATGCCTCGATATTTAAAGGAACTTTCACACTGCATCATGGTTTGTCTCTTTCCCAACAACCCTTGAAAACAGATGCAGAATTTCAGTTGGTGCTCATACCTGATACCCTAGATATACACCAAAATTCATTCAAATAATCTCCACGTTCAATGGAATTAACACATGATAAATCAATTTACAAATGGAATGCTAAACAGGCAAGTTAAACCAAAGGAGTCACTTTGCTTGGCTAATGAAATTTAAAAGGGGCACAAAAATAAATGAAGCAGTATATAAAAAGCAAAGAATGGCAACTTTCAAAAATCAATAATATGTTTTGTTGTATACCAGAGGGAGCACAAGGCTTTTCATGAGCTAAACTGCATAGAGATCACAAATGTGTGTTGCTCAACACAGTATAAATACTGGGCTTATATAAACACTCTTCATCAGCTAAGCTAACAAGTTTCCAAACCCTAACATAGTTAATCTAATTGAGTATTTCGCTAGGGAACTGAGGTTTATTAAATCTTAAATGCAATCTTATGTAACTATCTAGCTTCTGTGCTGTCCCTATAAAGAGGAATCCCGTTTGGGAGAAGAGGGGGGAATAAGACAATCACTATGCTGTAAAAAGACTACATCAGTTGTTCTTTATGCATTTGAAAGCAACTTTCCCCCCCAATATGTCACTGAGTGGCTTTCAAAGAAGAGCAGACTTTGTATCTAAAGTTGAAATCCCTCAAGAAACAGTTACCCCAAATGTGGCAAGAATAAAATTATTTTCCCCAACCCTACCCAGTTGTCTGATTTCCCAATTTTGTTTTTGAGCTTCATTTTCCTATCCTATGCTTAGGTGTCAAGAGGTCTGGCAAAAAAAACCCAACTTCCACCACAGGACAAACAACTGCTTGGAAACTAATGTGTGTTAAACACCCCAGCGCCCATGATCTAAGCAGACTGGCAGTCCTTCAGAATTGCAATTCATTTTGTTTGTTTTTAAATGGAAATATAGCATAGGTCTTTCACGTAATTGTCGCTGACTGGTTGAATGCAGAGGAATGATGGGGAACCCCCAAGGGGGGGGGAAGCTGGGGAACCCCCAAGGGGGGAAAAGGCTCCGAGCTAGGGGATTGCTGCAGGGACGGCAATGAGTGGTCAGAAGGAGAAGACTGGAAGGAGGTGTCAGGGCTTAGTGAGAGGGGGGATTCAGTGGCAGAAGCTGAAGCAAGAGAGGAAGGAGACCAGGAGGCAGAGATGAGTCCAGCTGGAGAAGCAGCAAGTCCAGCAAGTTGGTTATTTTCTCCCTTCCAATGAAAATGAACATATACACACACAGAGAGAGAGAGCTTTAAACATTCCTCTTAATTTGTTCATTTTGTCATATTCTAAGAGGGGTGGGGAACCTTCCCCCTCCTCTTAAGGTCTGCTTTCCCTTAGGGGTTATCTGTCACTGGTCACATGCTAGACGTGGGTGGGGACAGAGTCACAAGTGAGTGGTGCACCCATAAGAAAAGCCCTGCTGGACCTTCGAGTCTAGCATCCTGTTCTCAAAGTGACCAAGTAAATGCCTCTAGGAAGCCTACAAGCAGAACATGAACTCTCAAATGCTCCCCGTGCTTGAGGTTCCTAGCAGCTGGTTTTCAGAAGCACACTGCCTCCAAACCTCTTTTTTTCCGTTACACCTTTTCTCTCTCTTTCTCTATCGGGCTAATTGTTGTTTCACCTGCACCCTAGTAGGGAGAAGCAAACTGGGCACAACCAGCGCATTCACATGTAAACACTGTCATTATAGGTTGCCTTCTGTGTCTGTGACACAGAAAAACAGGGCATAGATATTTTTAGTAAATAGATATTACAGGTGTCCAGTTTTTCGTTCCCCCAGCCATTAGAATATAAGACATGTTACTCTGCAAATCCTGCAGCAATGAACACGAAACCAGTTCAACCATATCAATCTAGCAGTGTGTGAAGGCGTTTTGGTTATTTTCAGACTGGCAACTAACTCTAACATTGTTTTTCTTTTCCACATTATCACCTAATGCTGCAAAGTAAATTAAAAACAGGAACAGTTATCTACAGTATCCAAATGTACTCAAAATCTAACCAGTCCCTTCATTTCCTTTTAAAGCTCTTGGGGTTCCTTCTCTGTCATTCCCATCAACTCATTTCCCTTGACTTTTTGCTATGCAAATTCCACTCCACAGTATTAATTGTGAAATGGTATTTGTTCTATTGATAAAATTGTTGCTCCTCACAGGATTTCTTCCCCATTGCTATTATATGTATAGTGCTGTATACAGCAGCTTTGCAAAGCCAATTAATTGCTAATCAAGAGAACAGGCAAGACAAATACCTCTGACACAGATTACAGGAGAGTCAAGCAATATTATCAGTGTTTAATACATGCACGCTTTTAATAACACTTTTGCTACACAAGATATTTGCTGCACAAATATTTGCTGCCTAAGTCTCAAGTACCACATCACCCAAAGTTCCATGTTCTTTAACTAAGTTTGCTCCAGTCTCAAAAAGCAGGCTGATGGGAAGCTACGGATATGGCAAATATCACCAAATGTCAAAACACAAGTGTCATAGCATTATGTGTCATGCTTAACAACATATTCATTTACTGTTCAAAACCAAACGATTATCTGACGGTTTACTGCAAGTTCATTATCCAGTATAGCTGTAGAACATTTTTTGTGGGGGAGATTGTAGAATGATTGTTTTAAGTTTTCAAGACTACATCAAACCATTTTCATGGTAGCTGCTGCTATCAGCCAGTAGTTCACAGAATACAGTCTAAGGGCACACAAGGCCAAGGTGAAATTATATTCATGGAAATACTAGATTAGGCACCCCAAACTTGAAATGGCAGGATCCCACTCTGCTTCTTACATGTCAACGTGTACATCTCTCAAGACATTAAGAGCCCACCAGTCACTCAATGCAGTACTGGCCATACCAAAAGGTAAAGGAACAGCGAATTCCTGAGGATTAGGAGCAGACACAACCTGCTTTGGCTTGGTCCACTGCAGCAAGACACCTACCTTAGCACAATCACTATTTATACTGCCACCCAGATCCTGATGCTTCAGAGGGAAACTCTGGCATGAAACCAGCATGAATTTCTGGAATCCAGGACTTTAGTTCTATCACCTGTGCTTTGAATCAAGTTTACGGGTTTTTATCTCATCACATGCTGTTAATTAGCTAACCAACGCCAGGGTGTCTATGTTATTGCCAATACCATCTTGTTAATGGTCACTATAACTATTTTGCTTTAATGTAATTGGCACTGTCTGTTCTTTATACCGTTTCTCCACCCCGCCCCCCAACCTTACTCTTCTCCATTACAAACACACACAAACACAAATTGTTTCCTTATTTGGAACTGTACTTCATGCGTCTGAAGTGGACTCTAGTCCTTGGAAGCTTATGTCACAAGACTTAAATGAAACATAGATTGTAGAATCATTGTGTCTTTCTTTCCTTTCCTTGTGAATCTAAACATTTTTGCCACCATTATTTAATGAACAGTTTCTAAGTTAGATTGGTCCCTATTTCCAATAAATTTGCTACTAGGTACTAAGCTGATCTGACTAGATAATGTTTGCTATTGTACTACAGGCTATTTCCTCATACCTTCCAAATGTGACAGGGAGCTCATGCTTGAAAGGACCACCAACTGAAATTTTCTGCTTGGCACAACTGCCATCTTCTGGTAAGACGTAGACATCTCTCACTCCGACCTAAAGCTTTTAAAGCAGATGGTAAGGAAAATGTACAATTTCCTTCCAATTACTAGACAAGAGCGTCATCTCTGGGATATGTGGCCACCAAGTCCTACTCTCTACAGCCTAAGTTTGGAAATGACTGAGTGATGCCTCAAAAATAAAAATAAAACACACATCCCATTTGGTTTTTTAAAAACGCTGTCAGAGCATCTTTCAGGCATGACCTTGACTGACTCTAGAGCCTTACATGCTCTAGATTTGATCTTGAAAATGCTAAAATACTGCTAGTATTTTGTAAAATATAACCTTGGGCACCTTTTGGCAGAAAGGCAGATTCAGCATTTTAAATTACGCTAAGTCCTGACTCACATCTTTTAGAAAAAATAAAAATCAATAGCCGGTTCCAAACTATTCGTGTTCATGGAAGTTTGACCTATAATCCAACACAGTATGGCAATTAATATGCCATTTCATAAGATTTGCTAGATAATTTTCAATTTATTGATGTGATAATTACAAGTGCCACAGTTGAACATTAAGGAGACATATTTTCAACAGTGTACCACAGAGTTCTCACTGCAACTTGTAGACTAGTTTTATAACCTTAATTAATTTTGCTTTTCTTGAACTGACCACATTTCAAGTGATGATTTCTGTTATTGGGATTGTCTACTTCAAGATCAAGCAGGCAACAGACAAAGCATAAAACAGAAAACAAAAAATATAGGGGTGGTGAACCTGGCAATGAAAGTTTCCAACTTAGGCACTAGAACTCACAACTAGTATCAGAGCCAAGCCGTGGCTCAACTACATCACAGTGTTTTCCAGGATGAAAAGAAAATTAAGGAAAATGTGTCCTCAAGTATGAATAGCCTTCCTATATGGCTTGCCTCTGGTCAAATTGGGAAGGAAGGAAGAATGCCCCATTTAGCTCAATGGGACTCTGTATATATGAATAGAATTGTATTGTTAGGTCTGGCTTCCTTTATCTCATACACTAATGGCTTACACCACCTGGTTGCTGCTCACCAGTCCATATTTTAAGCTGCCAGCAAAGAACAACACATTTTGTCAACATATACATATACATATATTCAGAGGGAGAGAGTTAAATTACTGAGAGACAATCTTTGAAGTCTACCTGAAATTATACAAAAGGACATATTTGAGAAATTATTACAAAGTTACAGCACTTTGCCACATAGATCAAATCAGTCCCTTTTCATTTTTAAAAGAAAGTTTCAGAAAAGTTATCTAATGCGAGTTAAAATTAGAAACCACTTTCTAATAAAGTTCATCCAACAGAAACTCACATGGAAACACAAACACAACCACATAGACAGAATCCACAGCTTAGCAAAGCAGATTGCGAATGTTGCGCAGAAACCACAATTTGGCTTTTCTAAATGTATAGATTCAGGAAGCCCATGCATGTCTGAAATCATTATTCCTCTCTACATAAAGTTTACAGTATGCATAGGAGCAGCGTGGGGTTTTCCTGTTGCAGAGTAAGTGGTTTGGACTAATGTTTGCACACAGGGCCCAGAAATACAGTCCAGAAGCTTCATGTGAGTTCAGATATGGCTATATGACTGCTAACTGGATATGAGTATATCATATTATAGGGGATGTCCTCTTTGGGCTCCAAGAGGGAGCCTTCTTGCAAGCTGGAGGCACAGCAGGGCTTTGCTGAGGCTTTTCAGGTCCCCCCCACTTCTGGGTTTCTGGGGCCACATGTATGCATGGTCACATGGGAACGGAACACGTGTAAATGGGGGATGCCTGTATGTGAAGAGCTTTCCTGAAAGGGTTTGAGAACAAACATGGTAGAGAAAGTATAGGGTGGCGGGGGAGAAGGACCTCTATCGCTTTACAGGAACAGTTTACTCAGCAGCACCATAGTGAGATATCATACCAGGGTAAGCTACCCCTGCTCTGCTGATGCTAAAGGGAAATGTAGCATGTGATTGATTCAGGAAACATTTGAATCCAAGCTCAGAGGGGGGAACCAATTAGGAGAGCAAGTAGAGTTTGAAAAACAACACAAGTATCACAGTGGGAATACAAACTCCACATCTATTCAAAATTAAATGAGCAGATTATTTTTGAAAACATTCATCCAAGTGGAATGTCAACTTTTCTCCCACAAGTTTGTGTACGTCTATTATTATCCTATTCATCATACTTCTAAATCTGTTTACTATACTGTTTGAGACTGCATGCGCGCACACACACACACAGAGGCAATTCTTATACACGCATATGAAGGATGATATATTGGTATTAGCAGTCTACATTAATGAAGAACAGCCCTGCCCCTCCAATATAACATCATGTAGTGCAATACACTCCCCCTCCAGAGGTTACACGATTTATGGGCTGTAGCAACAAGGTGCAAAAATGCAACATTAAGAAAGCTGCTGGAATCCCTAGTCTGAATTCTGGTGCTTTAATGAACTGAGCTACAGCTATAAACAATCCTAGAATTGCTTTTAGCAGAGGTTTCCTGGGCCACAAAGTAAGAGTGTGGGGGGGGTGTTTATATCCTCCCCATTCAAGGTCCAGACATTACCAGACACTTGATATATACAGCAATACAGATCTTACCAGGAACAATAATGTCCTTCTTGGTGTGTTTATATTTCGCCTTCCCTTCATAGGACTCAAGGCACAGGATTCCCAGGTGATCTCTGGCCCAGACCCTGAGCTGACCCAGACATGTTTAGCTTCAGCAAGATTATTACATCATGTGTCTTCAGGCTACAATGTGGACCCATTAACACCTGCTGAGAGTTTAAAAGAACTCCAAATTTTTTCTCTCTAGTTGGTAGGAATTGGTCAGTTTCAGACATACATCGACTGCAAGGAAGATGTGGCTCATTCAACAGAGCTGAACACAACAGACAAGGGAAGTACTTAATACAGCGAGACTATGGAAGATGTAGCATTGTCCACTAGCTCCGGTGGCTTTAAAGGTGAATTAAGCAATTTTTGAAAGAGAAGTCAATCAATGGCTACTAATCGTGATAGCTATATATACTTTTCTAGGTTTATCACACACCTCTCAGTATTTGTTGCTGGGGAGCAGCAATGGGAGACAGCTACTGCCCTGATGTCAGGCAGGTGGGCTTTCCACAGACATCTGGTTGGATCGTGAAGTAGGTGGACCTTTGAGCTGATTCAGCAGGAATCCTACGCATTAGTAGCTTCTGCCCATCCAATTCTGACAGGCCTATTCCATCAAACTTTAATATCCTTATATATGTACTTGTGTACTTGGGAGATTGTACAACAACAATTTTAGGTCAATAGTCTGATTCTACATAGCCATATTTTTTGGATGGGGAGACCACATAATTGACGCTCTGGACAAAAATGTCATAGCCAGAAATTCCTCATATCTGCATTCTGCTCGTTTTCCAGGAGATCAGAACAGCTTTCGTGGAGATGATTCCCACATACTGAATAGCACATTGCCTTTATGTTCTTCAACCTCTACTCTAGTCTAGGCTGACTGAGTAGAAAAAATGGAGAAAGGTCTACACTCTATAAGCTTGCCCATTACCAAATTGGCAATGGCTTCCCTCTTTCAGTCGAATATTACTCTGGAACAGAGCTATCCAGCCTTTGAGCCAGTGGGTACATCTGGAATTTTGAGAAAGTGCTGTGAGCACCAGGCCCCAAGTGGTTGCTGTGGGGGTGTGGCATAACACAAAATGGCTGTCGTGTGGTAGGGGATAATGACTACCAAATGTCAAGAGAGCCACATGAAGGTGGGAAATCCTAGAATTCAATGAACTAAGGATACATTTAAGGGGTTACGTTCAATCTAAGAATGGCTAGACCTGAGTAAGAAGAGCAAACAAGTCTCTCATGTACTATTGTGATGGCCTGGCTGGATGCTGTGGAGTGGTGGGTGGCACCAGCTGGGGAACCCCTAAGGAGCACCCTAGGGGAAGAAGGTTCAGAGCCAAGGGAATTGTGATGGGACAACAATGAGTGGTCAGAGGGAAAAGAGTCGAAAGCTGAAGAAGTAACAGGGTTTAGTGAACATGACGAGACTATGGCAGGGAATAGTCCAGACTCAGAGGCTGGAGTAGAAAGAGGTTAGGAGCTACAGGGGCAGGCTGCTGAAGAAGCCAGGGAGTCTCCCCCTGGGTCTCTTAGGACACACAGAAAAATCAAAAGAGCACAGTTTAGTTGTGTGTAAACAGTCCAAGACTGCTTGGGAAAAGCCCGGGAGAGGAGGCGCCTTAGAGGGTGGTGGAAGGCAGGGACTTTCATTCCTTGCAACTGCCTTGTTGGAGCAAGACCTACTGGGGAGAGCTGCTGGGAACACTAGGCCTGTGGTGTTTTGATTTCTTGAATAAAGAGTTAACTTCACTGACACCATGGTTTGATTTGGTTGCTAACCTATGGTTGACTCCAGCTCCTGACAACTGTGGAGTTTTATGGGGATACTTACTAAGACCTTTTGCAGGCACCACAGGAGGTACAGTCAGGCACACTGCTGTCCACCAGCACAACACTGTCTACTCTGCTCTGTACTGAGCACAGCCAATGAGGAAGCAAAATAGTGGGCTACGATTTCCTTTTGCAGCTACATGCACCGTATAATGACCCTCAGCATCAACTTCAAGGATCAAGGTCCATGAAGAGGCAAATTGCAGAACCTAAGGTAATATGGCTGCTCCATCCCCCACTCCCCAAACACAATTACTATTCCGGTGGAATAAAGAGATGGAAGTTTTTCAATGTTTATATGTAATATGATAAAGAACATTTATATTATTTGCAGCATGAGGGAATATGCTACATGGAAGGATTAAGATCAGTGGCTACATATGTTGGAAGTGTAAGGAAAAGGAGGGAACATTTTATCATATGTGGTGGGATTGTAAAGTAATTAAAAAATTTTGGGAAATGATATACAATGAATTGAAGAAAATGTTCCATTTAACATTTGTTAGAAAACCTGAGGCATTTTTGTTGGGGATTGTAGGGAAAGACCTGCCAAAAAAGTTGAAAAACATCTTCATGTACGCGACAACGGCCGCGAGAGTTCTGGTAGCACAAGGATGGAAGACTGAAGAAACCCCAACTAAAGAATCTACACAACTCTGTAACATGCAGAAAATAGCGTTATTGGAGAAACCAAAGACTGGAACTGAGGGAAGTTGGGGGTAGGGTGGGAGGATGGGTTCTGTGGGGGGGAGAGGGAGGAAGGAAAAATGGGGGGGAAATAAGGATATGTTTTTGGAAAATATGTTTGGTTATAACTTTGAATAAATAAATTAAGAAGGAAAAAAAAGATCAGTGGCTACAAACTGGACAAAATTCCAATTACTGCTTTGAAAGAGAACCACACATTTGAATAATTGGCCATAAATGGTTTGTGTAAACATTTAGGTACTACATTAGAGGAAGATTTCTGTAGCGTCTAAGTATGTGCATGTATTAAAAGACTTTAGAATCCTTACAACCCAGTTCTTGCTTATCCAAAGTCCTTCCAATAGATGGCAATACAGCACCATGAATAAAATCAATCTACTGAAAGTTTAAATTCTGTAAATCCTCAATGCTTCAACAGAGGAATCCATTTTAAACTGTTTCTTTCCATTGCATACACACTAGCCTATAAGGTAAGCACAAGATTTATAGCATTCTGTCTAGAAACAGGACACACCTTCCCATTAGACTGAAACCACAATGTTTAGGTAGTATATTGAATTTGTGTGTCCCAGAATCAGAAAATCACTCTCATGTTGAAGTAGAAACAAAGAGCCTATATATGTAAGTAGCTCGTTCATATATGTAGCTCATTCATCAACTGATGCCTTGTGAACTGCCAAACTGCTTCTACAGAAAATATTGAGGTCCCTGTGGTGTTTGACCTGATTCACACATGCAAATCACCGATCAAGTCTGAAGTATTGCCTGTGTGATCTCACCCCATGAGACCTTTCTAGTCCTCTATACATAGGGCTAGTAATGGACATACTGGTATCTTAGCACAATACTGGTGTCCCCTCTGCACTAAAGCCTTTTAAATGCATCTGTTTGAGGGGGTTTATTGGTTTGTTTTGCTTTTGTTTTATTATGTATTTTGTGATTTAATGTCATTTTTTTATGTTGTGAACCACCCTGTGATCTTCAGATGAATGGTGTAATACAAAGTTAATAATAATAATAATAATAATGCTTCCATTGAGATCATTTGCATTGTCCTTCCTTTCTTCCATGTAGCAATTTATCTTCTATTTATCCACAACCCCTACAGCCCCTGTGGCTCCCACAACAAAAGCACAAATACCAAAGTTAATATTCACAATAGAAAACAATTCATAAAACGAGCAATAATTTCTGCAAGTGCCATTCTAAGCACTGCCCACTGTTGCTTAGTAGGAACACCAAGCAGGTTTATACACACATTAACATTCCCAACACACACACACACGACTTGAACTCTTAGAAAAATCACAAATGCCTCGAAATGATTTTTTGCATAATAAAGTCAAAACGTGGAAATAAAATAATAATAATAATAATAATAATAATAATAATAATAAATTTTATTTATATCCCGCCCTCCCCAGCCGAAGCTGGGCTCAGGGCGGCTAACAACAATAAGCAAGATACCTGGTCTCCTGAGGTGCTAAATTAGGATCCAGAGAAATGGTCTCCGTTGTAATTTCTACTTTTCGTACGCTTCCAAAGAAATCAGTTATCAGAACATTTTCAGGATCTCTCTGAAACAGATCTGTCCGATGTCCAGGTGTAGACACACACAAACTTTTAGGGCACACCTGAAACTATATAAAGGAGGCAAATGTGCATTGGTCAAAACAGATGCTTGCCCCAATACTACACGTAAGTGAGGGAGAGTCAAAGAGAAAACAATTGTTGACACTGTGATCATTTCTATTGAATGTAATGGTCAGTAAATATGGTCAACGGCAAGCCTGCAGACTTTGCAACTTACCAAGCTTAATGCAGCCCACCGGCAACATCCAGGTTTTCATTCTGCTTTATTGATGGACTATTGTTCTGCTTTTAATGCCAAAGCCAAGCACACATTTCCCAGATTAACCTAAATCAGAGGTGGCTAACCTTCAGCCTTCACCATGTTGTTCAGCTCCTACTCTCCCACCCCCAACTGATAAGAAAAATGGCCATGCTGGCTTGGGACTTGGAGTCAACATCTGGACTGCCATAGGTTAGCCATCCCTGACCCAGATTAAAATTACTTCTGTGCCACTTCTTAGTGACTTCAAGACACTTAAAGTAACTAAGCTACCTTAGTAGGTAGGTAGCTGCCATGTTAACGGATCAAAACAAAGCTCCAAATTTACCCACACATTTCCCAACCTTCCATTTCATGTCCTCCGCTTGACTCAACTCCACTCCTCAGCTTGATGCATGTCAAAGCTTTAATTTGCTGTTATGTGCAAAGTGGGTAAGCAATAATTTTACCTTTAAACCAAGGTTTGATGCAACAGCAAACAAAGGTTTGCCCCTACTAGGTACCGAGAAAGTATACGACGGCTTGTAAGGGAAGAAGAGAATGTGTGCACAAAGGACAAGATCGCAGGAGCCAAACCATCTTTTACAAAGAGTTTACCAACCCCTATGCATGTGTTGTTAGAAAGAAGTTCTACTGTGTTCAGTGAAGCCTAACCCCAGAGGCACATGACAATGCAGCCTTAGTTTCCCCTAAATAAAAATTAACGTAGAACTTAAAGCCATGAAAGAAAACGGCTTGGAAATCTGTCCCACCATCAGCAAGTTACAGACTGAAATTTCTAACTAGTATATCGTTTTCATACTGCCTTCCAGATGGCAGCTTACATACAGCTTACAGGCTTGATTATTGTAATTCACTCTACATGGGGCTGCCCTTGAAGCTGACCCAGAAACTCCAGCAGGTGCAGAATGCCACGGTGAGACTCCTTATGGGGTCCTCGCCGTGGGATCACATTCATCCAGTGCTATACCAGCTGCATTGGCTCCCGGTGGAGTACAGGATCAGGTTTAAGGTGCTGGTTTTAACCTTTAAAGCCCTATAAGCCTAGTACCCTCATACCTACGGGACTGCCTCTCCTGGTATGCCCCACGGAGGACCTTATGGCCCGCAAATAATAACATCTTGGAGGTCCAGAGCCTCCAGGAGATTAGACTGGCCCCAGCCCCGGCCTGGTGGAACACTCTGTCACAAGAGACCAGGGCCCTGCAGGATTTGACATCTTTCTGCAGGGCCTGCAAGATGGAGCTGTTCCGCCAGGCCTTTGGTTGGGGTTCAGTCTGACTCCCTCTCCCCTTTTATAAGAACTTGCATGAAAGTGGCCTCCCAATTTTTCTCACAGGCTCATATAAGTTCAGCACAAACTAATCTGCGGGTTGCCATCTGATTGGATTTTATTCTGATCCTGATCTGCTTTTAGGATGTATTTTAATTGATTGCCTGATTTTATGTTAATGTGTTTTAAATTTGATGTTAGCTGCCCTGAGCCCGGTTTTGGCCGGGAAGGGTGGGGTATAAATAATAATTATAATTATACTTGCTCACTGCTGCTGAATTCCACAGACTATGAATTCCACAGACTACGGACAAAGTATAGCAGCCAATCTGATCAAAATTGCAAGATCAACTTAGTATTGTGCTACTTGGCTTGTACTCAAGATTCTTTATCCCATACTTGTGCCTTGTTAAGATAGCTTTTGGCTGTAATTTAAAAATAAAAAGCTTTGTCCTCTCTGTAGTAAGAAGGCTGAGTATTAGTCACTGCCTCTGTTCTGTGTCACTACCCAACCTGTCAGCGTGGGCTGGTTATTGCAAAATTAATGCCATCTTATTGAACAATAAGACTGCACCAATCTCCATAGTCAAAATGCTGGTAAGTTCTTTCAAACAGCTGTGCATTCTATTCTCAAAATCATCAAATATTATATATCCACTCCACAATTCATATCTTTTAAAAGAGCATGCCAGTAACCCTTAATGTAAACTAAAACCCATCTCTAGAATCTGTAAGACAGGATATAAATGCATCACATGGACCTCAAAATCTCTCACTCAAGAAAAGCTACATTATAGACATGCAAAAGTATTTGGGGCGTGTTATACCAAATCCACTGGGATGCACATTTTGCTGCCTTCCATTGCTGTACCATATAATCTGATTACAATTATGCAGTCAGGTTACTTTTATGACAAGGAGAGGTATTCCATGCTAGTCCTAGTCAGAAGAGACCCATTTAAATTAATAGACAGGACTAAGTTAGGTTCGTTAATTTTTAGTGGGTCTACTCTGAGTAGGACATAGCTGACTACAAACAAGGGAAACACAGCATCTCATTTCAGTGCCTATTTTTTTAGCCTTGTTTCATGCGTTTGGATCATGTTAGAAAAAACAGCGCCAGGACCGAGACTTGACTGCCCATCCCAACAGCATCAATTGAAGTTTTTCAGCATATGCAGGTCAACTTGTCTCATCAGTGTCTCCGAACACATGCAGAAGGCACTAATGTGTCATTGCACTTGGGCTCCATAAATCAGACGTTAAGAATGGTCTCTACTAATCGGCTATGATGTGACTGCCAAGCAGATTTTTTATTCTTGATTTTTTTAAATAAGTATCAGTAGCTGGTATAGCCTTAGGGTAGTACTGTATCTGAATAAGCTGTACTGAGTGAAGACCCACTGAAATCCTGATTAACTTAAGTAAACTGATTTCAATGGGTCTCTTCCAGGTAGGACGTAGATTGGATATCACTATTTATACTAATTTATACTAATTACAGAGCAAGTCCTACTGAGCTCAGGAGGACTTGTTTCTGAGTAAACATGCTTGGGACTGCACTTTTAATTCTGTTCTACTTATGAAGCTCCCTGAAGGCTTTTTGTCCAACCTTTCTAATACTGTCTATACTGCCAGGAAGCAGCTCTCCAGCAGAGGTCTTTCTTACCACCTTCTATCTGATGCTACTGGAGATGACAGGGATTAAAGCAGGGATCCTCTACATGAAAAGCATGTGCCACCCCCCAAATTGATCTGTGGCCCCTATTCCAAGCTGTGATTAGCTTTTATTGGCAGCAGACTAAACGTCTTTCCTTCTGCAGTGTTGGATGGCTGGTTGAGAGGAGTTCCCTACCAGGACAGACTTTGCTCGTGTGCTCAAGACATCGATTCCATAAAACATATTTTGTTGCACTGTGCAAAATATGAGCAAGCCAGGGCTGAACTGATATTACACTTGCTGCTACCTTTCCCGGGAAAATCAGAGGCTCACTATGTCAGGTTCTTATTGGAAGACCAGACAAACGCTAGAACATTAGCAGTGGCAAAGTTTTTATCGGTGGTTGCAAGAACCAATGATCCCTATATTCTGAACAAAATGCTTGTTTAACCTGGAGGTAGGCTGTATGAATTGTGTATTGCTTTGGAACGATTTGTTGGGTCTCTGGACAGTAATAAAGATTGATGATGATTTATTGGCAGCAAACATAACTGCAGATAGGGTTAATAAGAATTTCCACTGAGTCCAGGAACTGAAACATCAGCTCTGAAGCTTAGCTCAAGTCACTCATTTTTACAATAATTAAACTGAAAGGCAGCATTGCATGTAGTGGACCAATGGCTTGCAAAACTTCAGTGTTTAATGGCACTAAATCAAAACATAGCTTTATTGCCAAGATTCAATGGCCTAATGGAATTAGTTTCTTTAATTGTGCAGTGTATAAAATGTTAGATTGAAAGCTAAATCAGGTAAGCTTGGGCAAGTCTGATTCTCAATCTCACAACTGAAAAAAATATGAATAATCTCATCCAGGCTGGGAAACAGGTGGTTGTTAAAAAAACGGTTATATTAATTAAATGCAGCAGCCTTGCAAAAGTTGTGGTAGAAACCATTGATAAAGCCAGTTAACTAGTACTTACAAGGTCATTCATATTGGTCTGGCTAGCTGGATGGATTTCTTCCAAGAACTCCAAGACATAAAATGTGTACCTGTCCATCAAATGAACTCCAATCCCAAGATCTGGTTGATGCTGAAAAATCAAAGCACAGAAATTTTTATGAAGCACATTCAGTGACAATCGTGTTCAGCACTAAGGACTGAGGTGAAAAGCCCCACATCGACTGCGTGCTTATAAGTTACCTTCTGTGGACAGTCTAATTATCCAAAATACAATGACTAATCATTAAAAAGCCATCATGAGAATCCTTTTTTTTTTTAATTGCTTCTTCTACCATGATGTGCTGCCCAATTGCTTAGAACAGTTTCTCCAACCTGTTGCCCTCTAGATGTTTTGAATTACAACTCCCATCATCGTTGTCCATTGGTCACGCTGATGGAAGTTGAAGGCCCCAACAAGAAAAGTATCTTGGAAATGTTGTCACTGATCAAATAAATGCCCCCCCTTACTCCCACCATTTTGTCCACCAACCATGTCATAGTCCTACTTTCTGTTTAAACTCATTTATTATTCCACATGCTAGCCTTCATTTCTCTACAGTATTGCTCTCTGTATCTAAAAAAAACCCAAATTAGATGCAAAACATGTGCCAGAGGAACAGTATCTTCTAGTGAATACATTCATGCATACTTGTTTATACAGTAGCATTTGTTTAAAGCACCAAATCTGGTAAAGGGCAGAGATTTTCATTACAGAATTCCAAACCTCCAGCATCCATATATTATTAACTAATACAATTAAAGCTATACACTTACTGAAAGTGAGTCTTCTCCAACCTGGCTACTAGCCAAAGCCATTATATTGGGAGAATAAAATCGTTCATACATGGATGCACCTTGGCACGTATCAATGATAAACAGCAACTCATTGTACCTGGAAGAAAACGAACATATTTTGTGTCTACCATTTTTTAAAATAAATCATGGGCCATTTTTCCTATGGCTCCTAAAGGTCATTAACACTTTTGATTAGGAGCCATTGAAGATTTCAATCCTATCCCAGACTTAGTTCCAGGGCTTTTTTTCAGTAGGAACTTGATGCAACTCAGTTCCAGGACCTCTCAGATGGGTGCCATTGTGATTTCTAAGAGAAAGAGGGAGGTGGTCATGGTGAATTCTGGCACCTCTTTTTCTAGAAAAATAGCACCGCTTAGTTCTATACAGACATGTATAGGATTCCACTGTTCATGAAAAAACTAGCAAAATGGGAGGGTTTTTAGCGTGTGTGTGTATAATATATATATATATAATGTATTTGTATACTAGCAGTGCCATGTATATATATGTGTGTGGGTGTGGGTGTATATATATACATCTATATATACATACATACACACACACACACGGCACTGCTAGTTTCTGCTTAAGAGAAGTTCCATTGTAACGTGTTCACAGACCCATGAGTTCATTCCTGATCCAATAAGATCAAATAGAAGAAACTTAAAGGGAATAATGACTGGATTCATTAAAAATTAGTAGGCCTCTATTCATTTTCATAAGGTTGTAAACAGACTGTTAGGCAATTCCCTCTAGGAAAACTGGAGGAGATAGTAAAAATGAATGTGTATCATTTATTCAGAAATGAGACAGCAAAAGTTTACCTCCTTTTCTGCCACATTTGTTCAAAGGCATCTGCAAGCTCTACATTTGTGATTTCTTCAGAATCCTGAAATTTCAAGAAACCATTCCCACCATGACCTTGGGAGGAAAAAGCATAAATTAAACTGACATGCTCTAAAAGCTAAAGCAACATCACGTAAATACGCTTTCTTAGTCATTCATCATGAAGAATTCATTATGGAGATAAAAGGCAGAGAAGAAAGAAACAATTCAAGAAACACCAGAGTTCAGCCTCAGCAAGCTGAGACTGAGCAGGCTTTAACAGTATCATATCTGTATAAACCATTCCCTTTTGTATAGACCACTATTTTTCTTTCATGAGACACACAAATTTTCTTTTGAACTGCGAGTTCCTCTTCCCCAGTCAAACCAGTGAAGGTGTAGCATAACAAACTCCTCAATACTAGAAAGATCTCTAGTTCTTGAATATGGGGAGACTACATATCTTCTTACATATAGTAAAAATGTAACAGTGTTGTCATGCAGTCACCACAGGAGGATATGCAGTGCCACATAGATTTGCATAAGACCAGGGTGCGCAACAGGAGCGGAGGAAGAGACATGGACATGTGGGGTAGTCTGAATGCAAGGGACAGTTGAGAAAGTGGAGGAGGAGGAGAGGGGAAGGAAGTAGAGATGAAAATCAGGATACAAAGTTGGGCTACAGAATAGGAGGGCATGGTGACTGTATAATTGGATGGAAGGTGAAAAGGGTGCTTAGTAGTTGCAAGGAAGAAATTCAGTGTTGAAGGAAGAAGTTCAGGAGAGCTCTAATTTTGTTTTTCAACCAGTTCAATATCTGAGGAATTCACTCAATGTCTCTTCACAGCTAAACTTATCAATTTCAAAAAGTCACTAGTGTATCACCCCAGCTATGGGCCCTGGTATACATCACATGCACTGCAGTTACACAAATTACACAATGGCTTTCTTTCTGACTCATGGATACAAGCTAAATGTGGTCCTCTGTACTTAACAGGAAGACCATTAAAATCATCATTCTGGTAATGTCCCCCTAAATAGACTTTTTTTGGTATGTTCAGCATATGACTTGAATTGATTTATTTTGCAATTAGTTTGATATAACCATTCGCTTTCATAACTCTAGCAAACCTACTGCAAGAAAAGCCATTCAGCAAGGTGAAGTATTCTGCTCTGAAAGGAACAGACCTCTCTGACAGGCATTGCTCTAAATATGTGCAGTGCAAAGATCACAATGCAAAATGTTGAAGGAAATACAATTACCTGTCATATATATAAGGATATTGCTTCTGTCGTCAGAAAGCAGACGCTTTGAGCGAGGTGCACTGGCTGGGATTCTGCCCGTTAATACTCGCAGAAAATTTTCCACAGTAACCTAAACACAGAAGATTAACATCCTTTCTAACTATCTTACACCCTGCATTTTAATGCATATCCCCCCCCCCCCCCGCCCGGCAAGACGTGTTGTCATATAAAACAACCACTAATGTTTAGGACGGTTCATTAATAGACCAGTAGATTTGACTGCAATACCAGACCTCACAATCCCCCATCGTGCAATTTCTTCTTCATAAAATTCAAAACTTTTTATCACTGAAGAATAATAAAGTTTACAGCTGAAACACATGATATCTAGCACATGGCTACCACCATTTCAGTCTTCCTAATGTGCCTTCATTGATTTAAACACCTGTCACACTGTGTGGCTTTATCTATGTGGAACAACTTGTGTATCTGCTTACCAAGCAACATTACTATGCGTTACCATGGCAAAATGTTAATAAATATATTTTGAGACTTACAATCCCTCAGAGGCTGAAAGAAAATAAGATTCTTGTGGTAGAAACGTTTGATCAGAGATTGTCCATCTGGCCAGCAATTTGGGGGGAGGGGGGGCAGAGAAACTTACAAAAAGAACACTAATCTGCTATGTTTGCATACAGATTCAGAAGGCTCAGAAAGTGCTCACATGAATCAGGCTCATGACAGCTGTTTAAACCCAAAATCTGAACACAGTGAGAGATAACATATTCTCTTCTGAGAAGTCAGATTGGCAGACACGAAATCTTCTTTCCCCCCTCCCCCGACAGAAATATTATTGTTTAATCCAGGCAACAATAGGATGCTTGCTCTGCTGCTTGCTTGGAAGCCTGCAAATTATTGCAGCTGCCATGTACTCAATTCCTCTAAGAGATACGCCTGGGGTCAAAACTTTATACCTGTGCCCAATTATAAACAATGGGAAGCCCAACATCTCATTTCCTTGAGGAACTTGAAAACACCAAAGACATACCCGCCCCACTGATTAACTTTTCAATTGTCCAGAGTGATTTGGTGTGCTCAAACATTTTGTTATCAGAGCTCATGGAGTGCCTAAAGTACTCTCATTACTAAATAACCCTCTCATTTTGTATGAGAGTTTGAATAATCTCCAACTTGCTCATTATGTTGAAGAATGGCTCTGCAGCTCAAGAATATACACATTCTCAGCAAGAAAATCCAATTCACTTTGGAGTTATTTCCTCCCTAAGCTCTCTTCCCCCTGCCTCGAACCAAGGCAGCATTAAGACTTCACACTGGTGAGGAATTCCTTGAGCTAGGAAAATAATTATAATCTAGGCCTCCAATTCTAAAACACACAAAATATATTTTAAAGCCTTTAGGCTTTTTTATTATTCCAAATACAATTACAGGATTATGAAATTTACACCTGCCTGGTCAGCTAAGATGAAGACAATCAATTCCAAGTGACAAGCATTTGTAAACAGCCAGAAAGCAGACTCCCCCACCATCTCTCTTTTCAAGCCATTAAAATGGCAAAACAACTAGCACTGGTATATGTGGGTTAGGAATCTTGGAAGACTTGTTTTCAAAATTGGTATAATATGGCCTTGGGAAACCCATGCTTCAGACTCATTCTCAAGCTCTATTACCTCCGTTATGTTAGGAAATGTTAGCAAAGTTTAATAGACACAGTTCAGATGTCAGTGTAAAATAATACTTATCAAATGCTACTTGTTCTAAGCACTAAAAAACCCCAATCATTAATAAAGTTCTACATATTTTCAACAAAGCAATGCTGCCATGCAAAATAACAGAACCGTTACTTCCCAGTATCACATATTGGTGATACTGTTGATACAGTTCCTGAAGCAGTGGTTCAAGATTTTGGGGGACCAAATGGTAGAACTTTATTTCAACACATACCTAGTGGCTCTAGAAATAATTCCCTCTAGTTTCTTGACACAAACGGACCTCCCACCCTTTGAGCAGGCAGACTATCAATACACACATGTCCTCCTCAACCTATTAGTGTGTCCCAGTTCACCAAGTTGGCAAACACTCAGTTCAGGATTTTCTCCATACTTTACCTCATAGCTTCGGTAATCCACTTCCACGTCATCTCCATAGACATTCAGTTCCATGTTTTTGTGACTAAAAACAGTAGCTGGGCTTGGATTTCGTGGGTTGCATGCCATATCATCTGCCAGCATCAAGACTATATGGCTGGTGGAAAAATAAAAGAATTTTAGTTATGGCCAAGTCATACATGTTGTCAAACTGAACAAGGTGGTTGCAACAAAAAAACGCTGTCAATAATTGAAACACCCATCAAATGCACTCTAGCTGTTAAAAATTCAAAGTGCAAACTGCCTGCTTTGAAAGTCAACTTATCGGTTTTTAAATCCTGCTTTATATGCAAGACTATTTTGTGACTAAGCAGACACACATAGAGAACCAAAAACAACATTAAGAAGTTAATAAGGGTAATGTTATTTTGACAACGAAGGACAAGGTGCTCAGTTCCATTTCAATCCACAAAAACTAAAGGCGATTTAGAAATTGTTTCAAAAGCAAACAGGTGCTGGGTCACCCTGAAAATGAATCTGTGCAGATAAATCAGTTGTGTTTGTTCTGCCTATTGGTCTTGTCTTGCTTAGTCACTGCAGTATCATTAGCGCAGTACCAACACAGGCAGGAAACAAAACAGCAATGGAGCATTGGCTCTGCATGCTTAAGACTCTGGATTCAATCCCCAGCTCCTCCTTTTAAATGAACAGGCTACCCAGATTTACATTTCTCAGATAGCTTCAGGAATGAACAAGGAAACCAAAGCACATGTACCTGCTGGCCACAATTGTACATTTAGTCACAACTAACTCAAGTCCGTTGATTTCAGCGGGTGGAATTCAGCATTGCATTCTTCCCATCATTTTCTCTGCACAAGCCTTCCAGCTTGCCAGACAGAACGATCCCCTATCCTCCACCCACACATGGAACTGAGGAGCCAATTTCGGAGAGCAGGGAGAGAAGAGTGAGAAAAGCTCAGTCCGTGAGCAAGGCCTTCCACTGATGGGAGGCCGGTTAGGTGAATTCTGCCCAATATTCTGATATAGTCAGACACTGCCTCCTGTTTGTTTCAGTTCAACTTGACTTAAATACAAATCATTGTACATAATTGTCCTCTATTCCCCTGCTTCTATCAGGCAACAGCTATGATGTGCAATCCTTTCCTTTTGTGACATCTTTCACTTACAAAAATTCAGAAAACTGCTATTCGCCCATGACATATGTGAAATCATAAATGTGATTTAATTATAATTCTATTATGGTATGAATTAGGTAAGGTAAAGGTAAATGGACGCCTGACAGTTAAGTCAAGTTGCGGATGACTCTGGGGTTGCGGCACTCATCTCGCTTTACTGGCCGAGGGAGCTAGCATTTGTCCGCAGACAGCTTCCGGGCCATGTAGCCAGCATGACTAAGCAGCTTCTGGTGAACCAGAGCAGCTCACGGAAATGCCATTTACCTTCCCGCCGGAGCGGTACTAATTTATCTACTTGCACTTTGGCGTGCTTTCGAACTGCTAAGTTGGTAGGAGAAGGGACCAAGCAACGGGAGCTCACACCGTCGCAGGGATTCGAACTGCCAACCTTCTGATCGGCAAGCCCAAGGCTCTGTGGCTTAGACCACAGCGCCACCTGCGTCCCCATGCATTAGGTAGTTATGTTGAAAATTGTTTTATTTTAAAACCATTTTTAGTTTAATAATAATGCTGCAAATCATCGTCCCCATTCCCTTCCTTCTAACCAAAAGCAGTTTAAGGGTCTTGGATAATTTAAGAAAGTAGAGCATCTGCTTTATGTGCCAAAGGTCCCAGGATGATTCCCCCCCCTGCCTTCACTGGGTAGAGCTGGGAATGTTGGTTATTACTCAAAAGATGTAACTATCATAGATGCAGTGAAGGCTGCTCCTTTAGGGCAAATGGGGCACTGCCCTACCTAACTCTAGTCTCCCCTCAGATATTCTGCCTCCACAGGAGGATTGGGACACAACTAGAACTAATTGTTTCACACCTGCCACTGTCTCTGGTCCACCTACCGCAGGTCACGTTGCCTTCTAACCTACCAGTCCTAATGGGGACCAGGGACCACTGCATACATGGTACTGAGAGGGAGTATGAGCTGACAAGCAGAATGTGAGCTAGTCCCAAACCTGTTTGCCTCGGTCATTATTTGGCCAGAAGACAACAGGTTGATCTATCAATATCCAAATTTGCTGACTGCAAGTGACAATGCAGGCTACTCTCCCACTGCTACACACACACACACACACACACACACACATCTGGCCTCACCCACTGCTGAAGGGGAATCCGCAATTTGTGCAGACTTTTTACCTACCCAGCATTTTTCCCTGTCTAACATTTTTCATTTTTTCTTTCAATTTACTCTATCCCAGGCCCAGCCATGGAACACGAGTAAATGTCACCAACTTGGCAACTTCTGTTTTGGCTTGGGAAACATACCTTCACTCCCAAAAAGCATTGTCTGAAGCTATCTGGCAAATGGCCAACCTTGGAGACTGCCCCCCGCCCCGGACTAAGTGATCATTAAGAATGATTGACATATGCACATCACAACTCCATGCAACTTGATCCCACTTGAATGCTTTTGCATAACACTCAGAAAAGGGGACTTGCAGATGTTCATAAATTTGGGTGGGATTGTTCCTTAAGTATGACATTGCTAAACATACTGGGGACTTTGCAATTAGGGAAATAATTTAAGCCTGATAACGTGGAATTTATTATGCTGAAAGACGTGTCCAACGTTGTACTATCCTATTATCTACTAAAGAACAGTCATTATCATTGCACTGAATATATTCCCAATGATTAGATGCAATCTAATTTTATTCTGCTGTGTTGCATAACAGAAGGGGAGGAATACATACTCTGGAAAGTGGGAGCACAATGCGGTGTGTCAACAAGCAAAAAGCTTGTTTGTAACTAAAAATCATTTTCCTAACTGCTTTTATGGCTAAATGACAAGACAGGTTTTCTTTTGAAGCTCTAAAAAACCATGCATTTCTTCAGGTGGAAAGTCTTTTCTCTTAAGTAATAATAATAATAAACACTTTCAACAATCCTAATAAATTATATTGTTAAAGAACAGTATTGCTATTGCTTATCACACATACTTGATGTCCTGTTTACAAAAAAGTAAATACAGGTTGAATTTATCTTTGGTTCCTGATGACAAGTAAGTGATTTGTGGACTTAACACTGCCACACGCACACAAAGAGACATCTTTGGTCAGGTTCTACTCCCATCAACTGCAACCTGGCAGCAGCCATTACATCAGGTTGTACTGGAGGAGGGAGGAGGAGGGATTCAGGACCACTCCTTCATCACAGCGTGAAACCAGCAACTTTTTGTGCCTCCTCTCCTTGAACTTTTCCACTTGCACTGGTCATCAGAAAAACCTGCAAACAACTTGACTTGAGTTTGCTTAGTTCCTCCTCCCTCCCAAGCCATTTCCATTTTTGTCCTGTCTTTTTAGATTGTAAAGCCCAAGGGGCAAGGACTGCTTTTGTTTTTTAACGGTCTGTGTTTCTTTCTTGCTAAAGAGCAAGATATTTTTAAAAAGAACTTTGAACAAATAAAATAAACAAATGTGATCTTTTATCTGCTTTGGAATCTGCCATTAATTTCAGGCACTGTATCTGTTGGCTTGTACTCTTGTGTTGTGTTCTAGTTTCTTCTGCCTTGTTAATGGCTCCTCAGTCAGGCTATCTGTCAGATTGAAAAAAGGAAGCAAAAGGCCATCTAAAACAAAGAGGACGGGGCAAGATCATAAAGTTGTCCATACTTAGGGCAGTGTTTTATTTTACTTTGTGTTTATTGGCTGGCATGAAGGAAAAGCTTTGCTCAGTCACTACTTTGGATGTGGAACAGTCAGGGAAGTAGGAAGGGTTTCCTCTGCTAGACCTCGCAACCTACCTCACAAATGTACGATAAATACCTTTTTCTTTTTGCAATGATATATGGGCCTGAATACAGCCACTAGACCATGACAATGTGTTGTTTACTTAGCAAGCATTGCTGTCATCAAGAACTAGCTTCGGACCTATTGCTTTCTGAATATGCACTGTGGTTGGTGATAAGATTCTAGACATGAGACATATTCTAGACATAAGCTTGAACCTTAATACATGTGGACAGAACTCTGCTCATTAAGCATTGGTTTGCCAGCCTCTCCTCTCCACTACAGCACCACTAAAAAGGTACCCATTGTGGCTAGGACACACACACACAAACACACGGGAAGTTGAATGGGGGAGACCTTCGGGTATAGGGCGGTTTAGAAAATACATACATACATACGAAGTTACAGCAGTGGGAGGGGAGAAATCAAGAAAAATAAACAGAAAGGAAAGCAACTCTCTTCTCAAAACAGACAGCGTTGGATCCAAGTTACTTTTTGCTCACTGTATTTGTAGGATTAAATTATGACTAAAATTTATATATTTCTATTTCTATATATATGAATGAATGAAATATATGCATCTGCTTCACTTTACATATTCTAATAGAGCCTTTCCTTTCTGATCTCAAAAGTTCACAGATAATCAACAGTCACAGTTATTAACTCCCTAATAACTTTCCACAGAAAGATATATTGAAATTCTACATTATTTCCTCTCCAAAAACATAACCACTTAAGCACAGTAAACTGTTCTCAGAGCAGGAAAATGATAAATGTGATAACGCTTTCATGTTTCAAAATAATAACTCATAGATAAGCCTCCAATATGCTCAGTTTCCATACATTTCCTTTTTTTAAAAAAGAAATTAAAAAATGGAGAGGCCAGGAACTTTCAACTCTCATTATAGCTCCACATAAATAGCATGGAATCTATGCTAATGAGATAAAGTATGCAGATACAAATAGAAAGGGGCATAATTAGGCTCCCCGCAAAAAGATCCTATATTGTTTATAACCACATAATTTGAGCAAGCCAACTATGAAGCTTATCACTACATGCAGATGCCAGGTTGGACGGAGGTCAATGTCTGGAAGTTGCCTTTGCAAGCAAGACCAAAAAATTAATTAACACCTCTAAATGTTGGCCAACAATACGCTTTTATCATACTGATTTTGAATGTTATTGCTACTTTGACCAAATTTTCATGTTCATTTTCCAGATGGCGCAGTCATTTCAATCTCTGATTGACGCAGAGTTCTAAAGTGCAAGGCAGCGTCTTCAGGGCACACCAAAACTCAAAAATCTTACCACATGGGGTGCACCAGAAGTGTTCGCACACACAAGAAGAATCCTAGTTTAAGAAGAGAATCCAGCCTTTTGAAACACCCACGTGTATGTCACTGCTTAGAGCCAGTATTGGGCTGCCAATATCTGCAATCTGGGAATTGGACTGGACCTAAATAATGTTTCATAATTAAGGATCTCATCCAATTACATTTAAAAGGAAAAAAAATTAATGATTGTTCTTTTAAGTAATTAACCTATTAAAATGATTACTACACTATTTCAACACAGAGGACGATTTCAGACACTGTAATGTGCTAATGAGCCAACAGTTATAGAACTTATTGTTCAGAAAATCATCTTATGCTTTATGCACACAATTATGTCATTGTTTTCTGGATTAATTAATCCACAATTAGTGTTTTCCTCATCCCACTTCAGCTGTACTTGCAAACAACCAGGCTGAAAGAATACACAAGCCATTACGAGAATGTTTTTGGCTAGGGCCAGATCACCAGGTCACCTAACACTTCTTGCGCCACCATCTGATAACCTTCACAACAGAAACACTCCTGTGACATTCCGGTTTGGACATCATTAACAAATAATCCTTCCTGGGGAGGGAGTTCCAACTAATACCCACATTATTCAATCTGGCAGTGGTGGATTTACTAGCTAATCCAATTAATTATTTCAGCCTTACTGAAAATGTTAAGTTGGCGTTTTACTCAAAGCCAAAGGATGATTCTTCTTTTTTATTTTACATGTTTTTCCACCCATCTTTTCGACTAAAAGACAGAAAATTAAAAGGCGACTTAAAAATTGGCAGCTAACTGCTGAAAGAGGAAACAAACTGCACCTGAGGGAAAGGCTGTTTTTGAAGCAGGGTGTCTTCACAAACTTCCTTGAAGACGGATGAATGCAAACTTGAAATAGGATATTCCATAGGGGGTGTATTATAGCCCAGGGTTAGCCAACATGGTGCTCTTCAGATGCTGTTGCACTTTCACTCCCATTGTTTTTAATCGCAGGCGTGCCAGCTCAGGGTGATGAGAGTTGGGAGTCAAAAACATCTGGAAGGCACAATGTTGGCTAACAATGGTTTAGGGCAGAGCGCTGGCTAACAAGGGAACCTGCCTGGCATCCCTTTTGTGGGATGCCCACCCGGCGAGGTGCAATCTATCTCCCTCAGTGCTGATTTTCAGGAGTATTTCACAGACTTTCCTCTTCACCCAGGCATCTGATAACTAAAAGATACTGTTCCTTGCAACCCTGTAATCAAATGTCTTATTAAAATGTTATGATTAGTGATGTATTTGTAGCCCTGGGCTCCTTCAGGAGGCGGTCCATTACATACACTGAACAAATAAAAATAGTATTTGTAACATGATTTTATTTCACTAAATTTGTATACCACTTGATTGTAAAATAAAATAAAAAAGGCTCAAAGCTGTTTACAAAAGGATAAAACCATAACATCAGGAAAAAATGACAATGCATTAAAACACACACACACAGTTAAAATACGGCTCACATAATTTGGGACCATCGCATTGCAAGTTTCTCTAGAATCACACTACTGAAGATAACAGCACAACATGATATCCCGATTCACACTGAAAACTGTATTCTGAACTGGAGCGTCTCCCTAAGCCTAAGGAGACGCAAGTGAAGCTGAGGAAAGGCAAGGTGAAAGTGATTTTCTGAAGAAGTCAACAGAGCTAATTCATGCTGCCAGGCCTGAAACAACTTATTATAGTGAGTGTTCCTTTTGAATTTAGAGGGTCCTCCAAAATAACAACATCTGCCTTTTTCTTTTCTCTTGCAATCCAATCCTAAACATTATTATTAGCCTGCAAGTTCAGTGGGGCTCACCTTCTTCTGTAAGGCATGCCTAGTCCTAGTGCTGGACTATGACCTGGGAGACCAGGTTTCAAAACACCAATAGACCATGAAGCTCACTGCGTGATCCAAGCCAGACACTAACACTCAGCCTAACCTACCTCACAGGATTGTTGTGAGAATAATATGGGGGAGGGGTGAGCCATGAACACCACTTTGTGCACCTAAGTGGAAAGACGGGATACACATACAATAATAAATAATATAAGAGGAGGCTCAAATCTGATTCCCACTTTTGAGAACTGCTAAAATATTTTACTTTCGGACGCACACACACACAAAAGAATATGAAAGCCCTTTTGGAGCTTTGGTATACTTTTTTCAATAAAAAGTAGGTGACAGTTTCCCCATCCCCTTCCACCAAGTACTCACTGTTTTTATGAAAACGCCCAAGTCTCTAATTATACATCAGTGCAAGTGTGTAATAAAAAAGGCTATTTTTGTAGCATACTTTTGTAATGCAAACAACAAGATAAGATTTGTGTTTTCGGTGGATACAGGTTTAAGAGGATGGGAGTGAAGAGGAGGAAAAAGTCCTGGGGGCAGGGAATCAAACTGCAGGATTCTAAATGTACACAAAGCAGGATGAAGTAACAGGACACTAGCATTTCATCTGGAATAGAATATTCCACCAAAACGTTAGCTGCCACATTCCTAAAGAAACAGCACCCTGTCATGTTGCTACCAAGGAATATAGAGAATATTCTTAACATAATTTAAAAAGGCCACTCTAAAATAGGCTTCCTCAAACTCGACCCTCCAGATGTTTTGGGACTACAATTCCCATCATCCCTGACCACTGGTCCTGCTAGCTAGGGATCATGGGAGTTGTAGTCCCAAAACATCTAGAGGGCCGAATTTGAGGACGCCTGCTCTAAAAGGACAAAACTGAGGCTAAAAATCAGTTTGGTAATTTCCCACAGGAGCATTTTGAAGGAAAAACAACACAAGCAGTTCCAACAAGACTTGCTCTTCAAAAATCTCCCACGCCAAATTCTCAAAATGATTTTTGGAGCCAGCAGAGTTTGGTGAACTCTGCAGAGAACACCTAAGAAGTCAATGCTGAGACATTTGCAGGTGTCCACTACATCTTGTGTGGATGTTAAAGAAGAACATCTCTGGACTGTGGACTCTAACAATGACCAGCCAGCCAGAGCTGAGAAATTTCAAAACAGCAGGCTAGAACATAGGGAAGATGTAAACTCTAGAAATAATAAGACATGCAAACAGAAATAAACAATCAACACTGTATTCCATCCTGTTTTCTAGTTTTTCCTCTCATGAGGCAGTCAGCATTCTGTGACCACTAACCCAGTTCTGTTCTTACTGAAATATGGGTGTGTAAATGGGTGTACCAAAAAAACACCAAACAAAGGTGGAATTTACACACATATAAAAACCGTTCTGAAAATGCTTTTTTAAAACTGTTTTAAAAAATACCGTATTTTTCGCCCCATAGGACGCACCTAGTTTTTTGGGGGGGAAATAAAGGGGAAAAAATTATTTCCCCCGCAGGTGCGGGGCTGGGGTGGGGGAAGCCCGAGCTTCCCCCGACCCCAGAACAGGCTGCTGTCCGCTAGCCGCGGGAGAGCCGCGCGACTTGGCGCAGCTCTCCCACGGCTAGCGGAGCGCTGCGCGAAGCCCGAAGCTTAGGGCGTGCTGAGCTCAGCGCACCCCAAGCTTCTGGGTGCAGGCTAGCAGATAGCTTCCTGAAGCCTGGAGAGCTAGAGGGGTCGGTGCACACCAACCCCCCTCGCTCTCCAGGCTTCAGCGAAAGCCTGCATTCGCCCCATAGGATGCACACACATTTCCCCTTCATTTTTGGAGGGGAAAAAGTGCGTCCTATAGGGCGAAAAATACGGTAATTGAATTTTTCGTAAGGATCACTATCGCCATCTAGTGTCACATTACATATTGCTCTTAAAATACACTTAAAACATTTTACTTGCAGCTGGAAAGCTGAGTCCAAATTCATAGCTAGTATGAGGTCTGAACTGAGATCCAAGTGCCTAATGCAAATCCTTACCCACGACACTACACTAGTCCTTCTAAACAACACAGAAAGTCATTTTCACAATGCGTATGTTAGTGACTGGCAGGCTGACATGTCACAATGAAGCCACCTGCAAATTGTATTGATGGCTGTCATGGTCCTTTGTTTATTTTTTTGGCTGAAGAGATGTACTAGCAGAATCAGCACAAAGGGAACATAATGCATATGAAAGGAAATACACATGCAGCAAAGAACTGACAAACAGTCTGTTAAAATTGGGAAAGCAGAGAATCAGATGGCAGCAGAATCATCCAAAAGGTGAGAGTAGGGTTAAAAAAAAAATCCCTTCTTAGGGGAAAAAAATGTTATCTGGAATTTTCAAGTGATCACACCTTTTCACACAGTGCCTTTGAAAATCCTTTGAACCATCAAAGATCTCAGTAGGAATGCCTCAGAAATTCAGCTGTAGCAAGTAACACACTTCAAAACATGGTACCTATTTGGTCCCCTTTGAACATGCAAACATGTCTTTGTCAAAAAGAAGCAAGCATTCCATTTAGTTTAAGACCTTGCTGATTAATCATTTGATGTGTTAATTAAGATAAAATCTTTTTTTAATCAAGGCATACTAAAATGGCAATGTGTTTTCTGGAAAACTTAAAGTCAAGTATAGTCACATGTATTTAGCAACTACATACTTGATCTATGACTTATTCCTACGTATCTATTGTAATTCTATGCCAGAAATGTAAGGTTGGAAGTGACTGAAAATCAGCCTACTCAATACAAAATGAGAGATAAACCATACACTTGGGTCGCACTGCCTTTCCTTTAATCCAGACTCCGACATGTTTCAGTCACAGCCACCTCAGCTGATGATCAGTGGAATTTAACAACTGGAAGCCCATATTCGGAGCACCCGGAAGGTCACTAAGGGTCAGTGCAAACATAATGCAGAAGATCTTTTAATCATTATGAAGAAATTATAAGCAGGCTATCAAGATCTCCAGTTTTTCCTCCTTACTGGAATAAGCTGGACCTCCCGCCTTAACATCTCCTTAGTCTTACAACTGCAACTTGTTATCTTAACCATCTACAAAACCTAACTATGATAGAAAACCTGGTTAGAATGAACCATAATTAGCACCCGTGGACATATAGCAGCAAGCAAGGTGGGCACAGACAACATCAGAGCCTAATAAAAAATATATTATTGTTTATACCCCACCCATCCGGCTGGATTTCCCCAGCTGCCCTGGGCTTCCAGCAAAATACAAAAAATAATAAAATGTCAAACATTAAAAACTTCCCTGCCTCTCTGGGTACTGGGGGTGGGGGGAATGTTATCTGGAATTTTCAGAGATGTTTTCTAAAAGTTGTGTAATTCTTTTATCTCCCTGACATTTGATGGAAGGGCGTTCCACAGGGAGGACACCACTGCTGAGAAGGCAGACTGTCCCCTTCTCTCCCCTCACCCCCCATTTTTACATTTGTCTTAGTACTTTAAAGCTGCAAACAACCTCCATATTTTCTTACCTATCAGGAATGCCTAGTCTCTTGACACTTCTGTAAACTGAAAGGGTATTGGCCACATGGCGGTAGTTAAACCAGAATCGAGATGTGCACACCTAAAAGGGTCAGAAAAAAGTAAGCATGTGTGGATATATTTATGGTTAGAAAACAGTAGAATTCTACAGCCACAGCCCCACAAAACTATATGAGTGCAGAAAGAAGAACTGTGCATGCAGCCAAATGTTTCTTTGAAGCTTTCACCAGATGCTTCTTATGATTCAGCAGCAAGCTTCATTTTGAACTGAGAAACAAATTCTGTTTTCAATAGCAAGAGGCTGCAATAAGAACTCTATAAAAAAAAAACACCTCTGTTATGTGTGCAATTCTCCCATGTGCACATACAGACTGAATACATGATTCTCCCATGCGTCTCTGGGTACTCTGGTTTAGGCTAATACTTGCATTTTTTCTCATTATGATTTATTTTTAAACAAATGGTGACTGATACTAGTTAAAATATTTTCATTAGAATTATTTATGCCCTTCAGATGCTTAGTGGATATAACATTTTGGGATGGGATCTAATCATGTATCCCACCCTCCACCCCCACATGCAAGCAAAAAGCATTTCCATACACCATCAAAGTGGCAATATTTTGGAATATTTGTGCACATTGATCATGGGGAAGTGGATAAAAATGTAGAAACTTACCAAAACTGCCCAGTTGTTTGTATGTCCACTTCTAAAAAACTGTTCTGCTTGATCCTGAAGAGAAAACAAACAAAATAAATGCAAGAAACAAACATCCAAGAACACCGATTGTTGCTGACTGCTTATTGATAAACAGGAAGGATTTGTGCCACTGCAGTTTGCCACAAGAACCAATTCTGTGAATGCTGCAAAATCTAACAGTAGCTCCAAATTTTTACAAACAGGACTACAGTATAGGAAGTTCCAGGGTTCAAAATAAAATACCTGAGCAGAACTGAAGTAGGAAGCCAGTTTGATTCACAAGCCAATTTGCCTATTTTAAACTGGGCCAGACCTGAAGATGCTTACTGCCAGACTACAAATTATATTCACTGTAGAAATTAGGTTGTTTTAGGCTTGGAGGAGAAAACTGGGCAATAAGCAGAAAAATAAGTCATTGCTCCTGCTTCGGTATGCCTATGGTTCCCTCCAGCTTTCTCAGCCTGTCTCCACAGGTGCCTTCAGTGTTCTCAACAGGCATTTCTCAATTACACATGACTATGTTTCACACAGCAGGTGTTAATATGAGGACAACTCTCACACAGGTTGCTGCTATTATTATTCCTACTTTATATATGAAACACTTCCTAAGAAGCATCGTGAAGCAATTTCACCACACAATAAAAACATATATAAAACAATTTCATATATAAAATCAGTTACAGACCATTACATCCATAAACACTATTTCAAATCAAATACAGACACCAATTGGGGTATCCCCACACAGAAGGGCTGTTGCAAGTCTCCCACAGACCCCCCAAAAGCCTGTCTGACATGTAACTTGGGCAATTCCAAGATACCCACCACACTAAAGGCCCAATTCCAAAACTGTGTGGAGCAGGCCTCCTTATAAGCTAGTATCTACAGAATGCCCTCTCCTGTAAAGCACAGTGTTTGGATATGTCGGAAATGAGGCAATACTTTAGGTATCCTGGCCTTTATGGCATATCCCCAAGCATGTGCAAACATTCTCTATCTTACCAACTGTTTCAAAAAGCATTAAACTGACAAAGGTGAGGTGTTATCAGCACCATATGGAATCTCCACACTCACAGATAGCACACCTTCAAAAGCCAGGTGCTAAGACATATGCCTAGTGATATCACTGCATGTTTTTCATTGCCAGCTGAATGAAGTGGCGAAGTTCTGGATTGGCCAATACGTTTTGGTCAGCTGTAACTAAGAAACATGTCTGTCTGTTCCGGTTTGATTTTAATAGGCTTTTAATTTGCTTTGTCATGCATTTATAGTTTTAACGTGCAAGTGCCTGTGCTTGTAAACCACCAGGGCATAACAAGTGATAAATGGCAGTATAAAAATTAAATTATTCTTATTCTTGGTAAACAAACGTGGGGGAGATATTCTCCCATCCTGTCCTCCTTGCGTGCTCTCTGAAAGTAACAGGATGCTTGGTTTTATTGACTCCCAAGTCTGATCTGACAGGGCTGTTTTTACCTTGTTATGAACATCTACACATATGCAGAAAAGAAGATTGAATGGCTGGAACAACTTCCACAGGGGAAAAGGCTCTGTTTCCTTGTTTAGGCACAGTACGAAAGATTTAGAGTTGCACAGGTGAGCATGAGCAACTAGGTGGCTGACCCTTGCCTTGGCCCACCTGAATGCCTGCCCTGTCCCTCTGGCAACAGCAGCGGTGAGGATGAGGTCCAACAGGCCTCATCCTTCCTACAGCGCCTCCAGAGAGAGAGGACGAGCAAACAAGCTGAGGCGGCAAGGTGTGGCGATGATCAGTCCCACCTGTTTACTCATAAAATGCAACCCACTACCTCGCTGGGAAGACTAGGCTGGGCTGGGCTGGGCCGGAGGACGTCTCCAAAGCCTTGATCCACAACCTGCAACCGACCCTGCTGCAACTGGCTCTGGTGCGTAGGAACTGTTCCGCAAAGGTGCATTTCCACAACCAGAGGTTTCTACTGTACTTCTAAAGTTGTGCTTGCTTTTATTTCGCTTTTAACGTCTTCTTCTCAAAGGACGATTTTCATCCCTGGCAAAAGGCTCCTGGGTTACACAAAGTCACCCACTCACAGCAGCAAAGAGGGGACACTGGGAAGGGAAAGCTCAAATGCTAGTTTAAATGAAACAGGAGGGTCAGGGAGGGGAAAGAAACAGCGGCAAATCCCTTGCGCAGCCGTGCAACGCAGCTCAGCTAGCTCAAGCCAGCCGGCCCCCCTCGCCCCCGTCGCGTACCTGGATTCCGTCTGCGATCGCTAAACTACAGCAACCCAATAAAAGAGCTATTACTATTGCTGCAGGAGGACTACACCGAGGCGCGATGGAGGCAGCCATATTAAGCAGCTCTGACGACCAGGAAGAAGGAGGAGCTTTGGAAGCAGCCGGCTTTGCCGCGCCTCCTCTTCTTAAAGGTGGCGACGCGCTCTTGCCGGTAGCAGATCAGTCCGTGCGAGAAATGGCCAATTCATAAACCAAGAACTCATACACTGACCACTACTAATGAAACATATGTTGTAGATATTTTTCCATCTTTATTGTGCTATTTTTGTGATATACAAATGACGTGAACAAACTTGGTACATATACTTATTTGTGTAACATTATTCTTGTGTAACATTATTCTTGATTGTGTCGACCACAGCAAACTATGGCAAGTTCTTAAAGAAATGGGAGTGCCTGATCACCTCATCTGTCTCCTGAGAAATCTCTATGTGGGACAAGAAGCTACAGTTAGAACTGGATATGGAACAACTGATTGGTTCAAAATTGGGAAAGGAGTACGGCAAGGCTGTATATTGTCTCCCTGCTTATTTAACTTATATGCAGAATTCATCATGCGAAAGGCTGGGCTTGATGAATCCCAAGCCAGAATTAAGATTGCTGGAAGAAATATCAACAACCTCAGATATGCAGATGACACAACCTTGATGGCAGAAAGTGAAGAGGAATTAAAGAACCTTTTAATGAGGGTGAAAGAGGAGAGCGCAAAATATGGTCTGAAGCTCAACATCAAAAACGAAGATCATGGCCACTGGGCCCATCACCTCCTGGCAAATAGAAGGGGAAGAAATGGAGGCAGTGAGAGATTTTACTTTCTTGGGCTCCATGATCACTGCAGATGGTGACAGCAGTCACGAAATTAAAAGACGCCTGCTCCTTGGGAGAAAGGCAATGGCAAACCTAGACAACATCTTAAAAAGCAGAGACATCACCTTGCCAACAAAGGTCCGTATAGTAAAAGCCATGGTTTTCCCAGTAGTGATGTATGGAAGTGAGAGCTGGACCATAAAGAAGGCTCATCGCCGAAGAATTGATGCGTTTGAATTATGGTGCTGGAGGAGACTCTTGAGAGTCCCATGGACTGCAAGAAGATCAAACCTCTCCATTCTGAAGGAAATCAGCCCTGAGTGCTCACTGGAAGGACAGATCCTGAAGCTGAGGCTCCAATACTTTGGCCACCTCATGAGAAGATTAGACTCCCTGGAAGAGACCCTGATGTTGGGAAAGATGGAGGGCACAAGGAGAAGGGGACGACAGAGAATGAGATGGTTGGATGGTGTTCTTGAAGCTACCAGCATGAGTTTGATCAAACTGCGGGAGGCAGTGGAGGACAGAAGTGCCTGGCGTGCTCTGGTCCATGGGGTCATGAAGAGTCGGACACGACTAAACGACTAAACAACAACATTCTTGTTTATAAAGCCCAATAATAATGAGAAATGTTTCAGCTTTCACCTCAGTGTTCGGCTAAGACTCTCGGTCATTGCGATTTCCGACTAGGATAGGGGGGGTTATGGCTCAGTTGGCTGTAGTTGAATGGTCTAGAAACCCACGTGTATATAGGCTTAAAGCCCTGTAAACGCAAAGTCACTCTGTATGCCTAGGACAAGGATCTCTCCTCTCTCTCTCTCTCTCTCTCTCACACACACACACACGCACGCGCGCACACACACACACACACATACATATATATATATATATATATATACACACACACACACACACACACACACACACGGGGTTTAAGCAAACTAATTTCCTGCTCACTGGTGCAGATGCAAAGCATTCCACAACGAAACTATGACGGTACTGCAGCCCGATCCAATGTAGGCTTAGCAAAGAGCTCCCATCAGAAGGCAACGGTGGTACAGTTAGCTAATGAAAGGCAGAAGTTATCATAGTTCTTTCCCCCCACATAGGTCATTAGAAAACTGCTGAGGGTTTTGTCAGCTCCCCCCCCCCCCCCAAAAAAAAAGAATCGTGGGAAATGTAGGTTACCCTTCATGGAGCTACCGTTCCCTGCACCCTGCTGTCAGAAATCTAGTGATGGGATAACATCCTTCACCACGCTTGAAGCATCAGGCCAGATTATGGGGGCCAGGGTGTAGATAAAAAGGTGGACCTTCCACATCCATCTCCAAAGGTCTGTTTTGTATGAGGAATACTGCTAACAACCAAGAACAACACATAAACACAACCTCTGATGGAGTTGCAAATCTCAGAACCATTACAGGAGCTGAAGTTGAGCTGACTATAGCTTTACCAAGTCCGCTAGCTAACTAGCTAGCGAGCTATTTATTTATTTACAGGTAACTCTCCATTTGCATGTGTTCCAAGTGAGACACACACCCCATTTTTCACACTGGAAGGGGGCAGGGGCAGGCTTATGTGCATCCCACCAATGCACACAGTACTTCAGAATGCAACCCCCGCATAAATATGGTGTTTCCTGCTTGGCAGGGGGTTGGACTCGATGGCCCTTGTGGTCTCTTCCAACTCTATGATTCTATGATTCTAAATGGGGAGTTGCCTGTATTTATTGAATTCCTATACAACCCTTCATCCGACGATCACAGGGTGGCTTACAATATAAAAACACAAAAATACAAAGCACAGTAACTAACAACAACAACACACAGAGAGAGAGAGAGAGAGAGAGAGAGAGAGAGAGTTTAAAAGGCCATGTATAGTTTAATTAGTCAAAGGACTGGGAGAAGAGGAATGCTTTTGCCTCATGTCTAAATATATGCAATGAAGGCGCCAGGTGAGCTTTCCTGGGGAAAGCATTTCACAAATGGGGAGCTACTGCAAAAAAGGCCCGTTCTTATGTTGCCGCCCTCAGGACGTCTTGTGGAGGAGGCACACAAAGGAGAACTACAGATGGTGATTGTAGGGTCTGGGTTGGTTCATATGGGAAGAGGATTTCTAATGGGCCAGTGAAAGAATTAGCTAAAAGACTTTTAATTAAATTAATTGTGGAGGCAGAAAATACCTACAAAGGCCCTGTATCAAAAGGATGATGTGCACAGTATACTGTATACCTTATAGACTGCTCTGTTCACCTGAAATAATGCATTCTTCATTTGCTCTGTGTCTTAAAGGCCTTTGATCTGATCCAGCAAAGCTTCTCTTGCAATCAAATAAATTAGCACCACATTTGATAAGATTTCTACACTTCCCTAAACAAAACACTGAAGAACAGATATATGCAATCTAAATCTTATTTAGAAATGGAATCCTGTCATCTCTATGCACAGGGCCGGATTTAGGTTTGATGAGGCCCTAAGCTACTGAAGGTAATGGGGCCCTTTATATGTCCAGATGTCCTTTGTCAACAACAAATTGTCACTGTTTTTTTGTGTTGAATATATGCTATAAGGTAATTTATGGACCTAATAGGTATCTAAAGCCATTTTATTTGTTTTTTATCTTATATTTTGGAAATGTACATCCACGGGGTTTTTTCCTTTAAATTTTTTTTGGGGGGGCCGAGAGAGGGGGGCCCTAAGCTATAGCTTGTTTAGCTTATACGTAAATCCGGCACTATCTATGCATCTGAATCATCTATTATATAAGTTGTTTTGTTAATTTGTCCATTAAATACAAAGACAATATTAGTCTGTACCACTGCCCTACGGTAAGGAAATCTTGATTCTTCCACCAGTGTCCTATTTTTAGTCCTATTGTTGCTAGCAAGAAAATAAGACAATAAGTGCTGCTACTAGTCTTGAGCACAACTGTTAAAATTTGTAGGTGTCAGCTTCAAACCCTCAGGGACCTGGCTTTTTCCTAGCTCTGGAACATGATTGATTCTTTTATTAAATCAGAGCCGAGTCATTAGTGCCCATTTCTGGTCCAAACAAAAATGACTACACAGCAAGATGCCAGCAAAAGATTGTATGCTGGAATAGAAGGGGCATTTAACCCAATTGTTCAACACTAAACATCTGGACTGAGACTAAATGTACTATTATTAGAACAGTGAGAAGCTTCTGGGACAACATGGCTATTCTTTGTTTCCTTTGAATGTGAGAGCAATGAAAGCTGAAGGACGTGTTCATAGTATCTTCTTTATTTACATGTACCCAAGCAGAGCCTCTTGGAAGCAAGCAGACTCTTAACCAATTTTCCCAAAGAGCAATTTGGACAGACCCTCAGCCCCAAAACTGCACACCCAGCTGAATCCAGCAAGCAACTCTCCAATCTCTGTCATATTTCAAAATGAAAAGTGCTGCTTCTCTTGCACACCTGCAAAGCACAGGTCTCAAAGCCCACCTCTGCCATTGAATTACCCATTCAGTCTTTTGTGAGGTTTCTAACCACTCATTCACTATGAACAAGCCAGCCAAAGCAACTTCTTAAACGATAATGGAAGAGAAAACATATTTGGTGAGAGCTTTTCTTAACCACAGTGCGTAACACATTCCCATGCTGTCTGCTCTTGGGAATTTTTTTAAGACTGAGGGATGCAATGGAGCAAAAAATGTTAATTTGGCATTTTCAACTCAGTGAATTCAAGTGGGCACTTTCCCAAATGTATTAAATGAAGGATTCTTTTTAGGAAACGCATTTTTACATATTTACCAAGCGCTTCGGAAATAATTTTTTTCAGCTTGTATTGTTGCATTTACATGAACTGACATTTCAAGTTGCCATCTCAGGATCCTCAAAGGGTTCCCATACCTTTACGAGTTATGCAGGAGGAAAATTAAAAGCCCCAAGATACAGTTACTCTTGACACTGGAACTTTGTGCTGGGAAAACCAAACCTGGAGAAATTCTTATACATTCAGAAGCATAGCTGTCCTTGCCATTTTCTTTGAAAACACACACACACAAAAACCGGTACTAAAATCATTATACATTTAAAAGTCACATAAATCTAAGACAATTGCCTGCCAATATTTACTAGAATTCTGCAATTTACCGATCCCTGTGAGCCCATATGCTATAGCAGTGCTTAGAGGACTGGATTAGGAGACCAGATTTTAATCCCTGCTCAGCCATGAAGTTCACTGAGTGACCTTGGGCCAGTTGCTGTCTCACAATCTGTCCTATTTCAGAGTTGTTAGATAGAAGAAAATTGGGACAACCAAGTACACTGCCCTGTTCTCATTGAGGAAAGACTGGCTAAAAATGTATCTTCTGTAAACATTTTAAATACGTAACTAAATTATAACACTGCACAGGACTACAAATCCTGCTCACCCCACATATTCAGGGTCCAGTTAATGTGGCCCTAGCCTCTTCAAAAGGTGCAGAAGTACATTTGCTGGAATGTTCTGCTGTGGTGACTTACTGTATCACTGTCTAATTTAATTTTTATTTGCATACATAATGTAAGTCGCCTCAAGAACTTTGATTAGAAGGCGGGATATAAATATTCCTAGGTTGCAGAATATTCCTGGGTTGCAGAAGAGAAGCCAGGACATTTGCTAGATGTTGAATGGGTTGTATTATGTATACTGAAAAGTGTGATCATTATAAGGGGGGGGGGCCTTCAATGACTCCCAAAAAGGCCACTTTCTCTCAAGTTAGTTCTCTCCAGTGCTTTTTTTCTGAGGGGACGCAGGGGCAGTGGCCAAGCAAGCCAATCAGGCGCCTGGGGCGGCGCGTGTGCCTCGCCCCCAGGGGCAGGGGCAGCCACAGCCACCCATGGGGCAGGGCAAGCAGGGGCAGGACGCTCCAGGGGATCTCCAAGGAATCTCCAAGGAGTCTGCTGCCTTCTCCCACTCAGCTAACCTACAGCTGAGGGGGAGGCAGTGGGTGGACCGTTTGGGGCAATGCAGAGCCTGTGGGCGCTCAAGCCACCGTGTCACTCCCAGGAGAGATGTGTGGCTCGGGTGTGCCGCAGGCCCCACGGTGAGTGCCACCCGCCATTTTGTCACACACCCCCTCAGTGGTGATACCTGGGGCGAACGGCCCCACCACACAGCCCTTCCTCCATCCCTGCGCAGGAGGATGCATACCCCTAAACATTTTGTGGATCTCTGTACTTTTGTCCATTTACTGTATTTATTTTTCCCAATTTGAACTATAAAATGGTGATTTTCATGAGTTAAAATGAGAGTACCCCTAAACATTATTGGGGGGGGGGAGCACTGGTTCTCTCTATTAGTTTGTCCTGCATTTATCCTGGTCCCCTTTAATCTTCCCTTATGTTTCTAATGCTTGCTTTCAAGCTTACAACTGCAGCCTTCTCATCTTCCACTGAATTAATGAAGAAAAAAAAATACTATAATGCTCCTACTATCTTTTGAAATTTAAGAGGAAGGAAAGCAAATGATGACAATAAAAGCTTTCAGTAGTATTGCTCCAATTTACTTGGCATCTACTGCTATAGCATAAACAGAAAGTAGAATTTCATGACCCATGTATAAGGGGAAAGCACATCACAAACAAATTTGCTTTGAATGATGCCAGGTAACGAGTTGCATTTGCTCCAAATTCCCCAGTGAAAAACTGAATTATCTATTTCTTTAGTGGATTTCAAATTTATAAAGGCAGTCCTAGAAAATGGCCTTTATCCGTTTAAAAGATTATAGGGGGTTGTGGCTTTAAAAAGCATCCCTGCCTGTCTTGCACAGGAGCGAGCAGATCAAATGAAAACTATGCCTTTGAGCATTCTGGCTAAAGAAAATCAGTGGCTAGGATTTCTGTACCTTGAGCATCCCAAATGACACAATTGGGACCATGAGGGAGATCAAAGGTTGCTTTCTGTAGCACTACCCTTTGCTCAAAAAGCATTTGTTGTTTTTTCTCCTTTCTGTAGAATCAATGGGTCCATGCTGCTTGACATCTCATGTATCTAGATTCACAAATACACATTTTAATTTACTTATAAGAAGATTCACAACTTGTTCCTTCCACCCTCGGACTGCCAGCAGAAATAGCAGCATAATAGACCTATATGGCTCTGGGGGCATGAGTCCCAAAACCAGGCCTCTAACAGCTGGTCTCTGCAACTCCAGGATCCCAAACATAATGTACTGTGTTCTACTGAGAGGCAAGGGTGCCTAGTAGTCTCTGTGATCTGGTAGCCTCTGAGACCCCTAAAAAAGTAGCCCATGAAACATGAGGATATGGTGCAAGAAGCAAGCATCCTCCTCCCTCCCCCCAATACATACAGAAATGGGAAATGAGGCCCACACAGCTTCATAAAAGCAGGGTTTATAGTTGGTGGCTCACGCAGTTCGTACAGCAGCCCCAAGGCTTACAAGGACTTAAATTACTTTAAAAATAAAAGCTGAAGATTTCTTTTAAGCTTTACATAAATTAATCCTCCTTTAGAAAAAAACATGCATTATTTAAAACAAAACTTCTAAAGCATAACAGGAGTTTAAATATAGTAGCTACATCTGCACCCACATAGAGTCAGCAACGATGTCTGTATCTCTTGGAGCAGCTTTCCTGCCATAATTACTTCTGCATTTTATTAATATTATTTTAATTGGCGTCTCTGATCACTTCAGGTTTGCAAATATCTTTGGAAGAGGGTACACAGTTTTGTGGTTTGTAAGGGCATGAACTTGTTCTTGTGAGACTAATTTTAGGTTTTAATAAAGAGGAATAGAACAGTCGGGAAATGAATGGGACAGCTAAGATGTCTAGTAATGGGATTTAAGTAATCTCTGTGTTTCTGTTTCCACAGCAAAGGAGCAACTGCAGGGACAGCATGTCCTGATGAACTTTTGCTAACCTGTACAGAACAATCCTATACATGCCTACTCAGAAGAAAGCCTGAATTGCTTAACTGTGAAGTTCACACAAGCTATGTACCCACTCCTTCAGAGGGAGTGTAACCCCATCAAGAACAAGAAACCTCCCCTCTGGTCTAGAGAATCTGGTCTAGAGAACCACCCACTAACCGTCCATTACCGAGGCAGAACAAGGGTTCAGCACATCCACTGCCTCACCTGCAGATGTAAAGGAGAAGTAGAGCTGTGTGTCATCAGTATATTGCTGACAACGTACTCCAAACTCCAAACCCCACTTAGAGGTTTCATGTAGAAATTACAAACAAGGAAAGAATAACATATAAAAATGCCAACATACTTCAAATCCTTTTCATAGAATCATAAAGTTCTGTTTAGAAACCTCCAAGAAAGGAGAGTGAAATATACTCGGAGTCCTGCAAGACAGTTGTTGCATTCTAGGATCCTACTTGCCTATTGTTCTAGGATCCAAGGTTAGTGCATAACAGAGAGTCCCACCTCTTGTGGGAGTCCGTTCAAGTGCTCAACAGCCCTTATAGCCAGAAAGTTTTTCCGAAGGTTTAGTCGGAATCTCCTTTCTTGCAACTTGCAGCCATTGGTTTGAGTCCTATCCTCCTCTGCACACGTTCCAGCTTGTCAACACCCTTCTTAAATTGTGGTGCCCAGAATTGGACACAGTATTCAAAGTGTGGTCTGACTAAGGCAGAAGATAGTGGTACTATTTCTTCCCTTGATCTGGACACAATACTTCTGCTGATGTGTAGGCTTTATATGCAATCCACATTTATTAGTAATAAAATGTGTCTTCTTCGAGGCCATTAACTCCATTATTCACAAAGTGCTTCAAAAATGGTTAACGCTAGTCATTAAGAGTGAAATAGCACCCAACGAAAGAGAAAAAGGAAAGATAAATAGAAAACTGTCAAAATTATCATAAATCACTGTTCTGTAGCTGTGATTTTACTTCCCAGGGACTGTCAATGAGTACCTTTCAAAAAAGAATAGAAAAAGCATATCAGATAAGAAGAAATGAATAGCCTTTTAAAGAGATCTACTGACCAGAAGAAATCTATGATTTCAGAAAAGCATTCAGAAAACCACTCCAAGGATATTTCATTGCCTCTTAAACCTGTTTTCTGGGAAGGCACTGCCACTAATAGGTTTTGGTGTTTGGGGGTATTAATTATGTCCTACAACACACAAACTCACAAAACAGATCTCATGATGCAGAGCCATTTAAAAGGGACAGGAGATTTGCACAGGTCTTCTGCATCTTTAACAGCTGTGGAGAAGAGGACATTTCATACCATGTGCAGCTTGCAGGGCAAGCTAGCCTCTTTCACACTTGAGCACCCTAATATAGGGGGCCCCAGGGCAGCAGTAATGATAAATGAGGGCAGAAATGAGGGCAGGAATGTTGCCTGAATGGGACAGCAACACTTTTAAAAGTGTTGGCACTGGCACTGGGAGAGGCTGGTCATCACTTCAGGCAGGAAAACATCTTGGGTGACAATGTTCAAGAGCATCTGTTGTTCAGATTATTATATTTAAAAAGCAAACCAATGCTCTAAAGATAGACTTCTGTAAGTTAAAAACGAATATGGGATGTTGGCAAACAATTCTAGATAGTGATTAAAAACAAGGGTTATCAGCAAGAGGGTTAAGAGTAGGCTTGCTAGAATCTTACATGTGTTTATTTACTTTAATGTACATAGAAACACACACGTCCAACTATTCAAGAGGTTTCAAGTGATCTCTGAGACTGCTCTGATTAATACTGTAATACTTGTCCTCTCTGCATTTTTCTGGAGAAGAGCCCTTCTGGGCAGCCGAGATGAAAACTGCTTGTTTTGATCTCATGATGTATATGTGCTGTTTCAGAGCAACAAGAGTTGCTGGGAACGATGGAACAACACTGGGAAGCTAGTGAGTGGATATTTAGCACAATAATAGAGAAGTGCAAGAAACTGATAGATGAAGTGGATGCAGAAAATAAAAACCATGCCAATCAGAGTTGGAAATTGATCCACTGAAGAGCTCTACCAATGGTATAGTTACATTTCCTACCTCAATTCACATATTTCCTCACGGAGGTTGCAATTGATGAAAACCCACCTGCTTCCAGTTTGCTGAAACTACATCCATCTCAGGTGTTGTTTCTCGTTGCTTCTCTTCAACACCATGTAATAGTGCATAGGGTTCAATTGCCATAAAGACTGCAAATAGTCAACAACTTGTAGCTACAAGACACATGTCTGACTCCATCTGTAATTATTTCTGTGGACACCATACACCCACCCAAATAAACTGATGATTAACAAGAGGAATCCTAATCATGGCAAGGGAACAGTGAGGTGGAGCAGAACAGTAGTTTGACCATGGCATCCCAAGTCCTGTTGATCATACTGGACTGGATGGAAAGTGTGGAGTGGAGACCAGTACATCTCTGCCTTGTCCTAACTTCCTCCAACAGGAGGATAATATTGCTTGGTAACTGATCTCAACAAACATCTATTTTTGTTGCAACGAAATGAAATATCCCAAAATATTTCCTTTTTTCTTTCCTCCCCACCCCCTCTTTTCCTTTCTGGCCGAATCACACATTTGTTTAAAAGTATGATTGTAGGCGTGCTGCTCCAACTTTTAAGCATTTTCCGGTTTAATTCAAATAGCAGCACAATCCTCCATACCATCCTCTTAATACAAAATGTATTCCATTGAGCTACACTGGACTTGTTTCTGAGCAAACATGCATAGGATTTGCACTGTAAGCCTTAACACTTTACTGAAAGTGGGCCTTCACAGTTTGTGATCTACTAAACCACTGATGGGGAATCTATGAATGCCACATAGGCAGTATGCTTTTAAAAATGGTTTAATACACATGTCATACATTAATTTATAGATAAATCAAATTAAACCCATGATTGATCAATATTTCTTTGTCAGGCAACAGTCCTATTAAAAAATCCTTCTTTTATAATATGATGCTGGGGACACTGATGATGGCCTCATTATTTTCTTTATTGTGTGTACTGTATACAGATGTAAGATTTAAATGGTTATTGCCTGTTTTTGAAAAGACTGTCTATTATTCATGAGAGTGTACATATTTAGGGTGTATGGGGTGTTGGGGGAAGGGTAGTACCTCTGGTGGGGGACACATTGTGCTCCTTCTGGGGTAGTTTATCCACCTTTGGTCCCCACCCTGCACTCAGCTCTCTCACCTGTGGCTCCTAAAAGCTGTCAGCGTATGATAGAGGCCAGCCACACCCCGAGAAACAGCTTTGACCAACTAGCTCAGGGGTCAGCAAACTTTTTCAGCAGGGGGCCGGTCCACTGTCCCTCAGACCTTGTGGGGGGCCGGACTATACTTTGAAGGGGGGGATTGAACAAATTCCTATGCCCCACAAATAACCCAGAGATGCATTTTAAATAAAAGGACACATTCTACTCATGTAAAAACACACTGATTCCTGAACCATCTGTGGGACAGATTTAGATGGCGATTGGGCCAGATCCGGTCCCTGGGCCTTAGTTTGCCTACCCATGAACTAGCTAAACCAGCTAAGGCAGCCAATGGGTCTCAAACCCTCAATGTGTTAGGGACTGTCTTTCAAGACAGGTGGATGACAACTGAGTGCATTTTTGTGCAATTTAAGATCCTGCCATCACAAGGCATGTGACATTTTTTGCCTAGGTTTTGGCCAAAGTAGAGGCTAATTGGACAGAGCTGGCAGACTTTATAGCATGGCTTTCTTTTTATATAATTTGATTTGCATGATTACAGGAGTCATTCGACACCAGCTTTTGGTGACAGATGGGTGATAATTGTACATGGTGTATGTACTGTATTTTTATTTATTTCATAGCCTATTGAATAAAATTAATTTATTCAGTAGGGTCAATGTTACAAAACAAATTTGTTAACTGGAGCTGTGGTTGAGATCTGGGTTAGATGTCTTAATATAAATTTCTTCATAATAAGAATACATGTTTTAAATCCTTTTTGGAAATATATTTAAAATGGAACAAAATGAATAGGAAGATTGAAATTAAGTTATTGATTTGGTTTAATTATCAAACATTACTGTATATGGATATGCTGTTTATATCTCTTTTGTGTGAATATGGACGATCATAGCAACATACAAATGACATACCACAAGCCTATTCTTGAATCTTCACTGTCACAATCAAATCGGAGAAAGATGAAAAACATGCCCATCAAATCCTATTTTCAAAGCCCACATATTCTCTAGTGATTTGGTTTTATAGTCTCAGACCATAAGAAGGCTGAATGACAGCTAAACCACTGTAACAAGTATAAATATGCTTTCCCTCACTTTATCATTTGTGATGTCTGTTCAACTTCTAAAAGAAACAAAAACACATACTATTTGGAGTTACCTAACACAGTTTCACATAATCAATTTTTGTTTGAATTCCATTGAATTTTAGAAGAAGAAAAATGCCCACAATGCTATTTTCAATTAATTTGGTGGGAAATTTCACAATAATTATGTAAGAATATGTACTATTTCTGTTCCAATTTCTTGATGTGTGGAATTTGGGGACCGGGATAGGGCAGGGACACAAAGTTGGCAGGGGGTGGTGAGATGTACAGTCCTGCTTCAAACCATGAGTGCCATAAGTAAGCATTGTGCAAATAAAGCTAGTGTCATAAGCCCTGTGGCTCCATTGGGCTCAAACATGGCTTGTGTTATGAGCTGACAGGACACCAAGGACAGAGAGGAGGATCCTGGTAAGGTATACACACTGGGACAAGCTGAAGATGGGGAGGGTCAGGTTGGGGACTTACGAGGTACTCACGGGACAGCAGAAGACACCGAGGGGGCAGCATGGACAGTTCAGGGGAGCCAGGGGGAGAAGACACATTACCAGAACCAGAAATACCCCCCCATCTCCACAGACACGGTGGGCTCAGGAACATCAGGAAATGCACTCCAGGAGACTGAGGCAGGCAAGGGAACACAGCTCAGCCACTAGTGGACCAGGTGAAGGTCATAGGACTCGTTAGGTCTGGGAGGAGATTGTGGATTAGGTTCAGGGCAGGTGAGGATCACATGCTTCATCAAGTTGAGAAGCACAGGTGCTCAGCTGGAGAAAACTCTGGTCTGTAAATTTATCGGGACAAGTTGTTTGTTGTTTACTGTAGTAATAATTGTGTTCTTAAAATTTATCTTCTGTACTATGAAAATAAATAAAACCATTATTTAAAAAAAAATTGGGTAAGATTAAAGGGAAGCAAAGCAGAAACTCTTTGTCTGCTCATCTTTCTCTGTTAATGGACCACAGCTTGGATGCTTCAAGAACACTGGTGGACTGTGACTTCAGGACTGACCCCAGGTGTCCCAACACAGGTTCCTCTGCAGCGGTAGTAACCTGACCTTACTAATTGACTTTGGACCTTGCTTGTTGCTTTGGACCTGGACTGGTACCTGGCTGGACTGTCTGACTACTCTCTAGTGTTGTCTTTGGGACTGTGTGCACTATCAGGACTTACCTCTGGGGTATTCAGGGGTTCAGAACAGCTTGGCAGACTCGGGTGGTTGAGGAGGATGAAGAGGAAGCAGGAGCAGAGGTGAATTGTGGGAACTGAGGATGGCTCCTTTCTGCCCCTCCTGTGGAGTAGAGAGCCTCTTTGGGGGCTGAGGAGGGCAACGACCAACCACTGGAGGTGGCTTAGTGGGAGGTGGCAGAGGCCGAACTGGAGTCAGGAAGGGAGGGTGCAGCCTAGTCACAGAGGACCAAGTGCCACTCCAGAGATGGAAACAGACTCACCCACCAGATAGAGTGTGAGCCTATGAACCCAACATTCCTACAAAGTAAGAGTCTGATGAGAATCTTGTCACCTTGTCTTTAAAAGCTTGGCGAGTGGGGCATGAAAACTCACTGGGGCATCTTTATTGATTCCACCCAGTTCTTAACTGCTTGCCCAACTCCTGGACTACTGCTGCTGCTAAGTTGTGCTGTTCCTTGCCTGAAGAAAGATCTCTGTATACCTCCCAAGTATGAGCTTCTGTTGTCATGTTTTGGGCAGGAGTCATGACAGCTAGACTAATACTGCAGGTAGAAAGCTAGTATTCCTTCCCTTCCCTTCCCTTGCAGTGCATACTGCAACTTGTGAAGAAGGTCCTGGGTATTCTGCCCTGCTTTTGCCAGCGAGTTGAGAGTAGGTTGGGCTGAGGAGTGCAAGATGGCCTCCTCCACTTCCTCACATCCTCAAAGTCCCTTCCCACCTGGGCTGCAAGAGTGAGGAGGAGGCTGGTGGCAGCAACTAGCACATAGTAACACCCAACAGGCAGCATTGCAGGGCTATTATGCAGCAGCAACAGAGGGTGTGTGAGAGGCTCTCCTGAGCACCCCTCTACTTTCCCCCCACAACTTCATGTTGCGGCATCATTACTTGAGTGTTTCTCTGCCGATGTATCATGTGACTGGCTGCTAGGGAAGAAAAACACATACTGTACACGGTCAAGAACACAGGGCTGGTTGCACAACACATTATGTAGGAGAAACTGGACTGGGGGCTGCCATTTGGGAATCTTCCTTATGTTCCTGTAACATAGTTCTGCTGTCAACCACAGCATCAGAGTCTATTCTGCTGGAGCAAAGGAGCTTCACACGGAGACTGCAATATGAAATCACTGGATTTTAACACATAAAGTGTTCCTGTGCCTCCACTTGTGGATTGAACTGTGACAATGGGTCATTATTTTTTAGCACATTATATGTGTTAATTGGTTTAGCAATGACAGGACAGCTGTGTCCTCAAATGCTGCTTTGGGAATGACCACTGTTAAGTATGTAATTATCACTGTCTGTTCTTTCTTGCGTTTTGTTTCCCTCTGGTGTCACTTTTCACAATCACCCCATCCAAGTTCATGAATCTGATGAAGTAGACTGTAATAAACTTGTCATAATATATTCTACAATAAATTAGCTAGTCTTTAAGTTGCCTCAAGACTCTAATGTTTTTGCTCTAAAAGACTAACATGGCTACATGGCTAACATGTTGTGGTCTAAAACATCAGAAGGCAATAGCTAAGAGAGGCTGAATTAGAGTATATAAATCCCAATGGATTTTGAATGCATGCTTCTACAGAGGCAGGTCTCTGCAAATATAAGATTTCTCAAGACAGGATCAAACTCAACAGGTTTCTGTTTTTCCAAGGTGTGACGAGCAGAATCATTTGACTCTTAATAACATTACAAACAAAATCAAATACACTTATTTTAAAGAATATTAACAACAAAATGGAAGAAGCTTTCTATTCTACTAAAAACTTGAGGCGCATTTCTATTCTTGTGCTTTCTGCTCTTTTGAGTCTCTATTTCTCAGTTTCTGGCAAATGTCTGCCCTGCTCCCATATCACAAAAGACAGTAGCAGAGGCTTTTACTTGTTACGTAATACAGTGGTACCTCGGGTTACATGTGCTTCAGGTTACATATGCTTCAGGTTACAGACTCCACTAACCCAGAAATAGTACCTCGGGTTAAGAACTTTGCTTCAGGATGAGAACAGAAATTGTGTAGCGGTGGCGCAGCAGCAGCAGGAGGCCCCATTAGCTAAAGTGGTGCTTCAGGTTAAGAACAATTTCAGGTTAAGAACAGACCTCCAGAACGAATTGAGTACTTAACCCGAGGTACCACTGTAGATCTTTATTCAGGCATGTACTGGTATAGGCTCAGCAGAAGCCACAGGGTCCAGAAGTCATCATTCCAAAGTATGCGAGTAAGACAAGAGATTCAGAGCTGAAGGAAACCAATGACAATGTCTCAACAGTTGTCACACCCTTCCCTTCCAGCTTTTAAAGCCGGGGTGTGGTGAGACTTAGTGACAAGACTATGCCCCGCCTCTCTGACTGCAGGAAGAATTCAACAAAGCACTCTCATTCTGCCAGCACAAGCATTTCAGCTTGCTAGATGAAACAGTCTCCCCTCTCCTTCCTCTGCGCACTGCTTTGGGGGTTCTCCCAAGCCCCCCCAAGCCAATTTGTAGCGGGAGAGGGAAAGCCTAGTTGCACTAGCAGAATTCTGCTAGCAGAACTTGTTAGTTGAATCTGTAAAGGCCGATCGGACCTCAGGGGCATAGGGAACCACTAGAAGTGGTCCCATCAAGCAATCTCAGTGATCAAGGTGGTACCATCTGGATGGGCTTGCCAAGAAAGGCAGCTTTGAAAACATGCTGTTAAATAAATATCCAACCACCAGTTCAGCCATATTTTGTACATGCAGTGGTGGCCAGTCCCCATTGGGACTGGCAGGGCATAAAGCAAGAAGCCCACAGTAAGTGGCACCAGAACCAATGATAGGCAGAGTCAAGCAAATTTAGTCCCCCCCCCTTTCCCACCTGCTCCCTGCTGAGTTCTAGAAATGTAACTGAGCCTAAGGAGGAGGAGGCTGACAGCCACCTTAGGTTGGTGGATCAGTGCCCCATTCATCCTAATGAGGACACCATATTGTCCTTCACAGCAGGCACCACATTGTCTCAGGCGGCCTGCTGGAGAAGAGAGTGCCCTGCCTACTTTGATCTACATGGAGAATTGCCTTCAGCCAGGTTATGTTTTTAACCGAAAATTGTCTGTTCTCTCTCATACTGAGAGGTTCTTTCTCATCACAAGCTGCCTGATCCTTCTAACGGGACCAAGGGCTGAATCTAGACACGTCAAATAAGCGATTCAGTTAAACATGTTATAAACTCATACAGGGAAATCTGGTAGGGAAAGACAGGACTCCATAGCACCATATAAAACATTTTTTAACCAATCTAGCTGGGCCCAAGGACTAAACTTTGGACCTTCTGCAGGCAAGGTTGAGTGGTATCTTGCATAGCTTATTCCTCCAAGGTACTCTTTCTCTTCTGAGGTCAGTATTGGTCACCGCCACCCCTGACATAGGACAAGAAAAGGGGTCCTATTTACTTTTCTGGAACCCATCTGACTAAATTCAACCATCTGCTTATTTTTCCTGTCCTTTTCCCTGAAGCCCTTTTAAAGTCTTGCTCTGCTTCTGAAGCTAGTAAAACATCATTCACAGCATGTTGTCAGTATGACCCATTTCTGCCACCACTCTCCAGTGGACAGTTTTCTTTTTGGGTAAGATCTGTTTGATGTTCTTTATATAGATTTGTTCCCCACATAGCCTTCCCCAAGAGGTAATTGTGTATCTGCAATGGGTAGAGAAGAACCACACCCCACTGGAGCTGAATCAGATAGGATTATTATCTTTTATTCGCATTAAGAATGAGGATTGTGCTTCTGGAGCTGGTCTTGAGACAATCCGAGTATATAAGTCCACACTACAGAACTTGAACCTAAGTCTCGATCTTGTTCACTCATCTTATAAAATCTCCACAAGGATTGTTTCATAACAATATACTAAAACCTTGCCCAAAGAGTTTGAAAATAAACGAATACCATTTGGCCATATGGAAAATCTAGAACACCTGTGAGAAGTTTGTTGAGAAACACTCTTATAAATGGTGTATTTTCTTTTTAAGGTTGACAGATTTCATCTTAGTCATCGTCATCTGTCTGATTAATTTGTTACTTGCAAATGAACTGGGCACAAAGTGCACTTGTATCCAAGTTATGCATTTGAAGGCACTTTTTTTGGAATAGAAGCATATGATTCAGCAAGTTCTTCTGAGAAGGTTTCACATAATTATATTTTTTTTCACAGAATCTAAACTTACAGACTTGCTCACTCTAAGTGATTACATAAGATCCTGATGGAACTTTACAACAATCTGGCCTAGCTCTTGCAGAGGCAGTGCTGCAGAGCTTTCACTCTCTGGTCTGATGCAGAATTCTGGGTGCATCTGCATCTCTCATTCAAGTCTTTTATTATCATTACTCGTCCTTCCTTAGGAGTGCAGAATTGAGCTACCTCCTCTTTAGCTTCACAGCAACTCTGTGGAGTAGCTTATTCTGGGGGGAAAGTGACTGGCCCACTGTGCCTTGAACCCAGAGTTCACCAGTCGATGTCCAATACTAAACCACACTGCCTCTCTCTCTTTGTTGTTTTGCATTGTTTAGGCTGCAAAATGGTGGTGAGATATGTGTCTAATTAAACACATAGTCTACCTGTGCACAGACTATTAATAAATCACCCACAATTTCCTGTTGATATTCCTCGGAGACATTTGCATTTAGTTATTTTCCTTCTTAATGGGGGAGCCTGGATAGCTCAGTTGGTTAAGAATGTGGTGCTGATAATGCCAAGGTTGCAAGCTTGATCCCTGTATGGGACAGCTGCATAGTTCTACATTGCAGGGGTTGGACTAGGGACTCAGCTATATTAGTAAATAAAGAGTGATTTGAATGCGTTATAAACATGCAACACCAGGTGGCGCCACATAGCAGGAAATTTTAAAACATGATTTTCCATAGGGATTTTTTTCTTTTGTTATAACAATCTAATTTCTGACTTATTCATAGCATTTCCCTCCCTGTGTTTAGATCCACCCTAGATGATCCTCAGGGTCCCTTCCAACTCTATGATTCTATGATTCTATTTATACATCCTAGACCCTGAATATATTTTGTCACAGCCATCCAGTTGCAGGTGCCTTTTGGCAAGTTGTTTGGAAGTGTTGTGCTATTCTGTTATTTAAGTGTCTCTGTGTCGTCTTTTAAATTTTTAAACAAATGTTTTGATGCACATTAATTTGGAGGGCTATGTTTGTTTCTGTGTCCCTCCGCTTTTTGGTCCATGTGTGTCTTTCTGCAGTGCTATTTCTCATGGACACAGATCTGTAGCAGTCATATGAACTACACGAGGAAATATTTAATAGGGTTTTTTGTGGCTCTGTGATATCTCCATACAGATTGGCCAGAGGGTGTTGCCAGAGGTTTAAAAGTTTATGCTTTAAAAATATTATTTCCCTGAACAAAGCTGTCTCTACAGGTGACCAACATTCTAGCTCTCTTACTTGGCCTTGAGGATACTGTCCAAGAGTCTAAAAGTTGACATTAGAGCTGAGGGATACAATTCCCAAAGGAGCTATGTTGGGTGAGCGATTATCTCAGTATTCAGGAAGCCCTAATGAGGACACACATACAGTTGGGAGTCTTTTCATATAGGTAAACTGCACTTGCTACTGCCTTTGCTATTACTGGCTGCCAGAATATTTATATATACACATACCCACAAAAGTGCTTGCACTTAGGGTGTGTGTGTGTGTGTGTGTGTGTGTGTGTGTGTATTCTTGGGAGGAAAATGCATTTACTTACCTTATATAAAACCTTACATTATGTAAAATATAAAACTTCCTGCGAAACGTACATGAGAAATGAGCTTATCTGATATTCAGTTGCAAACCCTGGTGTGTGTCCCAGGTTTTTTCCTTTTCTCTCCCTAAAAGTGTAGTACTGAATGCAGTTTTGCTACCGTCAAATCCATCTTCTTCCTTGCTATGAGATGGTTTAACACAGCCAATAAGCCACGCCTGGCCATGTAGAGATCACTGGAACTGAACAGATTAATGAGCTCTTGAGATGCCATATTATAGCAAGATAATGATTTAGCTGAAGTTTTTGGATCACACCTTGGAGAACTAAAGTATATTTAAGGCCTACTGCTGTGCTCCCAAAACTGTGGCATGTGAGGCGATGCAGAATAGTCTGCCGTATTTGGCAGCACTAATGATGATGGCTGCAAAGCTGCGGCCACTACAAACCTGCTGGGTTTTTATGAATCTGGCCTCTGGTACTGGCCTGGCTGGGGATGACTGAAGTCAGAAAGAGACTCATAGAATCATAGAATCATAGAATCATAGAGTTGGAAGAGACCACAAGGGCCATCGAGTCCAACCCCCTGCCAAGCAGGAAACACCATCAGAGCACTCCTGACATATGGTTGTCAAGCCTCTGCTTAAAGACCTCCAAAGAAGGAGACTCCACCACACTCCTTGGCAGCAAATTCCACTGTCGAACAGCTCTTACTGTCAGGAAGTTCTTCCTAATGTTTAGGTGGAATCTTCTTTCTTGTAGTTTGGATCCATTGCTCCGTGTCCGCTTCTCTGGAGCAGCAGAAAACAACCTTTCTCCCTCCTCTATGTGACATCCTTTTATATATTTGAACATGGCTATCATATCACCCCTTAACCTCCTCTTCTCCAGGCTAAACATGCCCAGCTCCCTTAGCCGTTCCTCATAAGGCATCGTTTCCAGGCCTTTGAACATTTTGGTTGCCCTCCTCTGGACACGTTCCAGTTTGTCAATGTCCTTCTTGAACTGTGGTGCCCAGAACTGGACACAGTACTCCAGGTGAGGTCTGACCAGAGCAGAATACAGTGGCACTATTACTTCCCTTGATCTAGATGCTATACTCCTATTGATGCAGCCCAGAATTGCATTGGCTTTTTAGCTGCCGCGTCACACTGTTGGCTCATGTCAAGTTTGTGGTCAACCAAGACTCCTAGATCCTTTTCACATGTACTGCTCTCAAGCCAGGTGTCACCCATCTTGTATTTGTGCCTCTCATTTTTTTGCCCAAGTGCAATACTTTACATTTCTCCCTGTTAAAATTCATCTTGTTTGTTTTGGCCCAGTTCTCCAATCTGTCAAGGTCGTTTTGAAGTGTGATCCTGTCCTCTGGGGTGTTAGCCACCCCTCCCAATTTGGTGTCATCTGCAAATTTGATCAGGATGCCCTTGAGTCCATCATCCAAGTCGTTGATAAAGATGTTGAATAAGACCGGGCCCAAGACAGAACCCTGTGGCACCCCACTAGTCACTCTTCTCCAGGATGAAGAGGAACCATTGATGAGCACCCTTTGGGTTCGGTCAGTCAGCCAGTTACAAATCCACTGAGTGGTAGCATAGTCAAGACCACATTTTACCAGCTTCTTTACAAGAATATCATGAGGCACCTTGTCAAATGCCTTGCTGAAATCAAGGTAGGCTACATCCACTGCGTTCCCTTCATCTACCAGGCTTGTAATTCTGTCAAAAAATTACTCGGGAAAGACACATATGGCTTGAAGAAGCTAAAGAGCCAAGAAATTTGGCAACAATGTAAGAAAACATTTAGGGAGGAAGAAAAACAGATAGCCACTGGTATATGTGGTTTTAACGCATAAGAACACAAAAAAGCTATTTTGGATCAGACTAAACATCCACTTAGTCCATCCTGTTTCCCTCAACAGGACCTGAGCCTAAAATGGAGGGTCTGACAGCATTAGCACCCTAAGGGCCTTGCTTCCCTCATAGCCACAGCCTTGGATTCAAACAGAAATCGAACATCACTCTAACTCTCTCTCCAGCTTGCTGCTTTTTCCTCTAACTCACATCACTGCAAAACTCTCTGCCCTCAACTCTGGCTTTGTCTTTCTAACTACCTGCCAGTTGAGAGAGGGGCCTCACCCATTTCTTTGTTCCCTTAATGGCCCATTACCCACAAGATTCCCACATCAGGAAACTAGTGTGGCTCTCCGCATACAGTCTACTCCAGGGGTCAGCAAACTTTTCCAGCAAGGGGCTGGTCCACTGTCCCTCAGATCTTGGGGGGGGCAGACTATATTTTTTTTGGGTTGGGTGGGAAATGAACGAATTCCTATGCCCCACAAATAACCCAAAGATGCATTTTAAATAAAAGGGAACATTCTACTCATGTAAAAACACGCTGATTCCCGGACCGTCCGCGGGCCAGATTGAGAAGGCGATTGGGCCAGATCCGGCCCCCGGGCCTTAGTTTGCCTACCCATGGTCTACTCGTTTTCCCCAAACTCATAACAATATAATTTCTGAGGTGAGGAAACCAGAAAAGTATGCAGCATTCCAAATGTGTCCCTACTATAGATTTGCATTATGATATTGTCAATTTTATTCTCAGTCCCTTTCCTAATGATCCCTAGCATGGAATTTACCTTCATCACAACAGCTGCTGCATACTGAGTTGATATTTGCATGCTTCTCTTGCATCTTACTCTTATTATATGTACTGATCATTTTTATTTGGAAACAAAAGCGACAGAGAGGGACCCTTGAGACATCTATGTGATATTACTGAATCTCTTGAGCCTGAAACAACACTCTCTCCCCTCCAATCCCCAAAGAAAACAAATTAGCAAAAGAAAGTATCAAACAGCACACCCCTACACAAATCTACATACTCAAAAGTCCCATTGTACTCATTGGGGCTTACACTCAGTTATAACTGTGTGTAAGTTTGCAGGACAGATCGTGAAGTTGAGGCTCCAATACTTTGGCCACCTCATGAGAAGAGAAGACTCCCTGGAAAAGACCCTGATGCTGGGAAAGATGGAGGGCACAAGGAGAAGGGGACGACAGAGGACGAGATGGTTGGACAGTGTTCTCGAAGCTACAAACATGAGTCTGACCAAACTGCGGGAGGTAGTGGAAGATAGGAGTGCCTGGCGTGCTCTGGTCCATGGGGTCACGAAGAGTCGGACAAGACTAAACGACTAAACAACAACAAACAAACAAAGTTTGCAGCCTAAAGGGTGGAAGAGTACATATTAACATTAGGAAAAATCAAAGGCTCCAATAATGAAGAAAGCAAGGAAGAACACCAGCTAGTATGTGAGACGTTGACATTTGTCAAAAAAGATTGCAGGAAGGTCGGTTGGGTACAAATGTCCACATCGAGATAACAAGAAACAGAACACCATTTAGAGACAGTCAGTATTGGAAGATGATATCAGATACAGAGTGCAGTCTAGCTCTTCAGCATTGGGTAGGGACTGATGCCCAGGGCTGGAGGGGAGGGTGATAGGCTATTCTGCTTCCCAGGGGTGCTGCCAGATAGAACAGATGTTTCTCATGCACATAACCTTTTTCCAGTATCCGCAATACATTACTTGCATAAAAAGGCCAAGCCTGCATGAGTTCTGGATTTAACCTTTCTGGGGGAAATCTGTTAAGTTTAAACAAACATACAAACAAACAAACAAACAAACAAACAACTGTTGCCAACAACCCATTTACAATATTAAGCCTTCATTTCAAAGCACCCCAAGTTACACCCAGCAGATGAGCAGAGCTATTTCAAATTCTACTCAAATTCAAATGAGATTGCAGAGAAGACGGATGGTGTTATTTTTTTGCATCCAGACTTTACAGTGGAAGATGTAGGGCTGTGCCTGAACTAACTTTCTCAGGAAGGGAGACAGAGGAACTGGGGAAATATTGGTGACTAGAAGCTTTATTAACAAATTAAAAACTGACTCTTTGCCAGGTCTAGATGGTATACACCTAAGATTTCTTAAAGAACTAAAATGTGAAATTGCTTATCTCCTAACAAATATATATATAACTTGTCTCCAAGATCAGCCTCTATACTTGAAGGCTGGAGGAAACTGGCAATAGAACACCAATTTGTTTTAAAATAGAAAAAGACATCTAGAAGAGATCCAGGAAATTACAGGCTGGTTAGCATAAAGTCTGTTTCAGGAAATCTGATGGAAAGCATTATTATACAGTATATAGAATTACCAAGCCATAGAAGAACCAGTATGGCTTCTGCAAGGTACTTGCTAACCTTTTAGAGTTCTTTTGAGAATGTCAACAACCATATAGATAGAGGTGAGGCAGTTGGCATTGTGTACTTGAATTTTCAAAAAGCTTTTGGTAAATTACCTCACCATAGACTCCAGAGTAAGCTTAGCAGTCATGGAATAACAGAAGAGGTCCTCTTATTGATCAGTAACTAGTTACGGAACCAGAAGAGAGTAACTAGGTAGTTCTCCCTATGGATGGATGCAGAAAGTTGAGACGTTGAGATATGTCCTTTTAAACTTGTTCATTAACGATCTAGAGTTAGGGGTGAGCAGTGAGGTAGCCAGGTTTGCCGATAACACCAAATGGTTCATTAAGGATATAATAAAAAGTGATTGCAAGAATCTCTGCAAAGTGGGCAAATGGGCAGTAAAATGGCAAGTGTGTAATTCAAATGTAAGCAAGCGTAAAGTGATGCACGCTATTGCTCCTTCAATATGTTGTGAGCCACTTTGGCCACAGTTTTGAGGGTAAACGGCATACAAATTCAAATAACCAGTAAGTTCAGTGGAGTTTACTCCCAAATATTTTTAGCAGGGGTGGAGGACCCTTTTGAGCACAAGAGCCACATTCTATCATGGACAACCTTTGTTGGCCACATGCAAGTGGTGTATGGCGCCAGACGCAAAAGTGAGTCCTGCAATGGTTGTTACTCTAACCTTTGTACAGTAACTTACATTTCAGCTATAACAGGCTCCTCTCCAATCTCCATCTGGGTAAGTAAGAGGCATTACCACAGTTCAAGAACTCTTGAGAAGGGCACAGAGAAGAGGTGTGGCCTGTGCATTGGTGTGACCTGCAGAGCGTCTTAAGAGAGCTCCAGAGGGCCTGAGAGATTCTCTACCCCTGGAGTATAAAACTGAAGCCCATTTCCAGGGAAGGACCTGGCAGCCCTTAAGTGTCATGGAAATGAGTTGGCAAAGAAAGATTCTAGAAATCATCAAATGGCACTGTTCATTTTCATTACTGTGAAGTCATCTGGATTTGGCTCAAAAAGGAGGCAGTAATAGAAAGAAGCTTGGATGAACACTGGTTTGGTCACATTACAAACATAGATAAGTCAGAGAGCCTGACTGTTAGGCAAGAGAGGATGAAAAAGGCCAAATGAATATGGACTGAGGTAGAGGGATTGATCTAGAGAGCAAAGCTAGTCAGGACTTGGCAAGTACCCTGTTTACGTTAAAAGGACAGATGGTCATAATGATGATTTCATTCTTTTCACAAATGTATTTTCTAATGCTTCAGGATAATAGCCAAGCTGTCTATGCATTTGTGGTTATGAGACCAAGATTTTAAAGAAAGGTCAATTTTCCTTTTAAGGGGGTATTTTTACTTTCCTGAGGGTGTCTCCTGTTAGTTGTCGCTGTAAAAGGGGCATTGCATTGCTAGAATTATCCAGTCTAGAATGTCAATTGTTATGTTGATCTAGCTAGACATATTCTGCATGCTTCAAGTTGCCATATATTTCCCAGCTGTTGTTCCTGATATTTTTGGATTTGGTCTACAGAGAGCTTCAGCATTGTCAGACAAGCCCTTCACTCTGAGTGTCCCCTGCAAACAATAACAGATCACACTATGTGATCAGAAGATTAACTTGCTATAGTGCCAACTCCTTAGAATGCAGATGCACCCTCCATCCGAGCAGTGTGCATGTTGATCAGAAAGGGGGGGAAAGGAACGCCAGTGAATTTTATTGACAAAAACAGAACTACTGCTATATAAATTCTAAAGGTCAAGATGTAGCATCTGAAAAGCAGGAATTGAATTTGCTTCTGTATGACAACCCTTTCTGTCAGATTTTGTTCTGAGAAAGCTACATGAATCCCCATGATGGTTGATCAAAGTATATATGTGTGTGTGTGTGTGTGTGTGTACGTGTACTGTACACACACATACAGACACACGCACAAATATATATATAGTATGTCCCACAAAATACAGAAGGTTTTGGACTTAAATAAAGGGAAGTTCCACTGCAACTTTTTGTATATGATATTAATTTCCCAATTATCAGGACAAGCACTTTGGCCTCAGTCATTTATTCAGTTTATGGTCTTAACTGGGGCTCTGTAGTACATACTCCCTGGTCTTTTCACTGCATGCAAAGTTACTGTCATCTGATTATCACTAGTCAGGGTATCAAGGGCCTTATTCCCAGCTGAAGGAAACTGACAGTCTGAGAGAGGCAGGAGGAGCAAGGGAGATGTTTGCATATGCCTGTACAATATGTTGGCTTGGTATGAGAGTTGTAGCAGGACCAAGTATGGCATAGAAAAGAGAAACTAGCAGACATTCAGAACGCACCTTAGCTTAACACCATAACTGCTCCTTGGGAGCCATCAGGGCTGTCAAATCAGAGGTGACTGTCAAATATGGAGGTGATTTTGGGTCTGCACGCGGTAGGTCGTCTTGTCCTCTTGCCCAACAGAAACGGGCGTATTCCTAAGTTTTCCCTTAACTTGGCCAAATAGCCCTTTGGGCGTTTAAGGGGGGGCAGTAATCGACGTGGGGGCAACATGTTAAACCACTCTTCCTTGCGCGGCCCCGATCCAACTACACCCTGCCCTGCCTCCGTGGCAGCTTTTGAAACACACTTGCGACGCATTTATATAAAGGCCAAACGTACATGCTGAACCAAACATAGTACTGTACCAGAACCTCAGCCAATTCCACGTGGGCGATCATTTCTGGCCGCCGTTTGAGAACCCATCGCCCTTGTTTCTTCGCCGGCTCCTTCCTCTCTCCACCTTGTCCGTGCGCGCTCACACGCAAACACACACACACACACACACAGAGAGAGAGAGAGAGAGAGAGAAGCGCCTTTGGAGCAAAGAAAACTCAGCTCTGGCGTCTGTGTGTGTGTTTGCGAGAGAGGAAACACTGAATTTCTTCAACTGTTTCGCCCTTAAACTTGGTGGGGGGTTGGGGGAAGGGGGATCCGCTTTAGGAAAGACTTCCTGACCCTCGCAGGGCGCACCCCAGTCGGTTATCTCGGACGACAAGCTTCCCCTGGAGATTGTTATTATTGATAGTACTGGCAATTTGTTCAGGGGACACCACGTGTGCGGTGGCGCGGCGCCTCGGAGGTGGGCTTGCACACAGCCGGGCGACATCGTGCGATCCGGAGTCACCCCCCTCCCGCTCCCCGACGCCTTTCCAGCAGTAGCAGCGGCAGCCACCCACTCCCGCCACCCAGCACCACCCAGCTTGCCTGGCGGCGCGCGGGCTGGGCTGCGAGGAGAGGGGAGGTGCTGGCTCAGGCTCCGTCTCTTCTCCCTCCTCTTCCTCCTCTCCGATCCCCTTTCCCTGCGGGAGCGAGCGCTTTGCAAGGACAACGAAGGCTCTCGAGTGCGGGGCGGACGAGGCGAAAACACCCGCCCCCTTCCCTGCCCCGCGGTAAAGCCGGGCAGAAGCGCCCAGCAGCCAGCCAGCCATCGCCCTTTCTCCGCCAGGAGGCATGAGCACCTGCGACGCCAAGGAGTATCTGGCCAAGAGGGAGATCCCGCAGCTTTTCGAGGTAAAAACCCTCCTCGCCAGCCGGTGGACCCCGGCAGCCGCTCACCTCTTGCCTCTGGACCCTGGGCGGAGCAAGTTCCCCCGAAGTCTAGGGGAGAGTCACAGGATGGAGAGGGGGGGGGCGAGGCTGTGGGATCTAGGGCAAGGTGGGAGCACACGGAGCAAGGGCAGCTGCCCGGCATATTGAAGGGGCAAGGCTTGTTTCGAAGGGAGGAATGTCACTTACTCCAGACTTCGCCTCCGACCTCTTTCACCTTCTTCCTGCACAGTTTTCCAAGATCTAAAACGATGGTTGCGGTCTTTTGCCCCTTCCATAGTACCGGCTGGGCATTCGTGATTTGGGCGACATACGAGACCCTACAGGCAGAGGGGGGAATTGGGGTAGTTAGTACGGCAGGGGAAAAGGCATCCTCCTACCCCTGTCTGCTTGTTTTGGGTACCCAAAGAGATGCCTTCGCTTACAGAACAGATTGTGCATCTTCTCAGCCCCCTGCCTGCTTCCCTTTGCCTTGCTCACCTAGCCTGATTCTGCGGAGCAGAGAGGAGTTAACGTTGTCCTCCCACTCTACTTTTAATGGATCTGGAATCTTTCTTGACTCCGGTTGCCTTGGCTCCTCTAGCTGCTTGTAAGGCAGCATTGATCCGACCTTGTGAGATGTGAATATGTGTGGAATTGGTGATCAGAAAAGCAGGAGGCAGGAATGTGTCATCTCCCATGGCATTCTCTGAAAGCTCTACATATCTTGACTCCAGGGTGAATGGATGGAGCAGTCAGTGGAGATGCTGCTGCAGTTTATTTTCTCCTAGGTTGCATGCCTCATGCAGCCATGAATGTTGCTTCCTGTGATCAAAACTGTGATATTTAAAAGGGAACATGATTGGGTAGCTAAAGTGAAAAGACAAAGTCAGTTGCTTGTGCTACTTGAGACCTAAAGGGATTTGGTCTCAAGCATGTTCATCTGAACATTTTGGCACACTTAGGGTCCCAGTCTCCATTCCAAAGAGTATTTTCACTGTCATTGCGTCAAATCTGTTTAATGAGAATTTTTAACCATAACATAAATTCTCCCTTCCCTCTGCTGGTGTTTACATTTGTCTCATGGAATTCTTACTTTAGGGGATTCTCTAAGAAATATTTCTTTCTTTTCAGCAAATGACTGAAAATACCTAAGATGAATGCTGCATTTGTGAGTTATTTAAATGTTTAAATGGGTTAATTATAATTAACCCACTTGTAGTATCTGAACATAACAGTAAATCACAAATGCTACATGCAGAGAAGTTTAGAAAACTGTAAGATGTTTTTATACAAACACTATTTTTGTGTATTAAGTTATAGATTATAAATAGTAAAATTATTGATAGAATAGTTTTGGGGAGTGCAGTCCTATACATGTCTACTCAGAAAGTAGCTCCATTGAATTCAATGGAAAGTGTGTATAACAGTCAAGCTAACACCCTAATCGTTTCAAGGTGCCTATGGTATTGCTATGCTATTGTTATGTTATTAATCATTATACAACATATCTAATATCTAAATATCTTACAATCTATATTCTTGCTTGTTGTCACAAAAAAATCAGTATGATAGGTCACTCTTACTCCCATTTAAGCGTTATAAACATGAGGCAGTGGGATTACATGGGAGCTTTTGATGTTTGATACAGAAGGAATAAATTTGTGCCAGGACAACATAGTTTCTGCTTCAATTAAAAAGGTGATTCTACTATGTACATTAATTCATGCAAATGAAGGACATTTTGATATATTTGCTTATTTTGCAAATATCCACTCATTATTTGTTCTCTCTTCTGGTCATAGAGAAGAGTGAGAAACTAAGTAAAGCTCTACAGACTTGCCCAATAGTTATCTTGCTCGATTGTCTTACTATTCACCTATGCTTCTGATGTTTCACTACACTTCCCCCACACTTTCTCTACTGTTTTCAAAGCTGTAAGACACAGGTGTGGAACCCAAGATCTGATCTCATACAGGTAGGAGTGGAGGGAGCCTTAGGTGGGAGAGAATGGAAGTAGGGATGGGAAATGGGAAAGCAGAAATAAATAGAAGGATGGAAGGAGGAGGGAGGTATTAGCGTAGACCTTTGGCAAGAATGGTATGTTCTTCCTTTGGCATCCTGTTGTGCTGGGAGGAAGAAGGGAGGGACGGGGAGACTATTCCCCTCCACACACTGCTGTAAGGGCTGGAAACTTTTAAAAACCAATACAAACAGGGACATTGACAGGATGTTGACTTTTACACTGAACAGCAGAATGTGCACAGGTTTGTTCATAATAAAGGTAAAGGTACCCCTGCCTGTACGGGCCAGTCTTGCCAGACTCTAGGGTTGTGCGCTCATCTCACTCTATAGGCCGAGAGCCAGCGCTGTCCGCAGACACTTCCGGGTCACGTGGCCAGCGTGACAAGCTGCATCTGGCGAGCCAGCGCAGCACACGGAACGCCATTTACCTTCCCGCTGGTAAGCGGTCCCTATTTATCTACTTGCACCCACCCGGAGGTGCTTTCGAACTGCTAGGTTGGCAGGCGCTGGGACCAAACGACGGGAGCGCACCCCGCCGCGGGGATTCGAACCGCCGACCATGTGATCAGCAAGTCCTAGGCGCTGAGGTTTTACCCACAGCGCCACCCGCGTCCCCTTTGTTCATAATAGTTAGCATGAATTGTTATACAGATTTGACATAATAATTTGACAAGTTGCATTGTAGCAATCAAACTGTTTTGGCTGGGATGTGTGTGTGTTCTTTCCCCTCCATCCCTGTGTCTATCTTTTATTTTCTGCAACATACCAACTTCTTATATACTTTAATGCAAGCTGGTTCCATAGTGGAGGAGGATGTTAATCAATGACGCAAGTTAAAACTTTTTTAAAAATTCAGTTTTTAAAATTCTCTTTGATTAGCATCATGCCCCCACATTTTGAATTTGTTGCCCAGGATATAATATCTCTCTCTGCTGGCAGCTGTCATCTGGAGATTTGAAGCAACTCTCATCTCGCTGTACCATCTGAATTGAAAAAGACAGTCTAAGTGGTGAATTGACGTCTGCAGACACTCATGGTCTGGATGTGGGTCAATGAACTAAAACTGAATCCAAACATGAATTTTGTTTGGGGTGGGGGGCGGCCTCAAGACCAGGAATTGGTAGGACAGGCTGTTCTAGACAGGCATTCCCCTTGGAGGAACGGATGTATAGCATGGGGGTACTTGTGGGGTCATCATTGTTACCTGAAGCCCAGGTGACCTCAGTGGCTAGAAGTGCTTATACTCAATGTCAACAAGTGTGCTGCAGTTATCTATACACAGGTAACTTGTAGGTTAGACTATTGTAATGTGTTTTATGCAGGGCTGCCCTTGAAAATGGTCCCAAAGTTACAAGTGATGCAAAACACAGCAGCTAACATATTATTGGGTGCCCTAGAGCCCTTGCAAGTACCATCAACCTGGAAATAATTGTACTGATTACCTGTTTGTCTTCTGGGGAGACAGAAGGCAGGACAGCAAAAGGAAAAGTAGGCTCCCTGGGGAGCTAGAAGGGAATATGAGAGAAAGGGGGGCAACTATACAGATTATTATTATTATTAGATGGCTTTCATACAAAATGTGTCTCAAAGGAACCAGCAAATTAAGCTACAAATAATATCAAAGGCATTAAAACCACATTTTAAAAGTCATAAATGAGAGAATATCTTAAAAAAGTAATGCATCCATGTTATTTTTTTATTTTTTTATTTAAAGGCTTTTATAAGCCACTTAATATTTTAAAAATCTCTAAGCAGGGACAAATCCTACCCACCCCACTACAAGATTAAGCATTACAGATAGGCCAATGCGCTCCAAATTAACAACCAAATGCCTGGATAAACATAAATGTTTCAGCCTGGTGTCTAAAACAGACAGTGATAGTACCAGGTGTGCTTCCCTGGGGAATGCATTCCCCAAATAGGGAGCCACCACTGAAAAGGCCTGTTCTCATGTTGCCACCCTTCAGTTACCAGCATGTAGACAACAGAGGTTAGGCTAAGCCTGTCTAGATAGGCTTGCAGCTGAATCACTAGCTAAAACTGATGGAAGACAATTTGCACCATCTTGGCTACTTGTGCCCAGAATGACAGTAGTGGATGCAGAAGTAGTCCCAGGCTTTGCACCTGCTCCTGTAGTTGGAGAGCACACCTACCACCACACCTGCAAATGTAAAGGAGAAATAGAGCTGCATGTCATCAGTATATTGCTGACAGTACATCCCAGATCTCCATATGACCCCACTCCGTGACTGATGTGGTCAATGGGAGACCCCCGCGGGACCTCACATTGGAGCCAAACAACAACATCCCCCATTTTTATCAGTCATGAGAAGCAAGGTGCACAACTCATTGTCCAAACCAAGCACCTGGTCTAGCTGTACTAACTGAAACTCATCCAACACAACAGGGCTAAGGAATGCTTTGGATCCCTTTTAGATTCATCTGCTTAAAACCAGAGTTGAGGTCCCGGCAGATGCAAACGATTTTATCCTCAAAATGCTTTGCAAACAAGTCACAGCAGGCCACTGTGTATTCTGCACCTCCTTTGGACCAGAATGTTCTGATGGCAGACCATCCTAATAGGCCCTCACCTTTGTGGTGGGGGAAAGCTGCTGAAAGCCGAAATCTCAGCTGGAGTAGATCCAACCCAACCATTAAAAAGGACTGATGTTGCAGCCCCACCCACAGTGAGACCCACTTTGCCAGAATTCAAATTGCTGGCTGGCGGGATCTCCTGTCACACCATGCAGCCGGCCAGAGATTTCCCAACTGCTGGCTCCCAGCCAGATGTTGCTCCTGGGGTGCTTGGGCCCCAGCACTGCTGGCCCACAACCACTGCCCACCCCCATACCATGGGAGTGGCCATTACTATCCCAGATTACGCACTTTCTGCCCATTACAGACAACCAGATTTAGAGCGTGGCCTACTACATGCCTTGGGCTGACCTTTATTTGTTATACACAAGATACACCATAGTTATATCTTATGCAGTGTTTATGGGACAGATATATTCTTTGTACATATGAGAAGACGTTTTGAACTTTAAAGTGTAAACTGTTCTTTTGAACTATTCCGAAGAGGCTTATTGTGATACCGCCCCTTTAAGACTGGTTTATGGGAATGGGTTAGAACCTCAGAAATAATGAGCTTACATACAGCTGTCTTCCGATAAGGCTTCAAGGCCGGTGTCACAAGGTAATTGGGTGGTCTAAGTTCCCATAAACCTGGATTGGTGGGAGCTCTTGGCAGCCAGCCAAACCGAGGTCTGCATCTATTTGGGCTTTTGACAGCATCTTGTTCTGTTGCTCAGCCTAGTGAGATTTAAGTGTAAGTGTTTGTTAATTAGTTGGATAAGTTAGTGTTTGTTGTCTTCTTACCTTCTGAGCTATTTTTATCTGTGTAATTATTTACCTTTATCAGTGTAATTATTTCTACAAGAGAGGTTTTCTCATAGGGTTTTGTTTTAGTAAAGTTGGTATATGATTTTATGAAATTTGGTCTGGTCTGAGTTCCTGAACACTTTAATTTTGACCATGCTTTTCGGACCAAGGCTGCTACAGTGCTATGAGTAAACCTGCCAGCTTCAGTTTTGAGGCTACAGCAGTTTATCTCTACTTCACAAAACTGTAACAGTACAGCAGTTATGTAAAGTGGTTGTTTAACAGATGTTGCCACATCATAAAAATGCATTAGGTTCTTCAGGTCACATATTTCTGGAGTTGCACATTTTTCTCTGTGTGGAATTACAGAGCACACGCATTTACCATGGAGTCTTTGTTTACTATGACAAATAGTGTGATTTACAAGGAGTTTACACATCTGTTCAATTGGACAAATTGGCCTTATGTGAAAAGATGTCAGTAATACGCAACAGTTTAATGATTTTACATCATGGTGACTTGAGCAAAATAAATCTGGGCTTACTTATCACTTCTCACTGTTTACTGTACACATCGGGGATGTTTATATTTCAAGAACACCCTGTAGTTGTGATTTTAAACATACTTAGACCATTCAAACATTCAAGAAAAGATTTTGGCACTATCCACTAGGACCATATTGCTTTGGAATGCAAATGAGGAATCATGTAATTGAATTATGTCTCAAATCAGAAAGCCCCTGCATGTGGAATATTTACCCGATTGGGAAGATAATGAACCTATTCATTAACGTATTTATCATCCACATTTTCATAAAATATATCAATCAGCAAAAATAAAATCGGCAAAAAAGCATCCATGAAAACAACATTAAAAACATCAAACATAAATGATGCAGCATTCCCCGTATTAGAGGAAGAATCTAATATGCCAGATCTTTCAAATACAAATTGCCAGCTGCCTTTTAAAGTGGTATAGCCTGTAGCCTACAATACTACATGCTTTTTAGGGAACATTTGTGTATTTATTCATAGGAAGGTGATGTGTATTGATACCCAAATCATGAATTTCACAGAATTATATGAGTAGAAGAGATCTAATGAATCATCCTGCTAGGATATTCTTCACCAACATTCATGAATTCATTCAGTAACAGTGGGGTTTTAAAAATAAATAAATAAACAATGCATTTACTGTTATGTGGAGCAGATGCTCTATAAAATGGGTATAATTTACTGTGTCATTGGTGGGTGAAAAATGAAGTGAAACAAATAGAAAACATCCTACAATTTCCATTTATTTAAAATACTCTTCCAGGCATCGAGCAGGGCCATAATGATGCCTTTAAGCAGCTTTTGTTGTCATTGTGATCAGTTACCAATATGTCTGCTGAATCGAAATATAGTCATAATTCAACCTATTGAACTTAATGGGTATTACATTTATCATGACTAAAGTCCCATTGATTTCAGGGGGCCCACTAGGGGCGCATTGGAAGATGGCTAACAATATCATCTCTCCGACCCACACGGGGTAATTAAGAGGCTGTTATGGGAGTAGGCAGCCTCCCTTGTTGCCCCAAGGAAATGGGGAACACTGCCCTTGCCTGCTGTGCCCATAAATCACCCCCTAATTCGAAAGAAGGGGGTGAGGGCACTAGGCAGAATGCCCCCGTGTGGACCTCGGCTCTCCTGGACGCTGTCTCTGATCGCGCACTAGCTGCAGCAATTTGGAATAATTAATTACAAAAGAAGCAAATGCACATATTTCAAGTGAAGAAGGGAGTGAAGTCTGCTAATTTCAGTTACCTCTGCGAAAGAAGACGTCGAGTTGGAGAAACAGGATTATTTTTCGATGAAGATACACCTAAGGCTGGGTATGTTGACAACGGGACTGACTTTTTGACTTTCCTTCTATGTGATTTACAAGAACCCCTCCTCATTAGAATCGTTGGTTGAACTGACCCAAGCAGGATGATTAAGGTCTGTGTGGAGATAAACTTTAACCAAAAGTATGCTTTATGGAGATCGAGAAGCAATAAGAGCTTTTGGAATGGCGCAGCAATTAATTCGGAATTGCCATCTTGCCAAAGGATTTATAGCTGGGAGGAGGAACGGACTTGTTTTCAGACTGCATTCCTGGTGAATCTCCTCAGAGGTTTTGAGAAAGGAGGCAGACTGGTGAAGATTAATGACGCTAAGACTGTTTTGATGTATGGAAGTGATGTTATATGGAAAACGTCTGGATATGGTTACTGGATTAAAAAAAAAAAATATCCACGCAGGATTACAAACTGTTCTAACCAGCTTGTGGAGACTATCAGAGGTCACAAAGAGAAAGGAAAAAGATATGAAAATAACAAGAGATGTGGAAAAACAATAAGAAAGGACTGGATAGTACTGTGAAAATCATAAGGTTAGATTTGTGGACATTAAAACAGCAGCAAGAAGCAAGAAGTTGATTGGATCCCCTTCGGAACTTGAAATATGGGTCCCCCAACAACAATTTAAAATTCGGCTGTGTAATTTGGAATTTATGTAATTTGGTTTGATTTGATGTGATTGGTCGGTTAATAAAAAATTATTCTTAAAATAAAGTCCCATTGATTTCAGTGGTTCTTTTCTAAGTGTGACTAAGTAGGAAAATAATCAGGGAAACTTATTCCATAACAATATAGAAGTCTTGAAAATGATTTGCTATTCTATCACCAAGTGCTTCAGTATATAATACCACATGTATAAATTACCAATGTGTATTACTATCTGGGTGGGGAAAGGGAATGGGATTTCTGAATTTTTATTGTTTTGTGCTTCAGCAATTTTATGAACCTAACAAAATATTGCACATAAGCTTTGGGGCATAGATTTAAGAGTTCAGCTGTACTGAGTTGGTTGAAATAAATAAATAAATGGGGGAAACCAACTCATTTGGCAATTTTGTACCTTAGCAGTGGTCCTGTAATACCCTAATCTACAAATTGATTCAACAGGTATGTTTGGATTGTTTCCAAGGCAGTCCTATTTAAATCAGTGGCATTTAACTTGTTTAGCTTTGTTGATTAAGAAGGCCTATGAGTACAGGTGACCATGCAACTATACAATGGTATGTGTTCATTGGAAGCGTTGTTTAATGAAAAATGTTCATATTTCATGCTTTTCCTAAAAGCAAAAAGCAGCTAATCAAGTTTTCATGTGCAGCAATGTTATGTTTTCATAAGTCACACTTGTAATTTTAGGAGGTTTAAACCTGTGCAATTTCTTAAGTTTGCCATAAAATGGAAACCTGAAATAACAGGAAAAAATGGGATTGGTATGTAACGAAGTTAATTGTTAGACTACAATCATGTTTTCAACTTCAGTGGCTTATAAATCACTTTGGGGCATTATGTTTCAGAGTCTGCTGAATGGATTAATGTGCTACAAACCCGATGATCCAGTCGAATACCTGGAAGGTTGTTTACAAAAAGTGAAGGAGCTGGGAGGAGCAGAAAAAGTAAAATGGGACACCTTTGTCAGTCCAGAAAAAAGGACACTACCTTCACTGAATGGCAGCCAGTCAAGAAGATCCTTTTTGAGGAATGGTAAGATTTATTTATTTTTGTATCAATTTTATGTTTCAGCTTGGATTCAGGTGACAAGCTGAGTAGAATGGGTAAGCCACTCACTGTATGATTTGAAGATGGTAGTGATGTGGGCGCATTGAACATTTGTTTAATGGTTTATTAGCGCATTAATTAATTGTGATGTGATCATGATTTGCTGCCTTGTGGCTTCTGTTAGTGATATGTGACCACATTACATAAATGGGAATCACACCAAATATAAATCAATCAACAGCTGTAGAAGGATCCATCTTCATTTGAATTTTGATTCTAATTTAGATTTATTGCTGAATAATCTTTAAGTAGATAAGGCTGTAATTCTATGCACTTATTTGGGACTAAGCCCCATGAAACAGTGTGGGCCATATGAATAGGCAGGAGTGGTGAGCTGTGGCTTCCAGATGTTGCTGGACTACAACTCCTATTATCCATGACCATTGTTCCATGCTGGCTAGAGCTAATGGAAGCTGGAGACCAGCAATACCTGGGTGGGGGACGGGGGGGGGGCAAGTGAGTGAGACCTATGATTTCTGTAGAAAAATATGCCAGATTTGTTGGAATTCCAGTTGAATGGAGCAGTCTTTACAGTTGGAGAAGGGAAATAATGTTCCTTCCTATGTAGCAACTCCCTCACAAGGAAAAGACTTATAATCTGCTTATCTTCAGTTGACTGGCATTGACCAGTCTGAGGAATTGTGGTGCTTTCTAAAGTTTACTGAAGTTGTATAAAGAACAACTTATTTACGATGGGCAAAAATGCAGAAACTGGAATGCTCTGAAAAGCCTTACTAGTGCCAAACATAACAAACAAATACAAGCAAGTGTATTTTCTCAGAAATACCCAGTGCCTAGTCATCATATACAATAACCTGATTGGCATTGCTGATATAATTAATATGGATTAGTTAGAACACCTAGAAAGCTGGGTATAAATCAGCTTGGATTTTAAGCCATTCCAAAAATCGGACTGGGATAACATACAATGTCTATACACAAAGGATACATAAGGAAAGTACCTAATTATTTTGCTGTTGTAAATGTTCCTATAAAGCTACTAGAATTCTATGCAATTTCTTGCTGTAGTTTTTCCTAAGCAATTAAGGCATGTATGCAGTAATTAGATTGCATGCAGTAATTAGATTAAAATGTACACATAATGTCTGAAAACAACAACTCTGGTATGATGTCTTAACATGAATTTAAAATCAGACTTACAAAATAACTATAAGAAATTTATCAGCCTGCATGGGTTTTAAATCTGCCCACCTGCTTATATATGCTACATGTGATTCAACAGCTTGAATAATGGGATTTGGCAAGCTGCTTACCCAAGATGAATTGTTACTTGCTGTAGACCAATTTGCAAGGCATATCTATAAAAGTTTCAAATAGGTAGCCTCTTACTTACTAAACAAAACTGGAAAAATGTATTGCCTTAATGTGCCAGTTGCTTGAAGTCCATCTAGGAAGCCCAAAATAGCAGGGAATTAATTTGCAGGAAACCACTCACTCTCAGGGGCTTACTAAGCACAGAGTTGCTTAGTTTTAAACTTTGTGATGTCCAGTAAATTGTAACCTGTAGCTTCATGTGCTTTACTGTCTCTTCAGTATGGAAGCTCTTTTTTATCCCTAGAGAGAACACTATCCCTATTCCCTTAGGAAGTCATGGCAGTTTGCTTAGCTTTGATAAACCATCTGTGATTGTCATTTAATCTCCATTTGTCTGCTGGATTTGCACAACACAACAAACTAGGTATTGGAAGACAGCAGGCAAATATTTGGCAAGTTGTTTCGAATTGTGTGGCATTTGTCAGTTCTTCAGTCTCTGGCAATATGTAGCTCATCTTTCTGACCATTGTACAATGTGCTTTAAATTTACAGCATGTGTATACATGGCCTTTCTTCCACTTTTCCTTAGGTCAGCTCTCCTTCTGGCTTCCTCCTTTCCCTCTGTTCATCACTCTCAGGGCCTCTCCTCATAGCCTAATTTTCTTTGCTCAGGGACAAAGAAAATTTTCCTTGCTCAGTCTGAAGCCATGGAGATCCTGCTGTCATTGTGGACAGGGGGGGGTCTGACTCAATATACCGTATTTTTCGCTCTATAACACGCACCCGACCATAACACGCACATAGTTTTTAGAGGAGGAAAATCCATAGGCATGCCACCCGTAGGCATTCCCTCCATAACACGCACAGACATTTCCCCTTACTTTTTAGGAGGAAAAAAATGAGTGTTATGGTGCAAAAAATACGGTAAGCTACCTCCCTGTGTTTCTTTGTCGCCATCTTTGGGCACCTCCTAAGCCTGCACCTCAGCAGGGAGCCCACTGCCAATGTCTGGCCTCCCCAGGCCAGCTTCTGATGCTCCTTTGCAGCCTCTGCCTGTCCATATACCTCCTCGAAGCAAGAAAGCTATGACAAGGAAAAGGAAAAGGAGCAAGACTCTCTGCTCATCTTGCACACTCTCTGTGAATTGAGGCCTAGGCGAGAGGCTGGGCCAATAGGCCGCAATGGCAGCAGCGAGGAAGACTGTGGCCCACTCGGGGCCTCTTGTCCGATGGCTTCTCAAAACCACCTGCCTCCATCGGCTTCTTTTGGCCTGCTGGCTGCTTATTCTTCTGACACCTGTTTTGCTGGTCCCATTACTTTACGCTTCTTTTCCCTAGGCCAGGAAGCCTGCCTTGTTTCTATTCCTACTGTCGCAACAGATTGGCCTAGAGTGGCTTCCGAGAGGAATGTTCTGTTTCATGGTTTGATTTTCCGGGAGGCAGGTTTTTTTTAATTAAACTGATAATTGTTTCAAGTACTACAACGTAACTGTTTGCCGTGAGGAATTTTTATATTCCAGCCGCAACCAGCTGGAACGGGTTCTGTGAGGAAAACGTAAAAAGTGGTATTTTACTCAGAGTAGCCCTGCTGGCGTCGGCGGACCTAACTTAATCACGTCCATTAATTTCACTGGCTCTTATTAAAAAATTAGTTGAATCCCACCCAAAGTTTTCTTAAAGGGACGATTTACTTTTCTAACAGCTTGAATGACGTGCAGTGCCTGCCTGTGAGATGTTAGAGCAGCCAGTGCCTTTGCTGCCACTGCATACATTACTGCATTCCAGTACAGTGGTACCTCAGGTTAAGTACTTACCGTATTTTTCGCTCTATAAGACGCACCAGACGACAAGACGCACCTAGTTTTTGGAGGAGGAAAACAAGAAAAAAAATATTCTGAATCCCAGAAGCCAGAACAGCAAGAGGGATCGCTGAGCAGCGAAACCAGCAATCCCTCTTGCTTTTCTGGCTTCTGGGATAGCTGCGCAGCCTGCATTCACTCCATAAGACGCACACATATTTCCCCTTACTTTTTAGGAGGGAAAAAGTATAGAGCAAAAAATACGGTAATTGGTTCCAGAGGCCCATACTTAACCTGAAACTGTTCTTAACCTGAAGCACCACTTTAGCGAATGGGGCCTCCTGCTGCTGCCGCACCGCCGGAGCACGATTTCTGTTGTCATCCTGAAGCAAAGTTCTTAACCTGAAGCACTATTTCTGGGTTAGCGGAGTCTGTAACCTGAAGCGTATGTAACCTGAAGTGTATGTAACCCGAGGTACCACTGTACAGATGGATTGAAAACATTACCTAACTGTATAAAAATAAGAAGCCCCTCATTATTATTTTTAATTATTTTTTAGGCAGCCAGAATTTCATGCCAACAGTTGCGTTGTTAAAATATTCCTGATCTTCATTACCAGTAAATGTAAGAAGAGTTCTGGTTTTCATATTTCCTTTTTCTTTTCTTTCTTTCTTTCTTTTTACTATTATGAAGTGCTCCCAGACAATCCCAACTTTCCTTACCGGCGGTATGAGCGACTTCCTCCAATCCACCAGTTTTCCATAGAGAGTGACACGGATCTCTCAGAAACAGCCGAACTTATTGAAGAATATGAGGTATTTGATCCTGCAAGATCTCGGCCTAAGATCATCCTTGTCATAGGTAAGAAGGCAAGGAGAACGAATAGTTTTCTTGGATTAAGTGTGGCTTTTTTTTTTAAACCGTTTAGCCAATGGATTAACTGTTTGAAATGGGTATCAATTCATAGATAACTTTGAAGGATGAGGGCTAAGTGATGTAGGCAAATTGACTGACCGGGATAAACAAAGAATTGTTTGGAAAACCATATTCAGCAAGTTGCCCAAATGCCGAAGTGTTTTGTTATTAGTGCCAGGGACTGCCAGATGCAATAGGCAGAAGTGGCAGTGCCTCCAGCGTCTCCAGAATAACCAAAAAGCCTATAAATAGGAGAAACTATCAGACTTCATATCCAAACCTTTGGGATACCAGGGATAGTTACACCCTATGTGCTTCCTAATAGCGCACCTCTTTCTCATGCTCCAAACAGAATGGGCTGTTTCACTTTTATTTGATAGGGGACAAGGCTGCAACTGGGGAAACCCTTCAAGGGAGTAAGCATTTCCTCCCCAAATATGGGGGCAGTGTGGCATCCCTCCCTCCACAAAGTTTCACCAGTTTAAACCTTTCCCTTTGAAAAGAGAAGGGAGCAAGTTGGTTAACTGGAGAGCAAGCAAGGGAGACACAGCTGGACTGGCAACTTTGAAAAGCAGTGCCATTGACAAGAAAGTTTTTCAATCTCCTGGTCTCCACTGATGGGAGAAGCCTTTGTTTTGACTGCCATTCTTAAGGGTTCTGTTCTCATCAGAAAGAGTTCTTAGCTCTCCTTAGCTCAGTGGTTTTCAACCAGTGTGCTGTGGCACCCTGGGGTGCCTTGAATGATAGTCAGGAGTGCTGCAGGCAGCACTGGCCTCTGTCCCTCTTTCTTTCCTTCCCTCCCTCATTGGGTGCCCTCTTGCATCTCTGCCTCCCAAAGGCATGCACAGCTGTTCATTGCAGCAGCCCGGCTACAAGGTCCCCAGGTGAATGGGGGCCTCTGGGGCTGGCCAGGGGGAGCTTCCAAGCCCCCTGTGGCGCAGTGTGAGGAGGCACCTCTCTTTGGGCAAGGGGGTGCAGCTCAGATACCAGAGGCGGCGGCTGCGGCTGCCTGGAGGACTCCCAAGGAGAGGGATAGGAGAGTAGGCTGAGGGAACACTTTACAAGGTGTTCGAAAAAGGGTGAGATGCTGCCAGCTGTGCCGGAAAGAGGTGGCATAACTGGGCTCCTGGGCCCCACAGGGGTGCCACAGAAAGAATGCAGTTGGTCAAGGGCGCCGTGGACTCAAAAAGGTTGAAAACCTCTGCCTTAAGTGTTAAAAGAGCAGCATATTTAACCCTTTCCCGAGGCTGCAGCTCAGTGTTAGTTGCTAAGAGGAGGATGAGGGATCCCCATGACAGGTGCTTGAACAACACATTTAACTTAATAGCATTGTAGAGTGGCTTTGCTTACCTGACTTTCCAGTGTCAAGTGTCTCCACCAGATACTGAGACTGGGAGGGATGAGGGGGCAGGTGCATTGGATTGGCTCCACTGCCACACCTGTACAATGCTCCCCTCTGTCTCACCCTTCTCCCTATCTGCAGGTGATGTGCAATGTCAGGAAATGCCACCCTCCCTAGTAGCTTCTGATTTAACCCTTGGTTATAGCAGTCAGGGAAAGAAAGAAAGGGATTCCCATGACTATTGCTTGGGTAGTGCATTTAATTCCCATGGCTGCGGTTCAATTGAAATCACACATTTCGTGCACTTTCCCACCATTAACAAGTTTTTTCTTTGTGGAACCCCTTGGGCTGCATTGTGGCACTCCAGGGTTCCATTGGACCGCAGTCTGAGAAATCTCCTAGTGTGCAGCTAGTTAGCAATTTGGAGAATGTTACATTCCACATCTTTGGGAAAGATTTTGGCAGACTGGCACAGGTGGTGGGTAGTTCGTAATGAATCTGAGAAAATATAATTGCCTTTTTTCTTATAAATAATAGGTGGTCCGGGAAGTGGAAAGGGAACCCAGAGTCTGAAAATAGCTGAACGCTATGGATTTGAGTACATATCTGTTGGTGAATTGTTAAGAAAGAAGATCCACAACACAAGTAGTAATCGAAAGTGGAGCCTGATTGCCAAGATAATTACCACTGGAGAGTTAGCCCCACAGGTACAAACATGGCAATGGCATGTTACTCGCTTTGGCAAGATTTTTGTATGCATTCTTAATATATACTATTAACAAACTAATAAACCTTCTTGTGCTTGTTTTTCACACTGCAAGGAAACAACCATCACTGAGATAAAGCAGAGATTAATGCAGATTCCTGATGAAGAGGGTATTGTTATTGATGGATTTCCAAGAGATGTTGCTCAGGCTCTTTCCTTTGAGGACCAAGTAAGATATTTGTTATTCAAGACAACTTAACAAGTTTAAAGAAAAATATGATAAGCTCTTTTTGTTAAGAAGCTGAATGCCAGAAAGACTAAATATTACTCTTTTCAGATCAGTAGGCATTGCCCCAAATTCTTTGTAAATGCTTGATTATATGCAGATCAAAGGTTGTTTTCTTGACATATATTTTGGGAGTATCATGATCCCATGCTCTTCAAAACAACCAGAATTCTGTCATGTATCGAACAATGACAGCACTTTCTTTCCTATATAATTAAATGGCTCCAGAGGGAAGAAAAAGATCCTATTTAACAAATCGTATTTTTCATACATTCCTGATTTTAAAAGCAAAGAGAAAAGGTTATTCCTTAATGGCACATTTTCAGTGCTCATTAGGAAGAGCACAATTTCATCAGCATATTTTTTTCACACAGAGAGGCAGCCTCAAGGTTATTATGGGCTTCTGAACTAGAATACAGCATTCATACAATAGCTTTTGTAAGACAAACGTGTTAGGTAATAGTACACCTTTTATTGAATTAGTTTTTTGTGTGATCTCAAATTTCGCTTTAACTCAGTTTACTTTGCTATTAAATTTTTATTGTGCTTGAAAAAGATGTCTTGTGAAACTTGCTTGTCTTATCACTTAAGATGCCGATTAATAGTTATTGAAAGTGATTTGTACTGCAGGACATATTGACTAGAGAACATCTTTGTACAAGCTGCTTTTGCAGGGAAAATGACTAATTCATGTGTAGAACAGATTCTTCAGAGTTTGTCCTTATTTTGAGCTCATTGGGATTCAATTCTGACATTTCATATTCTTGACCAAAAGCTACCCCAAAATACATTTTGAGAAATATATGAAAGCAAGCCAAGTGATGAAAATCCTGTGTTTTGAATTGATTTCACATTGCCAGATACGGAAACAACCAATATGACATTTGGTTAAAGACACAAGCAAAGGTTACATTTCAAAAGTGCATTGTCTGGGAGTTTTACCAAATTCTGACTAACCTCTGGAATGAGAAAATACAATTGCTCCAGAGCACCCTCTCCTACTTATGATGGCTAGACCAACAGTGCAGGAATACTTGTGATGAGTCAGATGGAACATAGATTAGAACTCATTTTATGAACCACACCATAGCAGCAATGGTGCTTTGGCACCATTGTGTCCATGCAGAATTGGTTAGCAGACCTATTCTGAGTGGCAATGGGCATTCTACACTTTGCTCCTTGTATTAAAGTGGAAGATCTTTCAGTGGCCCACTGTGATGAATTTGCAAAGCACTTTGGTGAAACAAGTGATTGTGTCTGTTTTGAACTGGATTTCATGTTGAACGTACCTTTCAAAGCTGCTTGTCGGCTGTTATCAATAGCTTTTAGTTTGTGAAGTCCTAAAGATGTTGACAAAATCATAGAAGGTGTAAGGCCCATCACTTTTGAGCTTGATGGTTGCCATGCTGGGTGGGATTAGGGTGACCAGAGACTCTGCTAACTTCCCGGAAGGCCTCAGATGTGGTGCTTGATTATTTATGTTGAACATACAGTATTGGTTTTTCAATGTATGGTGCTCCACAAGGTTCCATCTTATACTTTATTCTATTTAACATCTATATAAAAGCGCTGGAAGAAGGTATTTGGATTATATTTGTTTTCGAGGATTGCTTTGTTTGAAAGTTGTTATGAAAATCATTGGTGAGGAGGTTGTGTGTTTTGGTCTCCTTGCCCTTTTGCTAAAGTTGAGGATGTGCTTAACTCATCTATCTGCTTAGCTGTTTGTCTCAGTAATTTGTCACTCAGACTGAGACACCTCCCCTCAGCTTCCTCATGTTCACAGATCCCAGTCAGACATGACTTTTTTGAAAGGCACCTATGCAATCAACCTTACTCTTGTGCAGCATAGTCTTCAACAGCAATTCATTTATTAAGCAAACAAACAAACCACTTGATTTTTAAAAATCTCCATAAAGTGTCCAGATAAAAGCATAGAAGACATCTCCAAAGCTATAAGTCAATTAAAAACAAACTTACATTGAAGAATCATACCTAAATACAAATATAAAATCTGTAAAGCATTAAAACAAATATAAATAAGTGCTGTTTTTATTTTATTAATGGTAGTGCCATGGATAAGTGGTGCACAAATAAACAGTAAACATGAATCTTAATAAACTGAAACAGAAATAGGCTGGCATCATAAAAATAAATATCATAGATCTAAACAGGCAGCAGAAAGCAAAATAAAGCATTTTATGTTCCCCATGTATGTTATTATGTGACACACAATGCTTCTGTAATATCTATAGAGCACCTAAGCAGCTAGTTAATTGAAAAAGACCTTTGGATTCTTGGAACAGTTTTGATTAACATATAATTTCTCAAATACTGAATTTTGATTTGCCCTTTCTTCAAAAGCATTAGGTAAACAAACACTTACCTCTCCAGCATAACACATTTCAGAGAGTTAGCAAATATTAGGAAGCTCTTTAAATTCGAAATGCATGTTGGAAAATGCTGAGAAAGAGGTCTGGCTTAACATTTACCTGTCATCCAAGCTGAAAGTCAGTGAATCACCTGCAAGACTAGCATATTAAATACCATCCTCTGCTCCAGTGAGGCCCTCTTCAATGTCAGCCAAGCATTCTCAAGCGGATGTGGGCTGACTATAGTTTAATAGCACTTTTCTTCAAATGTTCTTACTCCACCACCACCCCATTCCTGTGTTACATTCATCCATTGGAACGAGTGTAAAAGTCTGTATATCATAATGGGCTTGAATTTATTTACTGCTGCTATAGTTATCTTATATAAATGTGAGTGCAAAGGACAGAGGGCCTATTGTAAACCAAACAGCAGCAGTTACTTATAAAATGATAAATTTTAGGGCTAATAAGGAGAAATAAACAATCTGTTGCCCAGTTTTCTAGGCAACACTGTAATAGAAAATATTGACAAAACCACAAGCCAGAGCATACTCCAATCTCCTAGTTCAGCTCCCCGAGGAGAGGCAAGCTGCTTTGACCACTCTAACATATCATCTCACATCATTTTTATTACCTTCCCACTTCTATGAACACATGGAGTTTCTATATCAGCAACTTTCCCTGTTCACCTCAATGACATAAGACAGCTGCAAGCTTATATTCTTTAATGCATGTAGACTGCTCTATTCACTGTAGTGAACAAGGAAACCTTAGTAGGCAGTTTTTACCACAACCCACACATGCAGGGGATCATTGACTAGGGCATATGTCTGCATGAGTGGGAATGAGCAGAGTTTTCCCCATGCCATATATCCTGTTGGGGCAAGACTCTGTATTTACAATAAAATGAAGACCAGTTATGTAGGCAAACTACAGGGAAGTCATGGCTTCTTATATTTATTCAAGACAGCTATCAGCCTCTCTCTTCCCTATTGGCAGCTAATCAGAGAAATTAATATTCCATGTCTGGATGGATTCACAAATTCATATCAACTGATTTATCAGTTGATGACTGCAGTATCAAGTCTTGACTTCCAGGCAGGAAAGATCTAACATAGATCAAGCATCCTAGATTTGAACGTAAGAGTTGTCCTGGATCAGACCAGTGGCCATCAGGTCCAGCAGTTTGTTCCCAAACTGGCCAACCAAATATCTGTGGGACCCTCACAATCAGGGCATGAGTGTAGTAGCGCTCCACCACTAATGATCCCCAACAACTGGTATTCACAGGCATATTGCCTCTGATATTTGAGACAACATGTAGCCATCATGACTAGTAGTCATTGGTTGCCTTCTCTTCCATGACCCTTCATATGATCTCACACCATCTCCATTAATCATTTTCAGTGGAAATATTAACATATTCAGCTCACAGTTAACAAGTGCAGAGTAATCAAATCCAGCGATGTATATGCAAAGATGAACTGATCCAGTTTGTTTGTAAGATAAACCAGAATGTCCACTTTGAGGATGGATTGTCATTTCATTCCCCCACATTTTATTAGCGGATATTATTTTTCTGGTCTGGCCCTTCTGAATAGGAGTAGTAGTAGTTTCCTGAGTAGGAGTAGTTTCCTTAAAATGTATTTATTATGCATTAATGACATTTATATACCACCCTGTAATTCTCTTGGTGGCTTATAATAAAGATTCTCTGAGTTGCTTACATTAAGGGCTGTGGGCTATCCACCTGTTTCTAAATTCCTCATCCAGCTTTGAAACCAGTGGGAGTTTTAAAGTTTAACTAATTAGAAGTAATTGGTTGCACATAGAACATATAACTTACATAATTGCTAAGTATCACTACAATAAGCAATTAGGAGGAGCCTGGAAGCTTCTGTCTCCATGTTTTATTAAGCATAGTTTAGCACTATGTCTAAAACACTAAGTAGTGGTTCATCTTAACTAAGGTTTATTGAAGGAAGACAGAACCATGGTTTGAAGTTGGCTTGTTTAAAGCATGGCTAAGGCTATCCACAGTTTATCCTGCTTTGGGTGCAGGACTAAATTTTGATTAATCAAAAACTGAAGGAAACACTTCTGAATTCTTCCAACCATGCTCAAGGCTCAAGGTTTAGCACAAGCATAGACAAATTCGGCTCTCCAGATGTTTTGGGACTACAACTCCCATCATTCCTAGTTAACAGGACCAGTGGTCAGGGATGATGGGAGTTGTAGTCCCAAAACATCTGGAGGGCCGAGTTTGCCTATGCCTCATTTAGCAAGTCTCCCACTGTGTATCATATTGTAAACATGTAGAAGCTCCAACAGCTATAGTTATCCCTTTCATTGTTTTAGCTGTTCATTCTTTGGATTGTCATTTGATTCACCAAAGGAAAATGTCACCAGTTTGAAATACTGAAGACATTAAGCTTATTTTAAAACGAAACAGTGACTAAGAAGGGCTTTATATATATATGGAGGGAAAAGTGATTCAGTGGTGCATTGAATGGTAACCTGTGCTGTGTGAATACAAAATAGATTCTAATTTTTGCAGTGACTCCATTAATGTCACTGTTACATGCAGAATAGGAATATAAATGATCATTTATACTTGCCTAAGGAAATTTACTACAGCATGGTAGTCATTATAATTTCTTCTTTGTAAGGAATCTCCTTCCCAGAAAGGGCAATGATATCTTAAATGCAGAGGTAAAACAGAAAACGCCTTAGAAAGAAATGGAGTTCTATCTTTTGCCACACACAAAGTGTGCTTTCTTTTATTTATGCTAGCTAAGGCATAGTGAGGGCTTCAAGGACATACATCTCTGAAGGTGGAGCACAGCAATTCACTATGGATGTACTGTGATCTGAGAATAATGTACAGGTGATACATCTGTAGGGCTATGTATGGAAAATGTTTTGTGCCATTCATTTTTGTGTAAATGTGAAGCTACCATGTGGGCATTGCAAGCATAGCCTTTCTTTTTAAAAAGAATTTGCAGTTGTGGCATCTAAAAGAAGGAGCCTTAATTCAGTTCCATTTTAGCTTGATGGCAAAGAGTCATTTTGGAGCAGCATCTCTGCAGGTGCCTTTCTGCAGCATACATATCTTTGGTCCTGTACCACAGTGGGCTAATCTGTGGTGAGGTGGTGAATGCAGGGCCCTGCCTTGCAGCAATATGTCAGACTACATGACCTGCAGCATTGATGGGCAACCTGTGACCCTCCAGATTTTGCTGGATTACAATTTACATCATCCCTGACCAGAACTGACCATGGTAGCTGGGCTTTTGGAAGTTTGGCTACAACAGTCACAGCTTCCCCAACCCAGCTGTATGGTCCTGTGAAAAATAAGGACTACCCTGTCAAATAAGCAGCAAAATTATCAATATGAACATCTTTTTCAGATATAAAAATGCCGGGCCTTTTAATTGTTCTTTGGAAGACCATTTATTGCTGCTAGTTTTATCTGCTATTTTACTTCTTTTGACCTTTTGTAGTATTTTATTGTTACAATTATTTTCTTATTGTTTGCTGTGCTCTTTGTCAACATAACTATCCCCAGGGCACCTCACACTAATGCATGTTATTTGTAAAATAAATAAAAAGTCTGAAGTGCAAATTGCAGTTATAAAGCAAGAGTGGGATACAAAATGTATCTATAAACTCCTACTCCGGATAGCTAGCAGCCTATCTATATACAGATTCAGGAAACGTGGCTGACCTTATCACTACTTCCTTCCTATGCAGATTTTTTTTCTTAATGTGCATAGGTTATTTGAGAAGCAGCCAAGACACTAAAACAATTCCAGCTTACAAATAGTTTAAATCCAAACTACGTATATTAATAATGTTGCTTGTGTCAAGACTCTGGAGTGACCAGGACACCATACTGGGGACTGGAATGAATTTCCTGATCTGAGCCTGTTGCTGGCGATCAGGGGTTCACTGAACCTGAAGCTGGCAGGTCTGTCTGAGACTCATAGAACCAGAGCCAAGGCTGTCTTGGATGCATTGTTCTGAGCCCCAGGAACTGCAACTCTAGTCCAACAGTGCAAAGGGCCATGGGGCACAGAAGTGCCAGAGCGTTGGTTGGCCCTTTAAGAATTTCCAGTTCTTCAAAAGGGGCAGAGCATAGAAGCCGTATAGCAAGTCATTAGTAGTGCTGTGAGCAACACCCTGCTTTGCCCCATGGGTGCCTTCACAGAGCCAGAGCAGGATAGTTTGCCTTGAGTGCAGGCCATTGTTTTCAAAACTTGCCAGTGCAGTGGGGCTGACCTAAATAAGGATAGGGGAATTAACTCTTGCAACTTGAAGTGGCTCCAAGCTTGATTGGGGCCCCACACCTACAATTCACTGGGGGACAATTGGAAGCTTTCCCTCCAATGCAAAGTGCAGGTGTGGGGTGGTGGAGGATCTGGATTGGGGGCACAGGGGAGGAGGCAAAATCTATGTTAAAAACAACAACAACCCTACCCCTTTTGCTGCAGTCCATGCAGCCTGCCCCTTCTCCAGAGAATATTAGCACTGTTGTGTAGCATATTCTCATTTTTCTAGTAATTCCTGCGTGCACCAAACTTCAGTTTTGTACAGGTTCTAAAAACACCTTAACAGCTTTGTGTGATGTCCAAGTGTCTTATTTCCTATTCGTTCCTATTCATCTATCAGTCTGTGTCACACAAAAATAAATACATAGCAAGTTTTGTCTTGATGGTTTCTACTCAAGAATGCAATGCCCTGCTGTTTATTCTCCGTAGTGTTCTCAGAGGTTTTCCTGTATGCATTATCAAAGTAAGCTTTAGGCCTGCTGTACAAAAATTATTAAGAATTCCCATTGATTTTGCCTGCTAAACTGAGAACAAAGGACATGATTGAAGGGGGAAAGGGTTACAAAAAGCAGTCAAATCAGATTAAAACAGTTCTTCTTAACGTCCCATGAATACTTTATATTCAATAGGGAATGAATCGATGATACTCTGAAAGTGCTTAACAAACATTAATGGATTTGGATGAATCATGAGCCGTGACAACTTTCTTGCTCAGCTCCCTAGGGAATTATTGTTCCTTTCACAACTGAAGGAAGTGAAAATGTGTCAAAGAATCCCAAGTTTTATGATGCTCTGTAACATAGGTTATATTTATTTTGGGAGTTACCAGCTTTATATTATAGTAATTGAATCACCTTTTCATAGGATTTAAGACTCTCCAGCTCAAGCCTGTGAATGAAAATCAAATGTTAGCTCTCTCAAAATACACATTTCTGCATCGTTTCGAACAGAATTAACACTTTGCAGGTATAATTCATGGAGGCACACACGAGTTGGAAAGCTGCACATTACACTATTGCAACCAGAATGAGGCTGTGTATCCATTACCAGCATAAAATGCAGCTAGATTGTTCCTTTTTCTCAGTTTGGATCAAAACTGGTTTGGGGAAAGGGGCATCAAAACCCATTATTTCTTAAGAAACAACAGGATAGATATGGAGTGTGGCTAACGTTTTGTGTACACTGATTCCCAAACCAGTGATGGGAGCGATCTGGATGGGAGAGTAAATAGGAGTTCTGTCAGACCTACCACACATAAATAAGGCTGTAACAATGGCTGTGTGACCTGTTCTCCTGTAATGGACACAGATGAGAAACTTCTTGGGCAGGCATCTCATATTGTGTTGTCACAATGTTTGGCCATTCAATAATAATAATAATTACAATCATAAATAATAATAATAATAATAATAATAATAATAATAATATATTTATACCCCATATATATATTTATACCTGGGTTTCCCCAGCCATTCTGGGCGGCTCCCAACAGAATTAAAAGCACAATAAAACATTGTGGCACTCCTTCTGATCGTGACCTCTTATTGGACCATTTGAAGCTATCCTCTTTGGCGGGAAGAATGCCCCTCAATCCTGCTGGGTGTGAACATGTTCTGGCTGCCGAGGATGAAGGCGGAGCACGAGGGGCCGCAACCATCACCCCACCCCTGTGGAAGCAGTGAGCGGCCATTCTAGGCCAGCTTTTTCTTGAGTTACTGGCCCCGCAGCTGGTCCCTCAGCCAAGAAGATAACCTAACCAAGCCTTTTGACCTTCCATATTTAAAATCTATTTTCGTTCTCAGAGCCTCCCCTTTCTTTTGAAATATCTAACAAAGTGGCTTGATGTGTGGATGGTCCTGAATCCACCCACCACTAATGCACTATTAGTACATCAGTGACAAGTTGCAGAATGCATCCACGAAAACACACGTCCAGAGGGGCCCTTTCTGGATTAAACCTTAGGATCAAAGATGTTTACTAAAGGCTTGTTTACTAACTCCTTCGATTCCCTTCTGTATTGGTTTTGTGTTGGCTTCTGTGCTGTTACTGTTCCTGGTATATAATGATAGGAACCCACACATACTGTTAATTAATCTGAAACTGCAGGATGGCCATTTTTTGAAGTGCTTTGTTATGTCTAATTAGGGCTGTGTACACATTACTAGCTTAAAACACAGCAAGGTCATTCTTTATCTCAATTTGGATTAAAGTTGGTTTTAGGAAAAATTAATCAAAATGGAGTATTTCATAAGAAACAGTAGGATAGGTTTTATTTATTTTATTTATCTATAAATATTTTTATTTGTTGCTTTTAAAATGAACTCAAAGCAACTTACAAAAGCAAAGATTAAAAATAGATATAAAACAAGAATAAGAACAACCTAAAATGCTCACACTACTGTGCACAGCAAATCTAGTTCAACCCCACTCCACTAAAAATATGCAGATAATTAAACTCCATAGGCCTGGGTAGATACAAATATTTTAACCTGGCAGCTAAAAACATACTGTTCATGCCAATCACACCTCCCTGGGGATGGTATTCCAAAACTGGGAAGTCACAACCTAGAAGTCCTCTTCTAGAGGAGCCACCCTCCATACCTCCTCACAGAAGATGAAGATAAAGAACATTGGGTCCAGGTTGGTTCATGTGGGGAGAAGTGGTCCTTGAGATATTGGGGTCCTGAACTGCATGAGACTTTGTAGGTCAAAACCAGCATTTGGAATCAAGCCTGAAGAAACCAACAATATTTATAAACTTCTATAAATTTCTGGTCAAACTTCTTTTTCCTCTGTTCAGGTGCTACTTATGTAGCCAAAACATTGCCATCAATTCCACAAGAAGAAGGTATCAGTAAACTCCCAGAGATCTGCAGAAGTACAAAAAATGTTTCAAAAAATATATACAGTATAAGAGTTTGGGTTGTTTCATGCCTCCAGGCATTCTGTTACAAGCATAAAATAGAGGGAATGAATGTGTATATGTATACACACTCACACACCAAGCTGTATAAATTTACGCAGGCTGATATATATAAGCTGTAGACAGGGAATAAGGCTGCACGAGGAGGCAGTGTATATGTGATACAGACTTCTATTGAGTTAATTGTACACGTCAATTCTGAATGTGTTCCCCTTTGTAATATTAAATAACTTATGCCAGCAATCCACCCCCTTTTTAAACACTTCCTTTCCAAATGCTAATAACATTGACATTGCTCTCCATAGGACATCCTCTGTGCCATATCCTCATCTTCCCAATTAAACAATGTGAACTAAATTGGGGGAGGAGGACAGTTCAGGATGTTTTAATTATGTAGTTAACTAGGTTGTCCTGTCCCCTGCCATGTACACTTTAACCGTCAGGCAAATTATGTGCGACAGCTGCCATATTAATAGTTTCAAAGAAAATAATTACTCCCATCATAGACAGTGAAAAGTAAATATCTGTCTTAAGACTTTAACACAACAATTATGCTGGTAAAAGAATAACAGTTAAATTAGGGTTGTTTATGTCAGCTATGTATTATTATGAAGAAACTTTATTATTGAGAACACGAGTGTCATAGTCGATGATGGATGCCTTTTTGTTTAAGTGACAAGATCACATTTCTGAAGCTTTATGGGTGTTCTGATCTACCTATTCCTTGGGTGCTGGTCACGGTGAATATTAATTTGTGTGCACATAGGCAACAAGTGGTATAATGTCCTATGGTTTCCTTACCAGCTGGTACTCAATTTACATGAGAAAAAAGGCTCTTTAATTGAGAAAAGAAAGAAATTGATTTAGAAAATTAACTTCTTTTTATATATATAAAGAAGTTACAGATCTGGAATTTTCTGCCATGTTATAGCAGTACACTATGGGCGTGGGGCAGAGAGAGAAAAGGACACTCTTCTGTCTCCTTGCTCCCACTGTATATCCTACAGTACTAATTGTTGTTGTTTAGTCATTTAGTCGTATCCGATTCTTTGTGACCCCCTGGACCAGAGCATGCCAGGCACTCCTGTCTTCCACTGCCTCCCGCAGTTTGGTCAAACTCATGTTGGTAGCTTCGAGAACACTGTCCAACCATCTCATCCTCTGTCGTCCCCTTCTCCTTGTGCCCTCCATCTTTCCCAACATCAGGGTCTTTTCCAGGGAGTTTTCTCTTCTCATGAGGTGGCCAAAGTATTGGAGCCTCAGCTTCAGAATCTGTCCTTCCAGTGAGCACTCAGGGCTGATTTCCTTAAGAATGGATGCGTTTGATCTTCTTGCAGTCCATGGGACTCCCAAGAGTCTCCTCCAGCACCAGAATTCAAAAGCATCAATTCTTTGGCGATCAGCCTTCTTTATGGTCCAGCTTTCACTTCCATACATCACTACTGGGAAAACAGTACTAATTTATAAGTCCTAAATACTTGGAATTGCTGAGGGGAATGACTCCAGTTAAGAATGTTATAAGTAGCAGACAGCAACAGCATACTTTCACGTGAGAAAATACTGAGGTTTTCAGGGTTCACAACTAGTTCTTAGACATGCTCAGTTCTTGTTGTCCTTTTCTCACAGAAATGAAACAATGACTCTCCAGAAGCTAATGTGAACCAGTCTACTAATTTTAATATTTAATTCATTTGGCATATTATCTCCACAGATCTGCACCCCAGATTTGGTGGTGTTTTTGTCCTGTTCAAATCAGCGGCTGAAAGAGCGGTTAATGAAGCGTGCAGAGCAGCAGGGGAGACCCGACGATAACCTCAAAGCTACGCAGAGACGCCTAACGAATTTCAAGCAGAACACGGTTCCATTGGTCAAATATTTCCAGGAAAGGGGACTGATCATGACTGTAAGTCTTCAGTCAATGTATATGCTTGGTAGACAAATCGTAACTGTTGTTGAATTCCATGTAAGTAGAGGCATAGCATTATAGCCAATGTAATGTTAGGTCTATTAATTTCAGGACTGTGTTGATTAAATACCACCGCACATATTCAAAAATAAGCCTTTAAAAATGCTTCTTTCTCTCTCTCTAAAACAAAAAGACACATAGACTTGCGCCTTTTATCTTACATTTGGAGACTTTTAAGATTTTCATTCATTTACAGAAGTATGTATCTTTCCATTCCAAATATAGGTAGTCTGGGTTTTGTAATTCTTTGTCTATCCTAGATAACTGATAAGGCTCCATATAGTGTAGAGCTATTCTGATGCTCTTTCTGTAGGTATAGATATGCACATTCATAAAATATTATTAGAAGTTTCTCTTTAGAAATGATTTCCCACCTTTGGGGAAAATATATCAGTATATTTCTGAAGCTACCTGTGGCTATTTTGCATTCTAAAATAGCTATTGGGTGAAAATAACATTAGAATTTCTGGGAACATGTAGAGTGGCACTCTGTATTGGTTGGCTCAGAACTATAAAGTTTTGCCATTGATTCACGTGTAGTTTCTCTGCTCAGAGTTGGAGAAAGTGGTGAGGTTTGTTTCAAGGCAACAATGTCATTTATTTGAAAAACCCTTGGGAAAATGAGTCTTCAAAATCTCAGAAAAACTTTCCATGCTATGCCAGGGCTAGTGATTCATCAGTTCTTCACTAGTATAAACGAACAGCATTTCTGTTGAGTCACTCAGGATGCATACTAAAGTGGCCCAGATAGCTCTTGCTAACATTTCTGAGATGAACTCTGCTTTCAAAGTAAAGTGACATCTATGTACCTTTTTTCAATATAAAAGTATACTGCAATGAAGTATACAGTTAGGGCTGTGATCCCACACACTTACCTCAGTAAGTTTCATTGAACTCAGTAGCACTTGCTTCTGCACTGGATTGCATAGTTAGCATGTTTAACTCTGTCAGCCAAGAATACCCAATGTTCCCCATATGTTGATGGACTTCGAATTTATGTAATCTCTGGCCATTGGCCATACTGGCTGGACCTGATTGGAGTTGGTGTCCAAAATCTAAAAGGCCACAGTTTCCTACCCCTTTCATTGTAAACATATATAATATTATGGAGTAACTCCTATTGATTTTTAAAAAGTGATTTCTTATGTTGGCTGTGGATGAAGTAATAATTTTATGTAAGTTTCAGGCTTCCTTAAAATTCTTTGTGAAGACTCTTTGTCAGAGCCATTCATCTGATAAATATTTCTGCAGATTTTGGAAGTATTAGTACTCAATGAATTTCACTTGTGGCTCCATCAAAGCCACCATCTTAACATTTACAAAAGTCCACTTAAGGGCACTTTACATTTATACCAGGGGATTGTGTGTAATACCAATTTTATTATGTATGCGTAAATGTTAGGAGCCCACAATTGGCATTGGGTTTCCAACTCTCATACATATATATGATATTTACACATGTACATCAATTATATGTTTGACATAGGTTAAATTGCATATATGAACTGTCACATATCAATCAACAAATGGTATGAACTGTAAGGCTTGGGAATGTCATAGTCATAAGACTCTTGGATTTCTAGAAAAGTAATGTATGGCAAAAAGCCCACAACTTGGATCCTAATTTTTCATGAACAGGGTATAAAACAGTCCATTTTCACTTCTTCTTTTTTGGCATTGTACTTGAAAGGGTTATATAGCTTATCTAACTAATGTAACATCTGCTTGCCATTGCAATACAGTAGTTTCCTGCAACAGTTAGGGTATTATCAACTACAGCCAGAAGGTTGAGAAAAAAAGAATCATCAGGTCTTTACAAGCTACTACTTCATACTTGGCAGCTAAAGCTTCTCAAGCAAGAGAGAAACTGTAGCCATAATGTAGGACTTATTTAATTAGAATATTTGTGTGAGAAATTAAAGGAAACAGGAAAGAAAGAATAATGTTGATCTAGTGTGTGAAAAGAGTCTGGCTTGCAGATAAGTAACTTCCGTTTAGTTAATGCACAACAATTCTTAATTATTATTTTTTAAAGAAACTTTAGCATTGTACAGCAAGCAACTAAACTTAGCTCAGGGAAATATTATTTGGAAAATAAGGTGATTGCATGACAGTTTTAGAAGGATTTAAAGCAGGGAGCACTATCTTCTGGGCAAAAGTATGCCCTGAAATATTTGTGCTCTGACATAGTGCAGTGGGGGATGACTTGTGTAACTGGGGCTTCTGTGATGGGGGCGACTGCAGGGACACTGTCAGCACAAGCTTGTCTTGTGGAAAAGCTTTTGTAGTTATCCCTGCCAAATCTATCACAACAGGGCTTTTCTGCTGTGGTGCCTAATCTGCAGAAACATCTTCCTGCCTGCCACTCACACCCAAAAGCCAAATCTCCAGAATTTTCAGCACCTTCTGAAAACCTGTTTACCCCAGCATTTGTTGGTCATTGTTACCAAGTCATTGAGGGATTGTCTCATTTATTGTGATTCTGCTGCATTTTATTGTATTCACTTTGTTTTTGATATTTTATCGCTTGTTCTATTGTTTGATTCATATTCTTACTGTTGTAATCTGCTCTGGATTATTTATGAAGGGTGACATAAAATACTGCAAGTAAATCAATTGATTTTGCAAGTATCTATATCTATCTAATAGGGACGCGGGTAGCACTGTGGGTTAAACCACAGAGCCCTAGGACTTGTTGATCAGAAGGTCGACGGTTCGAATCCCCGCGACGGGGTGAGCTCCCGTGGCTCAGTCCCTGCTCCTGCCAACCTAGCAGTTCAAAAGCACGTCAAAGTGCAAGTAGATAAATAGGTACCGCTCCAGCGTGAAGGTAAACAGCGTTTCTGTGTGCTGCTCTGGTTCACCAAAAGCAGTTTAGTCATGCTGGCCACATGACCCGGAAGCTGTACGCTGGCTCCCTCGGCCAATAAAGCGAGATGAGAGCCACAACCCCAGAGTCGGCCACGACTGAACCTAATGGTCAGGGGTCCCTTTACCTTTACCTATATCTGTCTGTCTGTCTATATCTATCATCTATCTATCTATCTATCTTCTATCATCTTACTATATCAGGCATAGGCAAACTCAGCCCCCCAGATGTTTTGGGACTACAACTCCCAACATCCCTAGCTAACAGAACCAGCGGTCAAGGATGATGGGAATTGTAGTCCCAAAACATCTGGAGGGCCGAGTTTGCCTATGCCTGATCTATATCATCTATCTCCCAGTCAGGCCCAGCCATAGCCACACTGTCTGGGACTGATGGGAATTGTAGATCAAAACATTTTGAGAGACTACCATACTACATAAAGTGTTCATGCTATGTATTTCCATGACAAGCTGTAAGATAAGACTGCCTCTCTATAAAAAAATTAAATAAACATACTTTACTCCTTTTTTCCACAGCAATTTTTCCTTCCTAGAATTATACTTGCAAAACCCAAATAATACCATTAAATTGCAAGATACATTTGGTAGGCATTACTTCTAAGAATATATTTCCAGCAGTTACACATTTCAGTCTGCCAAGTAAAAGCCACGGAGATGGCATTAGATTTCCCCAAGGACTCTCATCGCCCCCAGTATTTCTTTGTGAGCTCTTTTGGGAGGATGAGAGCATTAGGCCTTTTAGTAATTCCTTTAATGCTATTGAACAGAAATGTACTTTATGATTTCTTTGTAACGTCACAAAAACCTATTTTTCTTATGAAGTCTTGCTTCAACTTTTACAGATAAATCTAGCCCAACTCCTAAATTTCAGAGGTTTTTTCTTTGCTTTCTCATTTGGGATTCAGCATTTAAACTAAAAGGTTTTAGCTCTGTGATCCCTCTGAATGCTATTTATTTATTTATTAAAAAGCAACAATAAATAAATATACCTTTACTGTTCGAATAAAGGAAGCTATAAACTTCTTTGAGGTTTTTTTTAAACTAAAAAGTGCATGTAAAAATAAATGAAATGTGTGACAGAAAACAGATGAAGAGAAAGTGACTCAAGTGAATGCTAAAAGTTTGACACTTTCAAAGAGGCCAGTGGAGATTGTGAGTTACCAAGTGAAATGCAACCATGTACTGTCTGCTTGTCTTGCTTTGTTTTGCCCTATCTCAGAACAGGGCACCATCATGACTAGTGATGGGTTGCGTTTGTCTCAGGGCATCACATGTTGGGCAGGCCAGCCTTCATGGCTGGTAGGATAGAGCTGGCTTTTATTGACATATGTAAGAAGCAACACACATTCATTTCCATAAATCATAAGAAAGGCTGAAATGTTTCCACCAAGAAGACTTCATTTGAAAACTCAGATGCTACATGCTGTGTTGTTGGGCTTAGAAAAGGTTGGGAAATAATGTGGTCTTGGGTTGTTGGAAAGTTCCAATGATAGCATTCCCTAGTCCTGTTCAGGCTCACATTTCAGAACACTTCTGCCACAGCCAGAAAAGTAGACTTTTCAACTGTTTGTACAGGGTTAGGATGCACAACATTAAGCTCAGAGTCCTTTGGCTTTCATGACTCCCAAGGAAAGCCCTTCTCGTTTTTACAGCAGGAGTAGCCATCCTGGAGGGCACCACGTTGGTTACCTCTGGACTTACAGGGTCAGCTGATGCTATGACAGCATCTTATTCACCTTTGATGACGCCAGTACATAACTTGAGTCTAATGTAGGCAATTATTTTTGGGTATTCCCAGTGCTCTTTCCTTTAGCTCACCTGCGATGTATTTTATCAGTCCTACAGTCTGTTGGTATTGCTGTGCTGATACTTGCACAAGACCCTGAAGATTTGCCACCTGTCAAAATAGACCGTATTGAGCTAGATGGATCAGTGGCCCGTATGGCAGCTTTATAAGTTCATGGCTATATGACAGTCTTCTGAAATGCTAATTCATCCACTACTTCCTCCTAGGTTTCTGCTTTCATACTGAGATTTCTTTTGTCCTCTGGGAAATTTGTCTCAGCTTGCAAACTTTTCTTGAGCCTTTATACAAACACTGAAGCCAAGAATTGATTTGATCGTCCTCTTTTATTAATGCCTCCCCTATTTCTCCCATCTGCTATTGCTGTAACTTTGCAGTCCTGTTATGACTTGTTCTCTACAGGTACTGGACCTTTCCTATGAACTTTACAGGGTTCAACACAGGTCTCCTTTTTTCATTAAAAGTTCTTAACTTTTTACTGCCCGTTCAGTTTATTACTCATCTTCCCTTAATCTGAAGGTCTAGTATGCCATTTTCTTAAGTGGAGTTTTGTACTCTGACCATATAAAGGCACCAGAGTGAGCACTCCAGATTGGCTCTGCTGCTTTGTCCATGCACCCCTGTTGTTGCCACTGCCCCCAGCCCCCTACAGCTCTGTGCCAGTTGCTACTGATAGAACCTCAGTTCCTATTAAATTACTAAAAATTGCATAGGATGCAGAGCTGACTTCGTTATCGTGTAGGAGATGGATATGGGCAATTCTGCTGCAAAAATCTGGAGCAACTGCAAAATATTTTGGCTGTTCAGGAGATCGTTTCTGCAGGTCAACAGAATCTATTCTAATCCAAAGCAGGCCTGTCATTGCCATGAGTGAAACCAGTTTGGTTCTTTTGTAGTTAAAGTATGAGCTTAAATATGATTCCTTGGAAGACAATACAAGCAAAATTTATTCAGAGTTCTCTTTCATTACTTTCATCATTTGTGTCCTTTGGTGAGGTGCAGAAATTCATTTTCTGATCAAACTGTGAGATCTTTAAATCCTGCACATATGATTGCTTCTGTTCTTTTGGGTTCTTTATTTACCATTGCTATTAAACGGGGAGGAAAATAACTCTCTCCTTATGGTTCTATTCTTGTTCTGATAGTTTCAGTGATTTTACTTTTTATCACTTATAACATTATATTGAGCATTCCTTGAATTCAACATAACTCAAGCTTGCACTGGCTGTGCATATACTACTGGGCCAGGCTCACGGTTTGTGTATTAATCCCTTAACAACTTGGGTCTAGGATACTTAAAGGACTGCCTTATCCATTATATCCCTTTCCAATCACGGAGGCTTTAGGGAGTCACCCATGGCGCAGACGCACAGCTCATGTCAGCTATAAGCCACGTGCTCAATACTGTGGGCCCAATTTTGTGGAACAGGTCAGACAGGCCCCCTCCCTGTTGAATTCTGACACCAACTGAAGACATATATTTTTTTAATCCAGCAAGTATTTTAACTGAATTCTGATTTTATAGTTTAACTGAATTTTATTGCACCAAGTTTACTGTACACTGTTCAGAGACAAATATAATTAGGCATATATAATTTTAATTAAGCAAATAGAAATTATTATTTAAATTGTTGATATAAAGTAAAAAATAAAGGCAAGGCAAAGCTGTATCTGTACGAAGTATCTCCCCTCCCCCTTCGATACTTTTCAATAGTTTTTTCCTGCTTGGGTTCCTCTTGAGCCCTTGTCCTAAGGGGGGCTCTCTGCAGGCATCCTGTCTAAGCAGCTCTGTGTGTTCAGTAGCCTCTCCTTTCTTCCCTTTGTATGCTGTGGTGAGAACAGGATGCTGGACTAAATAGGACATTGGCCTGATCCAGCAGGGTTTTCTTGCATTCTTATGTAGTGTATCTCCCCTCCCCACTCCGGCATAATACAATTATAGGATTTCTCTGTCGGCAAAACAAAGGAGGTCTATCACTAAGGACAAATTGAAAATTGGTTCTTCCTTCCGTTTTGCCGTGCGTATTTAGAAATTCAGTTGTTGCAAGCAAGAATAGAAGCTTTTGAAGCTTTCTTCACTAATTAGCATAAAACACTCATTATCTCTGGACTCAGCTAGATTGGTAAAGAAAAAGCGATATATATGCATTAGATATCCAGAAAGGGGAGGAGGAGAATGGCTATTTCAATTCCAGACTCAGCTCTGCAGTGAGGTGACCTGCAACTCGGGAGGTATGAAATAACTCTTAAGTGGCAAAATGTTAGCTTCTAGCTATTTACAAAGTGCTAGCGAATGCTCACGTGGAACACCAGAGGTGTTGAAAGCATGTGCTATGTATGAAAATACTCTACAAAACATGAAATTGCCATCAACGGTAATGGCTGTTTTTAAACAGAAAGAATGGCAATTCAGAGAACTGTCTAGAGTATTGAAAGCAGTTGAGCCACATCTTCTGTTCTTGATGTAGATTCATTTATGGAATGATGTAGATTCATTTAGGGAATGAGATGTATTCCCATTAATACTTAAACGCATTCAGGTTCTTTCCTTAATACTTTTGAAATGCTGTTTCCATCTCTGTGTTCATCCAGTTATTTAAATTGCTTGTTAGGCTGTCAGATTGTCATACAGGTTTTAATTTCCTGCAGGCTTTGCTAATTTAATCCCTGTACAACTTCAGTTTAGCTGTCTTTGTTGAACCCAGCAAGGCTTCTCATAATTAAAAGTCAGAAACTACATACAGTCTTGCATTTCTAAGGTTAATAAATACAAATGATATTTTCATTGCCATATTCTATTAAACTAATCAGTTAAGGTCTTGAGCATGCAATGCTTAAATTCACTATTTGATGGAGATGGACTGTTCTCGGTATATACACCTATACCGAGAATAGTGTAAACCATCCACTTACGTCATAACAACTAGAATTACTTTTGCTATCATTAGTGCCCTTTTCCAAGCCACTATAATCACAAAAACGGCTGATGAGATCCCTATGTAACTGAACAGTTCAAACCAAAGTTTATCTACGTGATTGTATACCTAAGTTAAGTGTGTCATCAAATGGTGAAAATAAGCACTGGGGCTTATTAACTATAAGAAAACAGATATGGATTTCTAGATTGTGAAATGGTTTCACATCCTGTAGTGGCAACAGAAATTCGACTGTGTACACACCATACATTTCTAGCACATTTAAAGCACATCACTTACCTCAAAGAAACTTGGGAACTGTAATTAGTTAAGGGTACAGGGCATTGTGCTCTGTGAGGGGTAAACAATGGTTCCCATGATTTTCTGGGGTAATTCATATGCATTAAATATATGACATGTAAATTCTAGCAGTCTAAAACAGGACTAAGAAACCATGGGGGTAGGGAATACAGTCTGCCAGGCCTCTCTGTCTGGACCTCAGGACTCTTACCTATTTCCTTACCTTTATTTTATTATATTTGTATCCCACCTTTTTTCCTAGAACCAAGGCAGTCACCCATCCAAGCACCAACCAGAGCCATACCTGTTTAGCATCGGCAAGGTGGTGGCCTCATGTGCTTTCAAACTATACCCTTCAGACCAAACCATGGGAATATACAGTGTGTACCCACCCTCTCTTTCCCAGCCATTCTGCTTGAGTGCTTTTGCCTGGCTGGAATGTGTCCTTAAACTGATAATAGTTTTAGTAGTAGTAGTAGTAATAATAGAAGTAATAATAATTTATGATTTGTACCCCGCCCGTCTGACAGGGTTGTCCTAGCCACTCCGGTTGGCTTACAACAGAATATCAAAGAACACAACAAAACACACACACACACAAAAGCTTCCTGATACAGGGCTGCCTTCAGATGTCAGTGCCACAACTTTCACTCTCTGTCCTGAGATTGCATTTTAATAACTCAGAAAGAACACTCTCTCTTTACTCTGATGCAACATTTAGTGTTGTTCCACTGAAGTTGTTAGCATTTTTCCTGTAAACCACTAGACTGGTAACTACCTAATCTCTTTCCCATTTCATTTTAATCTTTCTACTGTGCTTTTCTAGAACCACTTTTCAGTTACAAAAACACTTGTTTTGCTAAAGAACAATGATTGCCTTGTTTTCAGTCATTACTCTCTTCCTACATTGTCCACAATATGGTCATTCTTGCCAGATACTGTAAAAATCACAATGTATTCAGCATGTACGAGACAGCAGTTTTACAAGGTGGTTTCTCTTTGTGATTTTTCCTCTTCCCTCTTTTATATGCCTGCTGCCAAGCATTTCTGTCCACCATCTTCAATGACTTCATCTCTCACTGAATTCCCTGTTCATGGCAGTTTATGTGCCCTTATGATACGCTGTGCCTCCAATTCCAGATGGCTCAGAATTTCCCTTCTTTAGATGTCTTGGAATATATTTGAGGGCTGTTCCCTTTTGACCAAGTCACTTTTTGGTTCAGGGCTTATGTAGGTACTTCACAACAAGAAAAAGGAGCAATTATATTTGTGATAATTTACAATATAAATTTACACTAAACCAAGAGCGCTTGCACACAAACCATTTACAGTGCCGTAGCTATTTGTTTCAGTGTTTCTTGGAGTTAAATTTGTATGTCACTGTTTCATGGTATGTGATTGCCTTGTTTCCTGTCCACACGAACTAGTAAGTGGTCAGAGTTATGAGCATGGACACAGAGCAGTGATAGTCCTTAAAAAGGGATTTTGTGTGTTTGTGATGCTGAGGTATTTAACACCTGTTATTCCAGAATTATGTTTGGGGGTGGTGTTAGATGGCAAGAATTTCTTGAGTTAACTGCTTTAGTCTGAGATATGCATAACTTGTCAGAAGAGGTTGATGAAAGCGGGAAAGTGTGAAATGGAAGTTGCTCAAACCACACACTCCAAAGGCCACACAAAATGTGGGAAATTGCATAAAACAGCTTCAACACAATAAAAATATTGCAGAACTATTTTAGATCTTTGACAAAAAAAAAATTGGCTGTAGAAGAAAAGATGGTTTGATGACTGCAATATTCCAGAATAGCGATGGAATAATAACAAGGTCATGTGGAAACGCATGGAAATTTTTTAAAAAGACAGCAACAATAGTGCTACAATTTATATGTCTGGAAGGGACACAAACCTCTTCTCAGAAGCTCCACAATATCAGTTTCCTCTGCCCCTCCACTTTACAGAAGAATTGTCTTCTGGTGCTTTCACTAATCCTGATCCTGGTAGATCGCAGGATCCTTATTGTGTACAAAAAGTTACGGGGTAAAAGCTAAAAAAACTCTGTTCAATCCTCCACCCCCCCCCCAAGCCCAACAACTCTGGGCACCTCAAAAAAAGCTCAACAACCCTGGGCAATCCACCCACCCCACGCCCGCTCCTCCTCCCTCCAATGACAATGGGTAGATCACTGCCAGTTTTTTTATACTGGGAGTAGATCACAGTCTCTTGGGAGCTGGACATGCCTGCGCCCATCTCTTTTCTGTTGCCTTGATTAAAGCACAGACTCTTTGGATAGCTGTGTAATTCCTGGCCTCTTGTGGTAGAGCAGGTGAGAAACCAAATGTAATCATAACCTAAATTGTTTTGTTCAGTCAATATGAAAACAATATTCCATAAATACTCCGAATGGCTATGCAATATCTATAACTTCATTAAGTGGCCCGGTGCAACACTTTATGTTTACTTTTATGTTTAGCTTGCCTATTAAATGTGCAGAATCCATATATATATAAAATGAAGGAAATTTAGCTGAAATTACAAAGCACTGCATATTTCCCCCTCACTGTCTCAGTGCTAATATTTGCCTCACTTGCTTCACTTACGGCTATCAAAGAGCTTGCTTTAGGAGGAAAGAGCTTAGTAAGTATATATGATACAGCAGAGGCAATAGAAAATTAAACACACCCAAGAGGCTCTGCTTTAAACTGTGTATTTTGCAAGCGCTTTGTACATTAGTTCTCAATAAGCTTCCTTTCCTCTTAGTTCCAGTGAGACATGCTGTGTTATATTGCCTTTGATTTCTAGAGTTCAATGCTCTCAAGCCACTGAGAAATTATGCAGTTTTCCACCTCCACAATAACAATTATAAAGAATGTAGTAACGTAATCCAATCACATTACTCCACTTTTTAAACACTTAACAGTGTTACTTAGACATCTGAAGCCCTTCCCACACTTCCTTTCCCTTTGTACCATATGATAAAAAGGCAATATGCATGATCCAGCCAAAGTTAAGCACTCTGAATTTCCATAGATACAATGGGAGCATATTTAACATTTACAGCCTGCTTTACTTTCCCACTTAAGTCAGTGGGACTTTACATTGCATACCTATTGGCTTGATTGTACTTTTGATTTTTTAAAAAATTACATTTAGTATGTACTTTCGGTTAGACAAAAATAACCAGCCAATTGTCCAGACAGTTTTTGGCAATAAAAATTATTCAACATGAACTGAATAATTAATGTAAATAATGATAAAGTAATGTATATTGTAGTTGGGTTAGAAATTTGCATTCCCCCCTCCCTCACCAAATTGTTTAGCTTTTGTAGCCTAAACTCAGGGTGGGGCTAGAAGTTATTAGCTTCTTAACACTCTCCCTGCCTGGCAGTTTTTAATACTCACCTCCAAGCTGTCTTTCAAAGGCAGAAGTGAGTCCTGCTGTGGGATAAATGGTTGGGAGGCATTTGTAGGTGAGAATCAGCTGGTGAAGTAAAGATTTGGAACACAGGAGTTGTCCTAGGTTGAGTCAGGTCAACACTGACTAGAAGTGGCTCATCTGGTTATACTGGGGATCCTTCACAGTCCCACCTGGGCATACCAGGGATCAAACCTGTGACTTCTGCATGCATAGTAGGTGTTCCACTTTTGATGGGTTGCGCTTCCCATTTTTCAATCCTCATATTTTGGCAAATTCAGGGATTGTAGCTATTCTTAGCAGAGAAAAAGAGACATTGCAAAATTGGAATGCAGCAGAAAGATCCAACTGAGAGACAGTGTATTGCAGTCTTACAAGATATCAAGTTTCCAAGCTTTCAGTTTACACTGTTGTTGTTGTTGTTTTGTATTGTCTCAGAAATAAGCCCTTGGAGCAAATCTTGTACATTGCTATAGGGAAACAAATCCAATTTTCAAAGTCCATAAACTTTTTAAATGCCCATTATCTTTATTGTATTTATGAACCAAAAGGCAATATAACAAAATAGTTTAAATTGAGAATATGATTCAAGAAGCATAAATATAAGTTTGAACTAAATAAATTAGGTCTAATGTGTTTTGGGGCATGAAAATGAACGCTGGGGAGCTCTTGTAAACCATCTAGACATCAGTTATGAACCTGCAGTTAATATTTTTAAGAAGCAATTGTAGTTTGGTTTAAAAATCTTTTAATGCCTTTCTTTACTGGCATAGCTTACCTAAAGGCATATAATTTGAAGGTCAGCTTTTACTGTTGTAACCAGTAAATCTCAGGTAGAAACAAACAACAGCTGATAGCAGAAGGTTTGGCATTATCCTCCTTAAGCGACCAAAGCTTGAAATTGTTAGCAGAGGAACATTTTGCTTGGATACATACAAGGGAAGTGTGCTAGTTATCTAAGCCAGTTTGTACATCCTACAGCCTGTGCCTATGATTCATGATGGAACTGCATGGTATTGCAGTTCCCCATATTAAGAAGCTTGTTTCTGTTACCAGCAGCTACACACATAGGTTGTTACATTTGTGAATTGAGGCTTAGCTGACATAAGAAATCTATGAGCTGATTGCCTATGTCTTTTTCTTTGCTTGAAAGTAGATTCAGGGGAGGTCAGTTTGGACTTATCCAAAGCTACTGTTAGCCCCCTAGGGGAGGGGTGGAAAGGGCAGATACTACAGAGACTTACCTGCCTTTTCATCCCTTTATGACTAAGAGCAGTTTAGAAGGCAGGGGCGATTCTGATAGAGAAAAAGGCACCAAGATTAGCCCCCATGCCCCAGCACTGTGATCCCAAGTCCAAACTGCCCTTTCCCAATGGATGGTCCAATCACATCATGACTAGTTTAGCCCCAGAGAGTTTAAGAAAATGTGCTTTGAAACAACCAATTAATGAATAGGTTCACATGTAACAGTTTTCCAGAGTAATTTATGGCCCCTCCCTTAAAAACACCTCATTTTCTCTCCACGATGCAATTCTTATATCCACTATCTTAAATTCAATGATCGTTGAGTAAGGGAGTAATTACAATTAATACTTTTTTTTCATAAGGAGGTTCTAACCAATTATTTCTGTCTGGAATGACCAAAGTAGTTACCTTCAGTTGAACAGGCAAACTATCTTAGGTAACCTTGTAAGCATTTGCCTTCATGAGAAAGCGATCTGACAGCAATAGGTAGATTGACCTACAAGTCAGTAATGGAAGAGATAATCTTTAAAGCTGAAATACCATACTTACTTACCTTGGAGTAAATCCTATTAAACAGGGAGGCTTACTTCTGAATAGACATGTATAAGATTGTGCTGTAAAGTATGTGGGGCATAAGCTGTTTTGCCTGATTAATTTGTGCTGCAAGTACTCTATTCAAGGTCCTGGGTTCACATATTGGGTACAGCTGGGAAACCAAAGGCTGAATCTGCAGGGCCTGTTCCAGAGGTCACTAGATTACACTCAGACTGTACCTTTAAGGGGCTATATAGCTCAGTAGTAGAGCACTTGCTGTACATAGGTTCCATCTTCAAGTAAAATACGTCAAACAGCAGCATTAGGGAGAAGGATTGTCTGAGACCACAATCTGCTGCCAGACTGAACCATTAGACCCTTGGTCTGGCTCAGTGTAAGATGACTTACTGCATTCTTATGTGACTCCAGTACATTTAGTAAACCATCCTACATCTCTAGTTATTATTAGCTGTCTTGAAAAGGATTCAAAATAAGGAGAGAAACTAGGCTGAGTTTTAATACCTATGCCACTTTCCTCCACCACTGTAATTCCCTTGTCCAAGACACCTGTGTATATACTGTCCACTTCTATTATAGTAACTGATGACAGCCTGAGGGACAGAGCAAAACAACTTGACTAGTGCATCATTGGCAATGCTGGAAAAAAAAGAAACGACAACACAGAACTTAAATGTCTAAGAACTGATTCGGGGAGGAGAAATGGAGAGGAGTAAATAGATTTCTTCTGTCAGAAACGCTCAGCACAACTTTCATTACATTTTAAAAGCAGTTAAAATGCATTCATAAGCCAGATTGACAGCATGGCCCTCCTCCTTCATTTTTTATCACATAATACTAACTAGTCACCCACTCAGCACAAAGCAAACCTTCTCATTACTCACATATTAGCCTCACAGCAAGAGAACTTCCAATTAAGCATGGCAGTTTTCTCAGAGTATTTTGGGGGATGGGGTGGGGGGAACACACAGCACTCATCCAGTTGCTGATTTGTACAAAGCGGGAACATGTTTTAAAATTGGTTTAATGAACAGACTTAATCAAAGCAGTGTAGACCAACCCTGTTCATATTTAGTTGAAAGTATGTCCCATTGCTCTGTGGATCTTCTATGTAAGTATGCAGAGGATTTTGTTTCATTTCGGTGTGCTCAGCTATGCCTAACTCTGCATAGCATGGGACTCTAAGCTGTGGTCCTTCAGATACTTACTAGGGAGACTTATTTCAAATTAACAAGTGGTAGGATGCAGTTGTTAACTACGACATCTGAGAGGACCAGTTTTATTCAGTGGTCCCTAGGCATCTCCTGCTTATTTTTGAAGCCAATACTCTTTCCCAGCTCTGTTTGGAGATGCAGGGATTGAACCAGAGGCGTTCTGCATGCAAAGCAGGTGCTATACCTCCAGGCTGTGGATCCAAAGCTTTAACTGAGATACAGCTCATTATTTTAGTCTCTTACCAATCGTAATTCATTGCAAGTTTACATTGACACAATGTTAAGTCTTTGCATGCCTAGATAAAGTGACTATAGATAAGGAACTTGAATTTTTAGAGCATTTGTTTTGGGTTATGTGACCACTATGTTAATAGGACTGGAGAAATGTAGTATTGTTGCTACCGGGTTAGGACGAATGCAGCTTAGTCACATGATAATCTAACGCCATCAAGCAAATTATTAAACTACCATATAAGAAGAACTGATAAGAGTCAGTTCAGTAGCTCTCCAATGATCTCCTTCAATTATTATTTGAATTAACTTTTAGAGAGAATGTATATGTACTGTTACAACCCAAATATTATGTTTATTATTTTAGTATTATTTTATTATTATTTTATACCTGGAGATCTCAGTGCAGTTCACAGCACAGAATTACAATATAAAAAACACAAAATACATAACACAACAGAAACAAAGACAGCTCAACGACAAACCTACCTATACAACGCTGACACAAACCTCACACATACACTATGTGAAAGAACGAAAGTGTGCTACCCCCCTTCTCTCTCCCCCCACTCTTCTCCTCCAACCTTATACTGTATACAGTATTAAAGTCTCACGTGAAATATGACTGATCTATAGAAAGGACTTTTATGATCTGAAAATTGAGTTGATGTATGTACGTTAGTAACCAAAGAAAATCTTTAATAAAAACATTAAAAAAAAATAACCCTCCCTTCCACAGCACATTTTAAATGGGCATTAGATGTCAATAAGCCAAAGGCCTGGTTAGAGAGGAATGTTTTTGCCTGTGATCACTTGTATTTATGGTGCTTCATATCATTGATATAGTTGGACTGCCCATAGAGGGTCATATATGGCATCCTGGTTTCACTATAGCGATGAGAAGCAGGTCTGTGGCTTCTTTTTGATGGCAAGTTATTTGAGAACCATGTTTGATTGCACAGGCTTTAGCCAGCACTATGGGAGGAAAAAGGGAGTGAGCAAGCCACCTAACTTAGCATGTGCTGCCAGAAAATGAACATTTTTAGGTTTCCTCTGTTATTTTGTTACTTTCAAAATATCAAAATAGAGGCATCAGAACGTAAAGGTTAAATCAATTTAAAATGTTCATAAAGGTTTTCAAAAACAGGAAACATTTATTGTAATGGTATTTCTGGAGCAGGGGACAATGGCACATATTTAAAAACAGTTATTTTTGTTAACCATAAACTGCTAAGAGGACCTGGCTGTAGCTCAATGATAGCTTTGCTGGCAGAAGGTCTCCGGTTCAATCCCTGGTGTTTCCATGAAGGGCTAAATCAGAGCTTTCCAAACTTTTCATGTTGTTGATACACTTTTTATACATGCATCATTTTGTGACACAGTAATTCAGTTTTACTAGCAAACTAACCCCTTTCCAGCCCCGGGAGGAGTGTGGTGAATATTCGCATGACACATCTACACACTGCAACCAACACACTAACATGTCACAACACACAGTCTGGAAATCTCTGGGCTAAATAGTATTAGAAGTATAATAACATTATTTAGCCACCATTATAAAATAAACCAATTATTTTGGGGAATGTTGCTTAGTTAGACACAATTCTTTCAAAGAATTATTAACAGATTTCGGCTGGAAATATGGAACTCTTTTTGGATTAATGCTTCTAAAATTCAGAATGTATTTATTACTCAGTGACTTGGCCAAGTTTTATTGTTCATTTTGAAAACAGTTGAGATAAACAAGAGATGGCCCCATAGTTTATGTGGCCTTTCACATGCTGCAACTGCTGTGGTTTAATTTCAACCAGGAATGGGGGACTCGTGAATCCCACCAGCCCCAGCTTGTGTGGCCAATGGTGAGGGATGATGGGAATTGTAGTCCAAAGGCATTTGGAGGGCAACAGACTCCCTATACCTGATTTAAACATTTGGTAAGCTGTTGTAAGAGAATTGTACTTGAAAGTCATTCCAGCCAAAGCCCGCTAACCTATTTTCTTTTAAAGTAATGCAGGACAGGCACTGACTGAGTTTATGATGCAGCTGCCAGAGACGGCTATTCTCTGTAATAACAGGAAAGTAGTGACTCCATAGTGGGAGAATATGGCTCCATGGTGGGAGAATTGGAGTGCAAATACACAAGATTGTTCCTGTTCATTTGTGAAGTGTTACAGAATATGATCATATCCTAGCAACACCTTAATATATGCAAAAAGGAGGGTTAAAACAAATAATTTTGCTTAGTACTGCTGCTAGCAACTAAAACTAAAAACATTGCTTTAGACTGAGCACTCGTCTGTCTCTTCAAGAAAGCTAGGCTTCAGAGTGTTGGGATTAAGGTCTGCATCAAACTGCACAGTGGAGTGTTAGCAGGAAAAGCAGGAGAGGCCCACTAAAATATAAATGAGCTGCTTGCCCTTTGGATTCATTCTTCATGAAACGAAACATTAATCCAAAATGAAGAACGACCTGAGGTATAGGGGTTCTGCCAGATGGAGTCAACTGGAAATTAAAGCTGCTCCAATGTTGGTGGGCAAGGCAAACACAGGAAGCTAAGGAATATTATTTTTGTCAGATGAAAGCATGCACAGCAGAGAACATGCATAGTGCCATGCAAGACCAGCAGCCTGATCTTTGGCAATTTTGCTTTGTGGAATGAGACTTACTCTCAACTAAGTGTGCTTCAGAATTCCGCTTGGGAATAAGTAGGAGGTTGACTTGGTGTGGATTTATGTCCTGCTTCCTCCCGTTCAATTCCTTGGAAAAATTACTTTGACATTCTATGCTCCCTGCCTGACAGAAAGTGGGAATAAACAAATTCCCCATCAGTTTGAATCTGAATTGCTCATTGATTTTTTAACAGTGATTCTTCTGTCCACACTAGTTACTTAGAATACTGTTAAAAATGTGAAAGGTGTGATCTTTTGAGGCTTTTCCAGAGACTAGTTACCCGAAAGTATGACATTGACTATTTGTGTTGCAAAGGTTTATGTTTTATGTTTTCATCTTAGTTCATTTTTCCTGTAATATTCATGTATTATATGGATGGGCGAGCTTCAAGCTTGTGGGATCTGTTTGTTTGCTTACTAGAGCCCTCAGATCCATCAGCTGGGGGACAAGTGTTTGCATAGGGACTCAGTGGGGGAGACATTCACTTAAAGGTAAAGAGGACTTCTGAATACATCCTCCCCCAGGAATTTGTTTTTGTTACCAAATGTGAGTTCTTAGTTTTTCACATAAAAATTCATGTATGGCTCCCGCCCCCCATCTCCCTTCCTAAATTTCTTCATTTCAGCAGCATTTAGTCTTTATTTTTTATAGTTTTCATTTATATACATTACAACAATTATTTAACCAAGTTTTAACATTTTCAATTTTGACTCCCTCCCCCCTCTTTCTGCGGTTCCTTACATTTATTTTCATCCTTTCCTGCATACTTCAAATTGCCTTAACTTATTCTTTTAATCGTCTACTCTCATATATATCTCATATCTATTTTTTTAAACTGCAGGTTTTTACAATAATCCTGCCAATGTCTCGATCTGTTTATAGTTTGTTTATAAATACTCAATAAACTACTTCCATTCCTTCTAAAAGTTTCTTATTCTTCTGTTAAGTTTTGCCATTTCTGCATACTCCATTGGTTTCTGCATTCAATCTTCTTTCTTTCGGACCTCTTCATCCTTCCACTTTTGGGCAAATAACATTCTTTAATCGGTGCTTTTTTTCTGGGTATACTCAAGGGTATGCAGTACCAACACCCCCCCAATGGTAAGAGTGTTGCAATTACTGTAATAGCTTCATGGTGAGTACCAGCACCATTTTTTCTTAAAACAAACAAACCACTGTTAATCCTTAAGGTAATACCTGGTGGTCACAAGCCTTTGCTGTTCTCCTTCCATCTACATCAGTCCCCGCACCTTCCTCCCCCAGAATACAGGAGCTTCCACTTTTATTTATTTATTATTTTAGAGGGGGGTACAAATAACTTGATGAAATAGGTGTGCAGGGCCATTCCTAAAGAATATTGCCCATTGTGGTGGAAGGAAATGAAAGAGGGGTTTTGTGCTGGTTATAATGGATAAACTACAACATGTTCCCCATTTTGTATGGGCAAAATAGAAAGATTTCTGCTTGAATAGACATATTTAATTGTGTTTTAATATAAGTTTCTTCGAGAGCCCACTGAACAAAACCAGTAAGGTATAATGGATAGAGTGTTCAACTTGGACCAAGGAGATCTGAGTTCAAATCCTCACTCTACCATGAAACCCAAAATAAAATCATTACCTTTCAGTCTAACTTATGTCACAACATTGTCGTGAGAATATAATGGCGCAATCCCAATGTAAATCATCGGTATCCTAAGTATCTTCTTGGGAGGGTAGGTAACAAATTTAAACAATATTACTATTTGGGCACATATATTTGAAAAATACATTATTCATATCAATAGCTTGCTATATTGTTATTTTAATCTGATTGCACCAACCATTGAAAAAATAAAGGAATGCAATGCCTACTCCATCATTTAAATAGATACGGAATGGCTCAGAGAGAGGCAGGACAAGGGCTGTTGGGGGCTTAATGGCTAAGGCTTACATTTATTGTGCTTCTGTAAACTGGCTGGGATTGCACCATTATGTTTTGGTACTTCAGCAATGCAAGAAAGCAAAACAGGTGTGCAGGCAATAATATAAGGACGACAGTAGTAACTGCTGCAGTGCCTTTGGTGTAGTGGATAATTGTCGCTTGTTCTTGCAACGTTCTTTTCCCCTCTATTTGGAATCATGGGGCACTACGTGCCTGAATGATTTTCTGTAGCGGTGTCTCTGCACAAGCCTACTCAGTTGGTTCACTACAGTAAAACAGAAGTGTGATTGATGTGTTTTGTTGTAGGGAATAAAGGAAGCCAATGCAGATTCTACTGTGGTTCCATGCTTCAGCGACGTTTGATATTTATAGGAATATTCCACCTGGCTCTAAAAGACTTTGTATAATACCATAACATTCAGATAAATAACCAAACCTGTTTTGGAATGTCTGATTGCCTTCTGTTTTATTACTAGTTTGATGCTGAGAGAGATGAGGAAGAAGTATTCAAAGACATAAGCATGGCAGTTGACAACAAACTGTTTCCTCCTAAAGAACCTGTTGAAGGTGAGTTGATTATTAACCCCCAAATACTGTAGGCCCAGCCTTGCTTTCACAATGTAACAGATTTTCAAGATCAAAATATATTACTGCTTCAGAAAAAGTATATTAATAAAAAAAATTAATGTCATTGATTTTAGGGGGTTCCATGTCTATTATGTATGCACTAATATGTGACATTTTCTGAGCACTATTAATGTTCTGTTGATATACAATATATAATGTATGAGACAGGGATGGTTCACATATTCCCAAATTCATACTTGAAAAGTGCTACCATAAAGGATTTTTAAAACCACATTTGGATCATAATGTGTTAAGTGATCATCACACATTATAGTGTATAAAGATGAATTGACCCATTTCTCTCCTGAATATGATTTGTGTGTAAGATTTAGCAGTGTGAAAAGCAGCCCAAAGTATTTTTTCCTGGTAGCAGGCCTTTTTCATACTAAAAACACAAAAACCCACTGGTATTAATTAGCATACTATAATATTGTATGTGTGTGCATGTGCACTGTGTGATTTGTTTACAGTTTTGTAAACCTGCGAAATGCAAAAATAAAAAATAAAAAAGATACTAAGCAGGTCTTGCGCTTCGAGGACTTCAGGTAACCCTTCAGAAATAAATTCACACAGACTCATATTTTAGTTTAACGTTGATGGGCAAAATTTAGGCCACAACTTTATTGATTACACAATGTGAGCGGTATTGGCTTAGGCATTGACAAACTATAACTGACTCCTGCCCACCCCACAGGAGGTCTGGAAGGGTAAACCAAGCAAGGGAGCTACATCAATGCAAATTGACTGTAGCTCACCCCAGAGTTCCTGTGGTTCTGGCATGGCCCTAGCCCTTCAAGCGGACTTCAGACGAGATCCAGGACCCCCAGATTCCTGTAACGGAATACCCTTTTCATGGAGGGGCAGGTGATGGCCACACCTCACCTCCCCCATCCACAACTAAGTCAGTGCCTAACCGCCCAACCTTACAAAGTTGTGACAATTGCTGGGAGGTAGGCAAAAACCAAATGGCCAGTGCCAATCTGCCACGTGGACAAAATTCCTACCAGGCTCCTGCCACAAAACAGGTGACCAACCGAAGTCCCAAGCAAGGCCAAAGCACAGAAAACCAAAGAGGGCGGGTGGGTGGGTGTTTGGCCGCGCGAAGCAAGTGGCTCTGATGCATCACACTGCCGTTTATAAATCCTCCTCCTCCCCCAACCCGCAAATCAATCTGATTGGGTGTCGCAACTGGCGCGATCGTGGGACCGCCCCAAAAACAACCGGGCTATGCCCAACCTCCAGATGCTGTGGGGGCCCCAAGGTCCTGTGCGCAAGCAGGACACTCCTTGAAGAGGATCCCATTTGTCAAAATTAGTCAAACTATCATTTTAACCTCTACCTCTATTTTATTTGAACTATTTCTTCTGTCAAACAGAAATAAGATATTAAAGAGAAATCCTTAATTATGATTCTTCCTTTTCTGTTAGGGTGAGGGAAACCTATAAAAAGCTGAACAAAAGAATTAAAAGCCAAAGAGCCCTTTGCTTACATCAAAGATTTTAATAAAGCAATATTTTAACTCAGTTACCTCCACTACTAATAATTTCTTCCTGCAGTGTATCTATTCCAACCTGCAGACTTTCAACAGAATGTTTTTGTAGCATATCCAAGCCTTTGCATCTTAAATTCCAATACTGTAATTGGTAGGAAGAAATGGTTTTTAAAGGAAAAAACTACTGGCGGTCTTCAAAGATGACAATATATTCTTATTCATTGTTGCTTCCTAACATATAATAAGGCTGTTGCTAAGGGCAACAACTTGTCATGAAATTCTGCAGTTTAAATATATATATATATTTAAAGAATGAATTAGAAATACCTGAGGATAAGAATGAAACACTTTTATCATTCTGATGCCAATCAATCTATAATAAATTGTTGTCTTAACAAGACAGCGTCTTGCTGTCTTCATAATTTCAAACCACTTTTCTAGCATTCTGTGTGTCAACACAAGACTTTAAACTTTAAAGCTGTTTATATGTATCTCATTATATATTTGTCCATAAACAAAAAGGGCATATAGATGAGCAGTATCTCTCTTGGAGGTTATTTACAGTCGTTTTTCAAATCAAAAAATGAACAGATAAGATAAAATTGAAAACATTCCTTAAAGAATTGCCATCAAAAGCAGAGTATAAGTTACAAACAAAAGTAGTGCTGAACTGTGTAGGGCAAAATAAACTGGCTTTGTGTCAGGCAGAAATACACATGTCAGTGATCATGAGTTCCCAGATGTGTGGTTTCCAACATTAATAAAAGGAGAATAAGCACTTACAGCAAAGGATTACCATAAAGGTGGTATGGTTACTTTTTCCTATCCCTGCCCATTTCCTCCACTGCAACTCCACCTCCCTGGTGGGCTTCTGGCCTGGGACTCCAAAATACTAGGGACAGGAGGGAGGAGGTTCAAAACAACCTGGAGAATATTCGCAACAAAATATTGGTAGCCAGGAAAAAGTTAAGCTGACTAGGTGGAGAGTAAGTATATATTAGAAACCAGGAGCTGTTGATACCATTTTCTCAGAGCAGCAGACTAAGGAGAGGATTGTAGACTACTGAGAGGCTCCTTAAGGTACACCTGCCCCATTATAACTCCCTTTGTTGCCACTGCATTTGAAGGGGAGCAGAGTCAGAGGTTGTAGCAGCTGGATATCAGCCTGAGAGAGGAATCCTTGCCACTACATAGAAACAGATTGACCGTGTGAAAAAGAGGACAGGACTCTTGCACATTAATTGTTGTGTAGGAGAGGGAATTTCAGTAGGCATAGCTGGAGGAGATAGGGCCAGTGAGTGTGTCAGTATATTTGAGAATTGTTTTCTGTTTTGGTTTGTGGACTGGAATCCACCTTTACTATCCATGGTAGATAAAGACAGTTTGGGAAGCAGATTGTGCAGTTGAGGTATGGTTACCAGACGTCTCTGTTTCCCGGGGACAGTCCCCGGATTTGCAAATCTGTCCCAGGATTTATATTTTAAGTGTTGTAGATTTATTAGTAGGGAATGAATGTTGCGTGATTGGTTCAACGGCACAAGACACATCATACGGGGACTTCCGGCGAGGCAAAATGGCAAAACGGCAGCGAGCAGCTCCTGAAGCCAGCCAGAGCCAACTGTGCTACCAGGCTGGCTCCAGGCTGCTGAGACTGCCGCTGCCACTGCTGAGGGGGAACCAGGGATGCCCGGTGCATCAACTGGGGGAACCGCTGACCCCCGGCCCACCGCGACCCAAATCAAGCTGGGAGCAAAAGCGTCTGGCCACCCGACTGACTGCCCAGTGGTGCTCCGGGGCCAGGAAAACCCCAGAGCCAACGCAGGGAGAAGTTGGAGAGGAGGAGGAGAATCATAGAATCATAGAATCATAGAATCATAGAATCATAGAATCATAGAGTTGGAAGAGACCACAAGGGCCATCGAGTCCAACCCCCTGCCAAGCAGGAAACACTGCTTGGAAGGAAGAGAGAGAGAGAGGAAGGAGAAAAAAGGGAAGCCCCAACCTTGCTGTACCACTGCCACTGCTGAGGAGGAGAAGTAGGAGAGCACTGGGAGTTCAAGGACATGTGGCCGAGCCAAGGCCCGACCTGAGCCTATACTCCACGGTGGCTAGCGCCACTGGCGGACGAAGAGGAGTGCAGGGGAGCGCACCGCCCCCCGGCAGCGCGATCCTGGCAGGGTGCCATCACGGCTGCCCCCCACCTCTACCTGCTCCGCCACTGGCTGGTGCTCCAAGAGAGCAGGCCAAGGCCCAGGGGAAGGCTGCGCGACAGAGGAGACCACAGAAGAGAAGATATTACTTCTTTTTTAAGTAACTTTTTTTAAAATTATTTTTTTTTCTCTCTCTTTTAAAAAAAAAGCGTCCCCGGATTCTTTGAAAAAAATCTGGTAACCTTAAGTTAAGGTGAAGTGATACAGTTATGGTAAAGCGATCTGTTTTAGATAGTAAAGGGTGATGAGGGTGATAGATGACAGCAGACATTAGTGTCTGAATGGCGCTGCAAGATGTATTAGAAGTGTTAGCCCTAGCAGGGGAGGTGGATCCATTTGATCCCTTTTTCGGCCAGTGACATATCTTGGCCTCACTGCAAAGCAGGTCCTTCCAGGAGCAAAATGTTGAAGAGCAGGGGTACTTTCCACATTCTTCCCCCTTTCACATTTGAACTCGTCTGATAATAACAAGAGAAGCAACATTAAAGCATGGTAAGGAGTTGTTCGACCGAAGCATCTGTTCATGAAGACGTATCCTTGGTGACAAACATTCTGCAGCTGAGAAAGCAGGAGAGTGCAGAACGAGGTTTATGAAGGAGTGTTAGAGCTCCAAGCAGGACATGCAGCAATGCATGAGAACTAGCCCAATGCTCATAATGGTTGGCTGGATGAAGGAGGCTAGAAGGTTCCACACAGCAGGAGCAAGAAAAAATGATTGTAATTTTCAGCACAAATCTTAGTGTTATCCTATCGGAAATGGCCTCCATTTATGCCCTTTTAAGGAACTGATTATTTTGATAAATACGAAGCAGCTTGATTTAAAGAAAACCACATAGTCTGAGAAAGATGCCTAACAACACCGAAAACATGTTCACTGTCTAAATTGACCAGAATCTCCTTCCTGTCCCCCTGAAACTATGCATACTTTGACTTGTACAGTCTCTCCCTCTGTAGAGTAAAGCTGAGAACACTAGCAGTTCCCCTTGGCAATTAATGAGAATACTTTTTTTAAAAAAAGCCTTTCTGTGCTTCACTACAATTGGAACTAAATTTGAACAGTAGAAAATTAAGAAAGAAAATTGCCTTCAAAACTTTTATTTATGTTAAAGATGTGAAGCACGTTAATTATGAAATACATTATACAACCCAATGCGTGTTTACTTAGGACGGTGCAGTCCTAAGCCCTGGGCTGATAGGGATTGAGGGTAGGGTGGTACATATTTTGTTCATCACCAGTCTCCACTGACAGAGCAGAGCATCACTAGTATATGTGGAGTGAAGTGGGGATGTAAATCATGACATACATACAACCATACATGCAGTGAAGCCTATCAATCCTTTTTCAGAAGATCCCTTTCTCTTTCCTATTTTAGGTCCAGGGGAAGTTGACCTTAATCTCACTGTGGACCTTGGAGATATTGCTGATAATGAATTTGACTTTGGAGACCAGGTAATGGATTTTATCAGTTAAAAGCTTTCTCTCATTCATTTAGGTCTCATTCTTTTAGGTCACTTGCTTTAGCTTCCGTTTTTCTCTTAGGTTGTGTTCACACCCCCATTTACTCTGCACCCAGCGTGCTCACAACACTGGTTTCCAAAGTGGTGCACGCAGGACATTAACCACAATCCACCTCTGTTGTCCTTTAGTTTCTTACAAAATACTGCATTTTGATTCATTTTCTCCCAAACCAGCATCAATCCAAATTGAGAAGAAGAATGGGCCTTACCTGTGTTTTAATCAGGTAATGTGTACACAGCCTTAGCCTCCTTGTACACTAAAGGATAGACTTCTGTGATATAGAGGGTTAAATTATTCATGTGACTACTTAAATTATTTCATTGTTCAACATACTGTTACAGATTTTTTTAAAAAAATGTGATATTTCTTAAATATAGGGGTGAAGGCAGACATATTCTACAAATGATGGAAATAGTTGTGTAAGCCACTTTTAATGTTGTTTTATGTGTACAACATAATAGATGCAGCATTCAAAGCACTTCCACCACATTTCAGAATGTATGTCATTCTTCATCACAAGCATATTGTTATTGTTCTGAGCAAACCTAATGCTTCTCAGTACTGTGTTCCTATGTTCTTTGTATTCTTTTCTTTTACAGACTCCCCTCAGTTCCAAACAAATTTCCCCTTTCATGTTGCGCAATTTGTTCTGGTTTCTGAGGGGAAATACTGTCAGTTTTTATAGGCCAGTGAATTTCCAGAACACAAGGTTCACTTTCAATTCTTCCGCACAGCGATTGCATTAAGGCTACAGTCCTATACACACTTACCTGGGAATGAGCTCCACTGATAGCAGTGGCACTTACCTCTGGGTAGACATGCCCAGGATTACATTATTTTAGTCTATAGCATCATCCCTCTATTTCCCAACTTCACCAGGAGGATGCTCTTGCTTATGTAGCCAACATTATATGATCCAAACACAAAAGGGAGGTATCAGTAGGCTTGGGGGGATATTGTAGAAGAACAGAAAGAAATACTGGGGCGGTGCAAACCCCTTGAAAAACAGCCCCATTATTGCTTTTCTTTTTCTGTTGTTTTCCTGGAGTTTGCCAAGGTACATTGTTAACAGAAGGATGTGCAACTGTGTGTTTAGATGTACAAGGGATTTAGATGTGCAAGGGATCCACTTAAGAACGTTACACCATAAACAGTGATCTGTTTTTCAAACTGCCTTCAGCTGTGTGAAAATACTGGTTGTCCAAGGAACCCTTGCCTTTCTAAGGAATTGCTGAATGCATTAGGTCAAAGAGTGAAAAGTAGGGTTGCGATATTCCCAAAAGTGAAAAACTGGATGGAGTTATTGAGCTTTCTTTGGGGGGGGGGTTGTCAGAGGTGTGTTTTTTTTGTTCGTTTTTTGTCAAAGTTGTTTAGCTTTTGGGGGGCTTTTCTTTCATTTTAAAAAAATTAAAAATTAAAAGATAAAAATTGCCCAATTTGCCATACATCTGAGTTTTCACGTACATTTTGCTGATTCAGCAAAAATCCGCCCAGACAACATATTTCTGAGCAATTCCCAGACGTATGGCAGACCTAATGAAAAGTGGAGTAAGAATTCGTAACATATGGTTGGCTCCAGAGCTTTCGTAAGTAGGACTCTGCTCATAGGACCCTTGTGGAAGGCAGGAGGGGCTGTTTTTGCCTTTCCTCCTACAGCTCACTGTGACCCCTGAAAAGGCCTACACTGGAACAGAGTGGGAGGTGGCAAGTGTGAGCTCCTTTGGGAAGAAAATGAGGGCTTCGGGAAGAAGGGGAAACTGGCAGAAGTTGTGGCCTCTTCTCATTCTCCATCCAGCAGGATCTTCCACTGGATCTTTAGCCCTTCTGTTTGAGGAAGGAAGACCTCTGTTTTCAGAACGTCAAATCTGGATGCAACCTGATGAAATTATCTGGGAAAGTAAATGGGAACCAGAAGGCAGTGTAGAATTTTTCTAGTCGTCCGCCAGCGACTTCACATAAAATCGAAACATGTTGCTAAGGCTGCAGACAGTAACTTTAGTTTCAAACACTGGAAGTTCAAAATAAGTGGGCAAGAACATGAAATTACTAGAGCTATGCTCAGTTACCAGCTTCGCAGAATAAAGAACTTTACTAAAAGGGGCAAAACCTAGCTTTTGTGGTCAAAGTCTTTATTAGTATTCAGCTTTATACCCTGAGCCTTGCCTTACCTTCCATTAGAAAAAATCTCTACTCATCAGTGGCGAAGATGTAAATATATTTGGGGTACATCTCTTAGAAGTGGGTGTACAATTCTGAACCTTACAAGTCTATCATTGTTTTATTTATTTATTCATTTTATGTGTTACATTTATATACCACCTTTATCTTCCAAGGATCTCAAGGTGGTGCACACAGTTCTCCTCCTTCCCATCTCATCCTCACAACAACCGTGTGAGGTGAGTTGGGCTAAGAGATGGTGGCTAGCCCAAGGACACCCAGTGAGCTTCATGGCTGAGTGGGGATTCGAACCCTGCTCTCCCAGTCCAACACTGACTTCATTATCCTTAGGGTATGAATAGATTCTGTTTATTTTGCTGTGTGAAGCATTTTTGAGCTATATTGAATGATACAGGTCACTCTATGAGGTATAGCTTTAGTATACGGACCCAGACTTGCCCTTTAACGAATTGGAGAACTTCATTCATTTTACTCCCTGAACTGCTTTGTCCCCCATGTTTCCTTTATATCAGGTATGGGGAAACTGCAGCCTTCCAGATGCTAGTGGAATCCCACTCCCATCATTCCTCACTATTGGCGATGTAGAGTCTGATACAATCTGAAGGATCACAGGCTCCCTATCCTTGGTTCATATGGTTTAAGAAGCAGCTGGGGAAGGGAGTGAGTTTTAGCAGAGAAGATCCAGAGGGGAAATTGTTAATAAAACAATTCCCCCACTTAGCATGCGTCTCCTGAGGCAGTTTTTCCTCAGCGTATGCTTTCTGTAAAAGAAAAATTAAAAAATATCAGTGTCAAATGTTATTTGGGCCACAGTTATTGTGTTCTACTGAAGTTTTAAAATACATGGACAAATGTCTCCTTATCATGGTAATAATTCTTATAGCCATTTTTGTTCAGGGCTTGACTGCACTATTTCAAAAGGGTGCCATGGTGAGAGCTCATGGTGGGTGTTGTTAAGGGGTTAGCAATCAAACAATAATTGCAGTCACCACTGGTGGTGTTAGTCCAAGAGAGACTTACTTTTCAAATAGAAATTGGCAGAGTAGGAAGTCATGAGGCTTTGATTAATTTTGTCAGTTACAAGATCTTATCTTTTACTAGATGAAATGAACCTGATGCAGATAGTTTTATTTGACTGTCGGCCCTACACAGAGCAGCAAATTATGGTTGGCAGTAATGAGATCTCACTGTCTACATGGAGAAGCACAGGCATGAGCAATCAGAAGTATTTACTGCAATTTTAAGAAGCTGATTAAACAATTCTTGAACTTAGCTAGAATAGCCAAGAGGGCAACCACTTTCGTTGTTTTAGATTCCTAATGCATGTATTTTGAGTATACATTTTTCTTGCATGCTTCCATACATGACTTGCATTTTGCCCAGGCAAAGAGGAAGAATACTTCCTCATCCAGAATGTTCGGTTTAGAGTATGATGCCATGAAACATTGTCATACAATCCCTTCCATCCACTGAAAGAGGCGTGTGATGATGACCGCAGGGGCAAGTCCTGCTTCGCCAGTGCATGCCACTGTCATGCTCCTTTGATGTACATGTGCCAGAAGGAATTATACTTGCATGGCAATGTATATGTGCAGAGCTCCTCCACATGTGGACAGACTGTGGCCCAATTTGGGCCCCTCTTTGCATAAAGGTGTTCTGCACATCAGTATGTACGTATAACACCTGATGTAGCTTGAACACATGGACTTTGCAGGAGAATGGCAGGCGGTAGGTTAGCATCACACCGTTATAATTAGAATACCACCTGTTTACAGCCTCTGTCTGAATGAAACCTACTTGCGGCCTTTATCTGAGCAATACTAAAACCCTTTCCCACGCTAACAGCAAATAAAAGTGTCCTATCTTCAAAGTTTGCTGTCGTTGCCTGAGAATATTGTGACTGTAACAGAAACTGAATGCTCCACTGATTTTCTCATTACCCAGGGCCATCTTCAACCTGTGAATTGTCCCAAGCACTTTTCTGCTAAGAATATCAAATAAGGAGAAGATGCGTATCTAGGTATCAGTGTGTCATATGTAGCTGAGAGTAGATAAAGCACCTGTCAGAGAGATCGGGCCAAGAGGGTTAGGTTTCCAAGCAACCATGTGCAGCAAAGGAGCTGAAAGCTAGCAGATATTATCAGAACACTTTGACAGCCAACGGAAGCTAAAGGCATCCATATGTTAAGCACGTGATGCTTCTAAAATATCAGCAATAGCAAAGCAGCGATTCTTAAACTGTATGGTACAGTACTACTTCTAGTTACTGACAGGTTTAGCTCATTTTCTTATGTAATGGCCATCATCTTGCTCCTTCAGAGGTTTTGAAATTTAAAATGCATCCAGAAAATGTGCAGCTTTTAAAGTGGGCTTTGAAGCAGCCTCTTAAGGAAAGAGGTCAACACATTTTTGTTTGGCTTGCTAGGCAGACATTATTTGTTGTCACTTGTCAGTCATGGTGCTATCAAAATGTGTGATGTGAAGGGCAAGAATTTAGGAGCTGTTCTGGGTAGAAGATTGACATTACTGCACAGAGTAAGATAAGAGGAGAAGAAGAAGAAGAAGAAGAAGAAGAAGAAGAAGAAGAAGAAGAAGAAGAAGAAGAAGAAGAAGAAGAAGTGGAAGAAGGAACAATAAAAAATAGTACCCATGTACTTGCGATGTGCTATTTTTTCTTAAGGACTGAAGATGCTTCTCTCGGTTGCTGAACTTTAATGATCAGTAGTCAGCTGTTAAGTTAGAAGAATATTAGCCTTAAATTTTAAACATTCATAAAAATGTTTCAAGAGCCTTATCCAATTTGCTATCCTCCAGATGTTTTGCAATACAGTGCAAAGCGGTATATAATCAAGTGGTAATAATTTTTATGAAATAAATAAATAAATAAGCCCCAGGCAACATTGCCAACACTCAGTTATGATGGGAATTGTAGTCTAAAACATCTAGCTAATACCTGATTGGGGTTGGCAGGCCTAAGTTGCTTTACTCAGCAAATGGAAACATTGACCAGGCAAACACATCGGAGACTACTTGGGCTGAAGATCTTTGCAAAGAAAATAGTTCAGAAGATAATTCAGTTCCTGTTTCTGCCCTGGAGGTAACAAGATTGGCAAGCGGTGCATAAGATGTTTTGAAAGATGAAATCCAAATATCTGAATACTTGGAATGACCCCTATGCTGACCTAGCATAGGAATAAGAAATTGGACACTTGCAGCCTGATCCTGATCCTGTGTTGGTGGAAACATGTCTCAGTGAGTTAAATGGGACTTACTAGTAGTTCTTAGTAATCCTACCTAGGATTGCATCCCTAGGACCAAACTAGATGTTGAATACAGCCACATAGCATTATTCCCAGCAGTCCTCATACCTACAGTCTAACTTGGCTAAACTGGCTTTAAAGGGCCTGGTGTCTGTGAAGAGTCAGCTGAAGGATTCCAGCTGAGCAGTCAGCTTGGTGCAACCATGCAGCCTAGATTGCATCCTTTTCCTAAAGCAGCAGTTCTCAAACTTTGTTTTTCCTCATACCATTTGAAAATTGTTGGAGGTCTTGGAAGAACTTTTTTAAAAAAAATCAAAGCAGATACATTATCCATATTTCCATTAAAAAAAAAAATATTCAGAGTTGGGAACATCAGCCAGACTAGTGCTGCATTATGAAAACAATGGGCCCTAGGTTAGGGTCTTGTCAGCCCGTTCAGTAGTCTAACTGTGGAAGGAGGAGGAGGAGGAGGAGGAGGAGGAGGAGAAACAGCTTTGATCAGAAAAGAAATAAAGTATGCTGAGTGCAGGGCCATGTACAGATATTCTTGGGTGTTCTGCACGCTTTTTGGAGACCTTTTTGCAGCTAAAAGGCCCTTAGCACATACAAGTACTTTCTTGTGTAAACTGGGGCACATTTCCTCCCAGAACATAGCGCATTAGTGTGCATTGAAGGCCATTCCAAGTTTCAAGAGAAGCTTGTGGAGCAGCATGGAGAATTCTTTCAGGAAGTTTCTCTGTGTACATGTACTTAATGGCGGTATCTTAGATTATAGACATCATAAGCAACTTCTAACCCCTGCCATGTACTCTCTATATAGCATACAGTATAGCTCTCTAGTTTTCACAACCTCATTGTTTATTTTCACAACAGCCGTTATCTAACCAGAATGCAGACCACATTTTGACTAGAAAATAAAAACCTCAGGGGACACTTATTAATGACAGCCAAGACAAAATACCTTTATAAATATATTATAAGGCACTTTAAAAAAACAAAACAGACCCTGTCCTGGAATACTAAAATATGGTACAAGATCTATTAAAGTGCATAAACAATCTGTTCGTCTTAAGTTACCATGGGAACTGGCAAGACAAAAAAAGAGAATTCTGTATGCAAAGAACTATAGTTTGCCTTGGAGAAATTTTGCTTTTAATTTTACTTAGGCATCATAGTTTGGTGGGTTTAATATTTTGGGAGTGAAATATACTCAGAGTCGCAAAGTGATTTCATGCTCTTTATTCAGCTCATAGTGGTGAGGAGGAATGAATGAAAGTCCCCTCAAAGTATCTGCTTTATATACATTATTTACACAATGGGCTGCACATGATTGGCTAATTCTGGAATTCTACTGTAAGCCAATCAGGTTATGGATTCACTTATATCTGGAGCATGATTGGGTGGTTCCTGCCAACCAATCATACTGCTGCATTGTTCTAGGACCAATCAGACTGCTGCATTCTGAATCCTATTGTTCTAGGACCATTCAGACTGCTGCAATTTGGATCCTATTGTTCTAGGACCAATCAGACTGCTGCAGTTTGGATCCTATTCAACTCAGTACATAACAGGGAGGATGCCTTTCCTGCATTTGCATTTTTGTTTTTGCTCTTATTATTATTATTTATTCATTTCTATACCGCTTTATAATGCTCTTAGGGCATTATAAAATGGGGTGTTTGTGGTGGGGTATCTGCTGTTCAATAATGACATTTTCCATTTGAGAGTTTGTTATCAAATAAAGCATCATGTGGAATGAGATCTGTGCTTGAAATTTAGAATGAGAGAGTACATACCAAAATAAGTTTTTTTAGTGCTGTTTGAGGTGATATCTTTATAGCATTGTTAACATTTACCACCACTTAGTGCCCTTCCTATATGGTTGACTCCTGCACTTCATTGGTGCAGTAATGAATTGATATTCTGATCCTGACACATAGTTAGTTCCCACATCATCACCTCCCTCTGCAAGAGAGCTACTTACACATGGCATGAGTTGCACACACATGACCCAGGCAATCCAGCATGATAACATACAAAGTTACTGGTGTGATGTAGGCTCTGCACACAGGACACATTTAAAGCACAGTTGAAGCACTTTCCCCCTACAAAGAATTCTGGGTACTGTTGTTTACCTCTCACAGAGTTATAATTTCTTGAAACTTAGCAAACCACAGTCCTCATAATTCTTTCAAGGGTGGAAATGTGCTTTAAAGGTACAGTATGTATGCAGCTATGAAGGAGCAACTTGAACTACCTTTATGTCATGGTTTCTGTGGCAAAGCTGTTACTCCATATGACTCAGTGTCTGAATTAGGTCTAAAACAGAGGTTAGGGATCTTGAAGAGGAATAGCAGGAATCAAACAGTGATAGGGCAGAGAGCCAGGGGAATAACAGAGAAAGGGTAACAGAGAATGAGAAGCAGTCAGTGGGCTATGCTGGTGGTTGGTTGGTTGTTGATGTGCCCATTTCTACAGGATCTTCTGCTTTTGAAAAATCCTTTTATCTTATTTTTATTTTATTTTGAGCATGCAAATGAAAACCACTTTTCTTCTATCATGGAACTCAAGGCAGCTCTAATGGTTTCCCATCCAGACAGTGACTAGACCTAGGCCTTCATAGTTGTGGTGCCTGTATCAGGACCGTCATCCTATGGTCAAATAAAATGTATTCAGATGGCAAGATGAAACTATTGTTTTAATCCAAAGTTATCTGTAGAATTAGAGGTGGTTGTTAGGTATTTAACACATATTTTTTGTATCCTTCAAATGACACAATTACTGAGCTCAGAAGCATAATAAAATCTCTGCCTGAGGCAGACCTCCAGCTATTTCTAGAACTACTAGCAACTAAATTCAAGCAGCTTTGCACTGTTTTGAAGTCAAATGCCCATGAACCTATGGTCAGATTTGCTCTCATTGTAACAAAAACACATAGCAATGGGATACTAAATACAGATCTGTAAACAGCAGACTAAAAGTAATGGATGAGTTGAATGATAGAGAAAGGAAGCTATAAAACAGAGAGGTGATGCCTGAGAAGGCTAGGTTCAGAGAGAAGCCATTCTGTATTTTATTCTTTTCCAACTTAATAATGGAGGGAAGCCTTGGCTGCCTGAAAAATAGATTGGCAAGGACTGACCTCATTGCCTGCTCTCATGAACCTTCATACCTAAATTTGAAAGGTGTATGCAAAAGTGAAAGTTAGAATAATGGACATTTATTTGCTAATGCTTAAAACCTCTGTTCAAAACAGATCCATACAAGTTTTCTGCAAACATTGCATTTGTTTTGTGAATTTAGTTATGAGGCACACAAATCACCACTATTGACCCCTTGGAGTCCCTTCCAATTCTACAATTCTATGAAACCAGCTACAACGTCTGAGTGGTTGTATTTCATCTCACCGCAACATTTATGATTTGCTCTCAGTGTCTGGTTACAATAAAAGGCAACTCAAATTTCATGCGGCAGTTTTAAAAGGGCAGCACTATAAGGTATTTTTTGTTTGTAAAAGAAATGGGCTGGTTTATGGCCAAAATAAAAATATATTACTGAAGCTTAAAATTTATTTTGTTATTAGCATGCCAAAAGTTCTTCTGCCATCCTCATCATCAGCATAGCTGCCAAGACAGAATCATATCTATGCTGCTATTGAAATTGCACAGTTTACTATATACCTTTTAAAAAAAACAAGGTCAGCTAAAGCTCTTTCTTCACACTTAATTTTTAATTTCTCTCCCTCTTTCTCTTTCCTTCCCTCAAGTGTAAGCCTGAGGACAAGGCCTGTGTCCTTTTATTTTATGTACCTTCTTTGTTTTTGTACCTGCTTTATAATAATAGAAATAATAAAATTACTAGTAAATCAAGGCTAGCAGTAAGTATAGACAGAACTATTCTTTCATGGACGCAGTGCTTCAACTGTCGGAAGAGAAAGTGCTCTGATTTTATGCTATTTTCAATAGCATATTATCTATTAGTCACATTAAGGAACAATCATCAAGTTTTTTTATAAGCAATTAGAAAGAGAGCTTGCATGAGAATGGTGAGAGCATGATACGCTAATTGCCCTTGCTTGTGTGATTTATACAGAGTTATATTTCTTTCACAGCTTTCCTGTTCAAAATTAGAATCATTGGTAGTACCAGGTTTTTATGTCTACCTTCAAAAGAAAAACCTCTACGGTCACAACATTAGGGGGAAACTATGGGCCATGTTCAACTTAATCTTTGTACTAGAGGAAACCAATGCAATGATGCCTTCTATCTCCTTGGGCTGCATGCCTCCTGTGTCCTCCCCAGATCTGCTCCTGGCTGTCAGGAGAAACCCCCTTACCCAAACAGCAGATGTGGTGGGGGGGAATAGAGGGAAGCTTGCACTGATTGAGCAATCTCCTTAGCACTTTGTTGAATACATCCCTATGCATTCCACTTAAAAAATACAAAGTTCATAAAAAATACAAACACAACTGAACAGATACAATTATCATATTGAAAACTATACACATTAAGACTTGGAGAGCACCATAGTCACCCTTATTTTAATGTCAGCCCCTAGAAATTTTGCAGGCTGCATTGGTAGTGCCTGATTGTTTTGGTCTGCAAGGAGAAGTCAGATGTTTGTTTTGGATGAGCTGATAATAATGATGTTAGCTATTTTATGCATGTGGTTCCATATCCAAGTAGCTCTTTTAGCAAAAGAGCAGTGCATGAAGCAGTGTTTCAGTATTTCCACCTGCCCACAAACAAACACAATTTTGGAATGGAATTCTCTTAAAATGCTGAAGGCAGTACACTCAATCGTCTGTATTTTAGAATGGTTAGATTTTGTGGATTCAGGATCATTGTATCAGGAAGACTAGGTCAGAATCTACCATACCAGGGACCTAGGTTTCTTAGAGCAGACAAATTGTTTACTATCAAATAGGTGCAGCCTCAATGGATTCCTTGTAAATCAATTATAACTTAGGGAAACTAGACAAAAGGGGATAAATTCAACTGAAGCCAATACTTAAATATTCTGACGTATTTGAGCTTGTGTGAAAATAGAGAGATAACCAGTTTCTGCTAAAAATCAGCTTTTGAAACACATCCTGGTATGGGGAAAAAAGGTCTAAAGTATTTAAGAATCTAGGTTCAAGCACTGCAGGTATAACATTTTAACCTTTTGTTCAGAAAAATACATTAAAATTGTGATATTCTGCGTAGCTTTTTTTACCACATATTCCTGTTGAGCTAACCATGCTCGATATGATTGAAAAACTATGCAAAAGTATTTGAAGACACTAGGTGGTATAAGACAAAACCATATTCAGAAACAACACTTTGGTATTAATGAACTTAGTTGTTTAGTCGTTTAGTCATGTCCGACTCTTCGTGACCCCATGGACCAGAGCACGCCAGTCACAACTAACCTAAGTCCATTGACTTCAGGGGGTCTGCTCTGCATATAACCTAGCCACATGCCACCCTCTGACTTGTTTAATTACCTTTGCCACCCAATTCTGTTTTATTTGAGAGGCGGGGAGTGACATATAGAGAACTTTGAGTTTTACAGTGCTTCACCTCAAGGTTTGTTTTTGACAGTATTCAGAAATGGTGCCAACAATTTTCCAGGGCCTGCTTTTATCTGGGACTGAACACCATCATCTGTGTACAGTACAGCAGAAACATTTTTTGTGACTTACTTGGGCACATAATTACAGGAGATGATAAAAATTCAACAGTGCTGTTGACATACAGATTGAACAGGATAGGTGCTTGTGCAACCTTGATGAAACCCTTTTGAGGGTGGCAGAGAAGCTATAAGATACCTCTCTGACGTACTTTATACCTTCAGCCAGATATTATTATATTAAAAAATAATTATAAGATGAGTATTTTACCTAACAACAGCAGAGTCCTATCTCAGCTTTCATAGTTCATATATAGAATTTATTTTTAACCGTTCAGTTTAAATCAGTTTCTTTGATTCAAGAAATCTCTGGGCAGTCCTTTGTGGTTTTGCCAGATTAATTGCTTCCACACAGAAATTGTCAAGAGAAGAGCATCACAAGATAGCCTGGCCCTTAGTTCTTAGAGGGCCAGAGGGGGAGGTCAGTCCGTGAACTCCAGTTGATAATGTTCAAATTGGTTGATACATTTTTAAAGAATAGTGCTGCTTTCAACTTCATAATACGGGCATTGCTGCTCCATGCAGCATGGTTGACCTAGAAACATCCTTTTTTGCACTTTTTTTGTGGGATGCTAATCATTATGCACACTGACTGCCTCAATGCCACTCAACTGCACTGTAATAGACATGCTGGAATTTCTGACACGACACACATTGCAGTCATGCTCTGCAGCAATAAAGAAGTATACTCAGCAGAAGTTCATTTGAAGGTGCTGTCTCAAAAAGCAAATATAGGACAGTGGAGTGGGATTAGCATTGTGGCCAATATATTAAAAGGGTCTTTACTATTGATAAGAATAGATAACAGATGCTGATGCATGAAGATGTAAACCATAAATAACATTTTCCAATATGTTAATTGACAGGCATTTGACCAGTCATGCCTTTCTGGACCTGAGAATATGGGAGGTGAGTTTTACCAGCTATCCTCTAGACTACTGTAATAAATGTTGGCAGAATGTTCCCCGTGTCTGTAAGCCACAATTCATGAGAAATTTAGGCTACATTGGAAGATTGCACACTGCAGCTTCCACACTTCAGCATTGTATTGTGGAAATTGGATGACTGTGGTTTTTGCGGGGGTTTTTAAGATACTGTATATGTTTTAATGTATTAATCCATTGATTGTTGTTGTATTATCAGACAATATCACCCTGAGTTTCCTCAGGAGCAAGGGCAGTATATAAATATAATTTAAAAAATTGAGACAATATAATATGAGCACATGCATAGCAACCTGTAGAGCACACTGTTACATCAGAATGCTCCAGCATTAATATTGTAAAGGTCAGACTTGTGGGTGTCAGGATATGCACCTGTTAATGCCCAGTGGGACTTCCTAATTTGGCTAAAGAAATTAAGGGTAAGTTCTTGGTTCCATTCGAGCCTTCAAGGCTGGTTATGTTATAGTAAGTCCCTCTTCATGTATGCATAGGGTTAAGGTTTCTTCTAAACAGCTGTGCTTGTGCCTTTGCTTGGGTAAAGAATGAGCTGCTGTTCAAGAAAAGAAAAGGCTGTTGTGTATAGATCTCTTTCGATGCACTTGTCTGGAATGCAGCTAGTGACCAGTGAAGTCTGGATGTCAGACTGAACTTAAACCAAAAGTACCCCCCCCAACATACACATACACACACATACACGAATGTGACGAAATGAATATGAACTCTGACAAATGTAAACAAAGCTTTTTTTAAAGGGAGGCACACACTACAATCTATTCTTAACTCAAGAACACTTTATTCATAGATGGTCATTTTTCAGTTTAATATTTTGTGCACACACAAAAGAGCTGTGAGTGTTCTCATGCATTAAATATATATTTTATCACAGCTACAGTAACAGCTATAAAACTATGACTGTGAACTGTTCCTTCAATAAACGAAATTTCTAGTTAGAAATTCAAGCTTGGTGTTTTTTGTTTAAATTTTTTTTTTTTTAGCTGCATTTGTATATTCACTTGTCTGTGAATAGTTCCCATTCAATTCAGTGTTTCTGAGTAAGCATAATCTTATTATAAAGTGTGATAAACATATTGTTAAGTGTGTTATAATTATACACAATTTTATACGTAGCGACACTTATTGCTAGAAGTCTTTTCCATTCTTTTCCACTTTATTTAGGTTTTATGGAAGACCTGAAGAAATCAAAAATAATTTTTGTAATAGGTAAGTAGGAACTTCATACACCACTCTCCCATAGGCAGCTACCATTTCTGTATACAAATGCCCACCACCACGTTAAAAATTCTTCTGGCAGCTACCACGAAATTATAGGTCTACAGCTAGCTTAGATAACTAGGCATTTCCAAATGCTGAACTGTTTAGTGGTTGTAGCCCTCACCCTCTCCTATCTGGGGGCAATACTTACATCATACTGGAGATGGATGAAACAAACTGCATCTGTTGGGGAATCGTGTACATAATTTCTGAAAGGGGACCATTAATTACATCCTAAGGCACATGGCTGAAACTTGTGTCATAACAATTTCCAGTGCTTTTTCTAGAAAAAGAGATGCTGGAACTCACCACGAACTCCTCCATTGTTCTCTTATAATGGCAGTGGCATCCACCTGAGAGGTGCCGGAACTAAGTTCTGGCTGGGGAAAAAATCCTGGCAATTTTCATTGTACTACATTTGTGGGAGATGATGGGTGGCTTGAGGATGAAGCATGAAGCATGAGAAGGAAACAGAGAGCTTGTGCGGGGGTTTTCTGGAAGTTGTATATAATTACCCCCCCCCCAAAAAAAGTTTCCATAACTGATTTAAAAAATGAATGCAATAGTATTGCTTTCTAAAGCCAAAAGATAATTGTTTACTCTGAGTTTATTGCTAAGGTGGTTGATAATTTCAGAGGTGATTGTTAATAATGATAATGGAAATTGTCATGGCTTGCACCACCTTAAATAGTCCGATTTAGGATTGGCCCCATATAAGACAACCAGATTAGCTCTTTTACAATGCAGGAAGAGGGTATCTTGAATTAGAACCAACCATCTCTCTGAACTGTTTACACTGTGGGCAGCTTGACTACTCTAGGTTAAATTTACAGGAGAATTGTGATCATGTTGTGTCATTCCATAAATAGAGCATAGCTATTTATTTATTTCATAAAATTTATACAATGCTTGAATGTAAAAAAAAACAAACCCTCAAAGTGGTTATGAAGAAAGAGTTATTAGTAGGTATTCAATCAGTTCCCCCCTCCCCCCAACCAAGGCTGGCTATACGTTATGTTGCTTTTCAACATTCCACATTTTTTAAAAGACAAAATCCAGACAGATTGTCCGTGAATCATAAAAGTAAATATAACTTCATAACTTTTTCTGTGTTGTTATACAAGAGTGAGATACTCCACATGGTAGTTGTTTTATAGCTAATAGTAATAGTAAGAGTAATTTATTATTTGTACCCCGCCCATCTGGCTGGGTTTCCCCAGCCACTCTGGGCGGCTTCAAACAAAGATTAAAAATACATTAAAATGTCACACATTACAAACTTCCCTGAACAGGGCTGCCTTCAGATGTCTTCTAAATGTCAGCTAGTTGTTTATCTCTTTGACATTTGATCATAGAATCATAGAATCATAGAGTTGGAAGAGACCACAAGGGCCATCGAGTCCAACCCCCTGCCAAGCAGGAAACACCATCAGAGCACTCCTGACATATGGTTGTCAAGCCTCTGCTTAAAGACCTCCAAAGAAGGTGACTCCACCACACTCCTTGGCAGCAAATTCCACTGTCGAACAGCTCTTACTGTCAGGAAGTTCTTCCTAATGTTTAGGTGGAATCTTCTTTCTTGTAGTTTGGATCCATTGCTCCATGTCCGCTTCTCTGGAGCAGCAGAAAACAACCTTTCTCCCTCCTCTATGTGACATCCTTTTATATATTTGAACATGGCTATCATATCACCCCTTAACCTCCTCTTCTCCAGGCTAAACATGCCCAGCTCCCTTAGCCGTTCCTCATAAGGCATCGTTTCCAGGCCTTTGACCATTTTGGTTGCCCTCCTCTGGACACGTTCCAGTTTGTCAGTGTCCTTCTTGAACTGTGGTGCCCAGAACTGGACACAGTACTCCAGGTGAGGTCCGACCAGAGCAGAATACAGTGGCACTATTACAGTGGTGCCTCGCAAGACGAAATTAATCCGTTCCGCGAGAGTCTTCGTCTAGCGGTTTTTTCGTCTTGTGAAGCAACCCTATTAGCGGCTTAACGGATTAGCGCTATTAGCGGTTTAGCGGCTATTAAAGGCTTAAAGGCTTAGGGGATTAGCTGCTAAAAGGCTATTAAAGGCTATTAAAGGCTTAGCAGATTAGATAAAGGGGGGGGGAAAGCGAAAAAAAAATCTCTAGACTCGCAAGACATTTTCGTCTTGCGAAGCAAGCCCATAGGGAAATTCGTCCTGCAAAGCAACTCAAAAACGGAAAACCCTTTCGTCTAGCGGGTTTTCCGTCTTGCGAGGCATTCGTCTTGCGGGGCACCACTGTACTTCCCTTGATCTAGATGCTATACTCCTATTGATGCAGCCCAGAATTGCATTGGCTTTTTTAGCTGCCGCGTCACACTGTTGGCTCATGTCACTGTTGGCTCATGTCAAGTTTGTGGTCAACCAAGACTCCTAGATCCTTTTCACATGTACTGCTCTCAAGCCAGGTGTCCCCCATCTTGTATTTGTGCCTCTCATTTTTTTTGCCCAAGTGCAATACTTTACATTTCTCCCTGTTAAAATTCATCTTGTTTGTTTTGGCCCAGTTCTCTAATCTGTCAAGGTCATTTTGAAGTGTGATCCTGTCCTCTGGGGTGTTAGCCACCCCTCCCAGTTTGGTGTCATCTGCAAATTTGATCAGGATGCCCTTGAGTCCATCATCCAAGTCGTTGATAAAGATGTTGAATAAGACTGGGCCCAAGACAGAACCCTGTGGCACCCCACTAGTCACTCTTCTCCAGGATGAAGAGGAACCATTGATGAGCACCCTTTGGGTTCGGTCAGTCAGCCAGTTACAAATCCACTGAGTGGTAGCATAGTCAAGACCGCATTTTACCAGCTTCTTTACAAGAATATCATGAGGCACCTTGTCAAATGCCTTGCTGAAATCAAGGTAGGCTACATCCACTGCGTTCCCTTCATCTATCAGGGTTGTAATTCTGTCAAAAAACGAGAGCAGGTTAGTCTGACATGACTTATTTTTCAGAAATCCATGCTGACTATTGGTGATCACAGCATTCCTTTCTAGGTGCTCACAGACTGTTTGCTTAATGATCTGCTCCAGAATCTTCCTGGTATTGATGTCAGACTGACTGGGCGGTAATTATTTGGGTCCTCTCTTTTCCCCTTTTTGAAAATAGGGACAACATTTGCCCTCCTCCAGTCTGCCGGGACTTCGCCTGTTCTCCAGGAATTCTCAAAGATGACTGCCAGTGGTTCTGAGATCACATCTGCCAGTTCTTTTAATACTCTTGGATGCAGTTCATCTGGCCTTGGAGACTTGAATACATCTAGACTAGCCAAGTATTCTTGTATGGGAGGGCGTTCCACAGGGCGGGAGCCACTACCCAGAAGGCCCTCCGCCTGGTTCCCTGTAGCTTAGCTTCTCGCAGTGAGGGAACTGCCAGAAGGCCCTCGGCACTGGACCTCAGTGTCTGGGCAGAACGATGGGTGTGGAGACGCTCCTTCAGGTATACTGGGTCAAGGCCATTTAGGGCTTTAAAGGTCAGCACCAACACTTTGAATTGTGCTCGGAAACGTACTGGGAGCCAATGTAGGTCTTTCAGGACCGGTTTTATATGGTCTTGGCGGCCATGAATAGGCAATGAACTTAGAACCAGACTCCAAAGTTTTGTTTTGCTATAAAGAATAGTTACTATATTAGTACATTAGATCCAGAGAATGAGGTCCAGTTCACACATGCATATGTATCTCCTGATTATTCAACATTGAATTGTTACCTGATGTTGGAGATTGATATCATAACTATTTCTGTGGTGTTTGTTCTGCTTGCACACATATGGTAACTGTCACTGGATGCTTTAGTCATCACAACAGGCCTGCGACTCTGGTTGCTGTTAGAGAAAATGTCAAGATGGGCTTGCTTTGGTTGGAGAAAGCATGATTCAGAACCTAACCTGCTTCTTTCTCAAAAGGCACCATGTGGCATTCATGCTAAAACTCTCAACTATTCTTATTTTTTTGCTCCTCACACAATTCCACGATGCATCAGGCATACAAAGTCCTAAAAAGATGGGGAAGTTGCTATGGCAATTGCCAACACATCGTAAAGGGGGTGGGAATATGCATCCTTTTCTTTGGAAAACACCTGAAATGCTGTGCTATGCAGTAGAAGAATGGTCCTGGCTTTGCAGCATATTTTGTGTCTCAGAATGGAATGGGGGAAATGTTTCACTGGAACCATGTTTGCATTACTTGGACGAAAATAAACACACATCTTCAGCAAGTAACTCGAGAAATTCCACCAATGAAATGTGATTCTGTCCCCTCCCCCTGCAAACTATGTTGCATTTCTGCTTTAACTGAACCAGACTTATTTCCTTCTGAGTGGACGTGCACTGTTATTCTGTGAGCAATTCTGGCATGCATCTCGTGTGACTGGCCATTGCTTTTAATATCCAGATATTTTAAATTGTTGTCTAGAGCACTCCAAATTCCACCCCACCACCACTAAGCTGGCATGGCTTTGGAGTGGCAGGGCCTTGACCACATCTGCAGCAGCCCTGCTGTGCCCAGCATCTGGAGTGCAAGGTGGGGGAACAGGCAGGTCACTGCACCAGCCCAGAGTTGGTGCAGTGTCAGCCCCAATGCCATCATAACTCATGATGGCAGCAGAGCTAACCAGCAGTGGAGCATATAATAGCTGTCAACCTTCCCCTTTTTTGCGGGAAATTCCCTTATTCTAGCGCCGTTTCCCGCTGCTTCCCGCTGCTATCCTGGATTGTTAGATATCCCGTAGACTGTCCCTGGGACAGATGAGGCTGCTGACCCTTATTTTCAAATCTGAAAGTTGACAGCTATGGAGCATATGCCCACGCTGCCCAGGACGGGCATGCTCCCGAGGGGGGCAGGGCATGGAGGGTGCCCTCCCAGGCGCAGTATAGCCACTTGGGTGCACGGAGATGGCAGATATTTGGTGTGCCACCTGCCTGCAACTCCCAAGTCTCCCTTGAGTTGTCAAAATGAAGGGGGAAGGGGGGATGCCACCGGCAAAGCGGCGCAACTCCCTGCCTTTCCCCAGCGGCTCGGGGTAGGCTTGGGAGTTGTGGCCAGGTGGCGCACCAAATGTCAGCCCCCCTCAGCAAAGACACCCAGGGTGGTGCGCCCCACTGCCCCTCTTCCTCCACCCCTGGGGCTAGCTAGATCCCAGGCTGTCTTGGCCTTGTCCCTACCCATGGCTGGAAGAGAGACACCTCTGCTCAATTGAACACACTGTTGCCCAGTGCAAATAGGGTTTGGATTGTTTTGTAAAATATTAAACTGCAACAGTAGCTATTTTGGCACATGGGCCATTTGAAGCTACCAGAATTCTTTGCTATGGTGACAGGTCCTGGGAATGCTGATGGCATGTGTTGCCATAGCAACTCACCAACTTGTTTCTGTCAACCACATTTTCAGAATGTTCTAGAATCGGCTTAGAATTAAAAGTTCTGCTTTTTTGCCTCACTAGTCAATCCTTGCTGGTCAATTCTGGCCATTTCTCTTTGTTCCTGGTCTTGTGCATAGTTTCACATATCATAATGCACTGGCAAAATTGTAGAGCCAGTGCGGTATACTGGTTAGACAGAGTATTAGGTTGGGATCCCTGCACAGCTTCCTGGGGCAGTCACAGTTGAACTTCCCTTATTATTTATTTAGAAATGTTAACGTCTCCCTCTTCCACTGTTAAGCCTTTAATGCAGCTTACTGTATCGAAAGAACAATATAAAGATAAAAATCCCAATGAAACTCAAGTAGAATAGTACGAGAAAAGAAAGGAGAAAAGATATTTCAGGGAATGCTTAGGCAAATAAAGCAGTTATAAATTGGCAAAGCTGGTGCTGTGCAGACAGGATACTACCACAAAAAATCCCTGTCACCCATTCCTCCCCAGCGTGGGCCCAAGCAGTAAAGGAAGTGGCTGTTTGAGCAAGATATCAGAAGCTAGTCTCAACAAATAGCTAGGTTTATACAATAGAAGGTTGTCCTTCATAAATTCTGATCTGAAGCCATTTAGAGCTTTATAGGGCAAAACCAGCATTTTCAGTGGTTTCCAAAAAAAACCCCACAAAAAACTAGAAGGCAATGGTTTTTTAAAATGCACATTTAAATTTAAGATAAAAGAGTTGAGCAAATGATTTCATAATGAGATGCTACTTTAGGAAGAAGTTTTAAAACTAAACTGATAAATATTCTTTCCCCCTTCCGGATGTTAAGGGAGAGATGGGCTAATTAAAAGATTTGGCAGTAATTAACTGAAAATGCAGTCTAGGAGCCAAATAAATTAGGCAGCTGTCCTGCTATTCCAGTCTAAGAACCCAGTATAAAACTTGAAGCTGGAAGCGCAAATATAAGAGAGCCAATTATAACAGGCACATGTGTTTACGCACACAAATCCAAATGTTCAAAGCTTGTGTATTTTTCCCTACCGTTTTTTTGTTAAAACCCGCACCAGAAAAGAGGAGTCGATTTCCCTCCCACTTATGCCTCTTTCCCCAATCACCCGAGAATGCCTGAGCATCACAAACTGTAAGCCAAAACAGAACAAACGCCTAAATTGGCATCCAAGCATGGTGGCTGTTGAGCTGCTATCCCAATCCCAATCTCAGTGTGTATGTAGGCGCAGCTTCATTCCCAGGAATGTAGTGCACATAGACCACATCTGTGCTTGGATACATGTGCTGTTAATCTTGTGTCCTGGGCTGGGAAAGGATTTGCCTTCACAGTTTAAAAAGTATCCTACTTTAGGAGTTGGGCTCAGAAAATACCTGCGTGCAAAAGGGCACACATTCCCAGAAGCCAGTTCCCACTCTGCAGTCCTTTAAACTGCTGAGGTGCAATTCCCTCTCCCAATGTCTCAGAGAACGTTAATCTCGGGATGGGGCAGTATTGACCTGTGGGAATGTGTGCCCCCTCTGGTAGCTGCATATTGTTCTGTGTAAATATTTGCAGTGTAGTGCAAAGGCAAGAAGCAGCAGATCCTGTCAGTTTTGAGGACCAGGGCTCCCCCCGCCCCACTTTTATAAGCAAGATTTCCCTACGTGGTTCAGGAGTTCTTCGCATCTAGGGATTACCCATGTTTTATGCGCTAGTTGCATATGCACACGCAGCATTCGCTTTACAAATATGAGTGGGACCATCTATTACTAAATTTATTCCAATATAATTAGAAAGTTATTGAAACCAAAAGAGCAGATCTTAATATAGGAGCTGTAAAGGACAGAATATATGTCGTTTTCGCAGAATGCTAATAATTCACGCGAGTCATGAAAGGATCTGGGGTTCTTTGAAAGCTTTTTCTGGATGATCAAAAGTTATCTGTGCTTTCTTTCTTTCACTTTCTGAAAGCATTTCCAGCGAGAAATTAATTGAGATGCTGTTGAACCAAAGGGAAGATTAGTGAAAGAAACTTTTAAAGCAGCCCACAAAATCATCAGAAATATTTTTTCTTTAAAACCTGAACTGGGTTATCTGTCAAGACAAGCTTGCTCTTTGTTTGAGAGAACAGGCTGTTTTGAGATGGGTTTGTTCGGAAAATATTTCTTTCCTTCTGCTGCTGCTTTCCTATCTCTTAATGATCAGTAGCCTGAATCAAGGAGTCAATAGTGATTCACTCTCAGCTGTTCCGCTTAGCAACCATCCCATTATGGACCAGCCACACAAACTCAGCACCTTGCAAAGGAGGATATGCATAACTCTTGTCATTTTATGCATCGTGGCTTTGCCTGCTCCCAACACAGAACCCCATAGGAAATCATTATAACAGCGTGCATAGCCTCCTAACAGAAGATTTCTGGAGAGCGTTGGGTGATGTTTTAGTAGCGTCAGTACAATCCAAAGATCTGCTCTTGGACATTTATTTATTTGATTCTTGGAAAGATTGCATTCCCAATTATAACTCCATAACTGGGTTTATATGCTGGATGCTCAGTACTTTTAAGAAAGAAAATCTATTATCTTAGTTACGAAGTGCAAGGATTAAACAGTTGTACTGCACTGAGAGCCTGTTAATACTGCACATGGGTTCACCGACTGCCTGTTGCTTCCTTTCTGGTACCTAAAGCACAAGGGCATATTATTAGCAAAATCAATTTTGATTGCTGTGCTCTGTGTAGATGCTTTTATTGTGATTTTCCCTTTCTTGTGTGAAAGGGGCCTCAGATTTCTAGCACAGATGGGTAATGAATAAATAGAACATCATTTACCATAGTTAACTGAGCTACCGGAAAGCTATCCCTGTTTGCAATGAAGAGTAGGTTTTCCTGGGTGCATATTTTCATATTTGCCTTATTGATCACATGCATATGTTGGATGGTCTTGGGTCTAAAGCAGAGGATTGGGATTTAGCCTTCAGGGTTTTCTTGACCCATGACCAACTGCAACTGCATGTTACAAACACTCAACAGCACTTTTCCCACCACACAAACCAGCTTCTTGTTATGAAGCAGTGAGGTGGCTTAGGGGAAGGGGTTGCTTAAATATTACTTCACTCACTGCTTCTCCACACCAGGTCAGAGCCATCCATGAGGATATAACAGAATAGCACCACTTAATCACTCCTTTAATAAAAGTATCACTAGGATGTTGATATAAGCAGGTATGCTTCTAATGGTTTACTGTATCATAAATCAGAGCCAAGGTTCAATCTAGACTACCTATGTGCCGCAGAAGGGAAGATAAGCAGAGGCTACAGAGTTTATGATAGGTGGACAAAATCTCTCCTCCACTTTGCTTTGGAGAACAGCCAGAGCACGACTAACAATATTTGCAAACCCTGAAACACCTTTTATGTCTGTGGACTGGCTTTTGCTGTGTGGGTGGGAAGCTGCAATAGAAGAGTGGGAAGATTCAATAACTAATTCATTAATGTCACTTGAGCCTAAAAGACCCCCCCAGGGTTTCTTACAACAACTAAAACACAATTCAGTAGAAATATAAATATAATACTATTTAAAAAGAGAGTTTATAGAGCAGTCTTAACTCTGTGCCTGGGGAACAGCCACTGCTGTATCCAAAGTCCTGCCAACTAGGGGGAAAAGGTGGAATTTATTTGTTGCACCAGTTTCAGGCTTGGACAGCTGAGGGGCATGAATCAGGCCCCTTACCTGAGAATGGGGCAGCATAAAGGATCTAGAAGATCCTTGGCTGGCCCATCTCTGCTTCTGCCAGTGGGAAGACCCCCGGGTAGAGGTCAGTTCTGCAGTGCAGCAGAGCCTCCCCACCCCCCAGTAGCTGTCAGAGAGGTACCCGCCTTTCCTTCTCCCCCACCCAGCCATCAACATCCAAGGGTTAGGATGGCTCCCCTAATAACCAGTTTAAGTCTCCTTTATGGATATGATTTTCCCCCCACAGCAAAGAGGCTCAAATTAAGCATTAACTCATCAAAACCTACAACATTCAATACAGTACAAAACACATCAAACAAATTCAAATAGGACAAAATAATCAGTTCAGCAAGCATCAGATAAATTCAGTTACTATAATGAGATTATACATAGTATAACAAGAACAGAGCTTAATCAAAATTAACAGGCAATAGTCTAATCCATACTATTGGTAGTAGCCTTGCTGCACTCCAAGAGACTGGAGCAGCCTTATTTATATAAAGTTCAGAGTACAAGGAAAATGCTCAGCATCCCAGGTGTTCTGGCTGCTAGTTTTGCTCTTACAAGACAACATGACTGAGTCTCAGCTACTTAGCTTGTATATGAAGCAAGATAGTGAGGCATTAATTGTTGGTGTATTTTATTTCCCTAGTGGCCCGTTGTAATCTTACCTCCATTTATCACAAATGGCCCTCACCAAATGAGCTGCTCTGACTGGGCCCAGAGCTAGGATCCACTCATAGTCTACCTTGTGAAAAAAATGTGTTAAGCCATCCTCAAAAGTTATCACATGCATCACAGGAGGACAGCTTCCTTAACACCCTTGCTCTGCATGTCAAAGCTTCAGTCAGCATCATGACAGCTTCTCAGCCAGCCCAGTCAACTCTTCTCCCTTTTCTTTGCAATTGTTTCTTTACAATTATTTCCTTGCAAAATAATAATAATATAGGAGAGAGCATGCAACGTATCAAAAACCAATACGTTTCTGCTTCATCTTAAATGTTAATCCGTTGTCTATTTGATCTCAGTGTATTATTTCTCATCCTTCTTACTTCTATGCTCTCCTTCATTGTTGAAGGAACTAAATCCAAGGGTGCGTTGCAAAACATATACCACAACAGCATAGTATTCTATTGATATTTCAGATTCAGGTGAATGTCGTGACGAGTTTATTGGTTGGTGGCCATTATTCACACACTGCCTTAGGAAGGAAATGCCAAATCTGCAACTGATTTCCAGCTGAGTTAAATCTTCAGAGCAGATGTATGCTATTTATTATTTATGCTTTAGTAGCAGCTGGGGACTCTGTTGTGCCAGGCTTATTACAAGAAGTTATTTTCCGAAGAGCTAAGTTGCAGACAACAGCTAGTCCCCAATTCAGTATGCAAGGACTATACTCACACAGCAGCATACCTGACAGGGACATCATACAAGGCCACCAGCAACCCATTGCTTTTGCATAGACATCTTTATTTAGTGGTCTGCATTCCTGAAACTTGCAAAGAAACCAGGAGTGGTATCCGAATGATGTGTCCCATCAGTGCAAGGATTTACACTTTCACAACTTTTGCCCTGTCTTGCCCCACCCCTCCTGTGTATTTTCTAGGGGTTCCCCATCTCAGCTGGCCTTAGAGTCTAAACCTATGCACGCTTACTTTTTCTGGGTTCATCTTTCTAGTGGGTACATGTAGCATTGCAGGCTTGATTTTTCTCTAAGTAGGATGACAGCTCCAGTCCAAACAGGAAAGAATAAACCCCCATAAAAGGGATCCTAGGGAAAGACAAGAGTCCCTGCGTCTACAGACTCCTTACCCTTAAAGTGGAGGGAAGCAGAAGATGCTGGCAAAACTGAGTTAGGTATCAGGAATGCATCAGTCCTGTCATGTGAGAACAGCATTCATCGCAGTCCTGCTGACCTTATTTTTAGTCAATTCATCCATCTTTGACCTCAAGGAATTCCAAGCAAGAGGGGGTGAAAAACTTTGAATAGAACATAGAACCAGTTTCAAATCCTCTTTTATTTATATTCTTGAAGAGGAGGAGAAGGTATTCCATAACTGAAAAGTTGCATATGCTTTGCAGAAACAAGAAAGAAATGAGAAGGAAAGGTCAATTCCACAGCACTGATGGAGCTTTTGAGCTTTTTTTAAATCACATTGTGGATAAGTATTTTGGGCTCTTTTCTAAGGTACGGGTTATTATTACTGTAAAGGAACTGACAGAGGGAACAAAAAACATAAAATAATTCTGTCCATTAGATCTTGTTTCTTGATTATCAGGTTCCTCGTTTTCCAGAAGAGAAGAGGCAAGTTTTCACATCTAGTCTTTGTAACAAGACATGCAGTAGTAGCAATTAGCTGTCTCCTCTCTGCTGGTCTCCGTTTCTCATCTGGGCACTTGCAATTACTGGTTTTCTTATTACAATGCATCTGTCCAAGAGAGTAACGGGCACCAGCAGCCGCCCTATATAACCACTACATATAGTCACAGTGACCATCATTTCTCTGCAAGTGACTAGTATTTATAGAAGTGTGTATGTGATTTATCACAAGTAAATGTATAAAAGACAGTAATCTCTCCTCTGCTGGAACATTGTAAAAACTGACATATGCAATAATTTTGCTCATGGTGATTACTGAGTAGATGTGTTTCTCCAGAGACGAGAATTGAGGTACCATAGAGAGTTACATAAATCTGGCAGGGCTTTGTTTCCGCAGCTTGAATGAGCCCATGGTGACTGCCTGCCTCCGGGCCACTAGTCTCTTCTTCTGTCATCCATTCTGTTCATTGTTAAAATCCTAATTTCAGAATGGGTGGGAGGCCGGAGGAGCTGTCATAAGAATCATAGTCATTTTATTTATGTTCCACATTTTCAACAAACACATTGTGCTCACAAGAGATGCACAATAAACGGACAATTTAAAAACAATAGCTAAAGTAAATACAAATGATGATGCAGTTTAAAGTTTGACAATTAGCTGTTTAAACGCATCAAAAGTCGGTTAACAACATCCAATACTAAGAACACAAATGTTAAACCCACATTGTGGAATCCATTCAGCAGGTCATATGAAGAGAGCTAATGAAAGATGCATAGCCCACATCATTCTAGTTGTAAAAAAGGATAAGTTAAAACTAACAAAACTGAGCTGTCCTTAGCAGCAGCCTCCTGCCAAGCCAAGCCAAACACCCCTTTTAAAAGCCCTATTTGTGTCTAGATGTGCACTCACACACATTCTCAGTGGGTTGACAGTCAGTAATGCATGTCGTGTTTTTTCCTTGTTGTCCCTGCTCTGAATCAGGCTGTTTACTGGGACTCACCTGCAGCAGCAATACTTGACGCAGCTGACGAAAACAGTGCTAGCGGCAGATTAGTATCAAAACTAAGGCAGCTTTGCAGATAGGTTTTAAAAGGTTACTATTATTTGGCGTCTGTCAACAGCCTGGGTATGTTAAGGGTGAGATAGGGGAAGAAAGGGAAGAAAAACTATAGACTTGTCTCATTATCATTCAGTTTACAAAAGTGCTTGCCTGTCAGCTATTCTTATATCTTACAGTCAGGCAAGTGGCTGTTTACAAGCCTGCTCTAGGGACCTCTACTTAGATATTGTTTAGGGTACTGGTATAGTTTTTATTTTTTAAAAAAAGGTTGATGGGCTTCAGTGGTTCAGCAATTCAGGAGAGCTTTATTCCACCACTCCAAACGCCATTTTGCAGCATCTTGTTGTTTGCTGATCTGTCTCATGATGAATTGGATTGATGTGTCTCAAATTTAAGAACTTGTGCTTGCTCACAAAGGAGGCCCAGGCTCTGGTAAAGGAACCCAGTGTGAGAAATTAGCACAGAAGTATGGATTTTTGCATCTGTCGACGGATGGTCTCATCCAGCATGAAATGTCATCATTATCAGAAAGGAGCAGGATCATCAGAGATAACCTGGAAAGCGGCAAACTTGTACCAGGGGTAAGCTGTGATCCAGAATCTGTGCATCACACGGACACAAAACCCAAAGAAGGAAAGAACATTTAGTGCAGTTATGACTGCCAGTTGTTTGAAAGGATGTCAGGAATGGATTGTGCAGTGGGGCTGGGCCATTTATTTGACCTCCCTGTGTCCAAGTCACAGAGACAGGGAGGAGCAGGGGCAATATAGTGACAGTTCAGATGTACAATGGAACACTGGATTGGCTTCGCCAGTGTGCCTACGCCACATTGACCTTGCTGCTGCCTTGCTGCTGCCTTGCTTCTCCCCATCTTCATCTGACTGTGCAGTAGTGACTTGGCCAGAGGGAGATCAGGCAAGAGATTCAGCCCCACTACATTCTCTGCTACTGGAATAAGTATTTCACACATTTCAGAAGATCATTTGTTACTAGCCAAAGATTCCTTTGGCACCCTAAAATTCAACCACAATATGGCACAAAAAGCATGCTTACTTCAAGGCATCATAGGCTTTTTTGCCTCCCTCACACTGATTTAGGCTATTTTAGAAGCTTTCTCGGCATACTATATTTACAAAGGTCCTGTGCTGAGTCAGCTGTTAATCCAGCTCTGACTATGATGAGATTATTTTTTAGAATCCAGTAGTTCAGTAACTATGCATTTTACTTCCTGAGAAAATGTGCAATGAGGATGTTGGCGCATCCTCAGCCAATAAGGGTGGGGGCATAGCACATGGGCCTGAAATGATGCACTAGGATTGGGAGTTTTGTCTGTGTCTCACTCCAAAGCACTGCGGTGTCAAAGTGGTTTCTAAACAAAAATTATTTAATCTTCTTCCATTAAGGATATTGTTACGGATCTCCTGAAAGAAGTTATACTTGCCAATATGGGAGGCACAAATGGGTTCCTGATTGATGGTTATCCTCAGGAGATGAAGCAAGGAGAAGAGTTTGAGAGCCAGGTGAACATTTATTATTATTATTATTATTATTTAAAGATGTTATTGGTTTACAAAAGTATGTGCATTCTGATTTTTTTCAGAATGTAAAGTCTTTCCTACATATCAATTACATTTGTTACAAAACATTAATATTGAGTACAGTATAAGGTTGGGACGCAGGTGGCACTGTGGGTTAAACCACAGAGCCTAGGACTTGCCAATCAGAAGGTTGGCGGTTCAAATCCCCGCGACGGGGTGAGTTCCCGTTGCTCGCTCCCAGCTCCTGCCCACCTAGCAGTTCGAAAGCACGTCAAAGTGCAAGTAGATAAATAGGCACCGCTCCGGCGGGAAGGTAAACAGCATTTCCGTGCGCTGCTCTGGTTCGCCAGAAGCGGCTTAGTCATGCTGGCCACATGACCCGGAAGCTGTACGCCGGCTCCCTCAGCCAATAAAGCGAGATGAGCGCTGCAAGCCCAGAGTCGGTCACAACTGGACCTAATGGTCAGGGGTCCCTTTACCTTTACAGTATAAGGTTGGGGAAGAAGTGAGGAGAGGAAGAGGAGTGGTGAAACATATTCTAGGTGAGCATTATCACATTGTGAAGGGAAAGGCTGCAGCTCAACAGCAGAGCACTCGCTTGGAATGCAAAAGGTTCCAGGTTCCATCCTTGTCTTCTCTAGGTAGGTCTGGGGAACACTTCCATTTGAAAACCCTGGACAGCCACTGCCAGTCTGGGTAGATCGGCCTTCCCTAACCTGGTGCCATTCAGATGTTTTAGACTACAACTCCCATCAACCCACACAGCATGGCTGGGGACCATACTGAGCATGAGAGACTGGTGATCTGGTTCAGGAAAAGGCACTTTCCTATCTTCTAATTAGGGCTGCCAGGAATTTTTTTCCAGCAAGGGACCTGTGCCACGTGCTGCTCTGCAACATGCCGAAATTCATAAAAATGATGTCTTAGTATGCAGATACCCTTCAGGAAAAGCTCTGCCTGCTGAACTCTTGTGTTTAATGTTCATACATTGCATATCACTTTTTATGCATTGAGGCAATCAAAGCACACAAAATATCAATTTAGGAATGCACCGATACAAACTATTTAGAAACCGATACATATGCAGCGCAATTTATGTTTGCCATAGAATTGTTTAAAGAAAGAAGAAACCCAGATATAAATATATAGACAAGACAGTGAGAAAAAGCACTGAGCTATTTCATTACAGATCCATATGTTTTCCATTCACATTTTGAGTTTTCCCTTTTGCTGATGGAAAGCTGGAACACAATGGCTCTGCTGCATCAGGGCCTTCTGACCCAGTCCTCAGGTCTCACAGTGGCCAAGCAAGATGTCCATGGAAAGCCTGCAAGCAGGACCTGAGTATCCTTCCCACTTTGTTCCCTGATAACTGGCACCGATAGCATTATCCTCCACAAATCCCTTGTCTAATCCCTTTTAAAGCCGTCCAATAGGTAGCACATTACTTGCCAGCTACTTCAAAATACCCTAAATAATTAGCTGAGATGGGTTGAGGGGAATGACGACATACATATTCCCTCCCCCAAGCAGCTCCTTTGAGTCTTATCTCTGTGCACCTGATGCAAACTGCGCTGACAGGATTTCATTGAATCCTTTAATTAGGCAATACCAATGACGAGAGCATTATTATTATTTTTACCTTGTCATAATGCACTTTTTGTACAAAGTACTGAAGATTAATCCTGTCATTAGAACACCAAGAGTCATGGGCTTCACTTCCTCATCTTGGCAAAAATGGCCTCTTCCCCTCAAATAAGCGGCTCCCTCCAGGATATTATTAAATTGTTCTCTCGTCATTGTGATGCAACATTTTAAAATATGGCATAGTTGATTCCTCAGTTCACACCAACAGTGTTATTGTGTCAGAATAACTCCTCACTAGGTCAGAGACTAATTTTTGGTACACTGGTGCCTCCTTGTGCATGAAATGAATTATGTTATCATCTGCTATATAACACTGCATGGAGAGGTGTTTTTCCATTAAAACATCATCTCAGGGCTGATTTAGATGTTGCATTTTTGCAGCTTCAAGAGTCTCTGCTTCTACACTAGCTATTTTAGTTATTATTTTCTTAAACAGCCAGCTTCCAATGCTAAATGGGCAAGCTTCTTTTGAAACAAACAGGAGTCTACAACATGGCAGGGGGTTAAGCTAGTTGTAAGAATCCTTTTACTTTACATAATATTGCACAAACCTAGAATCAACAAATTGTAGAGTTGAAAGGGACTCCAAGGGCCATCTAGTCTAACATCCTGCAATGCAGGAATCTCAACTGAAGCATCCAAGACTAATGGCCATCCAACCTCTGCTTAAAAACATTGACTGAAGGATAGTCCACCACCTGTTGTGGGAGTCTGTTCCACTGTTGAACTGCTCTTACTGTCAGAATCTCCTTTCTTGTAACTTGAATCCAATGGTTTGGATCCTAGCTTCTGGAGCAGAACACAAGCTTGCTGCATCATTGCATGTGACAGCCCTTGAGATATTTGAAGATGGCTATCATATCTCCTCTCAGTCTCTTTTCCAGGCTAAACATACCCAACACCCTCAAAAGGCTTGGTTTCCAGACCCTTTATCACCTTGGTCGCCCTCCGCTGCACACATTCCAGCTGGACAATATCCTTCTTAAATTGTGGTGCCCAGATTGGACCTTGTACTCCAGATGGGGTCTAAGGCAGAATAGAATGGTACTACTGTTTCCTTTGATCAGGACACTATACTTCTGTTGATGCAGCCTAGAATAGCATTAGCCTTTTTCTGCTGCTGCACAACACTGTTGATTCATGTTAGCTTATGGTCTACTAAGACCCATAGATCGTTTTCATATGTACTAGCAATCCAGCTGCCCCCATCTCATATTTGTGCAACTGGTTCCTGCTGCCTAAGTGCAGAACCTTACATTTGTCCCTATTGAAATTTAATTTGTTAGTTTTGGCCCAGTTCTCCAATCTATTAAAGTCATCTTTAATCCTGAGTGTCTTCTGTGGCATTGGCTACCCCTCCCAGTTTGGGGTCATCTGCAGATTTGATGAGTATCTGCTCCATTCCTGTTTAGATTGTTCTTGAGTCACCTGTCCCAGTCTTATTCAACATCTTTATCAACGACTTGGATGATGGACTCAAGGGCATCCTGATCAAATTTGCAGATGACACTAAACTGGGAGGGGTGACTAACACCCCAGAGGACAAGATCACACTTCAAAACGACCTTGACAGATTAGAGAACTGGGCCAAAACAAACATGATGAATTTTAACAGGGAGAAATGTAAAGTATTGCACTTGGGCAAAAAAATGAGAGGCACAAATACAAGATGGGTGACACCTGGCTTGAGAGCAGTACATGTGAAAAGGATCTAGGAGTCTTGGTTGACCACAAACTTGACATGAGCCAACAGTGTGACGCGGCAGCTAAAAAAGCCAATGCAATTCTGGGCTGCATCAATAGGAGTATAGCGTCTAGATCAAGGGAAGTAATAGTGCCACTGTATTCTGCTCTGGTCAGACCTCACCTGGAGTACTGTGTCCAGTTCTGGGCACCACAGTTCAAGAAGGACACTGACCAACTGGAACGTGTCCAGAGGAGGGCAACCAAAATGGTCAAAGGCCTGGAAACGATGCCTTATGAGGAACGGCTCAGGGAGCTGGGCATGTTTAGCCTGGAGAAGAGGAGGTTAAGGGGTGATAGGATAGCCATGTTCAAATATATAAAAGGATGTCACATAGAGGAGGGAGAAAGGTTGTTTTCTGCTGCTCCAGAGAAGCGGACATGGAGCAATGGATCCAAACTACAAGAAAGAAGATTCCACCTAAACATTAGGAAGAACTTCCTGACAGTAAGAGCTGTTCGACAGTGGAATTTGCTGCCAATGAGTGTGGTGGAGTCACCTTCTTTGGAGGTCTTTAAGCAGAGGCTTGACAACCATATGTCAGGAGTGCTCTGATGGTGTTTCCTGCTTGGCAGGGGGTTGGACTCGATGGCCCTTGTGGTCTCTTCCAACTCTGATTCTATGATTCAATCTCTCCTACAAAATCCATGTGGATGTTGCATTCTGACCTCACTCCCATGAGGAAGAATGCTATGCTGTGATCAGCTCTTCTATTCAGTCAATTTTCTCATTTTTTTTCCAGATTGGCGAACCATCTTTGATGCTCTGCATGGACTGCTCCTCTAAGACAATGAGCAGCCGCCTTCTGAAAAGAAGCCAGAGCAGCCAGTGCTCCGATGGCAGTGAAGAAGCCATCATGAAGAGCATCCAAAATTACTACCAAGCAATGGAGCCTGTGATCACCTATTATGAAAACAAAATTCCATTGTTTAAGGTAAACCGGCTAGGCTTTGGAACTGGACTATGGTACAGTGGTACCTCGCAAGACGAATGCCTCGCAAGACGAAAAACGCGCAAGACGAAAACGTTTTCCGTTTTTTGAGTCGTTCCGCAAGACGAATTTCCCTATGGGCTTGCTTCGCAAGACGAAACGTCTTGCAAGTTTGTTTCCTTTTTCTTAAAGCCGCTAAGCCGTTAATAGCCGCTAAGCCGCTAATAGCCGTGCTTCGCAAGACGAAAAAACCGCAAGACGAAGAGACTCGCGGAACGGATTAATTTCGTCTTGCGAGGCACCACTGTACCTTCTTCTTCTGAATACATCCAAAGGGCTAAGAGCTAATTTACATGTGCTGTAAGCTTTCCAAGAGGCCATAATCCTCTCCTAGGTTTGCACCAGGGCATATGCACCAACCACAATGTTCAGTTTGAATATTGGTTTGGCACTTTGGAAAACAGTTTTGTCATGGTCCAAAGCATTTTGGAGGCTGCCTGGTTCCTAAGAGCATATGAAGAACCCAGTGGGATCAGGCCAAAGGCCCATCTTGTTCTCACATTGGCGAGCCAGATGCCTATGGGAAGCTCACAAGCAGCACCCTGAGTGCAGAAGCATCTTTCTCATTTGTGATTCCCAGCCACTGGGATCCGGAGGCATAAGTGAGTCCCCTTCACTACTAGAAAATGAGGAAATAGCTGTAACTTTTTTTCTTTTATGACAGAAGTGGGTAACATTTGCAAGCATGCTGGCCCACCAACTTAGAAGCAACTAGGTCTCTGGATTTTTGTGTTGGGCACTTTAGAAATAAGGGTCGTTGTGTGTTTTTTAAGGAAACATCTTGTTTCTTTTCGGTAGCTCCCAACCTCTAGTATAGGGGAAGGCAGTCACTTAGGTAACTTGGTTCCAAGTTGTGCATAGCTTTAAGAAAATCTTGAAAATGGCTCTGTGGCCTGTTAATAGCTCAGTACTTAATATACTCAACTGCACTGTTTAACTAAAGCACTGAATAATGCCCTATTGCAGGACTATTCAAAAAGGTCACGCACACACATTCTATCCTGAAATAAATTTCATAAAACTTAACTAAAAATAAAAACCAGGAAAGCAAGCTTTATTTTCTAGCCCACAGGGCATCTCGCGGCTACTGAGCATGCTCATTCCTCTTCAGGCTGTTTTGTTTTTGCCCTTAGGATTTTTATACTTCAACAGAACTGAAGGTTATCTCAAGCATGGTGCTGCTTCTCAGCAGCATTTTGACTAATCCTGTAGGCACTCACCTCCTGAATTTGCATCGGAGGGAATAATTATAGAATACCAGAATGGTTTCCTTTTTGAGGTTCAGCTATCTGATGCATAAAATCTCCTTTTTTTAACAGATAAATGCAGAAGGGACACCAGAAGAGGTTTTCCTTGAAGCATGTGCTTCTGTCGATGCTTTTCTGAAAAAGGAAGGAACGGCATCATCTCTTTCCGTGTAATTGCAACGCTTTCTATCTCATATGCACAGTCGGTGGTCATCAAAAATCCTGTCTAAAGCCACAGCTGCTGCCTTGAAAGATTAGTGCATATTGTAAACTTTGTAAAAAAAATTCAAATCTGTATAACCCATACAGTACAGTAACATTCAAGTACTGTATGTTGTCTATCATACGGTTTGCACTTTGCAGGTTAAAAAGCAGCATGGTAAACAACAACTCTAATTCCTAGAAATCATGTCTTGCATTTCACTATTACCTGGTATACTATACAGCATCCGAGTTTCCAGTTAACTGACAGTCAGCAGAACTGACAGAAATGTTTTGTTTCTGTAAATTAACAGCTCAGTTCTGAGACTATTTAAGCTTGCTTTTTTTTTTCTTATAATGCTTGAAAAAATCTGTTTTCTGACATTTTATCTTACTGGCGGAACATGCCTGCAGTTGAGTTGCAGTCATTAACACAAAGCAGCGGAAGTTAAGAAATCTTCTGAAAAAGTGGTATCTTATTATACAATGTAGTAAGTAAAATGTTAAGCAGTTAACAAATATGATTATGGGATCAGCTGCTGTGTCAACACCAAAATGGGTACAAACAGCCTATGTACTTAAATGTGATAATGTAAGGATATTGCGGTCTGGTTAAAACAACAACAAACCAGTGCCAAATATTGCTGGTGCACTTAGTGTATAAGCACTTATAGTATTTGAGTGTCAAAATACATATGTTAAGATAGCTAACATGCACCCTTTAAAGAATATGGGGGCATCACATCAGTACATGTTGTTTTCTGTTGTCTGACAAGTATTTCAACTGTAAATCTCAATTTTAGGTCCTTCATTGCCTGAGGAACATGTGAAAGAGATGTGTTTTACTCAGCCTGTGTTTATAAATCGGCAAGCACACTCTTTGCACAAAACACAATGGGTTGAGCCAAAGAAGATTGGGCAGAATGCCACTGATGCAGTGATGCTCCCCTGGCTCCCCCTCCTCACTAAAAACCCCTGCACACCCTAAAATTGACTCCTGGTATAGGATGAGACATAGGGGCTCAGGGAAATTAGAGGATGTTGGTAGGGGTGCCTTGCATAAGTAGAAGTACTTTTCCACTCAAGTCAAGGTATCTCTGGACACAAGTAAAATTGATTTCACAAATAAGTAAAAATGCTGAGATTTTCTGAACAAGATAAAAACATATTTGATTTCTTCAGAATTGGCTCCTACCTTCTCCTGGACCATCTACTATTTCTTCTTGCATGATTCATCTCTGTCAACAGTTGCATTTTGAAGCAGATTTGTATTTTTCAAGCTACTTTTATTGTACTGAAGATGTAAAACAAATAAAATGTATGGACAAACGCTAGGAGTAATAATTTTTACTTTGCACTTTTGGTTTCATTAAACAAAAGCAACCATCCAGAGAGGGTTTTAAATATTATTACTTCATTATCTGCAGATCCTTCTGCATTTTTCAACTTGCTTTAAATTTGCACAATAAACAGCTTGCTACTCTCTGAACTATCAAGTGCACTTTTCTTTTCCCTGCAACTGTGGATGTTCCTGATTGTTTGAGCCCTTTTACAAATGTTTTCCGGAATTTTTATTAATGCAGTATTATGGCAACTGCTGTGGGAACAAGTCAGGCATGTGGGAGCAATTTGTCAGGACATAAAAGGAAGCACAGCACTAAACTTCATCGCAAATTTGAAGAAACTCACGTAAAACATTGATTTGCACATTGATCTCCGCTACTTATCAAAGTTTGGGGAAATGACCACAAGGTTTTAAAATTCCAAAATAGGCCACCCTTATCTTGGTTTCATTTTATCTTTCATAAACTTTCAATGTACACAAAGTGTTACTTCTGGATTATCAGGAAAAATATAGTAAGAAACCTAGCCCCCCCCCCCCCCCCCAAAAAAGCTGATTTTAAAATCTATCAAGATCATCCAAACAAACTTAGACGAAGGTTAACTACCTATTCTATATGGCTTTGATGGGTATGCTGCTGGCTTAGACTTTCTGTAATATGCAATTTGAGCATGTACTCAGGCTTCTTAGAAAACGGGTGATGTAACAAATAAACCAATTATTTAATTAAAACAAAAGATCAACTAAGAGATTTAGTTGTGTTTCGCCTATTAGTTTTCCCCAGCTGTGTTTGGCACAAATGGAATCCCACAGGAAGTGTATTAGGATGGGTCCAACATCAAATTGGCTGCCTTGCTTACAGAACACCTGCTGAGTGTGGTGGCTTACAGAACCAATCCCTTTTCTGAATGTCACGGCTGGTATGGCAACGGATTGCCCCCACATCACAAACTTCAAATGTTGCAGTGTAAAAGAATTATCAAGGCTGATGGGTTACACCATTTGCATATGTAAAAAGGACATAATTTATATTTGCATAATTAGTTATTTGTCTTTCCCAAAGCAATTTGCCTTTGCTTTTGTTAAAGAGAAAAGTGAAATACATCAGGTGTATTCTTTTCCGTTATATATATATTGGTTTATTAAATTTCTCAAAGAATGAGATATGCTTACAGACGATGTGTTATACTGCTCAGTCATTAGAAACGGTACTGCATCATCTACTCAATATATTAAAAAAATGCTCAAGCTCCTCTAACAAAGAGTGATTACACCTAACAAACACTGTGAAAATTAACACTGTGAATAAACAAATCAAAACTGCTATCAAATGCACCAGCCAATTCTTTGTTAGTTATTTACTGCCATATTTAAGTTAAACATGTACTCGAAGTCATTCTGAAAATTCAAGTTTTTTTTAAGCAAGTGGAAATCTATTACAGTTAAAATAATCATTATTTCTGAATCACAAGTTATACATGTCAAAATGATATATTAGCTAAAAATATGTAACAAATATTACAAAGCTTTTTTGATCATTGCTATATTTAGGCTAATAAAGCGTACCAAAATGCTTTTCCTTTTTACTCTGCAATTATAATACTGGGGGGAACGACTGCATCATAGCCATAGAGAAGCTACATGGAAATATTACTTATTTGCTTGATACCTTCTCCCATGTAGTCAATCCAATCCAGTGGTTTCTTAAAGACACGGTAATTCCGACATGCACCCCAATGCGCTGCTCCATTCATTTTAAAAGTATACAGCTGTGCATGAGCATTAACACATGTGCAAACCTACATCCTCCATCAAAGTGAATAGAGTAGCAGATGCGCAAAAGGTCTATCTGCAAGTGGGAGCAAACACGGCTCAGAACGGGTGTGTGCCAGGATCAGGGTATTTGTGCATAATCTTTGAAGAGGCTGAGTAAATAGATGGCAAAGGCTACACTGAGCCCCTTAAGGGGATCATATGCCCCTTGAGTTTAAGAGCTAAATTATATTTTCAATTCTGAATGTCGGTTCAATAGTCAAACCTCAAAAAAAAGTCACAGTAAGCATTCTATATATAAACAGACTGTATCCACATAGTTTATTTCTCACAGTTCTCCTGACAATTGAACATTATTTAAGAACATACTGTATACACAGATAAGAAGAAACATACAAAATGCTTTAAATGATGCACAACAAAATCCAGCAGTATAAAAGAATGCATGTGAACCCTTGCTCACTGCTCAGGCTAAATTTAATCACTTGTTTAAATAGTAATAAAAATACAATCTTTCATGGATCTTGTGCATACTACAAAAGAGGAAAATTATTCCCATATATGATTTATATTAGGCAGTTTTCTTTGATGAGTTGCATTAACAACTCCAAATACAGAGGCAGAAGGCTGTGTATTTTACTTTATAAGAGTTAATGTTGGGTATTAGAGACTTTTACACAGTTACTACCACTGGCACTTTTCACCATATTTTTGTACACATCACATGGTCATTTTATATAACATTACATTTAAAAATATATTTGCGTGACAATTTTATAATATTCACACACCATGAGCTGGTTAAGGAAGCAGTGCCACTGTTGCCTCCTGTAGTGCTTCACTGTTGGTAAATAAAATGTTGTTGTGGTAAAAAGAAAAAAAGAAAATGAAATGAAAGTAAAGAAACATCAACTTGATTAAGCAGCTCCAATTTTATAAAGGCCTATTACCGACCATCACAGAGACAGTGATTGTTTTAAGAATACGTTCTAGACGCAAACACTGTCTTAGGTTAAAACTCTGCCTAAAGAAGTCAGTTTTCTGTGCTGCAAACTATTTTCACAACAAAACTGCAAACTACTTAACTGTTTTTTAATGTACGCACTTCATCATCTCTGCATCTCCTAGTAGTCAAGTTCTTTGGAAATGACTAACCTTAATGTGTGCTTTCGTTTCTGGCCACACTTTTGCAACTCCTCTCTTCAGATTAAACCAACTTACACCCCCCCCGCCCCCCCAAACTAACACAGTGAAAAGAAAATCTCCCCCAAAAGCTTTCCGCACACTAGGAATGTTCAACCTCTGTTCAGTTATCTAGTATCATGACAGGTCAGAGAGCAGGATTTTGATGAGGGCACTCGGGACGCTCTCATGCTGAGGATGACATTCCTGGGAAAGCAAACGTCTTCCCAAGGTGGACACAGAATCGTCAACAGTGCCACGGTTGGTTTTCAGAGAGGATACTAAGCTTCAGGTTGCAGATTTGCTTTCCATGTCATCTATTTGCAGGAAAGTAGTTGGGGTCAAGGTAATTATAAGTGGGGCCTTGGGACATACAGTAGTCTCTATCTAAGAACATTTCTGCTCTGTACATAGGCTCCAATCGGTGACTTTCCTTGTGAATGTCTGTTTCATGCAGACTGAAAGAAAAGGAAGAAGCATTATTTGATAAGTATGAAATTCCGCACAAAGAAATCCATGGGTGTATTCCATTTGTCAAAAATTCTCACACTAAACATTTGTCAAAAATGCCCTACAAAATATCATAATTATACCCGATGCATACAATATTTTATCCTCAGCAAATTTATATAACTTTCTGGTATGCATTTCATATCATGATTTAAATTGGGGGAGGGGGAGAAATTACATGTGATTTTAGTCCTCTACTCAGAGATCAAGACCCACTGAGAAAAGCATGCATCGGATTTCCGTCTTAAGCTTATTGTTAGTAATTGTCATAGATGCATGTTGCTTACCAGTCAGAACAAGAATCACAGAAATCCAAAGACATTTCTGGAGGGCAGTCTCGGCAGTGCCACCGAATGCCTTGAATGGGATCGATTCCACAGTTATCGCACTGAAAACAGATTCAGGAGAGAACACTCAGGAAAACCATTTCCAAAAGCAATTTCCAAAAATGTAAGTCTCTACAGATTACAGAGGGCATCAAAAGTTGTGATTTAAGGAATATTTTCTCGCCCTCAATACTGAAAGAACACACAGGAGACTATAACTGGCTGAGAGAGAGAGGAAATAAGTTGCTGTGCCTAAGAGCCAGGGCTGTAGCGTAGGGGGGTGTGTGTGTGCCAGGGAGTCCATGAGCACAATTTCTGAGGCGGCATGAAGCAGGCGTGACCATGCAGGCACCCCCAGCACAGCCCAACCCAGTGCCCCTCTCTGCCCACCAAGGCCACATCGGCTGGCAGGGCTCCCCCCTGCATGGGCGGACAGGTGACTCAGTGCAGCCCTGCTTTGCTCCAGTGGGGGTCGCTCTGGCAGTGTGGGGAGAGGCTGGCACACACACACACACCGCAACCTGGCGTGCACCCACCCTGGGTACCCGCAGTCGATGCTAAACTGCTGCCTAAGAGCTAGTTTGCATCATAAACAGTTTTCTCTAACATCTCCCCTTTCAGAATTATGAGCTAGGTTGCAATGCAACTACTATAGTTATTGGTAACTAGCTCTACAAAAAGCTCAGGATCACCTACGAACTTCATTGTTTCGCCTCTGACAATGTTCAAGGGGGAAAACTTTTTTGGAAATGTCACTGCCAGTGCAAGCTTACTTAAGATTAAATAATTGTAATGATAATGAAATTTATTACCTACCCTACACCAGCAGTTCCCGGGGCAGCTTACAACAGTCTTAGGTACAATATAACCAGTTTCTAACATGAAGGCTAGGTCCCAAAAACAGCTATAATTTCTCTCAATCTCTCTTTAGTTTTACTCATCTTGCATGGACTACTCTAAAACACTACGCTTGTTCTAATCCAATGACCCTGCCACCCAAGTTGACTAAAGGAGTGGCAGGAAAGCTCCCACTTAACCCTCCAGCTTTACTAACCTTAAAGCCTATGTGTTGCACAAAACCACTTTCGGCACGCATGTGCTGCAGTTTCTGCTTCTTCAGCTTTTTTAGCTCAAGCAGCTCTTTGTATTCTGGTAATTCTCGATATGCTACAGGGATACTTTCTTCATCCTGTTAAAGAGGAGGGTGGGAGGGGGGAGAGAATGAATAATATTAAGAATCCAAACCGTTTAAGCAGATCCACAAATGCTAAAGGAAAATAGGATTTTTGTGAGTTTTTGCTCTCTAAGACAAAATTTAAGAATAGAAATGTTAGAATGGCTTCATTACTGAAAAGACATTTCCCCCTCTCCCTCTTAAAAATTAACATGAGCTTGATTTTTAAGTTATCAGATTCATTCATCAGCTCTAAAAACACTTTGATAGCTAGGAAGAGGAGAGAAATGTGGCTGGAAAGCTTTGAAGAACTATTGAGACAGGAAGAAACAGAATGTCCCCTGAAGGCAGAGATGCAACCAAGACAGAATGAAAAATTCTAATAGGGTATTGCATGACTTCTAATGTAATCTTTGAAATGTGATAGAGAACAGATTTGTTTTCACTAAAGATAAACCTAGCAAACAAAATCCTTCAATACAGTTTTACAATCTGAGGTGCAGAATAGGAGAACGTTTATGAGATTTATTTTTACTCTGCCTTTTGCCTTTAAAAGCCCTCAAGATGTCTCATAAAACAAAATCACATTAAACTTGGATTTGTGTGGCTTTCTTCAGCCTCCTGTTCTATGTTCCCTTCCCAGGGTAGGCAGGACAATCTCTGACCAAAGCTGCCTATTACAAAATAAAAAGTAGTCCAGGATGTACAAATGCATGGGAAGTAAGAACAGCAGTAGAAGAAAAGAGGATGAAGCAGGAAAGTAATGTTCTGAAAAAAGCCACCTGTCTTGCTGAGAGAGCCCTGAAAAACAACACACTTTGTTCTCCCCTATGGCAGAGTTCAATGGGGCTTACTCCCAATAAAGTGCACAGAGGATCACAGCCTTGGAGATGCTGTGGAAGGTTCCACCTGTGAGGGAAGTGGAAGGCCTCCTCTGGCTGCTCACAAAGGTGGGGTAAAGCAGAAGGGATGGACTAAAGTGGCCCTAGGACTACAGCAATGGCCTAGTTCTCTTTTTTCTTATAGAAGCAGAACATCCAGACAGAAAATAAACTAATGCCATGAATGAAAACAATGTGCCTGGTCAAGCTGGAAAGACTGCACCTAACCATTTCCAAGCTGAGAAGTTGTGGAAGATAAATTTCTTTATCTGATTACTGCTTACACTTACATGCCACAGAATCACTGTAGGTAATCCTCACAGTAAAATCAATGTCATCTTATAATTATAGAGCTGTATCTGAGGGATGTGAATTCAAAGCTCTAACACTGAGTTATCCTGCTTACCAACCACAATGAATTCTCTGGAAATCATTCATTTGGCAAGCGTTCACAAAATGAGTACAATTTCTAATGATTTCTATGGGAACGTTTCTAATCTGTGATTTATCTGATCTCTCTCCCACTCCCTCCATAGTTTCTTCCTGAAATGGCTGCAGCCAACCAGCAAGAGACAAAGGGAAAACTGGTTTGTCCACTCCCTCCTGCTCCCTGATTTATCTCCCCACTTCCTCCCTGCATGGTTTCTTCCCAAAAAACAAGTAAGGAAGTAGGCAAACTCCTTCTGTCTGGATATCTGAATCTGTAGTGTGTATAGCAAGGTTTGGGCATAATTCTTTATGTTTGGATAACTGAATTTTCACATAGCGGGTGGGCAGATAGCAGGACCTGCATGTACAAAGAAGATCTGTCCTTGTCTGTTAAATAATAATAATCACATAAGAAATGTACCAAGCTGCTGAAGATTAAAGCAGAAGTATTTTCAGCTCTCGCATGGGGGTTTGGAAAGGAAAGGAAAAATAAACAGATACACCTTTACCCAACACTTTTGGCACCGAAAACCTGTTGCTATTATATTGAAGAGTTTCCTTTACTCAACACAGGCATTCCTTGAGCTGTCTTAACTCTCAGCACATTCATGCATAATCATCTACTTAGAATAAAAAATATACCGATGATTCCTCCTCTGCTGCATTGCCTAAATGACTATGAAAACTTGATCTGTCATCATCTTCGTCCATATACACGGGAGGTTCATGGGATGTCATGAAAGTTGAGGGCTTGAAGAGATGTTTATTCAGAGGATGTTGCCTTCTACTGGAGGACTACAACAGAAGAACACACCATCTATGAAATGGTATTAAGAAACCACCATCGTAACATTTTAACAGTATCCAATGTGTTCTCACCATTGGTTTGGGAAGCTGTATACAAACAGCGTTAGCCACAATCCATATCTATCATGTAGTTTCTTGTTAAATATTGCATTTTGATGTGCTTCCCCCAAACCAGATTCAACATGAATTGAATACTCATCAGGAAAAGGCATCCTCGCCGTGTCTCGGCCCACATCTGTGGACATTCACAGGCCATTTAGATACACATCAAACTGCTGACGAGTACAACAAACAAATGCTGTTTGAAATGCAGTGAAAAAGAACCACCACATGACTTATAATTTTCATTATAAAGACATTATTACAACATATGGTCAAAACACTGATGAATTCTGAAAACAAGAAATTGTTTTGCCAAAAACTGGCTGAAAATCTGATTAAGTAATTAAGTGAAATAGAACACTCCCGCTATTTACAAAATCCCACAAGTAAAACGATTTGTGTAAGCGATCAACAAGGCTCTTCAGAACCAATGCAAACAGGGTGCTTTAAACCAAAACGTTTAATAACCAGTTTAAAAACAGAATTTAAGTAACGAAGAAGGGAAAATGCCACTGTGTAGGACCCAAAGCTCCACAAATCCACAGAAGGAAGGGCCTCTCAGTCATACTAGCCTAGAGGTGGAGCACCAGAGGTTGAGGGGGTGAGGAAAAGGCCTGGCTGGGCATGGTATGAAACTGTGGATCTGCTGCTCTGATATTCCACTGAATGTTCACTTTAAACCATTCATTGGATATTTAATGGTAGCAGCCAGGTTGGTGATCATCAGATTTTGGGAAGGGATTGAAAGGAAAAACCAAATACAAGTAAGCTAAAAACAGCAAGGTGGGGAAAGGAAAAAAATGCCATGGATAAATTTGTGTTGGAATGGTACAGTTTTATTACACACATGAACAAGACATACAACAGTGCGCTTTAAACCATTATCTTTTAAACAAACTATGGTTTAATGTGAATACACAGCATACTGGTGACACACTGCTGAAAATTTCCCAGTCCTCTGCTTCTATACCACTAGGGAATAAGTCAGTCTGGAAAATTAATCCCCCCAGATTAACTCCGAAAATCCCCTGGTTCTATTTGTCTGCAATTTGGTGGTTTTCTTGCCCCAGAACACCTCTATGTCTGTAAATTTCAGTCTAATTGTCCACAAAACACTAGGTAAGATGAAGTGATTCCTTTTTTAAGCCATCTGCTACAATTGTAATGGCTGACATTATGCGATACCTCTGAAGGTATCCTTCTGAAATTTGGCATGATTCATCCTTAAAAAGGGGTGATCTTGTCTCCAAATTGCATATAATCCCCCCCCCCCTCAAAAAAAGAGTTACTGATGTTTGGGGTTTTGTTTTTTAATCATAATAAAATGGTGTCCAGCACAAAAGCCCCTAGACCAGTCTGAAATTTGGCAGTCTTTGACCACTATGGAGAGGCTACTCTTTCTGAAAATTTCTTCCAAAGCAAGCAAGCAAGCAAACAAACAAGCAAGCAAGCAAGCAAACAAACAAACAAGTAAAATGTGCTGATAAAGCACCATTCATGTTTTCCACAAATGTATTTTTATCTAAATGCCAGAAACAGATGTGAAATATTCTAGCAATTACCTTTTTGGAGTAAAAATACAAGTTTGGAGTTCTGCCTGGAACTGGAATACCAGCCTTAGTCAGTTTTATAAAATACTTTTGCACTCTGCTGGCAACCTGAAAGAGTGAAAACAGATTTTTAAAAATACATATAGGCACTAATTCTAAACATTAAAACCAATTAGTAAGATATGTTTTGTATTTAAAAAGGTAAAAACATGAGAGATGGATGGCAGCTGGTAATGTTACCTTAAACATTTAACAGAGACACAGTGAACATTATCTACTTTACAAATGTGCCACTCATAAGTTCCTAGCTGCCATGCTGCCCCATACACTTAAAGCCATGCCCTCTTCCCTATTCATAAGAACACTTCGCACTCCTCTTCAAATCTGTCATCAAGAACAGCTTCATTTGCAAAGCCCTTCCAGAACTCTGTTTGCCCACTTGTCACTCACTTTCCCAGATTGCTTCTACTCCTCCTCCCTAATCTCCTACTTAATTTTGTCTGTAACTTGTATAAAGACTGTGTCACCTCCATTTTCTAAAATATCTGCCCAATATTGCTGGTGCTTGAAAGCAATTAAATAGTGAACATACAGAGCCACAGTTGAGATACCAAAAAGTTATGGAATAAAGCATTTTAATTTGCTAAATTAGCAAAGTAAGAGGTTACAGATTATTTTTCATTCTGTCCTTCCTTCAACAAGATCAGAACAATGTATATTCAATTCAGGATCATTTAAAATATGAAATATTCTCTCTAAATTCCTATTTAATAGGATACCAATATTTTCAGATTATGAGGAAACCTATTTAATGAATGTATTGTGGCCAGGAAAAGATCTAGGACATATAAAATGTCTTAAGGGGGAAGGACTAGAAGTTCCTAATATAATGCTACATTGCATTCATATCATAGGGCATTATTGGTTGCCTTACTTGTGAATCTGGTTACAAAAGAGAAAATATGGTAAGTACTATTAAATTGTACTTTGCTCTTCAGCAAAATGTGGGCTTTGGGGCTTCTTTTTGAGAAAGGTATAGAAATTTAATAAATGAGTAAGTGAGGAAAATGCACGTTTCAAATAAAAAATATCCTAGATGCGCCTTCAAACTACAACATAAACTCTGGGAGATCATATTTATTGTGATTTAGTGGTATTGAGTCAACTCTAACTTTAATCAAAGGAGTTAGATGGATTTTCTTCAGTCTAGGATAAAAATCCTTTTCACACATTTATAATTTTACTCTAGGTGCAATGCAACAACCTGAAAATCTGAAATTTGCCATTTTTCATGTACAGTGGTACCTCAGGTTAAGTACTTAATTCGTTCCGGAGGTCCGTTCTTAAGCTGAAACTGTTCTTAACCTGAAGCACCACTTTAGCTAATGGGGCCTCCTGCTGCTGCCGCGCCGCCGGAGCACGATTTCTGCAAAGTTCTTAACCTGAAGCACTATTTCTGGGTTAGCGGAGTGTGTAACCTGAAGCGTATGTAACCCGAGGTACCACTGTACTTTGCAGACAAAGTTTACTAGAGAGCTGGTACCATTAAAGGGTTATTGGGGGGGGGGATGCTTGCCACTGATAGCATACCTAACTTGTTGGCATCTGTCAGTCTCATGAGACAATGGAGTACGCCTCCAGGGATGAAGTCAAACTGCTGCATTAGCAGCACCTAAGTGACCTCCCTGGGGCGCAAGCCAGAGCAGTGTGCATAGAGGTCCTGCTCAGACAACAGGATCCACCCCCTTGGCATATGTGATCCAAAGGAATGCAGGGCAATGTGTTTGGCACCAGCTTGGCTGCGGTTGTTGTTGGAAAGAGGTGTACAAAGTGCTGTCCATCTTAGGGATTTGTGTAGGGTTCACTCCCTACCCTTTTCTTCTCCTGAAGATATCCCCCAAGGCGGTGAAGGGTTAGGACCAGATTTTTCTTGCTAATACCTACTAATTCATTAATTAAATGGAAAGAACAACAAACTAATAATACTGGTGTTCAAAAACTAGGTTCTCAGTGGACATTATATAGGAATATAATTCTGAAGCCTCTGTGCTATTCATATGAAAGAACTCTGGTAAGGTTTAGCTTCGATAGTAGCTCATTACTGGGAAGAGACACATTGATAATTTGAATAGATTTTGTGGAAAATATGGTTCAAGGTAAAACTGATTGCCACCCACTGCTATTCTTCTCACCACTCCAGAAGAAACTGTATAACCAATGACACCAACTCTTAGCAAAAGCAACAGATGAGTGTCTGTTGGGGCCATGAAAAGAGAACTGAGCAGGAAGGCACCTGTTGAACTTCTTGAAGCTTCTGCACCAGGGACTGGATACCCACCCCTAGTTCTCTGGCTTGTTTTACACAGGCACAGAACCCACCTGTTGGACTGCACAGACCTCAAACAAGTGTTGCTCCCTATTACCTGCTTCGCAGTTCTGTTTCCCAGTTCATCAGCTATTTTCTGCCATCGTCGAGATTCTATTTCTTCTGGTGGATACTTCAGGAGTAGTAATTCAAGCTTTTTCTGAAGCAATCACAAAGTAGGTCATAAATACGAATTAATGTTTCACAGAAGAGAGCTCCACTTGTTCATTAATGGGGGTGGGCATAAACCAAATGAACATTATAGAATTGTATGATTCTGCTAGCCTCGTTTTCCATTACCTGTTCTTCTGTACTCCACAGCTGATTAAAAGTTTCAGGTTTGGTCTCATCACAAAGTCGCCCTCTTATCATCTGCTTAAATACAGTACATAACATGGGACAAGACTTTAGAGAAGTTCATTTAACTGGATTTTATTCAAACAAAACCAGTTTACTCAATGAATGACTAAGCAAATCATCTAATTTTTCACATTAAAATAAATATTCTCAATGGGCAGGTATTTGAAACTGGTGCCTTTGAATTCATTATAACTATCGAAAATGCAGTTTTATAAAATCCTGAAAATAGCTTCTGTCTTATTTTTGGTAGTATTTACCTGCGGACGGTTGTTTGCTGAAGCTTCTGGACAATCACTGAAAGGCAATACAGAGTATGAAGTGGCCTCTCCATCCTTTCTGAGATCCAAAGGGCTTTTTGGTCTTACAGGTAAACCTACTGAAAATAATAGAAAATAATTATTAAAGAGCATTAGAGTGCCCCACCACCATGACATAGTTATTTACTTACCTTTATCAAAAATAAGTTTTGCTCGTCTACTGTTACGCTTTCGGTTTTTGAATTCTCTTTCAAAATTCCCAAGGCTTGTAGTATATTGGTCCCAGGATATATCTGGCAGCTGAACAACTCTCTGTGGATATGGAAGCCCTACGTCAACCTGAAAAAGTCAAAATTAAGAAGAAAAGAGTTCACAAATACACACAAAGCACACTTTCAAATGATGCAATATGAAACTAATATGAGCCTGTTTTAAAGTAAGCCATGTTTTACTGTATTTCCACATTTTAAAAGGAACTTGTCCAACAGTAATACACAGGAAAGTGTATAAAATATGTAGGGGAATGGGAAATGATGGCTTGTTGGAGTTCATGTTTAAAACAGTGACAGTCATCTCCTCTTACTGTCTTTTGTTAGCTAAATAGAAAGCATGATTTCCCATCAAATTTTAGTCTGTGCGCAAGTATAGCATATTAAGAGAGACAGGGAGGAGACCAGGAAATATAAATCAAAGAACATACCACAGTTGGTCAAAAACAACTTCAGAATGTGTGTGGATATTTCCCTCTACAACTCACTCACTATATGCTCTTCCCTTAATAATTCAATTGTAATCAATGGCAGTATGTTCCACAAAAACATCTACAGACTGGCCTGAAACAGATACTTCTGCTTTCTCATGACTGCATCATACAGCTCAATTGCTAGTTCTCTTTGCTAGGACATCTAAACTTTCTCTGCAAAATCAGAAGTAAATTAACTGTCAATGACAAGCAGGAGGAATTACAAAGCTGCAGCATACATTCAACTAGGGGTGGCAAATGACCCTAAAACAGTGTGGTGGGACATTAGTGTGAGCATGCAACCTATTCCCCACCTGCAGACAGCTTTCAGTGTGAGCCAAATCCTATGCATGAATACCTGGTCACATGGAGATGTTGTTTTTCTCTTCTGAAGAAGAGAAGCCTTCTTCAAATGTTCAGTCTAAATATGTGAAGGCAAGGGGAGGAGGAAGAGACTAGGGGTCTGCACCAACCATTACCCCAAAATCCTGAACCATGTCAAGAGTACCCATTCCCACCACAATCGTCTTTTTTAGCCTTTAGCACAGAAGTCTGTAAGGGGCTTCCATTCAGGAACCTTACAATCGGGAACCCTGATAATATCGAGTTCCTGGTTGGGGGAAGGCTTCTAAGCACATTCAGCTGAACATTTCTGCAAGTTCACTGCAGATCAGTGTGCTAAACACAAGGTCAAGAGTAGAGGAATGAGGGCCAGCAAACATGCCTCTGGCCTCCTACGCTTTTTGACCTTAGTGTGCCCAGGCTGTAAGAGGGCTTCGTAAGATCAGGAGTGAAGGGCTCAGTTTACACTGAAAGCTATCTGGAGAGGGACATGGATGTGGGAGAGGGCATAAACTCCATTTTCTACCACAATGTTTCAGTGTCACCCCTGGGTGAATTGTACCTGGGATGTTAAGGGGCCATTAAAAAACCCAACAACAACAAGCATTGGCACTGTCTAAAGCATGAAAGGATATGGAGGCCACTGAACATGTCACTGATGGTTAAAGGAGGTATAAAGTCAGGAGAAATGGCTGCCTCTGCCCCTCAGTTATGGAGAGTGGTGGCTTTTATAGACAGCTTAATTGAAACTGCCAAACAAATTGGGAGTTGGGCACAGTATGGAGAACCACTTCATACCTCGACTACCTGAGTGCATGGGAGGCCCTGAATCAGAAGAACCAGCCCCAAGTGGCGAATTTGGGAAAAGACAAGGGAAAAAGAATGGAAACTCTTGCCCTTACCTATTAGATCTGACAGGCCCTCAACCAACATTACAACCTCATTACAAAATCTTCACAAACACAGTTTTGAACAAACAATGTAGTTGAGAAGGTAACAGACTCAATAAGCTCTAATTGCCTGTGTCTTATAGAAAGACCATGTTTTCCCCTAATTCTACCATTTACACGCACTTGTCTGCAGGAGATGAATTATTCGTTATCAAACATCTCTCAGGGGTGCTTAAAAATTCCCACTGCAATACCTTCTTTTGGAGACTTTCCACAAATCCAATGGGATCTTTCAGCGCTTCTCTCTGGTGTCTGCCTAAACTCTCAAGATCTTGAACTGCTTGAGTGCGCTGAGCCTCGAGTACCGCAATCGTCTGTAACAGTCTCTGATAACTACAGAGACAAAGGGAAACAACTCACTACAGATTTCTATGCACAATAACCAAAGAAAAGGAGGGGGGAAACCCCAAAACCTCAGCACCCAGCACACTTATCTGAAAGACTCAAACAAAGCATATTATTTTAAACAGGACTGCATATATTAAAAGTAATTTTTTAAGTGCACCAATAGAATGTGTATCAGAAGTTCTTTTAATCTGAAATAGTGGTAGGATTGACTGCTTTATAGAAATGTCAGCAAAAACACATAACAAGTATAAAAAACCTGGATGCTGAGTAAGCCACAAAACAATGACTTTTTCTTCTTGCTGCACAGTATATTTCTACCTACCACTATAAATATGGTTCCAACATACTAGACTAGTATCACCCTGATACCTGGATAAAGGAAGTATCTAAGTATCTATCGATCTATCGATCTATCTATTGTAGTCAATGAGGTTAATCAAAGTTAATTTTCCCCAACTACCACAAATATACCACAAAACCTTGCCTGGCAAAAGGTTTTGGCATAGCTAGGGGGTGAGGCAGACTAAGTGAGCAGGCACTGGGCAGGCTGTGGACTGAGCCCCATCTGAAAGCGGTCCAAGGTCTACTGCAGGTCTCAGTCCACTGTTTGTGTTTCTTTTAATGATAAAGCAGCCTCAGGACAGAGCCAAGGCTCTGTTATACACATTTGCATGGATGGTATAGTTCACTTTTCAGTGATGCAATTCATGTTGATATCTTATTTATACTGAAAGCTATTATATCTTATTTCTTTTGCTTTGTCTTACCAAAGACATGCCTCAAGTTCCTTCCTATCTGCATCATTAATGGTTTATATCTTCAGTATTATTGTGAGTGTATGTGTTCACACCCACACAAATGCAGAGTTCTGACATGTGTCAGCCCGGACACTGAGGTCCAACTCCGAGGACCTTCTGGCGGTTCCCTCACTGCGAGAAGTGAGGTTACAGGGAACCAGGCAGAGGGCCTTCTTGGTAGTGGCGCCTGCCCTGTGGAATGCCCTCCCATCAGATGTCAAGGAAATAAACAACTATCTGACTTTTAGAAGACATCTGAAGGCAGCCCTATTTAGGAAAGTTTTAAATGTTTGATGTTTTATTGTATTTTTAATATTTTGTTGGAAGCCGCCCAGAGTGGCTGGGGAAACCCAGCCAGATGGGCAGGGTATAAATAAATTATTATTATTATTATTATTATTTTCCTAAAGCATAAATAATGAGTTCTTGCTTACACTGCTGTCTCACAGAAAGAATAATTCTTTGGCATTGACATCTTAGGAGTTCATACATGTTCACAGGATTTATTTATTTTTAGCAGAAGGAAAGCATTGTTTTTGCTTAGCGATACTATTAAGCACATTAATAAAAGCAGTACTTAACTGGCTTAATAGGCACAAATCCCAACAGGATAAATGTTTTTCTAACAATATGTTAGACAACAAGCCTTGCAAATACATATTCACAGAGGGTAGCTGCTTTTTATAGTTTATACAAACATATACAACTCCTGTGTGGGCGGGCCTGAATAATTATGACACTGAAGCAACAGGAAAAGAAACTTAAATGTGCATAATTGTTCCTATACATAACTGTCTAAGCATATGATAAAACAAACCCAACAAGGAATACATACCTAATGGTGCAAAATTGGAATATTTTCCCATTACTATTGGAAAAAAAAATCAATATATTTACATCTTAGGCTGAATACTCAGGAATCTTAGTGTGTTCATTGTAGCTAGATAAACATGAAGTGCGTCCAGCTAGAAATGTTTTATGCAACAATTTGATTTCCATCTCATGTGAGAAGAAATATGCTGGCATTTGAATGGCTTTCCCAGACAAGCTACTGGGCAAGTCTTTGCCAAGGGTAGTTAATTTAAATAACTGGATGAATTCCTAGTATAGGCATTCACTTCCTTCCATAGCGAGAGCAGTCAACAGGAAAGGAAAAAGTGAATCACTAATGGGAGATCCTGAAGTTGTCTGAATGTAGGATATGCCTCATTATCACATTGGACACAGAAGAATGAGAAGAGGGGACTAAGAAAAGAACGCAAAAAATAGCCAGTTCTGGATTTCCATATGAGGTCCAATCCTTATGGAAACTACTGTCTGACAAGGTCTATATGGGAATTCATGCACAGCCTCTCTACATGCACATTGATTAGTTACTCACTAATATTTGCACACAGGGATTCTGAAAGCAATCTTAGAAGTAATACCGACTTCTATGATTGCTTGTTATGAGCAATACCACAGTTCTCAGGTCTAACAACCCATGAAATGAACTAGTAAAGATTTCACATATGTTTTGCATTTTTAAGTCTTTGCCTTCTAAATATTTGAAAGATCATATAGTCCTTTTTTTACAGTCAAAATTCCGACATAGTTTGCAGTAGAAGAATTAGTTTCTCAGCTGACTTAGTTCAATAAACTATTTTATGCGATTTATATTTAAGCTGCTATGGGTTAAGCGGTCTATCATGCCACTTTATTTTTACAAAGCAATCCGTCAGTCCAAATAATTAAAATCTGTTTATAATTAGTCATTTTCATTATACTAATAATTTCAGATTGCCCCAAGGACAGATAGAAAATGTGTTTACTTCCTAGAGCCAAAGAAGACGCTGAATCTACACAGAAGCACAAGGCTACATACCCAGTAGGCACTCATACATGAGCTAGGGGACTCCTGAACTATTTATTGCCACAGTGCTTCCTTTAAAATGTTCTTACACTGCTGTCTACTGTTTTGTGGGCCCAGGCACAGTGAGGCAGAGGTGGAGTGCACAGACAAAAGAAAGGGAACAGGAAACACATGCTGGATTCAAATTAGGCCACAACTTTAATGGTTACAGATGCAACTGGTTCAGCGTAGGCATTGGGCATGTATTGCAAAGATCAACCTGCCTGCCTGCTGGTTGATGAACCATTGAGGTTAACAAAAAATTAGAGGTCCCCCTGAAGTGGCTACCACATATGGAGAACCCCTAAGTGATCCCCAATGTGGTGTGGCAGAAGAGGAAGATTGAAGAAAAGTGTGAAAGCATCTCTGTGAGTAGAGATTTTCCACAATCTTTCCCCTTCGTCTCCCATACCACATCCAACCCCATTCAGCAGAGGAATTGAGAAGCCTTTTCAGAAGACTGTCTGGGAGAGGATGGGGTGGAAAAGTCACTTTCCACCTCACCCACGGGTATATCTCTGGATCCACCCCAAATATACATTCACACAATCATATGGTAAGTATTGAATACTAGTAACCTCATTAGTATTCTAAATAAAATTCTTTTTTCACCCTAGGCAACGTTTCCAATCTTACAACTGTAAGACAATTAACTTTTTTGCCAACACAAAAGCTAACAAACTTAATCTCAAAACATTATTTTGAATACATATATATTATGCCATTCCACCACGCATCTGCCACAGGTGGCTCGCATAACAATTAAATACTAATGCAACTGAAACGAAGTTTAAAATACAAAATACATAACTCATTACAACTGCCTTTTTTCTTACGAGAATCAAAATCCTGCCAACACCAAAAAAGAACCATACATATGTAAGGACTGCTATGAAATTGCATGGACTCATAAAACTACTCCTATATTATCAGCAGCACAACAACTGAATTCTATGCTTCACTTTCTGATTCATAATTTATGTAGGGAAATATCACAACAGGACATTTAAATAAGTCTTTTTTCTGTATCATCATGATAACAGATGATAGATGAAAAACCCATAAAAAGAAAGCTAAACACTATCTCCAACAAGTAAATGTTTCAAAAATTTTCTTCATACTGACAGTATGAAGTTAATCTATCAATGGCAGAACTGAATGCCCATTTTTATAAACCTCTGCTTCTCTAGTCAAGAAAAATAAGATTCTCCTTATTCAACATTAACTAACAGAGTAAAGGTAAAAGGTAAAGTACCTCTGGACAGTTAAGTCCAGTCAAAGGCGATTATGGGGTGCGGCGCTCAGATAAGACTCTATACTGTTAAAATATTCATACTTCATAAATCAGAAGTTAGAGTATAACCTGTTTTGAAAATGCAACATATGAATGTCTATTTTTATTCTTATGATGAGACCAAGCGTATTATAAATTTAAAATGGAACAAACATAGCATCTTTTGTAATATACTAACAGGCTAATGTGACAGATTTAGTTTTTGTTCTGATAAAGCACAGAGGTGGCTTACTTAGAACATAAGAGTCATGAACTTCCTGCAAAAGTTTATACAAGGCACGTCCTGTATCTCAAGGGAAATGTTTCATTATTTTTTAATTGATTCTGCTATTTCAAACAATTATTTTGTTTCCTGCTGTGGAATCACATTATTAATTGTGTATACACTAATTATTTATTTAACACACTTTAAAACCCAGACTGGAGAACAATAAGCAACGACAGCAAGGTAAAACAGAAAATATAATTTGTGGAGCATTTTAAGAGGATGATAAACCACTGGTACCAGGACAGACATAGTGTTCCTGATCCCTTTACCATGTTTGTGAGACTGAAAGCTCCCAGTAGGCTCATTCACTTCTCACACCATCTTCTTTCACACCAAAATCCCTTCCCTCATTCCCTTTTCAGATATGACTATAGTGCAGTTTCAGGTTGCATTCATGATAATAGCAACCATGGAGAGCTCAAAACAAGAGATAAAAGCATACACATGATTAGAAGTGGGATGTTAGAATTAACACCAGTATAGACGTAATTCTGAAAAGAGAAGTGAGGGGAAGTTGCACACAAGTGGTAAAGGTATGTAGAAGCCATACCATAGTTAGAAAACCAAGAACATTCTGTCTGCAGTCGGTTTTCAAAATTTAGTAAATATATATCAGTTCCAGTATTTTCCAGACAATCATTACTGGTTATCGGAAAAATAACCCTGTTAAATGCATGTCTATTGAAGAGACATTGCAAATTGGGCTAGGCTGGGTTGGGAGCAGAGCTCAAGTCCAGGTGTGATTCTGTCAGTTTTGCTCAGGAGGAAGGTGGGTATTTAGACCCAAACCCTGGAATAATGCTCCACTCCAGCACCAGCACTTGTAAACAGGAACAACTGGAAAAGGTGTTTAAAAGTTATATGAGCTGGTGAAGAGCAGAGCTCAATTCCAGGTGTAGTGGTCTCTCTGAAAGAAATTTAGAGGATGATTCAGAATATAGAGAGCAGATATAACCATCCAAACCAGGCCGCTGATCAAGGAAACATATTTTATGAGATATTTGCTATTCTAGTCTTTTAACAGTTTAACGGCAAACTAAGTTGGACTTGCCTTTGGGAACTTTTAGTAGACAAGTGGAATAAGAATCAGTAATTATTAGTCACATGATAGATAACTTATTCCAAAGCTTTTTGCCTATGAGAAGATTGGCTTCATTAGGCCCAAACTGAGAATCCTGCCCTCCCAAATTATTTAGTTCTGTTATTGCATTTTGTTCATTAACTGACGAGAAACAAAGTACTCTGAACATGTTTAAAACCATTATCCTTTTTATTACTTCATGTGTTTCAAAGTGAATTCTGGCACACACAATTGGTTCTAGAGTTGGGGTTATTGGGAGGGGGAATCTTTGAAATTAATCCAAGAATGAAATGAATTAACAAGTCTTCTTCAATTTGCTATTCTTCACACACACACACATACACACACAAAGTTATTTTTACCAAAAAAAAAAAAGAAGGATCTTTTTTCCATCTAGAGGAAATAAAATCAGAAAAAAAGGATTTGGCCATAAAAAGTACACACATTTTATTCTTTTTGCCTTCTACAGAGCAGCCAGAGCTGTTGTAACCAAAATATTCCAAAAATTATTTATGTATAAAAAATACTTCTATAATGATTTCATTAAAAAATATCAAAGCAGTTTACAACAATTATATCTATACAATAAAAACCATATAAAAATTTAAAATCACAGATAATCAGCTATTACAAAAGATATATTCTTAATGGTCTTCCTAAGCCTAGTGACATAGAAAAGTTTTCAGCAAATGTTTAAAGGCTAAAATAAAAGGTGCCTGCTGAGATGACTATGAGATAATAATCTATATGTATCTATGAAACATTATAAAAAGCAGCAGCTACCATTTATCCAACCATTCAAACAATTCAACAATATCCCATTTCTGGGCAAGGTACTAGGGTGTATACTGGCATCTCAGGCTCCAGGGGTTTCTGGATGAGATGGAATACCTAGATCAAATTCAATCTGGTTTTAGGCCTAGTTATAGGACAGAGGCGGCTTTTGACATACTTCCCTTGTCCAATTCCCAGTGTATGTCCCGGTTGGTTCTGCTGGACCCTCCTGGACCACCTTAATGGGATGGGATTTGGAGACACTGTTCTAAACTGTCTCAGTTATAAACTGGTGTGCCATCAGTAATGGAACTTAATCCAGACAAGACAGAGGTACGCGTGATCAGTCGGAAGCCAGAACAGTGAATATGGATTCAGCCTGTACTGGATGGAGTAACACTGCCCTTGAAAACTAAGGTTCACAGTGTGGGTGTGCTTCTGGATTCAGTCCTGAGCCTGGATGCCCAGGTGGCCAGAAGTGCATTTGCATGGTTAAAGCTAGTGCACCAGGTGCACCCACTCCTGCAGATGTCTGATCTGGCCACAGTAAGACACACACCTTATTTACATCATGTTTGCATTACTGTAGCACAATCTACGTGGGGCTGCCTTTGAAAAGTGCTCATAAACTCAAACTGGCCCAAAGAGCTGCAGCCAGGTGGTTAACAGGGGCCAGTTATAGGGAACATATGATTCCCTTGTTATAATAACTCCACTGACTACTTCCAGGCACTCGTCTGTTTTCGGACACAATTCAAAGTAGCTGGAGTAAGGGTTAGGTCAGCAATAAACCACCTGGTGTCAGTAAAGTTAGCTCCTTATTCAAATAAACCAAAACAGCACAGGCCTAGTGATCACAGCTACTCTGCCCAAGAGGCCTTGCCCCAATGAGGCAGTTGCAAGGACTAAAGGTCCCCACCTTCCCATTGCTCCCTAGGCTCCTCCACTGGTTACTTCCCCAGCATCCTAAAGCTTTGTCAACTTGTCTCTCTTTGCCGTGCCCTCTTCATTTCTCTGCATGTTCTGGGAGACCGGGGGGATAACTATTATCTTTTATATATTTTTAGCTTTCTACCGGTATATTTTTTTTCTGTGTTGCTTTAATTTGTGTAAACCACCTTCAATCCCAGTCTGGGAGGAAAGTGGGATATTTAAAAAAAAAAAAATCAACAAAAAAGGTAAACACACAAATCCCTTGGTGACAGCACAATCATCAGATATACAAGTACCAGCTTCACCAAAGGCAATGCTTTTGGCTTGGAACAAATATTCAACTTTTATCCGTTGACTGAACATGTGCCAAACAAAAACTAAAGTTTTTTGTAAGGTGCAACACTGTTCTTTTAAAAAATAAACATAAATCCAACTTCACTTTGTCAACAACTGTTAACCACTAAAACATCTCTAGCACACAAACAAGGTTTGATATGGCCTTTCAGTCCACATCTGACTTCCAGCAGTTCATTTCCGTTTCAAAATTATGCATTCACTGAGAAAAGATCACAGTGGGGAAACATCCATTTACAGAAAACGTAACTTAAAAACAAGGTCAAGCTGTGAATATGTTTCAAATTCTTATGAGGAAAATAAACTGCAGTCAATTGTTGTTATTGCAGTTATTTCCACAAAATGTTAACAGGGAAAAAACACTATTCTAACCCAATTGCTTTTATTCAAAGCACATTATCTAATTCCAGCAGTAAAAACATCCATTTTAAGTGATGTGACTCCAAAAGTAATAGTACAGTCACTGATCCCAGAGATGAAAGACAATCATCTGCTACTTCTGCGTCACAATGTCCAAAGTTACAACTGAATGTACAAAACCATATTTATTGCTAGAAAATTATCATGTTTCTCTGTTCATCAGAAAATTAGCCTTTTAACTGGCCTTTAATACTTTAGCTATTCGGTACCCAGAATGCAACTAAATAAACAGTGACAAAATGTTTAACTCCAAGAATAGGAAGACATTCTTAACATACTCCAAATCTCAAAAGTACATATTAATTCAAAGTAACTTAATATTTCTTGTTGCATAAACAAGGTCTTGGGTTATTTACATATTTGACTATTCCATTATACAGGGACTATCATTTAAGATCCAGAAGCTGAACTTCTCTCTCCCAGCCCACACCAACTGTCTAAACCACTACTGATCTAGACCACAAAGCCTACCACACTTTGCTACTTCATCAACTTTGCTACTTCATCAGCCTCCTGTACCCAGCAAAGGCCAAATGTGGGCAGGGGGGCGGTTAAGAATAATTCACTGTTGGATGTTTAGCTGTTGAGGATTCACATGGAAAAGCACTATCTATATACCTTGAAGGTTATATGCAGTTCACAAACCTTCCCAACCTCCACCTGTCAAAATGACAAGCAATATATTTATACAGCTAATAATGTATTAAACCTAATTGATGAACCATATGATTTTATTATGAGAGGGATTCATATAAGAAGCCTGATCAGCAGAACTTCTGCTTGCACAAATGGGGACTTCCGCTTGCATGCATCCCAAAATTGACTTGTGGAAGTCGAAGAACGCCAACAGCGCACAGGGAGAGGAGAGAAGGGATTGTTTCATCTGTGCAAACTGAAATTCACAATGCTGAATTCCATGCAACATTACTAGATTTTACAGATGACAGTTTTAGAGTAAGTTTAGAAACTGCTACACAGTAAACGTAAACCAGGTTAATTAATTTGAAGCTTATATAAATTAATCTCTTTTGCAATGCTATGTAACTGCCATAACTCACTGACAATTTATACACTCTGCTATGTACACTAATATCACTATTCTACAGACTACACTGTATTTAGCATACTAATAAAAATTTTCACTCAAATGTTGCAATAAAACCTGAAATGTAAAATTCTAATTCTGAATTAGCTTTCAAAAACAATGAAGTTTTACACTGCAATTCTATACATGTCTACTCAGCAATAAGACCCATTGAGTTCAATGTGGCTTGCTTCTAGATAGATATAAGATTGCAGCCTTAAAGTCAACTTCCTGCTATATTCTCACACTAAAATAATATACTTAAATCATAGTTCTTGCAGAATTCAAGTGTATTCTAAAGAAAACTATTATTTAAATAAAATTACACTAAGGCAGATGTAATAGTATTTGAAAAACTAGGGGCTTGAATAACAAACAAAAAGCAGAATCCATGGTTACCATAGTTACACATACTCTTTGTTGTGTTTCAATGCCACATGATCTGATTCAAAGAAATACACATCAGGCTCTTCCTCTTCCTCTTCTACAGCATGAAGGTTGGCACTCTCTTTGGCAGATGGTAGGGATCCAGTAACAAGTCTAGCCTCTGGGGGTGGTTTACTTAGTCCTTCATCTATATATTCCCCGGAATCGCAACTTCTCTCTTTCTCATTCAGAACAGTATCTGTGTTTACAGAAGACCCATTGATATTGGTAATACTTGATTCTACATTCGTTTCAGCGGCACTGTGATTGTTCTCCTCAAGCTGTCCATTTTCTCTACATGGAGAGTTATGTTTAGTAGGGCTACCTTTTGCTGTGCCCACCCTCCATGGTGATGTTCTCAGTGTGTATCTGTGTTCTTGAGGTTCTGACACAGATGCAATTTGAGTGGAAACACAGTCCAAAACAGAAACTGATGGTTCAGGTTCACCTGAGACTGATGTACTGTCATGACAATTGCCCAGGTTGCTGTTGGTTTTTTCAGACTGTTCTTTTGAGGCACTGCTATCACCCACCACGTCTACTTCCTCCTCAGAATCCCTTAATAAAGGTGACTGGATTTCAGAAGAGGACCCCGTACCCGTACCTGACTCATGTGCCTGATTAGTAGTTTCCTCAGGCAAACAGTTGTTTAATTGTTTGTGGTCCTCTAATGTTAACTGTTCTTGTGAATTTGTGCAAGGCACACTGTGGTCAACAAAACTGTCCTCTTTATTTCTGTTGAGAAAAAATGATGAGTGGGCCAATGCATTTCCATTTTCTGCAACATCTTTTTCCTTAGATGAACAGGAAACAACATTGTTTTGTGCAGTAGTCCCATCAGGCTGACAGTTGTCACACTTTGCAGCATTTGGACCTCTCCCATCAACTCCATTGACAGTCTGACAACCTGCAAGTTCTTCGGATACTGAGAAACTGTTAATTTTTTCTGCACAAGCATTCACTTTTTTAACTTCCCTTTTATCACTATCGTCCAATATAAGACATCGACAAGCTCGTTTAGCTCCTGGAGTGACTGCAGCATTGTCTGGTACTGAACTCTTGCGTTCCAATCGTTCCTTCCCTGTTTTAGAGGACAACACTTCTTCTGAACTGTTTTGTCCCTCTGAACGCAGGCAGCGCTTAACTCGCTTTAAAACTGGTGAATGAGGTTCCCCTTGTTTCTTCTCACAATTGTCCACAATTTGTTTCTCAACACTATCCTTTTCTGAAGCTGATAGTCCCCTCTTTCGAGGGCTTACCCATGATTCCCTAGAACTTTGCTGTTTCACATCGTTACTTCGTGCACTGTTATTTCCCTTTTGAGTCTGCAGAGATTCTGGTTTCTTCTTTGGTGATCTTGATCTTACTTGTGGAAGAGAAGAAACTTCCTCTGGATGAGCGATGCTACGATTTCTTAAAGTTCGGCCACAAAAATTTTCATCCAAACCATTTAACCCTACTGTTGATCTTGTGACACGAGTAGATCGAGAAGCAGCCATACTATGGCAAGTCCCTAAAGTATGTTCCTCATGATCCACTCATTCCGAAACCTTCAAAGAAAGGTAAATAAAACAATGAGAAAAAGCATTGTCTGTAGTAGAAAATATGCTAGCATTTCAATTTTATGACTAAATAAGGATCTCTATTATGGTAGTTTCCTTGTGACAGCAGGGCAATCATCTAAATTTCTTAGCATATGTTAACACTAACTGCTCAATATTGACACTACTATTTATATAACAGAGGGTCAGAAAAAGGTTTTGACACTAAAGCAGGTTTATAAAATGAAAATCATTTTCTTTCAGTTAAGCCAAACAGAAAAGTTACATAAACCATTGTTTCTGGCATTAAATGAACAGGAAGGATTTCTAATGCATTTAAGAGAACATACAAAAAGGTTCTATCTAATTTCAACAGTATTTTTCAATTTATAATTCAAAAAAGGACTAAAAAACTACAACTCAAGCAGTGAATCATCTACTTCTACACTCATAACCCCAAAGGATATCCTACGACTAAAGCAGGAGTTGAAAATTTTGTTCAGAGGCATGTTGCAAACATGCTTATCATTTCAGCACACACTTTAAGACGAAAGTCAATTATTGTACTCATCTCCCAAGACAATTTGTTCATTTCAAGCAAAACCACAGTGATGGCTTTCATCATTTGACTGTAGAAAAAAACAACAACCCATAAAAGTTGTCTACCCTTATGGCTCAGCACTGAGTCAACCAATGCACTCTGGACCAAGTAAAGGAAATAAGCATTTGGATATAAATTTGTCTAATCAAAGACAGTCTGCTTGAATTCACTGCTAATGCTAAGCTTTTAAAAATGTACAGGAATATATTTCACAATTCTTCACTTTATTCACAACTAGAATCTCGTCCACTAATGATAGGGTCTATCATCATCCCTAAAAGTTGCATCAGGTTTTACCTTTGGGGATAAAAATTCCCAGGCTTCAAGTATGTTGGAACTGGACTACATGATTCCTGACAAAGACCTGGTGGGTTCTTAAAACAGAACCTAACAGTCATCTCTCCTATGCTTGGTCCTTATGTTAACTCAGTGGCATGTGACTCCCTGTGCCTATGAGTCCTATGCCACTGGTGTAATATAAGAAGCCTAAGACCATGTGGGATATGCTATCACTTCTCTTCCTTGTGCCAAGGTCAATCCTTGGAAAACTGAATTAATGCTTGTGTCAGGAGGAGCTGCTGACAAAAACAAAAGTCAACAGTGAATGAGTAGAAGATCATATATGCCTCTAATTCAAAACTTGTCTACTGAAACTAGAAATAAAGAAACTAGAAATAAAGACAGTGGAAAAATAAAGCAAATGGAGCTAAAAAAAATTATGCACATTTACTCAGCAATAAGCCTCATTAAACTTAGTGAAACTTGCTTCAGGGTAATCCTGTACAAGACTGGACAGTTACTATTTTATACCACAGTTTCACTCTAAGTTAAAACTGATAGATATCAAGATGTACTTAATTGATTGAGTCTCATGTACAAATCAACTGCACTAAAAACCAAAGTTAATGGATGAAATCATTTAGCAGGATAAGACACAATCATAATCAAATGGAACATCAAGATTTTTTTTAAAAAAAAAACCTAGGAGAAACTAGGACGGGATTCTAAACTCCAGTGACGTCGATATCTTATGGAATAAGATGGTAGTCTCTCTTCATTTTCAGAAGGTTTTATAAGCTAAATAATATAAACATATTAAGCAACAGAGAGGCTCCCTAAACCACTTATAAATACTAGAATTATAAGAATTTTGGGATAATAGTGGAAGTAACTTATAAATTTAGGGAACGTGGATCATGGATCTGTACACAGACATAAACAAAACCAAATTCTAATGTAAAATAAATTATACCCACTTCTAAATTGTAAAAATTGTCCAAGCTTTAAAGCCATTTCCTATTTTTTTCCATTAAAGAGATGGACTGCTGGGAAAACAAAAGTTGAGGCTCATGATTTTGATCTATGTCAGGGGTCTGCAACCTTTAAGACAAAAAGAGCCACTTGGACCCGTTTCCGAAGAAAAAAAACATGGGAGCCGCAAAACTCGTCATTATAAAAATAACTTTTTTGTCACTTTTTTTTATTATTTCTTTGTTTGACCCTCAGAATTACTCCTCCTCATAGAAATAAACGTTAAATTAACAAGTTACCTGTTTTTGTGTGTGTGTTCTTCATTCCCCTTCAAAACAGTGACCAGCGTACATGCCCCCTTTCAATGCAGTGACAAGTGTACATGCCCTTTACAATGTAGCGGGTGGGTGGGCGGGAAGGTGACGTCGGGACGGTGCGTGACTAACGCACGCACCGCCCCCATGCGACGTCACAGCCAGTACAGCGCCCGCCACAGTGGGGAGTGTCGGGGCGCACAATGCGCCTCCTCCCCTCGCTAGTATCTGCCCCGGAGCCGCGGCAAAGGTGTAAAAGAGCCACATGCGGCTCCGGAGCCGCAGGTTGCAGACCCCTGATCTATGTGATACAACTACTCTCATACCCTTTTTCAGGAGAAAAAACTGTGATAAATTATGTCCTTTTAGTGGAAACAAAGTAGGCCCTACAAAAAAACAACAACACCTTGTATATGAATGCAAAGAAAACAACTAATGTAACTCCTTGCAAATGAAAGGAACATTTGTTTCAAATTATCCAGTTTAGTGAGGTGTTTTAAAGGAGTATTCTGCTCATCAATGTAAACATGCTTCAAAAGCAAAATCTGAAATACTTAATGCAAATATTTTATTTGGGAGGATGAAATGTTTGTTTTCCTATCTTCCAGAAAGCCATGATTTCAAGGAAGCAAAGCCCAGATGAGATAATCCTAAATGTCTGGTGCACGAAGCATACTATACGGCAGGGATGGACAACAAATGGCCCTCCAAATGTTGCTGGACTATTACATTAACTGGAACTGGTGAGAGTTCAACAACATCTGGAGGGCTACAGGTCCCCATCCCTGCTACATGGAGTCTAACCACAATGGGGAATATTATTTGTCCCTAAAACTGAAAACATACATTATTCATTAAAATTTAACAAGGGATTCTGAACTAAAGTTACTGGGTTTGGCAATAAGCAAATGCTATGATGTTTTGATCAAGAAAATAAATTGTTGTATACTTCAAATGGTCTATCCTTAGTAATCAAGCTGTAACTGAATTGGATTTCTGGATTTATCATGTCACATCTTTCCAACCTTTGCAGTCCCACAACCACTGATGCATTCCATGAAAAATGTAATGACACAGGGAAGACAAGCCTGGCCCAGCCACCTGCATGGTGTTGGCTTCTCTGCCAGAAGAACACTTCACTCCTCTTTATAATTGCCAGTTGTCCAGCAACTGCAGGGCTAAAGGGAAGTATAATCTACCCTGATCCATCACTCTAAGGACAACTGGGATGTGTGTGCATTGGGGAGGGGTGACTATATACCATCACCACGTATACCATCAGCCAGCTTGAAGATCTTCATTGCAGAAGCCAGGCCACAAAGATTCAAATAAATCTCCAAAGATGACATAATTCCCCATGATAGTCCGTTTTGGAAATGTGGAAAAGACTAGTATGAAAATGAAGTTAAACCCCATTTTAAAGACCCTGATCATCTAGTTCAGGGGTTGTCAACCTGGTCCCTACTGTCCACTAGCAGGTGTTTCGGGATTCTAGGTGGGTGGTAGGGGGTTCTACGGCACAAGCTGAATCCTCCTTCCATCAATCACTGGTAAGGAAATTTTACCATCAAGAAAGATGAATTAGTGGGCGGTAGGTATAAAAAGGTTGACTATCCCTGATCTAGTCCAACCCTCTGCAATGAGGAATATGCAGCTGTCCCATATGTGGCATTATCAGCAACATGCACTAACCAACTCCAAGATTACACAGCAAAGAGCATGTGAAGGTTCTGCCCTTAGAACCAACTGCTTTCTTCTTTTATTAGAATCCATTCTGTTTGAAAGATAACTGATAAATTTGAAGTTTTGGATTGCTTTCTGTCCATAAGGAACAATGCCCAAGTAGAGAAATGATGTGGAATTTATAGGGAAGCACTATGACAGAAAACTGGCACATATTAACCAAATTAAAATAAAAACTAGTTCTCATAAAAAGTTATGACTATACCATAATAATTCATATTCCACACAATTATGTTTTATGAAGGGCTGGTTCAGATATGTTGTGATGTGAAATAACTATATCCATGCAGGTGTTCTTGGTATAGCAAGCAGCAGCATGTGGATTCCTATGAATCCATAAGCAAGCAGTCGCATGTAATTCCTATGACTGCTAAAAGTCTTTCTGAAGCTATCACAATCATGGCAATCTAAGCAATCATGGGTAACAAGGTACAGTACATACATATTTGCATTTCATAATGTAGAAAAGCACAAATCCCTAGACATCTGTGCAGAGGTAAGTGCTACACGTATATGTCCCTGAACAGATATAATTGTGTGCTTGATACAACAGTGCTCTCTCAATTACATAATCTTGTTAATACTATCTTCTGAATCAGCCATTCATTTTCAAAATACTATGTATCCAAAGCAGATGCATCTCAAGCATTTAATAACAGAGGGATGCAAAAAGACTTAGTTCTTAAATTAAATTATAGATAAAAATAAAATAGAAAGTGGTGACAGAAGGGTTTTAAGTCACCAGCCCTGGAATATTATTTATTTATAAGCCAATTACATATGCCGCTATGGGTGTAAACTGGAAAATCTGTCCTGCGTGCAGAGCAACTATTTTCCTTGAACAAGTAGCTTCCGTAATAATCTTACATGCAGAGAATCATGCAGCCTATGTATGTGGTGCAATGGCTTATGCCATGGGTAGGCAAACTAAGACCCGGGGGCCTGATGCGGCCCGATCACCTCAATCTAGCCCGCGGACAGGCTGGAAATCAGCATGTTTTTACATGAGTAGAATGTGTGCTTTTATTTAAAATGCATCTCTGGGTTATTTGTGGGGCATAGGAATTCATTCATTTCTCCCCCCCCCCCCAAAAAAAATATAGTCCGGCCCCCCCCCCAAGGTCTGAGGGACAGTGGAACGGCCCCCTGCTGAAAAAGTTTGCTGACCCCTGGCTTATGCAATGGTCTGCACTTCTATATATAAAAAGGCATGAGCAGCTATTGTCTTGCACACAAAAAAAACCTCTCTGGATCACAGCCTAGGTCTTCAATTAGTACCAGAGACAAAAAGCAGGGCAGTGTGACATAATAATGCTAAGAAAGCAATATAAACCACATCCAACAACTTCCAGTTCCCAGGAGCACACTCTGCTCCGTGTAACTAGTGCCACCTCCCAGAATTATAAAGCATAGCAGGCAGCCTATTACAGAAACTGGGTGTAGCTTATGTCTGAAGTTGTTAATTTGCAAAACTTCTCTACAGAATACTCAGTCTGTTCAATACATTTTTCATTGTACAGAAAAGCTCAAAATAATTTTAACAGCCACAGTCTAACAATGCTGGCAACGTAACTCCTTTCTAAAAAGTGACTAATCTCATGCAAGAAATGCAGCCTTTCTTCTTAACATACCATGCCTTTAAATACTAGAGTTAAACAGCAGGCAATACCAATTATCAATTATGATCCAAACAACCCCATACATTGGGGATTTTCCTTGAGATTTGTATAAAAAGAGATTCTATTTCCACTAAAAATGAAACAGAACAAAGATAAACCTTAAGTAAATGATGGCACTGTGTAGATTGGAGAAATATCTGGATTATATTGGATTGCATTATAAGTTACAGCAAACAAGTGAAACCTGAAACAAATTTTTCAGTGCATCCTCGTCTCCTAACAGGAATGATCCAGGCAGGGGTTCTTGCTAGGCAGGCATGACCTCCTCCAGGATTCTATAAGCTACAAAGAGCTCCTAACTCAGGGCATTCCTCTTCTCCACTAGTCCTGTGCAATATCTGGTTTTCAACATTTTGATATATCACTAACTAAACATCATCATACAGTGGTACCTCACAACTCAAATGGCTCCGTTCTCAAACATTTTGGCTCCCAAACGCCGAAAACCTGGAAGTACTCCAGTTTTCAAATGTTCTTCGAAACATGGAAGTCCGACGCGGCTTCCACTGTGCAAAAACAGAGCTGTTGATCAATCGGAAGCTGCGCCTCAAACTCAAACGTTTCAGAAGTCGAACAGTCTTCTGGAATGGATTACGTTCGAGTTCTGAGGTACCACTGTATACTGATACATCACAATGTCTGAAATAAGGATGGAAGTATGCAGAGGCAAACAGTAGAGCTGGGCAATATCTGGTTTTCAACATCGCAATGTATCACCATGTCTGAAATAAAGATTTTCTTGCATCGTGATTTTTGCATAGTGCATGTGTGTGTGTACACACACACACACACACACACACACACACACAGATTTGTGGTATATTGCTGGGTCAAAAATTATGAAACTGATATAACAATATAGACTTCAAACCGGTTTTGAATGATATACCGTATTTTTCGCCCCATAGGGCGCACCTAGTTTTGGGGGGGGGGGGAATAAAGAAAAAAAATTATTTCCCCCCCAGGCGCGGGGCTGGGGCGGGGGAAGCCCGAGCTTCCCCAGCCCCCAGAACAGGCTGCTCTCCGCAAGCCGTGGGAGGGCTCCGACAGCTTGCGGAGAGCTACCCGAAGCCCGGGCGCGCCCAGGCTTCGTGATAGAGGCAGCTCTGTGCAAGCCGTGGGAGCCCGGCGGGAACTCCCGCGGGCTCCAAAGGCTTGCAGATAGCTTCCTGAAGCCTGGAGAGCGAGCGGGGTCGGTGCGCACCGACCCCTCTCACTCTCCAGGCTTCAGCGAAAGCCTGCATTCACCCCATAGGACGCACACACATTTCCCCTTCATTTTTGGAGGGGAAAAAGTGCATCCTATAGGGCGAAAAATACGGTATATCACCTAGCCCTATTCTCCACCATACACCCACACTCATTTTATTTTTCCAACTGGTACAGTGGTACCTTGCTTTGAGTCCAGGATCAGTTCCAGAGCACCGGACGCTCCACGAAAGGGATGCTCGACAAAGTGCTGCTCTGCACATACGCGTGGAGTGGTTTACGCTTCTGCGCGATTTAGCGCTTCTGCACATGTGCGAGCGGCAAACCCAGAAGTAACCCATTCCGGTACTTCTGGGTTTTCCGCGGACATTTACCGAAATGGATGACGATGGGGCGGACATTCACAGAGATATTTCTGTACTCGATTTCCAATGGTTTCTGAGCATGGGGTTGGAGTTTTCTGCCCCTTAGTTCTGCATGGTTCCCCTGAGCATGCCAATATTCTACTTGTTTTTCAGTGGACCCATGTTGCCTCTGTATCTGTCAGCACTCGCCACCTGAGTTTCAGAGGCATGTATAATCATACCTCATGCTATGGACGCTTCAGGTTACGTCTTTTCAGGTTGTGTCCCGCGGCGACCCGGAAGTACCGGAAAGGGTTACTTCCGGGTTTCGCCGCTCGGGCATGTGCACACCGCGCACCTGCACAGATACGGCGCTTCAGGTTGCGCTCTTTTCAGGTTGCGAACGGGCCTCCGGAACGGATCCCGTTCGCAACCAGAGGTACCACTGTAGAGTCACTGATTAACACAGTGATTTACAAAATACATGATGAGTTTACTCATGTAAACTCCTGACACAGGGCAAGGAAATGGAGGCAGAGTTAAAGGCGGGAGGAACATGCATGTATTTCAATTACACATGCACCAATATATATACACAGACCCCTAACATGTTCCAAATAGTTAGGAGTACTGCAGAAGACAATTATTTATCCTATACTAATGGTTGACAATGGTAATTCAATATTATAATTATTATTATATAACAATTTATACACTACTTTTCCACAAATGTACAAAAGGCAGTTTACAGAAATCAAGATACCACAAAATAAAACTACAACCTAAAAACAAGACAAAATGTCTAATTATAAAATATCATAATTAGAAATATTCACTAGAGAAGGGATGTCCAACCGGTAGATCTCTGGCTGGCTGATCCTGGGATCCTTATTGTGTACAAAAAGTTACGGGGGGAAAGCTGAAAACCTCTGTGCAATCCTCCCCCTAAAACGCTCAACAACGCTGGGAACTTCCCTCCTAAAAAAAGCTCAACAACTCTGGGCAATCCACCCACCCCACGCACGCTCTTCCTCCCTCCAATGACAATAGGTAGATCACTGCCAGTTTTTTTTTATACTGGGAATAGATCACAATCTCTTGGGAGTTGGACATGCCTATACTAGAGGATATATCACATCCCTGGGTGTCTGGTTTCAGACTTCAAAAGATTCATCCATACATAGGAGAAGAAAGTAATTCATAATACTAAATATTCATTCGTTTTTTATACATGCACTACCTGAACATACTGCGTTCTCAGGAAATTGTTTGTTAGGTGAGCGTTCGCATAATGAGTCAATTGATTCCTATGCAACAATTTCTAATGTGTCCCCAACCACTGAATTTTGAGCCCCAAATGACAAGAAAACCTGGGGAAACAGAGGAAAACATTCTGAAACTTGCAAAATGCAAACAAGGAAGGAAAAAAATGCTCTCTTATTTGTCTGAGCTCTCCCCCTCTCTCCTTCCCACCATTGTTTCTGCTGAAATGGCTTGAGGACCAGCAAAATGCAAAAAGTTAATCTTGTTTAAGACTGCTTACAGTCTTGCATGCAGGTCTGGCTGTTTGTATATCTGATTCTGAAATATGTACAGCAAGTTTTGGATACTAATTGCTTGTGTTTGGATAAGTGAATTTTTGTATAACACACATTTGGATAGCAGGACCTGTGTGTATATGTAAGTTGACAGGTGTATATATATCCTATCACAAAATGGTGTTTACATGGACTTCAGAGTAAATCTAACTGGTCATTAGAATAAATACAATAACATTTAAAAGATTTAATGATACAAGAAAGCACAATAATTTTAAACAAATATATTTCAATTATTTCCTACCATTGCAAAAATGAATAGAATATGGACTTCTCTTCTGAGCTTTGAGGAATTCCAGTGTAGCTCCACTAAGCTTAATAGTCACCATTGCTAATGTCCATGATGCATGCCAGACATCATTTTCAAGCAATTTACATTTCTTTTAACAAGGATACTGTAGGAAAGAGACAACAGAATTAAGAAAAAGTCAGTGTATTTACTGTCCATATGGCATGGCATATGACAACCTTCAAAGTATTCACTCTTTCCTGTATGCAAACAGTGTAGGTTAAAAAAGAGTATGGAGGATGACGACTTTTTAATGATGGTTCTGCACTTACCTTCAGGGCCAATTCCAAAACGTGGTCCCACTGGATTTCTGCTTTATCCCACAACATATTTGATGATCCCACAAGGTTTCATCTTATCCCCATGTTAAATACCTATTTGAATCTGCTAAGCGAAGTAGTTCAAGGAGTTGGAGTGTATTGTCATCCATTTGGAAATGACACAAAGCTCCATTTGACATTCTCTTCAGAGCCTGGTGGGAATAGACCAGTGTCTGGATGCAAACAAACTGAGATTCAATCCAGACAAAACTGGCACAGTTTGTAAGATGTTCATCAGCATGGATGAGTGGGATTCAACACTGCCTTAGAATGACCAAGGACCAAGGCTGAGGTTGCTACTAGAACCATCATTTTCACTGAAGGCTCAAGTGGCACATGTGGCACAGGATGCCTTCTAACAGTTTAGGATGGTATTTATTAAGACATCAAATGCAGGTGGATAATCTAGTTGACATAATCCACTAGTTGAAAAGCAGTGCTCTATATTATCACAATCATGCTTGAATTGTTACAGCAATCAGTTAGCATGGATACTTAGTAAGTGTGTGGGGGTATGGGTTTGGGTGTATGTATATATACACACTTTTTCCCTAGAGTGAACTTGTTCAATTCACCAAAACACAGTATTTTTACCTCCCTATTACATTTATAATAGTCTTAAACTAACAAAAACCTCTCACTACAGGAGAAAAACATGGCATTTGGCCTCTCAGACTCTCACACAAACAGAAAAGCAATATCTCTAGCAATATCTTTTGCAAGGACACAAAAATTCCCTGCAATTCCTCTAATAAGTAGCCTCATTAGAGAGAGAATCTCACTATCATATGACCATTCCCAGAGACACTCTTGCCAAAGACACTATCATTTCCTAAGTGGTGTGAAATATACATAAATCACAGATTTGGTAGTTGAGGAGGAAGCATTATTTTTTCACATGTCCGTAAATGGATTGTTTTGATTCTGTTTTCCTTACCACCAATTAGCAAAGGTAGCCTCCATGCTACCTACAGTTAAAATAAATACAGTGGTGCCTCTAGCTATGAACTTAATTCGTTCCGGAGGTCCGTTAAGACCTGAAACTGTTAAGGTTAAGACCTGAAATTGTTCTTAACTAGAGGCATGCTTACGCTAATGAGGCCTCTAGCTGCTGCTGCACTGCTGGCACACGATTTCCGTTCTCATCCTGGGGCAAAGTTCTCAACTTGAGATAACTCTTCCAGGTTAGCGGAGTTTGTAACCTGAAGCGTTTGTAACCTGAGGCGTTTGTAACTCGAGGTACCAGTGTAAGTCACAGAACACTGCATTCCTTGTATTGCTAGTACAACAGGTTCCAATATATTCACCCCAATAACGTGCAGAAGGCTATCTCCTCTTTTCAGTATTCAGCGTAGCCAAAACCATAACTAACCAACTTCCTGCTTTTATCAGACATACCACAGGTAGCACAAACACCACAAATTTGTGCTATGCCCCGGGACAGGGCTATGGCATAGAACTAAGCCAGTATGGGGCTACCTAAGTACACAGTGCGCACTAGAATTGTGTAAGTTTGGAAATAATAAGCTACAGTTCTTGAAAGTCATGTGATTTTTTTACCTCTCAATTCATTTAATATCCTTCATCAATATGCAGTATTCTAAGTAGAGTATAGATAAAGTAAGGTTTGCTTCATCACCTTCAAGAGCAAGAGTCTACAATATTCTCCTGGAAGTAATGTGCAGAACAGTTGCTGGCAGAAACTTGATAACTACATTTTTACACCAAGTCAGATGAGGAAATAAGTTGTGAACTGTCAATGGATGGTTTTTTGGATCAGGAACCTAAGTGCATCACTTTTGTACCCACTGCTGCGCAAGACAGGTTTATACAGAAGTAATGGTGGGTTGGGATTAGTCACATTCTGGCAATATGTGGCTGGTACTCCACAGATTGCCTGGGGGATTTTTTCTAAAATATGCTCATCCTATGGAAGTTCTCTATTCCAAAAGATAGTTTTGTGTCATACATTCTAAATGTGAGAGAAGGAAGGGGGGAAATAAACAACATTATTTGCCATGATAAACCAACGTAAGAAATCAAACATCCAAATTCCACACACTTTAAAAGTATAACTAGAGTTTAATTCCATTCCAGCTTCTTTTGCCAGAGATTGAATACTAACTCATTTGATCTTACAAAACATCTAAGTATTTATTAGTTACATTTTCATGCCTTTGTGAGAATCTGTGGGCATTTATGATTTTTTAAAACTTATGTCAAAGTTTCACTATCAGCAATGTTATCATAATAAACTGGCTATTCTTTGTTTTGCTTTGTATTTCCCCAAATACAAATGTAAACGTATATCAAATAGCCATTAACAACATTCCTCACAAATGCAATACAGTATAAGCCTTCCATAGATCACATGAGGCACTCCTCCAATCAAGTATGAAGAAGCTGAATGAGGAGGTGTGGGGGACCGCCCTGTTTTGAAACTGTCACTCCACCTTGAAAGGACACTTGCAAATAGCAAGTAACATCTCCTAATCCTCATATGAAGTAATAGGTGTTGGAAATGAATAGGAATCTTTACAGAGCCCAAAGTACCACTGCCATATGTGGGAGCTAGAGAAATTATTTCTCAGATGACTGCCTATTTTTAAAAGATAGTTGTAAAGGTGTATCTCACATCACATGAAGCCAAATGTTATCCATAACCCTGGTAACTTCTATGATAGATTACTACAACAGGCTTTAAATGTACATGCTACTTGAGTCGCTTCAGGAACCACAGCTAGACTCTTAAAAGAAATCATATCTCATCTGTATTGAAAGAATTCTACTAGTTCCTGGTATGTTTCAGAATTCAATTCAAAGTGTTGGTCTTAACTTTCAAAGTGACACCCAGGGGCACCATAGTACCCTTAGACACATAACACTGCACACACCAACACTAATATTAAAAAAAACAAAAAACACAGAAAAAACAGTAAGCTGTTTGGATTTTCTGTTATTTTGTGAATGTTTTGCATACATTTTTTTGGGGGGGGGTCTGCTTTATTTGCTTTAGGGGAGTGTAGGATTTTTGCCGGCTTATGGGAAAGTTATTCTTCTGTGAAATGAGTATTCTGTGGTGCCCATGACTATTTCTTAGATTTCCAAATAATAATCTAAACCCAAAAGAATATAAAATAATGCCACATTAAATTATGGGAAGTCATAGTCATTAGTAGTACTGTCTTCCATCTATTAAGGTAAGAATCAAAATGAGGAACAAGTCACCCAAACTGTTGGCTTGTTTCATAGATTGGGATATCCAATTGCTTGTTAGTCCTTTGAGCTTATCCAATATTAACACCAATCCAAGTTATGCTCAAATGATGTCAATATAAAGGAGTGACCTCTATTGATGCTGTAATCAGTTTGGCCACAATAAGTTCTCAACACAGGAATGAAACCCAATTCAAGGGTGAGGAACTATAGTATTGGTTGCGGCCCTGTTTTCTGAACCTTGAAATAACTTTTATGTTGCATTGTAGCTTATGAATTTATTTATTTTTATTATTTGAACACATATTGAGAAAGTTTCATGCCAAAAGTAAGAAAACAAGATAGGCTATAATAGTAGGAATGGCAACTTAAATATATATATATATATATATATATATATATATATATGAAATCGCTTACATGTATAACCAATATTGCTACACAATTGTGAAAGGCCACTCTAATAGGATATTACTATACACTAGAAATGTTAAATTAAAATCATAGTTAGCCTGCGCAAAAAATAACCAGCTATTTCTGAATATATGGGCCATGTAAAATAAAATGCTTTCTATTAGGAGGTAACTGTGCATTAAATCTAGTTCTGAAAACATGATTAAATTATAGAAATGAAATTAAAATATAAAATTTAAGCATGGGGGAATGATGGCTCGCCATCTTACTAACTTCATGCAATGTTAAAAATGTGTAAAATAGGTAAACGTACACAGTTGATAAACTAGAAGTCTGTCCAGCTTGTCAAGGCATACTGCAAGAACCTCCTCGGTTATCCAAAGAGGACTCTGGGTAATATATACCAGCTGCTTAATTACACACATAACATGCACAGTGTGCTATTTTAATGGTAATTTTGTCGTTAAGTTTTTCCTAGGAAATATTTTGTGCATTTTCCCAAAACAAACAAAAAATTATTGCACCATCCCTAGGACACTACAGTGGCACCTCGGATTAAGTACTTAATTCGTTCCAGAGGTCCGTACTTAACCTGAAACTGTTCTTAACCTGAAGCACCACTTTAGCTAATGGGGCTTCCCGCTGCTGCCGCGCCGCTGGAGCACGATTTCTGTTCTCATCCTGAAGCAAAGTACTTAACCTGAAGCACTATTTCTGGAGTCTGTAGCCTGAAGCGTATGTAACCTGAAGCATATGTAACCCGAGGTACCACTGTACACATAAGTCTGGTTCACACATTATTATTATTTCCTACATCTTGCCAAAAAGGAGACCAAGGCAGCTAGCTATGATCATAACACTAAGCCATGGTTTGTTTGATGGTTCAAACCTAGCAGCTTAACTATCACTTGCTTAATGCTAGAATCTTGATTTATATTAATTAGCATTACATGTGAATCTGGCACCCTTCCTTAAACTTTTTTGTTTTTTTTTGGTAACCCCCATTCTAGATGCTAATGAAACATGAAGCAACAGCAGCAAGAAAACAAAACAAACTTGGGAGAAATAAGTTAGGACTTGTCTGATCGCCTGTGAGACAATTCATAGCTAACTCGTGGTCTGTTAAACAAACCATGGCTTTGTGTTATGTGAGAACAGTATCATAGCAAGGAAACACATTGACATTTTATTGACATCTTTTAAGATACTTTAATATCAATCTTCTTAATATTAGCTGAGACTCTGGAGACCTATATATGTTTTCTGAAGGCTGAAATCCTAAGTACAGTTACTTGGGAGTAGCTCCCGTTAAATACACAAGCTATAAAAAGTGGAGAGAACAATGCAATAGCCAAGGCCAAGAACTGCTGCAGCAACAAATAACTACTTAGGATAGAGTACAATAACTTGTTTATGACAATTATACAATGAGAGCTACAAAGTGCTTTTCTACAGTACAAAGTGAAATAAAGAAAGCAAAAATAGCTTGTAGGAATTCAAGCCTAACCACCACCAATCCAAGCATTTTTCAGTGAACCTGGGTTAAGAAATATAGGAATTATTATATACATTTGTATGTAACCTTCCATTGGCTCCTAAAGATCCACTCTTCCACAGAAAAAGAGTGAGAAAAGAGCAAATTGGACTGAAGAAGTAGGGGAATGAGATACTTAACACCATCTTCCCTCTCAAATTCCTTCTCCTATTCTGCAAGGTGCAAATGTGTGTTTGCAAAGAAAAAACACATCTAGGACAATATTGTGTTTGTGGGTCAAACTTAGATAGCATACCAACACTGTATGACACTTCTTTAGAGAATTTGGTTAGCTTTTAGAACTCTAGCATTCTCAACATTCCACTGTATCAGGCACCTCCAACCTTCAGCCCTCCAGATGTTTTGGCCTACAACTCCCATGATCCCTAGCTAACAGGACCAGTGGTCAGGGATGATGGGAACTGTAGTCCAAAACTTCTGGAGGGCCAAAGGTTTGGGGTGCCTGCACTATATTTTAACAAGCAATTGCACTTGTTTCTTTCTTTTTCAATAATTTCAGCTTTTTCAATAATTTCAACTATTTCTGTAAAATTTAACAAAACCAGAATTATTCATATAATTGCAGGAGCAGTTGTAGCCAACCAAGTCATAATCTTAATTTGAGATCACCTATAAACAGCAGAAATAGAACTGCAGTTAAGGATACTTGCTAATAAAGTTACTGTAAAAGGAATGCAATCTACAAATTAAAAATGAACAACAAAAATTGTGCTACTAAAATTCAGACCTCAAAATACCTAATTTGCAACTAATATGCAACATGTGTGACAGTTAAAACACATTGCAAAGAGAAAATGCATTATTTTGAACTCCCCTCACAAACTTTATATAAAATTATACTAGGCATATATTGCATTAAAACTTGTTAGGGGATGGAGCAAAAGAACAACTGTTGGGGGGGGGGGATAGTGCTTAAAAATGGAAAGTGTTATACCGGTGGTCAACAAAAGAGGTTTTAGGACTCTCTCAAGGCAAATCTAAAAAAAATGTAGTATAAACACAAACAACTGGGAAACACTGGCCTGCGAGAGCTCTAACTGGAGAACAGCCTTTACCAAAAGGTGTAATGGACTTTGAAGATGCTTGAACTCAGGACGAAAGGGAGAAATGTGCTAAGAGGAAGTGGAAGGACATGTGGATCCAGAATTGACCTCCACAATCACTTACGAACTCACTGTTAAGACCGTGTTCATGGAAGGTAATCTTACGAGTGATCACCAAAGAGAAAAGGAGATTCAAACAATCCAGGACAAACCAAGTTGACTGTGCAAGTTTACAGAGGAATGCACAACCCTGCACAAGCGGCACCTAAGGCAAAGATTTGTAAATGTATTGCAGCATGTACTTTGCAAGCAAAAGCCCATTTCATCAAAGAAAATGGTGACTACAAGTAGAACCATGTGGCTCTGCAGATGTTCCTGGACTCGAATCAGGCTCAGTCAGCATGGCCAGGGTGTTGTAACACAGTAACATCTGGAGGGCCACAGGCTCCCTTCGTTTTCTACATAAAATCTACTGTGGGTAATATCCTGCTCAGCAGTCAACAGCAAGTGGTGCAAAATATGCTTTCAGAAACTAACAATAATGTACTCTGCCAGCCTGCTTACCTTTGCTAGAATACCTTACGGGCTTAAAAAAAAAAAAAAAAAGTTTGATAACCAAACTTGTGAGGCAGTGCAGCAGAGAACAGGATTGGCAAACAGGGCTCCAAATTAGGGCTGTTTCATGGTGTTTATTTTGCTGGGTCTAGTTTTCCTAAGGAACTTGCCTTGCAGGCCAAATTGTCTCCCAGAGCTGATCCCGTCAGTTACAAGTCCTTTAGCACATAACACCCACTACTGTAAGATACTCAACTAAGGCAAGTCGGAAGTAGCCATGTGGCCCTGACTAACGTATTTTGAACCAAAGGTGGGCATTGGAGGTGGTCGAACTTTGCGGGAAGAGGTTCCATGGAACGGTTTTAAAGGGCTGAGGAGCCAAGTGGGCTGTCCCAAGGAGCATCAATAAAAAGATGACATGGGGGCGCCCTCAAGACTATGTGGGAACCTGTGGTGAGAACCTGAGGCGCGGTGGGGGGGGGGGGGCGCCACGGAGCGGCAGTTTTGACTGTGGTGAAATTGCAGGGGGGAGGGGAGGAGCCCGACGCGCACAAAACTCTCGCAGGTCTAACTCCCCGTGACGTTCAGCCCCGCCCCCACGCGCGTCGACGGACTTAAAGAGGCCGGGCCTAAAGGAGCTCACGGCGCGCCGCCCCCTCCCTCTCTCTCTCCCCCTCCCACCCACCTCGCTTCCCGGTTGCCCGTTACCATTATTACCCATCACTCTCAGCGCAGCGCCGCCATCCTGCCTCCGGCCAGCTCCCACGGGAACTAGGGCTGACCTCGCGAGAACTCCCACCTCAACGCGCGCGCACACCCCTCCCCCTGCCGCCTGCGAGCCCCAACATGGCGGAAGCGTCGCGCACGTGTCCGCGTGTCCTAGATATACTGTATATACACAACAGCGCCCGCAGTACGCCGTGCGCGCTCCCCCGCGCACGTGGAAAATGGGAGGGCGGACGGACAGAAAGGAGGGAGAGCAAAATGGTCAATGGCTGAGGGAAAGGAGCGGTTACGTCGCCGCGCACGCGCACGCCGCACCTTTCGGTTCAGCAGCTGGGATTCGAACGAGGCGCGCGAGCCTCCTCCTCTCCCCCTCCCGCTCCCGCACGCGCAGGTCACATGGGGATATAATACCTCCCCCCTCCTTCTCTTGTTCGCGCTCTCTCCCTCTCCGCGCTCCTTCCCCCGGCCCCCTCCTCTCACCCGCCGCACCATCCGGGTCTCTCCGCCTCACCAGTTTCACCCCCCCCCCCGCGCGCGCGCTCGCCCCGAGGGAGGCGGCCTGACCTGGTTGCTGAGAGACGCGAAACTCAGCCCGGTGGGACCGAAGCAGCGGCTTCTTGTTCACTTCGGTCCCTCTCAGCGGCAGCCGCATCAGACGTCAGCGCTCGCTCGCTCATCCGCCCCCCCCCCCACTCTACCCAACGGCCGCTTGACTCCCTTCAGCGCCGCGCGGCGGCGGCTCCGCTTCCGCTTCCTTCCCTGTCTCCCTCCCTCACCCGCCTCCCTCCCCCCCAGCCCCATTCCCTGCGCAGCCCGCGAGTGGGGGCCGCTCCCTGCAGCTCCGCCTGCTGGTAAACGCAGGGAGGCGACGGAGGCGGGAAAGCGGCTCGGGACGGAGCCGCCCTGGAACTGGTGGGTAGAGCGGTTGGGGCTCTTCGTAACTCTTGCCAGTGGCCTGTTTTCAGTATTAGCAACCCCCCCAAAAATCTGGAAGCACCCCAAAATGACAGATTATTGAGGCGAGAATCCTCCCACTGCGCCGCAGTTTTGTGCCCACCAGAAGTTTCTCTTGGGGGGGCTTCCTGCCATCAGGTGGGGGATGGGATGGGGAGTTGACGAAAATGGGGCAGAGGCGTCTCCTATTGACATAGGAGCCGAAATATGATAGACATTGCCATTCAAATAGTGTGCGCGCACCCCGTTCTGTGGGACGGGGCTTTCCTCCCCTCCCCCCAATATTTTATTCAAGTTGGCACCCCTGCCCATGAGCCACTTCCAGTTGGGCTTCGTTGAACCCGAAGTTTCTGTTGCCACAAGGAAACATCTGGTTGCTCATTCAAGCAGGCAAAACTGGAAATCACCCGTTGATTTGAGAGAAATGCCTGTTTTGGATAGCTCCGTAATAACAGGAAAGTTGCCACAATGGTGATGGGATGGTGCTCGCCATATTATTCCAATATTAGATATTAACTAGTTTGTCCTGATTAACCGGCTCTTATTGGTTGGGGGGGGGAGTGCACTCTGCAGCATAAGATTATGAAAGTCCGGGTTTAAAGTACTCGGTGTCTGCAAATTGGGGGGGAGAAAGGTTTTGCCCCCAAACAGAGGAAATATTGCCACATGGTATAGAATCATAGAATTGTAAATCTGGAAGGGAGTACAGGGGTCATTAACTACTAATCTTATTAATCTTATTTTTTATTTTTTATTTTTATTTTTATTATTATTATTATTATTCTAGTATTTATACCCCATCCATCTGGCTGGGTTTCCCAGCCACTCTGGGTGGCTTACAACATACCGTATTTTTCTGTGTATTGGACGAGGATTTTTGACTCAAAAATCACATCAAAAAACTGGGGCCACCCAATACACGGATAGTGGCATGGGGTGGGTGAAGTGGGGCATCACCAGCCATCTGGTTGACAGGAGCACGGCTTCCCCCAATGCCACAGCAAGTGGGGAATGATCTGGGGGTTGTTTCCTGCCCGCAGCTGCGTGGGAGAAGCTGTGTGCCACCAGCCAGCTTGTTGGCGGGAGCGCAACTTCCCCAGAAGCCACTACGCGGGGGGTGCTCCCTGGGTCATTTCCCGCATGCGGTGGCATCAGGGGAGGTTGCTCTCCCACCCACCGGATGGCTGGCAGGAGCACAAATTCCCCTAATGCTGCCGCGTGCAGGAAACAATTTAGGGAGTGTTTCTTTCCCGCAGCTGACTGGGAGGAGAGGCTTAACAACTTTGGGCCATCTCCCCTCATTTTCTTAAAATTGAGTCCCCCAAAATATACATGGGGGTGTCCTATATATGGAAAAATACAGTATATAAAACAGTAAAATATCAAACATTAAAAACTTCCCAGTACATGTTGTCCAACCCCTTGGATTGCAGGAATCTTTTGCCCATTGTGGGGCTTGAACCCACAACCTCAAGAGTTTCATGCTCTATTGACTAAGCTATCACCAGTCAATGGTGGTGTACAGCAGAAGTCACCAGGCTTTCTAGACCAGTGGCATGTTTTGAGTATTGAGGGAGTACCTGTCACAAAATACTACTATGGTGAAGCTTTTCCCAAAACTGTATTTACATACAGTGGTACCTCGGGTTACATACGCTTCAGGTTACACACTCCACTAAGCCAGAAATAGTACTTCAGGTTAAGAACTTTGCTTCAGAATAAGAACAGAAATCAGGCTCTGGTGGCGCGACGGCAGCAGGAGGCCCCATTAGCTAAAGTGGTGCTTCAGGTCAAGAACAGTTTCAGGTTAAGAACGGACCTCCGGAACGAATTAAGTACTTAACCCGAGGTACCACTGTACTGTAAAAGTTTAAGCTTTTGAACTCCCGCCTGCCAAGCACCTCAGGTGTGTAAGTTGTTCCACCATAAAATTAGTAGGCCTCACTGTTAAGTTATACATCATCACTCCCAAAGTAGCATTATTGATCCAACCTGAAAGTGAGGCAGGACCTCTAACCTGGAACCATACACATGCACCTTTTGCATGGGTTGCTACCATTTCAGCTACTTTTCACTGTTCACATGGATCTAGCTATGCATCCTGTTGCAGTAGGATACCCTCTTCCAATAATTTTTTCCCATACTTAGAAACGGTAAAAATTAAAATTAAACATCTGTTTTTCAGGATTTGTTAATATAACATTTCCAGAAAAACAACCATTGACTTTTACAGTTAATTCAGTTGTTAAATACAGACCTATCAACAAAAAGGGTGTTAATGCAACTCTAGTGCTGTTCCGCTGTTGCTTTCCTCACTTATGAAGTTTTCTGGTTTTAATTAGAACAGATGGTCACTGAGAGTAGAACTAGACGTACTGGGCAGTATCCAGCTAAATAGCTCCACTACTGCAAGAACTTTGCTGTTTGATAAAACTTCCCCACCTCCTCTCCATGACCCCCACGACTGTTCATTAAATATCTGCTGGGGGGGGGTCTCCCAATGCTCCAGAGCAGATTTAGGGGGTGTGCAGGAGAGAAGAGAAAGCAGGGAAGTTCCATTATACTGTACAGCTAAAAGTTCTCGCGCTAGCAGAATGGTTTTATTGGATAGCGTCTACAAATAGCTCATCATTAAAAAATACACAGTGACCCTTTAACACTTGTTTGGCTGCTGCTTTTGTAGGGAAAAACATCACACTACAATAATATTATATCACTTTTATTTAATATAGATTAGATATTACTGGCCAATCGAAAGCAAGGCATTACATGTGTTGGGACAAATCTGTTTACTCTCTTCAGATTGCCTCTTTACTAAGGAACTTCATTGTTTGTATTTATTGTCTGAAAAGAAGCTATTGAAGTGGCCTTTTGAATGGCAGAAGTGTGGTGCTGTGTGACCCATACAGCTCTCCCCACCACCACCAAATATACTGCTACATAAATGAAAAACCTAGCATTTGGGGTTCCATGACTTAAAACACATAATTGCAGGTTGAAAATGTAAATTGCTATGTTTGGATGCTGATGAAAGCTTGTGTCATGAAACTATTTAATAGAAGCTTTGATGCTTACAATCAACCATTCTGACATCATTTTAGTCTCTTGTATTTGGTCTGTGTTCTCATTCAGTAGTAACATCTACCTAAACCAATTCTACTTTAAAGTCAATAAAAAGTATGCATTACAACTTTTTCTTAGTTCACTAAATACAAAATTAACTCTGATACACTGTCAAAAATCAAAGGATACTTTTAAACAATAGATCAAAGTTTCAATTCAAATTTTCATTCGTAGTCACTGTTTAACCCACAGAATGAAACAGCAATTAGAATTTTAGCAAGCATTAAAGAGTAGGCTTGGTAATAGGATTTGATCAAAAATCTTGTCCCTGTTTTTGTAGATACTTGGCCCTGGCTAGGATGAAGGAGACACACAAGTAAAAACATTAGTCTGTGCAGTATTTCAGTTTGTTTGATCTACCATTTGAAAGTCAGGGGGAGAAAGGAGAGGGATGTGTTGCTATGGCAACAAGGACATCTGGATTTGAAATACCATATTATACAGAAATGCACCCAGAATAGGTAAAATAGATGAAGGTAGAATAGGTTAAGCCAAATAAGGAATTAATTTTCCTGAGAAATTAAATCTTCACACATTGTATGATGCACAGATAACCCAATAATCCTAAATCTTTTTTTGGTCATATTTAAAAATAGCAAGCACTTCTCAATTTTCATTTTATCAACCCTAAAAGATTTATGAAGCCATTTATTTAAGCAAATGCTTCTGGCTTCATGAATTACACCCAAAGCATTTGGGTACATACACAAATTACTATCTACATTAGATAAGGCAACTGTGTTTTGCAAATAGTCATAATATTTGCAACTGGCAAAGGCTATTCCTACATTTTTTCTATAACCATAAAGACTAACATGTTCTGTGGACCAGAACCATTGTTTTTAAGTAAAACGTGAGTGGTGCTTATGAATGTGTACTAACTTTCACACACAAAAATCTTGGGGGATCTAAAGAGAAGGTATGAAGTTTCCAAGTGCAACAAGAGAACCTCTTGATAAAAAACATGTCCTAACTTTACACAGTAATGACCAAGAAGCTAGAATTAAGATGAGACTATTATACAAATGAAGATAAATAGGAAAGTCAAGAGTCTTGTTTCTCAAAGTTTGGGTTCTCCAGAGGCAGGAAAATGATTTCGTCTACCCACAGTATTTTCCAAACATTGTAGATGATGCACATGCACCTATATGGGGAAATATAAAGCAGAACACGGGCAACCTTCCACAACTGCCAGAAAGTCTCAAGAATCCCCCACACAGAAGCTCTATTAATATGCAGAATGGCATGCAAATTTTAATGTTCAACAGTTCAGTTCTAAACATGTTTATTTGCAGGCTCCATCCGATAGCCTTGTTATCTGACTCAGAAACTTACTTGCATATACACATTTTAAAAAGGAGTCTGCCACCTCCTCTCAGAAGACAGAACTTGTGGTTTTTTTATTTTAAAAATGTCGTTTGATCCCAAGGTAGAATTCAAGAAGAAGAGTATATTCCTACTTCCTTTGTGTGTCCTTGCTTATTTAGTTACCTTACAAGAGGAATGTGGAATCTGGCCCTCCAGATACTGTGGAACCCCCCCAACTCCAATCAGCCCCAAACCTTATACTTATAGCCAGTGATCAGGAATACGATGGCTTGGTTAGGTTGGGCCCCACCAAGGTCACAGGCCCAGGGGGTACAAAAAGCACACCTCTGCACTCTGGCTCAGAGTGGCTAGGAGGACACCAATACAGCTGCTTACCAAGGGCACAAGGGAGCCTAGGTATGCCTCAGGTTGTTGGGAGTTGGAATCTGGCAACTAGTAGAAAGCCGCAGGTTTGTCACATTTACCTTACAACTTTATCAGCCCTAGACATGAGAAACAAAAGAAACCACTCCTCATTCCTACAGCACACAGTCAGCTGCACAGATACAGAACTGGTATGGCTGTGGTGTGATGGGGAGACGCAGCCATACCAGTTGCTGGGGGAGGGCCAGCATCTTCTACACCTGGGTCCTTGGCACCTGTTCACCTACACAGATGTTTATATACCTACCCTCTGCATGTGCAAATGGGGCTTTTCAAGCAGTTCTTGCCAGTAGTCCTTTCAATTACTTCTCTCACTATGGAAGGAACAGCAACCAATATGCTTTGAGTTTCCGCAGAAAGCTACTAAAACTAAGGTCAGCATCCTTCTCCACAACACCCTAGGATACTTTTATCTTCAGATAAAAGATTGGCCTCTAAGGATTTTGTAAAACCAAAATGCCACTATTTTAAAGGGCTGAGAAACTTCTTTTACAGCCGCTATGACATTACTTTGTAAATACAGTTCCAAGTACTCGAGCTCTTGAAGTGTTCTCTGCTCTTTAAAAAAAACAGGCAGAAGGTAGATCCAGTGCAAATGACCAATGTTTTTGTTTAACACAAAAATATTAAACAACGTAAGATCTCATTTGTCTCTTGCATATGAAGAATCACAAGGTATTAGTAGCAAAAGTATGATATGCAAGCAACAACAGATTCCCCCCACTAATATTTTACTTCTGTCCAGGGATCAAGGTGTCTTGTGATTCAATAGTAATTTTATAACCTAGTGGAGCAAAGTCCCTATCCAAAGCTTCATATTAGAACAATTAGCATTGTTCTCCCAAAGAAATAGTTTTGTTTTTTTTTAGTGTGAAGGCAGTTCAATGGTAGATCATCTGATTTGCATGCAGAAGGTTCCAGCTTCAATTCTCAGCATTTCCAGGTATGACTGGAGAGCCGCTGCCAGTCAGTGTAGAGACTAGTGAGGTAGATGGTCTGACTCAGTACTGTATAAGGCAGCTTCTGATGTTCCATTTACCAGAATGAAACTATTGTTGCACTTTCATCCTCTGGACTGCCATTTGTACTATAAGTACCGTATTTTTCGCCCTATAGGACGCACTCCCCCCCCCCCCAAATGAAGGGGAAATGTGTGTGCGTCCTATGGGGCGAATGCAGGCTTTTGCTGAAGCCTGGAGAGCGAGACTCTCGCTCTCCAGGCTTCAGGAAGCTATCCGCAAGCCTTGGGAGCCCGCAGGAGTTCCCGCCAGTCTCCCAAGGCTTGCGGAGAGCTGCCTGCATCCTGAAGCCCGGGGCGCGCTGAGAAGCGCGCTCCGGGCATCTCTCCGCAAGCCGTGGGAGAGCTGCCTGCATCCCGAAGCCAGGGGCGTGCTGAGAAGCGCACCCCGGGCTTTGGGCAGATATCCGCAAACCTGGGGAGACTGGCGCGACTTCCCGCCGGTATCCCTAGGCTTGCAGATAGCAGCCTGTTCTGGGGGCTGGGGTCAGGGGAAGCTCGGGCTTCACCCGCCCCAGCTCTACACCTGGGAGGGGAATAAATTTTTTTTCTTTATTTCCCCCCCTCCAAAACTAGGTGCGCCCTATGGGCTGGTGTGTCCTATGGGGCAAAAAATACAGTAAATCATTTTGACTCAGAGGTGAGCATGCTTTTGAAGGTTTCTCCAGTCAAAATGGATCTTCCCTTTCATTTCTGAAATTGTACATTAAAGCACAGCAGCAACCTATAATACATATTCCTAATATATATCTTGAAGTTAAAGTTCAACCACTTGCTTAAAGTTCAAACACTTTTTATCATTTTACCATTGGTTTTTATTGAACTAGCAAATAATAATATTGCTTATACGTTAGCAATATTCAGGAAGAAACACATTTGGGTGACATTCAACATTTCAATATGAATAATCTAGAATGCTTTTGCAATCTTGCTTTGTGTTATCATTCAACATCTGACATCATAAATCATGCCAATGAGCATTGCAGAACTGTACAATAGATTTTTCCACATTAAACTATTGATGCTTTTAATTAATAAAAAAAAAGACTAGAAAATTTTCAGGTGTGCAAGCTGCTAACATACCCACTTCATGCTCTCAGAACACACACTCCTAAAGACTATGGGTTTGTTTAATTACACATACTATTGATTATACTAGCTTACATTCAACAACAACTTATCAGACAGTTTAAACAGTAGGAAGTTACTTACGCTGCTGACCAAAACCAATGTTTCATCTGAATCATTAGTATATATGATACACTCAAATAAGAAAATTATCTAATGCAAAGTTCATTATGTTTTTCTATAGTGCAGTGCAAATAAAAGTGAAGCATAACTTTTCCTGAGTTTTCTTAGGATGTTAGAACCATTTTTTTACAATCTCACCAACAGCTTAAAATATTTATATTTCATTCTTTATATATGCTAAATTGATATCCCATCTTTCCACCATGTGGTGTTAAAGACCCTTTAAATCTTGTCTTGACAAGACCCGATATGAAAGAGCCTAGAAATTCATAGAGATATTGAAAAGAACAGTTAAATCCTTCATCTCTGCTTTGCATATGTACAGTTAATGTAGAACAAGGAAGTTACCCTAAGGTCTCTGAAAGGTTCTAAAACATTTTTAGAATTTATATATTACAAGGTTCAATTTGTTTTTCACAGACACAGTAATGCCCAACCTCCTGTTATCTCACAGGGAAAACAAAAATAAAACAGAAAAAGAGACAAAAAAAATCTTAGGAATGTATGTTGTTAACTGGATGCTATCTCATTAGAATTTATCCTTGGGTTGGTGGCTACAGACCACGTGTTTCTAACTCAATCTTATCTTCAGTTTGTAACGATTCAGGTTCAATTTGAGCAACAGGTGGTCGCAGGATGATTTCTGGTCCCCCCCCATAGATGGACTGTAGAAAATTCCATGTTTCTTCAGAAATCTGTCCAGAATCAGCTCCTAAAAAAACATTTCGGTGAAGGTGAAGCCGATATTCAACTAATGATTTTTGAAAACAATCTGCTTATAAGTGATATATTTTAATATCAAGCTCCAAATCCAAGCACAGCAAACACTGCAGAGGCATTAACTAGATCAGGGTAACTATTTAAGATTACTTTAATTTTTGCAACTGTGCATGCAGCTCAAGCCAATTACATTCCACATACTTTGGCATTTTGTTCTTACAAGTAAATATTTTATAAAACTTGAAGGGCTTGACATTTACAAGGAGACTTAATGTTATAGAGGAATTCTGCTATGCATAAACTTCACTCTCACTCTCTCATTTTTAAGTCAACATCTTGGAACAGCTACCCGCACATTTTCAAAGGTTTTCAACCCTTCACCCCCTTAGTAATTATGTGGACTAAAAAGCTGCATGTTATCCAAAGGTTTGTACAGCAACTGATGGTAAATCCATGCTGCACAGACATTTAGATATGAAGGTTTTATTGACTCTGTTTTTTTATCTGTATCTGTTTCATCTGCCCTGGGAGCTTATGTAATGCAAGGAGGTTTTAAAATGGACTAATCAATCAATAAATGAACAGAAATAGAAACAAAACTAGAAAGACATGCAAGTAGTCACTAGCAGAAAAAGAAAAACTTAATGCATAAGAGATTGTATCAATAGAGTCATACCTTGTTTCAGAACTACAGATCCACATTTATTGACAGCAATTTTGGCATTGTCAATGGGCCCTGGAGGATCTAGTGATAGAAAAATGTTAGCATGTAAGGTAATAATGAAGAGATACTATTTAAAACAAAAACACCTCAGAAAACTACTCTAGTACTTTCTTCATTTTCTATTTTTTCTCCTTTGGAGGTGTAGCCAACAAAACATTACACACTTAAAAGTTATTAGTAAAGGACACAGCATATCCAGGAGCACAATTCAAAAACTCATCTACAAGAGCAAAAGAACTGCCCATCTTCAGATGGGCTTTTGCTCCCTTTTTTGGCACAGCAACCACCCTGCACTGTAAACAACTTTTAAAAATACATCTGAATCATCTCCCAAAACTTTAGATGATATTTACAGGCAAACTATCCATTAAAACTGTCGTGAAGTCTTCTGAACTGATCTCTAGAATCATGCTTGCAAATAAAGCGGATTCTCCTCTGGTGCCTTAATAGCTAGCTAGTGTTGTAGCTTCCTACATGCTGTTGCATGCCAACAGCTCTATTATGTCCTATTCTCTGTTTTGTTTTAGCTACTAAAACAGGCACCCCCAAACTCAGCCCTCCGGCTGTTTTGGGACTACAACTCCCATCATCCCTAGCTAACAGGACCAGTGGTCAGGGATGATGGGAACTGTAGTCCCAAAACAGCTGAAGGACCGAGTTTGGGGATGCCTGTACTAAAAGCTCTTCAAAAGAGTTGGTATATGCCTTCTGACAGGTGTTTTTTTTAATTAGTAAATTACTGTGATAAAATTCTAAGTGCATGCTATAAAAGGTACGTCCTACGTACTTGATAAGAATTTTGAAATCTACTCACCACTGTCCTTGCCCTTCACAAACCCTTCCCATTCTCTGAACCACTGCATACTGATGCAATAGAATATGGATGGAAACTCCTCCTCTTGGAAGGCTCTGTTGAGCTGAGAGACACAAAGCAAGCTCTAAAGCACTTGATGAAATTGTGATGCCTTCTCAAGAGAAGCAACTGAAATATTCTTAACAACTTTTTGACAATTTAACCACGAAAGCACACATGAGCTTGTATCTGAAGCATTCTATGAATCCTGACCCAATATTGAAATCTCACCACTGCTACCCCACACTCCAATGTGGATGCTATGTGAATATGAAAGAGTCTTCATGAAAATAGAATATCCACTACTGTAAAAGGCTAACTTTTCTTCAGTACAAAAATATTGGACTGGATCCTGAGTCGGCAGTCTTTAAATGTATGGGCTCCTTCTATTTGGGAAAGGGCTCTTAATCTTGCCAGTGAAAAGAGATGGGGAACAGATTATTTTCACTTTCTCCCTTCTGCACACCCATGCCTCATGCCACACTGTCCCAGAAGGGCATATGCCTTGCCAGACCAGATTTCCAGAAGGCTCAGGGGCTGCTGGAGAAAACCATGGAAGTGTCATTTGAGCAAAATTCTACTCACAGGTTCCAGATCACTGTTTTTATGAAGTTTAAAGAAGAAGAACTTAACAAGTGAGAAGGAATGTATTACCCGAATAAACATTTCCAGTTCTGTCTTCCTTCTTTTCTCTATTTTTTCTGTTTCCATTTGACAGGTATGACAAACATAGAGATGATTCACAGCTGGTCCTCCACCATACCTGCAATCACAGAATATTAAATGTCATTTTAGAAGGATCAAAAGTTGTGCATTGAACCAAGTTGTTCTTTGCTTGAACAATAAATGCTGTAATTTGTTCAGCACCAGTTTCCTATGTAGGTAATATTTCATCAATAGGAGCAACTTCCCTGAAAAATAACCCACACACATTTTAGTTGTGCACAACTATTACTGAAAGATAGCTTCTCTCTCTCATGTTGGTATTCACTGGTGTAATTCTTGGAAGGCTCTTTAATGCAGCAAAGGCTCAAATGAATGGAAGGCAGGGATATTATTTTGCCCATTCTCCCTTCCTTCAGTATCACCTCATGCCCTTTTCTAGGAGCTGTGAGGGGAAGAGATGATGATTATGATATTATTATTAATAATAATAATCCACTCTCCTTCTGTACACAGAAGCTTCTGCTGGATTAGACCATATCATGAGCAAACCACCATTACTGGATAAAACACAAAATCTGTATCAAAATGTGAAGAGGCTTTATAGACAAATAACTTCTTGTATTTATGTACAGTATATGGACGAAACATCAAAAGCAATTCATTTCATCTTGTAAACAACAGCTTACCTGCTATACAAGTTGTCCCATATATTTTGAGGTAGCACTACTACAAGGTCCTCTATAGAAGTAGCCTTGTGTGGAGGAACTCCTAAGGAGCAGACATAGTAAAAAAAAATTCAAGCAAAACTATTTACTATATGGTCATGTTAACTATTAAAGAATATCATATGCTTCAAAAAGCCTTACCAATGAATACAGTTTGAGCAGGGGAGGGGGAATACAACTTCTGTCACAACCAGCTTTCAGCAACTTGTGCAATTTAATTGTCAGAACAAATGCATGCTATAGCTTTCCCAGAAGTGAGAAGAGAGATCATGCTAGATTTGAGCTTGAAACACACTTGTGACATGAATATGTATGCAAAGATTCAAAATATCTTAAATTTGCACAATAGTTATCAAATTGCAAAACAGAATATTTCAAACAATTGCACAACAGATTTCCTCATCCCTAACCTTTCTTTAGTATCTACCCTTTCTATTTTTGTCTTCAGACTGCTCCTGTACCACAACTATGGCTGTCATTTATACCTGGTGCATCTAGCAGGACCCCCAGTAAGATTTAAGTGAAAGTGGTTTCCAAAATTTCTCACATGAAGGAAAAGCCCTCTTAAAGGGCCGTGGAGCTATGGCAGCATGGGTCAATCCATCTCATTGCTACATTTGTGGGTGTTTGGACAGCAGTTGCAGAAATGGTTCAAGTCATTGGAAGGTAGTCACTGCTTTCCACCTTCCAAGGTAACCCACAGCAGCCATGACAGGCCATGGGTTTTCAGGCAGGATACGGGTTGTAGGAAGCTGTATCCTTGTTGGTATGCTCTGCCTTGCCTGTGCAGTCCGCCTTGCTACTTGTAAGTTGAACCCAATAAAACTGTGTTGTGCCTTTTCTCAAAAATTAAGAAAAATGTCCCACACCTATTTTTCACCCCATCCCAGCTCTCTTCCTACCCCTGTGAACACAAGTATATATGCATTAAAAAAATGTCCTTCACATCAACATTTGATAAACAGAGGTCTGATTTTCAAATTTTAAACAAAGAAATTATGACCCAAAGCAAATGTGGAAGCTAATACTGCTTTTCCTTAAAATTATTCCACAGAGAAGTGTCAATCCGTCAAAAGAGCAGAAACAAGTTATCATGTATGTAAGATTCCTTATGCAAATACCAGCCACAGCCAGACAACTGATATGATCTGAATGATCTTGTAAGAATTTCAGGAACGGGAAAACAAAATCAAACAAACCGTTCCCCAAATTCAAGCTTTGATGGCAGCAGGATAAAGAATGGTTTAAAGAAATCTGTGTATTTAGGAGCTTACAATTTAAGGATGCCTTGTATTTTTGTTCTCTAACCTAAGTCTAACCCCTGCCAGTTTTATTGTCAATCTGCTTGAAAATTAGAGGGCATGATCATCTTTCAATTGATTTTTAGAATGCAAAAATTTAAAGACCCAAATAAAATCAGAAATGTTCTGCCTGTCAATGCCTGAAGCAGTAGGAAGGAAAATGGGGTAAAAAGAATACAAGCAGTAAATAATGTGCTGATTTTATTATGGGTTTCAAATTAAATACTATTATCAGTGAGTCATTGCTGACAAGTAAAGATATACCAACTGCTGCACCATTCAGCTAGCAAGCTAAACAACTTATATCTATTGTTGTAATTCTTAACCAGCAATATCCCTCTTCACATTTCAAAGATGATTGCCTGAAGAAGTTAAGCTCAAACAGAAGCCATTTCTGAAATAGATGGGACTATTTCAGAGGGAAGTCAGGCTATGACTGCCAAGTAGAGAGTCAGGAAGTTGTCACACTACGTGATGAGATAACTTATTAGATAACATACTCAATTATGTATGATGCATAATTATGCTCTCACCTCCATGTATGCAGAGGAAATCATTATTTGAAATAGGTCCCGGTTCTGCAAAAGTCCTGAATTTGTTCAACCACTGTCTGGAAATATAAAACTGGAGGAGGCTTGGTTCCATTATATTAAGGCTTGATACCTTCTGTCTCTCTTTTTTAGCTTCTTCATTGCTTTTTCTATTACAATAATGAAAAGAGGTAATACTGAGAACATTAAGTAACATCAATAATCATTATTATATCCATATGAGATTATTTCAATTTGTGTGAAATAAAATGCAAGTTTATACACTATGCTAATTGTAAGTCACTGGAAAGATCTGCCAATAAAATAAAGTGCAGTGTTTCAAATTTGGATGTGTTCCAAGTAAAAAATATTTAGGTATAGTAACTGGAAATATGAATACCCTAACAAGGTAGCACATATTTTTATTTGTGTGTGCACATTAGAAGCATACGTAACTCCTGAGCTTTATTTTAATAGAAGGAATTGATCTGCACACATTACTGGTACAGATGTCAATTAAGTACAGTTACAATTAATTTGAAAATTTGCTCCCCAGTTTATCAGAATCTATGTACTTGAGGTCAACATCTAGGTCTAATGCTTGCAACACGAAACAGTTTCCCTAATAACATGTTTAGCTCTTTACATAATTTGGCTACTGTTTATTTGTTAAGAGGTTAAATTTATTGTCCCATTTATTAGAATGTCTTTGCTCTTTAGACTATAAGAGTAGTTCCCTCTCTCCTATTCACATTTCAATAAAAGCTCAGCTGCAGGAGCTCATAAATTTCAAGCTACTACAGTGAATCCCTTTGTCCTCCAGCTTGCAGCTGCTGAACTGTGAAGTGTTCCTTTTACTGCAGTTGAATTCTATCTGACTCCAGAATCCGTCCTACATGCATTCTCCTATGAATTTAAATGAGGAAACATCAGCTATTAATTCAAAGTGAACTATGCACAGTGTCCAATTTCACTGTGGCATCCTATCTGTGAATTTTCATCAAATATATTACAATTTATTTGAAATGAAATGAATAATATTCGGGTTTTAAGTCAATTTAGCTTATTTTCTAATTTTGCAATAAAAATGCATGGCTGTCAAAACAATATTTCCAGAGATGTTAGAATCTGTGGTCCTAGAGAATATTGGACTACCAATCCCATCATCCCTAACTACTGCCCAAGCTGGCTGAAGATAATGGGAGTTGGAGTCCAAAAATATCTGGAGGGCCACAAATTCCCAGTTCCTATTATAAATAAATACTACAGAAGACCAGAGGTCTCTACTTTTACATGGATTGATGTTGGGGCCAAGGTTCAGTATGTTTCAAGAATATTGTATTGTAAAAAATGCTCCGGGCGGGGGAGCTAGGAAAAATTAAGTCAGTAGAAAGGCCCAGAAAAAGAAGCAGAATGAGTTGAAAAACGTGAGAACTGTGGGAAAATACACTATCTCACTGCAAAGTAGCATCTTAAAAGAAGTCATGCTTTCTGTATTGGCCCACAATTACAGCTGATCAGAAACGCTAACCATTGGAAAGTATTATCCAGCTCTTTGGAATACTCTCTTGAAACAGATGCAGGCAAGAATTAACAGCTAATATGATAAAAAACCATGCATTGGGTACTAACAAGAAATTTACTCAAGATGGTATTTCAAATCCTTGTCCCTTGTTTTCTCACCTGTAGAAGAGAACGTAAGCTTCTGCATTTTGAACTGTTGATTCGGTGACTTCTGTGACACTCTGATCATCAAACTCATACCATCGATTATTTAAGTTGTTCCGGCAATAAGCTATATAATGTCCATCTAAATTCAAGAACAGTTAAGATAATTTTTTGTCAAAGTACTGTAAGGCAATCCGAAACTAAAACATATTAACACAACTATTTGATTCCACCCCAGTTGCATAATATGGATCCAAAAAGAGAATATATACTATATATACTTACTGATGGCAGTTCCATGGTGACAGATTACTGATAAGAGATCATACATCACTATTTGAGTTGGACTGTCTTTGGCAAGAAAAGGTTGAAGATCAAGTCCTTCCAAGGGAAAGGATACATGAGTCCCAATTTTTGTGGAAAACATAAGGTCATGCCTGAATCTTTTGAGATGAATGCACAATATCTATAAAGAAGAGTAGACACTCATTCAAAAACTGATGCTTCACAACTTAATACTAATATAAAAGGCAAGCATTTTACTACTGCTACCTTGTTATTAAATTTATTGCGTTCTGTCGTGCCTTCTCATTTTTTTTACAAAAAAGGGATGTTCCATGGGCCACTTTACATAATACTACCAAAGATTTGTGTTTAGTTCGGTGAATAAGGATATTTTCCTGCACAGATGTACACTTTTGTAGAAAAACCTCCCCATGTAACTGGTTATAATGGAAGATTATGGGTTGTATCCAATGCCACCTATGTGGAAGCAGAATGAACTTCTGCTTGCACTATGGAACTTCACCTTCCTCTCCTCTCCCACGCAGCCTACTACATGCCCTCAAAATCTGCTGGATGGTTGATGGACGCTCTGGAGCAGAATTTTGGGAGCACGGAGGCAGCCGCAGATACTTTGTAAAAAAAATTACTGAATGCCATGCAGTTGCGTCCATGTGCCTGAAGCACTGATATGCACTTGTGCAATGGGCTGGAGGATGCTCCAGATCTGCGTAGATGATGCAGGGGGGTGGGGGAGGGAGAGTACAGGAAAGCTCATTGTACAAGTGGATATCTGATCACACGTAATCAGCTTTTAGCCTTTTGTGTAGGTGCATTGCCATTTTTAATATCTTCATCTGAGTAAGTGTGCAAATGTGACAAGATAAAAGCATCTTTCGGGAAGCCAGAATGCAGCTTTCACACTATATTCACAACTATCTATTATGGAAAAACAACACTATTATTAAAAAAAATGGAATACCTCAGGAAAGTGTTGAACTTTGCAGAATTTTACTCCATTTCTTAACCTAAAGCAAATTTAGTAAAGTTGTAAAAAAGTATCCAATGCAAACATTTAAAATAATGACATTTTAAATACTGTACAATACCCTGGATATTTCAAAATTGCTAACTAGAAAAAGCGCTATCATCTTCAAAAGAAATCACAAGGTTGGAAGTGATCAGAAATTAATTAGATCTTATTTTCACAAACACAAGGCATAAGTCATAGGTATGATCAATTTGCACATCATAAGCAATCATTCCTTCTTGGCCATCGATGTAGTCAGCATATATAAGAAAAGGCAATGTGGATCTCCTGTTTATTAATACAAAAAACATGCAGCAAATGCATACTCAGAGGAACATTAAGCATAGCTGTGGAAAGAGAAGTCACAGCATGCCCTCAACTAGCCTCTTTGAGGGGTACTCAAGTTTTACTCAGAGTAGACATACTGAAACTTATGACTAGGTTAGATCCATTAATTTTAAAGGTCTCCTTTGAGTAAAACTTTATACTGAGAAAAAATGGGGAGGACATTGTATTTGACTGCAGGCCCATAATCAATGACACCAATCCTCTGAACATATTGTAGGAAAGAACAAAACGCCTGTCATTTTTTTGCTAGTATTAATTTAAAAAACACGAATTAGCCCTTTGTAGAAGCCAAAGGTACTGTCACTTACGCAAGGAGGGAACTTGCCAAATTCTGCCATTTTCTCCCAGCTCAGTGGCAGTCCCCTAACACTGCCTTGAAAGGTATTCAAGAGGGTCCCCTGATTCTCATGAGCAACCTCTTATTTTCCTTATTTCTTTATTAAATTTCGATACTGCCTTTTATCCAAGGATCACAGGGTAGTTTACAATATTAAAAGCCCCATGCTGGGCAAATGATTCCTCCACTGCAGGGGGTTGACTAGATGACCCTCATGATCCCTGCCAATTCTACGATTCTACAATTCTATCTTTGCTTCTGTTTTCAGCCTTTTGCCACATATTTGGTGCTGCACTAGTGTCCCTACAACCCTCATGAACCTTGGGCCTCTTTCTGTATAGTTCAAAGCATCTGTGCACTTATGAACATAGGGAGATGCTGTATGCCAGGCATGTCCAACTAGTAGGGTGTGATCTACGATCCAATATAAAAACTGGTAGTGATCTACCACCCAGGGATGGGTGCAGGGTGGGCGGACGATGCCGATCCTGCCTTCTCTCCCCCCCGCCCCGCTCCCTCCACCCCTGCACAGGCGATGCTGTTGCTGGTCCTGATCCCGCCTTCCCTCGTCAGATACCTGGCTCCTTCTCGCCTCCCTCCTCCCCCACCCAGCATATCTCTCTCTCTCTCTCCTCAAACCAGTTGGGCTGCAGAGCTCTTTCATACCCGGCTTTGGAACCATTGTCTTTCTGTCTATTGAGGAGCATGCTGTACTCCAGCTGCCTGGGCCCGCGATCGATCCAGATCAACCTTCAGGTGCCTTCTAAAAGTTTTATAGTTCTTTATCTCCTTGACATCTGATCAGCAGGCAGATGTCCTGTACACCTTGTCAAAATCCTTGTGCGAGGTGTGCAGAAGTGATGGGAAAGGGAGAGGCAACTTTTCCTGCACTCTGCCTTTACTTGCAAAATGCCTTTTCCCACTTCCATCTTTCTGAAAAGAAAGAGGTTCTTTGGATACTCAGGCTGTGTTTTGTAGGCAAAGGCAATGGAGACTTTCGCTGTAAAACAAGATTTGGGGGAAGTGGGAGGAAGGGGAAGTCCCACTGTATCGGCTGCTGCAATTCTGGATCTCATCCAACAGCTTTTAAAATAACCACATATATCAAATTATAAGAATTTAAGAGCAGGCCACTTACTTTTTACACTTTTCACAACTGTACATATTGTCACCTGCAGACATTGCGGGAAGGAAAGCATAACCATTATTCTAAAAACATATTCCCACCACAGCCTGCACTAAGCTTTTCTGATTTTGCAAGGCACTAAGTATTCAAGACATTCTAGCATCAGGAATACATGCACTACATGGACTTTCACTGACTAGATATCTGCCCAGATAGCTTAAAAATATTTTTGTTAATAAACTGTAAGATTGGCCATAGGAAGCTGCATTATAGTGAGTCTGACTACTGATCCATCAAGGTCTGAACTAGAAAGGCAGACCCTCTCCTAACCCTATTTGAAGATGCTAGGGATTAAATCAGGGATTTTCTGCATTCAAAGCAGATGTCCTACCAATGAGCCACAGCCCTTCCCATCAATGAAAATGAGTTTATTTTAAATTAAAGGGATAAAATTTCTACACTGGCTAATTTGAACCTTTGCTCTGTTGAATATATTGTCAACTGATGGTTCCACAACAGTGTAAAAGGGAACCTTTTCTAGACCTTTTAAATGTGAAAATAGGTACAAAAAGTAAGAGGTATGGTGGTCATATTTAGTAAGACATGTGAAAAATATGAATTTCTTACCTTTCAGTTCATCTCTAGCAAAAAAGGCAGCAAGACAATCTTGTAAGGTTACTGTTGGACCCCAAAACCAGCTAGGAACACATGAGACAACAAACCTGAAACATCATTGACAAAAAAAACAGCAAATGTTCTGCCAGTACAGCAGAAACATCAGTTTAAAATGTTCAAGCAATGCAAAGAAACAAACCTTTTGAAGTATTCCATGAAAAAGGCTATCCAGCCCTGAGGAGCATATGCTTCACCGCAAGAGCCTGCCTTGATAAGAGAGGTCTGATGACTTGCCGAATGCAGCTTAGCAAGGTCTTCTTTGCCTGGAATAGGCAATGACAAGTCCTGGAAAGTCTCCAGAGTCACTGACACCTATTGCCAAACCAAAGGGAAGATGATTAGGCCAACACCACCTTCTTTTTAATTGACCCAATAAAATTCTATATTTTAAATTATCAGCATTAAATTCCACTTGTGGCTAATTACAGTGCTTTGCTCCAATAATACCACCAGATGGCAAACTACAGGCAATTACAGGTAACCTACAACCTTCACATATATAACTTGTGCACATTCAGCTTTACGTACTTGGCAATTTAAAAAAAAAACTTTAAAAGGGAGCGGACTTCCAGGAAAAAAGACTTTGGCATTCCCATTCATAACCCAATGTGTTTTGAGTATACACAATTTTGGTTTTAGGCACTATGCCCGGAATGTAACCCCAAAGTAAGTCGAGAGTTGCCTGGATGCATCCACTGTAAAGTACTACAGTACTATGTGAACATGAAAATTAACAGTAGCTGTTTGGGACTAAACTAAGCTGAAAAAGCTATTAAGAACAGGAAACAGACCAGCCTAAAACTATGAGGAAGTCCGAACTAGAATAATCCAGGAACTGTTTGCATATTTCAAGTGGATGAATAAATACATTCATGCTTCATTTTTAACAACTTCTTTTACCATATAAGGGAAGAAAACTTACACAAGTACTAACGGTGTATGTAGCAACATTTATTTTATCCCTTCACTTACCCGGTCACATGTTAGACATTGTACTGAACTTATGATAGTCCCATCAAATATGTCAGAAATAACACTTCTGAATTTTTTGTGTTTCTTCTTTTTGGGGGAACATATGGTTGGAACTAAAAAGAAAAAGAAAAGAAAATGAAAATCAGGACAGAGTTGAAGTACAATAACTTTTTATTCTACTCTTCTTCTGGTCTTGGTGGCACAATGGGTCAGTGAATCTGGCTGTTAACCAGAAGGTTGGTGGTTCAAGCCCACCCAGGGATGGCTGTGGGCAGGATTCATGCATTGCAGAGGGTTGGAATAGATGACCCTTGGGGCCCCTTCTAACTCTACAATTCTATGATTCTAAGAATACCAGACCTATAGTTAATTCTCCCTTTCTATTACTATTTTGGAGAACTCCACTACCAAACGTGCAGAAAAATAACTTTAAAAGCAGAAGACATCTGAAGGCAGCCCTGTTTAGGGAATATTTTAATGTTTGACGGACTACTGTATTTTAATATTTTGTTGGAAGCCGCCCAGCGTGGCTGGGGAAACCCAACCAGATGGGCGGGGTATAAATGATAAATTTATTTGTTGTTGTTGTATTATTTTTAATAAACAGTGAGCCAAAAAGCAAATCCACTTTATTACAAATCATTGCTTATTGAGCTGGCTAGGGTAGCAGATTCTTTAATATAATTCTACAAGGGGAGATGGCAGTGTTCACACAAAACATACATTAGGTACATTTCACATGAACATGGGGTCTTTGGCACAAGACCTCACTGCTCCCATGCTACAAATCTGCATGACAGATGGTGATAAGAACACAGCCAACTCTTTGACTATACAAAATGCAGCTTCTAGACAGGGCTGTCCCACAAAAATTATATCTAATAAGGAAATCTGGTATAAACAACAAATGACTTAAGGGTTCTATTATGATTTCTGCAAGCCTTCTGGCTTTGAACAAATCACTGGATCTTTCAGATTTGATGGGAGACAAAGGCCTTGCCTTGTACATGCAGCAAAATATGATAGCAGAACGGACTGTACTACTTCAGACTGCAGGTTGGAGATAAACCTTTTTAAGTGTTCCTCCATGTAAACACACCCTGAAAGTAGAAAACTAACAGATTCAGGGAAAAGATTCAGACCTAGCCCTCTCCTGCTGTGCTAGTTTTCTATTTACATGGACACTTAAAATAAATTCAGAATGTGATTCTGCACCTGCAGCCTGAACTGGCACAGTCCATTCTATCACCTCGGCCCTCGGCCACTAAATTCTCACCTCATTCTGCTGCATATACAGACCCAGACAAAGACAGCCTCACATGCAGTGTCCACAGCACAATCCAGAGAGACTGTATGCCTACTACTATGTATGTGTCAGAAGAAGAAAACTCCTGTGCGTCAGGCAATGGAGATATAAATGTGCAAAAGCATCTTATGAAACAAAATAAAAGACAGTTTAAATACAAACTAGAAGAGAGTTTTCTTAACTAGCTTTTAAAAGAACTGGCTACATGAAAGTATGAAAAAGAAACAAAGCAGATGAAGGAATAAAATGTGACTGGAAAACAATAGGATATTTTAAGCTGCTCTGACAAATTTGCCAAAATGATGCAACTCCCCAGAGTCATGCAGTAAATAAATAGAGGCTTTGGTGCTGGTGTTCGGTCCCTAGGCAGAAATCTTGTGCTTGCCGTTTATGTTATTGTCTTAGCATTTTGTTGATGGAATGACATACCCAAAGCCCTCAAAATAGCATGGGGCATGGGAACAAATAAAGAGTTCTTAATGTCCAGTCTCACTGCTGGCAGCCACCAGACCACAGTGTAATACTGAAAGACCAAAATTCATTTCCAATATGAATTGATGAAAGGGGGTGGGTGAATCAAGCAACTTAATGTTGTTATTTTAATCATTTAAAAGCGTTAGGACCAATACAGGAGAAAAGCACCAAGTAACATCAGGGAATGCTATACCTTTTTTGTTCAAGGGTGCCAGTCCAGACCAGAAAGTACCTGATTTGGGAGGGCTGGTTGATAAACGTGCATTCCCCCCATCTTTTGAAGGAAAACTTTGTGGCATAGACACATCATTCATATGGACATCATTGATATAGTCTGTAAAACACATTTTAGCCAAATACGTATTACAAAATTAAAATGAACCAAGAGGATGGAGTTAAAACTTAACTAACTGCCCAGAGTCCTATTTGTTATTAAGTTTAAGAAGCAGAGTCACAATGCCCTTCAAAAGAAAAAGAAAAAAACCTGGAATCATGAGCAGGGTAGAAAATGAACAAAGGAAGAATGGAAAAGGATGTGAACCAAAACTGCCACAATGGAAAAATTAAGCAAATGATAAATTAGAAGTTGCAAAGGAAAATAGAGCAGGGACTAGTGAAGGAAGAGGGACACTATGGAAAGATTGTTTAGAAACTACAAAAAGTGTGTATTTTGCCACATCCAAGACATCATTCAGCTCAAATGTTTTAACCCATACAGACAAGAGGAGCAGCTTTCATACTGGCTAAAATGTTTAGCGTCAACCAGGTATTTCAGCAATATTGCCATGGGGTCATGACACTCTTTAATCTTAACTTAGAGAAAATGCATAGCTTCTGCTGTGAAAAATGCACATACATGTAAGTTTGCAATTTCAGTTTGCAAAGAAAAGCTCATCTCATTGAACAACTTTCCATTTCTGCCAACGTGGGGGTAGAAACTGTCAAGTCAATGAACAAACACTCATTTCCCTAATACACAAATGATCACATACACACACCACTCCATTCCAGCCCCTTCTCATGGCAAGTGGTTTACTTCACTCTTAAAGTGCACTTATCCTTAAACAGAAACAACCATGTTGCTATCACTCGACAGAGAAACGTGAGAAAGCAGTGAAAGCACATGCCACTCCTGGAACAGAGCTGGAAGCAACTTCTTCCAACCACTGTGGTCAACTAGGAACTGTTCTGGAAGCCCAAGAGACCTTGGGAGTACCTTTAACCAGCTTTGGCTGGTATACTAGCTGCAGTATCTGGATAGCGTGGTGACTGCAGCCCCTTGCACTGGTAACTTCAAGACTGCATTACTGCAATGTGCTCTATATGGGTCTGCCCTTGGGAAGAGCTACTGAGTGCAGAATGAAGCAGCTAATATCCCAACCCACACTGAGCTCCAGTTCAAAATTTTGTCATTTTATGCAAACACCGGCCACATTTTATTAATTTTACCCGGAGGAGTGCTGTTAGTTCCTCTGTGTTACAGAGGCCCAACTGCTCTCAACCAAAGTCAAGGACTTAAGTGTCTTCAGCAGGCACCCTTGCTTTTAACTTTCAGGCACCTCCTAAAGACTTTGCTATGCCGACAGGCCTATGCTGTTGTTTATTATTATTTTTTTAGTAGGCAATCATTTTAATCATTGTTCTGCACTGCTTTCAACGTTTTTAATGTTCTTATATTTCCGTACACCAACCTGATATTTTAGCAGAAGGCAGTACAGAAACACTTGCATAAATAAATAAGGGAAAACCAGAGTAACTATCACTTGCTTTTGTTGCTGGTAGAATTCAGACAAGTGCCTCCCCAAAGTCTTGTACTATCTGTTCTATTACAGAGTGACAGAACTTGGCCGTTTTAATATAAAATTGTGGCAACCCATCCTAATAACAGCTGATCATACAAAAACAAATGGTTTATATCCACTGCTGCCAAGTCAACAACAAATTCAAAAATATTCTATCCTGTAAGAGCTACAAACGAGATCAAAATCAGTAAAATAACATTGTAGCATGACACAGTAGTAAGGTGGAATTGAATCTTGTAACAGATGTGACCAAAACATTACCCAACACTTTTTCTAATTAATAGCCATACAATCACCTGAGTATCTGCTGTGTATTTGCACCTTCACTGTTTCCTGATTGTTCAAAAATTCAGCCGTTTCAAAGAAATTGTATATGTCTTTTTCTATGTCTTCCACAGAGCTTGCTTTGTTCATCTTGGTACACAAGGATTTCTCTTTCTGATTGTCTTTGGATGCATTTTCATCATCCTGAATTAACATTGTGTCCTCTGCTTGGTCCTCTGCCACAGATTTTGACCAAGCCTCATTTTCTACCTTATCATTATTATTGCATGATTGAAACTCTACATCCGATTGACTCTTCTCTTCTTCCATGCTCTCTTCATTTGCTGGGATACTATCCTCTACTGAAATAACAGGTTCTTTTAACTCTTCATGTAGTAAATCCATCAAACAACGCAAAAATTCCTGTGCATCCTGAAATTTAAAATGGTAGGTACAGCATTGTGCTTTATTCAGATGAGTACTCCAATGGTGCTAGCCATTCAATAATGCTAAAAACAACTTTCAATCAGCTCTTTGGGTTTACAGCAGTGATTCCAAATCCCACAAACCCCGGATTACTTGAAAATTGCTGATGGTCTTGGCAGACCAGTTATTAATTTTTCTGTCTGTTGTAGCAAATGTAATGTAATTATGCTACATGCTGTATTACTTTTATTTTTATTGCTTCTTCTTCTTATATTTTATTTTATTACAAAATAAAAGCTCCTAGTTCCCTATTGTGGTCTGTAGCTGGATTTAATCTGTTCTAAATTTTCACATTACACTTTATGGGTTGCATCCAATGCTGCACCTGCAGAATTCTGCTTGTGCAATGAGACTTCCTGTTCCTCTCTCCACATAGCTCCAAAGTCTGCTCTGGAAACTCCTCTGGAGCAGATTCTGAGGGTGTGTGATGGGCAGCAGGGGAGATGAGGGGAAATTCCATTGCTCATGCAGACGTCTGCTGCAGTAGCAGAACAGCGACGTTGGATATGACTGTGTAATTTTGGACCTAGGCAGAATTTTATCAACTACTCTTATTCATAAATCAAGAAGGGGGGAAAACAGCATGGATTGTAAACATCATCTAGCAGCTAGCCAAGAACCCGAAGTGAAATGTATTATTTTACCTGCAATTTCCATTTCTTTGAACCTTGCAACTTTACTAAATAAAATTTTCCTGTAGTGTGTATAGAGGAAACCTTAAGAAAAGCTTACCTGCTGAGAATAGCCTCGAAATGTTGGATTAACTGTTTTAATTCCTTGAAACAAATTTGTGGGGACAACTGCTCCAGGTCTGGAAGAAAAAAATATTTAAGTGCATTTACAACTTTTCAAATGGTTGAAATGTTTCAGTTTACTAGTACAGTATTCAAATTGCAATAGTTGTTAAACCAACAAATCAAAATGTCAAGAGGTTTCTAAAACTGCCTTTGGATACAAAATCTGAATTTCATCTCTCAGCATCCTATGACATTATAGGCCTATTCTCACCTTTCTTGATTCTGTGATTGATTGGGTACACTGTTTGGGGTAGTATTGATGTCTCAAGATGCCTTTCATGCATCATGAAATATTCATTTCATGCATCCTTTCTTATTCCTTTCACACAAGACTGTACTCATTGATGTGTACATCTAATTCTGTACCATACACATAACTTAAGAACAATCTAAGATAGACACAAAATCTTGCTTGCTTGCCATAGTCTTTTATATTTTGAGTCAAACTATACCAAAGTAAACAATAAGAATTCTGTCAAGGAAATTGTGAGTTTCAATTAGAGGCATCTTTTTAGTCACTGCTGAAAGCTGTGTGGGGCACTAGATGTACCTTGTCTAACTTCATCAGATCAATTCTTATTTTATTATACAAGAGCTGCTTAAAATTCTACAACCCAGGTAATCCATAATCTTTATGGATATTTATTGTTTCAATAGGTGATGCCCCAGACTAAAAACAGAAAAAAATTACAATGCACTCAAATTACGACCCATTTCAAACAGAGATCCTACATTATTCAATAACTCAGCCAAATTCATACGAACATGCTAATTGCTTACAGTAGGCCTTCCATTCAGGCGCTTGATTAATGTTATATTATCGTAATTATAATTATTGTGGGATAATTTACATGTCATAAACCACTATGGAACTGAATAAGCAGATGTAAGATTGTCATTGGGAAGATGACTCCAAGTGTGTGCACATTATGAAAAATACAGATCTACTTCATATGTTTTCTGCTAAACAATCATTGAAACTCTAAGATTTTATGTAGTTCACCAATTACAAAATATTCTACTGAAAATATATTTGTGAGAAGCTGATTTAGAAAAATTATGCCAGTACAGAAGTAGCACAATACCTGCTTTTATGCCAGAGTTCTGTCATCAGTTTGTAATAACTTCTGCAGATGGCTGGTTTCTTATCAGTACGAGCTAAACTCCCACAGTCAAGGAAAAACTGGGTTAATGGTGGGCTGGCAAGAAAGGGAAAAAGACCATTAGTTTTTTGAGACTGTGCTAAATATGTCAATATTACTTCAACCCCAGTTATATGGTACAGCTCTGCCCCTTTCTAGATAAGCTCCATTTTTCTGGTAAGAGACCCTTTGATTCCATGATAGCGCTGATACCATCTTGCACCTTCAGCATCTGATTGCAACAGTAACGTATCTGTTTAATATTATATTAATAAAATGAGATGCAGTGTAACAAAATGACCACACTGCTTCTACACCAATAAATATTGAAGAAAAAATAAAAGCCTTTTCTAAACTTTTGGTATTAATCCTTCTCTTTACATTCATATCATCAAGAAATTGGATACACTTGAGTTAGCACAGAAAATCAGTGAAAACAGGAAAAGAGACCTGCACTTCATAGACTAGTTAAATAACTATGAGACGATCTATAAAGTGAAAACTCATATTAATTTAACTTATGAGTTTGGGGGCCTTATGAAAGGGCATATGATCAGGACGTGCCTCCTGCAAGTTCTATAGGCCATACAACTCACATAGTAGTATCTATGCTGTAACCTCTACCCTACACAGCTTCTTGCTGATCTGGAATTTCTAACAACTGAAAAGCACACTGCCCTACAAAGAGGACTGTTTTTCTTACCAATTTGAAAGAGCTTGTAAAGCTGCATTCATGTAACAAGTGTTTCCAATATTTTTCAAGCCTGTCAGACCTGCAAATAATGAAAAACTGCTAAGCAAGCAAAAAAAAAGGTTACAGTATGTGTAGTAGGGAGTTTCTCACAGAGATTTAAAAGCAACAGTTAACCTGTATATATACATAGTGGCTCAGAACTCAATGAGAGATATCCAAAATCAGGCATACTAAGCTAGATCTATTGAAATCAACAGACACAAGCCAATTAATTTCAGTGGGTCTACTCTGGGTATGGCTTATTTGGCTATTACCCAATGAGACAACATCTGTGAAATTCAACTTCTACTCACTGCTCTTATAAATTGAATAAAAGTGTCTCCTCATTTCTCCTCACATTTTTATCACTGACCGCAGTCACCACAGATCTAAACAAATTCTTGCATTCCCTCCAAGACCCTTAAAAGGTAATCGGACCCCTGACCATTAGGTCCAGTCGCGGACGACTCTGGGGTTGCGGCGCTCATCTCGCTTTATTGGCCGAGGGAGCCGGCATACAATTTCTGGGTCATGTGGCCAGCATGACTAAGCCACTTTTGGCAAACCAGAGCAGCGCACGGAACGCCGTTTACCTTCCCGCCAGAGCAGTACCTATTTATCTACTTGCACTTCGTGCTTTCGAACTGCTAGGTTGGCAGGAGCTGGGACCAAGCAACGGGAGCTCACCCCATCACGGGGATTCAAACCACCGACCTTCTGATCAGCAAGCCCCAGGCTCAGTGGTTTAACCCACAGCGCCACCTGCGTCTCTCCAAGACCTTTAGAAATGTCCAATTTCTCTCTCAACCCAGCTCCCTAGATGTCCAGCTGAACACCTACATTTCAACAGACAAAGCTTATTATCCAAATAGGTAACTAATTAGGGTCAGAAAACTGAGATGTAGGGGTAGATGGGACCTATAAAACAATTGTGTGAAAGAAGAACATAAAAACACAAATGAAACCACTGATGAGATAAAATTTCATTGAAATTATGAATATGGTACTAACAATTTGTGTCAACTAACAATATTTTCGTGAACTTTTCAGTTATATTACCTCTTGCCTTGAATTCATCCTCTTCATCTACTTGTACATCAAGGTCATCAAATGTTGCAATTAGAGGAATTTTCAGTGTAGGGATACTAGGTAACCTAATATCCTTTGGGAAAGATCAAGAAACAAAGCATGAGAAGCCTTGTGTTGTTCCTGCAAATCTTACTTTTCTTTGTGTATCATTTAAAATCAGTCTATGAACATTATTTATATCAAGTTCTAAAGCATGTTTTACATGCAAAGCCAAGAGTTTACTGACATGTATATGTCAAAACTTTTTGAAATAACTTATCCAAGAGCATAGGTTTCTTATAGGAAGATAAGAAATATGAATGTTCCGAGGGCTAGTTGCTGAGATCACAAGTGGGGAGAGTGCTGATAAACTCAGGTCCTGCACAAGGGCTATAGCCATCCGGTTGACCACTGCAGTAGCACTTAATGAAAGCAACCATATTCAATTTTTCAATTTTACTTTAAAAATTAATAGTTATTATGAATGTCAGTATATTAAGGACATATTTTCATAATTCTTAAATGAAGTTTCCCAGCTGAGCTCGAGTTCCATTTCTCAAGGTAGCGCTCAATGCTTTATGGCAAAGCACTTTCAAAACTCAGGGGAATTTCAAAAGCAATTTGTACTGTGTTCAATTTTTTAAAAAGTCAGAAATCCCACTGGGTATGAGCTGTGCCTAGAGCATGCTTGAAGTGGCTCGTTGGATCCCCATGAGTGATGCAACTGACCACTTTATGAGTGATCATAAAGTATTAAAATATGCACATATTACACTATTAGTTTTCAAAATTAAAACACAGTAACAGTGTAATCCTATAAATGTTTACGCAAAAGTAAATCCCACAATTTAAAAGATCTTACTCCCTAGCAAACACACATAGGACTGAACCCTAATAAGCATTTATATAGCACTCTGAAGTTTTCGAACCTCTTGAATATAGATTCTAAAATTAATTAAGCCTTTGGCATGGCTCACATGATGTGATAAGCCAAACCACAAACAAAGCTTGGCTACAGCTAGTGGTTAATGAAGAGAGAGCTTAACTATGGAACTAAGTTTGGACGACACAATAAGACTAAGCCAAACTTTGCTTAAATCAATGCAGGAGCAAAATGGGACTGTAGAAGAGCAAAGTGGTTACAAACTGCTCTGCAAAAGCCTGCATGCTTGTGTAGTTGCAGTAAACCATATTTGGCTTACACTGCCATGCAAACCGTGTAAAATCATCAATAATTTAGGACTCTAAAGATGCTAAAGCAAAACTGCTGTACTACAAGCTTTGTTAATAGCTTCCTTAAACACTATTTAAATAATCTATTGAATGTTTATGTGTAGAAGACTAAAAACCTGACTTCTTAATTGAAACATCTTATAAACCATACATAAACAGCAAAAAAATCAATTTAAAATCCCATATAAAATCCCAGATAGTGAACTTGCCTAATTACCTGTATGATGTGAGACAGTCGAACATTTTGCATTGAAGAATGAGACTTCAGTTTTCTATCAAGAAACACTTCTTTGCTACATGCATAACACCAGACACGTAATGTGGTAAGGTTAACCGTTAGACAGTGATTTGTTTCCTAGAAAACAAATGCAGCTACTAAATCTTTTTAATACAGTAAGACCAACTGTGAAGGAATTGGGTCTTGCTTGTATGGACTGTTGCATTTTACTTGTATGGAAATGCATATCTTTCTAGGCTTGGTTTAAACGTAATGTTTGCACAGACTGTTATAGGAATAACTAGCTACATCCTGACATTCTAAACTTAGGGCAATGAGAACTCCATTGTATACATGAGAGGCTGCACATCCATCACCTGCTGGCAGGAAAATAAAAAGCTCCAAACTGCTTTGAAACTGTAACCCAAAGGGAGGGGCTTATGATTGTGGAGGGGAGTTTATATATAGGAATACACAGCTGAGAAGTGGTGGCACCTGGAAAAAATGGAGTGAGGGCACAGAAGAGACAAAATATATTTCTAGGTTGGCAAGAAAGAAAAATAACAGCAATAACAGCAATTCAGGTATGGAGCTGGGGGGTGTTCTTCCCCCTGCCCCCCCCCCCCCCCGTGCTGCCTATGCAACTGGGAAGCAATGAGTTCAAGGTGAAACTCCACATGATACAGAAAAAGTAAAAAGTGTTTCCTGGGCTCCATGGAGACCACTTCAGCTCTTAACAGCAGAATGGTAAAAGAATGTGGTTGTGCTAGTTCTTCACGTTAAAGGTGTTTTGCAACTGCATGCTTCCTCTCCATATCAACTTTCTTCCTTAAAATGAAACCCAAATACATTTGGGAAATACATTTTACTTAGAACAATGCCTTTGGCTTTTTATTCACAAACCAAATAGTATCCACTACTATTTTCAACAAAAATTATGAACAAAAACATTATTTTAAACTCCAAAACTTGGATATAGTTGCTATTTACCCTGGTATAAAATACTAGCTGTTGCATCACATTTTCCTACACCAACTGCCAATAAATGTAAAACTAAGGTTATCATGAACAATACAGTTAAATGCTGGAATCTAAATTATGTATTCAGCCATTAAAGGTTCTGCTTATTAAACATGACATCATTGTTCATATTTACCGAAATTAAGCAATTGTTTATTTTAAATTAAATCTAACTTCCCTGTTTATCAACCATCCATATAAGTAATCTCTGCACACCAGAAAGATTCAAAAGTTAAAGATGAGTTAACTTGTCAAAACGCTTAAGTATTTTTACATACATACCTCCGAATGTATGGTACTGTGATCTATATGAGATTCTCCACAACCAACATATGAGCATCTATTCTGTCAAACAAAACAGAATCATTAACAAAATGCAAAATACAGTAATGTAGTTGGCACATAATTCAGTTCTCAGCAGGAGCAATTCACAGTATAATACAAATGGGGCGGCACTTTATATTATCAGCTCAAGAGTAATTATCCCACTTCACCAAGAATGCTGCTTCTAAAACTTAGGGCAATGGAACATCGCCAAAAGCAGCTTTTGATGAGGCATGATGAGTTGCTGTTGAAACTATTAATGTAAAAAGGTACACAAAAGGGCTCCCTAGATTGGATTCAATCGACATAGTAATTCAGTATCAAAACTCTACTTGACGTTAATAATTCTACAGTGCAACCTTTCAGGCTAATTTCAATTCCCAGGTAAACATCTTTTACTGAGACTTGCATAAATTATTATCCATAGTTAAAGCTGCAAGAAATACAATTCAGAGCTGTAATGCTAAGTGTGCCAATGCTGTTAATAAGTGTTGCAGAGGTAACCACTGCTGGACTGCAGCCTAAAGTAACTTCAATTCAAATGGAAAGCTAGGAATTTGGAAGCAGAGTAAGACATTTAAACGCACAAACTGAAGCAACTTTTCCTTTATAACAGTGGTTTTCAATCAGTGTGCCATGGCACCCTGGGGTGCCTTGAATGGTCAGGGGTGCCGCGGGCAACACTAGCCTCTGTCCCTCTTTCCTCTGATGCCCTCTTGCATCTCTGCCTCCCAAAGGCTTGCACAGTTGTCTGTTGCAGCAGCCCTGGCTACAACCTCCCCAAGCGAATGGTGCCTCTGGGGCTGGCCAGGGGGTGCTTCCCAGGCCCCAGTGGGGCAGTGGGAAGAGGCACCTCTCTTCTGGGGGGTGGCAGCTCAGAGACCAGGGATGGCTGCTGCAGCTGCCCAGAGGACTCCCAAGGAGAGGGGAGAAGAGAGGAGGCTGAGGAACACTCCACAAGGTGTTCAAAAAAGGGTGAGGGGCTGTGGCTCTTCAGGTAAGGGGTGACGTAATGGGGCTCCTGAGCCCCAAGGGGTGCAGCAGAAATAATGTAGTTGGTCAAGGGAGCTGTGGACCCAAAAAGGTTCAAAACCTCTGCTTTATAAGAATGAAGTGTTGCATCCAATGCTGTCACTCAGCTGTTGGTAAGGCTTCCCTTAGTGGAACAGGGAAGAAAGCTATTTTCACACACATGCTGCCTCTCCCAAACCTCCTCTGAAGGGTTCCCCAACTCTTAGGAACAGATTTAGTCGGGGTGGGAGGCTGCATGGAGGAGGATAAATCACTAAAAAGTGCTTCTTCCCATTCTGCTGATGAAGGCTTACTGTCAGCTGAGTGGTGACATTAGATACAACCAAAAACAAAAATTAGATATTGTGCAGCATATCTAGTCAATAATGTAGCAACTGTAGCTATTTATCCTTCACATAATGCCTTAAATAAGGTTAAATAAGATGCTTATTGCAACAGCTAGAACACCGTTAAGATGGATTGTATAACCTACATTATGAAACCTTTATTATTATGCAGACCAGAGCTCTAAAGGTTTTCAGTGCAAGAAAATCTAGAATTACAAGAGCTAGTGCAATGGCATATATCACTTTCTCAAGCCCTTAGAAATCATTTTCATTCAATTTGGTGGATCTACAAGTAGTTCAAACAAGAAAATGTACATAATTATGGCAATGCTTTGTAGATTACAAAAACAGTGAACACGATTAGTAATTATGCATTTTAAAATAAACTCAGCACACCAGAAATCAACAGCAAGCAGTAGGTTGATGGGGCTCCTTTCTGAATCTAAAGAAAAGCATCCACACAAAAGGCGGGGACAGTGTCCAGTGACTTAAGTGGCACTTCTTATGCAGGAACAACTACAGAGTTTAATGATTATATGGCAGAAAGCTGGCAACTAACTTATAGCATACCAAACATTTATGATTAGAATTCTTCCTAAAGTGAAAATAGCCGGTGAGCTTTTACCAAGAACATTTATGTTTGCCAGTTTTTTCACCTATCACTCCCATTTTGTCAGCCAACTGCATTCTCCAAAAAGGGATTTTATTTTAACAAAACAGCATTTTTATTTAACAAAATGCAAAATATTATATACAATGTCCCAGCCAAAATTATGTTTGAAACATGTTTTTCTCAAAAGGGCATGCATGGAGGTTGTTTAGAATACTTGCTCAATTATGGTATTCAGTGTGAACTGAAAGTTTAGGGTAGAATTGAAATCCAACATGGGGTTCTGCGGCCAGAACACTGGACTTGTACTCACAATTGCTGAGTTCGAAGCACAGCCCAAATATAGTTTCAAAGGTGGCCTTTGTTAGGGGAACAACCTATAACTCACAAGGACACACTGCAGAGGACACTTGAAGAATCCACTCCACAAACACAGTTCCCACTACAATCCAGCCAAGCCTCGTGGCAGGTGAATACTGCTCTCACCATTGAATTGTCAGTTTTAAACTTAAGGTTCTATTAAAAAACCTCTTTCCTGTTGCATATAATAAATGGAATTTCATCTTACCTCTAAGCATGCCCAAAGATTTGGTCCCTTCACTTTACAGTCCTGGCAAGTGCCCTATTAAAAGCAGAGAGTGATGTGGTTAGTTAATAAAATTAGTCAGAGAGGAGCAAAAGGGCAAAAAGCCCTATTCTCATATTATAAAGTCTAAATATTTATCTGTTCATTACTTAAGAGAATCTGCAATTTTTAAATGTTTACTCACACAAAAATTCTGTTTCTACAAAATCAGCTGCTGTTTCACATCTTTGGTGCCACTGATACAGGTTACTCTCTATGACCCCTGCTCTATAGCCATATAAAAAGGACTATAGAAAGCATGCTCAAAAGTAAACACAGCTAAGTTAGTTGGGACCTAGTCACAGGAAAGTGTGTAGGACTACAATTTAAAAATAGAATGTTTAAGCCTGTATTACATGTCTCCCTATCTTAAACTTTTTATCTGTCTGTTTTGTACCACAGAAAAACTTTAATAAAAATTAATTAATTTTTAAAAAAACATTTTTAGCAACTGCTTCAAAATCCCATGTCCACTTAGGCACATAAATATATGATACCTAAACTCCTACCTAAATAGATTAGCTTAAAAGGCTTCTTCCTGTGGTCATTCATTTAATGATTATGCTAGCCACCCTGGGATCCTTTTAGAGGAAGGCAGGATATAATAAAATATTATTAATAAAACAAGCATGCTGCCTGTTGTAACACCTAGCACTAAAATGTATTGCACAATTCAAGGCAAAGATCATTAATTCAAAAATAAGTCCATGTTAATCCATCAAGGAATGTACTCAGCAGAAACTCACATGTGACTTGTGTATTAAGTCTTCCTTGGTTATTTCACCAACAGACTCCAAATGTGAACAATCATTGCTTAGTGCTGACATTTTAATAGTGGTCTCTTCCAAATTCAGGTTGTATCTACATCTTGAGAGGGAAACATAGTGATTATACTGTGAGACATCTGTGCAACTGATAGCATGCAAAAAGGCTTTAGTTAAGGCGAAACCACATCATTACGACTTATGCTAACATTAAAAAATGAATGTGAAATAACAAAACAAAATACAGTGGTACCTTGGTTTACAAACTTAATACGTTCCGGAAGTCTGTTCTTAAACCGAAACCATTCTTAAACTGAAGCACGCTTCCTCTAATGAGGCCTCCCGCCGCTGGTGCCCTTCCACCGTTCGGATTCCGTTCTCAGACCGAGGTAAATTTCTCAAACCAGGACACTTTCTGGTTTTGCGGAGTTTGTAAACCAAATCATTCTTAAACCGGACTGTTCTTAAACTGAGGTACCACTGTATTGAGGGAAGTGGTACCGGTGGTATCCAGATTACAGGTAAGAACATAAGAAAAGCCTGCTGAGTCAGGCCATTGGCTCATCTAGTTCAGCATCCTGCTCTCACAGTGGCCAACAAGATGCTTATGGGAAGTCTGAAAGTAAGACCTGAGTGTAGGTCCTATTCTAATTTACACTAAAACCAATAGGTGGTATCCAAGTCGTGCTCCTCCAATGAAGGGAGGCATCCAACAGTGGAATGGGGTGGGAGGCAATTTTTGGTAATTCATTTTATCCCAAACAGCCTTTGGTGTGACTGTTACAATCTAATCCAGAAACTCTCCTAACCCTCTGGAGCAGATTGGGGGGATGGAAAAGGCAGAATCACTCAAAATTGCCTCTGCTGACAGATATATTCTGACAGTAGAGGGAGACCAACTGGATACAACCCAGTTCAATCCCTGCTTCCCTAAATAGACCAAAGGATTATTTCATAACTTCCTGCTATACACCATGGCATCTAATATAATTCTGAAAGACATGTTTAATGATGCAAAGGCTGATATTAAAAATTCATTTGAAACAGGATGTCACATTGTGAGGGGTATCGTAAAAGGTGCTGAGTTAACCAGTGTATATTTAATAGATTTAAACATCCAAATGCCAAATAATCACAGAAGCTAGTTTTCAAATCATTTGAGAAAACAGCAAATATTTGTTATTTCTTTAACAAAGGAAAAAATGGCGAAGGAGATTGCAACCCAATCTAAATAATTTAGTGAGCAGAAAGATCAGGTATCAAAAGGAAATTTGACAACTTGCATCCTGAGAACCATAAGAGCTTTGCCCCCTCAAATTATTTGCTACTTACTAGAAATAAACTTTATTTAGACTGCTGCATGACAACCAATAATGTTACGTGAAGCCTCCCAACAATTGTAATTTATTGTTTTCATCATATAAACAGGATCTACCCAGGTTATAAAACAGAAAATGTAGAGCATAAATTATTGTAGTTATGGTCGTGATACATAATTTCTCTCTTCCAAGCTTACAATGATAAAGATCTATAATTTTTTTGTATGTTTACAATGGGTTGCAAACATATACCCTTGACACACAAACTATTATCAATAATGGTCTCTTTTACTTCATAATATTGTTGTTTCTGGATTATTCTTAACATTCTATGAAGGTGTCTTTGTCTCTTGGCAATTTCACAAACTCAGAGATATTCATCTCCTAATTACTATTAAAATGCTAACCGTGTGTTATGTTTAACACCCAATAACCCAACTGTTGTTCTCTTGACATTTTTGGACTAACAGAATATATCATTTCATCTTTTCCAAATATATGTCCTCTTAATGAGAGAGAGCGCGCGCGCACATATGCATTCAGTTTTTTGTGTATCATTTTCAGATTTTAAAAAGATATATCCATTGTATTCAGCAGAAAATCCAATGCACAGTATGTTCAGAGGTGTTCATAAGGGATGATTTCATTATCTCATATTAATATTCCTTTTGTTTTACAAAACTGCAGTTAAAAACTCAGAAGAAAAACTAGGAAGGATCAACTATAATTTATTTCCTTCTTGAGGACATTTATCCAAGCTGATTTCTTCCTACTCTCTTTCTCCAAAAAGAGCTCACTCATATAAAATAAACAGAGTTTGCATTAAATTCTACAAATGCCACAATAACAACAATATTTATTCAAAGTGCTTATGTATATAACATTAAGAGGAAACAGAAGTTTCTTAAATGCAATCTGTTTCATGCTGTCTGAGTCCTCCCTTTGCATCCTTTAAGAATATTAAAAGAAAGAATTGGCTGTCCCGCAGCATATTCTGCAGACTGATCTTTTTGCAGCAGAACTGCTGTCCCTGCACTACTGCAAACTGCAGTGGAGTTTGTCAACCATGCTTTCTCTCCATGATGCTCTGCAGCACAGAATAGATCTCCCAATTATTTATTAAATGCAGCATCTGAACTATAAGGTCAGGTACAGTATGATATATGAGAAAAAGTATCATTCCTTTCTCTTTTCCTCTCCTCTCCTCCCCACCCCAACACAAACACACATTTTCTTAATGGCCCTTAAATAGTAATGTCACGTTTTTCCTAATTTGCCCCTTCTTCCAGATGACAATGTTCCCTAGGCCGGGCATAGCAGCACATATTATGTCAAGACTGCCTAGCTTTATAAAAAGAGAACGGAAGCCTACATTTTGCTTTTGTTTTTAAGTTTTGCTCCAACAACGTATCTATTTTAAGGCACGCCAGCACTTTTGAGCTTCACAAATCGAACATCACATAGCAACATGATAACCCTTAAAAAGAAAGCTACTTATATCTGGATCTAACACACAGGCATAGCTTTTATTCACTTTCCAAGGTGGGAGAAATACCTGGGTGCTGGTTAGTCTGGAAGTCACTTTCTGTGACCTGGAAGCCCCTTTCTCCCTTACTACAGCTATACAGGGTTAGAGGGGTCATTCATAGACTTGTAGAGTTGGAAGGGACCCCAAGGGTCATCTAGTACAACCCTCTGCAATACAGGAATCTCAACTTGAGCATCCATGACAGATGCCCATCCAAGCTCTGCTTAAAAACCTCCAAGGAAGGACTGTCCACCATCTCTTGTGGGAGTCTGTTCCACTGTCAAACAGGCTCGTGCTGTCGGAAAGTTCTTCCTGATGTTTAGTCAAAATCTCCTTTCTTGTAACTTGAAGCCATTAGTTCAAGCCCTACCCTCAGGAGCAGGAGAAAACAAACTTTTTCCATCTTCCGTGTGCTGGCCTTTGAGATATTTGAAGATGGCTATCAGACGTCCTCTGGCTAACATACCAAATTCCCTCCACTGTTCCTCATAAGGCTTTACTTCCACACCCTCAATCACCTTGGCCACCCTCCTCTGCACACATTCCAGCTTGTCAACATCCTTCTTAAATTGTGGTGCCCAGAACGGGACACAATATTCCTGACCGAGGGAGAACAGAGAGGGACTATGACTTCCCTGGATCAAGACACTATGCTTCTGTTGATACAGCCTAGGATAGCATTGGCATTTTGTTCTCGAAAGGACCCCTCTGTACATGCTCATGCGCCATTTCTTCATTTTCACTTCCTTAAGATCCAAGACTTATTTCAGACTCAAAACCTCCTGGCACTGGAAAAAAATAATCCAGGACCAATCCTTGGCTTACAGCTAAGGAGTGTGCAGGTGTGTGATGTTAATAAAAAAATCGAGGCGAAAGAAAGAAAGAAAGAAAGAAAGAGGGATGGGGAATCAACATATCTCGAAAATGGGACTTCGGTTCTCCACCACCTCCAACAGGGGTGGAAGCATCGATAAACCGACGGAAAGGCCACAGTCCCCAAGACTGCAACCCTATACGCTTTTACCTCAGGTGAAATAAACCCCACTCAACCGAATGGGGTTTACTTCTTCAGGAAGGTTAAAAGACCTGGTTCTTCCGCGAAAGCAGCCCCGGCGGATGGATACCTTCCAGGCCAACTTGCGAGGCCGCTTTCCTCGCATCCCAACGCCAATTCCCGCCCTCCCGCTTCATTATAACGGCCGCTGCGCCCTCGCCCTTTTCTCCTCACCTGCCTCCCACACGGCCAACCTCGCCAAGAGATGGAGGTCCAAGAGAAGCAGGCGGCTCTGCCGCCTTCCGCTTCTTTCCGCCCCCCTCTCTCTCTCTCTCACACACTGGGCCGCAGCCTTCCGCACCGCTCCAAGCCGGGCTGTCACTCGCAATGGGCCCCGTACCAAGATGGCAGCGCTCGCTTTCACTGGTGTGGAGAGATGGCTGAGAGGAGGAGAAAAAGGAGGAGCGATGTTGCCCTAAACAAAGAGGGCGGCGGTCGACTCACCTTCTTTTGCGCGTGCGCGCCTTCAAGAGCACGCTGTTCGTTAAAGGTGGGTGGGGAAATAGGGACCATAGAGATAAGAAGGGAGGGGAAAGGGATGAGTGGGTTTTTGCGGTGGGAAGTGGACGTTCCGAACTGCTTTGTCCTTTTGAATGTTGTGGAGAAAATTCGAACAGGGCTTGACGCCTGAGGTGTGGCGAAAACACGTGGTTCTGTTTAGGCAAAGATTTGTGGGGAAGGTGCGTCCTGGTTTCTTCGTGTTTTTTTTCTTCCCTTTGACCTCGGAAAGAGGTTGCTGCCCGTTTTCCTTCTCGGCAAACTAATGGGCCATAGACGTAAAAAAATTCTGATATTAATTCTCTTCCCACACCGCACACACAAAATTGTTATAGGTGTGTGGGTGCTAAATGCCTGAGCTTAGTGATTGTTATAATTTTATTAAGTTTAGAGGTGCTAGAACCGGGAAATAGCGTGACTATGTGTGTTTAAGATAATTCATGTGTGCATTTGACTTGTGTGCTAGACACTTCTAATCATTTAATGAGCATTTATGCTGGGCAAATTTCCTAAGTTGTTTATTAGATACTTCTTAATCCTAGGAAATCAACAGGAGTTGAAAGGTAATGGAGTCATCCTAATTTCCTTTGCAGTGATGGCCTGGGGATAAATGAGCCATTAGCACTTTGGCCAGTTTTAAAAAAGGCAGAGGCAAGGAAAGCTTAAGAGGAACAGTGTGATGCAAGCAGACAGAAGCGAGTTATGGGTCAGAGAGCACAGCTTCTTGCTCTTGGGCTGCAAGGATGCAGTCCAGAGAGGAACAGAAACCTCTTGGGGAGGAATGCTGTGGACTCCTCCATGTAGAATTTAGGTTGCATATATAAACAATATAAAGACACCACTGTGTCCTCTGTGCCTCATTGTTCCAAAGGACCCTGGTTTGCACGCTTGGTACCCCTGGAATCTCGCATCGCTCAGAGATTGAGGTGGCGTATAACAACATTTAAAAGTGCACAGCAGCTGCATGCATGTCGATGGATGGAGAGTGTGAGGCTCTAGCCCATTTGGGCTGGGGTAAAGTCATAAGGTAGTAATTCCAAATTGATTTTCCCTTGAGATATGTATCGCATTGAACTGCGTTGGGCTTACCTCTGAGGAGACACATATAGGATTTAAATGAATTGCCCTTTTTCTGTAAGCAGGATTTTTATTTTTTGCTAGAAATTAAAACCAGCCTTAGGTACTGGTTCATTTCCACATCTTTTTAAATCCTGAAGAGTGACAAAAATGCCAACTGCTTCTAGGAGATAATGGAGAAATCTAGAAATTTATAATTGCAGTATTTTGACAGTAGCAAGTCTCTTGCCACCCAGTAAACTTTCATGTGTAAAAATAATAATAGAATTGTTTTTAAACTGTTGCAGCTTGGGAGTGTGGCTTATGACGGGCCTGCCATGTGGTCCAGTCTTATTAATACTGCAGGTTGGAAAGAACACTTGTAACCTCTGTGTCGTCATCTCCAATTTCAGATGGGGTGGATCGGAGGTTAATAGATTCTCACAGTAACACTTTTATAAAGGTTCTCATAATGGTCACCTACCAGATGCATTTCGTTAATGGAAAGTTGTTAAATCGGTCCTTAAAAAGCTAGAAATTCTATATCCCTGCCTTACCTGCAGTTGGCTGTGTCGCTCACACAGGCCTTATGTATACCGGAGCTTAAACCTTGCAGCGTTCAATGGGGTTTATGCCCCAACTAAAGTTGCATGAGATCATAGCCTTAGAGTGATGGCAGCACGCCCTGTTTGCAAGTGAATGGAAGCAGAATGCGCCAGCAGCTTCCGCAAAGCACGCGGCGAAAATAAACCTGCTAAGATTCTCCCCTCCCTGCCTTACTCAACTCAATTGGCTCTTAGCACCCTAATGTAGAGGGAAACCTTCCCGGCCCCCCCCAAAAATTGATCCGGAAGCAAGAGGAGGCACATATTACTCTACAATTTCCTCTCTATGATCTCTCTCAAACCCCACCCCCGCCCCACTTTTGGGCAGCAGGAATCGCAGCTGGTGCAAAGGAGGAACCGGGTCGCTTCGTGCTTGGTGTCTGCGGTGCAGCCCCGAGAAGCCGCCAGGTCTGGTTTCGGTTCCTTTTTTCGTTACTGTTCCGTGGAGGCGGTTTGTTTGGTCCTCCAGGGTGAGAAGAGCTGCTTCCAACCCCATCCTAGCAGGTGGGGAGGTCGTGATACTCTTGGCCGAGCCCCACCCTTGCTGGTGCTCAAGGAAAAACCTGGGCCAAAAATACGGGTTGGTCTTGTGATCTTGTAGCAAAGAGCTTATATATAATATACAGTAGTAATGAATCAGGGTGCAATAAGAGGCAGCCATGGGGTGGTATGGTATTGTGGGGTTAAGGGATACCCAAATAGGCCTGGGAATGTTTTGGATAACATGACAGAGTAGGACATTATAACAGGATAGCTCAGTCGCAGGATTCTTTAGAAGCCGTTCTGTGATTTAACTGCAATATATTACTCTCCTGTTCTCTACAAACATTGTCATGTCATCTGCTTTCCCCCTGCCCTTGCTGTTATGCAAGCTGGATGTGGAAAAAATATTCAATTGGGTTTTAAATACTTATTGTAATGTTAAGAACTATGTCCCTTCCCCCTCTTAATGGCGATACATGTTAAAATAACAATAATTAGAAATCCAAAGTAACAGACTGAAATATGTCTTGGCTCAGTACCATAAATAGCACCCCCCCTTCAGATAAGAGTTATGGGAAATTCCATTGTCATCCATTCAAAGAATATTATTATTATTATTATTATTATGCGGTTGGATGTTACCTTCCACTTTAAAACATTTCCCCACTTTTGTTTTTCTGCCTAGAAACATTTACTGTTATTCATCTTTGTATTTTGTGTGTGTATGTGGAAGCTTGTTAAAAACCTTTGTGTGGAGATAAGCTGCTTTGCAGGCTTTTCAAAATCTTTTGCACAGTTTTCTTTTTTTTAAGTGCTCCAAATATCTCAATTAACTCACAGGTCAGCCAAATGGCAGTTATAAATCTTAGGCGTAATCTTTCTGTTTTTCTGTGTTGTGCTCTGTATGCTTTCAAAGATAAAAAAATAAAAAAAGAATAACACACTGGAAAACTCCATAGCTTTCTCAGTACTCAGAGCTGTTCATTAGCACTGAAATCTTATTCACATCTGCCCGAGGTAAGTCTTATTGAGTTTTTAATAGACTTCACTTTTAGATAAGTGTGTATAGAATTGCAGTATTGGGCTGCAAACCTTGTCTCACTTACTTGGGAGTAAGGCCCACTGACTTTGATGGGGCTTACTTTTGTGTAGACAGTTAGGATATTGCTGTTACTATTTACAGGAAAATGGAAGGGTGTGTACCTTTTACTTTATCCACGACATTCACTGTTCCACTTCAAACTATCTTTGCTATTTGTACCATTGGAACTCTGGATGGAAGGAAGGAAGTTTGAAGCCACTGAGTTAACTTCACAAAGTGTGAGGTCTATAGTCCAATATCTGTCTCTCATTGGCAGCCTATATCCAGCATCGTCTGCAAGTAATATGGTTTTGACTTAGTGTCACTCAATGATGCTGTGGGAAAGAAGGAGCCATGTCAGAAGACGCTGCTAGTGAGACACGTTTATCTTTGAAGACAGCAGCTTTAAGAGTATTTGATCTTCCTCTTTCCTGGTATTCTTCCCTAACCCAGGTAACCTTTGCATTTCTTTATTTTAGTTTGTAGTGCTTTTTGAAGCTAACATCTAACAGTGTTTTATATAATGTGCTTTTATGTAATACGTATTTGGTTAAGATGGTTTATATAAAATTATTGTTGAACGTAGCATTAAAAAAAATATTGCTGTGGATTCCAGTAGATTTCATTCTGTTACATGTACTGGACTGCAGAGGCTGCAGTGAAGCCTTTGCAGTGCCATACATCTCAATTGTAGAGTGATTACAACCAGTACTGCCTATCTTGTTTTTTCTGTTTTGCGTCAAAGTGCATTATTTGATGTATTGTCTAGCCAGTTTCTAATTATTTTCTGCCTTTCAGTGTAAAGTTTTTTATTGAGCTCACTGATATGAATAAACAAAAAACCCTCAAGAGTAATATGGGTAGTATGCAGCTAAGTCATATACAGAGCAGACCTGTTGAAATCACAGGAGAGAAGTTAGCAGCAACTAATTTTAATTGCTTTATTTCAGCAGGTCTCTTGTAGTACAGTTTAGTCAGATACCACCCTTTGTTGGCAGTTTTAATAATTATAAAATAGGGACTACCTCTTAAGAATATCTTGCAAATAACCACACCCTATGTGTATGTTTTCTTGCTAATGCAAGTCACAGAAGGCTTCAGACAGTGTTTTGTTTTTTAAGATTTCTACAAATTTAATCATGTTGCTGTCAGTTTTGTCCCAATTTACGAGATGAGCATTTACAGAGTGTTGATACTTCCAATATTTAGCATGATCTGCAGAATCAGGAAGACAGAAATAATCTAGAGCAGGCTTTTACTGTGGGTGGTGGTGGATAGGACATACAACATCTGTTTCTAAAGCAGGGTAGGGTGGAGCCCCGACTGCCAGAAACGCTGCTGCACTATAAGAGGAGGTGGAGTGGTGAAAAGCAACAGAACAGAAATAGACAGTGTTGGACTGAGTTTTGTTACCTTGATGTCAATGTGCTCCACTCCAGAAGAGGAAAGACTGCTGTATCATTTGTCTCAATGACAAAAAAACCTCTACTAGTTCCATCAACTAGGAAAAAACCTGAATGTATAATGTATCTCTATACAATATGAACAGAGAGCCTGAAAGTTTGTATATTGAGAAACACATATTAGGAGTGTGATCCAGAGGGTCATTTTGTGCAGATTGTTGTTGTTCAGTCGTGTCCGACTCTTCGTGACCCCATGGACCAGAGCACGCCAGGCACTCCTGTCTTCCACTGCTTCCCGCAGTTTGGTCAAACTCATGTTCGTAGCTTCGAGAACACTGTCCAACCATCTCGTCCTCTGTCGTCCCCTTCTCCTTGTGCCCTCCTTGTGCAGATAGAACTTGTATATAATGCAAGCATAGTGACATTTGTCCGGTAACAGGCAAACCACATGTAGCCACAGAATGCTTTGTGAGAATGTCTGTGTTGCACACAGGAAAACTACTGAAAGGGTTGGAAATTCACTGTCTTGAGCAGCACACTTTGCTTGTGTTGAGGATCTGCAAAAGTATAGCAGATTGCCTGCTGCTGAACTAATAGAAACCATGCCCAGTCCTCTGGTGACCACACCCCAGGTACCCGTTTTCCCTGAGCACCTGTTGGTTGGGAGAAGGCGCCACAACTACTCCTGTATCCTTAGATCAATTGAAAAAGACAAAAAATCAGTGGAGAGTAGAAATCACATCAGATTCTGCTATTTTCTTGTACATTTGGCAGTGGCTGTAGTGTTATGTCTGGTGCAAATAAATAATGTGATAAATAATGTGAAATAAATAGTGCATGCTAATACATTTGTTCATAAAGTTCATCACAGTGTACTGATTCTTAGTTGCTTCCAGGCTACATATTATGCCAGGTGCATCTACAAGTGGAAACCTTTAGAAATGTCTCTAAATGGTTACATAGCAAAACACAGAATATGATTAATTATAGAGTAGGACTAATGCAGTTAAACAAATGCTGTAATGAGCATGCCTTGTTCTAAAAGTAGCTAATGTTGGGCATATCCAGTTCTGCTTCCAGTAATTATCAGCTTACCGCTCAAATTCCTGAAAAGAATCTGTGTTGGTCTTTGGGAGCAAAAGAAGACATTCACTTTAACTTGTGGGCAAGTTTTCTCTAGGCCTTTGGATTTGCCAGTGGGAATCCAAAGGTCTGTGGTCAAAATGTAGAAATACAGCATCCAATATAACTGTCAAAATAAATGCAAACGCACACTTTCTCAAAGTTAACATAAAAGTATAGAATTTTAGCCTATTGTGTGTTGTTGTTGTTATATTTTACAGAAATTATTTAAGATTTATACACAATAAATTGCACAGAGTTTCTTTGATTGGTGTAGTGTTCAGATTTCAAATGTTAACTTAAACCTATTGCATCAAAACTGAATTATTTTTTTCTCCTTCTGTAGAACATATGATATAACTTACTTTTTAAAATATGTGTTTTAAGGTTAAGGTTTCCCCAGGTCTCAAGAAGTTATTTGTAATAACAGCAGTGGGTGCAGTGTCTGTGCTTTTTCTTGCCCATCACTTCAAAAGAAAGCGTGGGAAGAAAACCAGGAATGTATCTCCATGGGAGCCAGGCCACGTCGTGTTAGACTATATAAAAACACCTGCATCAGAGAAAGGTAGGTGACACGATGTCTAAGGAAAGCCAAGATTCTGTACACACCTGGAAGGAAGCCTCATTGAACACAGTGGGGCTTACTTCTGAGCCCGCCTATGTAGACTTGCAGTGGCCAGCTTTAGAAGTACATGGAAATAAGTTGGAAAAATTGGGGCTTATTGCCAAGCAAGCATTTTGGGACTGGGGTAGAGGTTTTTGGTTTTTTAAGTTCCTCAGCTTGGTTTCCCACTGAAACATGTACTATATGCATGCAACAGTGTGTGTGCACCACAACTCCTTCCTTAACAAATCCCTAAACTGCCTCTTTATCGCTTAGAGATAATTTTTTTAAACCACAATAAACAGTTGGGAGGCTTACCATAGCCCTGATTGGTCTGCAAGGAGATGGACACGTGTAGCACCTTTTCCCCCAGCAGCAGGTCCAGCATAAACCTGCCTGCAGCCTTCCTTTTTGTTTTCCCATCCTCAAGCCTTGCTGATTACAAAGTGCACGTGCTTATCCTTCCTTATAGAAAGCAATAGATGAGAGCTTAGTGATTCACAGCTTATACAATCATTGTACAGCATTAATAGCATTCTAGAATGTTACATTACTTTCAAAATGATAATTTTAAGAGTTACTGGAAAAGAAAGAGTTATCCCATCTTAAAAAGTTATTGCTCGAATACAGCAAAATTGGTTAGTTGTTGTTTAATGAAAACCCTTTGCGGTCATGCAAGTGACACTTGCTTCAATGGGGGTTACTCCCAGGTAAGTCTGCATGGGTCTGTCACTTTGATTATATTATCTTCCTCTTCAGGTTCCAGTTGTTCCAGCAGCAGACAAAATCTAACACTTTCATTGAGTTCAGCCAAAGAAAAAGGTTCTCAATCCTATATCAATGCAAATGGAGGCCTCTTCAGTAAATATTCAGGTTCAGTGCAGAGTTTGGCCTCGGTAAGCATATCTTATTATTTTCATGTAGTTTGCTGATAAGCTGTTGAATAGTGATTCCCCCCATTGACTTGCATAGGGGCAGGAAAGAGGCACTCTTCCTGGATCAGTGCTCCTCTAGAATGTGTGCCATTTTTATGCTGACTCTCACCTTGCTTTTCCTCCTGTACAAAATGAAGCTTAAAGGCACCTAGCCTGAAAACCCTTGGGCTTATTTGTCTAGCTCGCTTCTTACCTAGGGGCACCTCTACGCTATTGTCACACAAATTGCCCACAAAACTATGGGGACATCTAGTGGATATTTTTTAAAAATGATCCCCAAACTGAAAGACTGCCCTTCTAGAAAGCCATGTGAGCTAAGCATCCCAAATCTGACACCTGTCCATCTTCTTTAAATTAGGTCCAAAGTGCCGCATCCTGTCCTAGCTGTGCTTGTGTCAATTCTAGTTCCTGGGACAAAGCAGATGAAGATGATATAAAGCTGGTCAATGTTCCAGTAACTACTCCAGAAAACTTATACTTGATGGGTAAGTGAGCAGATTCCTTAGATGCAGCATTTATTGCTGCTTTTTTTAAAAGTTTCTAAGTTCAGGATTGTTTGCTATTACAAAAATAGTGTTACTTTCTTTCAAGGGCATGATAACACTTGTATTTAACAACTGTTAAAGATATTTGTTGCCTTAAGCCCTCTATAGGCCATATAACATATCTGTCTGTTCTGCAGCAGAGTAGCTGGGGCAACCCAGCCAGATGGGCAGGGAGTAATAATAATAATAATAATAATGCATGAACACAAAGCCTGCCACATGCAGGCTTCAGGAACAGAAAGAGCATGTGGTGTGTAGTCTCTGTAGACAACAAAAATTTTAGAAACTAATAGAAACATGAAACCTTCCTCATCTACAGTGTTGCTACGTGTATTCACAATATGTTTGCTTATTGAATATTAAAAGAACGTGTGGCTTCGCTTGGAACAATTGAATTGGAAGGACTCAAAAGCTGTCTAATCCATGGGGGCCGAATCCGGCCCAGCCGCCTTCTAAATCCGGCCCGCGGATGGTCCAGGAATTAGCATGTTTTTACATGAGTAGAATGTGTCCTTTTATTTAAAATGCATCTCTGGGTTATTTGTGGGGCATAGGAATTCGTTCATTTCCCCCCCTTCAAAATATAGTCTGGCACCCCCACAAGGTCTGAGGGACAGTGGACTGGCCCCCTGCTGAAAAGGTTTTCTGACCTCTGTTCTAATCCATTCCCCTCTCACAATGCAGCGTTCCTCCTGATCAGTCAGTGAAGTACATGGCTTGCTCAGCTAGAGTGCCAGTACATTGGACTGATTTATTTGGCAGTCACCTTTCTACAAAGGGTTCAAGTGTTGAGCCATGCCACCTGGTACAAGGGAAGGCAAACTGAAAATCTGATACAGGGTTGTTACATTAGTAAACATTTGTTTCAGGAATGGAACTATTTGAAGAAGCTCTTCGCCGATGGGAGCAGGCACTGACGTTTCGTAACAGGCAAGCGGAAGATGAAGCCAACTGTAGCGCCGTCAAACTTGGAGCAGGTGATGCTATTGCAGAAGAAAGTGTAGAAGTAAGTAAATGAGTTGCTGTTCCTTCAGATAATTTGTTTCCCCTGTTTCTGGTTAAAATTCCAAAGTATACTCCAGCTTCTAGCAAAGAAGCTAAAATTATTCAAGAGAACCTGGATAACACCAAGATTGCAGGTTCAATCCCTGTAAAGGACAGCTGCATATTCCTGCATTGCAGGGGGTTGGACTAGATGATCCTCAGGGACCCTTCCAACTCTTATGATGCTGAGGAACTCTCTGAGCCTCTTGAATGCCTGCAATATGAGCAACTGCTTCCCCAGTGACCTATTTCTTCTTCAGTGTCTTTCTTCCTTCAAAAGTTTTCAATATATCATAGTACTGCATTGGCCCGAATATAAGCTGCACCCGAATATAAGCCGCTCCCTTAAAATTCTGCAGGCACTCACACCCGTTCCATTTTACCGTATGTCTGTTTCAGCAGCGATATCGTAAAAGCCCATTTTTGTAAGGTCACAAATTTAAGCTGCACTTTAACTTTTCACGGTCGGTATTTGGGGAAAAAGTGAGGCTTATATTCAGCCAATACGGTACTATTAAAATCAAAACTTACACAAAGCTATCTCAAAATTATCTCATTGCAAATCCTGGCTAGGATGAACTGGCATGGGCTTAATAGGATAACATTAGAAGATGATTCCTATATTCTTTTATCCCCTACTTTGGCCATCTAAGAATGCTGCACACTGAGCCTACATTGGTTGGACCCTCTTCCATTGGTTAGTTAACTTTTAAAGTGTTTGCCTATTCTCTCGAAGTACCAATCTGCCTTTCACTTTGCTACTTTAATTGGGCCTGGGATTTGGAGAGGTGTTTGCCCACTATCTCCTGTGCCTAAGTGGAAGCACAAGAAAAGCAATTTACTCCTGACCCACGAATATGGGAAGCAGCAGACTGGCAGCCACCTTGCTGAGGCAGATGACATAGCTTATAGTTCTTTCTCCATGGACTTCCTCCCCATAGCTGTCAACTTGCAGATTTGAAAATAAGGGATCAGCAGCCAAAATAAGGGATTTTCCGGGCACAGGTATGTTCAACTTCTGAGCCCTTCCGAGCCAAAGACAGAAAGCCCAGCCAGCAGCCAAACAAAGCCTCATCAATAAGGGACAGCAGCGGGACATGGCGCTGGGATAAGGGACTGTCCCGCCAAATAAGGGACACTTGACAGCTATGTTCCTCCCTGGCCAAGGTTAGAGAAAACAGGTGGGGTAGAGGCACAGATAAGAACAAAGTTTGCACAACTGGCCAACCTCACAAGGCAGTTATTTGTACAGTAATCTTTATAGGTCCACAGTGATGGAAACCATAAGCATTTTGCTGCTAAAAGGCATGAATTCCACACATACTTTAAATTCTCTTTTTGTACCCAGTTGCAAACATGTTTATGTGGAAGTTCCAGGGTGGGGTATCTGAAGTATATGTACATAGGATTGCACCTTTAGTTTTTCTGAAGTGAGCTTCTTGAAGTAAGCATGCTCCTAGAGTCCAACTTTCCTAATCTTAATAGGTTAGTTGCTGTTCTAGGTAATGTTTTCAGGTCCTGCTGATTTTTGCATGTGGCACAGTATAAATATTTGATATAAATAATAACCAAAAAAGTGTTTGTTCATCCTTGTGCATATCAGAATCTCCATGAGCTGCATAAAATATTGGTGACAGAATGTATTTGCCCTCTGCAACTTCTGTTTTGCAGGATATCATTAGTGCTGAATTCATTCATAAGCTTGAATCCTTGCTCCAAAGAGCTTATCGTCTTCAAGAAGAATTTGAGGCTTCTCTTGGGGCATCTGATCCTGCTTCCTTTGCCAATGATATTGGTGAGTTTGTCTTGGCTTTAAACTTGCATGTTTCTTGATAATATAGGGCTGCTGGTCTTGAAAACTTATTGGGACATGGTGAAGAGGCAGAAATAGGGAAATGAGAATTTACTTGTGATTCGAGTTGCTCCTCTTGTACAAAGGATCAGTTCCACAAAGCTGGTTTAGCTGCTGGCTCATAGTAGTAGCACAAGGAGCCTGTAAAGTGATTTGTTATCTGCACATCTACATATTTGGACTGAATTTAGACCCAAAGCCCCTGGTGTAAAGAGTTGTCTTGCATTTGGCTAAAAAGCATTGTAATCATCAGTGAGACATGAAAGCAGAGATTTGCGGGAAGATGAGGATACTTCTTATGTATTGTGTAAGAATACATAGCAAAGCAGAACATGGCTACTTTGCTAACTATGTATTGTAAGCTAGGTCTGGTCAAGTAGTTTGCCAGCCCTCGGCCACATCAGCATGTGCGAACAGGTAAAAGGATAACATCTTTGAACTTGCTTACAAGTCAGACTTGTACCGTGCTGGCATTTTCAACTTTAATTTTTGAGGTACTTCTGTACAACTGACTGCAGTGGCCAGAAGAGACTTGCTGGTAGTCTGTTATAATAAATCACACCAAAATAAACCCTTTCTTCCACAACTTTAGAAGACTGAGCTTGCTTAGTGCCAGTCTGTTGTTTCTGTAAAAAGCAAGGTTGCGTGGAGCTATTGAGAACATATGAAACTGCATTATATTGAGTCACACAGTTGGTCCATCTAGCTCATTGCTGTCTGCACAGACTGGCAGCACCTCAGTCCCTGGTCTCAGGCAGAGTACATTCCTAGTCCTATGTGTACTAAGGACCTTCTTCATGAAAGCTGATGCTCTACTGCTATGGTATATCTCAGTTAGAACCTTAAAAATATCAAAGTTAGTATTTGGATGCCAGGATGATCATGGATCATGCCTAGAAGCTTTGTATGTTTTCTTTGATAACAGCTGTAAACTTGAAATACAAATTGCTTCATTGTGTGATTTGCATAGATAATGCAGAAAACTTTGGAATTGGGGGACGCCAAATATATTTTAAGAAGATTAAATACTGCTGTATCTCAGAATAACCGATTTACTGAAGGATGTGTGATTATGAAAGTTGAAGTGTCTATGAATGTGAGGTGAGACTGTCAGTTTGCATTTATTAGTGCAGAAAGTATTGATCTGATGTGTAGAGATCTTTCCTATTCTGCTTAATTCACAAGGCTTCTGGAAGCTTCTCTGTGTGAAAGAAGCAAGCAGAAGGTTCATGATGTTTGGGTTATACCTTCAGAGAAGCTGAGAACAGCTGGCTTAAACTGGTTCTGTGATCTCTTTCAGTCAAGGTCCTGCTGACTATAAAAGTAAAGCCAGAAGGAGCCCGGGTTTCACTTTCTCTTTCTATCTCTTTTCCTTATGGTGTGGTGTTCTGTACAGTGGTACCTCGGGTTACATACGCTTCAGGTTACATATGCTTCAGGTTACAGACTCCGCTAACCCAGAAATATTACCTCGGGTTAAGAACTTTGCTTTAGGATGAGAACAGATGAGAACGGTGGTAGTGCAGTGGCAGCAGGAGGCCCCATTAGCTAAAGTGGTGCTTCAGGTTAAGAACAGTTTCAGGTTAAGAACGGACCTCCAGAACAAATTAAGTACTTAACCTGAGGTACCACTGTACATAGTATGCTTAGTGTTAAGGTTTAGACTTGTTATAAGTTATTGTAAGTTTAAGTCTGCTGCAACTCGATTTCTTATGGACAGTGCCAATCCTGAATGTATAGGATTTGTGACCATTATGCTCATTTGCTTTCAGCAGCAGTAAAGCTCTGCTGGATGAAATAGTAATTGCCTCTGGTCTATTTTTTTGGGAATCCTGCAACGTGTTTAAGTTTTTACTCTGCTAACTATATGTTGGAATTCTACTCTGGGTCAATATTGAGTAGAAATTCATGTCAGAGACTTCTGGCTCCCAGCTCAATTATTAACTCGCTAGGTGGCCCGAAGTAAGATATTTAGTCTTCAGTCCCCCTCTGCAAAATATGCGTTGTTATTAGCCTACCTACCAGGGTTATTGTAAAGATTATTGAGAAAATATATGAAGGACTTTAAAGTGCTATAATAATCACAAACTGTTTGTTTTAAAACTACTGATAAGTATAGAAAGCCGTTATGAGAAATTGATTGAAGGGTGAGGCAGAAATTCGTATAATGGTACCTCGGGTTAAGTTCTTAATTCATTCCGGAGGTCTGTTCTTAACCTGAAACTGTTCTTAACCTGAAGCACCACTTTAGCTAATGGGGCCTCCTGCTGCTGCCGCGCCACCGGAGCACGATTTTTGTTCTCATCCTGAAGCAAAGGTAATATTTCTGGGTTAGTGGAGTCTGTAACCTGAAGTGTATGTAAGCTGAGGTACCACTGTATTATGCTTTCAGAAATGCTAGTGTGTTGAAACAAATCAACACTAATTTCCTGCCCCAAATCACTTAGCAGCATCAGCAGCAGGGGGAAGCATTGTACATTAAATTCATGACATCAGGTTTATTGGGAAGCCGAGCAGCCATATGTATTCTGCATCCCCAGGAGCTAAGTAAGGCAAAGCACTGTCTCTGTTGCCAAGTAGATTTATTGGTCACAACTTGTTCCTGGAAAGTGTGCATTTTAAGATAATGGCAACTGTCCAGCTCTAGATTTTCATGGCTTTAAAGTTGGAGGCGCATGCTGCCACTGCTAATTTGTACAGTAGATAAGATTGCGACCCATTTTCAAAGCTATTGGCAATTCTTAAGATGGTGTAAATGAATAACTCGGCAATGGGGTAATTGATTGCATGTTTGAATTATAGATAGAAACTGTTTTCCCTCTGAAACATGACATTTGTGTTCATTCCAATATTGATTTGTGAGTTTGAATCACGGTTGCCACCAGGGGTCAGTCTTCCAATGGCTTTTTAAAATCCTGTTCAAAGCATGCTTCCTGGGAACTTGCTAGTTAATTTTAGTTTTCTGGCACATTTTTCCCCCAACACCTGCTACTGTAAGTCATAACACAGAAAGGGGCTTGAATGTCAGCTCTGAGGTTAGAAATCACACTGATATACATTGGCATATATATCCGCATAGCAGCTGTTGGATGTCAATTTCCTTTTTAATTTTTCTTCCTTGAGTTTCCATAGTTTTCAAAGGGTTAAATTAATTTATATGTTTCACAGTACAGTACTGCTGGTGTGTACAGATGACGAAATTGTATCAAGAGAGCTAAATAACAATCAAAAGAGCCTTTCAGTACAGAATGCTGAAGCAACATGCAAGGGCAAAACAGAATACTAATAATGGCATATTATTGTTGCCCTGAGTGGTTTCTGTCACCTTAATGTTGTAACCTAAAGCAGTTGGCTCTTTTAATCTGTGTTTCTGAGATTTGAAATAGAAAATCACCCCCCCCCCCCAAATAATTATTTTTAGATTCACAGTAGGCTGGATACCACAGTGTTTTGTTTTATATAAAATATTTTTTCCTCTCACTTTTTTTTTACAGCGCAGATAAACACTTTTATATAAAAAACAATATTCAATAGTCGATTCAATGTGGCAAAATGTATAAGTCTTATTAGGCTTTCAATGAAGGAAAATCGTAATTTCCAGGGCTGTCTACCTGGCAAGACTTTGATCCCCACCTGATCATCTCCAAATTATCTCCACAGACTGCGTTTCCCTCAGTCATTGATGCTTTCTCTGTACCTAATTTTGTGTGCCAAGTAAAAACCGTGGCTTGAGTTACCTGTCAGCCAGATACATTTCTCTCTCTGAATTCAAATCTTCATTAAAATTCTTGTTGTTGGATAAAGGACCATACAGACCCTCGACCACACCTACCTTTGTTCCACTCCACGCTTTGTAACCATAGAATATTTAGCTGAATAGTTGAAGAAAGGGAGTCGGGAATTAGCAATAGTTTCCTGGGACTGCTTCAGTAGCTGAGCTGTGCCAAAAGCAACATAACCTCAGACACAATAATGGGAGGACGGCTTGGCAGGAAGGACTAGGTAATATTATGGTTGAGCTGAGATGTAAAGTAAAACAATATTTTAAGGCCTTCTGTTTTCCTCAGATTCTCGTCTGAAGGAGGAATCTGCCAAAAGAAGTCTTAGAACAGGAAAGAGGGAAGAGATAGTTGAGGTGTTGATTCTGTTAGAGGAGCCACATCGACTGCTGTGCAGAGACGGTGTAGGCCAGAAAATGAGGGTTAGAGAGAGGAGAAAGTGTGTTTGTATCCAACAGCTCTCCCACCCCCCCACAAACTAACCATTGAGCCTTTTTTTAAAATTAAAAACAACAAACAAGGAATAGCTGCCATATTTTCAGGACAAAGTTATTCTGGTCCTTAAAAATGAGGCTGCTATAGATACTGGTATGTGCACTGTTGGTACTCTTCATCCTTTTCAGACACAGGAATCACCTTTAACCCCAGCATCCATTTTGAAGCCCATTTCTTAGTATTTTTTCTACCGTGTATTCGTATGGTGGTAGTGCTGTTGTTGCAACTCACCTTAGATCAGACTGTTAGTGGTAGCTGGTCCTGACCAACCAGTTGAAAAGTGATATAATGTGTGCGTATTACACATGTATTGGTTGATGAAATGAAAAAGGACCTGTTGGCTTCCTATCCTCCCTCCCTCCCTGTGATTTCTCTGTCAGAACTGGTGGTGGATCAAGTTGCATTAATTAGCTCCTCACAAATAGAAGTTCAGTGCTACTTGAAAAAGAAAGAAAAAGAAAATGTGGTTCCTGATGTCTTTAGATGTGAAAAGTCAAAAAAATAAAAAAGCACAACACTAGCAGGGAGAGGCAGGTCCTTCTACAAATCCCCTCCCAGCTTAGGGCACCCCCACACATCTAGTGCTGCTTTGCCCTCGTATGTCATGGATCCTCCAGTCAGAAGTACTTGCCTACGCTGATGGATGTGTTTGGGTGAAAGTGCCATTTATAAGTGTATTTATGTAATTAATGTATGTATGTATGTATGTATGCATGCACCTTTCACAATGGTAGAAAACAGAGAGACGGAGGGGTGAGTAATCTGGTGTTTTGGAGCCCAAAACAAAAGGTCTCCTCTTCCAAGAGGAAGCAAAATGGTTTTAATATGGAGATGTGGAAAAGCGCTTTTGTTTGTGCAAGGCAGCCATCCGTCTTTGAGCCCCATTCAAAAGGTAGCAGAGGGTTGGTGCACCCTCTTGTTGGATGACCAGACTTTTGCTTGATCTTCTCTGGATCCAAAGCATTTAGAATTGAATGCAGTCTGGATGTATTGGGGGGGGGGAAACCTTAATCATGCTACTTGCTTCAGGAGTACCATGGTAAGAACAAGCAGAGAGGTTTGGGTATCTCTTGGATACAATTTATTATTGTGATTTTTCAAATGGGAGATAAGGACTTGGATTCCTCCTTTCCTATGTTAAGGTCTGTTCAAGAGCAAAGAGGCACTCTACCCCTTTCAGCGCCCCCCAAAATAATAACAATTGCAACTTTTTCACAAGTCCCCTCTTGTAAGGTTGGATCCAGCAGAGGCTTCTGTAAATTACTATGGAGAAGAGATAATTTTACTGATTTCTTCCTGTGCTACTGCTCTTGTGTATCTATTTGCTGAATATTTATTTTCAATGTGGGATAGCCTTTCGAGTAGCTTCCAGTGTACAAAAATAAGTTAGAATGTAAACTGACTATGTCTCTTTCTATAGCTTAACTTCAAATGACTTAGCATCGCAAGATAACTTTGCCATTCTTCAGCTGTTAATCACTGTAACATAGACCAGTTAGAACTATATTAATGCTTTGAGTTTTATTTGGATTCCTAATTCAAAGCATGTGCTCAGTTTTTCTGACGCCATATGCGTCAGTCATTGACATTAGTCACCGCTTAAAGATAGGCATGTGAGTTGGGACATGAAAATTGACACTTCCTCATCATAGAATCGCCGAGAACTAGGGGCTTAACAATAACCTATACTTCCTGTGCATGCTGACCTTCGTAGAAATTGGAAGAAGGCTACAGAAGATTAAATTCAAAACTACATGGAATTCTCATTTTTTAAAAAGCCAACTTTTCCTGTCAAATTAACTTTTTCTCTGAAAGTCACCATTTTGTCATTAGCTCAATCAAGCGATTGCTGCAAAGGCACTACAATGGATTAGGCACAACTGCTTTAGCTGCTATGGTTCATCATTACGGGGGGGGGGTTGGTATGGGTCACCATATTGGTACAGGAAATAGCAAATTTTATCACTGAAAAGTTTCTCTTAATGCAGTGTCAAAATGACAACATATCGTAGATATGAATTATGTTCCAGAAATTCTGTTTTGCTGGAGATAGCAAGAAGTACAGGAGATGAAACACATTACTTCTGTTCATTGTCATGTTGAATATATAATTTTAGAGTTTATATAGTTTTGTTTTTCATTGTAAACTGCTTTATTTCAATAGGAAAGCAGAGTTTAAATGTTAACTCAAAATTTTAATCTACTTAAACTTGTACACCACAATTTTGTGTGTGTGTGTGTACTTATATGTGTGCTCTGTGTGTATAAATAAAACACAATAAATAAATAAATAATATAGTGAACTAAAACACAACTACCTGGGTGATTGAAAAACTAACCTGCATTGAAATAACATCAAGTTATGGTCCTAGGTACTGGACTACTTCTCCTGCCTCCCAACTATTTTTTTTTCTGCTTAAGTGTTTTAGCTTCAGATGATTTTCTATTTGGGTTTAGAAATAACATGTAACTTTCTGCTTGCGACCTGATCACCCTGTATATGGGCTCTCTTGCAGGATACATATGCTGCAATTGAGATGTTTTCCTGAAGCCAAACCAAGTTTCCTACATGTCTCTTAAGCGGCTATACTAATTTTGCAGCTCTCCTTGGCATCTTCCCAACTTCTGTTGCTGGAACGTTAATGAACATTCCATGACATCAGAACAGTGCAGCCAGTAGTGAAGAGGGAAAGTGTGCAGGCAAGGTTAGATGAAAAGGGGGGAAGTGACAATAATAAGAAAGCTGCATCTGTTTGTGCTTATCTGTTGCAAGATCCAAATTCAGTTGCAACTAGGAAGCAGTAATGATGGGTCTTAATAAGGCTAAACTAAACAAATGAGTGCAAGAAAGCTTTTTTGTTTGTTTTAGATCTTGACTTCCTTCCTGAATGTGATGACAAGTGAAATATTTATCTAAGTGCTAATCGCACAGTAACGTTCCATTAAGTTCCAAAGTTCTGACACATTGGGAAAGAAATAGGAACGCGTTATTTTGCTGTCGCTAACCTGTGGCCAACTTTAAACTTACTTTCGACTCCAAGCCTAATTCGCATGCCAACTTCTTTTCTAACACAACACATATTGCTGTGTCACACTTTGTTTTGTATTTTTAGTTCTGTGTGGTAGGAAGGAGTGTGGGGTGCATGCTTACCTTGGGGCCTCTGTATGACCCACAGTTTGCCCTCTTTATTCCAATGCCTTTCCCCACTGAAATTAGGCTTTTAAAATGGTTTCTAATAATAACAAAAGAATATAAGCCTAATTGCAGTTCAGGGGTTCATTTTTGGAGAGGAAGGTACTGCTGGGGAGGGAAGGATTAATCTTGTCCTCCCCTTGCCCTGTGTTCCCTCCCTAGTGTCAACAGTGTCTGCTTTTGCAATTGAAAAAAACACATTTTTTGCCTTTGAGGGAAGCTTTCTTCGAGCCCTAATTGTTGAGACTGGCACTGAGGCAATCCTGCTGGAGACTGTAGCTGGGAAAGTGAGAGTTATTCTTCCTTCCCAATTACATTCTCCTCAGAAGATCACACACCTGCTGTGGGAGTTAGGTTTGAAAAATCCAAATGCTGCTTTTCGGCTCTTATTGCTGGTAAGGGGGAGTGTACGAGACCATCTCCACTTTTGGTATGTAGTCCTTGAAGGGTTGGCCAAGGGATAAGGTGGTGCTTGATCCAAAAGAGGTTTCCTGCTGTTGTTGTAAGGTATTGAAGGATGAGTGGGAAGGGAAAGAAGGTCAAAGTTTAGAAAGCCACAAAAGGGACTGATTGCAAACTAGGGAATCTCTTCTTTAAAAAATCTCTCAAAGGAAGGGTCAGAGAATGAGCAGCCCTGTAGGTTCTACTGGACTCCAACTCATCATTGGCCATGGTGGCTGATGGGAGCAGAGCCCAGAATCCCCATCCTTGTACCTCACTGAGTTGATAAAAAGACATGATTTTGCAGCAGTCCTAGTTTAAATTTTGCCTTCTTTGTTCTTTTCACCAGTACAAAAGTACCATGGCACTGATATGTGGTTTGAGACTCAATGGGTTGCTGGAGGACTTCAGTAACGCAAAATCTAAGACTAATTTTGTACAATTCCACCCGCAGCCACACACCGTGTGCCCCATCCCATTTTGTTCAAAAGGATCAGACTTCAGGGAGGCTTTTTCAGGGGCTTTTGTGGGGAGTGGAAGTGTGCGTAAGTTTAACTCCTCTTAAGAGACAAGCTCATGTTTCTCCATAGTGATAGCTAGTTGACATCTCAGAGTAGTGGATATGTCTATATACTAATTAATACATCAGCATACCAGCATGTGCACCTGCGTTTTTCAGAAGGATTTCCTGTTAGAATAGCCTTTGTAAATCTAGAAGAATTGGCGTGAGCAATTATACAGCGAAATAGTGCTTTGTGTTATGTTTCTCTTCCCACTCTTTCTTTTTTGAAAAAGTTATATCCAATTCCCCAAACAGCTTTTCAAACTTGTGTTCAAAAAAGCTGGTTAGAAACCTTCTGTTAGACATAAACCCTCCCAAAAGAATTTAGACGTGTGGATTTATCATATGTTAGACACATGTTTTACCACTTGGATTGCATCCCAGATCTGTTAATTAGTTATTAGATTAAGTTATATAATATTCCTTTTCCCTTTTTTTTGGTTATGAACTTCTGTGTTTCTATGACATAACCAACTGGAATTAACTTGTCCTGCTTTTCCTAAAAGATGAAGAATATGAGTAAATGTTTCTCTGATTTTGTTCACACTCTGTGAAGCATGGAGAAAGAAAATGCTAATCATTACACTTTGTTCCACTTCGTTTTCGCTTACTTAGTTTTCAGCAAGTGGATTAAGTTTTATTTTCCAAAGATTAAGTTACTGTGACTGATCCTTACTGAGACTTTTTACATGTACATAGCATGATAAGAAAGCTCTCCAAGTATGTAATCAAGTCTTCCTTCTATGTTATATGAATTTCAGCTTATAAATAGCATGGTTTCTCTGAGGGTTGCTATAGTGCATTGATAGGAAACCTATGGCCCTCCAGATGTTGTTGGACTTCAGTTCCCATCAACCCCAGCCAGTGTTGGGAGTTGTAGACCAGTCAACATCTGGAGGACCAAAGGTTCCTCATCCTTGCCATAGGATGTGTGACAGGTCAAGCAGCAGAGGGAATAGGTAAAAATATACAAGTACGTTGGACAAATTTGTCCATGAATTGGACAAATTGCTGGCAGCTAAGGCTACTAATCACAATGGATTTATGCATCTATGGGGGACAAGAGTGGGAGAGGGACTTGATGTAGCTTTCATCTGATTTCAACAGGACTCATGTTACGGCTACAGAAAGATAGTGGGTTCCTAATCCGATTTTTATTTTTCCCAGTCTGCCCTTTCAGAGAGCCCCAGCACTTCTCTTCAATCCAGGAGGTGGCAGGCAGTGGGCGACATGAGCTTTCAGCATAGTCTGGAAAAGCTGGGGAATGGCCTGGCATAGTGCCCAGAATGATGCTGTGCCCAAAGAGGAAGCTGGCTGTTGAGAACAGGTGGGCTGGGAACCGTGATCTGGCTGGCCATTTTAATTGTGATAGAGGCTGCCAAGAAGAGAGACAGAAGCATTTTGTTGAAGGGCACTTTTTGAAGAAGATGGCATTTTTTGAAGAGTGTGCAGATAGCAGAGTGGTTTCTGTAGGTTTCATATTTATTCAATTGCTATAATGCCTTCATCCAATGATCACCGGACAGTTTACAATATAAAAACACAAAAAATACATACTATCATAACAAACAAAAACAATTCCCCCCAGTTTAAAAGGCCATAAATTGTTTACTTAGCCAAAGGCCTGGGGAGAAGGGTTTTGGCATGTTTTGGTCCAGGCGCCTAAAGAAAATGCTTTCTTGAGAATGCCCTGGTTTTTTTGTTTGCTTCTGGATGCTCCTACCTGAAGCATGATGGTTGTTGTTGTTTAGTCGTTTAGTCGTGTCCGACTCTTCGTGAGCCCATGGACCAGAGCACACCAGGCACTCCTGTCTTCCACTGCCTCCTGCAGTTTGGTCAAACTCATGCTGGTAGCTTCAAGAACACTGTCCAACCATGATGGTAGAAGCAGGGGTGGCTAACCAGGCTCTCTCCAGCTTATGGGAGCCACCTCTGTCTTAAAGGGGAAAGGAAAAGGAAGGGGGAATTGTAATGGTTGAGAAAAACAATCAGCCCAATAAAATATACGACCCCAAATTAGATGTGTTTGAAAGGAAGCTCTCAGTGTTTGAGAAATAAGGTGCATAATTGATTTTTTTTAACACACACGAACACAACAAGAAATCTCTCTCAATACATTGCATTTTACATTATATTTAGACTTCGTCTGGATCTGTTTTGTTGCTTTTATGCCCGTTTGTAAGGACAACAGGTATATGTTTTCTATTCCACTATCAGCTTACTTTCCTTTTTCTTCAGGAATGCCTGCTGAGAATAAAGTAGCTTGTAATTTGGAACGAGAGTTTTTTGTAACCAATGGGGGCGCGGAGCCAGAGCCACTGTGGGAGTTCCTAGACTGCCTTGTCGAAAGCCAGCTGTTTGTGAGAGTGACGGGGCAAAAAGCATGGTGCAAAGGGCACACTTGGTGTTGTGTTTGAGCAAGGACTGGGGCTCTCTTGGCGGTCCACCACTTTTTCATGTGATTGACAGTGCTGCTGTTTGAAGGGATGGTGGCAGGGATTACGCGCGCCGTGTGCACAAGCTTCATCTGAAGTAAACATATTGGAAGTTTAAAATAGCATCTCTTCAGCTGAATGATGGGGACTGTGAGGGCATAAAGGGCTGAGGAGACCTTGTGACTAAGAGAGAGACCCATTTTTATGACATGAGAGTGTATCTTTGTGGCAATTAATGTGAACAATTAGAAATTAACGTAATATACTCTTTAGGTACAACTGAATTAGAACTAAAGCGAGTGGGTAAACTGAGGAACTTCGTTTTCTACATCTGTGAGGTAAATTTTAAAGGATCAGTTGGTTAGCCTTACAAAATTGGTTTGTAAACCAATAGGTATATTCATGGTGATGGAGGTAATAGGTAATTTGGAACATTAAAAAGAGAGCATATTTGTTTCTCTATCCTCCAGTATTTTGGAATATATCAACTGAAGTAGAAGACACTAATGGGATAACTCTGTAATCATTGGACGCGGGCATTAGCTTGATCAAATCGTAAATTAGAGAACATTTGTGAACGTTTTTTCAGAAGCTGAATGTACAATGTGGCTTCCGCGGCCTCCAGTTGAGTGCAGGAAGCTCCTGCAGCCAATCGGGAGCCGCGCCTTGGTTTTCGAACCATTTCGGGAGTCAAACAGACTCCCGGAACGGATTAAGTTTGATAACCAAGGTACCGCTGTACTTAGGCTGAAAAAGTCGTAAGTCAGGGTAGGGAGAAACACCCTTGTATCTAAGGTTTGATACAATCTTCTATTGCGGTTTTATTCTTCAGTAGCTTCAGGCTTTGTGCATTAAAGCTAAAGCCTGTGGCTGCTTCCCTGCTAAAGTGTAAATAATTTCACTCTTTGATTGACTTAGGAAATCCAGCAACGCCTAAAGACAAGGCAGTCTAGAAGGACTGTGGTTTCTTAAATAAGTACATTGAAGCATATAAGAGAGCCAGTATTTCAGACTGTTATGCTCTGGGCTTCATGAAAATGAGTTGGGCGGCAGGTGTATCAAGCAGCTGTGCATTCCTGGAGCTTTCATTGTGCTGGTGTCTCCTCTCTCAAGCTGCCCTAAACAGAGTGTGTGTGTGTGTGTAGAAAAAAGCGTTCTGTAATGAAGTGCACTTGTCACTATGCCTTTGGATAAACTAGTTATTGTATGCCAGACATTACATTTGTGCATTGAAATATTCGCTACCTACTATCTGTGATTTGAACTGTGCCATAAGGTTGGCATAATTTTGCCATGCATCTATTTAACTTTCTTTTCCTAGCTCATTTTTGTAAGCCTCTTATAGATTTTCAGGGGCCACAGGAGTCTGCAGAGCTGAGGTGGGTGGGAATTGGTGGGGAAAAAACTCATTTCCTTCTCCCCATCCAGTGGTTGTGTCCTGTGAAACTCTACTTGGTGGGAAGTCTGGATCCAACCCTTTGTCTTTCATCAACATTAGCTGGCACTATAATGAAAATCCACAAGGTGTTTTAATGAAAGGTTTTTCTCTCTCGTTATAAGATAAAGACACCGATATCACTGTAAAGGATAATACCGAAGAATTCAGCCTGCGGGATACATTAAGCATTGGATCAACAGATTCATTTGTTTCAGCTGCTGAGGTATGTTGGAAGTAGTGTTCGCTGCTTTTTTGCTTAGCCATCATACCACTTCTGAATTCTGCTAAACAGGAATGACTTTCTCTTAGAGTAGAATATCTGTGAAAAATGCATACAAATGCACTGCGGTCTGCAGACTGATTGTAGCCTTCTGATACTTTAAAAAAAGGTAGATAAACAGGTAAAAGATTCATGAAGTCATCACACCATAATAAAATGTTTACAGATACACAGGTTCCATCCTTTTCCCTATACTCTTTCCATGTAGGAGCTTGTAGTGTCTGAAGTGAGAATAAAAGTGATATTCTCATGAATTCACCAGAAAGGCAATATGATCATACTCTGGTGAGCACTGCTTTAATAACTTCTTGCCAAGAAGTATGACACTTTTTGGAGGGCCTGGGCCACCACACTTCTGGAATCTGTAGTCCCCAACTGATTGAAAGCTCAACATCCACTCCTTTCATTTTTAGCCTGAGACAGCTGTGTGTTGGATGTCATCTGCCACTTATTCAACACAGACCAGTAGTATTAGAGCATGGTTTGTATGCCTGATGGTGAAGGAGGGCTGAGTTGGGGGATAATGTTACTTTTTGTCTGCTTGTAAGGAGCACATCCAGCCTAGATCTCAGATAGCTTCCCTTCATAGCAGGAATCCTGGAGTGAAGTTGGATTTTGAAGTGCTGTTGTGCCAATGTAGCCTGGCCAGTCACTTAAAGGATCTTAAATGGGAGTAGTTACACAATGCAACAGGCAGCATTCTAATCTTCCTGCATCAGAAACAATGGTACACTTTTACCTTAATTGGGATGCATGTTGAGAGATTTAGCAGAAATAGCTTCAATTAACCTCATAGATAAAGGCGTGTTATCTTGGAGTCGCAAATGCTTTGACGTTTAGATCACAATCCTTAACCTCATTACTGGGAAGTAACTTCAGTTTATTTCAGCGAGACTTCCAGGGGAACATGCTTAGGATTTCAGCCAAAGTTTGTGTCACTGAAATAAGGCCCCATTCCATGTATCAGTGGATATATTCTGCTCCAGAGTGAACAGGTTTTCGATCACTGCAGCCTTCCTTTCGAAACACTGGGCTTTAATTTGCACTTCTGAATATACCACCACAAGAAGGCTAGTGGCCTTGTGGAATGTGTGTGCTGGTTCAGTCAAGGTGCCACTCTCCCACAAGCACATTCCAACCGTGTGAGAAAACTTCTAGCTAGATTTCTGTTAGCCAGGCACCAGCATTCTCATATGGCCATGTGCAGTAGGACAAATGGTGGTGAGTAGGGCTGGGCGATATCTGGCTTTCAGCATCGCGATATGTCACCAGCTAAAAATCATGATATCTCTATATATATCTGCAGCAGCGGAGGGCCTTGCTGGGCCTCCCCGCTGCGGCAGAGGGTCCTGCTATACCTCCCCACAGCGGCAAAGGGTGCGCCATGCTTTCCCGAAGCAGTAGAGGGCTTTGCCGCACTTCCCTGTGGCAGCAGAGGGTTATTCTCTGTGCAAGGTATTTTCCTCTCTTGGGCAAATGTACAAATCAGTGCCCAAGTTTGCTTGTTTTCTTCTTCCCTCATCTTTTCGTCGTTGGCCTTACATAAGCCGCTCTGGGAGTGGTTAAAAGTGCTTTCTGTAAATGAAAGCATTGCTTGCAGCCTGCCACTTGAAAATACATGGCTCCTGCAACATCATGAACTTTCATTTAATGCGAAGCACATAATCTGTTAAAATGTTCTAGAAATAAATTGTGGCAGTGCTGCTGCTGGTGATTACACCCAGTAGCAGAAACCAAATAGAAGATTTTGAGTTTAAGGCAACTGATTTCTGTTGTTGGTAACAAAAACTAATATTGGTGTCTGTAGGCTGTATGAAATGTAAGTTTGAGAAGACTACATATACCAGTAATGCAAAGTTCCTGTAGAAATTGCTGAAGTGGTTTTGAAGGGCCCTTTCCCTTGACGACACTGGTTTTGGCTTTGCTTGCTGCATCTTAAACTTAATTCTCTTATGGGTGTTTCTGCACTATTGGACCTATGGGTTGTGGGGAGGGGGTTGCATAGTCCCTGCCATCATGAAACATGCTGCTGTATGAGTTTTCTTTTCAGTTTTCAACTGCCCTCCCTTAAAATGCTTTAGAATCCTATTACTCTGTTTGCAATCCCTCCCTTGGTAAAATATAATTAGAAGATGGCTTGTAAATTATCTCTCCCCTTCCTTGCATGTCTTGGCTTTTCTGGAATGTGCCACAAAAGCAGTTGGGCACTCACAAGCATTCAGCTGTTGTTGCAAAGTGCTACTCCGACGCAACAGCTACTAAAGACCGTTTTAATACTATATGATTACAAAGTCTCTTTCCATGCTTTGCACATTAAGAATGTCCATTATAAATGGAAGATGCATTGAAAGTTCTTGCCTTATGCAAGGCAAACTGTTAGTTGGGCTAGCGTTCAAGTGACAAGCTATATGATGTAGCCCTCAGCCCTGGCTTGCCTTGCATGGATGCCAGCTATCCATTTCTGCTCCTTGGGGACATGATTCAGCAGCAGGCCCTTGTCCCAGTGTGTCACTGTGGCTTTTCTTTGCAAGCTGCAGTACTGGATATTTATCTTTTAACTAATGTCGAAAGAGATGGATCTTGCATAGAAATAACACAAAGGGCATTTAGCTCTTGATATTTGTGGAAGTGTTTCAGGATGTTAGCCAACTGATCTTGAGAAGGTCTCCCTCTTCTAGCTTGCAGAACACAAAGAGAGCCGAAACTCTTATAATCTGGATTCGCTGTGCCATTGCCCATTATACGAAGAAGCTATGCACCTGGCAGAAGAGGGCAAGATTTATTCACGAGTCTTACGGTACTAAATGTTTTGTCTGCTTTCCCTAATATTACTTGCACATTTTCTAAAAGCAAAACAGTGCTTTGTATGCAATATTTTTTTATATTGGCTTGAATTAAAGAGCAAGTCAACCGTTAAGTTTCAAGTGCCTTTTTGTTGTTGTCTCTGTAAATAGGACTGATACGTTGGAGTGTCTGGGGGACAGCGACTTTCTTGCTAAGCTCCATTGTATCCGCCAAGCTTTTCAGGTAAATGTTCAATCAGCTCCTTAAGGCTGACCTCCATACCACATAGGCACAAAACTCCTGTGGCAGTATGTTTTCTAACAGATCAGTCAAACCGCCCAATCATCAAGGGTAATTGTGATTTGTTTTCAAGATGGAAATAATACCATTGGGTTGTATTCAATATATCTTCTTAGTCACATACTATTTAAGTTCTATATATATAAGTCGGGAGGACACCAGCAACAGAGGCCTTGTTTCCTACCAGTGTATTTCACAATTGATAGCTAATTCTTTCTGCCACTAGCGTCTTCTCTACCTGTCTGTATGTATCCTCGAAACCTTTCAAAGTAAGTTTGCTTGGAAAATGGACTATTTTCAGGGGAACTGGTTGGCAGCAGTGCTATTTTTCTAGAAAAGAGGTGCCGGAACTTACCATGAGCATTTCCCTTGTTCTCTTATAATGGCAATCGAATTCTGCAATCGACACAAGATAATATCACCAAGGCAGCTATCGGTAAACAAACACTAAACGTCCATAAAAATGGCAAAAGTAGTTGCTTTCTCAAATAGGTTTTATCTTAAACAATAGCAAACACAGTAAATGAAGAGTCCACTTGTGATATACCAGTGGTTCAGTGCTCATTTCATCGCTAAAGAGCTTAGTCATCGAGCTTTGTAGTAAATAAAATACAAGAGAAGACAGTATGTAAACGAGTTAAAGCAGGGGTATATCTGTCCCCATCTGCATGTTTCCATTGGGAGGAGCATATAAAGAGGACAATGTCATACAGTTTGTTCCAGCTGAAAAAAAGCCCTGGCTGGTAGAATTAAAAGAAATGTTGTAAGCCGCCCAGAGTGGCTGGGGTAACCCAGTCAGATTGGCGGGGTACAAATTTTTTTATTATTTATTAAGACAGTTAAGAATGTAAGTGATCTCAGATGGGTAATACCTAGTGATCCATTACAGGTAATCTTTTCCAACGCCGCAAATAGAATATTTCTTGCCGAAAGTGGAAGAAAAATCTTGTGCGCGCTAATCATGAGAGCTAGAAAGGTAAACACTTTTGTTTAATTAATTTGTATGGTGGATTTAATGTTCAAGAAAGCTTTGTGGTCATAGGCTGTAATCCTAATGCCACTCGCCTGAGAATAAACCCCATTGAATTTGATAGGACTTACTTCTGAGTAGACATGATTATTTCCCCGTAGTTGCCTCCTCTCACTGTGAAGTAAGCAGCAAGTATTTGGCAGACCTGATTCTGAAAGGTGGTACATTCTGTAATTGTTTGCAGCCATGGATTTTGATTGCCCAAACAAGAATGTCCTTACAAACACATTCAAGTCAATATATATGCTAAGGTGCAGTCCAGCATCTGCATTGATCTCAGTTTCAGTGACAGCGTTGTATAAACATTCCAGTTGTGCTGACAGAGCTGCTCTAGTTGAAATGAATCACAAAGGAGTTCCATGTGTTCTTCAGAGCATTGGACTGAAGCCAGTCTTTCTAGATTACTCAGGCACTAAATGGAAGCAATTATTATCTCTAATTAAGAACTAAAGAAACATGCATAATTTGTCTCCTGCTTGTTGGTTTTTTCCCCCCACAGAACCCAAAGAAATTTGAGGAAGTATTTGATGAAATGATCTCTTTCTTAGAGCAGTCTGATCATTGGGCTAATACTGAAATGGAGCTTGCTGCTTGGGGAGTAAGTATATGTTGTAAAAAATTAGTTCAATAATTTGTAAATGTTATCTCTCCCTGGTTAGACAATTGTAATTCCCTTATTGTTGTTTATTTTGTCTCTATTTCAGGGTGTCAGTTTTATTACTTTAGTCTGTCTGCTTAGACAGTTTATTAAACAATTTCACTAAAATTTGTTGGTTTCCCCCCAGTGTCATTTATGCTATTATTATAGACCTGGAAGTTGTATAAATGAGCTCAATAACTTTGTAAATATTCCGATGCTCCGCAGGTGAAACATCTAAATTTCTATGATGTTGTTCTGGACTTCGTATTAATGGATTCCTTTGAAGATTTAGAGAATCCACCTATGTCTATACAAAATGTGGTCAATAACAATTGGCTGAATTCCTCTTTCAAAGAAACTGTAAGTGGCTTTGTTTGGTTCCATGCTTTCATATAGTGGTTTCAGAATATTGGACAGGTAACTTAATGATTGCATTCCTCTGAGCGATATTTAAATTTAGAGGAAAGTACATTATGGTTGGATAATCTGTTTCAGATTCCTTTTACTCATTAAGCAGTTTTGATTCATACCTGCAAGAACCTTAATTGGCTTTCTGCAGACTACTAATCTGCATAAAATTTAACCATGAAACTCGCATATTTTGGATCGTCATAGTCTTAGTACTTTGTATAATAAAAGGAAATGTCTGCAAGAGTGAAAATATATTAATATTTTTTATCCACATATCTAAGCCATTAAAAATACATATAGCAAATTCTATCCCAGGCATCCCCAAACTTGGCCCTCCAGCTGTTTTGGGACTACAACTCCTATCATCCCTAGCTAACAGGACCAGTGGTCAGGAATGATGGGAGTTGTAGTCCCAAGACAGCTGGAGGGCCGAGTTTGGGGGTGCCTGCTCTATCCAGTTTGCCCACCTGGGCCTTCATGTCACAGAGAGATCTGTTCAGTAGTTGTTGAAAGTTACTTTCTCAAAAGAAATGGTTACACTTCATGATTGGTGACTAACAACAAGACTTGTGCAAGCATACATGCATTCATAGACACTGGTTTTGCTTGGATTCAGCTGACACAGACACTCATCAAGAAGTGCAAAGCAGTGAAGTTTGAAGAATAACTGCTACCTCATTTTACAGTCTGAACTGATTTAATGAATGAAGAATGGCACCTTAAACTACACAGATGAAGCATGTCATTTTAAGAAATTGCATTGCACTGATCGCATATGTTGGAACCCGAAGTCTAATTAGGTCACCCTTGCATTTGTTTCACCCAAGGGTGATTGCAATTGGACCACCTATGGAATAGGCTATCTTACATGGTCTTTTCTTGGAATGAGGACCCCTGTAGTTGACCAGTATGTGTAAAATTTGCAACACAACAGTGCATTCTAACTTGTGTGAAGTGATCTTGAATATGCAGCCTTCTTAAGAACCTAAAGAACTACCTTGTGGGATCACACTAAGATCCATTAAGTCCAGCCTTCTTTGGAATAATTCCACATTACTGAGAGTGCAGAAACTTTGTTAGAAATGCTGCTTTTTAAGCTCTCAGACACCACTTCCTTCAAGTCATCATGCTACTCCTTGTTGAGTGCCATTGCTGAGTATTGCTGACGTTCACATTTTATAAAACAACAACAACCCAGGACATCTATGTAAGTATCAGCGTGGTGTAGGAGAGCCAGTATGGTGTAGTGGTTAAGAGCAGTAGACTCGTAATCTGGTGAACCGGGTTTGCTTCCCCGCTCCTCCACATTCAGCTGCTGGGTGACCTTGGGCTAGTCACACTTCTCTGAAGTCTCTCAGCCCCACTCACCTCACAGAGTTTTTGTTGTGGGGGAGGAAGGGAAAGGAGATTGTTAGCTGCTTTGAGACTCCTTAGGGTAGTGATAAAGCGGGATATCAAATCCAAACTCTTCTTCTTCTAAGGATGGTATAGCGATTCTCAAATATTTGGTACCATATTTTTGGTATGGCACAAAATTTCTATAAAATAATTATATAAAATTTCTACAAAATTGTGCTGCACTGTTAGATCTCAGGCTCACCTGCTGTGATGAATTGGGTGGTCCCAAAGCACCAGTTTTGAGAGTCCCATGGACTGCAAGAAGATCAAACCTATCCATTCTTAAGGAAATCAGCCCTGAGTGCTCACTGGAAGGACAGATCCTGAAGCTGAGGCTCCAATACTTTGGCTACCTCATGAGAAGAGAAGACTCCCTGGAAAAGACCCCGATGTTGGGAAAGATTGAGGACACAAGGAGAAGGGGACGGCAGAGGACGAGATGGTTAGACAGTGTTCTCGAAGCTACCAGCATGAGTTTAACCAAACTGCGGGAGGCAGTGGAGGACAGAAGTGCCTGGCATGCTCTGGTCCATGGGGTCACGAAGAGTCGGACATGACTAAACGACTAAACAACAAAGCACCAGTTGCTACAGCCTAGGAAAACAACCATTAATAGTGCAAACTGCACACAATTTCTAGGGATTGGCCATGTGAGGAGCAAACATTGGTAGCATCAAGTCATTGTGGGGGGGGGGAATCCCCCTGGGCGCAAACTTGCATCCCGGAATCTCATATGATACCTCCAGCCAAAAACCTTGTACTTCTGGACACACCCACCACAGAAGAAAATGGTTCTCGCTCACTTGGCATATTTCTTCCTGCGCTCAGCAGAAAATCTATTATTTATGTGATGCATTTTTACTGGTGTCATGTGCCAGCAGTGGACCTGTTTCAACATGGATTAATGGGTTCTGGCTGCTATTGTATGCATAGGTATGTCCCAATATCTGAGAGAAGTGCTGCTGGCTTTCCCCCCCAGAGTTGCTATGGTGAATAATATTTAATATTCTGCTAACATCCTTCAACTGTTGCCTTGGTGTAAAACTTACTTGATCCTTCAAGATGGTAGCTGGAGATCAGTTTTGTCAGTTCACTAGGATTACAGATTGGAACTTCTCATCTTGAGTGGTTGATGCTCTAGGTCTATGATGAACCCAATGAGACCAGATACTTCTGCAGCCTAAGATAGACAAGTCTCTGGAATTTGCTCCCATGAAAGGTGATGATAGCCATCAACCTGGATGGCTTTGAAAGAGGAATAGGCAGATTTGTGGAGGATAAAATGCTGAAAATGATGTTTACACTTGGGAATCCCTGTTGAGAAAGTTATACATGATGATCTTCAATCAATGACAACTTTAAGCACAGAGTTAAAGTTGCAAAACCCATTAACTTCAATAGGACTTGAGGGTGACCAGCTCTCATTGGACTCATTGGAAATGGAAGGAATAAAACTATCTATCATCTATTATTAAAATTTGTATACCGTCCTATACCCCTGTCCTATAAAAAAACAAACTAGATAAAAACAATAACAACCCAATAACCCTTCCTCCCCAGCGCATTTTAAAAGGGCATCAGTTTTATTCTTGTCTTGATATCTTGTTTTGTTTCCCCCTCCTGTTGGATATATGATTAGATAGACACACAGAGACAGACTTTTTCTCAATGGAATTTTGTCAGCGTTTTGCCTCCCAGTACCGAAGTAGCATTGCATTCCATTCAAATTCTGTTATGCCCTATGGGAGACAAAAGTTTTTGCCATCTGTATATTGTATTATTCCAATCCTTATTAGGACAAAACTGCTTAGCTGTGTCAAAAACTATTTGAAGTATGTTTTTTTTCTTAAGTGAGTGTGTTGGGGTTTTTTTAATAGTGTGGTCAAAACAAAAGTATGTGGTTTGTTCTTTGTTTTTATGGTCACAAATACTTCTGGCTTTAAAACATCTTTTGGCATTTAAATACGCTGGGGATTTTGGCTTGCATTTAAGCTCTAATAGTATTAAAATATGAAAAGCAGAAAGGATTTATTTACAGTCATATAACATAATACAAAAGCTATAGATTTCAGAAGGCAATGGCGAAAAAGTCGCTTCGCCAAGTTGGCAAGAAGAACTGTTACATAGCTGGGTGCCTGCTATTGGAGCAGTTAAAACTGACTAAAAGTATGCACATTTCTGAGTTTAGCAGACCAAGAAGAAAAGCCTTATTAGCAATCTAACTTTAGAAAACAAAGTTCCTAAGCTGAAAGAGAGAGAGATTGATTTGGTCTAGCGCTGTATAAAGTGCCGAAGTATTGCTTCTTTTTTAGTATACTGAAACATTCCATGGAGTTTGGAAACTAGCATAAGAACAGTTGTACTGTGTCAGCTGAGCTGCCCTTTGAACCCAGCTTCCTGCCTTTTACAAGTAGCCAGATCAAGATGCTGCAGAAACTATAGTACAGCTCTCTTTGCTGAGAGACAGCTTAGCAGAAGTCATACACAGACACACACACATGAAAACATAGCCATATTCATTCACTGCTATGGTCGGAGAAAAGAAATATGGCATAATGATAATGTCCTGATTTCATTTGGACTTCTACTGATCCTACTGATTTCACCTGACTGTCCAACAGAATAGCACCCTGATCCAGAAGCTTCCGGCGACTGGAAGCTGTTTTGCATGCACCAAGAATGACTTTTCAAGCAAAGTCATATTAACTATTGTGTGAGGAGGTGCAGCCCACTCTTGTCCCATGTCTCTGCTAAGGTTCCCACTTTCATTCTTTGTGTGTATAGGTTTTTTTTTTATTGTGTGTGAAATTGTGCACCTCATTAAAAAGGTATAAGTCTTTCTGTGACTGACATGGACATATGTCTTTTACTTTCTCTTTTCCCCTTGGTTGTGGTCCTACCTTTCCTTGATTATCACACTTTCCCTTCTAATAATAATGAAGGTGCACCATTGACCTGTTTTCACCTATAGACCAGCCTAATTTATTTTAACGTAAGTGAAGCCTGTCAACTTGACAATCAACAACCCAATAGTAATTTAAAAACCTTAAACTAAAAATAATACCACTTCAAAATTAGGAAAATTACCAGCTGGTTTTATGTAATGAATATTTCTAAATAGGTAAGTACAGTAGGGTGGAATCAAACACTGAATGAATGTCAGCTTGCACAAAGGTCCTGCATCATCTTCTATTCCCCCTGCCCCATGGCAGTCCATTCACCCTAAGAATATGTTCCAGAGGTTTCCCCAATCCCACCAGAGCAGATTCTGAGAGAGTGCAGGTGGGGAGGAGAGGAGAGTGAAGTCTCATTGTGCAAGTAGAAGTTTGCTCTGCTTGGGCACACAGTGTTGGGTACAACCCTTACTTCTCCTCTTCTTCTGACTCTTAGGCTGTGGCTTCAAGCTGCTGGTCAGTTCTAAAACAAAAAAAGCAACAAATGAAGGTAAGCAGGTTTTCCTTTTTTAAATACTTTTGTAGATAAGGGTGGTATTCTTCTTTGGCGATCTCTTGTAGCCAAGTAAGATTGTCTTCCATGAAGACAGTATTAACAGTGACTGTGGAGGCCAGTTCTGGATCCACACATCCTTCCACAGTGGGGATATAGGTTTCTGGGTGGGAGTTGATCATGGTGAGGGTTTGCTAAGCATGCTTTCCTCTTAGCACGTTTCTCCCTTTCATCCTGAGTTTGAGTGTCTTCAAAGTCCATGACACCTTTGGTAAAGGCTGTTCTCCAATTGGAGCGCTCGCAGGTCAGGGTTTCCCAGTTGTCGGTGTTTATACTACATTTTTTTAGATTCACCTTGAGAGAGTCTTTAAACCTCTTTTGTTGACCACCAGCATTACGCTTTCCATTTTTAAGTTCGGAATAGTGTAGTTGCTTTGGAAGATGATAATCAGGCATCCGAACAGGTTTTACTTTTTAAAATACCTTTGTAGGTATGGGTATCTAAATTATGGCATGTAATGCTGTGCTATAAGTTTTGCAAGGCCACTTGCTAAACCAGCATAGTTATAAATTTCTATACCCTCGTTTGCAGTAACATATATAATTGGGTAAATTATTAGGAATGTGAAGAGAGAAGTTGGGAATCATATGTGAGGGCCAGCTTTTATTGTTCAGCGAAGCAAAATTGGGGTGCCATGGCAATAGGACAGTGGTTGAGATACAGCTACTATGGGCATGACCTAGCCCTCCCAGGAGACAAATTTATGATTCCACTAGTTAAATGTTGCATCCAGTGAAATCTGAGGGGATCTTTTAGAAGTAGCCACCTCATATTTATCAACACTGTAAAAACCGCAAGATAAGAATTGAGAACGGCAGAGGGCCTTGGTGGGTGCAGTGGTGCCCATAGGTGCCATGCTGGGGGCTCCAGAAATAGGAGGCTGTTTGCCATTTTGACATCAAATGGTGAATATCCAATTAAATATAACTTTAATTCCCTATTAACCAGTAAAAGAACAACTATTCACTCTTCCCCCCAAAATTGTAATGCATAAAAATGACAGTGGATCACATGGTTATGGGTTGTCCATGTTAAGGTAGTTGGAGAAAGTCCAACATTCAGTTATGTCCAGAAGTTTATATATGTATAATGTGGCAAGGGTGCCTAGATATTAGGAATATTTGTACACCTATGAAGAAATCAAAAGTGAAAGCTGGTATGACTTTAGTTCACAGTGTAAATTGGTTTATTTAGAAACTTATTAAAATAGTGTGGACAAGTGGTGAGTTGGGGGGGGGCTGTGGTTCCTCCAGATTTCATTGGATTCCCAACTGCTAGCCAGGGATGGTTGGGAGTTGTAGTTCCAGCAACATCTGAAGGGCGCTAGATTCTCTGCCCCTGGGAAACTTGTCGCTGGTGAATCACTTGCTGAGCAATAAAAGTGAAGCCTCCCCCCTCCTTTAGTGTCTTCATTTGACATAACAGCTATTCATACGCGGAAGCAGGAAGTGATTTACCTTTTCTGCACTGATTACATCTCTAGGTTCCTGATGGCTTCTTTGCACACTTCTATGCTATTTGTGAACACATCAGCCCTGTTCTGGCATGGGGCTTCCTTGGCCCCAGGAATTCTCTGTATGAATTATGCAACTTCTTCAAGGTATGCTGCTTCATTACACCAGGAGAGTTCATTGCCACTAATTTTATACTATTACTGATTTAAAAAAACAAACCCAGGCAAAATGAGAAAGAAATACTTCTGTAATAAATCTCGGAGCCTGACGATGATCACAAATAAGTGTATTTGCTTTGTGTTTGTTTTTACCAGGACCAGGTTCTCTATTTCCTGAAAGACATTTTTGACTTTGAAAAGGTACGGTACTCCACTATAGATAACCTAGCGGAAGACCTTATGCAGTTGCTGATTCGACACACCGATCTTCTCTTGGCTAACCTCGGAGCCGACTCGCTAAGGCATTCCAGTGGCCTTGTTAGTGGATGCGGGGACACGGCAGCCAGTGGCATTTTGGAGGCTAAAGCACAATAGTTTCCTCCTTTTCGTTCTTAATGTGAGCACAATTTTTTGCTGTTTTCTCCCTCAAGGAAAGCTGCCATCGCTTCGGCTTTGGTTTTGGTTTCTTTTTCTTCTTTTTAGCAAGTACCTGAAATCTACAATGTTGTTAAATATGGACTCAGGGAAGTTAAAAAAATATATGGAAAGAATTGCTTGTGGAAAAAAGATACTGCGTATGTTTGGAGCAGGTAGCTTAACCATCACTGGATTTATATGTAATATATCCCAATATACTTATATTTTTTAAAACGGCTAAGTGAAATGTATTTGTGGAAATACTGTGAATTTCCTCTGATATTGTTTGTGACTGAAAGTGATGCAAAGAAACGTGGTATATAGTATACAAGTTTGTCTCAAAGGTTTGCACTGTTGGAATTACCCAGTACAAAGTCTCAAAAGCTCTACCTGACCCTGGCCACACACTTGCCAAGTTATACATTTACTGTTATTTTTACTTAAATGAAGTGCAATATAATGACACTTAGAGTGACAAATGATTTAACTTTGCCTTGAAAAATGTATTTTGTGTGTATAAGCTATAGCTCATTATGTAGCGAAATAAATCGGTGCATTCAGCCTTTGGGCAGCAATGCCGTTCTATAAGCTTTTTTTTAAAAAACAAAAAATAATAATAGAGTACGAAGCTCATATTTTTATGTAAATTACCCTTCACTGATATTTTACATTGGAAATCACAGTCTAGGGAGGCCTTAAACAATGCTCTTAAATAATTTAATAATTGGTTGAATCCCCTTGCACCTTTAGAGAGCTTTTAAAACTTTTTACTAGTTGTGAATAAGCTAGAATCGTGTCTTGTTTGAATGTATCATTTAAAGTATATTTTTTAGGGAGGGGGAATGTTATGTCAAAAACGATAATCTTCCAACGGACTTAAATACATGTTCCTTTCGTCATTTTAAATTTTGTCTTCGTCTCTTTTGAAAATTCTGGGGTTCAGTTTATGAAGTGACTCTTAGAAAAAACAAAACTTCACATCTAGGCTTGCATAATACAACCATAAAATGGGATATCAGAATAAAATGATACTACAGTAAAATATTGTGAAGGCCTGGGCATACGAAAGGATTCCACCTGCTTCTGGAAAGAGAAGGAAGATTGCACCTGGTGAAGCTCTTGCGGGGGGGGGGCGTGGATTTTAAAGGCAGCAGAAAAGCCTCTTGGTTATCATTGCTGCACCTCACAGGGTGGCAGAACCTGGAGCAGGACCTTTGATGCTGATCTGAATCCTATTTCGCTTGCAGGAAAAGGTAATCTGGCCCTAAACTGTTTGGGGCTTTCTAGGTCAAAACCAGCACTTTCTTCAGAAATGGACCGGAAGCCAATTTAACTCTGTCAAAGAACTATTGAGCTTTCACTCCAAGCAGCCAGTCCCCTTACATAACTGCTGCATGACTTGCATTAACTGTACATCCAGCAGTCTTCAAAAGCTATCATCCCACAGTAATCTAAACTGATACAGTGGTACCTCGGTTTACGAACTTAATCTGTTCCGCAAGTCCGTTCTTAAACCGAAACCGTTCTTAAACCGAGGCGCGCTTTCCCTAATGAGGCCTCCCTTCCACCATTCGGATTCCGTTCTTAGACCGAGGTAAAGTTCTCAAACTGGGACACTATTTCCGGTTTTGCAGAGTTTGTAAACCAAATCGTTCTTAAACCGGACTGTTCTTAAACCGAGGTACTACTGTATTACCACTGTATGGATAACTGTGATCAGGCTGTAGAGATATAATAGCACCTCCTACCAAACCATGGGCATATTCAAAAACAGGTTGAATACCAGTCCCACCAGCCCACGGTACTTCTGCCTTGTCTGGATTCCGTTTTAGATACTGTGATCATAGTATGCCTATGTCTAGAGAACTACACTATTTGTTCAACTTAAAAGTCTGCATACTATTTGTGACATTTTGGACTCGCCGAATAAAGCGTATTGCCCTAACGCGGATTTTGCTTTTTGTGTTGCTTTTTGTTTTGTGTATCTGGCTGAATCCGAGGTGCTGGTCTTGCCCCGAAACAGTTTAGGGGACTTCTCTACAAATCTCCCTGGTTACAAAGATATCTGGGTAAAATCCTGCTCTAGGTGACTTGCTTGCTTGTACTTGTGGCTGGCATTCTCTAGAGCTGGGATTGCCAACATGGCTTCCACGGGTGCACATGTTCCTGGTGTCTGCAGGGTCCTTTCTTCAGATGGAATAAAGTCTTGAAAGTAGCATTGTGTTACAGCCAATAGGTTGGGGGGGGGTGCATGCTGCCCATGCCAATTTCTCCAGTTTGAAAATGTGCCCCAGCCCCAAAAACATTATACTAGAAATAGAACTTTTTGGTCATAGGATGGTCTCTCTGAAGTCTGCATGTTCAGCTTCTGGAAGCCAACCAAAGCCATTTTCTTTCACTGAGGCTTCGGGAAGTAATTAATCTATTACTTCTTTTACCCCAATCCATTCTTCCCTCTATAAAAATCATGAATAGCTTCATGTTTCCTTTTTTATTTTAATTTGGATTTTTTAAAAATTATTGTACACTACGTCATGGGCCCCTTTTGGGAAAATGTAGGGCTGGTATTACACAGTATTGAGATTCCACTTTTTCTCTAGGCTGCCTGAATAATCAGTTTCTCATTCAGCCAAGGAGGAAACCTAGAGGATTTGTAGTCACTGTTCTGAAATAAGAGTTGTGGCAGACTTTCTGCATCAACATTCTTATGTTTAGGTTGATTCCAGTTACAAGCTGGTTAACTTACAGTGTGCATGTATGCAACATGGCATGGTCATCTGTATTCATCTTAATAAATGGCTTGGATGTATCATGGAAGTTGAGGCCAGTAGTGACAGTCAGGGGGCAAGGAAGTCAACATGATACAGAATTAGCTGGCAGCTGTTTCTCTGAACTGCCTAGTTCATGCTGCTACTAATATGTGGGGAACTATATCTGCATACAGCAAGGGAGAAACAAGACCGTTTTTCAATCTAGAGGCCATGTTTCATCATGAGGACTTTGCTGGGGGCTGCCTACCAGTGGTGATTGTGGCAAAACAGCATCTGTGGAGCAATGGTTGTGATCCTTGCCTTTGTACAGCAGGCTACATTCAAGCTATGCTCAATTTGTGTGTGTTTTTACACAGGTACATCTCCATCCAAGCAAGTAAATGTGATGTAACCGCCCCCCCTTAAAGGTAAAGGTAAAGGGACCCCTAACCATTAGGTACGGTTTTGGCTGACTCGGGGGTTGTGGCGTTCATCTCACTTTATTGGCCGAGGGAGCCGGCGTACAGCTTCCGGGTCATGTGGCCAGCATGACTAAGCTGCTTCTAGTAAACCAGAGCATTGCACGGAAACGCCGTTTACCTTCCCGCTGGAGCAGTACCTATTTATCTACTTGCACTGTGTGCTTTCGAACTGCTAGGTTGGCAGGAGCAGGGACTGAACAACGGGAGTTCACCCCATCGCGGGGATTCGAACCACTGACCTTCTGATAGGCAAGTCCTAGGCTCTGTTGTTTAACCCACAGTGCCGCCGCCCCCCCTTACAGGGGCACAATTCCAGCCAGGCAAAAGTATACATGGGGACGGGGATGGAACCAGAGTCAGCAAGGGGAGCAGCATGGCCTGGATATGGACTGCATGTGTGGAATCAAGGGTCAGATAGACTTGGAGGGCTGCATTTGGCCCCCAGACCTGAGGTTCCCCACCCCCCAGCACACATGAATCAAATAGGTTTATCCATCTCCCTGTCCAATGTTTCATGAGTCAGGACGGGAAAGTGCACCAAAGCTGGTACGATGAGCCGACAGCAGTAGGCAACACATAGGTGAACATTGGAAGTTGCCTTATACAGTATTGAGTCAGACCACTGGTTCATCTAGCTCGGTCTTGCTTCCACTGAATGGCAGACGCTGTCCAAAGTTTCAGCCAAAGAGTTGCTCTCAGCCCTACCTGAGATGCTGTCTCAGCCCTACCTTGACGCTCTTACCACTGAGCTACTTCCTTCTCTACAGCCGCACCCTCATTCCATTCACAAAAACTGGCGCTGCAGAATGCTATCTGTGACTGACAACAGCTATAAAGTGGGAGTCAGAAGTCAGTGAACAGAGGTAATGATGGATGGAAGAAAGAAAGCAAGTACAGTAAGCCTCCAACTTACGCACATATAACTTGTGTGCATTCAGCTTTACATGCTTGGCAAAAAAAAGGATTCAAAAAAGTAAAATGCGTTTGGTGGGTGTCAAGGGGAAAAAAGGCTTCGGTGATCCCACCCACCACTGAACCCAATGTGTTTTGGCAATTTTGACTTCAGGCGTAATCCCCAGAATGTAGCTCCCCTTGTTAAGTTGCAGGGTTACTGTAGTCTAAACAAAAGATAAGGAGGGAGGAAGGGAGGGACAAGGGAAAGAAGGAGAAAGCAAGGGACCAAGGAGAAAATAGAACTCGTGGAAGTTGAGGTCGATGGAGAGGAAGATGGGTCAAAGTCAGCTTGCAGCAGGAAAGGGAAGCGGAGGTTGTTAATTTCAACTATAGCACATTTATGGCACTGCTGCTGTTCAGTCAGCATCTCTCAGCTGGGAATTGGTTAGAAGTGTGGAATATGCAGTGGAATCAGGGTTAAATGCCACAATCAGTCATGCAACACACAGAAGGTTCCTCCTCCTCTTTTCATACAGATAAAGGAGCAAGAGTCTTGGATGTGCCCCACTACAGTTTAGTAGTTTTCACTGCAGCCTGGAGTTATGCTTTTAACCTTGTGTTTAGCCCTGTCCACATAGTAACTGGAAGAATATTGACTATTTTTTTGTCCACCTTGCATTCTCAAGGAATCAAATATTATTGAACAAATAAGTAAATAAAATTCCTCTTTATTTCTATAGAATAAGATATTCATAGCTGCCCCCAGTGTATTGTCTTGTGTGAGAAAAACAGAATGGAAAGGAAGGGAAAGAATAGCAGAGTCCCATTATGTGTCCAGGAAAAAAAGCAATCAAATCTCTCTGCTGCCATCTACTCTGCAAAGTAACTCAGGAACAGAAGTAACTGGCTCTGGATGTTCAAGCATTAATTTTAATAATTGCATTTTTGCAAGTGTGAAAGGATTTAAAATGTGCCTGTGGGAGGAGGGGTTTATTGGTTTGTTTTGCTTTTGTTTTATTACAAATTTTGTGTTTTCATTTTGTTTTTTTATGCTGTGAACTACTCTGTGATCTTCAGATGAAGAGTGACATTCAAATTTAACCAATAAATAAATAAATGCTGATGTTTATAGTGGGCTGATCCTATATTCTGAACACTAGCAAAATATTCAGAACACACAAATACTTTAGTCATAAAGACCCATTGAAAAGAAACACACATTTATTTCAGTGGGTCTACTCTGAGTATGAGTAATGCTGGCTATCACCCTTGTAGATAGGGTACTGAGTGGACTTCAAGCTGCTACAATTATCTGGTAAGTTACTATTATTAGTTACTTGCTCTCAGTCAGTTTAGAGCTATAAAAAAGCCACCAGGATCTCAGAGTCAGAACAGTTTTTTTCTAATATACAAAAGTGAAGCTTGTCAGGAGTTGATCCACTGCCCTAAAGTACTGTCATCAACTGGACCAGAAATACTTGTGTGCGTGAAGGGAGAAGGGGGGGAAATACATTTTCAAGTCTTGATAGTAAGTATTTTTCTAACTGCTAAGTAATGACTGCATGAATGCCTTTTAGATCTAACTGATCTGTTTTGAATGACACACTGATATTTTTTTTGGGGGGGATGCCTGTTTACGTGGACTTCTTTGTTGAAGGATGGTGGTGACCCTACGGAGTCTAGTATATAGGGTATGGTGGAAACTGAGAGTTAATTGGGTCTATGTTTTTGGAGAATAAACGAGTTTTCCATGTTGGACCTCAGCAGAGGAACTCCGCCCCCCCCCAAAAAAAATCGATGGGCATTGCCATTCAAATAGTGTGTGTGGTGTCGTGTCATGTGATCGATTGTGCGGGTTGGGACTTACCTGCCCCCTCCCAATATTTTATTCCGGAGCAACCAGTCCTTGGAGGAAATGCACTCTGCACCTGCTCAAGGACACACTTGCAGCGCAGAATGAGCGCCGGCAGGGATGCCGGCTCAGAATGAGAGCCTGGTCTCTTCCCCTCATCTCCATTACCCCCGCTTTTCATTTTGCCAGAGCCCCCCACCCCTCCAGGACGGCCGGGGAATTCTCCAGTTTCCCCGAGTCCCTGGGTGTATTTATAGCTTGACGGCGCTTCCAGCCTAAAATAACCCGGCTGGGCCAGAGAGAGGGGCCCAGGCGGCGCGGCCAGGGCGCTGAGAGAGGAGAAGGAGGAGGGGGCGGCCAGGGCGCGCGTGTGCTGCGTCGGGACAGCTGCAGCCGGGCCGGGGCTCGCTTGGAATGCGGGAGCGGGCTGCGCACCGGGACTTTTATGGAAACTTGCAGAGCCCGGCGCTGCTGAAGCCGCAGCCAAGGGGCGCGCGGCGGCGGCGACGGCGGCGGCAACAGCAGCAGCACCACCAGCAGACGGTAGCAGCAGCAGCAGCAGCAGAAGAAGCAGAGCAGCTTCCCAGCTTCCCTCCCGCCCACCCAGCCGCTGGGATTATCTGGAGACGCAGAGCGAAGCGCGCAGGGGGCTCTCAGGTACGGGAAGCCGCCTTCGGGGGCACGAGAGAGTGTTTGGTGTTGTTTTGGCGCGAAGGTCGGCCTGAGAGGCGGGCGTTTTGGCGCGCAATGAGGCGAGGGAGCCCCAGGGGGGACGGTCGCGAGGGAGAGCTCTCTCCCTCTACGAACAAGAGGTTCCCTTTGGCTTGACCTTGTCCAACTTGACTTGTATTTTGTCCTTAATTCGGTCTTCCTGTGACAGGAGAGAGGGAGGGCTAGCAACCCCTCTCCGTCCCCCACGGATTTTTTTTTTTTGGCACAGCGAAAATTCCTTTTTCTACCCCCTCTTCTCTCCACCAGTCAGCGCGATCTGTTTCATGTCTCCTCAGACGGTCGAATTTCTCTGTCGTTCTTCTCTCGCTCCCCCCACACCCACCCGTCGCAGGGCTTTAGTTTCCCTTGACGTCCGAAGAGCAACAGTTGGCGCACATTCTTGTCTAGACAAGAAACGGGTTTTATTTGGAAGAACATTCTGGGGGCTTCGCTGTGGGTCCCTTTGCAGCTTCTGAGTTGGTAGGGCTTGTTGTGCATTAACAGCCCTGAAGAAGGAGGCTGTTGCTTGTGTGGCACCGCTGGAACAGGCTAATAAATCCATTTCCAACGAGGGCCCTCTTCTATTCTGAAACAAAACTCCCTTGGACATATCGCAACGCTCAAAATTCAGAGCCAACAGCTCTCACGTATTTTTTTTTAATGGAATGACAATTGAATGCAACTTTCCCAGGGCGAGGGGTGGGTTGTGGAAGGGAGTTGAACTAAGTCCTGGAGAGAACATCTTGGATTAATGCAGGTGCGTTTTCTGCTTTCCCGAGGTCAGAAACCTTTTGCTGAAAGGTGTGGAACTGATCAGTGGCTAAGGAGATGACAACTAGGAATAAGGTGCTGAGCTAATATTAGAGCAAGGGGGGTGGTGGCAGCAGCAGCAGTAGCGATAGTGTCGCCAGATAAGTGGGTGGGTGATCTCTAAACCCGGCTCAGCAAACCTTTCTTGCTCTTGTCATTTGTTCGTCTTGTAGTAGTGATTTTGCCTTGCTTTGTGCTAATGAGATGTGAGAAAGCTGGTCTGGGTGACACTGATAATCTTCATAATTCATTAAAAGTTGCTCCTCAAAGTTTCAAGTGTTTTAGCTGCTTGTATCCGCTGCATAGCCTTATTCTATGCTGAAATGTACAGAGAAAGATATAATCATAAATGGAAAGGCAAAAGGTTAATTGGTCAGTGGAACCAAAGAAAACCTAAACTAGAAAGCCCAAAGCTTCATGTTTAGGAGATATGTCTTTTACAAGTGAATCAGGGGTGTGAGGTTTGTGCATAAAATATCAGCTGATTTTAGGTAGAATATATTGAATTTTAGACTTTTTGAATAAGAGGGGTGTGCTACGAGTGTACGCACCTTTATGAATGCTTAACAGACTGCTTTCAGAAATATTTTTTGCAGTTGCATTAAAAAATATACTAGATTTGTTGCTAAACAGAAATATGCATTTTGTTTTGTGTGCCGAGATATCTTCAACCATATGTTCTATTAAATGAGGTGGGGGGGGCAAGCGTGGTTGCCTTTTATTTTATATCATCATGTAGCTGATCTATTTTACTAAATGAAACCTATTTTTCATTGTGACACTTCTCAAAGCTCTGGTGGTATTTTATCGCAAGGAGGTCTGTGTGAATGCCAGCCCAACTGGAGCAGTTTCTCTGTAAAACCCTAAATGTATATGTATGCAAGTAATGGTCAGTATTATTATGTGAATGGCAAAGTGCACAATCAGATCTGACCTCTGCAATGAACCTACTAAAGCAGCCTTTTCCAACCAGCTGTCCTCTAGATGTTTTGGACTACAATTCCCATCATCCAGGGTTCACCTGAGACATTTTGACATCAAAGGCGGATCACAAATTGGCATGAGAAGGAGTGAGTTAAAATCTACGTCAAGAACAAGGAAGGAATAAAGATCTACATCAGGATCTGATGCCCATGTGGATCCTGCCACCTGAGGCAGTTGCCTCATCTTGCCTCTTGGGTGGAACGGCCCTGCCACCATTGGCTGTTCTGTCTGGGACTGGTGGAAGCTGTGGTCTAAAACATCTGCACTGTATTTCAGTACTGTCCATGCTGACTAGAGATGGCTTTCCAGGGTTTCAGACAGGGTTTTCTCCCAGCTCTACCTAGAGGCCCTGAGGATTGAATTTGAGACCTTTTGCACATAAATAACATGTTCTGCCACTGAGCTATGACTCTCCCTCATGTAGCCTGCCTGATACCTGGTTTCTGTGCAGGCCCAACTGTCATCGACATCTTATACACTTGCAGGTTCCTGATAGGCAGTTTTGGGATTTAAAGGAAAATGCCATTTTATTTTAATTAGTGTGTATTTATGTGTACCTAGAATATCTTCCAAGTATGTAGAAGCCATTACCTTATTTTTGGCTTCCCCATTTCACTTCCACACTGGTAAGTGCTCAACCACATAAGGGAACCTGCAACAAAATGTTTCAGTGTACAGTGGTTCCTCAGGTTAAGTACTTAATTCGTTCCGGAGCTCCGCACTTAACCTGAAACTGTTCTTAACCTGAAGCACCACTTTAGCTAATGGGGCCGCCTGCTTTAGCCGCGCCGCCGGAGCACAATTTCTGTTCTCATCCTGAAGCAAAGTTCTTAACCTGAAGCACTATTTCTGGGTTAGCAGAGTCTGTAACCTGAAGCGTATGTAACCCGAGGTACCACTGTATCTTCACCTCCATGTCACCAAGGTTAGCTGGCCCTCAAGTGACAATGCTGGATCCAGGACTCCCCAAAGACCTCATCCAGAACAGACTGCATACTCACTTCCTGAACATGGGAACCACCTACCTGCAGTACATCTGTCTTGTCAGGATTCAGTCTTGGTTTCTTGACCTTCATTGAGCCCATTACCAAACCCAGGCACCAGTCCAGCACCTACGTAGCCTCACATGACTCGGATGACAAACAGACCTGTGTTTCAATGATACACTGATGACAGCTCACTCCAAATCTTCTGATGACCTTACTTAGCAGTTTCATCCACATGTTGAAGAGCATGGGAGTCACGATGAATAATACCTTGCAGTACTTCACAGCACAGCTGTTGGGGCAGCCTAAGCAGAAGTCCCCCAATGTTACTGACTAGGTGATAGTTGTTAGTCTCATGAATCCAAATAGGACTTCTTAAGGAACAGCTGTGCTACAGCTCCCGGTACCTTCAAAGAAGAATCCATGACCACATGAACCCACCCAGTCAATTCCCTCCAGATAGTTCTGATCAAGAGCAATCCTGTTTTGAACTAGGTAAAATAGTTTATTATAACAGTTTATTTGCAGTTGTTATGTGAATGTTTAAATTGAATGTATTCTGGTTTAACTGCAATAAGGCACCAGGACTAGGGTGGTAATCTGAAATCCAAGTTTCGAGGAGGGACTGAAAAGGAAATCAACAATAGTAGTTGCATTCCAAGAATAAGGGGCAACAAGGAAAAATGGCTAGCATCACTTAAGGGAACTGGAGACCCTTGGACAGCTGCTGGTGGGTATAAATGTATAGGACTGCTTGTACTATTTATTTAATTTTTTAGAAAGCAGTGCTCCCATGCCATATGCCATATTGCTTTTGAAACTGAAGGGAATGATAACAACCAGCTTTTTTATTATGATGCAGAGTTCAAAGGCAAAAAAGAGAGTATAACATTCTTCTGACTGCAGAAACTCTCTTGTATGACCCAAGCAGCTCTTTGAATCCTGGCCTAAGATTTATTTTTTTAATAGGACTATTCAAAGCAGATACGAAGTGGTGTTTCCAAAAATGTTATAAAGTGACCCAGAAATTTACGGTGGGGGTGCCGAGGAAGTTAATGTTGTTCTTCAGTACCTTGGAGCACGTTGTTTCCGACGCCTGTTCCAAATTGTTGGTATCCTGGGAATCATCCTTTGATCCCAATGGTGGCAGCTATTGGTTAACTTGACATCTGCAAATCACTACTGGAATGAAAACTGCTAGGCTTTGCACATTCATATTTCGTTCATATGCTAGGCAATGAAGCTGGTTTCATTGTTTTCTGTGTTTGCGGTTTTACTGGTAGCAGTGGATGAGCATTTTTGTCCTTTGTGCAGCCTCCTCTTCTTGCCATCATAAAATAATGCAACATCACTGTTTGTAGATTTTGATGGGAAAATAAAAAGGGGTAAGATGATGTGGTGTATGTGTGATGACTTCCACATATGGATGTGGAAAAAGTAATTCAGTTAACAAGATCAAGGAAGATGTTTTGGAACAATGTGCTCCTTTTTCTAATTTATGTGCTGCAAGTTGCAGTGAAATGGAAACTGGCAGCTATTATCCAGGACATGCTGTTAAGGACTTTTTTCTTTCTTTTTTTTTAAAGTAGACATACGTATAATGACTGGACAACTACCACAACCTAAACCCTGAAATAAAGCAAAACTCAATGAGAAATGTAATGTTGAATATAAAATTCAGCTCTGCAAAGCCTTTGAAAAGTTCAAGAGAGCACATGGGAATTGTATAAAGCAGCTAGCAAGCTTTAAAAAAAAAAGGGACCAGGGTGGTGGAGTGATGGGGAATTAATGATTTTGAAGCAACTCTGTCCACTTGCTGACAGAAGCTTTATTTCTACAGCCTTGCATGGTATAATGCAAGGATCAGGAACATGCGGTCCTCCAGATGTTGCTGGATTAAATTTTCCAGCATCCTTGATCATTAGCAATGCTGGCTGAGGACTGGATTCCAACAGGTTCCCCTTCAACAAAATGTCAGTCATGCTCAGTAACTCCCTAGTCTACCCTGTCTGGTGGTTTTCTTCTTAGATGTATCTTTGAGTGTTTGTCTAAAATGCCATTTTCTCGTTGGTTCATATGGATCTGCCATATTTATGGCTTGAAAATAATACCTGGTGTCCAAGGTCATTGTTCTAGAGCAGGCATGTCCAACACGTAGATCGTGATCTACTGGTAGATTGCGGGGTGTTCTTTGTAGATCCTGGCAGATCTTTGGCCTCTCAGTGATCTCCTCCCTCCCCCCAAGAAAGGGAAAAACAACAACTGTGGGTTCCTAAAAAACTCAACAACTTTGGCTTCCTAAAGAAAGCTCAGCAACTTTGGTCCATTCAACGACAATGGATAGATCACTGCCAGTTTTTTTATACTGTAAGTAGATTGCAGCCTATTGGGAGTTGGACGTCCCTGTTCTAGAGAATATCCCTCCCCCCCATATATTTTGATCCCATCCCTATTCCCACATAAGATCAACAACATTCTGTAGCTTGACTGTGGATTAGACATGAGCTACTCCTGAATTGTGGAGGATTACAACTTTTTACTCTGGTCAACAGAGTGTGGTTTGCCTGAATATATATATGTGTGTGTGTGTGTGTGTGTGTGTGTGTGAGAGAGAGAGAGAGAGAGAGAGAGAGAGAGATTTAAAAAGAGCCAGCAGGCTGAACTTCAATGTGCTTTAAGAATAAAGTGATTTTGAAAAGTGAAAGAAAGAAATGAGGAAATGGGGTAGGGTTCCTAATTAAGTAACTATCCTTGCCTTTTTTTTACAAACTTGTAATTCAGGTCTTGTTATATCTGCACATGTTGCCAGGTGTTCAGGCAGTATTATTTGCCAGAAGTGCTTGTTCTCACTTGTGTTGAAACAAGTATACTGGTACATTTTGTTTCGCATGTCGATCCTTTCTGTGAAGATCTATTTCTGTTATTGGTGTGCTATTGAACTGTTGCAATAGGCTTCAAGTTAACATTACTTCCTACAGGATGACCATTTGACTGCATCTTGATGTTATTATGTATAGCTGACATGTCCTCTTCCCCCTGAAGTACTATGCAAGCTATAGCTTGAGGAACAATCCACAAGAAGGGTTAAAATGGTAAATCAAGAGAAGGAGAGCACCCAAGGCATGCATTTTGCAAATGTCGGAGCACCTAGTCGCTTACTTTTTAAAGACTGTGCAGAAAAATAGCTTATGATTATTAAGTTTATGATTAAAAATATATATATTTGGTTATATCCTCCATGTGCACACATGCAGAATGTTATGTTTTTATTTTCCTTTTTTTAAAAAAAGTTTATGATTAAAATAATATATATTTGGTTATATCCTCCATGTGCACACATGCAGAATGTTATGTTTTTATTTTCCTTTTTTTAAAAAAATGGTTTTGACTGTCAAAATCTTCAGCAAGAAGTATGTAGCCCTGTTTTTTGTTTTTGTTTTACAATAAACTGTGTTAGCACAATGATGTGTTTATGTGCATGCAAACACATCCATGCAAGGGCACCCAACTAGCACCCAACAGCAGCAATTGTAACAGTGTTGCCTCTGTCCCTCTAGTTGTACATACAGGCATTACATCAGCACACCTGTTCTGTAAGGGGAAGTTTTGCCAGCTGTCCTCTCATCACTTAGAACAGGGGTCAGCAATTTTTTTCAGCAGGGGGCCGGTCCACTGTCCCTCAGACCTTGTGGGGGTCCGGACCATATTTTGAAGGGGCGGAAATGAACACGTTCCTATGCCCCACAAATAACCCAGAGATGCATTTTAAATAAAAGGGCATATTCTATTCATGTAAAAACACGCTGATTTTCGGACCGTCCACGGGCCAGATTTAGAAGGCGATTGGGCAGGATCCGGCCCCCGGGCCTTAGTTTGCCTACCCATGACTTAGAATCTCTAAGTATTAATCTTACTGAGTCTGGCAGAAGGGGCAAGAGCAGCCTCAGCTGCTGAGAGACCTTCTGCTATTGTAGAGCAGCTAGCAGGAAGAAAGTAAATGATAGCTCCATTAGCTTCTTGAGCTGCCATAAGTCTTTTTAGCAGCCAGAAGATCCTACATCTATTTGTCACCTATGTAACACATACATGACAAATATGAAATGTTGGATCAAATAATAGACTCTTCATAAATCAGATTATTAATGTCTAGTGAATCTACCATCTCCTATACTGAAGGGGTTATCCATATTGTCAAATTGCCCCTGCCTTCTTTCAGGCATGTACTATTTGGACAGGCCTTCACAATATGAATTTATCTTTTTAACCAACAAGTATCTATACATTTCTCCCACATTTTAAATTGTTTAATACATATTTATGGGCTGATTTTATCATATCAGTTGTAAGCTGTCTTGATGTACTTCATGTGGACTATAAATTCCTGTATGTAATTATGCATGTGGGTACATGAATGCATAGAAAGAGTTTTGTGAACAGAGCTTTTTTCCAGCTATTATTTAAAAGCAAAGTTGCTATCATAGAAATGGCTGTCAGCACCTTACATGCATAGCCTGCTCATGTATCATGTCGAATAGTTGAGATGTATGGCCAGAAAATGGTGAAGAGGTTATTCCAGCAAAACATATAAAAATCAAATACTCCCCTCCTTTTTTTGGAAAAAATAAGAAGTATGTGCTATAGAATTGTCAGAAAAGAGATAAATGTTCAAAATGCTTCTATTGTATAGAAAAGATATATTTGGAGACAGTGTGAATAGAGAACAAATGTTAACTTTGAATAGTAAAATAATGCAACAGCTCACATGTGGCACTTCTTAAACTCTGACTCCTGGCTACTTATCTGTTTAAGAGTGGCACTCATCATGTGCCCCTTTTCCAATGGGTAATGATGTTAACAAAATAATAGTGCTTAAATGCCATAAACATTGCTTCTGGACTTTTTATGGTTGCCATGACAGTGCAATTGGAATCCTAGTCCTTACCCCCAATTTTCTTCCAAAATGGGTTTTGATGGAGTATACTCTCCATAGTACTCTGGCTACAGCCCATATAAAGCTGTTTCTGTATATTACTGGCATAAAACTGTGGTCACGTACCTTGGCCTAGGAAGCAAGACAGGGTTGGAAAAACTTGTTTTCTACATAGGGTTGGATTAAGGGAGTGCCTGCCTGCATACCTGCCTTCAAACTTCTGTCCCTTTAAGAGAAGCAAACTGCATATGTATAAATATGCATTATTTAAAATCCAATGGATAGTTTCCTAATGGATAAACAACTTTGGGGGCTGGCAATGGAGTGGGGGAAAGATGAAGGGAGTTTAACTCCTTCTATCCCTACCCACTATTATCTTCCCAAGCAGCTTGTATCTCACATCACCACCTGTATTTTGGACCAGCAGCATTTTCTGGATGGTCTTCATGGGCAGCCCCATGTTGACCACACCATAGCAGCCTAATCTGGAGCATGAAATGCTGGTCTGGTTTCTCCTCCCATGTGTGCAGCTAGTGTATAAGGCAAAACTGGTAAAAAGCGTTCCTTGGCAACTGTTGCAATCTAGCCATTTAGAACTTGGGCTGGATCCAGATTGCAAACAGGCTGTTGCAGGAAGTCCAACCCTGCCCAGAACATGCTGTACACCTTATTCCTGTCCAAAAGAGTCTCTCTCTTGTCTGGATTTAGCTTCTTAGTAAGTGAAATGATAAATACATACAAGCCACCATGTGCTAACACTCCACATCTGCTAGCAAGTGACTCTCCCAAGGCAAAATTACTTCATGCAAGCCAGGGAAGTAATTTCAACTACAAGAATGTGGGAATCAGAGGCCATTAGCTTGGTCCCTTGTAGCAGATATTAGGCTTCTTTGAAGCTTTTGCAGATGACCAATCGCTTCGCATTTCCCCTCTTTACAATTTATATGACGGCTTAATCAGGACGCAGATTTTACTGTGGTGATATAACGGGCTAGAAGGAGGAATGGGGGAAATATTAGAAGAATCTGAGATTGAGCTCATCTGCATATGTGTGGTTCGTTCCAGAGCTAATGTGGTTTAGTGGTTAGAGGTTTGAACAGGACTGAACAGGCCAAGCCACTTCTTATCTCTCAGCCTAACTTACATAGCAAGTTTGTTGTGAGGATAAAACAGGGAAATGTATCGTGCATGATACCTTGTTTTCCTTGGAGGAAAGATGTGATATAACCATAATAACACTTCTATGTGGATATGAGGCCTTAATGTTTTATAAGACATGTTTACAGGCTTCCAACCTCACTGGAAATGTAAATGCACAGTTTGAATTTACTGAGAGGCAGGGGACTCAAGGACCCCACTTTATTCTCTCCTCGGATAGATACTGCAGGGACTTGGTTCTTGAGTACTTAGAGAGGGAGAAGGAGAGAGAGAGAGAGAACCACCACCACCCTCCTTAGTAATGTTTATATATATATCAACCAAGTGAGGTCATATCTCTTTTTTTCCTTACAAAGGTAAAGCCTGGACACATCCATTTTTGCACACTGCTGCTGCTAGGTCACAGAAAGTAGCCATGAATGACGTTGCACAGAAGACAGAGGTATGTATGGTGGTATGAAGGGGGAAGTACAAACAACAAACTCTGGCTTTATTATAGTAGCCTAAATTAAATAATATAATATAACCAAGAGTCTTAGATCCTTGATTCTCATCATGTGAAGTGGGCACATGTAGGGTGATGGGATGGTTGTCAGAGAATGCACACGTCTTAGGGCTCTGCATATTTTCACTCTGTCCAAATAACTGTGTGAGTTCACATTCACAAGGAAAAAAGGCATGCACAGATCGTCATCTACTGCTACTGAATGAATGGGGAAGCCACATTTGATAGGATTTCCATTTGTCACACAAACTGTCCCTAAGATGTACATCTGACTTCTAGCCCAAGAATCGTGTGTGTGTTGTGTGTGTAATCCTAAAGCAAAAATTGTAGAGTATTTCAGTTTAAAACAGTACACTTGTCAAACTATGAAGTTGTTCTGTGGCATTAAAATAAATGGAAAAATAAAGAGAGGGAAAATCTACACTATCCAGGCAAAAAGTCTGGTTCAATTAGCAATTGTGTTGTTTTTTAAATAACAAGTTTTTCTAGACATGACTGTGATCCATCTGTTACTGGAAGCTTTAAGTTTAGGTTTAATACAAAAGCAACTTCACGAGAGCTTCCTATACCTGTGCAAAAGAAAGAGTCTGTTTTTCTCTTTAAAAACAAACATTGTAAATGCAGCTCAGGTTCCAATTTATTGCCTGTCTCTTCAAAAGTCTCACATTCTGTCTAATATTCCATGCAATTTCTCTTCATCTGCTTCTACCATCTTTCTCTTGTCTTTGCCTTCTCCCTATCTTCACAAAGATTCTGCTTTCTTCGTCTAAACCTGTCCCAAAGTCCTATGTGCCCAAACTTCGAAAGGGTGATGTAAAGGATAAATTTGAAGCCATGCAGAAAGCAAGGGAAGAAAGAAATCAAAGGCGATCTAGAGATGAGAAGCAAAGAAGAAAAGAACAGTATGTTAGAGAAAGAGAATGGAACAGGCGGAAGCAGGAGGTCAATTCCTTTGCAAAAATTCATTTCTGTTACTTTTATTTCCTTTCAAGCTTTTAAAAATAACTTGACAACTTCTACAATGCAGTACAAATAAATATACTTTGATCCAGCTATATAAACTGTTTTATAACCTTGCATAAACTCTCTAGATTTATTTACGTTTTAAATCCTTCAGAAAAACAAGTGAAAATTGATGTTTCTCATTCATTATTTCAGATGATAGAACTACTTGCTTCTGATGATGAGGAAGAAAAGTCTAAAGTTGAGAAAGCTTATGTTCCAAAACTAACAGGTAAGAATTAAGAGTTAAAGTCTATTTTGCAAGAGATTGGACCTCCGTCACCTATCCTTTGATTACAGCTCATGTTGATTACTGCAACGCTCTGTGGGGCTGCCAAATTTTAAGAAGTTCGGCAACTGTGGTTAGTACAGAATGCTGTGGCTTGCCTCCTGACAGGGATAGGAGGGCACAAAGAATGTATCTGACCAACTGCATTGGCTGTCTTCATGCTTCCTTCCAGGACCAATAAAAAAATGCTGGCGATCATCTCTAAAGCTTTCTATGGTCTACAGCCTTGAGGAACTCCATTAAGCCCCCAGTCAACACATTCCTGCCTCCTTCCTTAAAAGGTGTTTTGCTCTGCATTCTATCTCTTAGATAAATCTACAAAAGCAAGGCGCACTGTGGTGCTGCCTATGCTCTAAAGCAGCGATGGATTAACCTTTTTCCTATGAAGGGCAATTGACCCATGGTGGAAGTCATTCAGGAGCCATACAGCACCACATGGCTGTATAATACGCTTTCTGTGTGCCATCCCATTTCTCAACCACATGAAAATTAGGCCAAGGGCAGTAGCATGTCCCCCACAAGCCGCAAGTTCCCTATCCAAGCTCTAGACTATGCTTCTGTTCAACTTGCTACCTCCTCCTTCGCATTTCTAAACAAATATATTTATACTAATGAAAACTAGTGTTTTACAAATGATGGATAGTCAAGTGATAAACTGAGCTGTTCATTTTTCCCTTTTGTTTTTCATAGGGACTGTCAAAGGGAAGTTTGCAGAAATGGAAAAGCAGAGGCAGGAGGAAGAAAGGAAAAGAATGGAAGAGGAGAGGAAGCGGAGGATTGAACAAGACATGATAGAGAAAAGGAAAATTCAGAGAGAACTAGCAAAGAAAGCACAAGAGGTAGGCTTATAGTAATTTACAATATCCCATTCACATGTTAAAATAAAAAACCCTAGCCATTTAAATTATAAACAGTAGTCTTCCACTTCTTACTTCCAAGACAAACAGTGCATTTGAAGCATCAGGTGGTATATGGAGCTTTTCCTACCACATCAGTATTTTATTTACTATAACTATGTATTCTTCCATTCAATTACATTGGGCATTTGAAACATTTTGTTTGTTTCCCTATATAGTCACAGAGTGTCATATTCAGCAATGAAGGAGATACAATGTTCTCATGTTTTAAATTGCTGAAAATACAATTTGACCGCAGCAGCAAATGTTTATTTGCAAAATGGAAGAGTTGCATTTGAATGTCAAGAGACTAACTGAACCTGGCTTGGCTGCACTTGGTCCTCTCTGCAGAAAATGGGTAAAACCAGGACAAGTTATAAAGTCTCTTACCTACTGTACTGACACTGAATATCAATTCTGTAGCCATTTGTGAATGCAACATAGCCACATTCTTCCTTGGGGAGTGTCATATTTGGTGTGTTGCCTGCATTCTTGGCATTCAGTATTAAAGCGCCATTTTCTTTATGAGAATTGGGTGCTAGGATCAGGTGTCTCATGCTTTAATTTCCAAATGTGTGTATATGTATGAATGACGGGTTGCTGTCAATAGAAAGATGTCCTGTGCTATGCCGGTACAACCACACTAATCAAGTCAATTTGCCAGTAATGCTCATATACCTTTCAGGCTTATAAGATGCAACATGTCGCAAGATGTTGAAATATATGATTTCTGATATTTGAAGAATGAGAGAAATAGAGAAAAGGTTATGTAAGGCAGTTTTTTACTGGTTTGAATAAGCTAAGAAATAAAATGCTCTTCTATTTGCATACGGAGGGAGAACAGTATGGTATGTTATAAGGTGAATTGCACTTGGAGTTTCTGTAAAGGATCTGTATGACTTATTAAAGTGTTTTTGTATTTTGAAATTGATAATCGATCAGTTCAAAAGCAGTTCTGAGGCCGGTATTTTGTATGAAAAATGATTTGCTTGTTTCATGGGATGAAATGTACAGAAGCAATTAAGATGCTTGTGATCTAACACTAATTTTGGGACACGGCTGTTGTCCAGATCTTGTACTACAAGCCACTGCTCACAACTAGAAAGTAAATACCATTAGAAGTCCCAGTGTTCCTCAAAGCCACCCTTTACAGTATTGAGGAAGGTTGGGGATTTTTTGCCCCATGGGCCCAAATAGCTGCTTGGGTTAACTTGTCTACTGTGCTACTGAAAGCTTCTTGCAAACAGGATAATTTGTGCAGCCATGCTTTCTTTAAAGCATTCCTTTGCAGCTTAACTCCTAATAGCTGCTTTAAACATTATGGTTAGAAGCCACCAGAAAGCCCATGCAGTGTTCCCTTCTGATTGCATGCTTCACCTTTATACTTCTGTGGAGCTGGCAGTTCCAGAAGTACAGATACTACATATGAGCTTTACATGCTGCAGAGCCGTAGCTGCAGGGGGGTGGCTAGCTAGGCTTTTTGCCCCAGGTGAAGCCTCCATTGGGGTGCCATTGAGGTTACCTGCCTGTGTGTGTGTATGCAAATACACATGAGGAGTGCCAAACTGGGTCTTTGACCTGGGTAAAATAAAACCTAGTTTCGCCTCTGCATGCTGTGCGTTCTGTTGGATGTTGACATGGGGTTTTGGGTGACCTCCACACAGACACTGTAGCATTTAAATTTACCCATAACTTTTGATCACCAGAAAGGTGCCCTTTTAGAGTTCTTTCTCTTGTTTTACAATGCAACAAACATTCATTGTTGCTGTAGACAGTAACTAAGCCACCCTCAGCCTGCCAGAAATTCCGGTATTCTCAGTATCATAATGAAAGGTGAAGCACAAGTAATAAAGGTCTAACTGAACAGTTAGCCTTACGGACTGTGGCAATAGTGGTTGCCAAATATTTAATTGAATCAGAGAATGCATGTGTACTGTGGGAACTAATATGTAAAGGATGGTTTTACACATTAGGTATTCACACTAGATGTTATAGGCACCCTTAAGTAACAATGTACTCCACACCCTGTCAAATGAATACAGTGGGTGAAATTCAGGAAAGCTACCATGCACTGCTCTGGTTTCGCCAGAAGCAGCTTAGTCATGCTGGCCACATGACCCGGAAAAACTGTCTGCAGACAAACATCAGCTCCCTCAGCCAGTAAAGCGAGATGAGCGCCGCAACCCAAGTCATTCGTGACTGGACTTAACTGTCAGGGGTCCTTTACCTTTAATTGTTATTGTTGTAATTATATTTATATTTATATCCTGCCTTTCCCCCCAGTCCTAACCCAATCTCATTCCCGGACATTAACCAGGAAGCAAGAGCTTGATCCACTCTGATCACATTTGAGTATTTTTAAAGGGATATATGCAAAATTTTACATGTGGCTCATAGCTGAAGGACCTACGTATCCATAAATGAGCACAAAATAGAGTTGTGTGAAGGAATCGCCACATAGATTAAGGCCTTGGCCAGACATTGTTCTCCAGGGGGAAATCTCAACCCAGTAAGCATGTTAGGCTGTGGAGAAAGATACAAATTAAGTGTGCTGTTCTGTGCATAGGTGAATGCAGGATATCCCTGCAGCAGTAGCAAGGATTTTAAAGGCTTTCCAGATCACAGGGACAGGGAGACTGTGCTTTTCCAGTGAATGTGCTTCAGCTCAGTTCACTTGTTACCAACCCTTCACCAGCCATCTACTGCAGGTCTCCTGGGGCCTGCTGGTTTTGCTGCTTGTCCAGCACATCACAGGCCATGGTACAAAATTAGTGGGTTGTGTTCAGCGTGGGAGCTTTCTAGCTGCTGAACATGGTGTACGATGGAGGAGGGCATGCTAAAGTCTGAACCTCTTGCGCAGTTGAGGTAAATACATCTGGAGAGCAATGTCTGACCAGCGGCAGCTTAGATTAGATGTACACACTGGAAGTGCACCTTTTAATGCCACATTTCGATTTGTCATTCGGCACAATATTTTCATTTTTAAAAATGTGTTTGCAAGGGGGAGCCAAAGAGTCAAAGTAACATTATTGTGTGAAATTCTTATTTAATAGATTGATGAGCAGTTAAACAATTCGGGAAGCGAATCGGCATCGGAGGTAATCAGACTTCTTTACCATGAAACATTCACCTATTTGTGACTCACTGTTTATTACATATCTAGTAATGGCCGGGTTAAACAAAAACACTTGGGAAAGACACGAAAGCACACTTTGCTAGCAGAGACAGTATACTATCAGACTGATCAGTGCTTTCGGCACTCGCCATGAGGTAAATGTGACCAGAATTACAATGACTTTTGCTTCTTTACACTGTGACTTTTCTTGGCTCTTTGCCATTTGCCAGTAACCGTTGATGACATGGACGCCTGCACATTATTTTACAATGCTGTTTCTTAATGTTTACTTAATCTGCTTCTGGCCAGGGCTGAAGGGAATGGTAGCGTAATACAATTGGAAGGCACCATGTTGCTTAGCTCTATTCTTACAGTAATGTGAAGTGCATTCTGAAATGAGGTCAGTAGCCCCAAGGTAAATGTTGTGGTCTCATAAACCCTAAGGCGGCTACTATATTTACTCCTTGAATTGATGTAATGCCATTACAGACACATTGTATGTGGCCTGTGGGCTATCTGCAGACAGCGCTATCTTGATTCCACTATGGCAGTTGCAATACATCTACATACAGTAATTAACAGAATTAGGATTGCATCTACCCATTATGGTTTGAGACAACTTTTTTTCCAAAAGTTGTGGAACAAGTTAATAGCCAAATGATTAACTAGACACAAGAGTGTCTTAATTAAAGCCAGCTTAGGCTTTCAGAGCTGTTCACTTTCTAAGATTGTCTTTATGAAGTCCTTTGAATTTTTTATGTTATTTGCCTTGGCAGTATCTTTTAAAATTTAAGATTCCTCAAGAAACTGGCTACATTTTAAATGACTAAGATTAAGGTAGTCCCAGATGGGAAAGGACTCTTGCTTGAAGCTAAGCCAATCTGCTTCTGGTCAGTACTTGAGTGTGGGATTGCTTGAGCATCCTAGTCTTAAATCCTATAATGGGAGAAAACATAAAAATCGAGTGAATAAAAATGACATTGCTGTGGTTTCTGAACTCCCCACACCCCATGGACCACTTGAAAATTGCTGACGGCAGGCCACTTAATGGTTTTCCTGCCTGTTGTAGCAATTTTAACAGCTGTGGTAGATGCTGTGTGATTTTTCATTGTATTTTAATTGCTATTTGTTGTGTTGTATTTTAACGCTGCAATCTGAATTTTATAGATGGTAGTAGAATAAAATACAAGAAACAAAAGAAGCAATGAAAAGCAATATGAGTATTTAATATCGACATGCCTTGGACCACCTCAACAGAAGTTCATGGGCCATTGAAAGTCTATGAATCATAGTTTGGGTACTCCTGTTCTAATGTATTTACCAGAAATTAGGCTAACCAAACGTTTTCAGATATCCTACCATGATTTCATGGAGTGTAACTCCCATCTACTGACAGTCATCAAAATAGCTGCTCCTGCATGAAAGTGTATTCTTTTGCATAGTGGATGAGGAGGAGCATAGAATCTGACACGAGGATTACTACACTGCTGCATGGTCCCACAATTTTACCATGCCCTTTGTGTGGTACCACCAGTTCTTAACACCATGGTGTTTTTCTGTATTGTTTTGTTTTTTGGCGTGGAAAGTAGGTTTGAGGACAGAAGAGGGTGCCATCCCAGGGCTGTGTGTATGTGTGCGTGTGATCTTCTTTTCTTAGCAAGTGTTGTAATCGGAATTTTAATACTGATGTGTGGTAGATCTGTGCCTGTATTAGTAGCACTGCACTTCCCACATACTCATTTATATCACATTCATCGAAGTGGCACAAATAGGAGTGCCCTGCCCGCTAGATATGGTCCAGATAAACATGGACCTTCTATAGTTTTATTTGAGCATATGCCCCAGGCATTTAATAACCATATCTGCTCTACTTATTCAAGAGCATCCTTTTACACTTCACAACATCTACCTAGATCAAATTAGAAAAGGGTATTTACTACATTTGGAGCTAATCTCCTGTACCCCCTACCCATCTTTTAATGCTTGAAAAGTACAAGCAAAGCTCAGTTTAATAGATGTAGTTGTCTTGAGATAACTCTTATCAACTTAAGGACCTGGTAAAGAAGCATATCAGTGTCAAATTAGGTGCTCAGCTTCTATCCGGACTGGGTTTTTACCTGAATCATCTGAATTTTTGAGAAAAAGATAAATGGAGTTACAATACGTTGGAGTCTCTCATTTGTCATGGACTTACTCGCTGGTTTAGGCAAGTCACTCTTAGCTTCTCCATGAGCAATATAGGAATAATACTGACCTACCTTACAGGGTTGTTGTAAGGAATACAAACAGCTTCATAGATATATATTATTCTGCTGAATGTTCAGAAGTGCTAAACTGATGGCACGATTCAAGTATTCACAAATGATTGACAGCAGCTGTGCCCAGAGCTGGAGCAGCATCTCCTCCTGATGCCATTTTGCTACCCTAAAGACAGTCAGCAGTGGCCACAGATTTTGTCCAGACATCCTCCAAGAAATTGAACATTTTGGTAGAAGCGTAATTCTTCACAGGCAGTAGTAGTTGCACAGTCCAAATGTTCATGGTGACATTTGTTTTTAACAACAGGAAGGTGATGATTCATTGCTAGTGACAGTAGTTCCCGTAAAACCTAGCAAAACACCTGGGAAGATGAAAATAAGTTTTGAGGACCTAGAGAGAGAGAGAGAAGAACAAGAAAGGCGAAAGCTTGAAGAAGAAAAGCGATTGAGATATGAGCAGGAAAAGCAAGCTCTCAGGGAAGTCAAATATTTCTCACCAGATGTGGTAAGCAAGATTGCGGGGGGAACCCCTTGCATGTTGACCCTAAGCATGCTTCATTGGAAAAAGGCTCCCGTTATTACAGCAAAACTTGCTTCCAACTAAGTGGATTCAGGAGTGCAGGGAAATCTGGGATTTTAAGACTGCATGCATTAAGTATCATGAGGATTTAAGTCGGAATAACAAACTTTTGTATATAGGATGAAGATGAAATGCTTGACAGCGAAAGAAAAGAATCACCCAGCCCTGGCAAAGTGAAACTAACATTTGAAGAATTGGAAAGACAGAGACAAGAAAATCAGAAAAGGCAAGCAGAAGAAGAGGCGAGGCAACGTCTGGAAGAGGAAAAACGTGCATTTGAGGAGGCAAGGCAGCAAATGGTAAGCATATGGAGCAAAATATGGTCTTAGTGGAGGATGGATGGACTTGGAGACATGTATGCCTGACCATATGAAAATTCAAAGCAGGGGGACACAAATGCAACCCTACCTCAATGTTCTCTCACACATCATGTCCTGCATGAATCCTTATGTTCTGCAGGGGGCTTCCACTTGCATTTGCTTGAATATTACTTGAATTACTGTGCTATTTAATTATATCTATTTTAGCTTCCATGCATGACCTTTGGTATATTTTAGTGGGAAGTGGGTGGGAATCTATATACATTATTTTAATACTAAAACTTTTTCTCTGTTATTTTTAAAAGTTCAATACCTCCCAAATTAGCTGCACCTTTCATCATCATCATCATCATTATTTAAATGGTTTTTCTCTCTCTCCCAAAAGCTAAATGAAGATTATGATGATCAGGAAAATGAAAATTCCGTCAAGGAGTTCCGTCCTGGGAAACTGATACTTACCTTTGAAGAAATAGAAAGGCAGAGGCAAGAAGAAGAAAAAAAGAGAACAGAAGAGGAAGCCAGACGGCGCATAGAAGAAGAGAAAAAGGCATTTGCTGAAGCAAGAAAAAGCATGGTAGGTCATTTATTTATTCATAAAAATACTTGTATACCACTATTTCACACAAAAATACTGAGTTGTTTGCCAGTTACAACTATACAATAAAAACTATGTAAGACTTTTAAACCACAGAGCATCAACAAACTATCCCCGAAGTATTCCTAGTTGCTTGGATAAACTTGGCAGCATAGAAACATTTTTAGCAAACACTTTAAGGTCAAGGGGAGGTGCCCACTAAATCTCTCTTGGAAGAGCATCACATAGGACTGGACTGATGACACTATATGCGCCATTTCATGTCAATGTCAAATGAGCCTCAGCAACTTGCATGATGACCAGCACATCTTAGTCACTTTGGTGGCATCTCTCTCTCTCCATACACACAAGAGGAGGAATCCAACAGCTTAGTGGGTCACAGATAGTTCAAGACAAACTGTAGCAGGAAAACCAACTAGTCCATAGGCTTCAACCACCTTTCTCTTCCATGGACTTAGATCCAGCAGTCTCCACGACAGGCGTTTCCCACCAAATTTCCCTTGCAGCGCCCATGTCTTCCTCTTTCTGTTGCAAGAGCTCCCCCACCATATTTGCAGAGAGGCACCCAAGGATCCAAGTGTAAATCACCTCCCTCTCATCTCCTATGGGTGCAAGTTATGCCTATGGGATTATACAGTGGTACCTCGGGTTAAGAACTTTATTCGTTCTGGAGGTCTGTTCTTAACCCGAAGCACCACTTTAGCTAATGGGGCCTCCTGCTGTCGCTGTGCCGCCGCCGCACGATTTCTGTTCTCATCCTGAAGCAAAGTTCTTAACCCAAGGTACTATTTCTAGGTTAGCGGAATCTGTAACCTGAAGCGTATGTAACCTGAAGCGTATGTAACCCGGGGTACCACTGTAATCTGCAGAAGATCGGAAACACACTGTTCTGTTTCAATTTACTGAAATTAGCACATGTGAATACAAAGCATGTCCTTCAAGAACTTGTTTCCATTAAATATGCAACTGGTCCCTGTCCCATAACTCTGTTTCATGTGAGCTTGGCAAAGGAAAAGGCTAGCAGTTTAAGAAGTTAGGATAAAAACTGTAATCCTCTAATTTAGCACAGAGAAAGAGCACTTCCCATTATGGTCTTGGAGCTACTAATAAGTAAATAGGGATTGCAACCATTGTGCAGAGGGTAAGGATTGCATCTGGTGAGGAAATGGAGCATGTGGTGTTTTGTTTTAAATGTGGGAACATCACGGAGCATTTGGTTTCAATTTCCTATTTGGAAGAACTGATTAGTGCCCAGATCCTGTGTCAGTGTTCTGCTGGCAGTGTTTGTAGGGTTGGTTTTATTTAGTATTTCATTTTTCACAATCCTTTAATACATTAATGTGCTTTGGTACATTAACATCTTACCTTTCCCCGTCAAGCTGTAACTTCCATATACATAACTGCCCTGTCGACTGAAGGTATAGGTCTATGTGTGTGTGTGTGTGTGTGTGTGTGTGAGAGAGAGAGAGAGAGAGAGAGAGAGAAAGATTATCAGTGTTCATTATGAGGAAGTTGATCGCCTTAATTTCAATGGAGATTTTATCCAAGAAAGAAGCGATGTTTTATATCAAACCCTTAGTGTAGTTACAAATAAGCAAACACATCCCAACTATCATTAAGCATAGCTGCACCTTAGACCAAAAAAAACACCTGTACATATAAATTTTATAGGTTTGGAGCAAGAGAAAAGCCTGCAAAGAATGCCTAGCTGAAGCTGATTTTCTTAGTTCTTTCTTCCAATAAGGCCCTGCCATCACCCCTGAAAAGCTTTTCCAAAGGCTTTTGCTGAATTGAGAAGGGAGGATAACATGGGTGTAGCCAGGATTTTTGTTGGGGGGGGGGCAGGATTTTTGTTAGGGGGAGAACCGACATGACTGGTCAGTTAGTTAAGTATTTCTATTGTTTTACTTGATCTGGGGGAGCAACTGCCCCCCCGGCTACGCCCATGGGGGTAAAGGAGAAGGGATACTCAAAAATCATATAGAAGCACTTTATGTGAGTGCCAGAGGTTTGTTGGGGGCTCTTGAGGAGCCAAATAAAGTGAACCTCTTTCAGGGTTTCTCTAGATCCAAGTCACTTCGTGGATCTGAATTATAATATAATGGGATGCTCAACACAAATGTAATTTTTCATCAGTGCAATGATAAAACTATTTCAAACAGAGTCCAGATGATGAGCTTTCGCCAATGTCTAAAACTGTATCCCAAGAATCTCTCACACCTGGAAAACTGGAAATTAACTTTGAGGAGCTACTGAGACAAAAAATGGAAGAAGAAAAGAGGCGTACAGAAGAAGAGCGCCGACAAAAACTGGAAATGGAAAAGCAGGAATTTGAGCAGCTCAGACAAGAAATGGGAGAGGTCTGTCAATTCTTAACATGAATTGCTGTGATAAGCGCATGCAGAATTTTCTGCTTCTTGAATTAATACGAGGGGCGAGAAAAGCATGCAGTTTAAAAGCTTGTTGTGAAAATTATAGTTAGTAGCTAACTGGACTTCAAAATAAACAGCAGGCAGGGTGTTGCGGACCCAGGCAATTCAATGCCGCTGCTCAAAGCAATGTAAATTACATAATTAACAGTGCGTTATTTAAGCACTGCACATTTAGGGGTTTTTTGGTATTATTTGATTGTCAATAACCTTGTGGCATATTTCCCTTTAAATAGGAAGAGGAGGAATGTGAAACCTTTGAGCTAAGCAGGGAATATGAGGAGCTAATAAGGTTAAAAAGAAGTGGTTCTATTCAAGCAAAGAGCTTGAAGAAAAAGTTTGAGAAAATTGGGCAGCTCTCCGAAGAAGAAATACAGAAAAAAATTGAAGAAGAAAGAGCAAGGAGAAGAGCTATGGATCAGGAAATAAAAGAAAGGGAAGCAGAGAAATTTCAAGAGGTAGGTCCCATTTTCAATTTTCAATAGCCTTGCGCTAGCTTCTGCTAGGGCTTGTGTGGCAACCACAAGACTTGAAGCCTTGCTGATAGCACTGTTTGTGTAAACCTGTCTCCACATGGTTACTACTTTGCATAACTGGATCCTATGGGACGGTGGGAATGTTTCAATCTAGCAACTGCAGGTAGGAAAGGTCACATATGGATACAAAATTTATAAGTTGCTGCATTGTGTGATCCACCCACGGGAAACTTGCAACCATAATACACACAAGTACTGTTATCAACCAAAGGAGCAGTATTCTGAATCTGCCTCGTGATAACGTCTGAGCACCACTGGCTTTGCTGAACAGGTGTCTTGGGGTTTTTTTAAACCAGTTTGAAAAAATGCAAAAGTGCTTTTTCAAAAAAAAATATTCGCATAGTGTGCACAGGACAATATATATAATAATTATCAACAATACACAGATAAAAATCAGAAAAATTTAAAAGCAAATGCTTATCTGGATAGGCTTGTTGGAAGTAAAAATGTTTTTGCAGGCATCTAAATGGGGGATTCACATCCACTTCCTGGGCTACTAGCTGATACCTATAACTAGTTGTGCAAAACTACAGCTTGATTAAATCTGTAGTATGTCAATTTCGCAGTGTCTGTCTAGCTAAATAGAAACTATGAAGATCCCCTTCGGGCATTACTCTGCCATGCCAGCAGACCAGGCATAGGCAAACTCAGCTCTCCAGATATTTTGGGACTACAACTCCCATCATCCCTGACCATTGGTCGTTAGCTAGGGATGATGGGAGTTGTAGTCCCAAAACATCTGAAGGGCTGAGTTTGCCTATGCCTGCAGCAGTTATTTAACCAGTTTTTCCAGAGATCTACTCAATTTGAGAGGACTAAGAGTTCTCTGTGGTCAGAACCACCACATTCTGTCTAATGTCTTCTTTCCCTGCCTTTTGAAATGGATTTGGGCAAAAAGATCTAACTCCAGGAACTTATTAAATATGATGCTTATCTTCAGCATGCCACGTCTAGTCTGAGTCCTACCATATGTCACAGTGCTAATGCTGTATGTCTGATTGCTACTGTATAGTGACAATGATGAAATCTTACCTTTTTTGCCCTGCGTCTTGTTTGGATCATGGACTGTGCTCCTATTTTACCTCTAGAGAGGTAGATGAAAATTCCTTTCCAGATTTCATATGTATTATTTATCTTCACAAAATGTAAAAATCAAGTAGGTTTAAAGGCAGTAGTATTTATGATCCAAGTTTCCTGCAAATCATGTAGCAAACACCACCCTCTCAGGATTATAAAGCTTAGAATTATGTTTAATTGTGACAGTGCACTGTAATTTCTTCTCCTTGAAGCATTAAATTATGGCGATACTACAGGATATGCTTTATGTCACTAGAAGAAACTTGTTTTGTTTTGCCTACAGCTTGACATCCTGTGGTAACAGACTATATTGAATTTATGGAGTAGTGAGCTTTCTGCCTGTTTTCCATATCCAGTAATAACAGCTCCCCCACCCCCTTTTTCCAAAAACTTGGTGCCATCTCATAATGTTTTTATTATTCCAGGAAGATGAAGTAGATGTAAAGCCAGCCACAAAATCTGAAGCTCCATTTACACACAAGATAGACATGAAGGCCCGATTTGAACAAATGGCAAAGGCAAGAGAAGAGGAGGAGCAGAGAAGAATTGAAGAACAAAAAATGCTACGCATGCAATTTGAACAGAAGGAAATTGATGCTGCATTGCAAAAGGTGATGCAGGTGGTTTTCGCATGCCCAAACTAGTTTGAGCCATTAGCAAAGTGTCAAGTGAGATCAGGGATTTGCTCCGTGGAGTCAGGAACCCCCAAAAGTGACTGGGTTTAGTTGGGGCGGGGAAGGGGAAGTAAAACAAAGCTAAGGAAATGCCCTAATCTTGAAGGGGTGGGAAAGTGGGGCTCCACCCCCACCCGGGTGCAATAGAGAAACTCCCAGGGAGAAACTGCATCCTTTCTCTTTTTTTAGGGTAAGAGAATCCTTGCTGTGTGACGTTTCCCCTACCCCAGTCCTCCTTTGGGGCTCATTCTCCTTTTCCCACAACCTTAAAATTCATGTTAGCCACCCAAAGTAATTAACTCTTCCCTTGCAGCAGAACCCCTGCAGCCATAACTCCAACATTGGGGAGGCCTCATCCCCTCAAAACAGGAGACCATGCCTGCAAATGCGCCCACGTCTGACAGGAAATAATATACTTTTAAGGTGCTCTGCATGAAAAGCCTTGGGTGCAATTTGGCAGCGTTCATAAATTATGGAGGGGCTCCTATGCCTGCAAATTTTATCTGCCGCTGTGAAAACGGGAAACGTAGCGTATTCTCCTTTACATTGAATAGAAGGAAAGCAGAGGTTTTGTTTTTAAGAGGAAAAAAAAATTGCTTCCCAATACGTCAATTAGAGTGCTTTGATAAGGCTGCATCGTTACTACATCCACAAGTTTAATCTTGGAGTCAATGCACATCCCTAAAAAGTTGAGCTCTTAAAGACTGAAAGCCTATCCACGTGCTGGTTTGTTTGAGTAAGAGATGATCTATTATCTAGCAGAAGCTCTAGGTACATGCAGTGGAACCAAGGCTTTTTTTTGGGGGGGGGGCAAGCAGGCAAGGATTACTATTGCATTGTTCTACAAGCCCTAGAAAACACAAAACATTAAAGGCTAAAAAGACAATCTCCTGGTTATCCCACTGACTTGTTTTTGAGACTTAGGCCTGCTTCCCTTTGCAGAACTCCATCCTTGCATTCAGTTGTCACACTAGTATGGTTAGACTAGTGTGATGATAGATGTTGAGAATAGCTGTACCTATAATAAAAAAATAATAGAAGGGACCCAGAGGATATTGTCCAAACCTCTGCAATGGAGGAATACGCAGGGATCAAACCTGCAATCTTTGGAGTTATCAGCGCCACACACTAACCAACTGAGCTATCCAAGCTGACCATACTGGTACTGTTCAAAGTGATGTATAATGTGTTTCAGCATTTGTTGTTGCAATTTATATTTCAAAATGCAGAAAAAGGAAGAGGAGGAGGAAGAGGATGGCAGCATTGTTAACGGCTCAGTCTATGAGGATGAAGAACAGCAAGCACGGTCTGGTGCTCCATGGTTCAAAAAGCCTCTTAAAAATGTGTCTGTTGTGGATAGCGAACCAGTAAGGTTTACTGTTAAAATAACTGGAGAACCCAAGCCAGAGGTTACATGGTGGTTTGAAGGCGAAATGTTGCAGGACTGCGAGGACTATCAATATATTGAGAGAGGAGAAACCTACTGCCTTTACTTACCAGAAACTTTCCCGGAAGATGAAGGAGAATATATGTGTAAAGCAGTAAACAGCAGAGGAACAGCAGCTAGCACCTGTATTCTCACTATTGAGAGTAAGAGTTAGCGTTTTTTTAAAGTTATTAGATCTTTAGTTCTTGTTCATGTCTGTTGATCTTTTCTTAACTTTCTTTTCTTTTCTCTTCTCTAGCTGATGACTATTAATATCCTACTTTTTCTGGAGCCTTCCTTCCCTAAATTTACTACATCCATCTTTCTTTCTCTCTCCTGTGGTGGGGCCAACAAGAAGTTGTCTATCATTCCTCAAATAAGATACCCAATTGCCAGATTTTTCTCTTGGTTTCAGACTGAAGTTTGGCAACAGAAGTTTGGTTCACTTGACAAACAATGGCTCAATTTCCACTTGTAAACAGCACTGTGGCTGCTTGTTAATGCCACTGAATTGCTTCTGTGACAAGGAGATTCTTATCAGGAAAGCCAAGCTGTTCATATGAAACAGCTTGTCATATGATCCCATCAAGTCTTCACCATGTTAATCAAAATGCACGATTGTCTTGAATGTGATCGGCTACTTCATGTAAGGTTACCCTAAGTAGCAGACTACTTAATGTTAGTTTTCATATAGAAAATTCAGCCAAAACCATATACAAACACAGTATTAAATTAAAACCAAAGACCACTTAATTCGTACTACATAAAAAATGATCTTTATTTCTTTGGTCCTGGAAGCTTTGAGAGCAAAAAGTATATTTTTTTGGTTAAACTATTAAGTAGCCAAAAATAATGTAGTGGTTTATTTAAGTTATGCCTTTGTTTAATGCAACTTTTCCTTTAATATGCTTTAATAAAATTAAACCAAGATTATATTGGCTTGAAAGCAGGATTATGTAACTAAATGTGTACACACAGTTGTATGTCATGTTCTTTGAAATAAAACATTTGCATTTGTTTTGTATTAGATGGTAGGCATTGTCCAGCATCTTGCTTGGAATATTGAACCAAATTTGTATCTTTCAGGTCGGAAGTGTTAGAATCATAGTGAATGATGTTTCAACTTACATCTTGTATTGTATAATTATTTACTGAATCATCTCACTCAGTATTTACCAGACACAATACAGAAATATGTATGTATAACAAGATATTACAGCCATGCTTTTTGCTACATGAGAAACAACCAACTAAACTCCAATATAGACTAAAATGTGTGCTGGAATGGAGCGCTATGGAAGAAATTTGCATAATCTTCCATGGGATTTTGGCTTACTTTTATTGATCAGGACAACTGATTTACATTTTATGCAGGAGATAACTGGGTCTCTTCCTTATGTTGTACCAAATGACTTATTCTGTACCTGAACTGGAAGGTTAATAAATATGTTCAGTTCCTAAAATTGAGTATGTTCTTTATTTAATACTTGCACAGCTGCAAATACTGGAAGAAACGGTAACACTTCATCTTCCACTTGAAAGCTTTAAGTACCTGCCCCTTACCCCAAAAAAACGCACAGGAGACAAATTACCCATTAGTTTACATTTATTGAGAACTTATACAAAAACATTACAATTAATGTGTATTCATGAGTACATACAGTGTCAATATTGCAAGCTCAACACAACATACTGTAAAGCATTTGATTTACCTCACGTCCAAGCTGCATGTCCCTAAGATACTTCCCATCACAGTAGCCTTTAAAAGACAATCTTCTTTTTTTTACACGGGTAGTTTCTGTAGAGAACACTATCTTAGGACGAAAATGCATCTTGCATGCATATAAGATAAAGGTTGCATAAACACAGGACTTTCATAGGGTACTACCAGTAGGAAAGGAGTAGCTACTGTTTGCATTGTGTAGGGCCGAATGTTTTGCCTTATGAACTGCTAGTACACACAACAAAAATCGAAAAGTTCTTTCTACTGCCTAGATTATGAAAAGAAAGATTTCTCAGCAGCTGATGTAATATTTTCAGAAAGGTGAATGATATAGCCTACCTAGTTTCTAAAAATAACTGCAATTTACACGAATCTAAAGATCACTTTTTTAAACTAGCAAAGCATATCCTATACAGCACACATACTGAAGGGTGATCTGTAAACATTGTTCTTTGTTGAAATTAAGATCATCTTTCCAAACATTCATTACTCTCACTGCCTAACATTCTGTGACCGGGAAATTTGCACTTATTTTCCCCCTGCCATAGCACAAGAACCGCTCAAGGAAAACGAGGCAACTATGTATATAAAGGTTCGAACTCAATGAATGGAATGGAACCTTTTGATTCAATGCAAGGTTTCTGACAGAAATCAGACAAAACTGAATACCAAAACTACACTTGGTGCAAGAAGATGCCTGTAGGTCCACCAGCAAATTGATAATGAAAATAAAAAAAAATGCTTAGTATAAAGATTATCAAAGCAGATGCATAATCCCCTATGCCAACAATTTCATTCTAGTTTCTATTACATCCCTTCCCTTGAAATTTCAAGCTATGTTTATATTAAAAACTGAGCAGCGAAAACAAGCTGTTTTAAAATGGGGAAACAAAATCCAACAGAGATGAAGCTCTTCAGCACGTATCTAGTTCTCATATAATAATGAAATCTGACATGTTGAACTACAACAAAATATGAAGTGGCTCGAGGGAATTCAAGTACAACTATTAATTTAGTTGTGAAATGCAAAACATTATCTATGCTTGACTATTCAGCAAAGTGTAACTTGATAGATGGTTTGTATTATTACCACATAACAAATTATGGAACATTTATGGTCAAGCAAATAGCACTTTAAAGAATGAGAAGCGATTAAAACAGGCAAATTATACCCTACACCATTAAGTATGGGATACATTTAAAATCGGTATTGTTTTGCCAATTTTACCTTCTACATGGAGCCCTTCTATGGTCCATGCTCATCGGCTCATCATGGCCATACACTCAAAGGAATCCTCTTTATTGGAAGTAACTATCTCAGGACCTGATTTTATGAGCTATGATTTGGTGCTTGCAGCATCTTCAGCACTGTGTGTGAAAATGAAGGCAGGGTTTTTTGAATATTTTTCTTTGATGCAGAGAAAAGCAGGACTTTTGATAAAATCAAAGCATTTTATTAAGTGACAAACAAAAAACTGATGGTACTGCCTTAGCATCGTCTATCTAAACTGAAAAAAATGCACCAGTTAAGCTATCTAAATAAGCCATATACAAAACATTTAAACTGGCAAAAATATACAGCGATTCAGCTGAAATAGCGAAGTAGGAAGGAGTTTCCTATAAAAAGGAAAGATTTGCTGAACTGTTAACATTTCACTGGTAATACATGCTTTCTACAACTATTCTGCAAAATTCAAGTCTAAATTTCCCTTCTTTATCAAATAAGCAAGCTAGGTTATGTTTTATGGTGTATAACTTAAAATCCGTTATTGCCTTGGGAATGAAACACACAGTATGCTTGAATAAGTAGTATTGGGTATAACATCCTTTGAACATTATAAAAGCATTTGTGAAGGCTGTTGAAATTCTGACCAATATTTCCTGTATCTTGAAAAAATATTTTATATTCATTTGTAACAACTCTGTTATTGAGGGAAAAATAGTAAAAGTGACTTACTCAAAAATTATTGCAGCAATCCACTTATCTTTTAAAAATAAAGATACACATTTACCCAGAAATGTAAATAATTGTTTCAGACTTTCCATTGGAATGAAACCATGAAGAGCAGAATACATTTGGGGAAGATATTGGCAGATTGCTTTTGAATACACAAGCACAAAAAATTCTCACAGGGACAACATTAATAAACTGAAATATGTATTTATACACTTCCTTAGGTTGTGCTTACCTGTGCTTTTTGCAGCAGAACCTAAGGTGGAAGGTCTGGGAAGGCACTGTGAAGTATAAATAATTGCACTGTTTGCAATTAATAAAGATTTTATACTTTAAATGAATCAAAATCAACAGCCTCCATTTGGTGAATGATAAAGAATCTGGTGAATTGTTGCTCTGTTTAGTTAGTAACTACACCATTTTCGAATAAGCTACAGACTAATCATGCAAAATATTTGATCTAGAGACTTTACAGCCTACACTAAATATATTTAATAACTTCCTAGTAGTCTTTTCAAAATTTAAATCCTAACCTAAATTGGGATAAAAATAATTCCCTCCTGATTCTACAGTACAACAAAATGCATTTCTAATGATCTGTGCAGTAAAACTACTTCATTTCTGATCTCATTTTGTTCTTTTCTTGCAGCCATCCTAAGAGTATACTCCAAAACAACAAAATAGTTTTCCAAAAATAAGGCTAATAAAGGTTTAGAAATTAACATATACTTCTATCACCAAATAAATGCAGACAACTGAAGACAATACAACCTCCTCCTGACAAGCATTTCAAACTTTTGTTTTTAACAATGCACAAGTTTTTATCTGAATATATCTCATTTTTGAACCCTAATGAACAATTATTACTTAGGTAAATGACAATTTCTTTTGCTAAAGCTAAATAGCTCAAGAATACTTACCATTAAGCTCATACACATACATTTATGAACACCTAGGTTTCTGAATTAAGAAGCAATTATGATTTGCTAAAATATCAGCACTGTATTTTATTCCAACATAATATTCACACAGGTATGGCATTTGCATTATGTGGAACAGTGACAAAAAGATACTGTTGCAGTTCATCATTTTGTCATTCTGATGTACTTACAGTGCAATGCTCCTTGAAGGAACAATCAAGGATGATACACAGCACAGTCCTCCTCACCCCTACAGAGCTAGTTCTATACTGGCTGGATCAAACCTGCACTTCAACAGACAATGGCAAGACAGACTGTATTGCATGTAATCTAATAGATGCAAAAAAAGCAAACAGTGGATTTTAACAGTATACCAATTTTCAGTATGAATTAGTAAAAGTAAAAAAGTTTTATGGAGATTTTTCAAAATATAACTTAATGACTAGTCTTCAGCATTTTAAAACAGAGCTCATCTGCAAGACGTTTTTCTGTTAAGCACTCCCAGACTCCAAATGGCATATTTCTAACACAAACGCAGTTTTAGTAACTAAAAAGCATATAATCCTTACTACACTGAATTCTTAAGCAAAGTGCTGCAAACCGATTGCGTAGCACATATTGCCTTTTAGAACAATTCAATAACAAGCCTGAAAAAATATACTAAAGAATTAAACCATGTATAAAAACAAATGTTAACTATAGCAGCTATATGGGTCTGAGACAGTGGTCATGGATAAAAAAGAAAATGCAACTGTTAATGCAGTAGAAGTATGTCAAGGAACATCTTCATGTACATGCAATTTTTAATCAAGTAGAAAGAGGAGGATATCAAGATGCTAAACAGCAAAATACAGTAATGAAAAAGATCCTTCTATAACTATTCTGCAAAGGGAGAATACCAATGTAAAGCTCAAACTTTCAAGGAAAAAAACCTTAATTGTGTACATGTACAGCATTACTAAGAAACCCTTGAATTCTCCGAGTACCCACATATCCAACTTACCGACACAGGAGGTTTCATATTATTTATTGTAAAGCACAAAACAGGCATTTAAAAGTGATCAAGTATACATTGAAAAAGTACATTTATATCACAAAGCATTGACCACATAATAGTTGCAAATACATTTGCTGGAATGTGTACATCTACACTAATGTACTAAAAACAAACCAATTTCCATTTCTACACAGAAATATTACCTCCTATCAGTAGTGATAGATATTTTGTACATTTTCAAAAACACTATTTTTAAACCAAACAAAATTATGATCTTCAAGAAGGCGTCTGCATCCATACATTTAACAAAGGTTTTTTTCCCCCACATAATGAAGCAAATACTGTATTGTCCACTTCTTATTATTGGCCCTGTGCGAAGAAATACATAAGAGATACACAAAAAGTTAAAGAAAATCTTTTTTAAATTGTGCTAACTCAGGAGTGAAGCCTTTAAGAAAGAAAAATTGGTTAATGTAATGGTGGTGGCTTCCTGCATGGCTTCAAAAACCCTGGGAGGAGAAATTTTTTGATCAAAAACATCGAATGTATGCAAAGAAAGACACAGAACTCCAGTTAACAGAGCATAAATCAATTTACGGATTGTCTTTTACCAGGATAAATAATGCATACTCCAGGTAAGATATCAAAGTGGGAGACATGCAAAAAAACAAAAAACACCCCACGAGATAAAGGTTAAAAAAAAAAATCACTAAAATATCAGCCAAATAAGTCAAGATTGTTATACCTGTGGTGCTGGAGGATGTTGTGGCATTCCTTGTGGACTTGTCTGGGCATAATAGGCTGCCTGCTGTCTATAGTATTCAGCCCACGCTGCACTATAATCTGGCTGACCCGCTGGTGGGGCTCCGGCTGGAGCTGGAACTGCCTGACCTAGAACAAACATACATTACACAACTCTGGTGCCATAAAAGGGACAAAAGAAGCTCAAAAGAATCTCGTTTCTAACAAACATTACCTTGCTTCTTGTAATATTCCTCCCAAGCCTTTGAATAATCTTGTGGCTGCCCTTGTTGACCTGCAAAACCCCCCACATTTTAATGTAAACACAGCTCCCAGGTACACCAAAATTACAGACAAGAATACAGTGGAAGAGTTCTTTGCTGTTTTATTTGAAGTTTAGTGCAAACAAAGAGAGAGATAATATTAAATCTCTAATTTGTATATTTTCTTCTACACATTGTTCCACAGTTTAAAATTAAGATTTAAGCACTGTATGCCTACATTTGAGCTCAGCATTTGTAGAATGGCTCATAGCCCCACCCTTCAAAAGTTTACGGCAGAAGTGTGTGTGGGGAAATCTATAGCTGAGGTGCCCCACTCCATATTAAGTATACTGTTACATACATAAACTATCCCACCCGATCCATGTTATTGCCCCCTCTGTGAGAATTGTATTGCTGGGGGGCAGGGGGATGTACAGCACGTATACACAATATTCTACAAAGTGGGCACACAGGAGTCACTGCCGTGTTCCTACAAGGTGAACCAGCCCTGAAGTGTATCAAACTGAGAAAGTTTGAACATTACTTCTCCCAACACTGCTTCAAAAATTAAGAATGCATTTCCTGTCAAATCACGTTTAACACACATTTAACGACATTACATTTTTCAATTGCTGCCTATGCAGAACATAGAGGAGTCAGGCTGGTCAATTCCTAGTGACCACATGGGTTCCTTTAAATTAGCTCACTGATTGTGTATGTTTTAATTAATTAATAAAAAATAGACTTTCAAAGCATATTACATATTTATACTGAATGAAGCAAGATCATTAGTCTTAAAGTTGCAAGTGTCAGCAATTTTGAAACAGGAAAGGGTCACAATAAAAACTAAAAGAAATCCAGCCTGTCCTTGATGTTTTCCCCACGCCTTCTAAGTGAGTTGGCATGTAATGGTGGGAGAAGGAACTCAAGGGATTTAGAAGCACCACATCCTGTCATTCCTCCAAAGAATTATCAGATATATGGAGTTAAACTTTTAGCATCACAAGGAATCCTATGAAGTTGCTTAACCTATGAGATAGAGGTCATCTACTGAGCTTCATATATAGTATCATGAGCCCCCAATTTCAGGTAATAACATACATATTAAATTACAAGTTCTGTAACTGGCTCATATATTACTTTGGAATCAGACAATTCCAACTATAAGGACATCCATACTGATAAAAATGGCTGAAGACAAAGTACTGCTATACTGATGTGACTTTTCCGCAAGTTGTAATTTATCAGACCAAAAAGTGGCCTCCAAGTGTCTACTGTTAATTCTATTTCTGAAATAATCAAGGTGGCTCAGACAGGATAATGTACAGGAATCTTTTAAGTACTTAACACCTTAGGAAAATGGCAGAATAGAAATATTGAAGTAATGTTTAACATTAATGTGATATTTAAAGTATAGCATCTTGTTTCAATTTATTGATGCATGCTTTAATATCTTACTATAAACAAGATATTAACTTGATCCATGAAAGGATTAATTCTACATAATTTTAAAATACATCACTGTATAGTCAAAGGGAGTTGAGGGGACACGTGAACAAGAAATGCACGCAAAAAACTAGTGCCAAGTTGTAGTAAAACTTTTGCCAAAATGGAAATTGTTATACCAACAGAACAACTTGCTTGGATACTGCTCTTAGTGCACAGTAGCAAATGTATTATTTTTTATTTTCTGACATTTAACTTAAGGTGATATACATGGTTCCCAGATAGTTGCCCATATAAACAGCATAGCTGCTTAGCTTCAGCAAGATGCTGACATTATTGGACGCATAGTATATATACACTGGGACTTAAAAGTCTTTGAATCTGAAGCTATGCAACATTCAGGAGTGGAGGGCATAGATATTCCCTGCAGTGATGCTAGTAAGTTACTTTTACAAATATGTCACAGTCATAAAATAATAGCCTTGGATATGACTACCAGAATCTTTGAATGGATCCAAAGACCCCACTGCATCATGTAAAGCATTTCTGCTTGTTCACAGGAGTCTATTATTGACTCAACCACCCTCTGTTCTCAAGAGCCATTCTAGAGAGTCTAACTACCTGAAACCAGGTTATAGGGGTGAAATACTTCTTTCAATATGCCCCTCCACCTGAGGGAAGCACTTTCTACTCAAACAGTTGGGTCTCTGGATCCAAACTTCTATTTTGCTCTAACAAGGTTTGAATCAATTTGTAGCAGAGTAAGCAGTAGAAAACCACAAACAAGGGTGTTACTGTGAATTAATTCATACTAGAACTACTGGTAAAGTTGTAAATATTGAGAAAGCAGTACTAGGGTCTTAGCAGTTTCTTAAGAGAATCATCATATGGAATTGCTGTAGTAGAAGAAGAAGAAGAAGAAGAAGAAGAAGAGTTTGGATTTGATATCCCGCCTTTCACTCCCTTTAAGGAGTCTCAAAGCGGCTAACATTCTCCTTTCCCTTCCTCCCCCACAACAAACACTCTGTGAGGTGAGTGGGGCTGAGAGACTTCAAAGAAGTGTGACTAGCCCAAGGTCACCCAGCAGCTGCATGTGGCAGAGCGGAGACGCGAACCCGGTTCCCCAGATTACGAGACTACTGCTCTTAACCACTACACCACACTGGCTCTCAATTTTGTATTGTATTTGAACTAGTCTGTAGATCACATATGCCAGGCTGATTAAAAACATTTGGAAGAACTCTAAACTCAAGAAAATGCCTACCTTTATCTGCTAACAAGGCTATTATGCCCTCAAGAGCTAATTTGGCATTCCTTGAAATCCAACTGAAAAAACTAGTCCTGCATATACTCTATTTCTCTTCCCCCGCTCTGCCACACACACAATCAAATGAATCCAGGAGTAATGACTAACATAATTTTAATTTACGGGCACACCCAAGCAAAAATACCAGAATGAGGCTGGTCTACGTTAAGAGATTTAGCATCCTGTCAGACCTACATATATTTCCCTGATTAAGAATACCTGGCTAACCTTATGTCTGAAATATATGGGATTAATTGTAAATTTCTGAATTATGCTCATTAAAAACAACAACCAGGATGTGATAATTCTATAAGAATGGTCAATGTCCCTTGAAATTCCAAAAGGGCTCAAGTCTCTCTCAATCACGTTTTTGTTGTTCCTGCCTCAACCTAACTCACATGGTACAGCTTCACCTTTCCTCTCTGCTCTTTGCAGGCACAGTGACACTGAATTCTGGTGTGTCCCTACCTTAGAGAAGAAAGAACTACATGGGTCTTGTCATGACACACATCTGGCATGAATGGAAATGATAGAACTGTGAGATGGTGTCTATTAAGTGTGGCAGACTTTTCCATTTAGCTAGCTAGAGATATGCTCGTTACTGGCAGCATACATCATCTGATATGATGATGGTCATTAAGTGTAATGGCTGTTGTTATCAAGCACTGATAACTCCACAAGGTAGGGAGAAAGATGGTGAGATGTTTTAGGTTACAAAATCTAAGTTACTCTACACTTCATGCAAAATAGCTATCCTTGCAATTCCCTGAGAACCCACTTTTCTTGATACATAATGAAGAGGTATTCATAAGACTCCCAATTCTTAATTTCAGGAGCAACCGAGTAAATTGTCTTGCTACTTAAAAAAAGCATACGAAACAACAAAGCTTTTTAGAGAAGTAAATAATAAAAGCCTCCTTTTTACATCAATAAAAATGTAAAACATACCCATTTTTTTATAGTACTCTTCCCATGCCTTGGTGTAATCTACCTGCCCTGCTGGTGCTGGATTTGGCTGATCTCCTACATGAAAAGAAAGTTGAAAGAAAAAGTTTTTTGTGCGAACATGGATAGAAATACTGGCAGAGATAGTTGTGCATTTAAATTTACACACATTATGCGAAGTCAACAGCTGACAAAGAGACCAAAAAACCCACAAGGTCAATTGGAAGGTATCTCACAGCACAATGAGCAAAATTACACTATGGGTGAGTGTCAGTCACTTATTTAGGAACTGCAGAGGATACCAACACTGAAATGTAGAAGCATACAGCTGATGCAAAATACAACATACACATTTTCCAAGTAGTTTAAAGCAATGATTCTGAAACTGGTATTTTTTACAGTCAAAGACTCAAGGCATAGGACATACATGATGACTGTTGGTGGACACCCCACATCCATCGATGTCCTTTCTTCAAAAAGTCAGTAACAAAAAACCCCTTCCACTGATTATTATTTGTACCCCGCCCATCTGGCTGGGTTTCCCCAGCCACTCCTTTGCTCTACCGAGGCTCCCTCAGATTCCAATTTGACAAAGTCTGGTCTATATACCATGATGGCCACATGTGTTTGAAAATGTGTATGCATTGCAGTTTTTTTTTTGCAAGAGTTGTTTGATAGTTGGCTGTAGTACCAAATAAAAGCACTACAGTGCAATATATTATGTATAACAAAAGGCTAGTATTTTGATCTATTAACGGTATCAACAAGCACACCAGTGATGAAATCCAGACAAAATTTGGGCACCCTACAGTTGTCATGCACCAAGTTGTTCAGGCCAAATTTCTACCCAAATGCAGATTAGTATATGGTATCTGGAGCACTGGCTTCTTTTCTATTTGGCACTTCCAAGCAGGAGCTGAGTATGTATGGCTGTGTGTGACACTAGCCTTATCCTATCTCTGTATAGAAGGAACGGTGGAAGAAACAGGTGTGTGATTCACACAATGCCACATCAATGCTCTGGCACTATAGGAATAAGCCATGAACAGTTTCAGGCTCACGTTATTCTTCTTGCTGCTTATCCAGAGATCTAGGAATTTCAATCCAGGACTTGCCAACACATGATTTGCATTTGCCAAGCTTAATGCAGCTGTCTGAATAATATGACAAACTATAGTTTACTGCCAAATCAGGACTAGAACCCTGAACTGCAATGGTGAATAGGTGACAGCATGTCAGCCTCTGACATAATGTTCGCCACACTATCATAGTGAAAAGAGTGAGAAAAAAAGGATAAGAGATCAAGCGCAAAGGAAACTGGATGGAGAAGGGTAGAAAGAAAGGTGACGGATAGAGCAGCAATCCAGTGGTAGCCAAGACCTTGACAATGCCCTGGGCACTTTTGCTGAAGTAAGATTAAGATGATAGGGCCAGAAAAAGGAAAAACTCGAGGTAGAGATGGCCACTAACTTGGAAAACAAAGAGGATTGGACATGATCCAGCAGGCACTTCCTAGGTTATGCCGCTTCCCCTTGCAGAAGCTGGTAATCTCTAGTCTCAATGCACCAGCATGCCACATAGTGCTCAACACAATTTTCAATTCTAGTCTTAGAAAACCAGCATTCATTTTTGCAACAGATCATTTTTGTTATACCATCAGAATTTCAGGTGGAATTTGTGAGGCAAGACTGTGTGTCTCAGATTATATGAGTATATCTGGTCAAAACAATGCCCTGGATTCGAAGTTTGAATGAACTCAAGGAAGTTCATGAAATGAAATTTTGCCCTCCCACCGACTTGTGCCTCCCTGAAAAGCCTCTTCTGCGGACTGGAGATTCTTTAATGGACAATGTGGAATGGGATAATCACTCCAAATTGAGCAGACCTTTCCCCCACATTATTCAGGAGAGGTCCCTGAAGAGCTTTTTCGAAGAGTCAAACCTTCCTTCAGTGAACTTCCTTAAAGTTCTTAGGATCCAAGCCTCCAAATACAATGATCTTACAAAACTGATTGGGTACCTTGTCCATTGGTCTGAGTGGCTGGTGGTGCACTAGGCGGAGCTGCAGGTGGTGGCTGTGCTTGCTGCTGATAGTAGTGAGCATAATAAGCTGCCCATGCTGCTGAATTAGGGTCTGTTGGCTTACCTAGGAAATTAAACATTACTTTAAGTTCAACATATCTTTGGTAGGCTTCCTTTATTTTCCACAGGCTATAGTTTAGTCACACAGTTCCTGTCTAATTGGCCGTATACAAACCATATTTTGGTTCAAGGCTGCAATCCTAAATACACATATCTTTTAAAATTATGGCATGCACAGAATTTTGCTTTAAGTCAAAGTAGCCCAGGTCAATTTCTTAAACTTTCAACAATATTTAGTCACGTGGCTCAAATTGCAATCCTATGCAAACATCCTTGGGAGTGAATGTCAATAAATCAGTAGGATTTGTTTCAGAGTCAACATATTTAGGAATTTTAAAAATAATGTACCATGTTATCTCTCGTTTTAAACATGGAACTCAATGCAATCGAACACCATCTTGGCTGGACACGAGAATACATGTAGTTTCTTAAACTGTTTCTCCTTACCAGGATCTGGAGGATTCGGTGGCTGCCAGTGTGGATAAGCATTACCCCATCCTTGCGGAGCATATGGTGCTGGAGGGCCACTAAGGAGGAAGCGTATGTGCAATCATTATTAAATAGAAATGGAAAGCAACAAAACACAGCAGCTGCAGCTACTTCAGACTTCTAAACAAGTCACGTGCTTGCCACTGGTGCTTGGAGGGGCAGAACCCCCAATTTACAGCACTTTCCCCACCCAGTGCTGGAACACCCTATTTCTGGGGAATCTAATTAGCTATTTGCAGCTGCAACTATTGTAGCAAATGCATTAAAAGCAATCCTGGAAATGGGTTGAAACCAAAGGATTATGCAATAATGTTTTTGGTTACTTGGTGAATAAAAATGTTAATTTACTAGCACTTAGAAAATGCGTTATTAGGCAGCAAAAACAAGTTCTGGCCTGAGTTCTACTGATGCAGCCCGGTGTTCAGGGGTGGGGAGAGTGAAGGTGGAGAAGGGGTCTGCTCAGTTTTGTGGTTAAGTAGTTATCAAAACAAAACCCATCCCAGTAGCAAAAGGGTTTGTGTTTTCTATATGATACCTTTGCCAATTTATTTATAAGAGTAAGTTACTTACTGAGGTGCAGGACCAGGAGGGCCAGGTGTATAGGGAGCTGGATTGTAAGGTCCCATTGGAGCCCCAGGAGGCGGCCCAGGGGGCCCATGTGGCCCAGGGACAACACCATGAGGTCCATGTGGCACAGGTGGCCCCAAAGGATTTACTGGACCCTGAAAGCAAAGATAAATGACATGGATGAAGTTGCTATCAACCAACTGTAAGAACAAGCTTGTTCCAATGTCCAACTAATGCTCCTCTTCTCTAAATATTTCCTTCAGGGAAGGAATTCCAGCTCTCCATCCCTCCAGAAATCCTTTGCTCTAAAAAGATTCTGCAGCCACACTAATTTTTACAGAACTCACATTATTTGGTTCTCATGTAGCTTCTTGCAGTAATCAGTGGACTAAGAAGACATTCAAACTTAGAAGTACTAGCTCCTTGACTGCTAACAGCTCACGGGGTAAACAGCAATTGTATTAGGGCAAACAGCTTGAAATATTCGCTACTCAAATAGTTCTATGACGTGTGAGAAAATGCATCAAGAATGCAAGGTATATTTTGTGTATTTCCCCCCAAAGCTGCCAATTACTACTAGAATCATGAGGCAACTTGAGCTGGTTTCCTCTTACTTTACATAACAATTAAAGAAATATGGTTTTCCAGAATACTTACTCCAATCTTTTCTTCTATGAGCTGCCGAGCATAGTCAATCTGCTGTGGTGTCCCCCGGATGGTAAATAATTTCATATTTGGATCTGCATTTGGTGGTGGGTTTCTTTGCAGTTCTATTCTAGCACCAGATTGCTGGCTAATGCTCTTGATAGTTTCACCACCTGAAATTTTAAGTACAAATTATTGCACTGAATTTGTTGCTAGTTCCTAAAGAAACAGAGTAGGGAAATTTTAAACAAGTCTCTGCTCCCCTGCCTGAAGAAATATTATCAGTCTAAAACAGAGCAAGACATCTTGAACAGATTCACTTAAGGCTATATTTGAATTTGTGGTGGGAAACCTTTTTGTTCCATTGTTTTACTGGCCCTATTCAGGAGGAGGAGGAGTAACACATTCTTTAGCTCCTCAAGGAAAAGTGACACTTCCACCACCTTAGTCCCAGTGCCTAATCGATGACAGTAAGATGTTGTCACACATTACTCAACACTGAATACAGCTACCCCATTTAGAAAATCTCAGTTTAAATGTAACAGAAGATAGAAAAGCGATCTGCCAAATAAATCGAGTTTATTACCTTTCCCAATAATTAATCCAGTTTTTCCAGTCGGAACAATGAAATTAAATTCTTGCAATCCACCAGGTGGTCCCATATTCCAATTGCCCTGACCTCTACCTCGCCCACGACCACCAGGTCCTGGACCACCAGGATTGCCAGCCTAGATTGAGATGAACAAAACAAAACAAAATCAGAAATAATTCAAAATTACTGCAACCTAAAATGACTAGCAATTTTCCCTCTGTCAAAATTACAAAAATACGATGCATATTGTATATATGCCAATGTCTTAAAAGAGGAACAATATTTTTGCAGACATTGGAGAATCTATTTTACCTTTTTCTGATCCTTCCGATGCATCAAAGTCAGCTGAATGAAAAGCATTTGGGCCAAGGAACCATGAGGATGGGTAAGGAAGGGATAGGGGTTTAGCTAAAATATGGCATACATTTTATGTGCACCTGGGGCAGAGATGTGAAACAAAAAGCATAGCTACCACTAGCAAATGTCTGCCCAGGGTATACTGTTTCAAACTGACATGACATGAGTATTGCTCTATATAGTGAGGTAGGAGAGCTGAAAGTAATGCTGATATATTTCACAACTGGCAACCAAAGGAGTGCATTTACCCCCTGTCAGGGAACTGACATCGGAGCCAGAGGCGGAGGCAAGGCTCCCAAGTGATGCTGGAGAAGGGCCCAGCAGGGAGAGAGGCAGCTCATCAGCTGGGGAAGGAAATCAGCGTAACACCAGTGATAAAGGGGGGCAGATGGGGGAATCGGCAAGGGGGCTCCAGGACTCCTTGACGGAGACCAGCGGGGAGAGCACAGGTCCTCCACTACCCACACCCTCCCTGCGCAGAAGACTTCCGCGCAGGGAGAGTAGGAGGAGACTTGGCGTCAAACAGCTTTTATGCTGGAAAAGGTTTAAGAAACGCCCACTGACGGATTCTGCTAGCGACTGAAACAGCCACGAAGTGAAGGGCTGTCCAGACAGAAAAGGTTTAACCAGGCAACCTAGCCAGGAGTGGCGGCAACTTACGCACGAGCAACCCCTATAATTATTACACCCCCATACCAAATAAATGGCATGGAATAGGGTCCACACTTAGCCCTTCTTTGACATGCTATTTTTCTATATACAGTATTTTTTTTTTTTGTATGAGCCTCTACCTGCAATCTGAAGTAACTCAGTGCAGACATAGCTTTAGGGATACAAGAGGCACCTTGATGGACTAGACCAATGGCCCATCTTATTAAGCATCCTGTTCTCCCAAGGATCAACCAGATGCCTATGGGAAGATAGCAAGCAGGATGAGCACAACCACTTAGTGAAAACCATGTCTTTGACAAACAACCTTACCTATCAATGTTGTCTGTATTTCCCCAGAATGACAGCTTTCAGTCAACAATCTTTCTATGTACACTGCTAATCAGCAACACCATGCTTGGCAAACAAAGTGTTGGCTAACCCACACTGAGGTGAGGCTCAGCATTTATCTATCCCACTGAAAACCATCATTTGCCACAAAGCTTAGAAGGACAAAGTTCCATTAATCCTAGAATCAAAGTGTCTCATGCCAGCAGTTTTACATATGAAAGCACACCCCAGAAACTGATGAGAACTTATTTCACACCATTAAATTATTTTGCAAAATATTTTTTCCTGAATTGCGGATTTCTGTAGCCTTGCAGTGAACAAGAATCACAAACAGGGACTGACAATTTGCAGAGTTGATGTCTTCTTTTAACCCAGAATGACCATCATAGGTAGGCTGGTGGATATTTTTGGTTTCAAGGCTAGAAATTTGTTAACACAGCTATTTAAGTAACTATCACATACTAAAGCTCCCATTAGCCCACTTCCTTTGAAGTTGAGAAATGTATTCAAATACATTTTAAAAGAAACCCAGTAATATTTTATAAACCACTTGATTTCATAAACATTCCTAGCAGCTATGAACCAACCTGAACACTTCGAAGAAGGTCCGTAATTATTTCTGCTGCATGTTGGCATCTGTCTGGAGGTCCTGTGATTTGGGCTATTCTGTCTGGAGTTGTTCCATCATCTGGAAGAGGAATGGAATATTAAAACAAATTTACTTTAAAAATTAGGAGAAAACCTCTGAATTTTATGTCATGTACATATAAGCATTTCACCTGGTTTGAACTGTATCCTCACACCAGCATCATTCTGTATCTTTTTAATCATTTCTCCATTTCTTCCAATTACAATACCAACTGCAAATCTTGGAATTGGTACCTGAAGAAACAGAACAAATTTTCAGCAAATGTTTCAAAGCAATCAAAAGTATTTATCTAGGTTTAGGTCACTACTTTTGACACATCTCAAACATACAAGCAACCCACAATAAAGCTGCCGTGAAGAGGATTAAGTTAACAAAAGGTCAGAGAACAGTAGGAAAATTAATAGCTGTACACCAGGCTTCCTCAACCTCGGCCCTCCAAATGTTTTTGACCTACAACTCCCATCAGCAGGACTAGTGGTAAGGGATGATGGGAACTGTAGTCTCAAAACATCTGGAGGGCCAAGGTTGAGGAAGCCTGCTGTAAACCTTTCCAAGCTATTTTTCTAACAAAATATTTAATACAACCCATAAGTATCATAACCATTATGTTTTAGAGAAAGAGTTCAATAATTGCCAAGAAGTTCATCACTAAGTTTATAAGGGCCAAAAAACGAAATAAAAATCTTTTATTATTCTTTTTATTTATATCCTGTCCTTTCTCCTGGAAGAATCAAGGCTGCTTACAGCTAAAACAGAAACAGCTAAAAACATAGGGGGGAAAGCAATCACTACAAAACAACAATACATTAATAGCATATACAAGAATACCATTACATACTTTCCTGCCCTTTATTCAAATTTGAAGAAAAAGAAGTGCTCTGAAAAAAACACATTTCATAAAATGTTCTCATTATACTCACATCTAATCCTTCATTTCCTCCTATTCTTGAGCCATATTCATTGCGCACCTCTCTAAAACCACCTTGATCACGAATTAGGTCCAAAACCATTTCCTTGGCTTGCTAAAAAGAATGAGGTAAAATTCAGATGCAACAATCTTAAAATTAATTCATATAAAGGAACATTATTTTTAAAAATTAAAATATCATCTTACTTGAACTTTATAAGGATCTCCTGTGATTCTAAGAGGTTTGTCTGCTCCAGTGTTCTGTGGTCCATCTTGAATCATTACCATTTTTACACCAGCTCTCTCCTATATTCAACAAAATTAAGCTGTACAGATTATGCAAATTTAGTACTTTAATGCATTTGCCCACAAATTAATTTTTTCCAGCTTACCTGAAGTTGCTTTATTGTCTCTCCACCTTTTCCAATAACTAATCCTGCTTTGCTAGCTGGAATCATAATTTCCTGGACTGCATTTCCTGGACCATCCCCATGATGGAATCCTGGCGTAGGCCTTCCTTTTTCAACTATCTGATCAAGTAATCTCTTTGCAGACCTTGAAAAATATACAATTTATAATAGTGGCAAGACTGGGGGAAAACATAACAGGAACAAACAGCAGAGTCAAATGGGTGATGGCTAACTAGAAAAGCAAGTAATCTGCTTAACAGCAAATGAAAATCTGTGACTCTTTACAGTGCCCACAGCCCTTCCATTTAGGGAGGAGGACAAGAAAAATGTCACTGAGTATAAGCAGCATGGATGCGAAAAGAAAAAGGCAGGGCATGCAGACAATCGAAAACACAGAACATGAAGATCCGCAGAATAGTGCAGATAAGAGAAAGGTAGGTTAAAATGTACTGGATATACCTGGGGGAAAACCTCAAACTATACAAAAGTTTTGCCATGCCTAAACAATGATCATTCTTCACCTAGGACACCAGAAAGTAATTTCTGACATAGTACACTATGTTCTTTAACATACAGAACCATCATTAAAAACACATCAGCCTATTTGAAAGTTTTAAGCGAACACTTACTGTACTGACTCTGGGGTTCCAGTTAACATGCAAGATCTTTCAGGCATGCCACCACTATCTATAAAATGGAAATAGTACAGAATTAATACTACTAAAGAAAGAAATCAGTAGCCAGCAGTTATGCATTAAAACTGAATTACACATTCAAAAGGTACTCAAAATCAATTGTCCAAAATGTATCCAAATTTTAACCCATTACTTGTTCCCAAAATAGTTTCTCCTAAAGAGTGGAAAATAATTAAAAACATTGGTTTGGTTGTAACATTACTTGCTTGTGTTCCATACTTTTCATTAATAGAACAGGAAGTGAAATAGTTACCAGGTGCAATCTGTATTTTGCATCCAGATTCTTGCTGTATGCGAGAAATCTGTTCTCCTCCTCTGCCAATTACTTGAAAAATGGACAAACAAACCAGAATTATTGCATGAATTGCATTCAGTATATTTTAATTACTTTATAGCAAGGTTACACTACTTACTGAATCCAACCATTCCATCAGGAACTTTGTATTCTTCTGTCATTACAGACCTGAAAAAAAATAACAAAAACTATATTGCACCTTGTTTGGAATTCTCTAAATAAACTTCAGAATTATATTGTATTATCTAGTTCCTATTAGTTTTTTTTCTTTGCCAGATTTGTAGTTTTGCAATCCTACAAATAAATGATAGTAATTTTATCAGGAGCCAATTATTTTAAATGAATAGGTACAATAATATCAATACTTTGAATAGATTTGAATTTCATAATCACTACATGTGATTTAAGGCAGAGGTTTGCAGAAGAGAACTTCCACTTATGAAACAGGATTTTACCTTGCTCTTCTCCACCCTGCACCCCCCTACATGCCTCTAAAATTTACTCTGGTTTTCCCCAACATGCAAGAGCAGATTTGGGGGCATGTAGGAGGAAGGAGAGGAAGGTTAAACCCCACTGTGTGAGTGGAGAGCTATTCTGCTCACACAAGAACAGCAACAGACAATTTGCGACCATTTGCTGGGGATGCAGGAGAAAACATGGTCAGGCGGAGATGCCTCTGAGTCCACATAAATAGAAAATAGCCCTGTCTACTTTTAATTTAAATACAGAAGTCACAAATAACAGCAAATATATGAAAAGCATATGTAAAGAGAAATAAATCTATCCTACAATGAAGGAGGAAATTCACTAATGAACAGGTTCTTTTTATTTACCTTATCAAGCTGATTTAAGCCTTATTTCTTGTCCTTAAACATAGTAACACCCTTACTGGTCCAAGCTATTTTGAAAGAGGCAATGATTTCTCTGTCATGCTGAACTGACTGGCATCTTATTTTCAAAGAGATTTGAGTAGCAATGATAGATTTGCTTACATTGCCATCAAATTAATGAATAACATCCTGATTCAATTTTAGCTGAAGGCAGTAAGAGAACATTGCTTTAATATGGATGGCATATTTTTAAAAATACTTTTTGGAAAGTGGCATGGTTACTCTAAGAAACCACACACACATGCTACATTATTAATCAGTTGCCTGTTTCTAAAATGTGCCTTGAAGGCTCAGATTTGTAGCTCACACAGCTAAGCATCCATGCCTGTACAATGCTTGCTTAGAGGTATGTAATAAGCACAAATATACCAACTGTAAGTGAGTAATACTATACAGATTAGCTGAAGTAAAGCAAGCTGATGAAAGTTAAACCGGTGTAAAGTTACACCAGATCCAAATTTCCTGGCAGTTTTAAGGTCTATTCACAAGGGACAAATTAAAATTGCCAAGTAGATGAATTAACATACTGGAGTCATTCCTGCTTGGGATTGTTATATGCAATTTTGAAGTACTTTTATAAATTCTTGGGAGAAGTCAATATGAACAGTTACATCTTAGAAGAATCAGAAAAAAGTATCCTACCTCTGTTGCTGATGCATGGGTGGCATCTGATTTCCAAAGGCTAAAATAAATATATACGGTAAATATTTTAATTCCATTAAATGCTCTGGAATAAATGACAATGGGTGCAACACACAGCCTACCATATGAACAATTTGCATATATATTAACTTTTTTCATCTCTCCCATTCAACCCAAAGTATCACAACTACAATTACAATCCTAAACCCATGTACTGGGAGTAATCCTCACTGAACTCAATGGATAGAGGTGGATAAGACTGCCCTATAATTATCTCACACGGGGAAAGACAGAACTGGGTACAATAAACTGAGGTCAGACAGAGCACCAAACCATGAATTGATGATTGAACAAGCCTAGAATGAGACATAGGCTTAGATTTTTGTCCTGTCATATGCCCAGTGTAACCATTTCCTTCCAACTTTGCTGATAGCTCAGAACAAGCAAACTATGACTGAGGCTTCACAAGGTATATCTGGATTGCAAATCAATATCAAACCCTGGTATGCATGGAAAATAGACATAATCTGCCAGCCAGAAAGTAAAGACAAATTATAGATTGCTGAAAACTGAGAAGAAATGAATTAGGTCAAGAATACAAGGATAGGAGAGCAAGGACCAAGCTCACTGTTTTTCCTACTCTTATGCACAACTTCCCCTTTCTCTCCCTACTCTTATACAGTAAATTATTATGAAGTAAGATCAATGGAACTTGGCTCTTCAGTGGGCAGAACATTTTTGCCTTCACCTTTAATGTGATTACCTCTCAGATTTCTTCTCCTATCCCAATGAATAAATAGTCAGTAAACACGCATTAGGATTTTCTTTGTGTTGGGGTAGCACACTGTATGTACAGTACTTAGGTATGAACAATCACCAACCCAAAGTCCTATCTCCCACTCTCTTTTGAAGCAAGGGGTAGGAGTTGCATGTGGCTTGCCATTTTAGTAACAGAATATCACTGGCTCTATCCAACACTGCAGCTTCACTAGCACAAGATATTGCAGTGTTAGCAAGAAAACTTCCCTCTCCTGTTCCCTTCCACAAAATCAGCTCCAGAGTTTGGGGGACCCACTGGAGCAGATGGATGGGGCAGAAGAGAGAAAACCTAAGTCGTGTTATGCCAGTGGAACCCTGATGCCACTGCATTGGATAGAATTACCTTCCCTCTTTTTTTTTCTTTACAGCAGCTGATACCTCCTGTAATAGCAGCATTGGATTTAATCTGTTATTGTTAGCCTTTCCAACTGTAATACTTTGGCTTGTATTTAATGCTGCTAGTTCACTCTCACAATGGCACTCCTCCCTCGTAGTCCACAATGCACCCTAAAAACCTTCTTCAGAAGGTTGGAGAACCCTCCAGAACAGATTGTAGGGCGGGACAAGAGGCAGGGGAAGTCAGTTGCGCAAGCAGAACTCTGCTGGCGTAGTGTTGGATACAACCCATTATTATTTTGTATTTTGCCCCTTACCAATAGTAACTTTTTTTGTTAAGCATATTATTGATAGGGTCCATATTCAGCTGTTTAAAATGTAGGGCTCCAAAAAAAGTAAAATCAGATCCTATATGCCTTGAAAGATAACAGCAAACATTCAGTATATCGAGTTTTCAATTATTTCCCTTCCTGACTCCCAAAATCTTTTCTAGAGGATTGTGGCACCTGTCCACTACTGTATGGAAGGTGAATGGTGGATTTCTGAGGAATAAATGGGATGGTTCTATAAAGTGTGGCCTCCCAAGGATGAATCCCGGGACTTGCACTTTATACTTGTTCATAAATGACCTGGAGAAGTGAGGTGGCCAGGTTTGCATGATATCAAATTGTTGACCCCAGTCTGTGAAAAAGGCAAGCTCCATTCTAGAAATCATTACTAGCCCACATCGCAATGCCTTCAATTCAAATGCACTTGGAATAGTGTGTACCTGTGCACCTTTCTTGATGCCAGAGGTGAGATGCACTGTGGGGTTTTTATTGTTCCTGCTGCTGTTTGTACGTTTTCATGACGATCTAAAGTGTTAACTGTTTTGTTTTTATATGCTTGTTGTGGTTATAATGCATATGTATGCCATATATCATTTGGCTGAAAGGCAGGCTATAAAATTTCAAAAGAAAGTTCTGATCATCACAAATACAAAGGGGTATTGTAGAGCTGGAAGTTTCAAGAAAGGGCAACCAAGATGATCATGGGGCCGAAACAACTGTCCTATGAGGGAACTTACAACATTTGAGGATTTATAGCAGGCATAGGGATGATGGGAGTTGTAGTTCCAAAACATCTGGAGGGCTGAGTTTGCCTATGCCTGATTTATAGTTTTGAATGCCCTGCCCTTGCCTCTCTCCACCTGGCTTGGACGGGGCCTGACAGGCTTCACAAGGACTGTGGCTGCTGCTCAGCAGAGGGCTCCTCTTTTATTTTTTATCTGTGTTGTTTTAAATAAGACCACCTTGGCTGTCAGCCCTGGAAGACCTGCACCCTGCCTTGCTGGCCTTTTCCCATCTGGCCTGGGAGAGTGGAGTGCTGACTGACTCCAGCTACAAAAACTGAGGCTGATGAACAGATTCTGGGCTGGAATATTATTGTTGTGTCTTTAGTTTTAGATCTTATGATTTATGTGCAAATTGTTTCCATTTGATTGTGTACTTTTTGATGTGTTTTATTAATGTTTATGACTTCTGTGATGCTTGTACTTATGTAAATCTTGTCTTGTTGTAAGCAGCCTTGAGCATAGTTTCAACTATGGAAAGGAGGCATACAAATAAAATGATGATGATGAAATATGGTAAGAGGTTCATAAAATGGATGAGATCCCCCCCCCCAGTACTTTCGAAGATTCTGAACAGAAAGAATTTCTTCACATAGCACATAACTAAACTATGAAATTCACAACCACAAGATATAGTATTTGCCACCAACTTCTACGGCCTGAAAAGGTTTTAGACAAATTCTTGGAGAATAAGGCTATCAATTACTAGTAGCTATTATCTCTAGCTTGCAGAACCAGTGGTCAGGGCTGACACCAGTTGGGGACCCAAGTATGAGAAACACTGTACTAAAAGCAAGTTTCTCAACACTTTTACATTAGGCTGCTTTTACTTCTGTGTATTTCACAATATTAACCAACAGATAGAGATGCCTTGATGAGTGACTAATTAATGTGCTTATCAGGCTTCCAGACTGTGTTTCGCACACACCAAAAGATGTGCTGCTCTATACAATAATTGCAACTATGGGCTGGAACAATGAACTATTAACAATAGGAAAATATAAACTAATGCCTTTCCACCAATACGTCTGTAAATGCTACCTTAAGAGTTTGCACAAGATATAAATTAAGGGTTTATATGAGTTATCACTGCTTGTGTAAGAACATAGTTGTTTCACTTTTCTTACAGAGCTCTTTGGAACGACGTATAAAACAGTCCTCCAGTGAGCAGAAGACATCTTCCACACAAAGAAGGAAGCCTTTGGATCTAACAAAATATTTCCAAAGTCACTATCTGGTCTTTCAGAAGGCAAAAATAGAAGGAAAAATGGTTTTTAGTAAATTCACCACACCCCTCTCCTTCATAATGCTACACATATGAGAAACCTGCTCTAAATTCCACAGCACAGTGGCAAATCAAAGACCTACTGTGCATACACAAATTCAAACTGATGCAAACCATACTCTGAACCTACGTCCTGCCCCAACTAGCTACTGTGCTCAATCCTTTTATGCTGCAGCTATATATTGCTACCTGTCTCCCAAGTACCATTATAGAACCTAGCTGCTCAATAAGCTTTAATATCTCTATCCTCCATTATAAGAAGCAGACAACAAGGCAAGGCATGGGATTATACTACAATGCATTTTAACAACTTGTCTCATTGGGTACATTGCTACTTATGTTCAGCATAGTGTTAACCAATTAATATGGGAGGTATTTCTAAACATGATGGGAAGCACACATTTCAAATGCATTGAAAGAACATGCTGCAGTATCTACAACATTCTATAACCCATTAAAAATGTAACCTTACTTAACCAGTTCAGATTTTTATAACAGAACTCTAAATAAGTCTGCAGACTTATAATGAATCCAATTATGCAGTAAGAAATTTCCTGTTGAAATTTTTACACATTTTTCTATTTTGGGTTTTCCATTAAAAGCAGAACTCAGATAGTCTCCTTCCAAATCCATGTAAGTAGCCAACCCACTGCTTTTGACCAAACATTGCAGAAGCTGCCCACAAAAAGGGCTTTCATTTTTTTTTTAATGATTAAAAATTATACACAAAAGAGGCACAGAGTGGGAAAGGTTTTACTAAATGTAGAGCAAAGTGAGAAAGGTGCCTCTTACTGGAACATTATTAGCCTTCAAAATACTGGAAGACATGGGGTGGAACTACAGACTACATCAGCCAATGAGGGATCCAAAGTGTGTTTGCTAAACAACAATAATAAAAATGTATGGAAGGGGCCTTTTCACAGGAGACGGGGTGGGAGGGAGGTTCTTAAGCCTTCCCTGCCTCTCTTTCCACTCTTGGACCCAGAGATGGGGTGCGAGATGGGGATTGGGGGCAAAACAGCTGGAGGGAAGGATTGCGGGGGAGAAGCAGCAGCAAAAAAGGGCTTTCAATCCCTTCCCTCTTACAGGTCCCTGCATCTCCTCAAAAAAAACCTTTCCTAGGAGAAAGGTGTGATGTGAGAATATGTGAAAATCATGCAGAGGCACCTTGTGCAAACAAACTTCTGATGCAACACTGAATCCAACCTGCTGTCTAAATTTAGTTTTAACCTTTTTACACTGGATATTTGGGCCCAACAACATATAAAACATGATTAGAAGATAGGATTGAGCAAGAAAATATCCTCAAGAGGGATAACAGAAAACTATAGAATGTCCTTTCCCATATTTCCTCTTCTACATAAAAGGCTGCTACAAGCTGAAAAGCGGTAATAAAATATGTTGGATTAGCAGCTCACAATCTGTCTATGGAAAGTTTACATTTGTCTCCTGGCTTGTCTTTTGCATCACTTCATAACGACTGCTCAAATGCTATGTTCTATTCTCATGTGTTGGTTACTTCCAAGACTGGATTATTGCAACGTGCTCTATGTGGGGTTTCCTTTGTGCTTGATACAGAAGCTACAGTTTAGTGTATAATGCCTTGTCAGCATATAATACCTGCTGAGAGATCTGCCCTGGTTGTCAATTTGCTACCGGGTCAAGTTCAAGGTGTTACTATCACTTGGGACCAGTTTACTTACGAGATTGCCCTACCCAACATGTGTCCCCTTGATCGCTTCAATCGGCGGAATTGACACTAATACAGATGCCACATAATATCTGTTCTGCATTTGTATGAACTTGATTAGGCTTAGTGAGGCAGTGCGTACACTTTGGAACTCCCTGTCTATTGAGATCAAGAAGGCGTCTTCATTGTATTCTTTTCAGTCCTTGCTAAAAACATTCCTGTTTAGAGACGTTCACCCAGATGCTTAGAAATCTGAGGTAGTTTTATTCTGTTTCAGTATTTTAACTTTCATATGTTTTAAAGTAAGGTGGTATATTTTTCTTGATTTTACTGTTTTAGCTTTACAAAAGCTAAAACAGTAAAATCAAGAAAAATATACCACCTTACTTTAAAACATACGAAAGTTATGTTTTAGGAGTTTTCTAAACAATCAAATGGTTTTATTAAATAATTACATAGTGTGATATATATATATATATATATATATATATATATAGATAGATAGATAGATATATAGATAGATATATAGATATATATATATATTAATTAAAGGGAGGTAAGGGCCAAAGCTCAGCAGCAGACCCAAGGTATCTCATAGTAGGAAAAAACCCCTACCTAAAGCCTTGGGGGCAGCCACTGACAGTTACTAAAGACAATACTGCTCTATGGATACATGTTCTGACTCAATACAGCATATCTTCCTGAATAAAAATCCCTGCCAACTACCACTTTTTAACTATCGAACTTTTGGCTCATTTCAAAACTATATTCCTTTTATTAATATGAATATTCTGTTTTAAAAAAGCAAATACTGACTGATTCAGAAAGACTCCTTCCACTCCTATTTAAGATAGCCCTCCCACAAACAAAATCCCTATATACAACACATGTGGTGCAGTTTCAAAAGTGGTTTGTATTGCAGATCTAATTACTGTTTCTAGGGATAGAGGCACAAGACCACCCAGCAACTCTGCCGCATGCACTCAACCACTATGTGCACATAAACACTGGTATATCATAATTATGTATAGAATAGAATATTAAACACTTGCTTTGACAAGTACACTTAAGAGCTGACCACAAGGTAAAAACATACTTACAATCATTATTTGGAGGAGCAACTTTCTTAGGCTCTGGTTGATCTGCAAAAGTAAGATTTTTTTAAATGTTTTTTGTCACAAAGATAGGCAATTTAAATAAATGGTTGTTCCAGAAGTGCAAAATGCAACTTGTCCAATGCATTTTAGCATGTTTTTGAAATTTCAGGGAATAGGTCATCTAAACAAGGAAAAATCTTATATGTTTAACACTTGGTTAGTATAGTCAGGGGGGAAAAATGCAAAGTACTTCCATTTATCAGATAAACTGTTCAAGGTTTAATAAGGCACGCAGGTTTAAACACACTATTACGGATGTCCAGGTCACTAAAACATAACTAATAAACATTTAGCTGTATTATTAGTAATTTGACACTAAAGCTAATGATGCTTCTGTAACAAAAACTGAAAAGACCACCATTGTGAGAAATAATCATTTTACAATTATATCTGACAACGACCACAATACTAAATAGAAAATCAAAATTTAAGATTCAACCAACACATAGCAATACAATCTCAATCTGGGAACTGTCATACAGACTTCCTAACCAAATACTGAAAATTTCACGGCATAAGACGTCAAAACAGCAGATTCAAAGCCACTACCATCACTACCATCCAAATTCGTTTAGTATGAGTGAAAGTCGTAGATAACTGATATCTGATAAAAATTACCTCAAATGTTTCCGTCCCACCCCATATTCAGGAATGTATGATGAACCACCATTATTAAGTGCAGTAAAAGTCAGACACATATTCCAAGAAATATTTGTGTCATCCATTTCAAAAGATCCACTAGTTCATTTCACGTTTACATACTAAACACAGGTAATAAATAAAAATTCCTGCCTTTAAAAGGAGAGGGCATTCCCTCCCAGTGTGTTGTACTGCTCGGACTTGTCCAAGAGCCATCTACACATAAAATAAAAAGAATACATTACATACATCATTTGAAGCATCATTAGCTCATTTTTGAATATTAAAAACCTCACTAATAATAAAAGGCACTTTAATAAAGTACACAAGTACTCCTTGTCAAGAGCCTTAGAAATTTTCTGTAAACAAAATTATAATCCTTCAAAACCTACATTCTCCTCCAAGGTCAGAAACTGTCTACATGAATTAAAAAAAATATTACAGAATGCTTTGCTTTTAGAAGATAAACATATTAAACCCTGTTAAGCCCACAAAAGCTTTTTAAAATTAAAAAAATTAAAAAATGCTACACATTTCAGTAACATGTTTTAAAAACAAACAAAAGGTTCAAGCAAGTTAGAGGAAGACATTTCTCCAAATATTTCAATGCTTGTCTTTTTAATGAAATAACTACATATTAAAATGTTGTGCCTGCACAATGTAACTTATATACCAAACCACCAGGTTTGAAAAAGATTAACAAATGAGCATTCTCCGTATAAATTAGAGGAGCTGTTAATCCTCTGTCACAAATATTTCAACACTGTGCTTCTGATGCATTTTAAATAATACATATTTTACCTACCTTAGGTTTTTAGTTATGTCTAAAAGATCATATCCATGTTGAAGATGGACTATTCTACCTTCTAACCAATAACCATGATTAAAGTAATGCAGAAAAGCTAAACTAACTCATGCACTCACACACACACTATCAGTTTATAATTTTTAGAATTGAATATATTAGCGTCTTATATACTGATTGACAGCATACCTCCATCTTCAAGAGGTCTTTTTTGTCCTCCATAACTGTAATCATTTGAATTCACAGATGTTCCAGATTCATTTCCAATTTTTGCTGCAATCTGAAAGAAAAGCAAAGGCAAGCATATCAAGTCTTTTATTTTTTTTTACTATGTTGTAAAAAGTAATGTGTCAAAGAATCATTTTTTTTACACTTCCTGTAACAGATACCTTACATCATACATTAATATGTTGTCAAGCATTAATTACACTAAACACAAGTTGTCTAACTATGATTTTTGCTCTGGGAGGCCACCACTTGAAGATAAGGGCAAACCTTTATATTAAGAGAAAAACTGATGTCAGCTTAACTGGAAGAATCAGACACGCAAGTGTTGAAATACAACAGCAACCAATTATGGTATCAGAAGTTAGTGTGCTTGCTTGTGACAGGCACAGACACGCAAGCAATTTCTTATAGAACCTCATACCATATAGAAACTAACAATGAATTGCTTGCTATTTTGCCCAAATGATTAATTTTAAAGCAATATAGTGAGGGTGCCTGCCTAAAGTCAAAGTGCAGTGTTACAAATGCTCCTCCTCCTCCAAGGTGTAAACTGGCCCCAAGCCAGTGTATACATACTTCATATAGTAATTGCAGTAAATTTCCCAAAGGTTAATGTCAGTGAAGATCATTTTGAAATCTCAAGCAGTGCATGTGCTTAGACCAGTGCTTGGATTTAGTATGGGATTGGTGGTAGCTAATAAACTGCAGCTGAACACTGACAAGATAAAATTCCGATTTGTAGATGCCCATGTGTGGAGACTTAGGTATACAGCCTGTGCTACATTCTCCTTGAAAGAAGGGGTGAAATTTCGGGGTAGTCTTTGATCTAGCATTGTCATGAGGCACAGGTAGCATGAGCGACACAAAGTGTCTTTTTAAAAGCTATAACTGTTCCTGGACATGGATAGTCTGACCATAGTGACCCATGCTCTGGTGACCTACTGACTGGGTTACTGTAATGCGCCGTGCATGGTTCTATCCCTTGAAGACAATCCAGAAACTTAAGTTAGGGCAGAATGTAGCTGCTCTCTCTCTCTCTTTACTGGACAGACGGAATGACATCACAGTGATTCTAAGAGTTACATTAGCGGTTTATTCACTTCAAAACACAATTCAAAGTGCTGATGCCTATCTTTTCAACTCTAAGCAGCTCACTACCAAAATACCTAAAGGAACATATCCACCAATGCCAGGTTGGCAGGGTGTTTAGATCCTCCAAGGTGGGTTTTCAGTTCCATAACCAGGGGGATTTCCACTATGTGGTGCCATACCTTAGTTGTGCTACGGTAAAGCCTTTGCTGTGGTGGCACTGCATACGTGGAATGCTCTCATAAGACTTATGATTGGAGCCCAAGCAATCATGATTTCAGCACCTGGTCAAAACATACCTATTTGCGTCCAGGTATTTTAATAAGTTGGTAATTGATCATCTCACTCTATTTTAACTGCCTTTATTTGGTTTGCCATTTTATTGTTGTATGGCGGATTGTTTATTTTTTGTTCTCTACTCTACCTGAGAATCAATAGATAAAAGGTAGATAATTAGCATTTTTAATGACTAAAATGAAATTAATTTATGATCCTGTAAATCTGGGTTCTCCTGTTTTAAAAACAAGAGCCTACATCATATTTATTCACAAGTAAATGTGTTCAGTGGAACTTTTTCCCCATCTAGTAGACCCCATTTCAGGAGAACTTACTTTTGAGTGTGTTTAGAATTGCATTATTTAATATCACAGCTGAAATGAACTACAACCTAATTGGCTCAGGCTTACATTTGAATGTTCCCTTCATCTCCCTCTTCCCTATGATTCTTTTTTTTAGTTTGGAAAAAAAACACCAAAAAAAACCAAGCCTGACACAGTTCAAATCCTGTCTCAAAGCAGAAAGAAATTACAGTACAAGGTGAAAGACAAGCAGGGAGTGTGCAAACCCAAGAGTTTTGACAGACATTTATGTAACTCTGAATTATGGCATGTTGCTGTATCTGAGCCACCTCAGTGTGGTAGATTTGGAATAGGAATGAGTTACACATTATACTACTCCTAGCTGCCCTTAGTCAAGAATTTTGTTGTTGTTGTTGTAAGCATGTATTAAAAGCACCCCCACAGCCTTATTTGTTTTTAAAATGTACCAACACCTCATTTTCAAGATTTTCTCTTCAGCCACTAAGAATGGAAACTAATTTAAAATTATTTCCCCTTGTTCAATGTTCAAACAGCCATTCTGCATCTAAAAAAAAAGGTGTAGAATGGTTCATCTATTAGTGTATATGAAAGAGTGCAGCTATAAAGAATCCACGTCTTTCTCTTTTTATAGACGAGTATATTCAGTCATCTATGAGGTAAGGTGGTAGTGTTGGGCCCTGAAAATTTAGCTTTATACTACAGTTTATAAATTATTTTGCCACTTCCTCTCCGTTTACAAAACTACAACAATTTACTGGATTCTGTACTATCCTCCTTGCCTTACCTCACCCACTTGCAAGGAAGAGGACTGTGATCCTGTCTTGCTGGAGCTTTCAGTTTGTATGAAACGTTTGAACAAAGATATTGGCAAGTGCTGAAGGCAAAGAACTCTTAACCAAATGCTTTCTTAATTCTCTTTGCTTTTATAAATTAATAAGAGATGTGGTTTCTAGATCAAACTTTTCTGAATTTGGGCTGGTTGTTACATCTAACGTCTAAGTAAGTTGCTAGGAAACAAGAAAGCTTAAGGCAACTAAATAAATGGAAGGGAAGCATTATTGCTAAAAATGGCGGCAATTATCTTCAACAGTAGGAAGCCAATTCTTTTTCCCCGACTGCCCCAAACCACACAACCAGGACAGAGACACTTCGGTCAGGACTAGTTGACAACTACAGTATTTCATATAACCTCTTACAGAATCGAACGGGAGTCTTTTTCTGATTTGGAAAATGCTCTTATCTCACCTATACAGCAGGCGACTGAAAAAAATTAATCTAAAAACTTATGGGGTCATATAAAGTGATATAGAAACACCACCTTCTAATTATTATGTGAACAAGAGAAAAGGAAAGAGTGGACCAGCTACCTTATTAGGCAACAATTTCTATTTTATAAAAGCGGTGTTTCGGGTTTCTCCGTGTTGCGCGACTGTGTAAAAAAAATTAGGGAAACCCTGAACTGTGAGTAAAAGGGAGGGAAAAAATATCCCAAGTAAGGAGGCGGAAACTCAAATAAAAGGTGCCTCGGCCATACAAGAGGCTACCCCCCCCTTGAGGACGAGCGCTAATTCCTCCCTCATCCTGTGCAGTGGAAACTATTCACCAAACGACGAAAATCGCTACAAGTACAGGTATTGCATGTGGGGAAGGGAGGAGACGGTCCTCGTGGACGAAGAGCGAGCGAGGTGGAAGTTGGGGGAAATCAGAAATGCCGACCCACCCGCCTCTTTCTCTCTGGGTTGGTGGTGCACGTAGAGAGGACGCCGCCATTACGGGAAGGCGGCTTGAGAGGGGGGAAAAGGACCCCAAGGAAGAAATTCCCTCCTAATCCGAGGGATGGTGTCTCTCAAATCTCACTTCCCTCCCTCGCTCCCGTGAGGAGCGAATGGAACCGAGGCGTCACAGGACTTTCTCTTTCCACCCCCATTTTCTAGTCACTGAGGGAACTACGGCGCCCCTGCCCGAAAACTCCTCCCAAAGGCCCACGGAACAAAAAACCGCCTCAGCTCCCAACGGAGGGAGCGCCTCTGGCGGCCTACGGGACGGCGGCGGTGGTGGTGGGGCGTGCCCCGCTCGCCCTTGCGCAGGACGCCGAGCGACGGAGGGGCGAATTGGGCGGCCTGCTTGAAAAAGCCTGCCGGGCCAGGCCGGCCTGGGAAGCGGCACCCATTGCCCGGTGCCGACGATACACACCTGCCTAGCCCGTTGCAGCGCGTCTTTAAAAGCATCATTGACTGCCCCGCCACCTCCTCCGCCTCCCCCGGGCGCGCCCGAAGAAGGAGGGGGTACCGTAGAGTAATCCGCCATGTCCGCTTCGCCGCTTCCTACCGCGCTCTCTGCCTGCCAAGAAAGAAAGAAAATGGCGGCGGGCGGGAGCCTTTCACATTCCTGCGTCGCATCGTGTTCCACGAGAGGAGGGCGGGGGGTTGGGGAGGGGGAGGAGGCGCGCGGCAAGAGCTCGCGAGACGCCTATGAAAAGGGCATGAGATTTCAAGGCGGGAAGGTAAAAAAAGGGAGGGGGGAAAGCTTTTGAAGAGGGAAAAGGGAGGAGATTATCGCGAGATGGGACGAATTACAGGCCGAGATTTGCAAATGTGGAAAGGGGAGGGGTTGCGTACTCCCTTAGGGGGCGTGAGAGGCTCGCGCGATTTCTTCGCGAGCGAGCTGCCGTGGTGACGTTTTAAGCGGGGTGGGCGGCATTACATCTCGCGATAGGTTATCCCCAAACCCCTCCCTCTCGCGCTCTTTTTTTAAAACCCCCTCCCCCGGGCGTTTTGACGTTTCTCCAGAGCCGGCGTGTTCGGACAATAGCGGAGGGGAGGAGGCGGCTTTGAGGGAGTTGCCGTCGCGTCTCTCGAGGAGCGCCGTCGTCGCGGCCTTAGCCTCTGGGCCTGCGAGTGAGTCTGTCAGGGCGGGTGGAGTGAGCGCGACGAGGTTCTGCCTCTCTCAGGGGGCAAGGCGCGTAAAGTAACGGGCTCGGGCCGCCGTTCGCCGTCGCCTTATATATAGCGACAAACCCAAGCAAAATTGGTGGGCCTGCGAAGCCCAGCTAAAGTTTTGATAAACGTTGTTAAAACGAAAGAGAAGCGCACGCCCCTGAAACAAGCATGTAAGGTCCCGGAGAAAACCATGAATGCTGATTTCGTATCTGCCCATAACGTTTATATTAAAGCTTTTCCACCTGCTGTTCCCAAAAAACAAACACGTGTTTTTTTCCTCCAGGCGGTGATGTCTTAAATTTGGATGTGGCGGGGAGGGGAGGGGCAAATGTCTCGTGGGTTTCTGGTACTGATGCATAGGCCTCAGAAACACTCCAGGGACTAGATGCTATCTGTAAGTAATAACATGCCCTAAGGGGCTTGCATCCGATTCCCACCCCCAAATTCTGGGAACAGTAGCCTGTGGGTGCTAGAAACCGTAGCTCTGCAAGAGGGTGAACTGCAGTTCCCAGGATTCTTAAGAGGTGGGGATGTGCTTTTAAGTACATGGTGTGTATTTTCCATGCACCATCTAATCTAATCCTTTCTAAATGCATTACAGTTATAGCATCTTGGACATTTTGGATCAGACAAACTCCTTGGGCTGTATCCAACTGGAATCCATACTCTTCCCCCCCCCCCTTTATGCTGGACTGAGGGTGGGGGACACATGTTTTGGGCGTGGTTTCTGCCTGCACAGTGATGCTGTGAAACTCCACTTTCAGCCTTTCAAATGTGCAGGTGGATTGAAGTGCCACTGGCAGAATCTCAGCAGTGCCGAGCCCACACAAGCTGACCCTATCGCTGCCACATAACAGCAAGCCCAATTTTGGCTTGAGCAGCTCCAGGCCAGTGCAGCAATCTGCCTGACTCGCTACCCTGGCTACCAAGTGTGTAGCAGGGCTGCAGGTACAACAGGGTTCCTGCTGCTCTGTAAAGTCCCACACTTACCTTTGTTCCACATTTCTAGGCACAGGTCCAGGCTTTCTAGGTCTTTTTTTCTTTTTGCTCCAGTGCTTACTCCAAAACTCCCTGCTCTTTGCTGCTAAATCAGATCAAACAGCAATCTGCAGAAAACCCATATTGCCATTTACTCCAATTTGGCAGTAAAGATCAGGTTTTCCTGGGGAAAGTGGCAGGTGGACCTGTGCCTAGAAAGTATGGAGCAAAAGGTAAGTGTGGATGAGCTCATACTTGGAAGTAAATTTGGTGAATTCAGTAAAGTCTGTTGATTACAAGGGCTCTATTCTGAGTATGACTTAATTGGAGACAATCCTTTATCTTAATCTGTGATCTTAAACTTGCATGTCTAGTTTAGTGTAGTGTTTTTAGACTGTTCTGTAAAATCTTGAGGTTGATTGGAAACTTAATGATTCCTCAATAAGTTCAGTAATCGTGTACAACCTTTGCTGAAACACAGCTTGTCTGCTGTTGTTGATGTTCCTTTGCAATGTATGACTGCAGGGAAGTGTGACACTGGTTCATAGATGACAACTGTGGGTCCCAAAGATACTGCTATGTGGAAAGTGCTTCTTCAGGATAGAAAAGTTTGAAAACCAAAATCCCATTGGCGTCAAAAACTTTCCAAAAAAGTATATATAGGATTGGGTTATATTATGTGTTAAGCAGGGAGAAATATATCCCAAAGTGCAGGGTCCATAGAAGAAGCGGTAACTTGCACGTTAGATTTATATTTTTTGTAAGACATACAGTTACACTGTTTTCCTTTTTATCTGAAAGATTTACGTAGGGTTCACTAGGCAAGATTTAGCGAGTTAAGGGACTTAGTGTTGACACTTTAGCCTTGATATATGGTAAGTTGCACAATTCTCTCTTAATTCCTTGAACATAGTGATTGGTGGAAACAATGATATGGGGGTATTGTGCAGCTTTTTTTGCCTTCAAGCAGAGGAGAGGCTCAATGCGACAGACATCCTCAAAATAATTCATAATGTGTTTTTTCTGGAATCCACTGCTCATCATAACATCTATTTTGAAGCTGTGAGCTTGCGGCGGGGGGCAAGAAATAGGAATGATCATGGGACAGCCAGAGAAGTTTCATTATCAGGAGTACACCACAAATTGAAATTTGTAAGATAGTCATTGACCTAGGTTCAAATTGCTGCTTGATATGAAAATAACATTGACCCTGGGCCAACCACTACCTCAGCTGTATACCTACAACACATGATTAAGACTAAAGAGCAAGTGGCAAAGAAACTACACTGGACAAAAGGCGAGTTTAATGTAACAAAAACAACTACAGTACTTATTTTCCATAATGTTTCTAAACTGAAAACCTTGGGATGGTAAGATTTCTAGTATCTGTAAAGATTAATATTTGTTTAGTGACCTCTAGTGGGCATAGTCAGATGGTGCTCATATAAAACATCCAAAGAGTTTAAAACACAGTTTTTCAAAATGTACTAATAAAATAGCTTGCAAGCGTTTATCCACAATAAGAAGTTGGTTACATTTCATGCAATTTTCCCTGAAGCATAAACATGCTGGCAGTAACTGATGAGAGTTGTAATTCAGCAACATCTAGAGTTCCATACGTTCTTGATCCTGCTTTACAGCTTAATTTAGAGGAGGAGGAGCACTAGATTGCGCACTGACTCATGAACTGCATGTAATCACATGAAGTTCATTATTTCGTGAAAGTGTTCTTGCCCCACAACAAAGGGAACTAGACTCTTGGAGTGGAGAGCTGCTTGGCTTTTTCCCTGCTATAACAACATAACCCATGCTAGGCCTTCGTTTAATATTCCTGCATTCCACAGGAGGTTTTTTCGGGGGGAAGAATGAGAAGAAAAGCCTTTTGGAAAGAGCAACCATTGAATTATTTATAGTCGGATCTAGACAGGATTTTGTGGTAGCTGAACGGATGTTTCTGAGGCGAATCATCGGCAGTGCTTAAATCATTCTCTATTTTTGTAAATAGATTTAGCCAAGGTAAAATCTTGAGGGAAGCAATATAGTTGTACAATTTGTAAATCTTTTTGAGGATTTGCAGTCAGGTGTGGTACAACTTGCAGTACCTTGGGCAAAGGGCTTCTTGCTGACTGCATCTAAATGGCTCATTTAATAAGCTGCTGTCAAGTAGAATGGGGGTAGGCAACACCCCTCACTACTTGTTTGCAAGGGAAAACACATTCTTGAGTTATGAATACAAATACTGAATATGGTAGTTCTGGGTTGTTATTTGTAACATGCCATATTATTTGTAACAGGTTCGAAGAAGGGCCTCTTGTGAGATATGGAGTGGCACAGGAATATTAAAACTCAAAGACTTAAGCAACCACCTTTAGTTGTTTCTGATCTGAATAGACAAATTATGCTCACAGCTATGCAGCTTTCTCTTTCCGTAGAGCTCCTAATGTGTGACATCATCTGGGAATTTTAGTTCAAAACATTTGTCGCTTCTGTCACCCAATTACCTGCCATGGATCTTCCTGCTGGTTAGGTTTAAGGAATCAAATCCAGTCTTTTCTTACTGGATTTCACAGCGCAAGAGAATTGGACTTCTAAGTTTTCTGTAAACTTTAACTTTAGCACTGTGAGTCATACTCCAATGTGTGGGTGGAGAAAAGCCCTTGAGAGTAAGTCTCTGGCATGGATACTTGGAAACACACTCCACCCCCCTGAAATACATTGCATGTCTACAGCTGAAATTTGTGCTGTTCCTTTTTTGGTAAAGTTTTGATAGGAATAATTTTCTTATGCTCTATTTGGGATTAAATAGTGGGATAGACACTAAGTCATGTTTTAAAGTACTTCTAGAAAGTAAATGAGAAGAGCTCTAATTATTCACTGGTATATTTTTGAGGATGTTTACCTTTTTCTCAACCCCATTACCCATGACATATTTTAATCTGCTGGACATGCATTGGCTGAATTTTGATGAAATGCTAAACTGGTTCGGTACTTGTAGTATGGCTATAAGGTGGAGTTTTTGAGCTTTCATTCCAGATTAAAGCACAGTTTAGTGTCGCCGCCCCTTAGATACTGGTTAATCTTAACTATGATTAGTTGAAACAAGACAGCTTCATAAACTACTGTATGAAGCTGGCTTGTTTCAACAAACCATAATTAGGATAACTATGGTTTGCCTGTGTTCAGATGACATGGGTAGCTGGAGGAAACGTGTGGGAGCCTGAAGGCTGATGAGGCTTGTTCTCATAATGCTAAATGAAGTAGTTTCAAAATGTTGGTTGGCTTCCTTAAAAGTACCTGGCAAAAGATAGGCCAGGAAGAGGAAACTTTCTTAGGAGAAGTATTTTACACTATGTCAAACAGGAACCTAGAGAAAATGAGAGAAAATTCTTTGCTTTCAGAACAGAACCCTTGCACTCTGATCATGGATTCCATGCAGTTGTTGTGTCATGTTAATTTTCAGCTGCTTAGTGTTCAATATCCTTTGTGTGACATTGAACTGAGTGTCTGAGTAAAATTCTCCACTGATGTACAGTACACAAATAGCATGAGCAACAGCAGAACAGACAGTTTTTCTATAAGCTTCAGTACTCTTCTGTCTTTGCTCTCTATTAAGCCCATCACAAAAGTTGGTTTCTATGTTGGTCTTGCCAAAAACAAAGCCAGTGAAAGAATCTGACTAGAGCTTTTACTTGGCAACTGAAAGACAAGGAGAGGATGTTTACACAAAATATTCCCTGCTCAGTTCCAGAACATGATATCCTGAGTTCCTTTCTCACAAAAATAAACTGAGCAGATCAGGATCAGAGGAAACTTCACGTATTGCTGTGTGTAAGGATTGTGGTCAGGTAAGGTCCTGTTTTCCTTTACGAGAGTTATTTACTTTTTAAGTTAGGTGGACAGAACATAGCCCCAGAAACAGCTGTCCAATATGTATCCGTTTCTGCCATAACCTTAAAATTGCCAGACTGTATGTAGGATGACAACAGCCACCATTTGTGCTGTGGAAGCTGCTCATTCCAACTCCTTCCTGCTCTGGTCATGCAGAGAAGTGTATAGGAAGAAGACTGTACTAGGATATGTTGAAGGCAGAAGAATGGGGCAGGATGATAGAACAGAGGGAAGCACCCATTAACTTTTATTTACATAGGTTGGCAAAGTAAGATAATAAGCTTTTTGTAAAATAAGTTCTTGTTGCCTCTCTCTTTGCATACAAAAGCTATTCCTACCAATTCTTTACAGCAAGTTACGGCATGCTATATGATGCCTCACTATATACACCTCACCTTGCTTCCAGTAAAACCACCAGCCTTGGTTTTAAAGGCTAGATGTCCATCTAGACCAGGGACGTCTAACTCCCAATAGACTGCGATCTACTCACAGTATAAAAAAACTGGCAGTGATCTACCCATTGTCGTTGGATGGACCAAAGTTGTTGAGCTTATTTTAGGAAACCACAGTTGTTCCCCCCTTTTTTGGGGGGGAGATCACTGAGGGGCCAAATACCTACCAGGAACACCTTGTGATCTATCAGCAGATCACGATCTACCTGTTGGACATGACTGATCTAGACCAATAGATAACTCAAATTCCATGTTGGAAATAAAAAGGAAAAAAAGGCTTTACAAATAGAAATGTGTTTTTTTTATTTAGATTGACCTGTTATTTACCGTATTTTTCGCTCTATAAGACGCACCAGACCACAAGACGCACCTAGTTTTTAGAGGAGGAAAACAAGAAAAAAAATATTTTGAATCTCAGAAGCCAGAACAACAAGAGGGATCGCTGCGCAGCGAAAGCAGTGATCCCTCTTGCTGTTCTGGCGTCTGGGATAGCTGCGCAGCCTGCATTCGCTCCATAAAATGCACACACAGTTCCCCCTACTTTTTAGGAGGGAAAAAGTGAGTCTTATAGAGCAAAAAATACGGTACTTTGAATTGTTCACGCTACTTGAACTGTTTCAGTTAATAGAATAGATCACATCATTTTGAAGCCATGTTGTAGAAAATGGAATAAGCTCTTCCCTAGGTTTTACCTTGCTATTAACAGGAATATATTATTCAAACAAGCTATAAATACACTTTCTGAAGAAAAGACCAGCTGTATTTTCATCTCATTTTATGGTTATATAACGTGTCAGAAACAGCAGCACAAATACCACCTCGCATGTAAAAAAAGAAATATACACATTACTAATTTTAACTGCAAAAATGTTTTTGATGAATATGTGTGTTTTCTATTGGTAAACTGGTTTGACATAGGGACTTGAATCTATAAAAGAAAAAGAAAGCCAAAATGTCATTTAATAAGTCACACACAGTTTCATGTCCACCCCCTTTCCCACATATGCTCGACTTACGGTGGCAGCACTGCTTTTTGTTTTGCTTCACTCACATCTCTGTGGACTAAGTCAAGCAGAATTGTGAAATGGCTCGTGAAATATTTCAGAGTTGGTATGAGGATAAGGACTCACCAACATGTAATGAGAATTGCTCCCTGTTTATTTCCATGAAGAATCTTCTGGTGCAGTGAGAAGTGATACTAGTGAAAGAAGAGGAATGTATTATTTGGATTGCTTGTGTGTCCAAATTAACTGCTAGAGTATGCTGTGTTCCAGAGCAAGTCAAAGGTTTTTGTGCACACATCTATGCCCTTTCCATTCATATCTGACACACAGAGGACACAAGTGTCATTGTTGGCATGCCTGTTTTATTTTTGGTAAAAGGTTTCTAGGCCATCTTTCAGACAAAAGTTTCAAGGTAGCTAACAAAAAAATCAGTTGGCTTTAGTAGGATGATGTGGAGTAGGCAATCTACGAGGTATGAGAACTAAACAATTCAGAGGAAAACTATCTTGAGTTGCTCCTGAAGGCTATAGAAAATGCTGCAACACAAGTGTAACTTTGCTGGTGGTAGCCTATTCTACTTCCTCCCAATGTCTCTTGGCAGGCTTTCTCCCATCCTCATTCTTCCCCACCCGCCTCAAACATCCATCCATTACCTTATCTGGACAGCTGTATATGAGAAACTTCATATAATTTCAGCTGTTGCACTTCAGTAGAATTTATCGGGAATGGAATGCTGACTGTCTGTTGGGGTGTGCGGAAGAAAACTGGGAGGGAAGAGAAATGCAATGGGGAGTGCTGAACAGGATCACTCTACACTGCATCTCTTTGTTGCATACCTTACGTGCATTTCTTCAAATTATAAGAAAGCTGCAAGGGAGATGGGCAAAGGGAGGGATAAATTCCCCCAAGGACACCCCCCAGGCCCTTTGTAATCAGGACTGAATGAGCAAACCGTCTCTTGGCATGGAGCAGCTGTTGAGGGCAGGTTCCAAACTCTCTCTTGGAATTCCGAACATTGGTAGAAAGAAATTCTAGTCTTGATGTCAATGGCAGTTCTATTATGAGAAATTTAAAGGCAAAAAGATAATGCCTTCATGGATGTTCCAAGGCTCTCCTACCCTGAGACTTGGAAACTGATTGATTGTACTGTGCTATTCACCATGTCGCCTATAATGCGTAGGTTCTGAGAATACACACTGGCTTCAAAGGTATCAGAATCCACCGCTTACTGGAATAAGCAAACAAACATAAACTAGAATGCTTGAATTTCGCTCCAGTGTGAAATCAATGTAACAAATGGATGATTTTAACTGCTTGGGTTAGGCAGTCAAAAAAGCCTGGATAGAGAATATGTGGTTGGGTTCTCTCTTAACAGGCGTGCAAACTGGCTCTTTGGGAAAGAGAAGAGTGAAACTATAATACATAATTTAAGTCATGGTCTTTTGTAAGTCGTACTTACTGCGATCTAAGGTTAACTGAAAAGCAACTATTAGCCCCTATTTACTTTTATATTTTCCCTGAAACAATTGAAATTGGCTCTTGTTGCTTCTGCTGTTTCAGCTACCTGATTGTACTGTCCACCTATATATTGGTGCCACCTGCAACTAAAATGACTGCAAAAAACTGACAGGTTGCTTTTTGTACCCTACTCTGTGCTAGGCTTTTTTTTTTCAACATTTGACATTCCATGAGGAAAGCAAATTCACGCAAAGGCTTAATCTATTTTGTATCTGTCACTCGTGCCTAGAGGGTAGCATGGAAAGTGACTGGTGCTGCGAGGCAATCAATCATTCAGTTGTGTTGCTGCTAGTGAAGCACTTGCATTTTGCTTTTATAGGCTGAATGTGAAGAAATCAAAACCAATGTACTGGGAGCAGGAGACATGGCCTGTGCTTTATAAGATCTTTACTTTCCCATATTTTTTGTTGTTAATTGCATGCCATCTCTATCCTGTTAACCAATTCCTCACAACTAAGAAATCAGGGTGTTGCTGTTGTTTTTTATCTAACAGTTTCGTTTTTCACACTTATTACTTTATCACAGTGTGCAAAATTTGACCAGTGTCTGAAATACATAGGTCCATATACAAAAGGAAAGTGGGGGTTAAGGTTTTTCCTCCCCTATCAGCAATTCATTCAGATTCAGAGGGAGAAGGACATTGAACAGTTAACTACAGAAAGGGAACACTGCAGAGTTTTGGCTGTAGTTAGCTTGGGAAGTGACGTCTTACAGCATTTGCTGTTCTAGAAAGAGCACAGACACGTAGTATAATTGGGAGGGCTCTGGGTGGCAGTGTCTCTACCACTGTGTATATTTATCTGTATGAAACGACCAAGGAGGGGAGAATGTAATAAGCAGTCTGCCCGCTGCTTACTAAAACTGCTGCTCTTGTGACTTCTGTTAACGCTTTTCCAGCAACATCGCAAGCTGAGAAACTGGACGCTGTTATATAGAAGGAAATAAACTTTGTGAAGGTTCAGTATGGGAAAGGATTATTATTCTGTTCTTGGGATCGAAAAGGGAGCATCTGATGAAGACATAAAGAAAGCTTACAGAAAACAAGCCCTTAAATGGCATCCAGATAAGAACAAATCTCCCCACGCAGAAGAAAAATTCAAAGAGATTGCAGAAGCTTATGAGGTGCTGAGTGATCCCCAAAAAAGAGAAATTTATGATCAGTATGGAGAAGAAGGTAAAAGAATTTTATGTACAGTAGTTTTAGCTTAAAATAGAAAGCTTTTTTTTAAATGTCAGATGCAGTGAGGCAGTTTTTAAGAAGCAGGTTTGAGCAATTAGATGTGGTAACATAGTTTGAGGATTCAAGTCTTGCTTGAGAGTCTAATACTTCTATGGAATGTTCTCATTTAGGTTATTTTCTAGGTGAATCTATTTGATTCATCTGTCAAACATGTTAGTAGATACTATTTAATTTATGTTACAAAAACTTTGCAATAGTTTGCTGAGTTTGTCTCACTCTTCCAAGGTAGCATAAAATATATGGGTATGGTTTTATTAAAATAAGCTTTTATTAAAAATGGCCCTTCTCAGCCAGGGTCCAGGTGTCCAGACTCCAGCCAATATTGGCATCTTGCCTGGAAAGGAAAGAATTTGTCTGATGTCATGAAATACTAGGACAAGTTTTCAGCTTCATCGTAAACAGTGCTAAAGTGCCAAGGAAATGAGGCCCAGAAGCAGTGTGTTTAGCTTAAAACGATTATGTTAAAATAATTTAGTTTAGATGGATTCTTAGAACTTTTGGAACTGGGTTGCTACCTTTATGGTTCAAAATTTTGTTCAAATGCTGACCTAAGCTGGCTTCATTACAATAACATAATCCCTCAATGAAACAAGACTTTTCACTTTATGATGGTCTATTGAAAACATGTGAACACTTAATTGATGAGCTCTTGATGATGATTGCTCTGAGAAGTTTGAATTCATCACAAATCTACACATTTCTATAAATGCTGGTTCTACTTGAAGTTTTAATACTGCAGCTCCAGGATCACTGTTTCTCTTGTAGTCATTGGACTTCCGTGAGGCCTTGAAACAAATGGGTTCCTTATTCTTAGTCAAGGATCAGCATTCTTTAGGCATTCACATGTTCTTTAGTCTCCTTTTCATTCCTACCTTCTTTTCCTAATTATACCAATGTGTGTGTCTGTGCTTCTTTCCCAGCCAATATCAGCATGGATTTTCTACTTGTCGTGTGAGAAATTAAAATGAAAGGAATAGAAGCAGCTGTCACCAAACATAAAATCATGCCTAATATTTATTTCTGTGTTACACATTAGATCTTTAATGAGCTTATAAAGCTTGAAATCTTGGTGAATGCAGCAGCTTTACTGCTGCCCAGGACATGGGCAGACTGTGGGTCCAGAGCCACTTTTTATAGCCATGGGACCTGGTGTCCTTTCAGCAAAACCTATCCATTATCTATTCTAGGAAGTGTCATTCCGCTAAGCACATGGTATGGTTTGTCAGCCCGCTTGGCATTAGTACTACATCTGTATATGATCATCATGCTCATCATAGATAAGAGACTAGGTTTAGCCTGAAAAGCCATTTTAGCAACCTATTTTTATTTACTGAATATTTTCTCAGCTTGGAGAAAAGACTTGATTTTTGTTTTCATGGTTCTAAGTCAACGCAAATAAGATTTTTGAAAGTAGAGTTTTAAAACCTTTCTAGAGATTTGTATTCTTGCATTTCTAAATCCCATCCTTATGTAAATTTGATTAAAATCCAGGACAGCACAATTTCTCTCCTAACTTTGGGTACTACATCCCCAACTTGCAAACATTCATGTTCTTTTCTGTTCATTCTCTCTCTCTCTCTCTCTCTCTCTCTCTCTCTCTCTCACACACACACACACACACACACACACACACTCTACCAAGCAGCAGATGGCATTTAGAACCAAAGACTATAGAGTTATGGCCCACAGCCTTCTCATGCAGAGTCTGCTTAGGTGTTTTGAAGATAGACTAGAAAGCTAAGAAACTGTTTAAATTTAGGATGGCTGCGTAGGTGTAATTAATCACAGAGTGTAGGTGGGTGCCATAACGTTGGAAGAAATGGCAGGCTTGAAATAGCTGAGGTAACTGTCAGCATGAGTGTGATAGCATAACTTCATAAGATCTCTTTATAAATATCACTTTGCGTAGCTTGCAGTACTTTAGCATTTTCTAATTTCTTGGGCTGCAGTCTATTCAAAACTTAGAAGTAGGTCCAATTAAACTCAGCTGGGCTTCCAAATAAATGCATGTAAGACTGGGCTGTGTTATATTTGATGTGTGGCCCAATCCAATGGTTGCTTCCTCAAAGTAGACCCTACTGAATACTCTAAAGTAAGTCCCATCATTAAATGTGTACATGATTATAGTTGAAGATTGTGCCTTGCATTTCTAAACCAGAATAATAATAATAATTTTATTATTGTACCCCACCCATCTGACTGGGCTGCCCCAGCCACTCTGGGTGGCTTCCAACATGTATGAAAACATAATAAAACATTACACATTAAAAGGCTTGCCTATAATGGGCTACCTTTCAATATTTTCTAAGGGTTATATAGTTACTCATCTCCTTGACAACTGATGGGAGGGTGTTCCACAGGGTGGGTGCCACTACAGAGAAGGCCCTCTGCCTGGTTCCCTGTATTTAAGTTTAGCATTGTTAAACTTATTTGTTCCCTTTTGTAGGACTGAAAGGAGGAGCTGGAGGGCCAGATGGGCAAGGTGGTACTTTCCGGTACTCCTTTCATGGAGACCCACATGCCACATTTGCAGCATTTTTTGGTGGTGCGAATCCTTTTGAGATCTTCTTTGGAAGAAGGATGCCTGGTGGCAGAGACACTGAAGACATGGAAGTGGATGGAGATCCATTTGGTTCCTTTACTTCTTTCAATATGAATGGATTCCCAAGGGAAAGAAACACTGTTGGTAGCCAACTCCGTCGTAAGCAAGATCCCCCTATTGTTCATGAACTCAAGGTATCACTGGAAGAGATTTACCATGGATGCACAAAAAGAATGAGAATTTCCCGAAAACGGCTCAACCCAGATGGTAGAAGTGTCAGAACGGAGGATAAAATCCTCACTATTGATATCAAGAGAGGATGGAAAGAGGGCACCAAAATTACATTCCCCAAAGAAGGCGATGAAACACCTAGCACCATACCAGCTGATATTGTGTTTGTTATTAAAGATAAAATACATCCTCACTTCAAGAGGGATGGTTCAAATATTGTCTATCCTGTCAAGATCACCTTACGAGAGGTAAGTACCTTGTTATGCTTTGGAATGGTATTGTTAAAACTTCATGCCATCTGTGCTTCAAACTTGTTCACATTGTTTTACAGTCAAAGCTGAGTCGAACTTGATAATAGCCCATATATCAGGCTTCCTAAAACTTGGCCCGCCAGATGTTTTTGGCCTACAACTCCCATGATCCCTAGCTAGTAGGACCAGTGGTCAGGGATGATGGGAATTATAGTCTCATAACATCTGGAGGGCCGAGTTTGAGGAAGCCTGCCATAGATGATGTTGTTTGATAAATATGTAGACACCCAGATAATGGGCGTGATTCACCTAACGAGTCCTGTCAGCGCAAGCCCTGCAGAAGAACTGCCACTTGCACAATGGGGCTTTCCCCTCTCCTCACACCAGCGCCCCCTCCAACCAGCATGCCCCAAAATTGACTCTGGGGGAGTGTTGGGAGAACTCCCAGAGCAGCACCCAGGGAGGAGGAGAGGGGGATAGTTCCATCTGGCAAGCTGCAGTGCTTGCATTGATGGCACTTCCACCATGGTGTAACACTGGATTCCACCCACTGTGTTGAATAGTTCAGCACCATTTGGAAGAAGGATGACTGCTATTCTTTGACTTTAGCATGTCATAACAGAGTGTGGGATAAAATATCCAAAGCTAACACTGTACTTCATAATTCTGGTTGCTGCTTGTGCCATCTCTTGCTTTCCCCTCATTGCCATTTTCTGTTCTATTCTGGGTTGAATCCAATGCTAGTCCAACTTGGAGTAGACCCAATGAAGTTAATGGATCTGGCTAACTCAGGTTCATTTACTTCAATGGATCTACTCTGAGTAGGGCTAGTACTGGGCACAACTCTCTGCCTGCAACAAAAGTTAGTCATGTACTCAGTTGAGCCTACCTTTTAACTGGCTGGGATGTTTTCTGATTCTATTCAGTGGCTCTGAATAGTATGAGGATGTGGCATCGCTCTGCAGCATGATAGAAAATGTGTTGGTCTAAAAGGTTATTGGAACACAAATGCAGAAACCCAAAACAGACTCATGAGCAAAACTCCCACCAGAATGCCTCTGGGGGGTGGGGAGAGCACCCACCTACACTCTAATAAAGTTGCAGATTTTTAAAACAGCAGAGAAATCAGTGCTGTGTGGACAACAAGATCTGCTTTGCTTCTAATTTTGTAGCAATTGAGTAGTTGGATACAAAATGGTGCAGTTATGCAAACCAACACTTGGCCAATGTAAGCAACAGTAAACTTAGCTGAGATGGCATGGGTTTAATTTTAAACCAATGCTTTTATATAAATGGGTGTTAAATTGATATATATGTACATTATGTTGCAGTTAGAACTAAACAAGCAAAATGAAATAGAACAAAACTAAACTAAATAGCGCTATGAGCTATGCCTTATAATAATATTACAGATACCGTGTAAATACCTCTCTATAGTGCATCTAAGCAACTAATATTTTGCTAATTTTATTTTGAATACAGCTTAGGCCAGGCTTTGGTTTTTTTTTGTTTCAAGTACAATTAGTTAGAGAGTCTGGCATTCCTAATAGGTTGGCTGACAGTGGTTTACTGGGATTCTTACATAAACATTGAATTCCGTGCATGTAGGACTCCTTCATTTTTGTCCATGGGTTGCAAAACGAGTGTAGTGCACTTATGATTTGCATGAATAGATCAGGGATAGGCAACATGATGCCCTCTGTATTTGGAACTAAAACTCCCACCCACCCCATTCCCCGTAACCACTGATAACGAATAAAGCAAGTTGCAGACAGCATTATCTAAAGGGTACCATGTTACCTACATCTGGCATGGATGGTTCCTACCTCAAGGAGAAGATGGATGGTGTCCAGTAGTGACCAGTGGGGCTGGATTGCTAACCTGACTTGCCAACACCAGGAAGTCACTGCTGGTTAGCAAGAGGAGGAGTGGCAAAGCAGCAGGGAGCTTGGTATGGGTGCAGCCAATCTGCCTTTGCACTACACAGAGGTCCCCATTGCCTTGCCCCTCTCCCTCTTGGTAATGGGCAGCAATGCATGACCTTGGGAAACTAGGTCAGCAAAGCAGCTCCACCGGCCACTGCCCTGCCAACCACTACTGGTAGTGCTTATATGCACAAGAAGCTCCATGTAAAGCAGGGATGGAGAGCCTGTAACCCTCCAGATGTTGTTGGATGCCAAATCCCATAAGCCTGAGCCAGCAATGTCATTGGTCATATCGGAGTGGTCACAGGTTAGCCACTTCTGCTCTATGTAGTGGGAACTGTTCAGCTATGTTTGCTTATTGTTTTCCATTTACAAAACCATTTATAGTTATGAACTGCATACATAGGATTGTGCTGTAAGAATTTGGGCTACACAGTAATTATTTGTATAAGATTCAATCTCTGCTTCTGAAAATTACACCCTAGGCTTTACTTGAAAATAAGTTTACTTGTAGTGTTTCTAGCATTACCAATACACCCAACATAGAGTAACAGTATAGGATGTATAATACTGTAACTGTATTTCTAAGTTATATTTCATAGATACTTATCTTTCTTTAAGTGCTTTACAAAAAAAATGTCCTGCTGCTTCTGATTTGGCTTTTTAAACTTATTTTTTAGGCCTTGTGTGGCACCTCAATCAATGTACCAACAATAGAAGGTCGAACCATACCTATGACAGTAAATGAAGTTGTAAAACCTGGAATGAGAAGAAGAATTATAGGATATGGCTTGCCATTTCCCAAAAATCCTGACCAACGAGGTGACTTGATTATAGAGTTTGAAGTAACCTTTCCAGACAGTATAGCTCCAGCATCAAAAGAAGTACTCAGGAGAAATCTTCCTGTTTCATAAAACAACGTACTTTTTTGAACTTGTTCCAAAAGGACACTGAAAATTGAAGATTTGAGGTTTATGCTGTAAAAGTGCAATCTATAACTGTGGAACTTAATTTTTTTGTGTGTGGATTGGGAAGAGAGTTATGCAGTGCTGCATGAGAATAGGAGGCAAAAGTACAAAATACTTGCAATCAAGTATGAAGCTAAAACCATTTGCTGTGTATTGGATTTTCCTTTTCAAAAAGTTTTATCCAGTATTTGCTTATAAGTAAGATGTATCTTTGTGTGTGTGAGGGGGGCACTTCTGTGCATATCTCATATGCACAGAATCATGAAGTGCTTGAGTTTTAAAGCACTTTACTTCAGATATTTCTTTATCATCTATGTGAGATTATTATATTGCAGGATCAGAAATCGGAATTCGTGGTATGAATCTATGTAACGTTTGCAATATTTATGTTGTGTATATGCCAATTCGCTATGTTTACATTGCACACAGCAGAAGGCAGGAAATCTCACTTGAAATGTTCATGAGCCCGAAGGGTAAGTTTTTTTTCTGCATTGTTTTTGGATTCCTTTCCTCAGTATTCTACAGATGCTTGCCTAACAGAAAATTATATGTGCCATTCCACAGTCATACATATATGTACCATGTAATGAACATGCTCCAAACCAGAACACACAGTGGGTGACTCAGTAGTTGCCAAATATTCAGGGTCTAACCTCTACCCTACATTTACGCAGCCTCCACTCCTATCCAGCCCAGGCCAAGAGACTCCCAGACTTCACCTGACGTTCCTAAGATTCCAAGGGAACAAGGGTCAAAGCAATACCCTCTGCTGTCTGACCTTATTCTAAAAACACAGTACCTGGTAGAGAACTAAGCAGTCAAGTATTGGATTTAGTACCAAGGCATTACCTAAATAAAGCTCACGCACACACACAAAATTCCAAAAGGAGGTACATTTATTTGATAAAAGAAAACATTAGTGAGAACAAAGATATTTGGGCAATTATGTCAGATCAAACAAACTGTGCTAAACCAGCCAGTTCTGTACATATCAATAAAATCATTGGCTTCGCAGGGACAAAAGCATACAACACAGAGCAAGGTAATCTAAATATGATCTGAAGGTGGGATGTTCCCTGCCAAAAGTAAGGGCCTGCTTTCTTCTAAAAGGCACAGCGACCTAGGTAAATCTTGTTAACCTGTAAAAAGGCCTCAAGACCCCCCAGCTTTCTGGCACTTTAGGCTACATGCTTTCCCACCAAACCCAGCTCAAGCAACCATTCCAGTCAACAAGCTCACAGCTGATTTACCACATTTCCATATGGAAAAAATGTGACAGCAGTTGTTTTCATGTCCATTAAAACATATGTCCAAATTGTGGAACCTGCCTGCTGAGAGAGTGAGTCTATATAGAACGGTTATCTGAACAAATGTCAAGGGAATGAGCCTATTTCAAGCACACTAACTTCAAGTCTTTCACAGTTTAAGCCCCTTGAAACTTCTGTGGTCAGTAAATTAGTAGTTCTCGGTCCCACTTAAGAAGTTGTAAGCTTGTTCTGAATTATCTAAACGAAGGGAAGAAAATGCCCTCAATTATAGTTCTCTAAAAGAAAAGAGAAGGAATCTATAGGGCTGGTACCCTTGGATGGCAAAAATTAACAAGTAAACATCCTTTTAGCATTTGTCTCTAAACTTGCTGCAATATGTTAACATCTGAAAGTCATATTCTTTAAAGAAAACAAATGATTTTATGTACATACAAATGTGCTAGGTAGCTGCACTGTTAACCAACAGGGTAATTAACAATTTTGTATGCTTTTATGTAGAAAATTAATTATGACACCCATTCCTTAAGCAGTAGCCATCTATAATGCAGAATAGTTAAAATGGGGGGGAACCATTCTAGAAACTACCCATTTGAATGAATTGGCAACATTTAATAAGATTTTATACATGGGATATAAAGAAATATGTGCATTCTGAAAGTAGAAGGATCCAGAACTTGCACTCGTGACACTAGCACTCATGACACTAAAAGTGAGAAAGTAGAAAATGGCTGCTTCATCCTTATGCATATTGTTTATGCATTTACATATCATTCATGATCTGTATTGCATTTATATGTTTTTTAATTAAATATATTGTTTCTAACTTGTGTTTTCTATTTTTGTTCTTTCAACTGAGTTGGGTGCATGAGAGCAAATGAATGTAATTATAATTTATCTATGACTTTATTGAATTTATATCCTGCTCTTGCTTCCTAGGGTAGCAGACAACAAGGGATAAATAATCTTAAAAACAATTCCAATATAGATGCAGACTGGGAAGGAAATCAACTTAAATGACTTTTTGAAAAAGGAATGTGTTTCTTATGTGCCAAAACCCAACAAGGATGACATCTGGTTAATACTTAAAGGGATGGAATTCAGAAGGGTAGATGCCACAATGATAAAGGCCCGATTCCTGTTGTGTGGAACAGAGCTCCTGTTTGATGGTATCTGCAGGAGGCCCTCACCTGCTAAGCACAGTGACTGACTGTGTGTACAAGGGGTGAGATGGCGTTTCAGGTAACCTAATCCCGAGCTGTGTGGGGCTTTATACAGCAAAACCCAGCACCTTGTACTTAGACCAGAGCTTAATTGCCAGCTGCTACAATTCTTTCAACAGTGGAGTAACGTTTTAGCAATACCTTGCCCCAGTGTGCAGTCAATCTGCCACCTTTTGCAACAGCTGCACCTTCTGGGCTAACCTCAAGGGCAGCCCCACAATCAAGCACATTGCAGTAATCATGCCAGGAGATTACCAGCACACAGACCACGGTCGTAAGGCTACTGCAGTCCAGGAACAGCAGGAGCTGTCTTACTAGCCAAAGCTGGTGAAAGGTACCCCTAGCCATAAGGCCACCTAGGTCTCTATGCATCCAAGATGGATCCAGAAACACCCCCAGACTATGAACCTCCTTCAGGGGAAGTACAACCCCATCAAAAGCAGGCAATCACCCAGTTATCTGGACCCAGAAACCGCTTACTCACAGGACCTCCATTTTGCCAGGATCCAGGGTCAGTTGGTTGGACTTCAGTAGAGTCCAGGCACTGGTCCAGGGCTCTCAGGTGGGTGTCATTGCCATTCTAAGAGAGCAAGGTAAGCTCCGGCACCTCTTTTTATAGAAAAATAGCACTGCCTGTAGTACAACTGCCAGAGGCCTGGAAGAATAACCTAATGCTATTATCTGAAACCAGCTTTGAAAATGGGATCTGAACCACTGTAAAACAATGCCTCTAATAGCCATCTCACAGAGTAAGCTCAGAAAGATACCAAGGTCAGTGTTGTCAAAAGCCACTGAAAGATCAAGTAAGAATAGGCTTTTGATACATTGACCATGGTATCTCAAGCCAACTTTGAAAGATAGGTTATAGGGTTGTACTCCCCTGTCCTCTTCCTGATAAAAATGATCCATCAGGGAAGCCAAAGCTGATTGAGTCCCATAACCAGTCCTGCACCCAGACTGAAATGGGTCAAGATAATCTGTTTCATCCAAAAGTACTTACAATTGGTGCACAACAACTCTCTGAATCATCTTTTCTAAGAAGAGGATGGACAGCATGCAACTGGGCGTGAGTTGTCAAAAACCAATGGCTATTTAAGAGTTTGTTTAGTAACAAACTATAGCTGCAATAATAGGACTGCAATCTTATATACACTTGAGAGTAAATATGCTTTTCAACATTCAGTAGTAACCCCTCCCCTCTTTATATGTTAAAGTTTAACAATAAAATAGTTCAGAATCCAAGAGAAAAGTAGATATAAGTAATAGTACAATCTCTAGAACACATGAAGACTAGTGTGCATTCAAGGTTTAATCCTAGGTAAGATGATCCTTTAGATATGTGGAATGCTGGCTGTTTAAAGGCTGTAAATGTCAAAAAGAATACTAATAGGCAGCTGAGTCAAAATCGGAGTTACATGCTTTGTGTGGTCTGCTCCTGTCAGAATAAGCTGCAGCAGTAGCTTCCAAACAATCTTCAAGGGCAGCCCAATGCAGATCACATTACAGTATCCAAAATGAGATGTTACTAAAGAATGGCTAAAATTCTGATATGAGAGAAAGGGATATAACTTGCTTGCCAGCTTAAAGTGGCAAAAGGTGTACTCCTTGCCACAGCTGTCACCTGAGAAGCACCAAATCAGAGTTGAGAGTCACTCTGAATAAGAAGTCACTTTTTGAGTGGGAATTCAATTTCTGGAAGAACAGGGAAATTCAGTCTCCCTTAATCGCTGCTCTCTGTCTTATCCGGATTCAGGGAATATTGCTGTTTTTTATTTGATATAAACAGATGTCAACAGCATATAATTCTGCTGTCTGCACTTATGTAATACATCCCTTTGGTAAATGTACAATAATGTTAAATATAATGTTAAAAAGCAGAGAGGCTAAGATAGAACAGTCTGGAATCAAACAGGAAGGAAGGAACAGGGCCACTGCAAATCGGTTTATCCACTGCTGGTTTTCGGAATTCAAACACTCAGCAGAAATTGAACTTACTGAATCCCTGCTGGAGGAGCACACTTTTGCCCTGGATATAATCACAATGAGGCTATAAGTTTAGCAAAATAAAAAAGCTATGTTTATTATAAGAAATGCATGATAGGAAAGATCCCAGTTCTATCTGACTCTGGTAGAGATGCCTTGAGCCATGCTTGCTTTTGCAACTCAGCAGGAGAGATGCAGAAAATATTTCCTTGCGGAAGGTAAGGATGAAGAAGTAGGAAATTTGTTAAATTTGGTTAAAAGGTGTGACACTTTAACAACTTCATGGTGAGTACTGGCACCTATTTTTCTAGAAAAGAAGCACTGCTTAAGAGTATCATTTTAGCAGCCAAGGGAAGGACAACACAGGTTAGATCAGAAAGGACCGCCTAGGAAACTTGGAGGTTCCTATTTCTATGTACTCTTCCCCATGCAGACACATTAGCCTCCAGTGCAAGCTGAGTCGCATCTCAATACTTCCTACACTCCCAATTGTCTTAGCTGGTAAAAGTGTATCAGATGCTTCTGAGTTTATAAGTTAATTAAGAAGAGCAAGCAGGTTCACATTCTCATACAGGAAGAGGCACAGACAGTTCATTAGGGTAACTAATTGAAGAATATTTTACATTCTGACTGGTATGGATCTAGAAAACCTGATCCAAGAGTTTCTCGGAACTACGTAGGTCTCAGCATTCCAGGTGCCAGGGATTGGCTGAGCTGAGAGAAAGTGAAGGCAGAGAAAGATCTCTTTTCCTCCCAGTCATAATGACATAGCTGTCACCACTATTGCAGCCCCCACAGCTGCGTACGAAGGAGTTGGAGGGCTCACTTGTGAGGTGCTGACAGTAGAAATCTCAGAGAGAAATATGCATATATTTCTACAAGCTTTCTGCAATGTTGCTCATAACTATTATCCCCAATCTGAATCGAGGCTTGGACGTTTACTCATCACATAGACCAACAGCTGCTGGATGCTTTCCAAACTTTTCATGTTGGTGACACACTTTTTAAACATGCATTATTTTGTGATACAGTAATTCAGTTTTACTAGAAAACCGGAAGTTCAACTAACTCCTTTCCAGTCCCAGGAGGAGCGTGAGGAGCTTTCGTGTGACACTGCAGCATACACACTAACACGTCATGACACACAGTTGGGAAAGCTCTGCTGTAGACTTTCCAGGCATAGATAGCCAGGAAACAAGATACCATTGTGTCTCATTATTCCCCATCACCTGCACATAGCAGCCAGTGTGTTGGATTAGGGGGCTGTGTTTGTAGGGAAATGTGTAACGTCATGACAGTGTCTCATGCATTTGTTTTATTGGATGTTAGCTAGGGAAATGCATGGGTCGGCAACACTCATTTATTTAGCTAGGTCTTTAATGTTTACTTGGGTCTTTAAAGCTGCCAGCAGTGTAGTAGCTTGGACAGGGCTCAACCAGGGGTTGCTGTCTGTGAAAGTCTGAGGAACCTTCAGTACCCATCACTTGTCTGTCAATGGAATAATATTTATTTATTTCTGCTACCACAAAGAGTTTTTCCTGTCCATTACGTGGTGACAAAGCTGGGTTCCTTACTCAATCAGCCTGTAATTAAGCCTAGTACTAACTAACTGAAACAATTGCATATTCCTTCCTTCCCTCCCCTTTTTTTGTTTTCCTTCCATCAAACATTAGAATGTAAGCTCAATGGGGCAGGGAGTGGGGATCTTGCACTCTGTATAACACTATGCACAGTGATTGTTTCATGCAGATAAATCACTGTCTCTTATAACACACAATGAACTGTAAATTCTGGGCCTGATTAATTGTTTGCAGAGTTTATGTAAACATTAAAATGGGAGAATGCAAAATACTGAAATTTGTAAAGTAGTCCTGTTGACCTCTAGTATCATTTATAGCAATGTCCTGAACAGTCAGTGTAAATAATTTATATAAATGAAGTTTGGCAAGAATCCTTGTCTCCATAATCTTATATACTTAATAGCATTTTCTGTTGTGATCATCTTGATCAATATTTATTAGTCACCATGATGTGGTTTAAAAGTGTGTTTCATTTTATTGCTTCTAAATGAAAACCTAGGAGAGAGCAGACCACAAGTCTAAAGTTCTTCCATTGCAAAATGTAGGTGCATGCTGTTTTTGAGCACATCACTTCTTTTTTAAAATGACCTAATACATTTTCTTTAAATAGTTTTCCATTAAGAGACATATTGCAGTTAGTGTATATTATACACATTGTATATTATATGAAATCAAGTTTGTTGTTGTTTAGTCGTTTAGTCGTGTCCGACTCTTCGTGACCCCATGGACCAGAGCACACCAGGCACTCCTGTCTTCCACTGCCTCCCGCAGTTTGGTCAAACTCATGCTGGTAGCTTCGAGAACACTGTCCAACCATCTCGTCCTCTGTCGTCCCCTTCTCCTTGTGCCCTCCATCTTTCCCAACATCAGGGTCTTTTCCAGGGAGTCTTCTCTTCTCATGAGGTGGCCAAAGTACTGGAGCCTCAGCTTCAAGATCTGTCCTTCCAGTGAGCACTCAGGGCTGATTTCCTTAAGAATGAATAGGTTTGAACTTCTTGCAGTCCATGGGACTCTCAAGAGTCTCCTCTTGCACCATAATTCAAAAGCATCAATTCTTTGGCAATCAGCCTTCTTTATGGTCCAGCTCTCACTTCCATACATCACTACTGGGAAAACCATAGCTTTAACTATACGGACCTTTGTTGGCAAGGTGATGTCTCTGCTTTTTAAGATGCTGCCTAGGTTTGTCATTGCTTTTCTATGAAATCAAGTTACAACCTGGCTATTGCCTGGATTGATTTACCTGTTTCTCTGTTTACCTTGACCTCAGCCATTAGGCGAGTTGCTGTGATTTGTTCATATAATTTCACTACAGTACTGTCTGCCAACTTTCGAGTCCATTATTCCATTATTTTGCAGACAATCCTTCAGGATGTTTGTGTATGAAGGATGGGTGCATGGTGGAAGTAGGTCTGAAGGAAAGGGGGAAAATAACAAACCTGTAACAGAACTGTAAGACAATAAGCAGTCTGTGTGGTTAATTGTAAAATGGATGCCAGAGGCAAGGAGTCTAAGTGATGGGAGTCAAGAAGATGTAGTTGCAGAGTTTTGGGGATATATTAGTACAACCTAATTGGCCACTACTGTGGTCTGCTCCTATGCAGAATTCGTTTGAAATAAACCCTACTGATATCCGTAGACAGGATGTAAGCTTCATGCTCAACCCTATGCGTGTTTTACTTGGAAGTTCCAAGTGGAATGGTTGTGCAGTGGCAATTTTAGACTCTGGACTTAAATCACCTTATGATTCCTTGAGACACACACAATTTAATTGCAATTAAAGTGTTCACTTATTTCTAATTGTGGAAAGCCAACCACCCTGCTGGGTTTGGAGGCCTACCTCCCCATTCTCCTGAGTGGGGTTTTGACCTTCAACTGCAGATTGACATCCTATGCCCTTTTAAAATGTGGCTCTTTTGGGTGGGGATGTGTTATTGGGTTTTTGTTTTTATTTTGATTATATATATTGTGGTTTTTATGCTGATCTTTTCTGTGGACTGCCCTGAGACCTCCGGGTATATGGGGGTATATAAATTCAATAAATACTACTACTACTACTACTACTACTACTACTACTAATAACAATCTGTGCTGATGGCACCCCTGAAGTGGCCTCTAGTCCACAAAGCAATATGCAGCACCAATCCTTCTTGTCTTTAAACTACCAAGGACTTGTGTTGTTCTGTTTTGTTTTGTTTCTGAAATTTATTTATGAAGGACATCTTGTCTGCTGCCTATCCTGCCAAACAGTAAATGTTTGCCCACATGGGGGAAAAATTTCCTGCATTGCAAGGGGTCGGATTAGATGTTCATCATGGTCGTAGGAGCCAAGTCCTAGGGGACCTCCCCAAATAAAATATTTGAGGTGGCTGGGCCCCTTCAAAGTTGATGGGCATTGCCATTCAAATGATGTGCAAGTGCCGTGTCATATGATCAATTACGTGGGGCGGAGCTTACCTGGGTCCCCCCAAATATTTTATTCAAGTTGGCAACCCTGCTCATGGTCCCTTCCAACTCTACGATTCAGGCTACCTGGGCGGGCGCTGCCATCTGAAGCACACTTAACTGCAGAATTGAGCAAAAATGTATAAATCTAAATTAAATGCTGGAAATGTAAAGAGAAAGAAGGTTCTTTTTATCATATGTGGTGGTCTTGTAGTAAAGTTAGGGCTTACTGGGAAATGATATATAATGAAATTAAAAGAATGTTTAAAAGAATGTTTGTAAAAAAACCAGAAGCATTTTTTTGGGGAATTATAGGAACAGAATTAAAGGGATGTGGGTGACGCTGTGGTCTAAACCACTGAGCCTAGGGCTTGCCGATCGGAAGGTTGGCAGTTCCAATCCCTGCGACGGGGTGAGCTCCCGAGCTCCTGTCAACCCTAGCAGTTCGAAAGCACGTCAAAGTGCAAGTAGATAAATGAGGAAAAGTGAGCAAAAAAATCATATAAATAAGATAAAATCTAATGGCAAAATCATACGTGGTGGGATTGCAAGATTATTTTAAAAAAATAATAATAAGGGAAATGATAGCAGCTTGTCATGCTGGCCACATGACCCAGAAAAACTGTCTGTTGGCTCCCTCGGCCAGTAAAGTGAGATGAGCGCTGCAACGCCAAAGTCGTTTGCAACTGGACTTAACTGTCAGGGGTCCTTTACCTTTTTTTATAGGGACAGAACTACCTAAACCGTATAGAAACTTATTCATGTATGCAACTACAGCGGCAAAAATGTTACTTGCCCCAAAATGGAAAGAAGCAGAAGTCCCAGCAAAGGCAGAATGGATACAAAAACTTATGGAATATGCAGAAATGGCGAAACTTGCCAGAAGAGTGAAAAATCAAGATAACAAACTTTTTTTTAAATAAAAGAATGGAAATGATTTATTGAATATTTACAGATAAATTGCAAACAGATAAGAACATTGGCAGGATTACTGTGATAACTTGCAGTTTCGTAAGAGTATATATTTAAAGAAGACGAATAAATGAGCAAATTAAGTTAATTTGGATACGCAGAAGATATTAAAAATAAATTTAAGGAACCGCAGGAAGGGGGGGGGAGTCAAGTTTTGAAATGGGATTGTAAAAATCAGTGAAATGAAGGATTGTAAAATCAGTGAAATGTACCAACCTGAAAAGTATAAATAAATAAATAAAAGAGAGAAGTGAGCTGCTCCCGGAGCTTACCCTGCTTGACTTCGGATGGCTTAGGGTTGCAGTGCTTTGGTGAGGACTGCAGCCTTAAAGGGGCAGGTACTCTTGTGTGCTCAGCGTCCGTCCATCCATCCCTGGCGCGGCTCTAAAGCCAGGGGAGCGGGGGGGTGGGGGTGGGAAAGGTCCGGTGCTGCGAAAGCGCGCGCAGGACGCGCGCGGTTGCTCGCCGCTGCCCATTGGCTGCCGGGTTCCATCACCTGCCCGCCGGGTGGGTGAGCCGCGAGGAGATGAGCGCACAGCCCTGAAGGGGCAGAGTCCAGGCAGCAGGGCGAGGAAAGAGCAGCAGCAGGTGGCGGCGGCGCCGGTTCTGCATCTCGCCCCCACCCGTCGCCCTCTCTGTGGCTGCGTGCAGGCGCGCGGGAAAATGCCTCTGGGGCTGAGGGGCAAGAAGAAAGGCAAGTCCAGGGAGACGTCCACGCTGGTGGAGGGCGAAGCCCCCCTGGCGCGGGGCAGGGGCGACGGGGGCGACGACGACGACGCCAGCGGCAGCAGCGCCGTCGGCGGGGCTGGCGTCGGAGGAGGCGCCGCCGCCTCGTCCTCCTCCTCCTCGGCGCGCCAGGGCCCCATCCGGCTGGTGTTCCACACGCAGCTGGCGCACGGCAGCCCCACGGGGCGCGTGGAGGGCTTCGCCAGCGTCAGGGAGCTTTACGCCAAGATAGCCGAGGCGTTCCACATCGCCCCCAGCGAGGTACGTGCCCAGAGGGGACTGGGCGGTATCTCCCCCCCGCCTCCCTCGTGAACGGAAGCCCCCCGCTACGGGGGATTTGTTCCAAATCTGGCGCCCCCCTTCGGCAGGGGGACAAAAGCCCCAAAGCCGACTGGTCTCTCTTGGGGCACCGGCTCCTTGGTTTGGTTTGGCTCAGCTGTTCACCTCCGACTCTCTTCCATCACCCCGAGCGTCGTTCATGGCTCCATGTTTGGGCGAAATGTTGGGCTTAGTTGCCAATCCGCGCGTGGTAAGAATCGGCATCAAGGGGGTGGTGGGTTAGTCCAGAGACAGAGCTTTTTGGGTGGGTGGTGTTGTTTTTTTTAAGGGATCTTCGCAAGGAAGTGTTTCTGGAAATTGAGATAATGGAGGGTGGGTGGGTGCCTTGCTGCCTATAGGAGTAGGCTGTAGATAAAACGCACTCCTCACACGCTCAGAGGCTCTCTTCCCCACCAATACTTCACGAGTTTCTAGGCCGAACTTTTCTTTCCTTTTTTCCTGCTGACTCCTGAAACAACAAAAAAGTGTCCAGAATTGCCTTTGTGGGCATTTCATCCGCTCTTAATTCTGGGCCACCCCTGTATTTCAAAGCTCCTTAAGGTCTTTTTTTAGCAAGAGGGACTCAGGAACTGAGTAACTGAGTGCGGAAAACAGCTGATGGTGCTGATCTCTCCTGGTTCAAACAACAGGGAAACATTGATTGATTATTAAAAAGGTGCCTCAGAGTGTAGGGGGAGTGCGTTTTTCTGTGCTCAGCAGTGCTTGGCCCTATGTATCTCCTGGAATCATATATGTAACACCTTGGCTTACATGATGAAAGAAAGTTGAGGAAACTGCTCCTGCCACCACAATGCATCCATATGATAACTGAAGTGCAGCTCAGGCTGTTATTAGGAGCCAACACAGAAATCATATCCCCAAGACCATTGCACAAACCCACTTCAACTGTCTGAACTATCCTAGACTTGTTTACAGATAAGTTTTTTCTGAGTTCAATGAGACTATCCTGAGGAATATCTGTTTAGGATTGCAGCCTGTATCTCTATTTTTCTGACACGCGGTGGAGCTTTAAGACAGGGGTGAAGAATCCACAAACCTCTAGATCCAGGGGTAGCCAACATGGTGCCCTCTGGATGTTTTTGGACTACGACTTCATTCAACCCCAGCTGGCATGGCCACAATGGCCAGGGATGATGGGGGTTGCAGTCCAGCTGCACCACATTGGCGACCACAGCTCTAGATCTCGTTGGACTCCCATTGACCCTGACCTTTGGCCATGCTGGCTAGAGCAGACGGGTGTTGGAGCCCAGTGCCATCTCTACTTTGCAGTAAGGCAATGAGTAGTGTGGAAAGGTGCATTCTAGACTTCTACATGTGAGTCGGGTGTCACTTTGCTACTTCAATCACCTTGTTTTTTTAAAAAATGTTTAATTTTGGGGGGAGGAGCTCATGAAAGTGGTGGAAGTGTGGATTTTCTCACACCCTTTTAGTATAAGCACATGGTGATGTGAGGATTCGAACTGGAAGTCAGTACAGAACTGTAGATCGTAACTGCATATTCTTTAAAAGCACAATATATGGGCGCAATGTTATGCTTGTGTCATGAGACTTGGTAGCTTTTTACGGCAAAGTCTTGATCCACTGAACAGTTTTGCTGTCGTTTGCAGTCATTATGGTACCTGAAGCAGAAAAATGTTATTGCCCTGAAAGTAATAATAATTTTTTAAAAAACTGTAATAAACTATATAATCAATAATTTGTCCTTTAATGGCACCTGAAGACCTGCCACTTGAGATAGATTGTCTCACTGTGCCTAATGGCTGGGCAGGGGCCCTGCAGCTATTGTTCTGAAGAGAATGCATTTAAATCCTTTGATGGCATGTATCAAACCTCTTAGGTTGGTCAGGTTCCATTGTGGTTTGTATAATTGCTTCTGTAAAGGTTGCTAACCTTAAACCAAAGGCAACATTTTTATTCATTATCCAAGTTGTAATTGTCCTATATGTGTAGCTTTGAGCACCGAAAAAGAAGCAAGGCTGAACACATGTAATTATACTCCTGGCTACATGGATCATTTTACCTTGGCATTGCAGCTTGTCACAATAGTATCTCTTCTTTATTATCATGAAGAACAATAAGGTCTTTGAAAGACAGTGAAGTTTTCCCCAGTGACGAAGAACTGCAAAAGTTATTTCACACCAGACATGGTCCTCAGACTGGCGCACTGTTGTACTAGCAGTTTGCAGTACATAGAAATGGGCAACTCTTATTCTTTTTATTTCTGTGCAAATAAATCCTGTAACTAGGAGTTGCTTGGAGTTCTGCACCTGGTCATCCATTACTTAGTTTATCTTGAAGTATGATGGTGTTTAACTCTGGCCTTGTTTAAAATTGATGCACTCTATTTAACACGCCTTATGCAAACCAGGGAAAATATGCTAGTGATAGGCACTATTGCTTGGGAGTAGGTCATTTTATAAAAAACCTGGAAATGGTAGTAGCTTGTTTTCTTCTTGCATCAGTGCAGTAGAGCTTTGTTCAGAGGATCATGAGAGAGCTGGCTATATGATACAAAAAATAAAATAAAATTGTACATAAGCATTTCTATTGTAAACTGTCCTGAGATCTTTGAATGAATGAAGGTATGGGAATTTAATAAACAGAAATTCTTCTTGAAGCAAGTGTAAAATATACAAATCATTCCATCAGAATGCTGCTTGAGACTTGGACATACAATCTCTGTTTACCATCTTTCTTCTAAAATTTGGAACATGCATGGAAGAATTCTAATTCCTAAGTTGGTTTTTGCAAACTATGTGAAGGAAATGTTTAGACTATTTGGCTTTCATCTACTAGGAACTGTGAATTATAATGAAGCTGAATTTGTAACAAATGGTATACAGATGAAATGTAGTATTGTAACATCAATCATACATTTTTTTCTGCATTGTGTCCAATTATACTTTTCAGTGTCATTGTCAATGATTGCAACATGGGCTCAAGTATTAGTTCTGTGTTTATGGAACTTCTGAATGGTGCTGACAGCTCAATTTCCAGCAAAATAAACACATTCCTCCTTTTTAAGCATGGAGGATTACAGCAAGCTACATGGTTTAATTAACATAACTCCTTTTAGTGGCTCAGATTTCAAAAAGATTTCTTCTTAGTGTGCTTTGCATCCATTGTAAATCCATATATCTATGGTGGCTCTGTGCAGTTTTCTCGCACACTTTATTACTGTATTTTTATTTCTAGGCAAAGTACAAATTACTTGATTGCTTCTTGCTGTAGCTCAGAGGGAGTTGACTTTGAGGGGATCTCTCCATTTGCTAGCATGTCACTAACGCTTTATAAAGGTGAGAGTGGACATATTGTGGAAAACAATCTACCTAGTTACTCAGTTCCATTAGATAATTAAGTAGTATTGTTTCCATTCCTCTACACACCAGTCTGTGCCGTCTCCATTTCTTGTTGAACTTATGCCTGTTTCCTCTCCCTCTATTGATAATCTGTCTATATTTTATGAGATTTATTTCTGAATTTATATCAGAAAAGGATTGTGCAACCTGCATTTCCTCCTGTGTCCAGTTCAATCAGCACTTGCCATCTGGGTTTTTTAAGGGCTGAAAGTTATGTACTGCATTGCTAACGTTAACACAAAAAGTATAAAAGCAAAGCCCCTTTTTGTGTCAGCAGTGAGTGCTAAATTCTACTATACATTGTGGCAACATGTAACTTGAATGTATTTGAAAATAACTGAAAACAAAGGTGCATTTAAGACTCAGACAGGAAACATTCTACTTCAAGTAATGGATGTAGAATTCTCTTGCTCTAGGAATAGTTATTTCAGTGCTGGTTACTGTAAATTATTGAACAGTGAGTTAAACTTGTTGGAGAAGTGAAACTCCGATACAGCTAAAAATAAATCCAGGGCTTTCTTGATGTTATGTCATTCCTTGTGTGGATTTCCCATTGAATCAGTTGTTTTTAAGGACTGTAGGTTTATCACCGTATTACTATGCAATTTGTTCTACTAGTCTATCCCTTGCTGTTTCACACCGATTGGACCTTTCTCCAAACTAGTATCCTCCTTTGGGAGGCTGCACTAGGGATAGCAGCAAAGGGAGGAAACAGTGTTGAGTCAGCAAAAATTCTTTTTTGAGGCATGTGTGTGCTCCACTTCCACAACCTTTTCATAAAGCCTGAAAGGAGGGCATAGACGAAACCAGAGGAAGTGGAGTTTGTTTGCTTTCTATTAAGAGAAGTATGAGCCAAGTTCCCCCAAACCTTTGCTAGAATATGAACACTTAAGCTCTGGAATTTCGGCAACAGCGTTATTATTTTTTAAAACCAAAAACAAACAAACTGAGTTTGATATGAAATGAAAAAGAACACTCGGTAAATGTTACAAAATGCTGTAGTATTAAAATGTCTCTTTATATGGAGCATATAACACCAATGGTAGCTCAACTCCACTGGCTACCTAATTGCTTCCAAATTCGTCAATGTTGACAAACTTGGAAGCAAAGAAGTGAGTACCTTTTACAGACCTGAATGGCATGGGTTTGGTAGCCTTCTAGAAACATCTTCTCCCATACATTCCCCCTGCCTGCCTCCCTGAGGTCTGGGGTAGAGACTCTATTTCCTGCAAAATATTGTTGCATTCCACCTCAGTCTCCGAGTGGTGCAAAATTCCAGGGGTGACAAGACAGTTACCCAGGGTTCATTGTTCCCTTTGGATTGAGGTACAGTGCTGACTGTGGTATCTTTATGATATGTGGTTTGTTTACAAATACAGTGGTACCTCAGGTTAAGTACTTAATTCGTTCTGGAGGTCTGTACTTAACCTGAAACTGTTCTTAACCTGAAGCACCACTTTAGCTAATGGGGCCTCTTGCTGCCGCCGTGCCGCTGGAGCAAGATTTCTGTTCTCATCCTGAAGCAGAGTATGTAACCTGAAGCGTATGTAACCTGAGGTACCACTGTACATACAATCTGAGCCTACAGTGGAGGGGCTTATAGCATTAACACCCCAAGAAGGTGTTTTATTATTTCAGGTTCATTTAGCGCTTTGTTTTTGTACAAATATTCTTTTACAATATTTCACATTTTTTTGTATTGCTGTTGAAACAACAACAACAACAACAATCTTTATTACGGTCCAGAGACCCAACAAATCATTACAAATCAATACACAGTTCATACAGCCTACCTCCAGGTTAATCAAGCATTTTGTTTAGGATATAGGGCTCATTTGTTCTTGCAACCACTGATAAAAACTTTGCCACTGCTAACGTTCTAGCTTTTGTTCGGTCTTCCAGTAGGAACCTGACATAGTGAGTCTCTGATTTTCCCAGGAAAGGTACCAGCAAGGGTAGTATCAGTTCAGCCCTGGCCTGCTCATATTTTGCACAATGCAACAAAATATGATTTATGGAATCGATGTCTTGAGCACACGAGCAAAGTCTGTCCTGGTAGGGAACTCCTCTCAACCTACCATCCAACACTGCAGAGGGGAAGACATTTAGTCTGGCTTTGGTGAAAAGCCTTCGGTAGTTAGGTGCTGTCAGGTTTTTGATGTAAGATGTTAACTTAAAGACATACCCATATTGAACTCCTGCTGCCAGCGGACTACAGACTGTGTGTGATCGAGATCGCAAGTCACTGTGTGCATTGTCCCATAATCTTTCCTTTAAAACCTTTTGGGCACCTTCATAACCCAGGTAATACAGTTGGGGAGACAGACCAATAGAGGTGGCTTTTTTAGCCATGGTTTTCTGCCATTTGCTGACAAATTCCTCATTAGTCAGATGTTGGTACAGACCTTTCCCTAGATTAAACACTGAAATCCTGAGCCAATGTTTTAGGGCAGCCCACCACGCTTTAGTTGAAATTGGGCATTCACCAGCTTCTAACAGAAGTACAGAGTTGGGGACACAGTTAGGTACCTGCAGCAGAGATCGTATAAATTTTGCCTGAAAGCCATCTAGCTTTGGCAGGTCCCCATTATGCCAGACATTTGCTGCATACAGGAGTTGGGAAACGGGCTTTGCGTTGAAAACCTTTAAGGCTGCTGGAACATACTTGCCGCCCTTTGTGAAGAAGAATCTATGTATGGCTAGCTTTGTAATCTCCGCCTTTTGAAGGGAGGTTTGCCAATGGTGCTTCCAAGATCCTGTATGATGGAATGTGAGCCCTAGGTAACTGAAGTATTTTACCTGTTCAAGGTTATGGCCATCCAGCACCCATTTAGTCTGGGAGAATCTTCTTTCGAAGACTAAAATTTTAGATTTTTCATAATTAATGGATAAACCATTTCCAGAACAGTAATCAGAAAATTTCCTCAACAGATAATTCAAACCCGGTCTGGAACGTGAGATGATGGCCGCGTCATCAGCACATAACAACAGAGGGGTCCTTCTCATTCCTATTTTTGGAATGTGTCCATCTGGGTCCATTAAGTTCTCTTCTAGGTCATTTAAGAATAGACAAAACAATGTGGGGGCCAAAATACAACCCTGTCTCACCCCCCTAGTCATCTCGATGCTGTTCGATAGCTGTCCCTGTCGACTGCATCGGACCTGAAGTTTGGTTCCATTGTACAGGCTTTTATGAGAAAGAGAAGTTGTTTGTCCTGCAAAATCAGACTTAATTTGGACCATAGCTGGGATCTGGGGATGGAGTCAAATGCTGATTTCAGATCCATAAAGGCCACAAAGAGTTTACCTTGTAGAGGCCTGGTATACTTCTCGGCTAGGAAGGACAGCATTAAACTTCCGGGGTGGCGCCTCCGGAAAATGGCGGAATTCCCTTCGGACTGAAGGGAACCCGCTGCACGGAGGCTTGGGTCCTGCCGCTACGGCGCAGCGGGGACCCGCAAAAACCACAGGCGGAAGAAGCCTGTGGACGTGGGACTCGGCGGGCACTGAGAGCGCTCTCTCCCCTTGTACAGGAGCCCGGTAACGGGCTCCGGAGTGGGAGGTGCGTGGTGCTGTGAGTCGTCTGCTTCCTCCGTGCAGCAAAGCCGCACTGCCGTTATCGGAGAGCGCTGCCTTTTTCCTGGACAATTTGGCATCTAAAACATCTATCCGTGAGTACCTGATCTTGGAAGAGTTGAACCACTTTTAAGACTGGTGAATAAACAAATAATATTGGACTTGAAATTGAACTTAATTGGGACTCGGAATGGGAAGGTCTAAACAGGAAGTCGCCTTCCGTTCTTTTGTTATGTGAAGAAAGCAAAGACAAAATATACTAAAGCCTGAAAATTAAATTTTAAGAGAACTAGAATTCAACATCTAAGATTTCTGAACCCCCCCTTTGACTGCAGGAGAAAAGGGGGGTTGTATCTGGACTTTTCAATCCTGCGGAAGTGAGTTTAAAATAAAGCAATTTTCCACCGCCCTGAACCAGGAGCGGGCTGTCAGAATTGACGTTCTGAAGTTTATCCAGCTCGACAGTTAGTTAAAAGAAGGGTAACATTTTGATTCTACTGTTGCCTCTTGAATTTGGAAGGGGAATTTTGGATAAAGTGTTTCTGGAAAAAGAAAGATTGTTGCTGTTGCTTTTATTCCTTTAAAAAAAAAAAAAATTCCATCTAGTGGAATTTAGTGAAATTGCAACGCAGAGAGATTAAAGAGAAGGACTATTGGACTATTCTCGTGGGAAAGAATTTTCTTTGACCTTGAAGGACAATGCTAGTACAAAGGCTTGAACAATTGTTCCTGGAAGGTTTTTCAAAACTAAGTGCCCAGCTGGACCAGATGCGTCAGGAGACGACCTTGATGATGGAAGTTACCAGAGCACAGCAGCAAACAAATGAAATTCAGTTAAAGGCTATACAAGCATATGAACCTGCTGTAGTGACGGAGGCTTCAGAGATGGAGGGACCTTTGGACGGGCAAGATCAGCCTTTGAACTTGATAAATGAACTTAGGACAAACCAGATTCGGAAAGATGAAATGTGGTCAGATTTGGAAATGGGGGATGGATCGACCCCCTCCATATGGTTATTTGGACCTTCCGAGTCTGGTGATGGGCTATCAGAGGATTGGAGTAGCCGAAGTCTCCAAGCTTTGTGGAAATTTGAAGTGGTATTATTTGCTGTCTGGCTTGGGCAATGGGTTTGGGATGGACTTGTTGCAAAGGGTCAAAAGCATTTTCTTGCTGGAGCATCCACGACTGGAAAGGAATCATCAACAAGAGTGGCGAAAGGGGCAAGAAAGAGACTTGAGGGCCTCGGATACGAGACAACCAGGTTAAGGAGCCGGATTACCGAGGTTAAAAGGACTGACAATCCCGGGTCCAGGGAGGGAGGTTGGAAGCTGACTGGACTGAATTTGACTTATTATTTTTCTTTTTACTTTTTAATATTGAGAATGCTTACAAATGTTTGAAGGATGTTGAATGAAATTACATGACTTAAGTAAGGATTGGTAAATGATTCAGTAAAAGGTAATGATGCAAGAATTTGGTAAATATTGAATATAAGCTATGAGTTTTAAAGTTTTTATATGACAAGAGGGAAAATAGAATAAGGAAACGTAATGACAGATTGTTATGAAAAAACAGAAAGGATTTGCTGTAAAAATTAAAAATTAAGAAACAAGAGAGGGGAGGAGGAGGAAGTCTAGAAAGGAAGTCAATAGAGATTGTAAAGGACTTTATATTTTTGTTTTTCTGTTTCTCTTTTTTTTTTCCTTGGCGGCTGGGTCTTCTTTTCTTTTTTGTTTATGTACTATTTTTGTTTTTTGTATCTCCCAATTTTTTTTTTTTTTTTTGGAAATTTTTGTTGTTATTCTTTGAAAATTTAATAAATATCAATTATAAAAAAAAAAAAAGGAAGGACAGCATTAGACAGTGGTCTGTTGTTGAATGGTTCTCACGAAAAGCTGCCTGAGCTTCAGATAGTATATTATGTTCATTTGGAAAAGTTGTCAGTTTGCTACTGAGGAAACAGGCATACAGCTTCTCAATTATTGAGAGCAGGCTAATTGGCCTATAATTGGAAGATACATTTGGGTGGCCTCTCTTAAAGATTGGAACTACTATAGCATGTATCCAGCTATATGGTACCTTACCCGAGTTATTTACTACCGTAAAGAGTGCTGCCAGAAGCAGAGCCCACCAGTGCTGGTTTGATGTAATCAACTCTGCTGGGATAAAGTCTTTCCCCGGAGCCTTTCCACTCTTCAGATTCCCAATTAATGTATGGACTTCCTCCACAGTAACCGGCCTCCAATTAGGGAGCAGTGACAATTCTGCCCTGTCATCCTCCTGTAAGCTGGAAGGGAGGTTTGGATTTTCCATAAATATATTTCTGAAGTGATTCTTCCAAACCTGAGCTGGAATGACACAGCTGGGGGCTGAGGGACTATTTTTCATTGAGTCGGAGACCAGTTGCCAAAAGAGTTGAGTTTCATTGTTTAGTGAGGCATTCAATAGCAGGGACCAGGAATTTTGTTCGGGCTGCCTTTTTTTTTTGAGGCCAAAAGGGCTTTATACTCTTTTTTGATTTTGAAATAAGATGGAGGTAAGTAGTTTAATCCAGCGTTTCTATAGGCCAAATAAGCATTCCTTAAGGCTTCCTTCTTTGTGCAGCACTCTTGGTCAAACCAACCGCGCCCTTTTGCAGTGCGTGGCTTGCCGGCTGAGTTTATGTTAACCGAAACCACATCCTGCAAGGACTCAATGAGATTTTCGTAAGCTGTCAGGGAGGAGTCTATTGATAGATTGTTTATTATAATTGATCTTAACTTAATTGCAGTTTGTGAATTCAATCTATTCTCAACTGCAATTGCTATCTCAGATGTCCATTTTTTCCTACGCAGTGCTGGGTAATTTGCTTTATCTATGACCTCATGTTCTATGTGAGAGCACTGAATCGCATTTTGGCCAGTAGTGGAGATGATAGGGGGTAGGTGGTCGCTTTCAGTCCTATTATCTATGGTGAATTTTTAAATTGATTCGAAGGCCTCTCTGTTAGTGAGGCAGTAGTCTCCTGTGCTGGCTCCATTTGTATTTATGAATATGTACTGCTGTTGAAACATGTAAGTCACCTTGAGAGATTTCTATTAAGAAAAGTGTCCTATATAGATTTTAAATAAATAAAATGTTCGTGTTACTATTTTACGTTTTTCTCTTGTGCTTTTTTTGCCATGTTTATATGAAACTTGAGTTACTCCTTTAAGAGTTCAGGGGGAAATTTTGTTGCTGTTCTGCCATTTCTCTCTTGTATCAATCAATCAATCAATCAATCACTCACTCTTCAATATTACAATCACAGATCAGGCGTAAATTACAGTCAAACAAATGCAGTTAACAGTTTAGAGGCCAGCAAAAGACTGTTAGGAATTAACAGCACCTCAAGGGACTAAGAAATGGGCGTGTTTTGTTGCACGTTCACAGTCACTCTTGGAATGGATTGCTGAGTGCTAGTATGGTTGGTAAAAAGATTTAACCACCAATTTCCTAACAATGCATGCTGATGCACAGAATTTTGTCACTTTCTCTTATAAAAATGAATTCTCGCTAGAAAAATGCAGAGTGGAATAAATAATCAAAATTCTAGTTTGGCTGACATTTCTTCCCCAATGGTGGTGGAATAAAATTGGTTCATGAAGAGGCGGCAGTCTGTTTGTGCTGCCCAGTTGCAGTTCTAAATTGAGTTAGATCATCTCATGTTTCTAAATATCACATTTCTTTTCTGCTGCCAGTTGTATCTAGTCAAAGTTGTGAAACCAGTTATGAGATTATAGCTGTATGTTGACAAGGTCGAAGTAACAAGAATATTTTTTTAAAATGGCAAATGCCCTTGATTATTTTTTTTTAAAGAAAAACAACAGGAATGCAGTGATTTTGTTAATGCGAATCACAAGGGCTAGCAATGCTAATATCTGAGGAGCTTGGAAATTGCTATATGGAGGCACTACAATTATTTCCTGAATGTTTTATCAGGGCTGAATCATATTTTTAGTACCGCTTCAGAGTGTTAATTAGCTGAAAGTTTTAGTTGATCTGCAGACTGATTGCAAGTTAAAATTTGTTGAGAATGAAAAAGTACTTTCTAGATGCAAGTCACCTAGAAATAATGGGTCTTTTCTCATTGGCAAACCTAGCAAAAACAAGGGTTATGAGGGCTTTTCTTTTCTGTTTGTCTCTAAAGCTAGTGGAAATTTTGTATTTCAATACGAATTCATAATGGGATAATTAAAAACCCCCACAGGAAACTCAAACTGAAAATGTTTATTCGAATATTGAATTAACCATTTCTTAATTAACATTTCTTAATCTTCCACAGTGATTATGGATTTTGAAATTGTTCATGTTTGAAGGCTCTGCTGTATTAATGTGACAGGTATATTAGAGAAACCCAAATTAATGAAATGTAAAATAGCAAAGATGGCATTTCCTTCTAACAACTCATGGTAGCTTTTGTTTATTGAATTGCAATTTTGTGCACTTAGGATAAATTTAAGTGTTCTCACCCCCCGCCCCCAGTTATTCTCAAAGTCACCTATACTGAACTTTTGGTAATATGCAAATTCATTTTATCTTGATTTGGTTGGGAGACATTCAGATAAACAAATATATCCTGAACTTGCCTCTTGTTATAGGGTTCATTATTATTGCAACTTGTTATCTCACCTGGGTTACTGGGTAGACAGTGCCATATCTTTCCAGGCTCTGTAAAAGCAAAATACTTTGAATCAGTTAAGGCTGCAATCCTATACACATTTATTTATACCTTTTATATGCTACCCAACAACAAAAATCTTTTTTAACCTGGGAGTAAACCCTATTGAACTCAATGGGACTTACTTCTGAGTAGAAATGTATAATCAGGACTACTTCTTGCACTTAAGGGGGAAAAAAAACCATTAGCTGAGCTGAAATTATGGATATTATGTTCAGATGGTTACTATTGAGCCCAGGCTGTACTTGGCTGTGAAACAGCACACAGCATGCATGTAACCAAACTGTAACAGAGTGTAGGTTGTACAGTGCAGTTGTGCTTTAGCATACAGCTGATGTCAGGCTTGCCTGAACATTTGTGTGGGGAAAACCAGTCTGTGCAAAACTTTATTCTTATTTAGATGAATTTTAATATTACTGGTTTCTGGCATTAGGGAAAAAGGAAGTCTCAAGAAAGACCCAGCATTTATGATTTGCTCCAGGAAGTACAAAGTTCAATGCCAGTGAATTGCCCTAGTTGAAGGATTACTTCCATGGGCAGTAACAACTTGTTTTTAAGTTGAACAAATTCATGCAATGTAGCATAACTTTTTAGCAACATCTAAAGACATCTCTATTGTGTTCCTTTTTTCTTCTTCTACTCAGATCCTAATGCTTATGCCCCTCTTATAGATCCACGTCTTAGGATACCTAAGGAAACACTTCTTTTGCAAAACTCTAAACACCATGTTCCTTCAGCCTTAAATTCTTGAGTTTTTATGTTAGTGTTGCACATCACCCCCATCTCCAAGTGTTACAAGATTCCAGGGATTTCCAGGCGGCTTACAAAGGGTTTCGTAAAAGCTTGGATAAAGAGGGGATGATAAGTGCTGAAACAGGGTAGGCCAGACACAGTTTTCTTCACTCTTTTCTACCCCTCTGTCTCCGTAACTTTCACTTTTGAGCACCTTCATGCCAGCTTCTACAAACCGACTCATCTAACTGTAGACTTAAAAACTTATTAGGCTCCTACCAACCTTCTCAAGCATTGGTTATCTTCCCGCAAGACCCATCTTGCAGTACTTAGTGGAATGTTACTTCCCATGGGATATTTTATGTTTACTTCATACCGCAAATATTTATGTAATGTAATTATTGCAGAGACTTCAGGAGATCATTGTGTGTAAAAGCCACAGCTGCATAATTTCAAGGTTCTTCTTCTATGGAATATGTCCTACAGTAATCCATAGGTGACACAGGCTTTCTCCATGGAAAAGCCTCTGGGATCAACCTACACATAGACAAAGGCATCACATGCTTCAGACTACAGGAGCACTTTGAAGAGTGTAGAAGCTTTCAAAGGGTACAGCAGCTTGTACCACCTGCATTCATGAGTCAGTTTTTTTGGCCATCATATGATGTTAGTCATGGGTGTATACCAGGTGTCTCAGATAAAATGCATTTGTTTCCTCTTTTTTTTCTTGTAGATTATGTTTTGTACTTTGAACACACACAAAATTGATATGGACAAGCTCTTAGGAGTGCAGATTGGTCTCGAAGACTTTATATTTGCTCATGTAAAAGGAGTCAAAAAGGAAGTGGAGGTTTTCAAATCAGAGGAGTCACTTGGGCTTACCATTACTGACAATGGAAACGGATGCGCCTTCATAAAGGTAAGAATAATGCCATGAGTTGTGAGGGATCCGAGCAGAAACGGAGTTGCAAATTGTTACAAATACTTCTTTGTGTTAGCAAGAATGGTGTAGTGTTGGCACTATGGAAGTAAGTTAGCAAACATCCAAAAGCAATAATTTGAATGGGGGTATTGAAGAATTATACTCAATGGATGTTCCCACTTGGAGAGAGGTCTTTTTCAATGATTTCTTCTTTCCCCTCCAGCCCTCAGAAAAGCTTATTCAGACACCTCTCCTCTCAAACTTCCACTGGGCTTCAGTTCCTTTCACAAACCAAAGGAACCCTTCTGTTCATGGAAGGGCAGTTTTGGATGCAACTCGTTGTTAGAATACACGTAACTCAAACAGAGTCAGCAACATTTTATTGACTATTATACGGTTATTGGTAGTGGTAGGCATGAAGCAGTATGCTGGCTTGTTTAGGGACATGTCATTAGCATACATGTGTACTGGTCAAGAGATGTGTTTTCCAAACTCAGTGCAAAAGTAGATCTGATAGTAGGAGAGCCATTACAGGCAACAACTGATTGATGCACATTCAACTGGTGCACGCACATGTGCACACCGCTGAACCCAGGCGTGACCCCCAAAGTCACTAAAAGGGTGGAATGGGTGCGAGGTAGAACAGAACATTTACATGGACCCTGCTGACATGCACAGATGTCCGGAGCGTAACCCCCACGCAAAATGACACTTGCCTGTATTAGATTTTCCAACTAAAATGTAAAAAGCCACAGGGAGGAAAAACTGGGTCGGGGCAACCCTGACATTAAAAAACAATATAAAAACCACCTGGCCAACTTATAGAGATATAGAAGAACACATACAGTATATTTTAGTCTGCTATGGGTTGGTATGCCCTGTGCTTTCCGAATGGAAGTGTCTCATTCATGGAGGAACTGAGGTCCAGCAGTAGACCAGGCATAGGCAAACTCAGCCCTCCAGATGTTTTGGGACTACAACTCCCATGATCCCTAGCTAACAGGACCAGTGGTTGGGGTGATGGGGATTGTAGTCCCGAAGCATCTGGAGGGCTGAGTTTGCCTATGCCTGCAGTAGAGGCTGCCTCTGAAGAAAGGAGGGGGGCAGTGATTTTTGCCAATTCTTCCTTCTGCCTGCAGCCTGTTATGCCACCCCCATGCTGTTCCAGAGGGTCCCACAATCCTCTCTAGCAGCTTTTTTCGGGGGGGGGGACTGCAGGGGGAAGGTGGAACTGGTGGAAATTATATTTGCCCCCTTTCCACAGCAGAGTGCCCTTGTTGATGGAGTTTCGCCCATGGGTTTGTCTGGATGCAGCGTTATAAGTGTATTTAATCATCCTAATGATCTAATATCTTACTAGGAGTGATAATCACTTTTTCCCCAGAAACTGCTGGGTGACCAGAAATGTATTCTCCCTAAGAATTAAGTCGCACAATATTATAACTCAGCAGTATCATGTACATTTTATGAACATGTACATGGAGTCTGAGTTCTTGATTGCACAGCATGCTTGCCTTCCTTAAGTATTGCTTTTGATAAGTATGAAATGTTATTTGTTGCATGTCTAGCCTGACTTGCATTGTCTGCACTGAAGGTACAGTATCTAGCAATCTGCCTGTGCAAGCACTGTTCCATGCTTACCAATTATTTATTTTTGTTAACAAATTTTATATGAAACTTTATTGTAAAAAAAGGCAAAAAACTATTTCAAAAGTGGTAGAGTTATAAGCAGCAAATCAATTCAATCGAACAATAAGATTTTAAATTATATGGGTATCCTAGTTTGGGTAACTGGGCTCTTTGTATCCTTTTACAGTGCTTCCTTGTTTACTCCCTCTAGCTCAAAAGGTGAGCTTTGTGGTTTGTATTTTGTGTATGTCATACTATGCACATCATAGCCCTTTTGGCCCAGGCTGTTTGTTTACTGCATTCATCGCAACTAACAATAATGCCTTTTTATCCAACAGAGAATTAAAGCAGGCAGTCTTATTGACCAAATAAAACTGGTATGTGTTGGTGATCACATAGAATCTATAAATGGAAAAAGCGTAGTGGGCTATCGCCATTATGAAGTTGCTAAGAATTTAAAGGACTTGGAGAAGGGTCAGACATTTACGCTAAAATTGATAGAGCCTATGAAATCATTTGGTGAGTGACATGTATCCGCCATAAATTATACCTGTAGTTTCCTTTTGTATTTGATTCCAAATTGGGTAAAACTTGGCCTGTTTGATTAGTCAGAGGAAGCTTAAACAATTAGAAGGGTGAGACATAAAGCGAACATTGTCTTATTAAGCTAACTGCAGCCACCCGTCATGTACGATGCTCTGCTTGGGGTTCCATAAACTTGCTTTTATCTCTGTGTGTGGGATCGTAACAACAGGGGAAGCCTAAAAGCAGGTTGCGGGGGGGGGTATTTTTTGGCATTAAGTCTCCCACCAGAATCACACCCCCCTGCCTTAGCTAGGCATGAAAGAAGCCTTCTGCTGTTTCAGGTCTAATTCAGCAGGGGGACAGACTGAGCATGGGACCCAGACCTCTGTGTTTGTGTTCTGGGTGCTGTGTAGCAGGCTCAAGCTATGGGGACGTAAGCAAGAAGGCTGGACACTGAACTGCCGGTGAACTGGGATGAGTTGAAATAAATGGCTTTATTACTAGATCTTGTAGGGAAACAGTCCTTTTAAAATAGTATTTTGATATTCTAATTACTGATTCTATGATTCTTACAGATAACTATTTTAAATTCCGCTTTTACTGTGTTTTAACTTTTCAAAACCTGCAGTAGATGCTACATTTATTCTTGCTTTAAGATTGTTCCGATGCCTTGATTTTCACCCCATGCCTAATTGCCTTCCCGTACTTCCTGGTACAGTAGTATGCTGGGTCAGTAAGGAAGTCACAGAGGATAAAGGGCTGTTTGGGTAGAAGCAGCCAGGAAAATGAAATACTTCCACTTGGTGGCAGCAGCAAAATACCACAGGAGGGAGCCAAGATAGTAGGTTGGCTCATCTCTTCTTTCCCTCTCACAGTGCAGTCTGTGCCATCACATTGACAGTAATTATTGGGTAGGTTAATGCAGAAGAAGCTAGTCCTTCAGATGCCATGGATCCAGACTGTTTAGGACTTTATAGGGCAAAAGCAGCACTTTGTCCTTATGTAGAAACCAGCTGCAACTACAATATAGCACATTTGTACTAATAATGGTTCGAACACAAGATTCATTTGTCTGAAAGTGTGATGTCAAACAAAGCATGCTGGACCCTGTGCTGATCCTGATTTCATTTTTTAAAAAATCAATTCAATCAGCTGATGTGGCTACATTCTTCAGATAGATGACCAAACAAATCCTAGGGTCTCTGAATGATCTGAGGCAGTTTTCAGGAGTGATGCCCAGTGATAATATTTTGTTTCTGCTGGCAAGTCATACTGTATTACAGCCTTTGGAAGACAGTGATAAGTAATTTCTGAAACTTGATTTTGTAAAAGAAAAGAGGGGTAGGGAATAGAGAGAGGTCCTGACTTTTTTTTTTAAAGGGAAAAGCCTTCTCTCCTTTTTAAAATAACATTTAAAATTTTATTTTTATTTGCTTAAATATGTTAGAAACCTATCTGAGTGGGACAGGGTGGGATAACAATGTAAATATTGTTTTTAGCCCTATAACACTGTTGTGGAGGACTTTTGGATGGCTGAAACATCACCGTCATTATTAATATGCCTGCCCTTCAAGGCTGATTACAACAATTAAAACACAATGTGAAAAACAGTTTAACACAACTTAGAATCATAAAACATAAGGTGGGCCCTCAAAATATGTATTCCAAGTTCCAAAAGATAGGGCAAAGAGTTGTAAAGGAGGTAACCATATATTGCAGTTGTTCTTGGCAGGTTAATTCTGTGTCTGCCCTTCAGTCCACAGGTATGTAGTCCATTTGAGTTATGAGGAATTTCGTTCCTAACTTTTAATGGGATGTAGTGTTGCCCTCTCACCTTAGAGAAGGTAATACAGAGCATTTGATTGCAGAGCACTTGCCTACCTCATTTTATTATTAGCTGCCCTAGTATAATTCCAGAAAGTTCCCAATTTCAGTGGTATCTCAGGTGATTGAACTTGGGGCTTGTGGAAGGTAAGGAAAGGTATAAAATAATCAGCAGAGCTGTTGTGCATCCTAGTGGACACTTGGTGTCAGAATGCATACATTTAAAAAGAGGCATTCAAAAACTGGTAATGCTGGTAATGCCTGCAATAGCATTGTAAGAACATATTTATTTCACAAAAATTATCTGCTGCTTCATTGTAATAAAACCTCAAAGCGTTTGCAGAAAAAATAAAACAATAAAATTATCTGTACAAAACAGTTAAAAACAATGGCTCAAAATAATAATAAAGACAATCAATAATAAACTAAAAGCAAAGTTAAAGCACATGTCAACATTCTATAAGGCTTGCCAAAACACACGAAATATTTCTGAAAAATAATTTACATAATGTTTTGAAAGTATTTTGCATATAAACACTCAGTAGCTTAGAGTAAGGCTCTAGGCAGCACTAAACTGTTAGTAAAGAAAGTTTTTCTAAAAACAACAAGCTGTAATTGCTGGATCTTGTCTATTTACTAAGTTTTTCCAGCTTTTGCTGTATGGATAGTTAGTGTTCCTGCCAGAGCTCTTAAGAAAGTGTTGTTTGAAACATTGACTTTCCCCAGCAGTTTAACAGCCCTGCAGAATTCAGTTTAGATGTTTGTGTTGATTGATTGCCAATCTCCATCACATTGCAGAATGCGACCCTAATTTTGACTTGCCATTTTATAATCTAAAAGAACAACTATTATTTTTGGATCGCAATCCCAAATTGCCTAATTAATATGTCTGCTTCAGAAATGATTGAACCACGGTCGAAAGGTGGAGGTTTTGCAGAGGGAAAAATCTCCCGAGGGAGAGAGACTCTTCGACTGAGATCCAAAGGCCCTGCAACAGTGGAAGAAATGGTGAGCTCCAACATCAAAACTTAAGTAGCCACAGTTGAACAGATTATAACAATAACAAAACACTGGGGTTTCTGTTTTCCTTCTTAAACGTTACATAAGGGAAAATCCTAGGAATTTAAATGAGGGTTACTTCCTGCCAAGACCCAATTGTGGCATTCCTTCATTATACTAGTACAACAAATGCAGGTTCTCCTCCTTTTCTTCTTTTGTTGGAAAGTGCTGTTGATTAAAAAACCACCCTGATTGTGAGGTATTATTTTTGGAAAGCAGGTTATATATCTTTCAGCTGTCCCAATTTTTCTGATTTGTGTTAGACTACAGCTGCACAAACTACCAAAAGTCTACCTTAGTTTAATTGAAACATCTTTCTTTTTTTTAAATTGATATTTATTAGAGTTTCCAATCAGTAAAAAAGTTAAAGATAAAAAAGAAAAATACATAGTTCAAAAGTACACAATACATAATCCAAAAAAGAACAAAAAACAAAAGACAAAAAAGAAAACAGTTAAAAACAATACCACCTTTTCATCACCATTTTTAAATTAACTTATTTTCTGGACCTCCTCATACCTCCCTCTTTTGTATTTCAGTTCAATTTTGTTTGTCCAGCAATTTCTTTCCCTCTTTTTTAATCCCAATCCTTAATCTTAATATAGTATAACATTAAAATTTTTACCTCTTAAAAGCCAAATTTTCATTTCCTTTAACTTTTTTAATCCTAATCCTTAATCTTGATCTATATATAACTTTAAAGCCTGTATAGCTAGAAGCCACTTAATTTCAATCCATCATCACTCTAACATTCTTTAATTTTGCAATGTTTCTGTAGATAATCTTTAAATTTCTTCCAATCTTCTTCCACCGACTAATTGAAACATCTTTCTAAGACAATCCTACTCCTGCCCCACCCCAGACAAATTCCCCTCCTTCCTTACTTGCCTCTAATCGGTGGTGCTGGGATGAGCTAGAGAGGTGAGCACTGAGAACAGGGAAGTTTTTCTTCCTTCTCCCCCACTCTCTGTCACCCGGGTATCTGGGCAACAGCATGTTACAGTAATCCAGGGGACCATAGCAGATGTAGTTCTCCTGCTTCTGCAGAAGAAGGGGGAGGGAAGGGGTCGGAAAACCCCTCCTTTGGTCCGATCACTGCTTCTCACCTTTGTGTCTTTGTTTTGTCAAAGCCTTCAGATGTTGAAGAAAAAGCTACTAAGAAGGTTGATGATCTTCTTGAAATGTACATGGGAATAAGAGACCTCGAACTAGGTAAGGGTGTTTATGGAACTGCGAGTAAAGTAGTATCCCCTGCACAAGCCTACACAAACTTACACGGGACTAAGCCCAGTGAGCTCAGTGGGGCTTAACTTCCGATGCGACATGTATGAGATTGCGCTGAAAGACTCATTTCTAGTTCAGCTGGAGAGCTGCCAAATCTGAGTCTGAGCGTCTTCTGTAAGTGTTGTAAAACGTCTCTCCTGCATCCTACATTTTGTTTGCAGTTTTCAAAGTGTGAGGAGTTTTAATATGGGTCCAGATTTCCGGTTCATTTAAATTTTGCATTGCATTGTAACAAGCAGTTTAACATATTAGCCATATTCAGGCATTTGGAATGCAGCCTAGAGCAGCACTCGGGTAGCAGAGGCTTCACCCTCCCATCCTCGCCAACGTTGTCCTCTGTGTTTTCCGAAGCTACTCTATGAAGTGGGGAATCCTCCTCAGCATGTGGAGGCTCCGATGCGTTTTGGAACTCCGATTTTCCAGATGTATGCCTCCCCTGTGTACAGAGGATGGCTTCCCCGATGCAAGCAGTCGCCCTGGAAAATGGGAAGGGCGATAGCAAACAAGACGAGAGGTTGATGCTCGTGCGCAAACTCTGCTCCTCACACGCTGCTGTAAGCCATATTCAGAATGACCTGGATATAGAGCTATTATGTTCCCAGAGCCACTGCCGTGGTAGGCTAGGAATCCAATTAATTGACCACATTAACATATGACTCTCCAGTCTCTCTGCTCGCAGCACAGTTTCCAACATAACACCAGAACCATTGTAAGCTCTTGAAGATAAGCTGTCCAAAACATATAAATGACTGCTTTCATGCACAGATCCCATTGCAAAAGAGATGCGTGGGGTTGAAACCTGCATGCGGCATGTGTGTGCTGCATTAGATCTCACATATGTATCTTTAACGGATGATGATGATAATAATATATTATTATTATTATTATTATTATTATTATTATTTTTATTTATATGTCACCCATCTGACTGGTGGCTGGCATGGTTAACTTTTGAAAACACAAATCTCCTATTTGGGACTTGATCACACTGAACACAATTATATATATGCCTGCTCAGAAGTAAATCCTGCTGAGCTCAATTGGTCGTTCTCTGAGGTAAACGGGTAGAGGATTGCAGACTGAATGTGTATTCCATCTCTCCCAAACAATGAATTGGTGCTGCTGGAGCTTAAAGGTAAAGGTAAAGGACCCCTGACAGTTAAGTCTAGTCGTGGACGACTCTGGGGTTGCGGCTCTCATCTTGCTTTACTGGCCGAGGGAGCTGGCGTTTGTCTGCAGACAGTTTTTCCAGGTCATGTGGCCAGCAAGACTAAGCTGCTTCTGGCGAAGCCAGAGCAGCACACAGAAATGCCGCTGGGACCGAGCAACGGGAGCTCACCCCGTCGTGGGGATTCGAACCGCCTACCTTCTGATTGGCAAGCCCTAGGCTCAGTGGTTTAGACCACAGCGCCACCTGCTTTACCGATAATGTAGATGATGAATATATGCAATCATATCTAAAAAATTTTTGGGGGGGATGCATTGCATATTCCACACACATGCATTAGGATCAGGGCCAAAGTTTCAAAACGGGGTTGTTGCTTTTTGTCGCAATCAAAGCATACACCGGTTGTCAATGTATATTGTGTGTGGAGCCGCTGTATCATCTCTGCGTATCTGAGAGTGCAAAGTAAGGCAACGAAATGAGCACATCTTGTTGTATCTAATGGTTCTTATGTCAATGTTCTGTTTATATATAACAATTAGCTATCACAAATCTGTTAAATGACATGATGCCAGTTAATTTCATACCATGGTGGCATCCAGTGGTGATTGACAGAAGAGACACTCTCAGTGGAACTGGGATGGATGGTTTTTTTGCCAATTCCTCTTCTCCCCTTCACCACCAAACCTGTTTTTGAGGACCCCTCCCAACCCTCTAGAGCAGATTTAGATGTGGGGGGCAGAGGGCACTACCATAGGGAGTGCCAAAAATGGACTACCTCCCCCTTCCGCTGATGAATCCCCCCCCACCCCGTTAGCAGGATTCCTTTCACTGTTGGATACAAGCCCATGACGGCAGATACGATCAATCACTCAGCGAAATGAAAAGTGAAAAGTGGATTCGTTCCAATAACACCGATTACTGTTCAGTTAGGAATTTCATTTGTATTACTCATGCTAAATTAGCCTAATCGCTAGGACTGTGAAATGCACTCAATAGGGAAAAGATTAACGCTTCCCCATCCCCACTGTGCTCATTTCAGAAAAGGAGTTTACTCTTAGGTAACATAGGCTTTCAATGTCCACTAAATGATGATCCCTGCAAAGTCATTTGAGGCATAGAAGTTTACAATATAGCTGAGTGAGAACTCTTTGCTATTTGAGTGACATGCAGATCAATTACAAATTAAAAAATGCACATATTTTTTGATATTACACTAGATACTCAGCGGCTGCAAATGTTTAAAACATGTGGCATCTTCTTTTGAACTGTGAACCCACTGGCTCAACCAGCCGGGATCTAAAGGTGACATGTGTACCTTTCTGAAAATGGACCTTAACACTGTAATTAATAAAAAAATGTTTTTAGTAAAAGGTGCCTGTTTGGGGCACGTTTTGCATGTAACTTCCTTGCAACTACTCTAGGCACACTTTGCTTGGAAGTAAATCCCACTGAAACCCATGGGATTATAGTTAAAGTACTTAGGATTGTGCTATAAGCAAATGCAATTTAGCTTGCACTTGGGATGCTGAAAAGAATTTCTCGTGAAAAAATGCAGACGGCAACTCTATAACTAGATCAGAAGAACTGGTGATGTTTGACACTGTAATGGTGAATCTGTTGCATGGGTTTGGGCCCACAGATGGAGTGTGTGGTTTTTTAAAAAAAATTAACTTTATGGAAGGTTTTCTAAGAGGGCCTTGGATCTCTTGAAAGTCTCTCCCTTTGATGTTCACACAGGTAGGTTACTTGTATGAGCAGAGGTTTTTCCTTAAGAACCAGCTCCTGCTCTCATCAAATGCACCCATGATCCTGTAAATGTGTGTAGAATTGCACTTGAAACATCACAATATTTGTACAGTACTAGAAAATATATATTTTAAAAATATAAAGGTTAACATGTAAAAGCTTATAACATTATACAATATAGCAGTCCTTTGCAGTGAGCACTAGGGGTCAGTACATGATCACTGAATACCAGCAAACTTTTGATGCTATATAAATGTGACACTCAGAATATAGAAGTGTAACTAGAAAAACCTCTTAATAAAACAATTTATTCACTACTAAAAATGTGGTGGTCACTAGAACTGTGGGCTTTTTTGGGTCAAAATCTGAGCTGAACTCTAATGTTTTCGTTCTGACAAACGTAATACAGTATGTTTGACTCAAATGCAATGGTTTCTAAGATTGCTTTCTAATGATACTTCAATACTAGACATATTACCTTAAGCTTTTTAATTCACCGCACAGTTCATTCTCTTGCACACATTGATTTGGATCCAGAGAACCACAAGCAGAAGAAGAATAACGTTTTAATGAGGTTTCACCAACTTTTCTGCAAGTGCTCGTGAAAGACCTTTTCTGGTGCAGCTCCAGTCCAGGGTTCGGTTACAGTGCCAGGAGCATAAGGAAGTTACAGGTGTTAGCATATAAACTCCAGTGAGCAACAATAAAAAAAAGGCTTTAAAAGAGCTAGAGCAGAATTTGTGTAACAGCTTGTGCTAATGGAAGAACTTCCCTGCACTTTCCTTACATGCGCGGGTTTCTGGCCAGGAACATTCCCTCTGTTAGTGAAGGGCTGTTTCTGGCCAGAGTGAAAGGGCACCTTTGAATCTAAACTATTTTGTGTGCATGTGTGTCATTTGATGTGTGTCGAATTGTAGAGCTGGAAGGGACCCAGGCTTATCTAGTCCAACCCTCTACAATGCAGGATTTTTTTGCCCAATGAGCTATGCCCTTCCTTAAAACACTTTCCAGCCTGATCCTATACAAGTTTACTCTGAGCATTGGCATGGGTATGTAGGAAGTCAGTTACCACATCTTAAGAAAGCATGCCCTTAAGACATGTTTCATGGTCTTCCACCAGAACTTGTCCTTCTAAACTATTAGAAACTTGATGAATGTTCTCCCTTAATTTTTTTTAAATTTGCATTTTCCACCAGGTTGCAATTTCCCCTCCCAGCAGGTCATCTATAAGTAATCACTCTATTTCATATTTGTGTCTCTGAAAAATGCAGTAGGTAACTAACTGCTCCCCCTTTTTTCCTTTTAGCTGCAACGATGGTAGAAGCTGGGAAAGGCAAGAACAACCCAGATGAGTTCGCCATTGCCCTCGATGAAGCTTTAGGAGACTTTGCATTCCCAGATGAGTTCGTCTTTGATGTGTGGGGAGCCATTGGTGACGCGATGCAAGGACGGCTTTAATGAGCATCAGAAAACTTTGTTGGAGCACAGTATCAGCTTGTGCAAAGCATATATCTATAGACATGGCATGGAATACGGAAAGCATCTGAATGTTCAGAAATCTGGATGAAGTAAGCTGTTATTTAATGCCGATACAAATTCCTTTAAAATAAAGTTCAGTTCAAGACTGCACTCATGAAGCTTTAGGCTCATATGAGCACTTAATCTGAAATACTTTGCAAAGCAGTTTTCTCTGCATATTTACTTATATAAATGAATATGGCAAGTGGTTAAAGAAGAGGGCAGGTTGACTATCCCATGAAAATGGAGTGTGTAGGAAGGCATGGTGCCAGTACCTGGTGAACCTGAGCAAAATTTCATTGAAAAAAATATACACCTTGTGTCTATTATTCTTTCCCACTTACTCCAGTGGGTACAATGCTGCATATCCAGCATTTTCTTCCCCAAAACAGTGCTTTGAGACTGTGAGGGTAGAGGAAAGGCCATCATTGGTGGAGTGTATGTTTTGCACTTCGTAAGCCCTTGGGACTTAATTGGGATTTTGGGAAAGCTGGGAATGTCTAAGAAACTGACAGCTGCTACCGGTACTGAGATATATGGACTATTAGTCTGACTCAGGATAAGACAACTTCATATTTATGCTACTGTATAAGCAGGCAGATGAATTCTTTCACCATGTTTTATGGTGGTGTTATTATGGATACGAGTCTCAGAACTTTGGCACTTTCACAAATGATTTTTAAAGCAGTTTTGGCATTTCCCACTTCTGTAAATCAAATGGAAAAAAACAACAACTATGGATGGAATGTACTTCTCGTTTTACAATGCCTTCTAGATTCCCTTTCTGTATCAATGCCATTCAAAGTGACACATCCCAAATTAAAGTTCAGTTTTAGTGTCACTTAGGAGAAAGAAATCTTTTTTCCATTTGTTAGTCCTGTGGATGAGTGGGCTCAGATGAATGTATTAGTACAAAATGCTCTGGGAACAGTGCGGAAATCCCCCCAGCCTTAAATTTGAATCTTTTTTGTTGTTCTTGCGTGTTAGAAAAGTAAAGAAAACCTTATGCTTTTGGGAAGCTTCACAAATGTTTTGAGGCTTTACTAGTGAAGGGTATCAAAGTGAAATATCTAAGCCAGGTGTGGTATGCTCTACCATAGAGTTCCACAAAACAACCTGTTTTTTGCTATGCTCATTTATTTTGGACAAGTCGGATACAGGGGAGGTTCCTAGGAAATGGGTGGGACTGCTCTGTAGGTGATTTTGATTATTCGAGTTGCACTGTTGCATGGAAGATACGTTGGTCGCTTTAAAAAAGCAGAAGTAATTTGTAACTATTTATTCATGTGATGATGCTGCAATAATGGTGTAAATATCCTTAAGATTAACCTTTGGTTTTTTAATATATATGTATATGTAGTTTTTGTAAATCTTGGAATATTGAGGAATTGCTAATGTGCCAATGATTGAAAAAGAAAGAAGATGAGAGAAATGATACAAGATGCTGAGCTTTAATTAGAATGCATCTCTTTGAGTCTACAGAAACCTTTGAGCAGCACACATCTCTTATTCGGCGAAATGAAATATTGCTAATCCTGAGCATATAGAGAAAAGGCTGTTTACTAATAAAGGATGTTTAGTCACATAAGAGATGAATCTTGCAAATAAAACTTTGCTACTAGTGAACAGGCTTCTTGGAATGATGGAAAGAGATTGGAAGTAGAAAACTTCTTCCGCTCCCCCACCCCTGAAGCTGTTAAGGTGGTTGTCTTATGCCAGAAGCTTAACCTGTCTTTGACACCACAGAAATGAAACAGAAGTGTGAAGCCAGTAAACTGAGACTCTGGGTGCTCCCAGAGGGGGGCTTAATATTGCAAATGGGTGTTTGGCAGCAGGTTTAAAAAAATAATTATTATTGGATTTCCTTCAAATGGATGAATCCAAATTAACAGAAAAAAAGAGCTGGCATTTGATGCTGAAAAAGTTGTGTGGACACTCCAAAAAAACTTGGATAAATGAACAGCAAATTCCCGTGAAGGCAGAGACTCTAAAAATGAAAATACTGAAATGATTTAAACAAGATGCTTTTTATCACAACAGTGCCTAGAACAGGGAAGGACAACTGATTTAATGTTATACAGAGATTTATCTGTGTGATTTATGCAAGAAATCAAACAATTTGAGGAGGGTCCACAGCATGGAGATGAAGTCCACTTGAATACATTATAAAAACTGTTAAAAGTCACTACAAAGCTATAGTCCTATAGATCTGACACAAGGGGAAGGCGAATATGCAATTTAATACGTTTTGCTTAAAACATGATTGGAATTAAAGTTGGTAGGACTTCTGCTTATATGGATGAGTCCTGCCAACTTCAATTCCAGCCTCTCCTGCCCCCTCCTCTCTCTCATAATATGCTGAGTTTGTTATGCAGTGCTTCACTTTAAGTTCACATAATTCTGTTAATTACTTTTGTTTCGTGTGTTTTGTGTTCCATAAAGTTGGGCTGTGCTTTTTATTGTTTTCTGCCCTTCAGGTTGAGTTCTAAGCAGTCCAGAAGGATGACTGGAGCCAATAATTAAAATTTGTTTCACAAACAGTAACTTCATATGAGCCAAATGTCTCACTTGAGCAAAACCGAAAAGAGTTTCAACTTAACTTGTGCAAATGCTGTATCTTTGCAATGTTCTTTTGTATTTGGATGCTAAATAAACAAACCATATTTTCTAAATGACTTCCGAGGTTTGCTTTTTATGATCTGAGGTGTACATTTGTAAGAATCCTAGGTCAGAAAGAGAGATAAATGAGCAGAATTACACGGGGAGTCACCGGCACACAAACCCCCTGCTCTATGACTGCATTTTGAAATAGTTACTGTGCCAGGAATCTACATTGCAGGAATCTAGAGAGGCCAGAGGGCAAAAAATGCTTAAAATGGCAGTAGCAATCAGTTACTAGAGAATACCAAGCCTTATGAATACAGTGGTGCCCCACAAGACGAATGCCTCGCAAGACGAAAAACCCGCTAGACGGAAGGGTTTTCCGTTTTTCGATGCGCTTCGCAAGACGAATTTCCCTATGGGCTTGCTTCGCAAGACGAAACTGTCTTGCGAGTCTTGCGATTTTTTCCGCTCCCCCCCTTTTTCTAAGCCGCTAAGCCGCTAATACCCTTTTAGCCGCTAAGCCGCTAAGCCTTTAATAGCCGCTAAACCGCTAATAGCGCTAATCCGCTAAGCCGCTAATAGGGTTGCTTCGCAAGACGAAAAAACCGCTAGACGAAGAGACTCGCGGAACGGATTATTTTTGTCTTGCGAGGCACCACTGTACCAACTTTTCGGACTCTCCTGTTAGGCTTCCAACCACTTGGGGGAACCAGCATTGTGTCTTCAAATGCAGTATGGATTGTGCGAGTCTTACCTACATGACACTTTCACTTGCGACTATGTTTTATGCAGAAGTATATCTTCACCAGAAGTCTACAGTTATAGTGGTCAGGTTGCTGGAGAGGAGCAGGCAGGCATTTTAATTCTGGTGGCCAGTAGGAAAATTCTCTAGCATTCTCTGCCACAGAAGTGTACTAAATTTGTAAAAAGCTGCCAGCAACTTTTGGAGTGCCTCTTTCAAAATAGCACCAAACTCACACATGTCCTCTTCACATGCTCCCCTATGAACTCCACCATCCTGCAAGGCAGAAGGTACAACAGGGGAGGACTTCTTGTGCCTCAGTGGAGGAGGAAGTCATAGTCAGAGCTCGCTGGCTGCTAGAAACGATGGCTGTCTACTAAACCCACCTAAAATATGTAAACTCCACCCTGCTCTGCCCCAGGCCTTTGCCACTTCAAGTATTACTGTGTGAACATATCTGTCAGGCTCCCATCTCAAAACACAGCACCAGTGACTCTTTCTTGCAAGTATTAATTCAGGCTAATAGCATTACAGGCTCAGCAGCAGCCCCACTCCCAATATGTTATTCAAATTGACACCCTTGAAAACGAACAATTTTTGTTGTTGTTCTCTCTCTTTCTGTGGTGTGCTCATTTATATGTTACAGACTATAAAACTTTTTATTTATTTTTGCTTCTCACCCAACTCCCTTTCCCTGGTTTGGAAAAATAGTGTTTATTCATTCTAGTCTGCTCTGGAATTGGATCCCATTGGTTTTTATATAAGCATGAACATGTACATGCATCCTGCGTTCAGTTCCTGCTTTCTGTCTCTCAGTATTTTCTAATTTACGTCGATCCACATTTCTTTGTTTTAATGTACCTTATAAGTCTGAGGTCCTTACAGTTGTTTTTTTATTGCCCTAGACTCTTATTGCCTGTCAGCTGCAGTTTCCTATTGTCAGCAAGTGACATCACTTTATTGGTGCTGTTTGCGTCTTCTGGGTCAAGGAGATGAAGAAAGCAGGATTGTAATCTGACCTTCATTATGTCTGTGGCTCAGAACTTTGAATGCTTTAGCTTTCAAAATGGTGCACTCCAGAGAAGAGGTTACCAGCTTGTCTCTGTCTCTCTTAGGCCATAACAAATAAATTTTAATGCAGTGCCAGGATTAGGTCCCTTTTCAGTGCATTTCTAATCTCAGCTATCATTAAATTTGAATATGTCAAAGGAGTTTCAGACTATCTAAAAGAGTGATGGGATAATAAGCAATATTTAGTTGCCTACTACAGATCACATGTTACCTTTTTCACTTTGTCTGCTGCTGAGTGCAAGCCTTTTCTTCCATTCACTTCAATGGCAGCTCCCCGCTGTAAATTGCAGGTGCATGGGACACGATGCAGAGGAGGGCAAGAAGTTCCCCTATGCCCCACTGCGTTTTCAGTCCAGAATACATCTCACCCCAGCTAGCATTTTATGAAAGCAAAGGCTTTTGTTCAAGGGAAAGTATATGGTTAACACCTCCATAATTTCCCCCTAACAGTCATAATTTGAAAGTTTAGGGAAATATGCAAGTAGATTGTTGCATTACTGAAAACATAAAACCGTCAGTGCATCAACTGATTCATTTATATGTTCTCTTAATTATACAAAGAGGTACTTTTATTGCCCAAAGAGTGGAAGCATTTGCAATTGTAATGAACTAATAATACTGCCCAAGTTAAAAGATGAACAGGGCTTCTTCATAATAATCAATCAAGAGCATGCCTAAAACAGAACAAAATTATGCCATGTCAACGCATGCTGAAGAAATATTAAGATTGCCAGGTTGTTAGGTACCCTCAACCGTCAGCTTGGCTTTTTCATCTTATCTGTGCCCATGAAACCAAATTTTTACTACAGTCTTTGAAAGACACTTTTCGGGTGACTATGGGAATAGCTTATAAGGTATGATGAACAGTTTACAATATTAGCAGTTACTATTCCATCTGTGATTTAATTGATTAAAGTATTGCAGAAAAAATAATTTGAAGATGAACCTAGTTTTTTTGGGCGGGGAGGGGACCTGTTTTCATCTGCAAGAGAGATTTGAGGGTGCTATTGAATGGTTTGTGGATTTAAATGAATTCTCTGGAGTCTAGTTGTATCCAAGCAACCAAGCATATGAATAGTTTAAGCATGGGCCAGGCAGTTACAATTAGCACCACATACAGAACAGTTGCATACTGTCTAACTGACCTGCAGCCAACCTATAGCATTTGCAGGAGGAAAGTGTCATTTGAAGCCAAACTGACACATGTACAGTTACAAGAGGGCGAACTATACACATCTGTTGCAGCACAACTGAAATTGCCATTCCTACCTTTCCAGAAATGGTCCTTGCAGTCATGGTATGGTGGTGGGAGATAGGGAATTCTCCAGAGTCTTCTGTGTGGTGCAAAACATCATGCTACCACGTGTGTGGGACGTGGAAACTCTTGAGCTTGTGGGAAGCCAACCAGCTTCATTGGTGTGCTCCCAGAGGCGGTGGGGCTCCATAGGTGGACCAGAGTGAAGACTACTGAGGTCTGGCCCGCCTCTGCAGCACAAAAGGCAGGTGCGCCAAACCACCCTACCCCAGGCTTCAGCAGAGCTTCCCACTCACCCACCCTCTATTTCAGGGTTTCCCAACCTTGGATATCCAGCTGTTTTTTAGACTACAATTCCCATCATCCCTGACCTCTGGTCCTGCTAGCTAGGGATGATGGGAGTTGTAGTCCAACAGCAGCTGGAGACCCAAGTTTGGGAAACCCTGATCTATTGCATACATACGTTACATGTATGTAACCAGCAGGCACATGGGTGTTTGATCACATGGATTCATGCCCAATATCATTGGGCCAAACCTGTTGCACTGTAATCAATAAAGTTGTGGCCTTATTCTATCCAAACCACAGTTTGTGTCTGTCATTATTTACTTGCCGCTCTTGCATTCCCGGGGCAGGCCAAGGCATTTTGTCACTTGAGGCAAAATGACTCACCCCACCTATACTGGGCAGTCATACCCCGGATGTCACAGGCACAGGCGGAGGGGGCGGGGAAGGTAGAGAGCACAGCAGTGGCAGCGGCCTGGAGGGATTTATCGCCTGAGGCAATGGCCTCAACCCGCCTCGTGGTTGGGCCGGCCCTGTGCATCCCCATTGCTCCACTGCAAAATGATTTCTGGTCCACAGAATGCCACAAAAGTCTTTTCTGTATGGATTGATGTGCATCACACATTCTGCCCTGCTATCCTTTAGAAGCTTGAAAGTTTCAGTTAAGGAAGATGTTTTATACCATTGTTTCCCTCTAGACCTTCCAGAAGAGGTAGTTGGGAAAAGGTTTGCTAATGTCTAGGATACAAAAGCCAAATACGAAAACACAAATATCTTTGGATCTGGGTTATTGAGAAAATCTGTTGCTGTTGTTTTATTATGTGAAAACTCCCAGGTTTTATCAAGGCTTATTAACTTTTTTTTGGGGGGGGGGATGAAGTTGGGCCCAGAATTACATCGACGTGTCTGTAGCCAGAGAGAGACAGTGCACAAAAGAAAGAGAAACAACTGTGGCAAATGCAAGAGAAAACCATGCTAGCATAATAAATAAACCAGAAAAATCAAAGAGTAACTGGAGAACTACACTGTGGAAAAAGGACACTTCTGCCAAGTGTATGGAGCAGAACCACTTGCAAATTAATAGCAGAACTGGATAAGGCGAAAAAAAAAGGGGAAAGCCATAATGCAGGAATATTATAGCTGGGTCAGCCAAAGAGAATGATCATAGGAAGGCTGTCATTTTAAGAAAACACTGTGAACACTGGAAGCAATGACTAACAGGGCAATCGTATACATGTTTCCTGAGATGCGAGCTTTGTTGAATTAAATGGGAGTATATCCCAGACAACTGTGTATAGGATTGCTGGTTAAAATCATTACAAGGAAAAATATGATATCCAGCAGGTTTAAACTGTGAGGATTATTACGGTAATCACTTCAGGGCATTGTAGGTCAGACTCAGATTTTCTGCAGTGCCACTGCATCGTTGCCAAATGTGTTTTGTTACTTTCTATTATTTGGACCCATGCGAAGGTTAATTGCATCTGAAACATGCATAATTTTTAAAAGGCAATTCTTTGTGAATTTGGGATCCTCAGAGTACAAACAATGAATTCAATAACAGGGCACAAATGCAGCAACAGCATACCTGCAAAAATAATTTTTTTGGAAAGGGCAGTAAAAAAATTGTTAGCTGGCACTGAAAAGATATCCAGTGAACCTTAGTAGGCTATATGGTGGCCACCAAAAAGCCAGAGGCTTCCTATATCTCAACAGCC